TAATCGGGTAGGTGGAGTGTGAAGTGGTTTAAGAGTTGGGCCGAAGAGAATCGTCGGGTCGATCGTTGGGTAGGTGGAGTGTGAGAGATTTACCAAGGTAAAATCGTCGGGTAAGTTACGTATGGGGGGACTTGGTGATGTTTTTTCTATTTATTTTCGTCGGGTAGGTTGAGTGTGATCGTCGGGTAGCTCAAGTGTGGTACCTGGGTAGGTGAAAGACTTGGTGAAAATAATCTACTCTCGATCGTCGGGTAGCCTAGGTGTGATCATCGGGTAGGCTGAGTGTGAGGGGACTTGGAAAATATCCAGGTCGAATCGTCGGGTAGGTCAGGTGTGAGGAAAATCGTCGGGTAGGCTGGCTGTTGAACGGTTAAGGTAATTATTAGACTTCGTCTTTTTTCCTTGATTTTTTCAACTCGAGTGAGAAAAGACTTCGTCCCTTTATATACATGATAAGAGACGCTAGTGTGCCTTGCACGTGACCCACATTCAACACTCCCACTCAAGACGCACTACGGATACATGAAAAGCCTAATCGAAACACCAGAACGCTAGAGATGCTCTTTATCTAAAACCGGCCGGTCTCTTCTTTCCTTTCTTCTTAGGAACGCTAATCTTCCCTAGCGCTATACTTAGTCGGGTATAGCGTCTAGGCAAGGCACGTTACTGTCACAGTTCTGGTGTGACTAGTGGTTGTGGTTATGTGATTGTTTCAGCTAGTGTTTGAGGACCCAGCTTATCTGCCCTCAACACTCTTCCACTCTTTTAGTTCTTTGTCTATTATTCACAGATTAGTATGTACGTCTTGATTCTATAGTCCAGAGTGCGTACTGTTACAGTTACTCTGTACGGGCGTAAAAGGTACAATCGAGGCAGTTATGCCAACTTTATCGACCATCGCAGATATACACGATGTCAATGAACACATGGATACTGTACAAGCTGGTATGTCCGAGGTAAAGGGAGGATTTGAGGCAGTCAACTCTGCCATCGAGAATGTCTCTGGTGTTTGTCACGGGTTGGATGCAATGAGTCAAAGCAAGAACTTGATTGTATTACAGAAAGAATTAACTAAAGAGAGAAGAGTTCTATCTTGTACGAGGAGCTCTTTTAAAAGGGGCTCTCGCTGGTTCGTAGAATGGCCCGCGCGCTTTGGCGTCGCGCAGTCATGTGCAGGCCCGCGTAGTCACGTGCAGGCTGCACTACGTAGTAGTGCAGCCAAATATCGGGTTCAACCCGTCACAGTGTTGTTGTACAAGAAAGTACGAGAAATGTCCTTCCTGTGATTTATCAACAGAATGAAGAAAATCGGGGCCGTTTTATTTCACTTCATACTCGACAAGCAGCAGCCAACGATGTACTGAAGAATTTTGGACAACAATTCAGCAATGTGGTCACCAAGCCAGAAATGGCAAATATGCAAACGTCTTTGACTGAACTACAGTCAACCATTCCTGCATTGGCAACTGTTGTGGACACTCAGGACATTTTGAAAGGTGTTCAAAATTTGAGCATTGAGTTGACAGAAGTTGCTGCAAAGTCAGAGGATATGGATTATCTGAATGAAAGCATTCGCGATGTCTCTTCCAAAGTCAACACCGTACAATCCAGCATGCAAGCACTGGCTAGCATTGCCGATGTTCAGGACATTTCTACCGCAATCATCAAGTCGAAGCAGGATATCCTCAACCAAATCGCTTTGAATGTAAATGCAGCCGATGTGGACACAAAATTCGAGGAAGTCAAGGCACAGGTGGAGGGTGTCCAATCAAGTCTGCCAGCAGTGGCAACTGTGCCAGACCTTTGTGATATAGAGGCAATCAACGCAGTGGCGACGAACAACCGCAGCGAGATCATCGATGAAGTCAAGGCAGAGACCTTGAAATATCGAAATGATATCGTCACCGAACTCCTCCACCTCCCCTCCAAGGATGATATCAATCAGCATATTGCCACATTGCCGACAAAGGAAGAACTCAAGGTCGACATGACCACAGCAATGAAGGATATCCTCACCGAAGCCGATTTTGTGGCGGAAGTAACCAAGTTGAATGATTCGACCAAAGATCTTCTGCAAAAGGGTCATTTCGATACCAAGATTGAGGCCGTTACGACCACTATCGATACTCTGCTCTCGAACTTGAAGAATGAGTTTTTGTTTGTCGAACAATCGCAAGAGGCATCGAGAGTGGCAATCAAGGACATGGCCACAGAGTTGGTCGAGGTATCGAAAAACGGTGACAATATATCCGAAAAGACTCAAGAAATTGAGCAAATCGTGAAGAATGTCCGTACTTCATTGTATGATATCCTGGCGAGAACCGATTTCGGGGGTGATGGGTGGTGGACCAACCAGCAAGGAGGGAATGAGGAAGATGCACCCGACATTGGATTTCCTAAGTCTCAGCAAAATCCAAAGCGTACACTTTCTTCCGAATCAAGCGAGCACCCATCTAGTCAACATGAACCGACTCCGCGACCGAGATCAGATTCGGATCCGCTTGGAATATACCATGACGACTCCGACGAACCACCAGTTGCAAGACCTCAAGTAGAGAGTCCAGATCTTGATGTCCGTTCCGAGCACGACACTTCAATCGTGGCTCGTGATTTTGCTTCTGGTGGAGAAGAGTCGTTGTTGTTTCAAGATGAGACGGACAATTCGATCGAGCCCACCCTTACCCCCTTGAATCAGCACGTCGATGTCCTCAGGGGCCAAAAGCATTCCAGGCCCAGTACCATGGAATCAATGAGAGCCGAACAATCCAAGGCTGCTAAGGCTAGTGATGGGGCCAGAGTCCCCAGTGGTAGCAAGTCCACAGCAGCAGCAGCAGGTCCCGCGCCCTCTCCACCATCAAGTGGTACATGGAGAAAAGTATCCGTTGGGCCTAAGGCCGGAGGAAAGGAGATGAGAGCTGCTTTAAAGTCGGTTCTTGGCACCAAGATTGGCGGACTCGTCCATGCTCGAGACATTAAAGTGGGAAAGAAGGGTGGGCATCGCCTGGCGAATGCTGAACTAAACGCCGAGCGTCCAACTGTATGTTGGATGGCTCAGTATTCTTTGGATAAGGATTGGCCCGCTGAGGGCTATCCAAAGTTGCCTTCTGGTCGCCCGGGTGCCGATCACCTGGAAAACTTGAAGAAATGGTGGGGGGAGAAGTGGGTGGACACGAACAAGGCGTGCCCCCACTGTGAATGGATGAAGGGGGCGGGGAACGAGGCGTCTTGTTTTTACTTTGTTGATACTCCTGAAAAGGAGTTTATCCAATTGCACCAATAGTGAGCGGACTATGGCTTTGTACTGTAGGATAGTTTGAGCAGAAAGTAATGTCAGAAAGATTTTCATCCGCAGTCCGTTATGTTGAGGATGATTTAAGGTTAAATTAGCGTCCGTCTCGGTAAAGGCGGCCCCACAAACCTTTTTTTCGACGACCACCACATTCATCTCCTCCGAATTCCAGCAACAACCCCTCCACTTGCGTTCCGATCTGAGCCTTCAACTCAATGGGATAAAAACTGATTTTGCATCTCAGAAACACACCTCACAATCCTTGACAACCACAGTCTTCTCGATGGCAGAATTAATCCAACAGAGCAGCAACTACTAGCAGCACATTCGGCATCGCAATTTCCCAGAGCAAAACAACGACAAACGATTTTGAGTAGATCACAGAGAATGAGGCAGCTACAAGGGCAATACTTAGAGTTCCTTTTGTCGACGTCCTCCCAGCACTTTCGCTTAGATCTCTCAAGATACTCCCTCATATACCAGCAGCTACGAGATGGAGGGTGGGTGCGAAGCAGGGAGAGGATCACGATACCGAAGATTGAGTACAAGGCTACAATACGAATTTTGGTGGAGGATGGGTTGAAGTTTATGCTAGAGAATCGTTTTGCTCTCGGAAGGACATCCAATAGCCAATCTAGCCCTTTACGCCCGATCGTTGAGCCCCTCAGTCACAATCTTTCTACTCTCCGAATACCTTGGCCTGCTCCTGAAACGGCGTCGACAAAAACACTTCTATCTGACTACTATACGGATATGATCGAACCCTGCGACGAAGAAGCACGACTTGAGCAGGGGTTTGGTTCAGCACCATGCAACACTGGAGATGTACAATTTGAAGGATGTACTTGAATGCGGAGCAGGAAGTCAAGGGAGCCCTGTCCTTTTGTGACTAGTGGAGGCGGGAGAATATGCTTCAATGGTTACAGAAACTCCAGGGCTGTTACTGCGGCAAAACAAGGACCTTGAAATGATTCAGGAGACTGTTGGTCAAGCTCCTTTGCATCCCGTTCTGTACATACCCTTGTCATGCATACCGAGTGCTCGGTCCTCTCTACCAACTCATGTACATTCCAGGATCTGGCTTGCTTGAAAAAATTCAATTCTCGAATCTCTCTCAAAGTCTCTTCAAACATATCACTCCCGGGACAGAAACAAAGACATCACCTACGAAGTAATTCACAGAACCATAACATGGAGCCCGGATAATCGAGGAACTTATCAAAAACGCCCAAAGTGAAAACTTCCATCCTCTTCGGCTCGATCTCACATCCTTGAAGCATCCATCTCATTAGCAGCTGAATGTATCAATAATTCAATACCGACAGCCTGTTTCCCTTGATATACATTCTCGAATCCTTCAATCAACATGCAGAGCTCGGCCCTATTTCCAGTGTTGTTTGCGAGACCCTCCCTGTACCTCACTTTGGTTCTTACTATAATACTATTGTCCCAGGTCCTCTTTCATCCGATCTCTGTTCAGACTCCGCCTTCCTCTTGAGCTCTTTGATTTCTTTCCACAAAGCTTCTTCTACAGATTTCTTCTTCAAGCCTATGCCAGTATCAATCGGGTCGAAATTTTCTCTGAAGAAATCTCAGCCACCCAACTCCGACGGCATTCCAGCAAAATCTGTCTTGCAGAATAAGCGTAAAGTCTTCCAGAAGAAGAAGCAGAATAAGAGCGGAGAAGATGACGACGCAGAGTTGTTCATAGACATAGGCCCGCTTCAGAGTTCCTGCTTCGTTGGTGCGCTTCCCCCGGGGCAATAAAGACACCACTCCAGTGGAATGTTCACAATCCCGTTGAAGCCTTCGATGCAAGTATCAAGAACCATATAGGAGCTGTAATTGAGCAATTGCACCTAGAAGCAACAGAACAGCAGGCAGAATTCGATAGCAAGGTGGACGAAGTTATCTAGAGGCAGACGGCTATTCAAAACATGCAAGACGAAATAGCAAAGACCTAAGTCGAGGTTATGAGAGCGACCAAGGACACTCTCACGAGAGCAGAATTTGAGACTGAGGTCATTAAGTTGAACAATGAGTTTCTCTTCGTCGAGCAATCACAAGAAGCCTCGCTCGCGAATGTCAGTCAAGGACGTGGCGACTGGTTTGACACAGATGTTGCGGAACGACGAAACGATGGAGCAAGTAGTGAAGAATATCCAAGATTCTCTCAATAGCCTTGGTTAGAACCGACTTTGAAAGTTTGAGCGTTGTTGGTGCTATTAAAATCTTGGCCGGTAGTCTTCTGAGGACCATGGATCGTCACCAATATTCTTCTGTTCTCCATGATGCTGCAGAAGATTCTCAAGCCCCTCGTTCCTTTGAACTACCACCTCATCAATGCTGTCAATTACCGCCCCAGATGATTCGATCTCTGCTTTGAGTTGCGAGATGTCTTCCCTCGCATCAATCGTTGTCTCCTTTTGCATCGCTCCTATGGCATATCGGGATTCCCAACAGAAAGGGACGTCGATTGTTAGCAGGTTCCACTTTGACATCACGAGCGTGGTCCAATCTTCGGCCTTTAACAACGTCCTTGAAGCCACCTTCGATTCAAGTATCAAAGAGCATATTGGAGTAGTGATTGAGAATTGCAACAATGGGCCGTGGAAAAGCAAGTACAATTTGACGAGAAGGCAGACAAGATGATGGAAACGCAAAACAGGATGATGAAGCAGCAAGGTAAGATGAAATAGCGGCAGGACGAAATCCCAGAGGCTCTCACGCTGAGGATGCCGCGATCGACAAATCGGCCAAAAATTATGTTGACAAAGCCGTTGAAGCCGCCAAAGCTACATTCGATGCAAGTATCAAAGAGACCATTGGAGCAGTGATTGAGCAATTCCACCGAGAAGCCGTGGAAGAGCAAGTACAATTCGACGAGAAGATAAACAAGATCATGGAAACGCAAAACATGATGAAGGAGAACAATCAGATGAGACAGTGGCAGGACAAGATTTCAGCGGCTTTCAACCAAATTTCTAACGACTTAACGAGAATCCAGGGGGTCATGTCAGCTTTGTCCACAATTTCTGATGTCCATGACATTGATTGGAGTATTGATGATGTTAGGGGGGGACATTCTGGTCGTCAAAGAGGCTCTCGAGTCAGCTAGGTCTGCGGTTGGAAACATTGGAAAAGTGGTGGCTCGAGTGAGCGCATTCAGAACGTTTTGCCAGTGATCCATCAGCAGAAAAAAGATATTAGAGGCAGACTAGTGGCAATTCGCAGCCATCCCACATCTTTTCGTGGAAGTGCTAAGGGACATAGGGAAGGTGAAGTCGAGGATGAGGTGAGTGAATCTGAAGATCCAAAAAGTGTCCACATTGTATTTGCTAAATTTCAAATAAATCAAGCGCACAGCTTATTCAGAGTTAAGCGACCTTCAGCACGAACTAGGGGAGCAGCAGATGACGCCAAGACCAAGACTGAATATGGAAGACTTATACGGCATTTATAACGACTCCGGTGATGAACGAATTGGAACGCATCAAGTCGCAAGTCCAGAGTTTGATGAGCAACAAGATATCTCTGACCTTGTAGACGCCGGTGCTTGTGACTTCGAATCGGTTGAAGATGACACGTTAGACATTTAAAGGGTATAGCGTCTTCCCCTGAATTAAGCGAGCGCTCGCTTAGCTCACGGGGAAACAGCGCAGGAAAGAAACGATCAAGCGCCAACACTGCAACTAACATTGAGATTGAACCTGGATGATCCTAAAGACCATGATGATCAATTAAATTGGACAAGATCAGACGGCAAGGTCGCATGTAGACCTCTTTTTCACTACTGACACATCCGCCACCGTTGGCCGAGATTGCTTCTGATGGAGAGGAACAAGTACGAAGCCGACAATACGATGACTTGACAGCGCTTTACACTTGTCAGGACCAAGGGCGGGTTGGGATCTCCTTTTCGATGTTGATACACCAGGCATCGCTGCTCGAAATCTCGCTTCTGGTGGCGAGGAGTCTTTATTGTGCCAAGATGAGACAGCCAATTTAGCCCAATGTCGCTTCCGAGGTCGATACTTCTATTTTTGCTCGTAAATTTGCTTTTGGTGGGGGCACGCAATACCGCTGCATGACTACTCCATGCTCATGTTGCATACAATATAGGCAGGATCAATCACAAAGATGAAAAAACTTCGAGATCAGGAAGAGTGTGAATTCGCCGCATCTTCCAAAGGCAACTAGTCATGCAGAGATTTGCGGAGATACATCGGTTGAAGAGTCTTCAGATAGCTTTAGATGCTGTATCCAGATGTATCAGAAGAGCCAGTCGCCGAGAGATTGATGCCAGACTCTCAACTCGCCCTGGTTGTTTGAAATCCTGCAGAAGAACATCCTGGAACTGGGAACCTCTACATTGGAAGACGCTGACGGCATTTGTGCTTGTATTCAACAGTATTTTGCGATTTCTAAGCGTCCGGCAAACTGAATGGCGCCCCTACACACCGACGATTTACTCGCAGAAGATCATGTCAACTCTGAGTACCACGGCGAGATTTACTACGTGTCAACGTTGGTATTGGCTCAAGGGTCAGACGCCAGATGAATTGACAATATTTGTTAGTTTCGATTCGCAAGTAGAGGGAGATGCACGGTGTAAGTAGTTATGGATCGTCTACCCATTCGTGAGAGTGGAGGTGAAAGCAATTATCTTCACACGGAAAGCCATTGGTTGAGATCATGAAGGGAGTAAATATATAATCACGTCAGGCTTAGGTTCAATATTGGTCACAAGAAATTGAACCTCAAATGTGTAATTTATTATTGCAAATGGAATCATCGTATACAACACTCATGTTATATCATTTGAGATTACAAGCACGACCAAACAATCTAAAGTAATCTTCTCGAACAAATCAACTTGGTATCCATGAACCACACGTACCCTTAACCATCACCTAATTGCTTATGCAGGAATATCAACCTTGGCCAGCTCGAGACTCAGTGCTTAGCAAGTATTAATTGAACGATTGGCAACATAGAACTCACAAGGCTGATCTCGCATTCAATTCTCAAAAGCCAAGGTGAATTTCACAAAACTCCTCCTGGAGCCTAATAATCCCTTCCTCGCTCCTGGGCACGCTGACATCGGCACCAATCTTTTGAGAAGATTCAGGGGGAACAGAAAAGAATTGTTTCCACGGCTGGCTCTTAACTTCTTGGTTGCGCGTGTTCTCCTCAATCACTTGTCTGAGGGACAATTGCTTCTTGACTTCGTTGGTGGGGGAAGACATTATGGTGTCGATTTCTCTATGAACGATTAATTGGTTATTTAGCTTAGAGCAAGGAAAGAAAAGTGGGCATTGGGAAACCAACGAGTTGTTGTTGGAACTAATTCGATGTTAGGCTGAGGGCGTATGGTAACAAGTTTCTTTTGGAAAATCATTGAATTCGTGGGATTTAAGTAAGCTATTTAGGCCGAGACATCTGGTGTCTCCATGTACCACCCAATGAAGCATTGCATACTTTCTTTGAAGCACCATCGCTTCCATCGCTACTCTCGCAAACCATCCTGTTTATTTTGCCAAAGTACCATGCACGAGCTGCAAGTCAATCTTCCCCACCCTGTGTCACCTCGAACTCTTGAACCTTTCTATATGCCCACTGCGCCAACTTAATACTAGGTTTATCAACCAAAGTCGTACAAATCTCCGCCACCCAAAGAGTGACAGGCAAAATAATCAAATGCAGCGCCAAGAATGCAAACTCAAGCCCCAATGGTCCCGCCTTAGAGAGAGGGAAAATACCAATCCAACTCCTGATGCCATCAACATTGATTTCTCTCGTCAAACCCGCCGCCAAATACAGTCGATCGGCTAGTATCCAGAGAATTGGACCGTGAACCAAATACAAAGCAAAGGAAATCCGCCCCAAATACTGGTTGAATCGCATCTCGAAGAAAGCTTTTACACGAGTTTGCGAGATGGATGAAACGAGAAAGATCGAAGCCCAGAAGAGATAAAACCATTTATAATCAGATTCCGAGACTGATGTCGGCTTCAAATGAGCCAGCCAGTTCCATCCAGGTGACTCCTCCAACAGTGAAATGCTGGTGAGGAAATCAATGCTCGGGACTCCGCTGAGGTAAATGCCGAAGAATAATAATATGTAGAATATGGCTTTCTTGTAGGCTCGAAGATGTGTATAGAAAAATAATGGCAAATCGTCATTCCGGGCCAGCGTCTCAAGATCGCAAAGAAGCATGCCCGCAGTAAACATAGCATACAGTACTCCATCCACTATGTAGAGAAAGTAGAAGATAAGTCCCACTTCACACAACAGCCGTGCATTCCGTCTAAATCTAGAGAATGCCAGAAGTGAAGTGAAGATGACGATGGAACCTCGGAATTCGATCGCAATGGACCACAGATGGAAATTGTACTTCGAGTAATGGACATTACCCCCTCGGAAAACCCAACTGAAACAAGTAAAATCATTGTACCAGTAAGCCACCTCTTCAACATAGGTATTCTGATGAACAGGAACTGCAGTCCATAAACCGAAAAGATGCCAAGAAGTCGCGTATACAAATGTCGTTATGATAGCAGGGAGGAAAAGCCGAGGCCATCGTTTGAACATTGCACTTGAAAGATTATCTCCCAGCTTGATCACTTCTCCAGCGTGTATCAGCGCCAAAGGTTTTGCTGATAACACATAACCCGAAATGATGAAGAAGACAGAGACTGCAACGTGACCACCTGTAAAGAAGAGCCGGATTCCGGGTAAACAGGCAAAGTAATATTGGTCTTTGTAACCGAAAGAAGTCTCAAGGATGTTATTTGCGGATGTTCCAACGTGCGCCCAGCCTTGATGATGTTGCCAGTAGACCAGAAAGGCGGCAAACCCTCGAAGACCGTCAAGCCATGAAGTGTGAGTGAGTTCTTTTCGTGGTGTCTTGGCGAATACAGAGGGACGAAGAACATTTATACTCCATTTGGCAATGTGATATGCGTACGTCGAGAATGTCCACTCTGGTTCTCTTGCCTCCCATTTCTCATCCAGGAGAGACATGAGTGCGGAGACTTGATCGTAATTTTTCGGGCGATATTCTTGTGAAGAGCAGAGAGACGTATCTTGCTGCGACTGAGACCATTTAACCTGAATGTAAAAAGGGTCAGAATATAGTCCGCACGAGATTGCGTACTCTTAGATACATCCTCGGTACATCTGTGCTGAGAAGTTTCAAAATTCGCGCCAACTAGATGAGTTGAAACAAACATAAAACCGAGAATGGATACCAACCGATGACCACAGCCACGATCGACATTGATACAATCTAAACCTCGCAAAATGATAGGTCGAGTATAAGTAAGCTTTCGCATCGCAAGGGAGAATCGTCCGACATCTCAGAGTCCGGCGGCAATTTGACATTTGACGTTCGATGAACACTCTGACAATCAGATTGTGCGGCAGGGAATGCTGCGAGCTACTTGACTGTGCCTCCGCCCTTGCACCAAATATCCTTCGGCCGCTTACATTTCTTCGTTCCCAAAGTGCATTCGGGCCCGTTGGGTGGTCACGTGCTTGGGCCGTCAAATCTGTTTGTCAAAGAAGTTTAATCACCACTGGTATATTCCCTCCAAAATGTTTGATGACTGCAATTTGATCCATTAACGATTCGTTCGGGTCACTGTCACCGCTGGTCATTCTTCTACTTCATCGCATCCCGGCGCATGCAGATCGCTGAGGTTCGCTTCACAATCTGCGCCTCAGCCTCCACACAAATCAATGACCACCAGCTGAAGTCACATCTAGCTGCTTCCACCCATCAAAGTTACTTCACTGCGCCCTGGCACTCTCCCATATCCTTATACTTAAGCTTATTGTCTCGGCGGTAAGCGATGTCGCCAGGCTGATTTCCCGGGATTTCCACGTCGGAAAGCTTGTGTTTTCAGCGCCACCAAGTACCGTGGAAACCAGCAATTGGAAGGGAACGAAGAACAGGCTCCTTTCAGGTATGTACTAAGTATTGGGCTTCTAGAAATATTCTTAGGATGCGAGATGTGAGCTTCCATTCATGGGTGCTCGGGCAAGGCCGGTCGTGGCATCGTGAGATTTTAATGTCGAACTTTAGAAAAGGGGAGATACATATAAGATGGAGATTCCCTCGTGGTAGTTTTGTCTCACTACATCATCACCATCCTCAACTTCAAGCATCTCCTTGCATCTCCTTGCATTTCCTAGGTATTTCTTTGATTTCTTCGTCTTTTCAATTTTCTAGCACAATTCGGTCACTTCAATCGCTCTCACAATCACTTCATCGTCCTTCATCATGCATTCATCAATCATTCTCCTCTCTGCCTTCCTTTCTGCTGTCATGGTACTTCTCCCGTCCTTTCCAAACAATCTTCAACTAACACTTCAGGCTTCCCCACAATCAACCACCCCCGTTGCCTTGGGAGGAACTTGCACCTCGAGCTCCCAATGGGCCAATGGTGCTTCCTGCTATGCAGTAAACTCCATGGCAGTAACCCTCTGCGGCAACTTCAGCGCAACATGTTCTTCGGATTCCCAATGCGCTTTTAATACCTGCGTGTCTGGGAGTTGCGAAGGGGTTCTATCGTCTTCTTCAGCTACATTAACCACTATTCCAACCACTACTTCATCGATTCCATCATCCACAGCTACATCCACAACGATTCCTTTGGGAGCAAGTTGCACGACATCAGCTCAATGCGCAAACGGTGCTTCTTGCTACGCTGTAAATTCCATGGAAGTTACTCTTTGTGGTAATCAAGGCGCGACTTGTACTTCTGATTCTCAATGCGCGTTCAGTGCTTGTGTCTCTGGATCTTGTAATGGGGTTCTTTCATCCACGTCAACCTCGTCTTTCGCTTCCTCTTTTGGCAAAACTTCCTCAACAATAATGCCCACCACGTCCAAGGCTTCTGGTTCACGCTCGAATGTCACCGTCACTTCAACTTCCACTGGTGTTCCGGCTGGGTTCACGACTTCGGTTACGGTTATTAATGGAGTCACGAGTAGTGTGTTGGTTAACTCTGTGGGGGCTACAACTTCTTTTGGGGCGGTTGCTACCTCCATCTCTGTCTCTACTCAAGCAAGTGGTGCAGGGAGGCTGGTTGCTGACTTTAGTGGGGTTTTGGCTGTTGTTGGAGGATTCGCGATGCTGCTGTAGGATAGTGGTGCAATGAAAGAATGATGATGAAGGTTGTAAGATAGAAACTAGGCAGGTTCAAAAGTTTAAAGGTACAAGATCTTGCGCTGCCAATTTACAAAATTCCACGCTCCTTTAGAAACGTATATTCAGCTAGAAGTCATTAAGCATTACAACATTCCATCACTATCATCAATTCTCAGCCTTCTCCTTCCCTCTGCTCTCCAACCTCGCTTCCTCATCCCCCTTCTCTTTACCCTCCCTGCTCAGAATATCCCAAGACCATGCTGGCAATTCTTTCACCGACACAGCTACCTCCTTTCCTCTCCCAGAACTTTCAGCAATACTCATTTCCTTCTCCAAACAAGTAGGCAGCTCATACGTAACCGAAGCATCCAATTCACACTTACAAAGTGTATGATCCAACTCCGGCCTTCTAGCTTCAGTATCCTGCAACTCCACGGGAATATCCCCTTTCAGTTCGTACATTCTATACAATTGAAGTTGGTGAAGCAACAAACACTCTGGATCATGATCAAGCTCACAAATATGAGCTGATTGTCCATGCAATTCTGCTTTCCCGCTAAACTCCGACTCACTTCCTCTCCATTCTCCAATACTCTTTGGTCTCTCGGGAGTTGGTACCACTTTCTTCTTACGCAAAAGTAACCAAGCAATAGTAGCAATGATAATCAAAAATCCAACACTCCCTCCTGTAGACGCTCCAATCTTAATGTCTTTCGTATCCTTCCTTGTCATAGGACGCAATGGAATTGTGGTGTTGTTCGTCGTATTGGATGCTATCACTGGCTGAACCACAACATAGGGCACCCAATTCCAGTTTGTCATAATAGCTTGAACATATGTTCCATTCGAGGTATAAAAGACAGATGCCGAATTATCTGCTGTGGAATTTATCGATGTAGCAGCGGCAACAGGAGCATTTGGCGTATCTCCTAGAGGCCAAATCGAAGTGTCCATCGAAGGCTGAGCTTGCCAGGTTCCCCCTCCGTCTGTCGATCTGAGCCATTGAAGTTGTCTCGTAGTATCAATATAGAACAACATTAACCATTGATTGTAGATGACGGTAGCAAATGAAGCATTCGTCGAGTACCAGTTGGGCAGATTTGTGATGGGAGCAGCTAGTAATGTCAGAAAAGTTCAACACATAGTTTAACCACATACCTGCGACCCAACTCTGCGTTTGATTCATAGCCGTAGCTTGATTGTCAACAAATGGAAGAATCTGATCATCGACAAGTTGATAGATGGTCTGTTGTGCCGGTTCTGTTGTATTTGGACTCTGGACAAATGTAGTTGCAAGAGCAGACCCATTCAAAGATGTGGAGTTGCTGGCAAGGACTCCATCTGCCCAAGGAGTGACAACTCCCTTGGTTGTGTTGGAATATCCAATCTGCCTAACAGCACCATATATGTCTTCATAGGTAATTCGATATCCAAGATCAGCTGAAAGTAATGCTGCTGACAAGCCGGTATTTGGTTTGATTGGAATTGTGACATTGGCAGAGATGAGGTATCCTCCATAGTTGACACAATTCCCCGAGGCATAAGAACATTTGAAAAGTTGCTGGGCGATGCTGTTGTTGGACGTTTGGTAATATATTGAACCCTTGAGGTGTTAGAATACTTCCAAGATAAAGAGACAAGAGCATACATAAACACTTGATGGACTGCTATAGCCAACGCAAGCAATAGATGTTCCATTCTTCGGCGGAATAGTTGGAGCAAAAGAGTTCATCAAACTGAAACCTTTCTTGGAGTAAACATTGTACACAAACGTATTGGTCTGGGGATCCAAAGATACGACTGTAGGACCTCCTAACGAGTAAAATGCACCAATGGTTTGCGCTCTTACCAATGAGGCGAGAAACAAGACAACCGCAAGAAGTTGGAAACGCATTTTGAGGAGGAATGTTGATCAAAGTGGAGAACATCCAACGATTTCTCCCAGACTTATAAGTCCAGCCAGACTCCAAATCCACAGTCGGAATCCCCATCTTGCAACGGACTTCGCTCGAAAAAGAATCAGATACACAAGCTTGGCAAAAGCTTATGGGCGCATCACAATTCTCATCTCCATCCACTTAAAGGATTCACTGCCCCCACCGAGTGACCTGGAATGGTGGAAAGAAAGTACAGAATTGTGAAAGCTGAAAGTGACTTCTTGCCTGTGGCCCGCGATGTGGAGTAGATCACAATAGAAAATAGAAAATTAAAGCAACTGCCCCTGTCGTTCCCCGGGCCTTTAATTTTCCCGATAGAGCTCATGAACAATTGCGGTAGGTAGACAGGGGGCTTAGTCATTCTGCATGCAAGTCTGTGATTAATCACATTGCATGAGAAGCACCGTAGAATTTCCACACGTGCGCCTCATTGACTTTGTACTATTGTGGGCGCAATAAGCTCTGAAATGGCCAATTGATCGATAGAAGTACTCTATAATAGCCTCAGCCACAGCGAGTTCGACCCCAATCCAATAGTTTGATTTTGTGCAGCACTCCTTCAACTCCCTGAAACCTGTCAAATCGATGCGGCTTGCAATAACTTCCGAGCCACTCGTTGGACAATGAACATCTTTACTTTTCGCTCAGGTCCGAGAGAGCATACCGGGGATACGGTCTCGTGCATGCAAGAACTAAACAGACATGATGAAAAGGGTAAATGACAACACCAATTGAGTCGATCTTTGGGAATGACACGATGAGTGGTACACGCTATCTTAGCTTCAACACTTTGGCCACATCTTGGCAGTCCATTGGCTGGAGAGTAGACTTCTTCGTTCCCGGGACGGGTGGAAGATGATTAATGCCCCGAGGTGCATGGTCGAGATGAAGGGGAGGTTCTCGCTGTAACGATAATCTGCTCTAGGCTCCTAGGAATTGAATAGAAGTCAACGCATTCTTGACTGAACTTTCAGCAACAGCATCAACCCGGACCAGAGTGCCCGGCTTCAAACTTTTATCTGCGATCCGCTTCGAAGACAGAAAAACACTAAAACAACAGGCTGCCATAAGAATGATAACGTCCTCGATCAACACAAATAAAAAGAGCAATTCGCGGTTTCGCGGCTGCGCTCAGAGAATACTGGATTCTAGCTCATCCTAAAGTCCAAGAGACAAGTGGGAGCGAGGTTTATATATGACAAACCTCAAGAGCGGCCGACAAGAGACCTCTCTTGCCACAAAGAACATGGCGTGTAAGTACAGCCCACATTTCGAGACTATAATCTAGCACAAGATCCACTCACCCTACATACAACGGCCGTTGACAAGAAGATGTCTCAGGGAGGCCGGTTTTTAGGTAAAGCGGCTCGTCCATCATCACCAATCATCCCAAGCATCCGGAAGAGAGACGTCGATCGCAGATGCAGCGGGTAAAAGGCCCGGCCCTTACATAGGGTCGATACATCCGTCCAGATGGTACCGCCGCCGTCGCTTCTTGTGACCGCTGCAGGAGTTCAGGGGCGAACAGCCGAAGCTCAGTAATCAGCGGTGCAGCGAAGCATCCTCGAAGCCTCGAAGTGACTGGGATTGCGGGGTAAGAATCCCGTGGGATAGCATGAAAGGAGCAGCCCTTGATGGCGAAGTTGAATCCTGTTTTGAAGTGCCGAAAGATATGAAACTGGAGCGCTGGACACTAAAACGATACTGTGGCCAGTTTCCTGTGCCACGGCAGTGCATATGAGAGGGACGCCGAGTAAACGGATTGAGGTGAGTGAGTTTGGGCTCAAAGTTGAAGCTGCCCTCGAAGTTCTAGGACAAGAAAATGCAGTGTACATTTGAAGCCACAGCCCGTGTCTCTCTCTGTGGAGCTACAAGGCAGTTCATCTTGCTAACCGCTTTTACAGGGTATGTGTTCATCCTCCACGTTCGTAACTTCACGATGTGATTCAAGAGACCGACATTTCAGCTGAGGAATGACTTAGGATGTCAAGCTTCGTCAATCTCATGACATCTCTCGGGCCGGAATTTCATCAACGTGCTCAACCCCTTTTTCTTTCAATGCTTCGAATTCCCTCTCAGCACGCCAAGAAAGATGACTTCCCCCTGCAAACAACAGATCCAAATCTTCAAGGTGACGATTCGCCGTTTCTAAGATTATTAGCTCCATCCTCAGATCGAGTAAAGAACTAACCAATGTAGAAAAGATAGATCGGAATGAGCATGGCAAGGTTGATCAGAGCAAAAAGAATAAAAACCCAGAACCCAATGGCGTTTATCAAGTATGGGACAATCTCATTGATGACACCTCCTGCGATGGAAAAAGCCACAGTGGCAAGGGCAACTCCTTTGGCACGACTTGCGAGAGGAAATATCTCAGTGGGATATACCCAACTAGGTTTGTCAGCTTCACACGGGAACAGTGAGAGGCCCTTACCATGTAGTCAACCAAGTACTGCCATACATAAAGGTATACAAATACAAAACTGCTGCAACACCTCCTCCAAGACGATTTGCTTCAGCAGTCTGGCCTTTCGCAGATTTCGAGACAACTTCATGAGCCAGAATTCCACCCGCACTATTCGATCAGCACAGCTCCCATTGAGAGAGAGTCACTCACGTCAAGATTACCCCCATCATAGTAGACCCAGCCAACATCAACTTCCTTCTCCCAACCCTGTCTGCAAGATATATAGCTAATGCCAAGCTCGCAGTATAGCTGATATAATTCCCACCAGCCAACAAAGCCGGCTTATCACCTCCATAGCCTGCCAATGTGAACATCTCAGGGGCGTATGTAGCAATGAAGTCAATTCCAGTGAACTTTTGCATCACCTGGACTCCAGCTCCCAAGATCACTCTTCTCCTTGTATGAAGTTTATCCTTCGTGAACAGCATGGAAGTAAAGCTGTGGGATGTACTCGAGGCTTCGAGTCGGATCGCATCCTCAATCTCCGTCATTTCCTGGTCGATCCTGATCTCGGTAGGGTCGAGCCGGCATTGTCTCAAAACCTGACGAGCATCATCGTGTTTCTCGATCTTCATAAGATGGCGAGGAGATTCGGGATAAAATGGAACGGCGACGAGGAGAATCAAGAGGAATAACGCTTGAAAGCCGAGAGGAAAGCGCCAAGCGAAAGGAAGGCTTTGTGTTTTGAGACATCCATACTCCATCCAATACACACTACCATAGTCAGCTTGGTCCCACCACAAGCCTCAGAACTCACATTGTAGAGCCACTGAGAGCCAGCGTAAATTCCACAGCCACAAAAGCTCCTCTCAGATTCGGGTCGGCGAGTTCAGATGTCCAAATCGGAACAATTGTATTGAGATGACCACATCCAATCCCGCCAATGATTCGTGCAAAAGCCATCCATGTGAAATTTTGTGCTGAAGCCTGTAAAGCTGCTCCAAGTATGCCCCACAAACATCCAAGTTCGATAGTCTTCAGTCGTCCAATACGATCAGCGTAGTGACCAACGGAGATTGCCCCTAAAGAGTCAGCCAGATCCACCACAGCTTCGGATTTCCTACCTATTGCAAACCCTCCAAACCAAAGACTGACCAATCCACCAATTGCAGCTGAGTCCCGTTTTGATCCAGTGTCTGCTCCCATAAGTGTAAGATAGTCCGTGTTGGTATTCACCAGACTCATTACGCTAGCATCATATCCAAAGAACATGATAGCACATCCCGCCAAAGACAAGATAGCATACATCATAGGTCTGCCAGTAAGTTTCAGGCATCTTGTAGTCGAGTATCCTCCAGGAATGTATTTTGAGAAGGTGGATTCTTCTGCAAGGATGTTAGTCTCAACGACAATAGTGTAGGTTCCTGGACGTACTTTGGTAAATAGTCTGCCGCTGGCGTGTTTCCAAGTGCTCTGTATTTAATTTAATATCGGCCATGATGATAGAGCGAGTTCCTGTGCTGAAGGGGTGATTGAGATGACATTCGAAGGCTCTATCAACTCAATGGCAGATTATGATGAAGGTATGGAAGAGATACTTATTACTCAAGACATGCCGCCAAAGACCGACCAGTCCGCCTCAATGGTGGGATGCGTGACAGGGGAGCGGGGTATGGGGATGGTTTGTGGAGAAAAAGTAGGGAACGATCGGCATTGACTAGTATGAATTCTCGGGAGAATGAGCAACGAGGCTCTAGAAAACATGAATGTGGAAGGTATTCCGAGATGCATAATAATCACGCTGAAGGGATTCAGAGGCTTGTAAAAGAATTAAATATCTGAGGTGCATATGGAAGAGAACTTTCTCTGAACCCAAGTCGAAGGACTCGGAACAGAATCCCGGTTCCAGAAGGAAGACTTCTCCAACGGCTTGGTGCCCCCTTTATGACGGTCGTGTGTTCGCATTGGAAGGCGTGCATGCGATGCCTAGCACGATACCTCGCACATGGCTGTCCTGTCGACGACGCTGCCTGTCTTGTCCACGATCTGCCAACCTGCACACCTTGTGCTTCATGATGTCTGAATTGTGTACCTCCCTCCTCTACCCCCTCGGACGCATCCAGGGTCTGTTCTCTTCATTGGGCTGAATCTCGCATCCTCTGCAAGCCGGACATAGAATAGGTACATGAGCGTGCTGGCGTTTCCACCTGCCTTGCTTCGACACTCGTAGGCCGCTGAGATGTAAAGGGGAGCGAACGAGGGGCTTGTGACGACAGTAAGACTATGCGATGGGCCGTGATCCTGTGAAACAATCCGTGGTCGCGGGAGATGCACTCATCAGCACAGATGGCTCTTCTTCCTTCACGGCATCTCTGCGTCCTTTGGATCTCCCTCCTCCTACCACTCCTTGTGTGGCCATCAATCGTATGTCAGCAATTCGACAGGTGGAGCCTGCGGCAGGTCTCAGTCCGGCGTCAAGGCGACATGGTTCAATAGCGTCTTCTTCTTCCACCCGACCAGCACTACACCATCAATTGCAGAATCGAGTCGACATGAGTATTGGGGATATACATGTCGCATTGCAGATTGTGAGGACTCAAGAAGGTAGACTGGCAGAGGGAATGTCGTCGTCAAGTGCAATCTCGGTTCCGGCTTGTGGATTCGTGCTAAAGTTCGGCAATGTCCCAACCTCCTTAAAGTCCTCGATGACTGAAAAGCCCCAATTCGAAGTGTCGACAATAATAACTTGTCCTGAACATGTCATGAACATCGGAGAAGTGTCTCCAAAGAGGTTGATTCTGCCTTTTACTTGCAATCTCGAAGCTAATTCCTGCAAGAGCCTCCTGATTCCTTGGGTCAGTAGCCATGATCATCAGAGGCCATGAGAATTGCATCCCTCATACCTTTGCTGGCTGTTGATTCTTGAAGTCAAATCGGTGTATTCTCCATTCGTCTTTTTCTCTGTCCGAAATCGCTCTCCTGTTGTGATTGTCCCTGCTTTAGCCGTCCATTATGCGCATAAAAAGCAAGCAGATCAAAAAAGAGAGTTCTTTCATTCGTCATAGTTGCAACAGAAAGACCATGGATTCATGGATCAGCAAACAAAGAGGTCATAATTCCGAAGTAATATGATTCGACTGTTTGGCTTTGACTCAGAACGCCACTGAAACGATATCCGCGACCCCACGGAACCTTCGATTTTGCTCGTGAGGCTCGCTACTCATCAGGTGAATTCTCACGACGCGTTTGAACTTTCACGATTGTTAGCTTATCGTTGCTGGCTTATCGCTACTTTTTGCTGGCACTCGACCTCTCTCTTCGACAAGACTCAACAACAAAATCATACGACACAAGTTCGGACTCAAGAATCACTGCAAGCCTCTCGCGTGACAAGGAAGAACTCAAGCACCCAATACACAGTCAAAAGATAAGGTAAGTACCTCCAAAGGAGCATCCTTTCGTCTCTACTTCATAAAGTGGAATAGATCTGTCCAGCTCCAAGCCTCTAACAACCCGTCATAGCAAGTCGCGTCCAAGAATCCACTCCCATCAGCAAGCCATCAAACAACTTACGATATGGACGGCACAACTCCCATCGTTCTAGGTGCCCTCGTGCTGGTCATCTTCCTCATCGGAGTTGCGTCTCTCATTAATATTGGACGAAAGAAAGAAGGAGCAGCTGCCATGGTCTAGCTTCAAGTTCACGGATAGGTCTGTCTACCCTCTCAATATGTCCTGTATTTTGTGAGACTGACATCCTGTTCTTTAGATCGATGTTAAAATCCTCATTTAAGATCGAAAGAACACTTCATTTCTGGCCGTCACTTGCAATTCTTCGGTTCGCAACATGAAGTCATGCTTCACCGATCCTTGGCACTCGCTTTGTCATGATCGCAAAGAAATGAATGCAATTTCGTTGGAGATTAGGGTCGATCGGCGTTGATGAAGCTTGGGCAAAAAAGAGAACTCTTCTTGATTCTGTGGAGTTATTATGAAAGGATGGTAAAGGCGCTGGTATACCCAGGGACTCTTTACAACTGAACCTTTCGGCTTGATTCATCAATGAAATCTTTCGATCTGCTTGTTCTTTCCCGTCATTCCAGCAAATCGTCCTTCAACGCAAACATCTCGTTCAGTAATTTCTTCGTGTCCTTCCTCACCGCATCATGATACATTGTATTCGTAATGAGCTGCTTGCAATTCCCAACCCCTTCCAACGCGTCCTGCACATTTTGAAAGTCGACATACGCGTCATCCACAAAGCTAGCCGTGTACAAAGGGACCTCATTCCTGCGCAGCTGCTCCTCATCATACAGCCTTGGCCACGCGAATCCGGCAAGAATCTCAGCCACTTCTTTCAATTGTTGAAGTTCTGGAGAGATATCGAATATAAATGGTAAAGCCATGCCTCCAGCGAAGTAGATCGGACGCTGAGGGTCTCTAGCACCTTGGATCCAGTTATATTCATCCATAGAAGCTCCCACACGCTCGGCTGACCAGTTTGATGACATCCCATCACAGTAGATTGCTTCGCGAAGGACTGCATAAATGATATGATCGTCGAAGCTTGTCAGGTCTTCGAAAATTGATAGTGACGGCCTCGTGATGAATCCAAACTGTTCTAGTTCGGTGGCCATGCGAAGGACAAGATCATGTGTGTTCTGAATCCCTCCTTTGAAGCCGAAATTCATGCCCAAAATCAAGAATCTCTTCCCAGTCAAGACTCCACCAGATGGCAGTGCAAGACCACCTTTGGAATCGAAGTGATCAATCAGCGTGTGGATCCTCCTGGAATCCATGGGAAACTTCTCGTAGTATGCCTTGTTGCGTTTCTTTGTCTGGAAAAAGATCTTTGAGTAGATTTGATCAACCGTCTTTCCAATTGGAGGTACTCCACCAGAAACAAACACCTCACGAAGACCTTCAGGATACAGAGAGAGGTAAGTGAAGGAGCAGTATCCTCCATAACTTTGACCCCAGATCGTCCATTTCTTCAGGTCTTCTGGATATTCTGCAGTGAGAAATTTGCGTATAGCTTCTGCGTCTCTGACAATGTTATCAGCACGGAAGAATTTCAGGTAATCAGCCTGCTCTTCGGGACCGCCTCTAAGAGCGAGAGTGGCTGCCGTCACAGGAGTGCTGAGACCTGTTCCACGCTGATCCATGTGCAAGACTTGGTAACCACGATCGAGGAAGATAGGCGTTCGTTCTTGGGATTGTGGAGTAGGACATCCTCCGCCAGGACCGCCTTGAAGCCATAATAGCCAGGGCTTTTGTTCCGGCTTAGGAAGGCCAGTGTTCGAAGGCTCAGATCTTTTGGCGCTTCGTGCAAATATTCGAATGGTTCCCCGTGATGGGTCGGAGTGATCGAGAGGGACTTCGAAGAGTAATTCCTCGATCTGCATCTTGCCTGTGGGGTTTTCAGCCATGAAGAAGTCGCTGCTAGATGGTCTGCAGCTTGACATCACACTCACCTGGGACATGATAAGAATGACGACTGATGAGAGTCGCTTGCTCCACTGAATTTCCCATGCTGCTCATGAAATAATAACTGAACTGAGAAAATCAAGAAGACGAAACGTTTCCAGAATATATGCATCGTTCTCGGGATCTGAAGAACGAACTCCGCACGGAATGCTTGTCCGAGCTGACACAATTTCTGGCTGATTGCAGCAACCTCCCTGAACATACAGAAGCACCAGATGATGAGACTGGGAGATAGAAACACTCAATTCAACAACGTAAAATATACACCGTGCCGATATAATGAAAAGATCTCCGAAAATTAGAAAATGAGCATGCGGAATGGTTGAAGAACAAAAGCAGTCAGAAGCATTATTGATCTGTACAGTACAGACTTGAGAGTCTGGACAGATCTTTTTGAGGCGATTCAGAGCAGGAGGCACTTCTAGCTGTTGGTTTCAAGGGCAAGAGACGTCGTCGTCGTACCACACGTGATCGGAGCTCGGGATCTTCATTCCGTATCAAACGGCTTCATTTCAGTTTCTGAAAATCGCTCTGGCATCGACAGAGATTTACGGACCTACAACGTTTCGATGCCAGCTGTACAATGCTCGGCACTGAAGTCAGAAAGTCCCTGGCCCCACATTCTCACCAGTGAATTTAGGCTCGTGATAGGACTAAAGTTTGACGTCTTCCCGGAACCATGGAGTATGAATTCGAGTCGGAGTCTCTTCGGCAACTCTTCTTCTATCATTTTGGAGGATATCGATACCAATAAGGGAGTGAATAATCTCCATCGCTCCGGACATTGAGCACCGATCATCAGGGCAAGCCTCAGAGTCAGTGAGCTTGCGTCTAGGGGGTGGCTGCTGGAATTTGTTCATTCAGTGATGGAGAAAGTTTCGTACTCTGTTTGGAGCCTCTTTGAAGTTTACACAGTGTACCAAAATAGTCTTTCTAGCAGGATTTGATCTATCTTCTAGTCTTGTTCTTCACGGATATTCCGCCCCGGAAAGATGTCACTTCATGGCTGCGGATCATCGAACTCTAGCTCTCCCCATTGCTTGTTCCCATTCTTCTCCGACGCCGTCAGGTCTTGCTTGACTCTATTGTCGGCTGGCATACTATACCTCAAGTGGGTGATGGAGCCTGTCAGAATTAGCTCCCGTCCGGTACCAGCCAAACCTCCCCTTTAGCACCACTCCACCAAACATAAATACATACTTCTTCTCGATACCTTTCTTCTCTTTCCCCTCACATCCTCTCATTCCTCAAAATGTCCTTCCAAATCGAAATCGACAACCATCACTACAGCAACATCTACTACCCCGGCGACACCATCACCGGCGTCCTCCACCTCCAAGGCCCCCTTAACGACCCCACCATTTCTATCACAGCATCGCTCATTGGCAAAAGCTCAACATTCATCACCCTTGCAAGATCCGTCTTTTCCGAAGATACAAAACTCTTCGAAGAAACTTCTACCTTGTTCGAAGGACCATGTTACCTCGAATCCGGCGCAGAGACAGCGTTCGGGTTCTCGTTCCAATTCCCGGAGAAAACAGATAAGATCAATCGTTCTGGATACGTAGACTGGACCCAGGATGGTCATGTATTGCCGCCGAGTGTTGACTCTGCTGGATCAGGCGAGGGGCCTGTTTTTGTTCGTGGGTCATGCGCAGGGAAGATCTCTTATGAACTTCATGCCAGGTTGAAGAAGGGTAAAAGGTTTTCCTGCAACGTGAGAAGGAAAATTGAACTCACTGTACGAAGACCTGATGAGATAGCTGCATCGCGAGACGATCTGGCAGCCATCGAGATTCCGCTACGTAGACCGAAGCCAAGGTCTGGGGATCAACGTCGACCATTGTTTATATGGCTAGACGATTTGATTGGGTTTAATGGGTTACCATCCGGGATGTCGTTACGGCTCCATACACCTTCCGTATTGAAGCTCGACACTGCGGTCCACATGGGGCTTGAGCTCATCCACTCGGACAAGTCAAGTAACCCTCTACTCTCACAGGTCCGCATACTGGGCGTAGAACATAAGATCGTGTGCAAGACTTGGGCACGAGCTTACGAATACCAAGACAGTCACACCGAAACAAGGACTTTTGGGTATAAGAAAATGGGACGTACTTTGCATCTCGACGAGACAATTGACCTTACAGAGGATTTGGATGTTGTGCTTGATGGAAACGTGTATACGCCGCACTTTGAATCATACAACATAACGAGGAGATACTCGACAAAGACAATAGTGAAGGTCGATTTTGGGGGCAGGAAACACAAGATAACGTTTGAGCTACCGATGCTTAATGTCCTGCCTTCGGAAAAGCAATGTTATATCGCCTTAGAGAAGGAGAAGAGTGTATATATAGAATCGTCTAAACAATCCTGTATCCTGTTCGATTGCTGCGTCCTCGGTTGAAAGGGCGTTTGGGACAAGCATCTACATATTTACTTTCAGCCCAAGACTCGGCATCAAGAACAATCATGGACATCACAAGCCTTCAACTCGCTAGCCACTTGGCGCATACATCTCAAAGTTGCCCATCTTCCCACACTGGTGGTATAAAACTCACTTAAAAATCGATTTCTCGAAACCAAACATCAGGGCCATTCATAAATATTCGCTGTAAAAGCCAGCAAAGACTTACCTGCGTGGAAAGGTACTATGCTGTAACTGCGAAGTCCATGCTGAAAATCTTCCTCAATTATCCTATGCAACAGTGCCTATCCACCATTTCATCCAAAGAGGAGAACCCATAAATCCCATGCCATGAAACATCAACGCCTGCAAGATGTGTATATGCAAACTCCACCCAAACCCAAAAAGATCGCCACCCACGCTATCATCACCCATAATGCATTTCCATAAATCGTTCATCTCAAGCCACAATCCCACTTCCCGTTCCAATACCCCATTTGAACCTCCTCAACGTCCCTGTACTCGATCTCGCAACCTCCCTTCCGCAAGAACCTGTATCGACAAGGGTAGAACCGTTCAATCCAGCCATAGCTTCCTGTCTTCCCACTTCCCTCCCAATAACAAAACCAGCTCCAAATACCAGAACAGCCACACCAGCAGACATAGCCCAAAAGAGCGAAGTAGGAGATAACAAGGAATCCTCCACACTTTCAACCTGTACCTTCTTCTTCTTCGATGCTCTGACTTTCTCTGTTGTTGGTCTTGCATTATTGGCTTTTCGCTTTCCCTTCTCTGCGGCTTCTTGCGAGGATATTGATGGGCTGCTTCGTGCTCTTGTAGAGGCTGTGAGGGGTCGAGAGGTATTGGCGGGGTTGGGCGCCATTAATTCGGATTCCGGAACGAATCGTAATCCCATCGGTTCATTCGATGTCATTGTAGGTTGCTCCCGCTTTGGTAGACCTCTTGCTGCTGCTGCGCCGATCGAAAGGAGAGTTGTAAGAGAAGCCCGCAGAGCCGCATCATGATCTGCTGGACTGTTGTATGAAGAATGCTGGCGTGTCGGTCGAGGGGGGTAGGATTGTCTGTGTGCATGTGAAGGGAAGTATGAACCACCCTGTCGAGGAGGATGAGAAAAGGCATTGGGTTGTGGTGTGAAGGAAGGTCCATCATCTGTTCGTCTGCCAAGAGCTGTAGCATTCTCGTCATTGTCATCGGAATCTGATCCAGCATCGTACTCGACCCGCGGCAGACTTGTAGCGGGAATATGCTCATTCGAACTCGTCATTACTCGATCCTCCTCGCTCTCACTCTCTTCATACTCCTCCTGGCTACTGCTCGTCTGCCGTGCTTGCAAGCTGATATGCGATGGTCCTGCTACCCTTCTCCGTCTTCTCGTATTTAGATCATGTTGTACTCGTAGACCAGTAGTAACAATCTCGTCGCCGATCGAGGAAAGAGAGGATGAGGATGGTTGGGAAGCTATTTCAACCCAGGATTCTATACCATCAGCATGTATCTCCGCAGCATCCCAACAGAACGTACCGTCATTGCGCAATCGCGTGGGAACTCCTGATTGTACCATACTGTCTATCCTCGGAGACCTGCTCTGCGGTATATCGCTCTCGTGTCGTGATAGATTGTTTGAAGGAGGCATGTTGATATTGATATTGATATTGAAGGTGGGGTTGCAAGCGGTGAGACTCGAATGATGGAAGACGACAGTGGAGACTGAGACCGTGTAATGGCTAAGAATAAACTGGAGCCCGCCACGGTATTGACTTGCGATGTGGTCTGCGCAGTTGCAGACTGACCGCTGCTTTGTTGGGGTTTCTTGTCTTGAAGTTGATGCTGGTATGCGTATGCGCAATCAAGGAAATGTCTGGGCTGGGCTGGGACGACTCCGGCTGCAGGTGGTCGAGGTGGAGATTATCCGAGCGGGTCGATGATCAGATCAGAATGTAAAGAATGGCTTGAGGACTGCGTTAAATGAAACTGGAAATGAGAAAGAAAAGAAGAAAATGGTCAGATGCGAGGATTTGAGGGAGAAGAGGGAGAAGAGGGACGAATTGTTGAATGGCTGACTAAATTCTGGATGTTCACGCTTCCCACTCAGCCCCCCGTGAATGTGCCCGTTCTTGTCTCACTTGGGCCTCGTGCCCCGTTTTCGGTGTGGTGAGGGGCATTTTCACGGACAGCGATAACGATAAGCCTGAGACGGCGAACGGATGTAGATGTAGATCACAGAGGATGACGAGATTTTGAATGTTTATATTTAGATTCATAGGCAATTCCTGAGCGTCCGAGCTGACTAGTTGTCCTTTGAAAGCGAGTATCATAGGGTAACTAGGTGAGTAGGTTAAATTTCAGGGTCTTGTATTGTCACACTTCTTCTCCTCTGGCGTCCGAGGTGAGAGCGATGATCATCATCTATCCTCCTTCATTGGTTCATTCTCGTGTGACCTCCTCGACCTTAATCTGCCACGTGTCCCATATCACGTGGAGCTATGCTATCCAGCCAGCCTCTTCTCCCATCTTCATCTAGCTCTGTACAATCTTATCTTAGCTATTAGACTATGTTTCTCCCTTTGCCAGATTTGGGAGCTTTTGTCGAATTTCTATCCTGACACTACCCTCGAGAACAGTTACTGACTCGAGGCAGTCCCGGGAGTACAGTCTCATTTTCATTTGTTGGTCAAGTGGCAGTGGTCATCTATCTCCGAGCTTTGAGAAGGCCACCTCTTGTAAACAGGCAGGAGGGTTTGTCCGGAGATAGAGCCTCTCAATAAATATTTCCACTATTCAGCAGTTATTTATTGGCTTCGTAAGTAGAAGCTATGTAGTGCAGCCTGCACTTCGATTTACCATCACAGGATACCGTGTTGTTGTCGTGGAGGTTTTCTCGAGCATATCTCTCCGTCTGATTTTCTCTTGGATTGGTCACTTCCCTCGCCCCGAACGAGCTCCATGGAGTGCGAGATCTTGGATTGAAAGAAGAGAAAGGGGAGAGAGAGAGGAGCTTGGCTGTTGAGCTAGTGTCCAAGTGGCCTGGGACTGAACGGGTGCCTAATTCTCATTTGCAACATCGGGATGTGAATCAGAGAAAGAGGTTGGGAAGGGAGGAAAGTGGATTGAAGGATTACTTGGCGACTTTGAAGCTCAATATCGAAGAGGGAAAGCATTGACCTGCTGCTCATAGAAGTGCGGCAAGACGTATCAGCAAAGATCGGAGATAAATTGTAGGCAACCACCAAGCGTAGAGCCTCATTTCGGCTTCTAAACAACGCGATTGGACAGCATGAATTTTACCCCTATTTCGTCTCAGGTCAATGACTTGCTTGACCTCAATCGAAAAGTACATTCAACATTCAAATTCCCAGGCGTCAGCTGCACGAACTCACCTCGGCTTCCTGAGAATATCCGTGGACAAACAAAAATTGAATCTCGGCTTCCTGAACATCTGAGTGGCTCAATTCAACATGTCCACACAACGTCGCCACCCCAAGACTCGTGCAGGTTGCGTACCTTGTAAGCAAAGGAGGATCAAGGTATGGAAATACTAGTTCATCGTGTTGTGTTTGATTTCTCGGCTAGCAATTTTGAATGTCGTCTCAACTGAGATCTCTATATTTGGACGATTTCTCGTCTTTCCCATGCAACCATTCCTTCATATCCTTTGATTTCACAATGGAAAATCTAGTCCTTTTCCCCCTCATTCTACTTGGTATCGTTGTCATGTTTGGCATGGCCGGCATGGCACAAATGCTACACGCTCAGAAGCCAACCAGAGGAAGCGACGTTTAACTAACAACTCAAAGTGTGATGAGACAACACCATCTTGCCGGCATTGTCAACGACGAAAACTCACCTGCTCATTCCTGCGTTATGTCCCTTTGAAACCACGACCTCACTCACCTTCACCCACAAGCCCGCCCAACAACGCACTCCTCGGTCTCCCGCTCCAATTCAAAATCCTCGACCTGGAACTTCTCCATTTCTACACCACCACGACCAGCCTCGAACTCCTTGGTCCTCATATGACCGGCACTCCCATCTGGCGAACGTCCGTCGTCACGATTTCTTTCGCATTCCCATTCCTCCTTCATGGTCTATTCTCCCTCTCGGCACTTCACCTTGTCTACCTATACTCCAACACCAACCCCGATCTCGCGCAGAAATACAACAATATCGCTACTTTGCACCATCTGAAATGTATCGCCGACTACCGGCTGGAGATCCAAAATTTGAGACCGGAGAATTCAGATGCTTGTTGTGCGTGTGCATCCTTACTCGCTGTTCATGCTTGGTACAGACGGGGCAGTCGAGGGGCCGATTTATTCTTCGCGGATGAAGGGTTGTCTTGGTATAAATTGCATCGAGGGGGAGCTGAAATTCTGCAGTCTGCAATTTCCTGGGTCCAAAAAGGGGCACTGAGCAGTATGATTCGACCCTTGATGGTTTTGGAGTCCATGTTTCCGGTTCCCAGTACGTCATTGGTGTTGGTTGACATCGGTGATGATATCGACAAGCTCAATGCGATTTCCAGCTGTTGGGGATTTTTTGAGGAGAAGGACACGCTTGACAGTACGCTTCAGACATTGAGATTTGCGTTCAATCTCACTTCGCACCTTTCGTCCAAATCTGGAACCGAGTTGAAAGGCAGTATTAGCTCCTGTATTGCAACTTTGTCCTGGATGACTCTTGTTCCGCTGAGGTTCTGTGAGATGGTCGAGGAGAAATGTCCACAAGCTTTGATTCTTGTTGCTGTCTATTGTATATTATTGAAACGAATTGAGGGGTTTTGGTGGATTGAAGGGAAGGCTGAGAGTTTATTGGAGGCTGTAGAAGGTGAATTGGGCGATGGCTGGCAAGCATGGTTGGAATGGCCGAGGAGAGAGGTTGAGACTGGTGCGCACACACCTTGGAAATAGAACTTGTAGATTATCTCGGTGTACCTCTCGAAGTATGACTCGTCTTCTGAGCCTATATACAAAAAGAATTCGACGAAAACTCTTCATCTGGATGTCCCTTTCAAGCGACATCCGAAGTCAAATATAAGAGGCATGCTCAATCTCGCAACTTTTCCAAGTCCTCATCAGGATACTTTGTGCGTCATGGTGAAGCGTTGACTTTTGGCTCTCGAAACTTGGTTGGCAGAAATACACACACTTAATGTGATCGCAGCGTGATATGGCAAGGCATCTAATGACCAAACTGAATATTTTTGATTCTCGGATGAAGAAAACTTTCGACAGACAGCAAACTCGAGTCTGAGTTCAATCTGAACACGCTTCAAAGCTACAGTAGTTGAAGGCTTCTAGGTAGGTTCCACAAGTACAACCGTGAAATGCGCAAATCGCGCTGACCGCGCTGATTGGGCCAAATGCTAGAGTCAGGTTCGAGAAAATCATGTTGTAGACTTACGAAGACAGAGCAAAGACATATCAGTCTTTTCGGGGATCAACGGTAAGAGTTGATGATTCCAGGCTTTGTATCTGTGCCCCAATCTTTGACCCTGAATGCAGCACAAATCCATAATTGAAACTTAACATAAATTTTACGATTCACACTCATAATAGGCAAGTTGGTAGGACGTTTATTATCATTGCAGTAGACAAGTTGCAAGGAGCAACAACAAATTGCAAGCAGTAATGGCGAATTGCAGGCAGGATTACTCACCATATGATACAGGTGCGAAACTACCGCACTGGAGACGAAAGAAATAACAGAACTTTTCCCATCCCAAAGACAATTGATCCCTCATGCCCACATGAAGCTCGATCCACTCCAAGATACCCGTAGATATAAGGAGATTCATTTCGACTTCGTAGTATTCAAGAGCCCACAGTCATCAATGCCAACGCCCACAATGCATCAAAAAGCCAAAGCAAGTCCGTAGACAAGCAAGCCACAAGCCAACAATCCACTGTGATGTGTCAAGCCCACAAGTTTGATCTCAAAGCCCACAGCTCCTAGGAAGGAGTATAGTCAAGAGCCCACAACCCACAAAGCCAACAGCCCCACAAGTTAACACTTAGCTGTAAAAGCTTTGTGCGGCAGTGTTAACAGGCATGCAGTGCAAGTCATGCCGAGACTTAAAAAGTCTGCTTCTTGCCCTTGAAGTCTCCGAAGCCGCCACGGTTTGTGGAGCCTCCGCGACCACCTCGAGCACCCCCACGTCCACCACGATCACCAAAGCCACCACGACCTCCTCGGCCTCCGCCACGGCCACCTCCAAATCCACCACGTCCACCTCCTCGTCCGCCACCGAATCCACCTCGGCCTCCTTCCGTGCGTTCAGGTCTTGGTTGAGCGTAGTCGAGACGAACGGGACGGCCAGCAATCTCTTGACCAAGCATAGCCTCGTATGCGGTCTTGGCATCATCGATGGAGGAGAAGGTAACGTATCCGAAGCCCTTGGGGTTGCCACTCTCTCTAAAAGAAGGTTAGGACAATTCAACGAACGAATGTGGAGACACTCACTGATCAGTTGGAAGTCTGATGTTAACGACGGTAGCATGAGCACCAAAAGCCTCAGCAACAGTATTCTCATCAGCATCAAAGGAAAGGTTACCGCAGAAAAGGGTATCGGAAGGCTCATTCTTCTGGTCACCGAATTGCTTGGCACGATCTTGAGCGCGATCGCGAGGAGCATCGTTGCTTCGTGGTGTAGAGAAATCAACATTGGCCTCACGACCATCAATGAGAGAACCCTTCTTGGCCTTGAGAGCAGCAGCGGCAGAAGAGGAGCTGGTGAACTCAACATATCCGAAACCCTTGGATCGACCAGTAGCCTTGTCGCTGATGACACGAGCACCAGAGATCTCACCAAACTCCTCGAATTCGCGGTATAGCCACTCATCATCAACGTTCCAGCTCAAGTTACCAACGAACAGGTTCTTGGAGCCATCATCAACAGCCTCGGTCTTGGCCTTCTTGACAGTCTCAACGGTATCCTCCTCAGCCTTACGCTTCTTGCTTGGGGCTTCCTCCTTCTCACTATCATCGGAATCCTCCTCGTCATCGCTAGAATCGGAAGAGGCAGATTCGTCGGAGTCTTCCTCATCATCCTCGGAATCAGAAGTCTCCTGCATATTATTAGCAATTGAAATCTCTGCACATCGCACAACTTACAGTAGCCTTAGCAACAGCCTTTGCAGCTCCATTGACAGCGGCCTTGCCAGTCTCAACAGCCTTCTTTGCAACATTCTTGGCGACAGCAACAGGCTTGGCCTCCTCTTCGGAATCATCCTCAGACTCGTCGCTATCATCGCTGTCGGAAGCGGCAGCAGACTTCTCGGACTCGTCAGAATCGGAAGCGTCAGAGTCATCTTCTGAAGAATCAGAAGAATCGGAGGAATCAGAGGAATCTACCTCTTGCTTCTTGACAGCACCGTTGGTCTTTCCGTTAGCCTTTCCATTGGCGACTGGCTTCTTGACCTCAAGTTCTTCCTCAGAAGAGTCGGCGCTCGAGTCAGAGTCGGCCTCAGATTCGGATTCAGAGTCAGAAGATGGGGTAGCAGCCTTGACGGGCTTTGACTTCTTGCCGTTCACCTTGGTTGCAACCTCCTTTGCGACAGCCTTGGACTTGGCATTGGGAGTCTGAGAGGGTTTAGTGACAGATGCGTTTTTGACCTTGGAAAGAGGTTTGACTTCAGATTTGGCCTTGCTGGCCGACTTGACTTGCTTGCTCTTTGCCATTATGACTGATTGTATTAATGAAGAGAGGAGATGGAAGGATTGATGAGGGATCGAAAATAATTTCGAGGAATGTTGCGGAGGGAGGAGGTTGGAAAATAATGAAGAAAAAAGTTCGAAGGCGGTGGGCGAAAGCTCTTATCAGGAATTTTTTTCTTCGCCTATCAAAGCTGGGCTAGCACTTTTAGCGTGATGCGGATGGTTTGTGGCCTGAGGTTGCAGCAAGAGTTTCGGCCTTAGAACTACTTCAATTCGAGAGCTTTAAACACAACAGCAGCAATCGAAGGAAGGGACAATTCCACGACCAGGCTCTCAATCCCCTTTCCGACCTCGAAAATCTCACACCTCTCCGCACATTGTCACAATGGCACCAACTCCCGAGTCTGCCGCATTCCTTGCGAAGAAACCAACTGTTCCTCCTACCTTCGATGGAGTCGACTATGATGATACACCACGATTAAAGCAAGCACAAGATGCAATCATCCGAGAACAATGGGTGAAGAGCATGATGGCAAGATTGGTCCGAGAAGAATTGGGAAAGTGCTATTACAAGGAGGGCGTCAATCATTTGGAGAAGTGCGGAGCTCTACGAGGTAAGCTGCAACATTGGTGAAGGACTTGAGAGGAAGATGCCAGAAAATATCACAATTGGCACCGTTCCCCATATTTTGATTGTACTATCTGAAGCTTTGTTGACCATTTGGTATTACAGAACGATATTTCGAGCTCTTGAAGGAGTCGAAGGTTAAGGGTTACCTATTCGAGCAACAAAACTACATTCCAAAGTCATAGAAGGTATAGAGGCGAGAAGGCACCAAGTCGAGGAGTTTAGGGATCGGGTGCGGCTTGTGGGAAGTCTGCTGGAAAGAGTTGGATGCATGCCGCGAGTTCAATGCTGCCAATGTTCGTCCACGTAGGAACATTCACGATCGAGGTCCAGCAGTGCTTCAGACGATATCAGCTGTAAATATTAAAACTGTACAACCATCACTATCTCCTTGATATGGCCTTGTGATTCTATTTCAATGTGTTGTGCCGTCTGAATTTGATATTGACTACCATCTTGTCATTTCTCGGCCACCGTACAACAACCAAAAAATATCTCGAAGCTCTCCAACACACTTCAGCACATCAACTCCAACTCCACAATGATTTGCTCACGGTGCCTACGACGAGCATCTGCTCTTCGAAACATTCCATCAATCGCCCGCTCATTCTCCTCCTCCAATACCTCCCTTTCTCCAGCAACCGCGTCTCCTCGAACCTCAGGATCGCCAGCAGCAACCTCGACAGGAATCGCGCAACCCTTCTCAACTCCTCTGAGCCCAGCCCCAAACGATGTCTCTCTCGGCGTTGGACTACGACCGAAATCGAAAACTCCTCTACCAGTTTCCAGCTGCCCAGCAGGAACACCCATGAAGGGAATAAATTACCTAAAGGCAAAAGATGATCCTGTTGCTTTGCCGGAAGAGGAATACCCAGAATGGTTATGGAGGTGCTTAGATGCAAAGAAGAACGAAGGCGACGAAGACGGAGTTGTTGGAGATGAGTTCTGTAAGTATTCTTTTGCCATCGTACCTACTTCGATTTGCTAACATCTGTAAAGCCAAATCGAAGAAACTACGTCGAAAAGCAGCGAAGCGTCAACGAAAATTAGAAGCAGCTCGTCTTGCATCAGGAGATTTGAGTGCATTGGAACCAAAGATTCCTCTTACACAACAATCAATTGATCTACCGTCCAACGAGGAGGGAACTATTAGAGGGGCACTGCAGGCTGGGGATAGGAGAGAAGAACTAAGAGAGGCTATGAGGAGGGAGAGAAGGTCGAAGATTAAAGAGAGCAATTTCTTGAAGGGCATGTAGATCCAGGCTTACGGGCGTCAAGAGTTAGCTGTATGATATGTATAAGACACCAGAAGCATCACGAAGATATCAGGGCACAATGTCAATATTGTATGATTCCGTGTCTGTATTATAGACTGCTGCAAATCCAGGCATATCGAGACTTTCTGTCCCAATGTGGTATACAAGTACAATATTACACCCGCCTATTCGTTCTCCTCTTCCTCTCCAATAGATGACTTCTTCAATTGTACCTCTTGCCTCAACTTCCTAATGAACCCCTCTAGACGCTCTCGCAAGAGTGGATTCTTCTGAGAAGAGAGGGATTCTTGATTTGCCCGAATCTTATTCTCAAGTTCTGCAATATCCTCTCTGGTACCTTGAATCTGTGCCAACCGAGCTTTCTCTTCTTCATCAATCTCATTCGGTGCATCGACTCCGTCATCATCACCATCGTCATCATCAAACGAGTCATCACCACTATCTTCTTCTGGCTCAACTTGAGGTGCAACTGATGGAGTTCCTGCGACATCTGGAGTAGCCGCATTGGCTGATTCGGCTTCAAGGGCATCCAACAAATCAGCCTCAAGATCCTCGTCAACCTCAACCTCTTCCTCGCCGGCTGGTTGGTGGCCGAAATATCCTTGATCTTCCTCAATATCTCCTTCAGCATCTTCTTCGTCATCATATCCTGGAGTGCTTTCGTTGAATTGACTGGCACGTCTATGCTCGGCTTCAGGGTCGAAGATCTCATACTGTGTACTGGATGCTTCCTCGTCTTTAGCCAACAACCTCTGGACATCCTCCTCTACACGCTCTATGACAGTCTTGTGAATTCGCTTTCTGAATCGATTCTTGCGGACGTAATGCATAGGCGGAGTAATACCATGGGGATATTGATAGGTTTCATCAACATCAGGCGGTAAAGGGATAGTTCGGGCATCTTCTTCTGACTGGACCTGAGCAAAGACCAAGAGCATTTGACAGATATCAGCACTCTTCCACCATCCTCTCCTATCCCAACTCTTCATACCCTCTATAATGCAAGGTAAATCGACAAGTGTAGCTGCATAGACGTTCTTTCTGACCATGACTACACCACGTCGACAATGTAAATCGAAGAACTTCATCGAGACATCCGCGCCGCCTTGAGCTTTGCTAACACCAATCTTCTTCTCCTCGATCGCCTTTCGAAGGTAATCGCAATCATCACCAGGTTGCATTCGTAGTATGAACTCTTCCTCAATGACAGGATCAATCTCGCGGTCGCTGGCCTCAGAATCATATCCAACGCCTGGGTCTCTTCGTGGAGCTTGTCCCTTGACCTTCGCCTTCAATACGATAGGTGTAGCAGGCGTTTTCGCAGCAGGAGTCTTGGGTCCTCCAGCGATGCTCAGCTTAATTTTCTTTGAAGGCTGTTGAACACTGATAGTTGCGCCATCCTCATCGTTATCCGTATCAGTCTCCTCCTTGAACCGCTTCTTGCTTTCGATGAGTTTCGCGCTCGGCTTCGCAGTTCTACCGGCTTTGGTCTTCTTGGGCTTCGGGATATCTGGAGGGATAGGAGTGGAAGGGTTCGACTTGTATTTCAGCGTCAATTTCGGTTTAGATCCGCCAGGAGTCGCAACAGCAGGCGTAGTGGTCGAGGGCGTGGTTGTGGATGGAGCTGCGCCGATTCCATTGGGGACATTTATCTTAAGCTTTAACCCCGCCATGGTGATAACTTGAGAGTTGCAGTCGTAGAATATTCGTTACCGTTGCATCTCAGGCAGTTGCAGATCTGCACGAGTCTTTTCGTGTCGAGATGATGTGGAATGTCAAAAGTGTGGGGGATGAGGCTGAGGAATATCGAATTCGATACAGATAACGAGAAAAGCCACTAGTGCAGTGTAGTATCCTTCAAGCCTTTGCGACAAATCATTCACTTCTTCAGCTCAGTAACTTTTTGCTTGACAAACTTCTCTAACAAAACTTCATACCTGACTAGCCATGAAGTTATCCACGACAACCATCCTCCGACCTTGAGTTGTTTACCGCGCAATCGAAAATGACAACACCACAATCTCTTCACCATGCCCTCCTACGACCATGCATCCTCCACATTCTACGTGCAGCAGGCTACCACACAACACGACCCTCCGTGCTTGATACCCTGACCGATCTCGCGGCTCGATACATGCTGATGCTTGCGCAAACAACGGCGAATCACGCTGCGTTGAATCATACGGAGCCGGAACTTGCTTTAGAGATTTCAATTACGGATGTCAGAATGGCTATGCAGGATTGCGGTGCGTTAGCACCAGAGAATTTGTTAGAAGAGCAAGAATTCAATGGCCAGGAAGATCTACGAGGTGTTGAGGGGTTTATTGAATGGGCAATGGGAGCTGGCAATCATGAAATCAGAAGAGTTGCGTTGGAGGGGCCCGAAGGCGCAAAGGAGGACTATCTGACTGGTAAGGTCTTACACAAAATTGTTCTGCAGTGGCTAATATTGTCCAGCTCTCAAGAAGAAACACAGCGCTGCCGACGAAGAATCCAGATACAATGGTACCGTCCTTGGCCGACCTACAGAACCACGAGCTGTCAAAGTCGAAGGCAGTGACATTACAAGTCTGAAAGAATGGGCCGAGAGACTGAGGAAACCTCCAGCACCGACATCAGTCCAGACATCTTCTTCAAGACGACAATCCTCAGCTCTGAGTTCATTGGGGGACGAGGTGATGTTAGATATGGATTTTTAGGGGGCATATTTCTGCATTGCGACGGCGTTGGGGCTGGTATGTAATGATAACCTTTGGGAATACCCTCGAGAATGAATCATATGGAGTCTTTATTTCCCATCAACAACTTTTCTTCCTCAAACTGAACCCATTCCCTCGTTCTCGACTCTGTTTCCTGCCCCACCATCGACATTTTCCCCTCCTTGTCTTGCGGCCTGGACTCCTTCTCTGGCACTCTTCTGCTCTGCTTTTTGTCTGTCGAGATCACTTGTCAAACTTCCTTGTTCGCCCCATCCAGCATCTTTCTTGTTGAATTGTGCATCCATCACATCTCCTTCTCCAGCAGCTCTCATCTGCTCTCCTTCCAAATCTTCGTCCTGTGGTCCAACTTTAGAACCTGGTAGGGTTGCATTGCTGTCGTCAGCATTGTCTTGAGGATGATCACCATGTCCAGCTGCCGTTGCAGAGCCGACTGATGTTGCTGGAGTAGCTGTGGAGGAAGGGTTTGTATCGTCTGGACCGAATGTTGTACCCGCACCTCGTGCTGAGTTGAGTGATGATTGATCTTTAGAGGCAGACATGGTGGCTTCGTCTTGGAGCTGGTTTTATGGTATGTTCAAATCAAACTGGGGAATAGGTTTTATTCCAAGATGAAGACTTGTACGACTTGAATCCATGGCAGGTAGATTTTCACAGTAGCTTCCCCACGATGAGTGACGTAAATGAGCTTGATTATATGCACCCCTTCAGCCACTAAACACACTCTTCAGCCTTGCATAGCCTTGGCCAAGACAACAATGTTTCAACCGCAGCGCGTCTGAAGATATATCTTCACATTTCACTACCTTTGAACCGATAATCTCTATTGACAAGATACAACTCTTCCTGAGTGAAGTTTGAGAGAAGGTCTTCCTCCGTTGCGGCACGCACGCACCAAACCCATATGGTGATCACCGGTTGATCTCTATCAAAATGCCCTTTCCATTCACACTTCCAACGACATCGGCCTTCTCGTTCTCTACATTCTTCACAAGTGATTCTCATCCTTCATTACCTCTTTCAGCAAGCACGTATCGAGGTGTGTTGAGAGATACTCTGAAGAAACACAAGCGTTTACCTCCCTCTGAGCAATCTCCGCATCTTGCTTCCGTTCTATTGAGTCTGAACAATTACATTCCCTACCTCCTTGCTCTAGATGACGGGCTAGGAAGCAAACAGGTCGCTGGAGAAGAGGTAGATGTCGTTCTCAAATCCACACCCACCTCAGAATGGCGACCGACATTATCAGAGGCAGCCGTGCCAGGTCGTGAGATGGGTCGACTCAAGATCCAGTCCCTAGAATACGAGACATATTTCGTTCTATCAACTCTGTCTTATACCTACACGCTTCTCTCTCGAGTCTCACTTCACCCTCTGTACTCCTCAGCAACAGCCTCGCCGAGTACAGAACAACGAACACTAGCCATTACCACAGCCACAAAACATCTCCTACAGGCAGCCTCAATTCACGACTACTTGTCTACACGATCTGATCAGGTTTCATCAGCTCCACCTTGTGTTGATATTGCCAAATCGACCTTCAAAGCGCTCACTTCTCTCGCTCTAGCCGAGGCCACTCTCCTTGCCGTCCTGAAGGATGATCCATATCCTGCAGCGGTTGCCCAAGATCGTAACAAGAATGACAAAGAATGGATGATCAAGGCACCTGAAATTCCCAAGGTTCGAGCACATCTGTTTGCTCGACTTTGTCTTGCAGCAGCTGAGCATGCGGCGAATACGCTTTCTTTGCTGCACACCAGCTCCGGAGCGACAAAGGGGAAGGTAGATGGCGATCTGTTGAAGTATGTGGAAGATTTGAGAAGAACGGGAAGAGGGAAAGCTTGTCGATTCTTTGGTATCGATGCAGAATTGGGAGGTCAGACTGGTGCTGCGATTGCATGGCTGAAGGCTGGAATGCACGAACTCGGACTTGGTGCGAAAGGGGAAGCGAGGAAAGGTCTCGTATTTGCAAGGATGAAGAAAGGGTGGGATGAGAAGAGGGAGGATAAGCGTGTAGAGAAGGGTTCGCATTGGGGATCCGATGCGGGGAGATTCGAAGAAGGAAGAGTGATTGAAATGTTGGAGAAGAAATGGACTAAGATGAACGACACGGTAAGTCTGAATCAGTCACATGCCTCGCAAACTAATCACATGTAGATAAATACACAAGAAATACCTCCGACTGGACCCCTTATGGCCTCAATGCCATCTGGGAGAGAGATGCATAAAGTGACGCCTTTCGTACCACTTGTCCTTGATACATCGATCTTGGAAAGCATGCGAGCTCCGCCCGATCGAGCTGATGACTATGGAGTTGATGGGAGTTCGGAAGATGAAGCGGAGGAACAGGCACCTGCAGGAGCATTTCCAGGAACTAAAGGCGATTACTCGGGTAGTGGTAGCTATTATTGATCTAGGAAGTGAAGTAAAATGCTTTGTCAACGTGCTCGAGTATGAACCCGGATGCAGCTATGAGTATGCATTGACTCTAATCGACCTTTCACATATCATGCTCATTCCCACTCGCCTTACTCATGCCATCCTTGACCTCTTCACCTCTTGCAGTGACTTCATGGTCTCCTTCCATCTCTTTGTCGGCCATCACAGGACCTTCGTTCTCCGACCCGCTCTTCTTTTCGTCCTTCTCCTCAACCTCTCCCTTCTTGACGTCTGGTTCATCCTTTTCCTCACCGAGTGAAAGCGTGGTCAATCCTGGCTCACTCAACTTCGGAGACTTCTCCTCATCAAACTCCTCCCTCTGCATTAGAGCTTCAACCTTCGCCTCTCCTCCTCTTGGTCTAATCGGCAATGCAGGTGGAGGCATCTCCAATTCTTCTGCACTCTCATCATTTTCACCTACTTCCACTACAGACTTCAGAGCCGTCGACTTGCTCTGATCAGGCAAGACACTCCTCGGCATCTCATCCAGTTCCTTCCAGATCCCATATGCTTTGATTGCTCTATTCAGACCTTCATGAGCCTTATCCAGATCTTTGTGATATTCGATATTTATCAAATCAATGAATCCTTGTCTAGATAGCATTGGCATGTTCGGTTTGAAGCTGATCGACTGTCTGATCCTCTTCTCCACTGCAGATGTCGGCTCGTCGATTGAGTCGTTGTCTGAAGATGTCTTTGGTCGAACGTTCAGGTTGTGTGATATGTTGTTATCTGAGAAGTAGAGACCGAGTTCGAAGTCTGCAATATCTTTGGAGTTGTCGCCATCGTCGCTCTGCAAAGTTCTCTTCCCTGTTCGTTGTGAGCTTGACTCTCTTTTAGCATAAATCGTCGACTTACAAGAATTCAATTCCAAATCACATCCTTGAACATCCAAAAAAGCTGAATAGGTCTCTGGTCTAAGATACTCAGTATGATCCGGATCGAGATGACTGAAAATGGTACTCATCAATGCCACGAAGATTGGCCTCGGAGTTCCATCTGCCTCAAACAACGACTCCCACTTCGCTGGTCTGGGATATGAAGGAGCACTGCTATCGACGCGTTCGATACCTCGGAGAACACACTTTGGTGGAGAAGGTGGCAGAGAGTTGACTGGATTTTGCGCAAGAGGAGAGGATGAGTTGCTTCCTTTCTCTTGCTCCTTGCCTTTGTCGAGGCCTCCAGTCATCACAGAAGGCGAACGTCCACGAAGCTCCACATTCTTGAACTCATCTTCCTTCACATCAACGCTACCCTTCCTATTCTTCTTATCCATCTTCTCCAATGGCGCTTTCATGATATTCCACAAAGCACCCCAATTCGCCGTTGGCATTTCAGACACTCTCACTGACTGCCGTGCTGAATTCTGACGAGGCGGCAATGCTGGTGCAGCACGAGGAGCGAAGCCAGGTAGAGAGGGAACCACGAATCCCGATGATTTGAGGATCATAGTTGTATGAGACTCGGAGTGAGGTCTTGAGAATTGCTTTATCACGAAGCAGTTCGCGCATAAATGATAGTCCGGACAAGTATGACATGCAATTCGAGCTCGGCCAGTAGGAATCTTCTCACTACAGCCATTGCAAGAATATAGGTCTTGAGTATTCTGATCTGCCATGTTGCTGATCTGAATGATCAATTGAGGGGAGTCGTGGAAGAAAACAACAAAATGAGGAGAAGCAAACAAGCTTCTGATTCTGTTTCCAATCACATGTTGGATCATGCTCTGTGCTTCTCCGTGGTCCTAGACCACGATATGAGAGGTCGTAACATGGAGGCTGCATCTTGGCTATGGTCAATGCGATGTATCAAGACTGTGCGTTTGCAGCAAACGCGTACGCTTTGATGAAGAACCTATCGCCCAGAAGAAATGTTGACTCGGGAGCTTTGACAACGATTGCGATTGACGACTGATAGAAGAAATATGTATACTTATGGATGCCTGAATGGTGAGAGAGTCATTACAACAGAAATTCCCGAGCGATGAGATTTAAGACAGGAGGAAAGAAGAAGAAAGAAATCTTCGATACCATAATCTGGCCATCACGTGCTTCATTCCCGGGCCAATCATTGCGACCCCGACGACAGGGACATTCTCGGATGATGTTCACACTCAACATCACCTCATCATCTTGCATTTCATGAACGACGTCCGTATGAGATTTCTTACAAGAAGCCTGAAGTATGCCGTCAAAACAACCCAGGCTCGAAGCTTTCATGCCACCATGTCTTCGAATTTGAGAAAGAGATCCGTCGTCTCCTCGTTCATTTGCACGCCGCCGAACTCCCCTTCTGGATTCACCTTTGCTCTATTCAAACGGAGTCAGGATGTCTCAACATATCGGTAAGCTATCTTGATGTCTCGGCTCTTCGCCTTCTGATGCCATGACAGTGGCAAATGGGCTGTTTGCTCCGGCTCAATTGACAAGACCGATTTGAGTCCCGCTGCTGCAGCGAAGCGTGAAATCCTGGAAGAAACCCAACTTTCAGACTGCGATATCTCGCTACTTCGAAGAGGTAGACCATTCAGTCTCATCGATGAAGCTCTCCAAACGGAATGGACCATTCACCCCTTTGCTTGGCAGCTGAAGGAAGGTGCAAACCAGATCAAATTTGACTGGGAACATATCGAGTTCAAGTTCATCAAGCCTGAAGATCTCAGCTCCTATGATCATGTACCCCAGTTGGAAGTTGGCCTGGAAAGGGTGGTTGTTAGCCCAATGACACAGAAGGCATTGACGGCTCTCAGGAATGATCATGAAAGTGGAGCTCAAGCATTAGCCTTGAAAGCTCTAGATTTCTTATTGGAAGCTGCCAGAAGTGAAGAACTTGCAGGTATCTGGTCAAGTGAGGAATACTGGAAGGAATTGAGATGGAGAGCTTGGCATTTGGCAAAGAATGGAAGACCAAGTATGGCTGCTGCAATCGAATCCAGTATTCTCAACGCTTTGGAAGATATAGAGAGTCATGTTTCAGAAGATGGCGGTGGGAAGATTGCAACATGCTCACTCTCAAGACTCACAAGTATTATCGAATCCGTCATATCTTCGAAACTGGATTCGGGAGCATCCAATCTGGATCCCATAGCAAGGAGCTTTACAGATCTCATTCTTCCAGAGACGAAGGGCTCGGATAAAGAATCTCGAACTAGCATGAATATCACCACGATATCAGCATCAGGGACGGTGAGAACCGGATTGCTGCGTGCGATACCACAACTCATAGCGCAGGGCATCGCGGTCAAACTTACTGTCTTGGAATCGAGACCAAACTTTGAAGGTGCCTCCTTTGTCAACACTCTTCTCGACCAATTCCAAGGCGATTCAGACATTCTCAACAAGCTGAAGTTCGAGATCGTCTCTGATGCCAGTGTTGCTAACGCTGTCAAAGATGCGCATTTCGTGGTCTTCGGAGGTGACAAGGTTATACCGAATGGCGATGTCAGTAACAAGATCGGATCATTCAGTTTAGCAGCCATTGCCAAGACGGTAAGTCCAGCTTGCAAAGTCGTTGCAATGTTCGAGACAAACAAGATCACCGGATCTGGCTTCGACTCCGAATATCTTGCCGTCGAAGAGAATGATCCAGATGAGATCATCAATGCTTGGCCATTAGTGCTTCAATCAGATCTATACATGAAAGAAACATTGGGAGCTCAAGTGAAGGTCAAAAATGAGTATTTCGAGTGGGTACCAGCAAGGTTTGTCGACCACTATATCACTGAAAAGGGTTTGTGGGGAGTGGAGGAAATTGCAAAGGCCGCAGCGGAATTGGAGGAGCGTGAGAAGAGGCTCTTTGGGGAATTGTGAGGGGTGGCATAATTGGTGTACATTGGAAACCCTCTGATGAATTTCAGATACCCAGCTAAACATCTTTCTGCTCAGATCTCCCCCAGCTCGCTTCCTTGTCTGGAGATTCTCTTAGATTCTTCCTTCACGCACCTTCCTTACTGATGCTGACAAGGACCCAAACGGGGTGAATATTATCAAATATTCGAGTGAATTGAATGGAAACGGAATCAAAAAGGGAAGGAGTCCGGAGTGAATTGAATCGAGACGTTGAGTGAAGGGAATTTGCGTTCGTATGGGAAGTTTTCGAGATCGATAAAAGCACCCCTCCTCCTTTCCATAATCGCTAACAATTTTATCATGACCACGCCACCACCATATTGGTTGCCGGGAGTGTGTCGAGGGTTGAATCAAGGAGCCCGGTGTCTGCCGATCCGGTTTTCGCTGCTCCTTCCAGTTATCAGGGGACTTGTAAAGGGTTTTGATATTGTGACGTTTTCTGTTGCCAATAAAAACTCTTTTGTCAATGATAACACTGCTATCGACATTTCACTTTTGTCAACTGTGGTTTGTTTCATCTCAGTCTCGGTCACACTGTCGATATGCCATTGCTGTCAATCTTCTACTGTTGTCAACTATATTCTGATCCATCTCAGTATCGGTCTATTACACATTGAAATGCAGCATCATGATCAAAGAGGTTAATCGTGTATGCTAAGTCTACAACACAGACTTAATAGTAGCCTTCAAATCCTCCGTCTTCAAACCCAACTCTTTATTCGCCAACTCCCCCTCCTTAGGAGACTGACCCTTCCCATCTGCAAACAAGTACACCTTCAAATAATCCCCAAAGCTAGAATAATCTCCCTTGGCCAACTTTTCATCAGCAATCTTTTGGAAATCCTCCGTCTTCTTATGATCCACAGTCCACTTCGTACCACTCTCCTCTTCAAGCAATTTCAATATCTCGTTTTGTGTAGTAGTGAAGGATGCAACTTGGATATATTTGTTGGCTGTTTGTTCGGGATGTTTGAGGATGGCTGCGACGGATTGACCTATGAATGGGAGATTGGAGCCCGTGAATGGTTCATTTCCCGAATCGAAGATCGTAGCAGTCTTATCTTTGACATTGAATCCTAGACTTCCAACTTTGAGACCCTATATTTATCAGCATTTCCCTCCACGCAGAACAGAAAGACGTACCCAGTCGAAGAACAAGCTAGTCGAAACACCAGTCCACGAGAAAGATGGATTCTCAGCAGCGAGTTTCTTCAATTGTTCCTGCAATTGTAGCTTCGCACCCAGTATCTTCGCTGTCCCACCAGTGACTTTCGGGGTATTGAGACCGAATTCACTAGGGATGAATCTCTTGACGCCAGCCTTGACAGCTTCCTCGACCAGACTACTCTGCTGCGACAATGCAAGAGTAGCAATTGTAGAAACGACAGCATCTTGACCCTTCAATGCTTCTGCGACGGAGGTGGAGGAGGAGTAATCGACTTTCTGGACTTTGACGGAGGCGGGGAATGTAGCTTTTGATTCGGCTCGTGTGAGGGCTGTAACTTCGAAACCTGCATCGAGAAGGGCTTCGATGACCGATGGGCCTAGATTTCCACTTCCCTATATCAAACAAAGGTTAGCTGCTGTTCATTGTCTCTGCGAAAAGGAAGGTGGGGCATACTCCAATGACAGCTACGTTCTTGATGTTCGACATTTTCGCAGATTGATTGAGAAGGAAGTATAGCAAGACGCTGGTAGCTAATACGAAGATGGCAGATCTAGGTCTATATAGAAAAGCAAACATTCTCGCACCATTGAGTATTCCGATGGCGATATCTTCTCAGTGGGCTGCTTGAGGTCGTTCGGCCCCACTGTGGGAGGTGTCGCGATGTGATGCGGGGTTCCTCATCGGATGCATGATTGCAAGTGGGAGCCGGTGGTCTGATCTGAATAATGCGGAGCGGAGGTGCTATGTAGATCTCTCTGGTTTCCAAAGACCTTTCTTGAGAATGGTGATGTCGTTGGATGCGATTAGAGTGAAGATTATTTTCGAGAGTAGGTTGGGTTCAGCTCGCCAAGAAATGTGGGGTTCACGAAGCCAAGCATTTCGGATTTGTTCGGTCTCACACCGAATTGAAGATTCCAGAACATATTTGATTTTCGTACTCCTGAACCAAATTGGTTTGTTGGAATCAAAGAAGGCAGTTCGCTCCTATCGTGACTTACCCTAAGAATCCGGCAGAAGTATCGAGGTCAACAAGCAATTTGCAGAGCCCAAAAGGTAACAATTTCAGAGAGATCTTCTTTGAATATGATTTGATTCAGTTCCTATGCCGATTCAACTCCAATAACTCCATCGCAATGCCCTGGGTATATCATATCTTCCTCCTTTTGAACACACTAATCAACACAAATGCAACCCTAAAACACTACACCACTTCCAATTCCACCTCGATGCCTCCAGGATCTCATCCGCATTCAACATCCCTACGTCCAAGTCGACCAACTGCTTCCATACATTCATCCTCCTCGTTGCTGGCCAAGATGGGGTATTCCAGTACCTGCTCACCAGTCCCAAACTCTTGGCCATCTCGATTTGTCCTTTCACGACATCTAATCTGGCTTGCGACAAACCACTACTTGGGATGCCCCAGAAGAGGTGAGACATCGAAGTACTGGCATAGTAAGAATTGGATGCGTTGTATGACGGAGTAAGAGCATCGAGAGGGGCATCGAAGAAGACGTCTCGGTAAGTGGTGTTTGAGAAGGTTGAATTGAGGACTGCATCAAAAGGAGTGTTTCCAGTTCCAACATGAATAATTGGTCCAGGGACGACGGCAGTCCCGTTCCAGTATGTGAGCCATCCTTTCTCGCGGAATGGTTGAAGTTGTTGCTGCACTGCTTCGAGTGTTGAGTAGCCTTCCGTCTTTAAGTCTGTCATGAGAACGATGCTTGCTGTTGGTTTTGTATCCCATACTCCATTGATTGTTCCGTTTGTAAAATTATTGTTTGGATTCTGATTCTCGAGGATCGTGGTTAACGGATCGAGGTATAATGTGCGAAATGTTCTGTTGGGACGAAGTGATCTCGCAGTATGTCCTACGAACAGCTCTCCATTGACGAGATGGCAGTCTGCTTCAACACCAGTCACGCCCAAAGACAGAGCTTGGAACAAGGGAACGGCTCGCCAATAATCGTTATGCGAGTGTATAGCTCTTGGCAGAATGTCTCGACTGAAGTTCGGCAGCCATGATGGAGAAGTGGGTATTGTCCCAGGCTCAACCCACTCAGAGACAATCTTGGAGAGGCCGGTATCTGGTAATTTTGGAGGCGACAAAACTCGAACAAGATCGAGGAGAATGGAATGGTATACGCTATTCAGATTAGCAAGTGGGTGAGGGAGAGGAGTAGGTTGACTCGTACATGATGGCAACTGCACCGAGAACCACTGCTACGGTGAAAACATATATAAAGTGTCGACAGATCTTTGGCCAGGGTGATTCCCCCAGGTCATTGCGATCAAATGATCTCCGTAAGAGTGAAATGCTATTTGTCCAGTATCGTCTTCGCCGAGAAATCTTCGGAAACCCCACCTCCAACTCGACTACCGAGACAGCGGGTTCAGTCTTGTCTGAGATCTTGTGGTCCATGGCTTCACTAACTCCGGAGAATCTGGAAACGAAACAGACAACTTCGGAGGGGGGAAGGTGTGTTTTAAACTTAGGAATGTAGACATGACCCATTCTTGAAGCGGAAGAGAAACATACTTATGGCTATGCTTTTTTCCCTAAGCCCCTTCGTCCCTCAAGCAGCTGACAGTCCATGTCAAATACATTGGCTTCTAGAAGCACTTACCCATTTCGTGGCGCAAAATGCGTGATTTCGCCAGCTTTCGCGGGGTCTAGTCCTTGTAGCACATCTAGATCGGGGTCCTTAGCCGTGCGCCACATTGGTCAAAACAATACGAGTCAAACCAGTGAGGACCTGAGGCATTTTGCCAAAGCACCAAACAAATTGATGAAAGCTCACGGATGAATTTGTTTGAGACGAAGGGTAAAAGAAGGTTCACGGCAAATGTTGATTGGAAAGAAGAGAAAGCAGGGGATGAAGATCTGAGGGATTTTTGCCAAGACTTTCGAATAAGGTTAGACACTCCGTGGTCCCTGAAAGCTTGGCAGAGCTTAAAATCTTTTCTGGGTCGGGAGCACGCGATCTTAGACTTCTCCTCGGATTTTCCGAAGGCAGCATCTTAAACTCGTTCTTTAGTGATTGATAGCGGTAGCTAAGCTCCACCGAATTCTTCCGTACGCAATTGTCTCGATCCTTATCCTTTTCCCTCCATCATTCAGAAAATACGAGGGTGAGGTCTAGCGGAGAGAGTTCAGATTTGTCTCCTCTCCTGATTATTCTGTTGAAAACACCTACGTTTGTTTGCGGGACCCGATCGCCGAGTTGATATACAGCCGGGCTGCGGATCGCATTTCTCGATATGTACAATTGGTTCTCTCTGCGCCGCACGAGTGGACACCCAGCGGGAGTAGTGCTCTGAGAAGATGAATATGTCCCCACACCAGTTTCACCTGGTCATTCTCTGATCGTTGTTTTAAAGTTTACGGAGTGGGCGATTCAAACTCTTAGTCCAAGACGACCTTGGAACTTGGAGCTTTCTTCTCGGAATCCACCACGTGATCCCAAAATTGGACCTCAGTAGAAGTTCATACACGTTGAGTACGATCTTGTTTAGTACAAGCTTTGTCTTTTGAAGCCTACTCCAATCTGCAATTTCGAAGTTTCAACTTCTCTCATCTCGTGACAATCCATGTCCCTCTTAGGCAGCAGTTCGAGGGGCAAATTTCTGTATTGACAACACTCTTCTTTTCAGCACCATTTTCACCTACTTTCTGTCTGTCACATCATTCCTAGACTCAGCAATGGCCTCAGTTCATTCTCAACCCGAAGATGAGCCATCTTCCATCGGCCCAGAAATCCACAACAAATTCGTCACATTCGAAACCACTTCCCAACTCTATCGTCTCCCTCTTTCTTCGCCACTAGCCACCACCTTCCTCACACTCTCTGGACCATCAAAGATCGAATTTCTCAAAGAGCACGGAGAAGTCATCGCCAAGAAATCCATCGAAGAAAGAGGACGAATAATGATCCACCACAGCGGTTCATTCATCTTTTGGAACGAGGGACAGATCGAGTACTTGGTGCCTAGGGAGAAAGAGGGTTGGGAAGATCATGAACTTTCTAAGGAGTTCGAGAAATTGGTGGAAAGAGGAGAGGGGAGGAGAGAGTGGATTTTGAGAAATGCGATGAGGATTAAGGAGTGGCCGGATCATGCTCAGCGAAAGCAGAGTGTTGAATTTGTGAAGCGTGGTACTGGCGAGAAGGAGAATTCGGAGCTTCACAATGCTTGAGAGATCCAACCCAATCAGCTGTTTCCCGTCCATAATGTCGGCCACTTGCTTGCAAAGTCTTTTGCTCCGTCGAGCACACCAAGCTCTCGCCTTGATCCACCACAATTATATTCTAGTCTCATACTATTTTGGGTTTTGATTATTAACATGATCATGTTCCATAGCATCTGAAAGATTTACTCGGGCAATAGGATAGCAGGGAATTGTGTTTCAGGGGAAAAGAAGTTCATATTACGTGAAGTACAGCTCATTCCCTATTCGCGGGATAAAATCTTCAACTTCCAGTCTGACGATTGAATGATCTCCTATTAGAGAAATACAATCCCACACCAATCAATTGCTCTTATTCACTCTCGTGTATGAATTCCCCAGGAGAAAGAAAAGGCACTGTGCTTGATATTCGACAACCCGTCGTCATTACTAAGGCATCTAGCAATAGTCCCCTCCTATTCCGAATTTGATCAAGATAAGATGGGACCAATCCTCTGAGTGGGTAGCAAGGGCTCCGTGCCAGCGGCACTGCTACCTCGATTCCAAAATCCTTGCAAAGTCTCATACCACTCAAAGCTCGAATTTCCCATGCAAGTTCACCATTTTCAACCGCATTCGGCTTGCAGTTGTCCTGATGTACCCAATTTGGAGGACTTGCCCGGATATTCCAGATAATCCACCCCTTGATGTACGCGAGAATCACAGAAGGTACCCAGACATGTGATTCGAGACTTTGATCAAAAGATTTCTACAGTATTGTCTATTTGTATTCTTTTGGGAAGTTGAACACTGTTTCGGTTTTTTCACGGATCTAGACTCTGCCATTCAAATAATTGTTAGTTATTAACGTCGCTGCGTTCTCTCAAAGCTCGTCATGGTCGAAAAGGTTGGAGATAGCCTTTTCTTGCCATCGCATGAGACTGAAACAACCGCATCGCATACTGCTTACTTCCGAAACCATAGCGTTAACGCGTCAGAACAGACTCGTCTGTAAATAAGAAACAGGAGCACGCAAGATCGAGGCTAAATTTGCCAAGCGATCTGACAGCTTGAAACAAAGGATGCCAAGCTTTTAACCGACAATGAAGCTTAATTCGCCAAGATTAGATCGATCAATGCCAAGACTTCAAACTGTGGAGGATCGGATGATGAGACTACCTCTATGCAGGAACAGGGAAGGATAGGACGAGGTTGTTTGAGCATGATCTGATATGATGAGAGTCACAAACATCGGATTAGATTAACGCGTCGTTGGGCAAAAATAGCATTCCTGCAGCTTCCAGTTCCTTGTCCTGGGCCAAACAGCTGCAGGTAAGTTGCTGCATTCGCTGAGCTTTCCCATCACCCACCATACGAGTCACTGAGTGGAAAGTCTCGCCTGTCATTATCCCAGGCATGCTAAGATTCATCTCGCAACCCAATATCAATGCTTCGTTTCACGGTGTCTCACAGGCTTCCACATTGGGCATTCGTTCTAACTGTTTCCACTTGGATCGCCAATATAGGATGGAAGACCGGACGGAGATTTATAGAGATACCCGGTTGGCCTCTCAATAGGGCATTTGGAGTCCACATAAAGACGGCCTCGTCCCAGCCTTAAACATATCCATTCCATCTTCAGCTCATTCATTTCTTCAGTCTTTTTCATTTCATCTCCGGCTGTGCCGATTTATCGATCATTTCTCGCTCATTCACACTCTCTCTTATTCCAAAACTCAAAAGGAGATTTTTCAACATGCATTTCACAACTACGGTCCCAGTCGCGCTCTCTGGTTTGTTTGCTGCATCTGTTGTATCTGGCTTTTCAGCGCCTACTCGAGCTATGTCCCTTCGTTTCGCAGTAAGTCATCCATAGTGTCCTAAGCATCTACGGAGAATTGATTGAGAATCAGGGTGCTATCGCCGTCATGGCAGTGCCAGCCATCGCCGTCCCTGTCGGCATCCCTGAAGAACTGGTTGTAAGTCCAACCCATTAACCTTTACAACCATAAATCCAACACACATCTTAGGCTCGAAACGCAACTACTGCCGAAGACAAGATAAAGGACAAGAAGAAGGATGACAAGAAAAAAGACAAAAAGAAGGACAAAGCTTCCTCTACCGCTGCCGCAGCCGAGGCCACTTCCACTGCAGATGTAAAACGTGCTGTAATCGAAGAAGAACTCGTCGTACGTATAGCTTTATCACACCCTCAACAATACTACCTCACTCTGAGCTTAGCTAACATGTGTCAATCCACAGGCCCGAAATGAAACATCAGCCAAGGACGACAAGAAGAGCAAGAAGAAGGACGACAAGAAGAAGGACAAGAAGAAGGACAAGGCTTCATCCACAGCAGCTGCCGCCGAGGCAACTTCTACCGCAGCAGCTAAGCGTGACGTTGATGATCTCGAGACAAGAGAGCCGGAGCCAAAGAAGGACAAGAAGAAGGGAGATAAGAAGGGGAAGAAGACAAAGTCTGCCACTGCTGCGGCGGCTGTCGCTACTTCTTGAGAGAGGGGTGTTGAGGAAATGGCGAGTGGGAGCTGTTGAAAAAGGGGTTTAATGGATTGCATTTTCTGGAGCATAGTGAGGATTACCATTTCGTAGATCGAAATACAAGCAAGCGTACCGAGCTGTGTTACCAATAATTTATACTGTGCCAAGTAGTTCAAAGAAGCAGGAGTTTATGGTTACTTGCGCAAAGATTAGATCCCGTTCTTTTGTAGCATTTCTGATGTCTGTATGTTCACCGAAAAGGTGATTTTGCTAAGGACGAGCCTTGATTCAGTAAACTGACATTACTTGAGATATAGCTGAATGTCGGTGTTGAGTTTCCGCGCTTGAACGTGGGACTGCTCATCTTGAAAGTATCAAGAGAAATAAAGGCCTGCAACTTTGACACGAGATCTTTCCCATTCGTTGAATATCCACGTGATTATAGAGCGTGATGTTCCGCCCTCTGCCAAAGAACACAACGTGGAGAGAAATGCAAATCTTGTTTGTCGCTCAAGTCAGGCATGCAATCTTGATGTTCAAGTCCAAGAGACACTTGACCTCAGATGGTACTTTCTAGACACGTGACGCAATATCTCCCTCTCAATTCAATGGCCCTCTTATGATAGACACTAATTGGGCTTTTATCAAGAGCATCAAAGGAGAATTAAAAGAATGGAAGCGAAAAGCAAAAGATCAGCTCACCTCCGTGTTAAACCAACCGAGAACATGTGACATCATCAACAATACCAACCTCACTCCCTCATCCTTCCACTCCACCTGCAGCACCACCATGAAATCCCCCACCTCCCTCCGCTCCTCCCTCCTCCTCAATACCACAACCTCATTCTGCTCCTCCCTGACCCAATCCCAACCGATCCCCCCCCTCGACCTAATCCACCGATTCTTCGTCTCCTCACCAAAAGTCACCGAGCACGGTCCCGAATGGGCGCGCTCTCGTCTGCCGTTCTTGAGCAAGACGTTTAGTGGCAGGAATGGGTGTGTTGAGTATTTTGAGCTGCTTGGGGAGACGCTGAAGATGGAGATGGGGGAGGGGACGTTTCCGAGTAAGGAGAGTGGGGAGTGGGTTGTTGATGAGGGGGGTTGTGTTGAGGGAGGAGAAGACGAGGGAGTTGTGACTGTTGTGGGAAAAGCGAGGTTTGAAAGTTTGAAGACGGGGAAGGGTTGGGAGGAGAAGTTTATTTATAGGTTCAGTGGGTTTGATAGCTCCGGGAAGATTGGACACTGGGAGATTTGGGCTGATCCGTTGAGTGCTTGGGTTGCTTGTGAGGAGGGAAAATTCTGATGGAGGAAAGGCAGTGATGTTGATGACTTCATGATTCATAATCTACCAAATTTTGTCTAAACACCGAAACTCCATACATTATAACCTCCAGCTATGCATTATCAATACAATCTTGTTACATACACTCTTTACAACATGTAAAGACCAGCAGCTCCCATAATAGCAGCACCCCAGATTGGAGCAGCAGTAACCATGGCTCCTCCAGCGGTTGAGGTTGCACTGCTTGCCGCCGAGTTGGCACTGCTAGCAGCACTCGTCAAGGCTACACTCGCTGAGCTTGCCACCGAATTGGCAGACACACTCAAACTGCTCGCCTTGCTCAACGCCGAACTCTTCGCAGCTCCAGTGGCTGTGCTGGCAACTGAGTTCAAGCTTGAGATAGCAGAGCTGGCATCTGCGAGGCCGGTGCTGATACCTCCTGCGGCTTTACTCGATGCTGTGGAGAGTGCACCGGAGAGGTAAGAACTGGCTGTTGAATGAGCTCCGGCAGCGTCTGAGGTTGCGGTTGACTCTGCTCCCGATGCGTAGGAGAGACCGGTTGACACTCCGCCTGATGCATAAGAGAGACCGGTTGAGACTCCTCCTGAGGCGTATGAAAGGCCAGTTGAGATTCCACCCGATGCGTACGAGAGACCGGTCGAGATTCCGCCAGCTGCATCCGATGTAGCTGTTGACAGTGCACCGCTGACGATGCTACCAACGTTGACCTGGGCGTTGGTGGTCGAGGTATAGGCCAAGACGGCGAGAGCAGCAGGGAGAGATGAGAAACGCATGATGACTGTTGGTAAGGAAGTGGAGTGCTGGCGGTTTCGAGGAGTCAGTTGATGGAGAAGATCGAGGAGAGTTGCTCGAGAGGTGGAATGATATTTATTCTCGAGAACGGCAACAGCTGAATTTATATATGAAAAGGAGAAGACTTCGGGGCTACCGGCCTGCAGGTACCAACAATACCCTGCGCCACAAGACCACCAAGAAATGACGTCTATTGCGCCCAAAAAGTGGAGGATCTCTGCTTAATTCTACCCCGATTGGGTCTAGCTCGTGGCCAGAATACGTCGGCCTGTGGCTGGAGAGATTGGATTATGCGACGGCAGATCTCCGCTGCCATCCGAATATGCCGAAGTGCGTCGGACTAGGATCTGGATTCGGATTAAAATAGAGATGTGCAGTGATGAAACTTTGACATTTCGGCTACAATTACACTTCTGGATATTCTCCAGGACTGGAGACGAAAAGGAGGAATGCGATGCTTGACGGATCCACCGAAGTCTTGAGGAAGGATTGTCGAAAAGTTGTGAAGGTGTTTGATAGACAGAGAGGCATTCGACAATTTTTTCATGGCAGTGCTGACATGCGTTGGCCTCGAGCATACCGGAAGAGGCTGCGTGCTGACGAGTCGCTAGGCTTCGTTCAACTCAACTATCAGCACTCTATTCTCGGGCTGAACTCATCATCAAGTCTCGAGCAAAGCTTGAGTTCAGTAACCTTACGCGAGTACGAGTTCGAGGTTCTTCATTAGATGAAATCGGAGAATGCCGAGTCCAAACCAACAAACCCAACACAACATCGAACAGGAGGATTCAGCTCAGGAGAAATCCGTCATGTGTCATTCATTCCCCATGTCAAAAGCTTAATGGTTCTTGGCATGTTTCACTTGTTGCTCTGTTGATTGCGGTTTAGCGTCAACAAAGTGTCCGACTACCGAAGGAGAAGGAGTTGCGCAGAGGATGAAAAGAAGCGTCATCCTTCTCTATCTCGGAGCACGATCCAACGAAAGAATTCAGTCGAGTGCTTATCTGCGTTTCCTTTTCTTTGTTTTGACACATATTCAATTAGTATATCATTTGATGATTTGGATTATTCATCTTCATCGTGCATCGTCTTGCCACATGTCAGAAATATTTCTTCGAAGTCGATCATCCGTTATTCAGCATGCAATGAACCCATCAGAAGATCCGAGTCGCAAAAGATCACCTCTTGCAGTCAAGAATTCTTATCTGCTTCCTGATCACCACATGCGTCAAGTGTAAGATCATACGCGTGCGGCGTTGGAGCGAGAACGGTAGCGAACCCGGGCTTCCACGGCAAGAACATTATTTGCGAGCTTCCTTGCTGATCACCTACATGCTGCATAACAAGTTTACCATGTGCCATGATGAGAGCTCAATCACGTCTCTCCAGATCAAATCTCAAGTCTGGTCAGCTGATCGGCATGGATGAGTATTGCCATCTTACATTTTGTTACTATTCGAATCAATCTGACTGGAATCTGAACTGGAATCTAATGGAGGGCTTCGCACTGTGCCGGAAAAGCTCGCCTTGGTTCGCTATGGAAGGTCTCATCTTCGAGGCGAGTCACCTGAAATGAATTCACACTCGTCATACTATACGCATCCAAACCTTTCAAATCCTTCTATATTATTATACTATTATGTTACTACACAAAATCTCACACTTAGTTCTCCCCAACCTCACGAAGACAACGGACAATACTGATCCAAGAAATCATCCGACTGATCCACATCACCCACACGCGTACCATCCAAACAGTACGTGCCGCTCTCCGTAATCGTATGAGCATCATCCGTGGTCTTAGAGACATCGACATCGTTGCAAGTGGTGTAGGCCGAACTTGATGCTGCGTTGACGAAATTGCCAGCTGCTGGATATGAGAATGATGTGCCGTCGAGAAGTTGAACTGTTGCCTATTTTCGAATTGTGAGTTTGGATATGATTCCGGTTTGAAGCAGGGTTGTTCTTACAGTTGCAGTATAAGCAATATTAACACGGCTTTGATAGGCAATAACATCGCACTGCACCTTCTGCCCAGCCTTCACAACCGTCGAAACCACGTATCTTGCGCGAATCTGTCAAAAGTCAGGTCAGAACCCTTATACACGACAGGCAAGGAACACTTACCGTGTGGGCCTCCGTGTCTTCTTTACTGTTCAGTGTGGTATCCGTCCATTTCATAACATACTTCCCATTCTGTTCCACGGACCCTCCTATCTCAACTTCGGGCGTACCAATCTTGCCTTTAATTTCGCCTTTTACAGCCCATCCTAATTCGGTACCGTATTCGTGGGATTTCTGTGACCCGACGTTCATGGAAGTTTGTGCTGTGACTTCGAGATAGAGGTCTGCTTGCATGGTGACATCTTCGCTCGTGCGGTTGTTGAATAGAATGTAGCTGGACTGTACGGCTTCCATCATACGTTCCCTAGATCGCGTCAGCAATTTTCGTTACCACTATGTTGCAGTGGGAACATACTCAAAGGGTAGGGCATTCAAGCTTTCAAAGCTAGGGGTGAAGACTTGGTCCGTCATAATGACCCGATCCAAACCAGAATTCGTAAAATATGGTTGCAGCATAACAATCCGATCTCCCGCCCGTCCGTAGAATCCCAGCAGAATCCCCTTGCCATCTGTACCGCGATTGTATGTAAAGACAGGCGGTGTCGAGTCATAGTACTTCCCAATGTCAATGTCTTCGCTTTCCGCGCCCACCAAACCAACCTCGAGACGACCAACACCCCCGTCCCAGCCGTCACCAGACAGGATAAAGTGGCTCCATGTATCCACGAGGGCGGAATAGTCGATGGAACCATAACGGTGATGTCCATCATCTGCTACGCTCGTGCCATAAGCTTCGTTCGATCCATCGGAGTATTCCAAACTGATATATGCGAGAGCATTCTCGGTCGCTTTTCCACCGAGGACCTGTGGGAAAATGCCTTCAGTCCAGTGTCCTAGGCAGAACTCAACACCGCCCTCAGCATCCCCAACAGTGTTCAAGGGAGCCATAAAGTTCTGTCTGTCTGGGCAATTGGGATTTCCAGCGAGAGATCGCGACGGGAAATCGGGATCTGCGCTCTGCGTTGGTGTTGTGATAGCGGTGCTTGTTGGAGTTGAAATAGCTGTAGTGGTAGTAGAGCCTCCAGCTGGTACCGCGGGTAGACTTCCATCAGTAGTGGCGTCATCTCCAGTGGCATCTTGTAGTCCGCAGTTTGGGCTGAGGGACGTCTTTGCCCGATTTGTGAAGGACTCGAGTACGAAATGCTCATCTGCACGGCCGTTGCCATCTAGATCGGGGTAGTAGATACAGCTTCCTGCTGCATTGCCTGCAAACGCGACAGCATCTTGTGTTCTCCACGAAAATGAGGAGCCTGGAGCGACGGATGGGTCAGCGGAACCATCATTGTACCTACGAATGATCGTTAGCTTCTCTATTGCGATGCTTAGCGATTTCCCTACCACACGTATCCATCTCCAGAGAATTTCTCGATCCAGAGCATGTCATCCTTTCCGTCACCATCCACATCTGCCCAGCGGAGATTGGCACGATCTTTCCCGATAGAGACCTGATTTGGTTTACGTTTGTGAAGCTTCCGTCGTCATTATGAACAAAACCTGTGACAGTGCTGTCTGGTTGTATACACAGATAATCGGCACGACCGTTGCCAGTGATGTCCGCCACTCGAACAGCCACTGCATGACGTTAGCAGAATTCTCTCGCCATCTTTAGGACTACTCCGCGCTCAACTTACAGTCATCTCTGCCCAATCCTCTCTTCTCTGAACAAGTTACACCAGGAGCCGGATTGGACAAGTAAGTCCAATCCCACTTGCCGGTCGAGGGATAATTGTTCAACCAAACTTGCACAGCACCTCTATCTGGGTTGGTATAGATGATATCACAGTCTCCGTCACCATCCCAATCCGCTAGATGCAGATCTCGACGATCCATGTTACTCGGCGGGGTCCAGATAACACCTGTAGAAGGATCCCAGTAGCCATCAGGATCAGAGTCCGAGATGGAACCTTTCCCTCGGTTGATGTACAATTCCATCGTACCAAAAGAATATGTCCACACTAGATCAACCATGCCATTCGAGTGCCCCCTGAACGACCGATCAGCTGCAATTTAACAAAAGGAGGTGGAACGAGTCCTTCAGAACTTACATCATGTTGCAATACTTGTTGCCGTCAGCAAAAAGCTTCGTCGCACCACCTCCTGTATTCTTCCACACCCGCATGTCAAACTTATGAGAAGTCGTAGATAGTTCAGTGTGTTGCATAAAAACATAATCTTGAAGGGGTGCATTGCCGAAGATGGTTGGCGGTCCATAGATGCGGGCGAAATGGATTCGATTCCGGAGGTTGGTCTCAGTATCCGTGATATATGCAGACATTCCTAAGTGTTGGCCCCGAGGATGCGCCTTTGAGGAAGCCTTGACGCCAGGCGACGTTGAGACCGTTACCCTCAACACCCTTAGCACAGCTTCTGCTGTTGGTCCAGGTGGTTGTTGCTCCAGTTTCGCTGACCCACATCCAGTCATCCCTCCCCTATTACTGCAGTCAGTCTTTGGACCCACTGGTTAAAAAGCTTCCTCACGTCTCCATTGATATCCTCAAACCGGACCCCATTCACATCTCCCATGTTCTTGCCAGTGAATCTCAACCCCATTGACTACCAATACGCCGGGACTGGGTCAATCCAACCATTTCTCCAGAACAAGATGTCGCCATTGTCTTGAATCACACAATAATCTCCACGACCGTCTCCATCAATGTCAACAATACGGACCCGATCTTGTGGATACCCTTCATTGCTTTTAATCAGTGCGCTTGAACTCGCACGCTTGAAGGTCGGAGTTTTCCCAGAGGCTCGATTACCGTCTCCTAGGTTGACGGATAAATATGCGTTGCCATCTGCATCGATACAAACCAAATCGTCAAGGCCGTCATTCGTCATATCAACGAAGTATAACCCTGCTGTATCGCAAAGCAGGTCGGGGGTTAGGTTGGTTACTTGTGCGAATTTACCATTTCCGTCTCCTGAGTTCGCCCTGGGTTGATGTCAATTTCACTTCTCCGAGTTCTGCGAGGGTTTGGGTGCATACCAGACTGCATAAGTTTGATCGGTATCACTGTTTGAGACCCATGCGAGAAGATCATCATAATTCCGGTCGAACAAGCGAGCAAATCGCCACTGATCTCTGTCCCAAGAGCTGGTAGCAGTCCAGAGGATCTAGACGATGGTTAGCAAAAGCTACGGAAGCGAAGACGAGGATTAAGAGTAAGTATATGGAGAATGCTTACTCCCATCTCTTCACTGTCATGATAGTAGATGCCGTCACTGTAGCCAGAGCCACGTTGAGTATATCCACCAGCATCAATGCCACTGTCACCGAATTTGTCACAAGTAGCCGGACCAGCTTCAAAAGCAACAGGAGCAACGATACGATTGTCTGCCAATGCCAGAGTTATAGATTGATAGAAGACCGCAGCCATCATTTTATGCCCTTTGTCCTGCATCCCTATTAGAAGACCCCTTTGGTAGTAGGGAATACTGACATTTGGATGTACATGTGGACTCTCAGTTGCGAGGTAGTCTGTGTCAAAGTCGAACCAAATCTGTCCACCAGGATCCATGTCGGCCAAGTAAACGCATTTGCCCTCCGCGGCGCGCTGAGTTACAAGAGCACGATATTGTGAGTTAATGTTATCACGATTGGCAGCACCATTTGCGTTTGTCGTGGGGATTAGCGTTGATAGCATGATACATGTGCTTCCCATGTCATCAGCATTCCACTATGTTATCAAAAGGTTAGCACAATACAACATTTGAAGTCTTCAGAGGTGCCACATCAAAATAGCATGCAATATTTGACAGGGTCGATTTGGGGGATGTTTGGGGGGATATTACTTACCAGAGCATTCAAAATATCGTTCATGCGGCTGCCAACATTTGCAATGTCCACATTCCCATTCCCATCGTTGGTGCCTCCATTGATAATAACGACATTAGGCTACGAAGCTGGTCAGAGACGAATTCCGCGAAAACTTCCAAGACAACATCAGACTCACCTTAAATCCAATAGAATGTGGAACTCTGGCCAGTATTTGAGTGAGAACGTCTCCAGGGACCGCCTCTTGTTCCTAGAAATCCGTTAGTCATCGAGTTTGCGAAGTGGGGGAAAACGCCGCGAACATGGTCTATCATTGTTCCAGTGTGTAGACTTCCAACCATATCAACATCGTAGCCAAGAATTCTGAGAGCATCTCAAGGATTTTCGACATCTACAGATCTATCAGCATACCACCAATATCAACTCGTTGGATTCTCACCCGTTGCCTGTAGTTGATCCCGTACCGCTCATGATTGAGGCGCCAAGAGGCAATATTCGCAGCGCAACATTGTCGCGTTTTTGTTCTGGGACACCATACCTTCGGGAAGGTAGAGTGGCGTTGAATAGATCGAAGGTTGGAAGAGCTGAGCTCAGGTTGGAAAAGTCAAGAAGAAGCAGAGAAGCCAACAACGCATTCATTATCCAATCGTGCATGATGGGCAAAGCTCAGGATGAAATCTAAGCTGAGTAAAGAGCGACATGACGGGAGTTCACGTTCATATGTATATCGAGAAACGTCTGTGAAGCTATCGTGCTTCAAGTTCTCAACGAGGGGAGCATGAAAGTGAGAAACAGACTGGGAAAGGAAGGTGCCAAGACTCGATCTTTTGAAGAGATCCAGATTTTCTTGCTGCGTTCTTGGCCATAGCCGCATTTTAAATTGGAAGGATTTGACTTTTCCAGGCTCACGATACTTGGCACTCGCCAGTGTCTGTAGTCCCATCTTCTGACTTGATGAGAAAGCTGGAAAAGTAGTGAAGAAAGGCATAAGCGAGTGCTCTGCCCTGCGAAGCCATCGTTCTGGAGTGTCCCGGAGCAGATGATGTCCCGACCGAAGGCATTTGGTTGGTCAATCTCATTTGGGTACAAGGGGAAGAAGAGTAGTGTGAGGCACAGGTAGGATCGGTTGTAGGCGAGGTGAGCATATATTAATAGAAAATGAAGCTATCCAAAGACAGACTCACTCGCGCCATCAAGTCGGTTAAAAATGCTGCTCCAGGAGAACGTAGCGCGATGATTTCGTAGGGCTCGGTAGGTTCCGACATGCCTATATCCCAAGGACGAGACCAGTCCGGGACGCGTATTGGATCTCGGCGATATGACCTATGTGTTATCGATAGAAGGACTTGGCAATCGGGGCGTAAGCTGGAGCGACTTAGCGTGCACGATAGCCTCACTTCGAGATCGTGCAACCGAGTTCAATTAATAATCAGTAGCTTAGCAGCATCAGACGGATCGCGGTCAATCTTATTTGATACTCGGGCATCGTTGGAGGGTGATGACGGGAAGATGGATGATGACGAGGTGATATTTTCGCAGAATGGAACGCGTTCGCGTTAAGATAAAGTTAGCTCGTGCTGACTCATTTAACCCACAGTCACATGATGAATCCATTTGCACTTGAATAGGTTGGCTCATTACACTTAGGGACAATAGATTTGTTAGTGGTTTTCAGATAAATCTCGAGTTTTGGACTTATTGTCACTTACCTGCTTTTAAAGAGCTCAAAAAGACAGCTATGGTATCATGGTCACGTGGATCTGGCTCGCATAATCCTTCCTCCCGCAAGCTTGCCTTGGCAGCCCTTGCAGAACCTGGGAATTGTGTCCGGACTTTTCCATCTGTAGATATTGCAAGAAAATGGCAGGGGGCTACCAGGGATTAAAGTGCAACGCTCGCCAAGTAAGCTAAAAAGGCGCCTCCGAGCTTATATTGTACTACCTAAGAGACCTAGCACGTTTTATGCACTACTCTTCCTCTGACTCTTGGCTATGGCTCTGGGTGATTCTACTCCCTCCTCTGCAAGTAAACTATAAGGTTAGATTTCCGCTTTTCTAAAAGCTCAATTTACATAGCTTTCACATGAAAATGTGTGCAAAAGCATTGAATTCTATTGCACAGGTTCACTTCTTGGGGATGCAAACTACGCATGATAGCCATGTGTGATAGTGAAAGAGGAGGTGGTGCAGAGGATGAGGGTGAGGACCCATTGAAAGGAACCGCAGACCCTCACTTGGCCTCGCTTCTTTCTCTTGGCAAGTCTCATTTTCTCCCATCTACTCGCTTGATGAATATGGTCTAGTCTTGGCAAGGGATTGTCTTTGTCTTCGTCTGTGATGTTCTGTAGGCATGGGTTCAAATATTCAGCCTTACCCACAATTGGCATTGCGCCACATAGCTGGTTAAGAACGGGACGCCCGGGAGCCTTGCAAATCAGAGAGACTCAGCTGACGAAAAGGGGACATTCGCCCTTCTCCAGATAGAAGTGAGTGATACTATTGATAAATATGAGCTTTGTATTTTTACAACGAAATTTTTCCATCATCTGCTACAAAGAGTTCCGGGCCAGCCGAGACACTGCAATCCAACCAGTCTACTCGAAGGGCATCGTACGACCCAGATCAGCACTCTCCCTCGCAAGTTCAATAATCCGAATTCCATCCCTTGACACCTCCGGCTTCACAATAACCTCGCTCTCGCCTCTAATCGCATTGACCAGATCATTGTAAAATCCCTCATAATCACCTTTCAAACTTGGAAACTCTCCCACCCACTTCCCACTAACCTGGTCAAAGTCCTGTGTGTCACAAAATCTCTCTTTAGTCGTAAGCAACCCATATGTCGCTTCATCCTCAATCCCAAACCCCTCCGAAGCCGTCGTCATCCCTTTTGCTATTTGACTTTCTTGTTTATCGTCACCGAACTTGACAAATGAGCCTTCGTATCCTCTGATGAAGAATTTGAGCGGATACTGCATCGACGAAACAACGCTCGTTTTGATCGTCACCAGCAAGTTCTTCTGCTCTCCGCCATACTGTAAAATAATGGTAAACGTATCATCAGTCTCACTTTCGACTCCTCTCAAGGATCGATAGAATGCTGTGACACTTTTGGGAGGACCGAACAGAACAAGTGCCTGATCGATGGTGTGGCTTCCGAGACCGAACAGCATTCCTTGGCCTGGTGAGTAGGAGGGTGATGTCCAGCCTGAGATCCAGGAGGGAAAATCGACGTCGTAGTGAATTTCGCATTCCGTTATTTTACCGAATGGGGAGTTGCTGACGAGGTGATGAAGAGTAATGAAGTCGGAATCGTATCGACGATCTGAGAGAGGTCAGCAGACGTAATTGTAGAGGAGGAAGATATACTTTGGAAAACTGTCAAGATCTTGCCACTATTCTTAGCAGCGGCAATTACTCGGTCTGCTTCTACTGTAGAGACAGTGAAAGGTTTCTCAACGACAACTTCTCTGCATTAGTGACAGTCGATTTGCTCATGGAAAGACGTACCGTGTTTCCCGGCCGAAAGAACTCTCTCGGCAAACTCGGCATGTGTATCATGATGTGTGCAAACAATCACCAGATCGATATTTGGATCAGCAAAGAACTCGTCCGAGGTCTGATAATGTTTTGCATCCGGAAAGTCGACTGTACAATGTTTTCCTTTCTCAACTTCCGATGCATTGCTTGGTGCTGGAGCACGTTGTAAGAACGCATAGACTCTGAGATCCGGATTCGGCAAGATAAATGGGAGATGGAAACTCTTTGTGGAAAAGCCATAGCCCATGAGACCGACATTGAGAGGCGCCATGGCTGCAGAGATACAAAAAGGGGAAGACAGAAGAAATTATTGATGCATAACATGCTGCAATTGATCATTTTATGAAACCAACGTGGGGCTTAACTTCAGGCTGAATTGAATTTAGTGCGGGGCAATTTTGACCCCGCTAAATATTTAGCGAGTCAAATAGGGGGGCGCGGGGTGAAGACATCCGGTATGGTGGCGAACAACGTGAATTGATTGATGGGATCAATTTTGGTGCCATATAAAGAAGACCAAAAGTTGACAAGAATGAGTGGTCCGCTTCTCTCATCGCTCTCAGCCGCTCTCTCAATGCAGGTCAGCGCAGAGTACACCTCTATACCTCATCTTCCCCTCATCCAGCTTCTTCATGCTTTCCTTCACGCCTTCATAATTCAAAGGAAACTTCTCAATAACAGGCTTCACACCATGAAGAGCAGCGAACTCCAACATTTGAACATAAACCACCTTTGGCGGGACCGACGATCCGATGATCTTCCATCCTGATAACAAGAACTGCATGAAGGGCACATCCAGTTTCGTCTCGAAATCCGTGATTGTCAATAGATAGATCGAAGCCATGGGAGCAAGGATAGAAGCGTATTGACTCCAGTCTGGCATTTTGCTTGTCGTTATGAGAAGGTGATTGATCTTCCTCGGAACCTCAAGTTTCTCCACGCCTTTAGTAGCAACAAAGTGATGCGCTCCAAGCTTCAATGCCTCCTCTTTCTTTTCCTCGGAACCACTCAATGCGACAACTTCACACCCCAAAGCCCTTGCAAATTGCAATGCAAGATGTCCCAATCCTCCAATTCCAACAACTCCGACGACATCTGTGGCTTTCAATCCGAATTGGGTAAGAGGGGCGAAGACCGTGACACCGGCGCACATCAAAGGAGCAGCGTTCTCAGATGCTATACCGTCAGGGATGTGGAAGAGGTATGGTTCCTTCCAGACAGCTCCACTCCCGAAAGAACCCTGGTCTGTATTCCCAAATCCGTACATTTTTCGATCACCGGTGCAATAAAGCCAATCTCCGGCAATACAATGCTCGCAGATATTGCAAACTTCAGTCATGTATCCCCAGCCTGCGCGATCCCCGCTAACAATGCGGTCAGTATTTGAGATAGAAAACAATTGACAAGCAGACTTACACTTTGAAACTCTTGACTTCAGGTCCGATGGCCCTCACAATGCCTATACCTTCATGACCAAGTCCCTGGTCAACATACTTGTAGTGCTCATCTGTACCACAGACGCCTGAATGAGTGATTTCGATAAAGATCTCGTCGCTTTTGAGAGCTGGTCTTTGAGTTTTGGCGGGGAAGATTTCGCCAGTGGGAGAACCTTTGAAGTAGTCGATCTCGAAAGTCATCTTGCTGAAAGTATTTTGAGACTAGTAAGTTTGAATATGTAGAACGGAACAATAGAATGCAGAGTATTTATGTTGGTGTTCAAGTAGGTTGAGTCCTGACAACGAGTTTATGGGTAGATTCCCCCTCTCCACGGCCACTATAATTCTTTGAAATCCATCATGCAACAACGCGGGTAGCCAAGCGTCACTACGCCATGCTGTTGCCTGACCCTTTTTATCTCTCCTTCAGTTGATAGGTTTTGTCATCAAACCTTTCAGCCCTTTTTTCCTATTCGGGCCAATGATCGAATGTGACGCCGGTGATTGGTCCCTTAACTCCGGTGTGGGGATACAAAAGCTTATTATTCAGCATGGCTGCAGAGATCGCATATTGAGGCTTGGTCCAGAAAAGAGGCGTCGAGAGAAGGATGGAATGTGAGGGGTTCGTTAATGCAAGAGGTATGCTATCTCCGATGGCTGTTAGGAATAGTAATCATTTGGGGGTTTGGTCCCGCTTCACGCCACTGCTCCTTCGGATATTTTCCAACTGAGAAAATGTATTGGTGCCCTGAGACTGAAGGATAACATTAAATCCAAGCTAAGTATTGGACACATAAGGAATATGTACAAGTGAAATGAAGAACGTTTTCGTGTTCAAAACATGCCCACGTTCCTTCTTCTCACCTCCCTCTGACTTCTTTGACAGCACGCGTCTCAATCTATATCAGTACACAGGCAATGGCACCCCGTCACAGTCATAGATCCAAGTGTCATACGAAGCCTGATCGAAAAGACAGTCCATAGTCGTCCCATCATTCGTCCACGGAGGCCTCCTCCGCCACCCACAAAGCTGCGCATTGGCACCAACATTACCACCACCTGAATGAGTCGCAGTCAAAGTAGTAAGCTCACTCCAATTCTCAGCCCAATCGATTAGGACAGCTAGGTTGGTTGGAAGAAATGATCCTTTCGGTTCGAGGCCATTGGTCGCGCAGTGAGCTGCACCTGAAACCAAATACAACTTGTATCATTCATTCAAGGCAGATGTACTCTCGTTGAATGTCATGTAAGGGGACATGATGTCATGAACGGACTCGTAGTAGCGAACAGAAGCTGCTGTTGGAACAATGGCATCAGACTCGCCATGGAAATGAATCACCTTGACCGCTGCGTTGTTGAACGGTGTAAGATCTTGCCAATCTGTTTCCAACGAATCAACATCGACTTGCCAAGCTTCGATCATCTTATGCTTGAGAGTATCGTAGGTGACGTTGTCGAGAGTAGGAAGCATCGAGCTATCAAGTAGGTAGGTGAATCGCTCCACAGATTCGCCTCTAGCACCCACTTCACTGAGCTCTCATTCACCAGTCGCACTATTGTACGCTGTTGTCGCATGGTCGAAATCAGCGACTGATTGATAGGAAAGATAGACTTAGCGACCTTCGGAGTCTCACAAGTATCCTCTCAGTTGTCGTTCAACGAATCGTCTTGCCGGACCGATCTAGCAAGTTTCTGTAAAAGAGTGAAAAGGCGATACAGACTCATGGGTAACCAGTCTATGAAAGCGGTTGTCATTGATAAGCTGTAAAGTCGCAGATGAATCCTGAACTTTGTGCTCAGTCGAGCGAAGCCATTTGGTAGCAAGGGAGACATTTTGGATCTGCGTTTTGTGGAATCCTTGAAGTCGACAATTGTCTACAATTCTAGAATACGCAAAAAGCGCAGGGGATTGAATGGCCAGCAGCTTGGCTCACGAATTCTCGAGGCCGGATTGGCTAGGACCTCCATGCTCTTTCCTTCGATGCTGAATCAAATCTCTCTCTCTGAAATAGCCATTTCCTCGGACCTTTGGACATCCAGTTGCGCTGCAGGGAAACAAAGAATCGTCATGCTCTTTGCGCAAATGTTTGGTGAAGTCCTTTCTAGCGTGAAAGACTCTTCGCGCTGGATGTTCGAAATGATATTCACATCCTTCGTAGGAACAAGCGAGGGTCATCGTACTGTTACTGGATATCTGACATTCCTGAGGATCTTCGGAGCTTTCAGAAACATACCAATTGATGTTGTGGTCGTTTTGGAGATGTTGAGTCAGGTGATCAGGGCGATGAAATGCTTGAAATCCGGAGTGCTTGGAGCAATATGGGCAAGGATAAAGCTCTCTGGGGCAAAATCTGTCAATATGCCTGCCCAGAACGTCAAATCGAGAGAAAATTTTCCCGCATCGGCACGCATAAGGTAAATGCTTGGTCCGAGTGGCGTGACTATCCAGCCTCGCCTTATTTAAGAATGGCTTCTTGCATTGGTGACATGTATTATGGATAGCTTCTAGTTCTGGGGCGTGGAGAGGTATTGTATCGTCGACGTCAAAAGCGTCTATGACTTTCATAAGGCCGGCATCTGGTTCAAAGGCGAACGCAGTCGATTGTGATGTAGGAGTCGTTGATTCGTATTGATACGGATAATTGATGTCATATGGACTGCCCGGGACCGATCTTAGCTGGACTTGTTCAACAAAATTGAGATCAAGGGGAACTTGCCTGTTGAGAAGTGATTTGTTTTGGTAAGATGTGCTTGTGGGAACGAGGCCAGGTGGAGAGAATGAAGCTCGGGGGTTGACAGAGTGGCTGGAACTGTCGAGGAGCGTTGATTGGTTTTGCTGAGTCAGATCACGTGACTCTGATTTCGCTCGAAAGGGGAATTCCGATTGTGGCGAAGACAAGGGTTGGTGTGCATCTATCAACGGAGGATATAGGGACCAGTATGCTTGCCCAACTTCGTTGCAAGTCGGAACGTGTGAACGGGTGGCATTAGGGATCACAGAATCTACAGGGACACTCTCTGGTTGGAACTTTGAGGGCAAATGTTCTGCTGCATCTCGACGAGATGCTGTCATCCAGCGATCGCTAGCACTGAATTCTGAATCTTGAGTATTGCTCATTGTTCCCGCTGACTTATCGGTTTTATTCCCGGAGAGTATACGACAGGAATCCCAAACGCAATGCCCAGAGCGCGAAGGCGAAGCGCGATCATGGAGGTGGTGGTGCACTGCCCCAGGGCCCGGGGGAGGTGGTGGTGGAGGTGGTGGAGGTAGAAGTAGATTACTCGTATTGGTTTTCGTGCCTTGAAAAACAGGCGCCGTCGACTCGTTGAGATATTAGCACTCATAGCAAAGGGGCACACTTGGATCAAATATATCGGCTTCGTCTCCGGAGCCTGCTCTGCACACCCCTGCTGAACATCCCTGCCTCTGAGAGGAAAGTTGCCTGGAAATGCTTTTGTGGTTCGCACATTTTGCGGGTGGTTCGCAAATGTAATGTGCGGCTCACTCCAGCATCGCCCACATTCTCTTAGGATGGAGGTCCTTGGCTGATGTCTTTCTCTGCCAGCGCAGTAGTCCACATTCTCTCACCGAAGCACTTGGTCGTCCTCGATGGCCATTGGTTTCTACGCGAGCGCCTGCATACAAGCGAAAGAAGCTATTTCACAAAAAGGGCGAGAAGTTCAGGTATTCGTTCTTTCATTGGCGAAAACACGGCCCTGTGTAATAAAAGCTTAGACTTGCCGTCTATGGACACCGAGTCTTGGATGAATATGATATCTATAAGAGCTTACCCAGACTCTAGAGAATCGAGGCAAGCCAAACTTTGGTTTCCCATAAGGATGATTATTTTCATGCGAGAGATCAACAGTCTATTGAATTACAACGCTCACTGTTGTCGACAGCGTAGACTGATCCAGAACACTTCTGTATGAAAACACGAATTATCAGTAAGCTGAATAGTAAACATGACTTGTTGGGGTCGAGGTCACGTGCATGAATTTTCCTGGCTGAGACATTTTCCTGCAAAGTTTTTCTTGGTTGAGTGATTGGTTGAGGATCTTCGCCCTGTCCGATAACTTGCAGCCAACTTGACGCATCAACATTCGCTTCGGGCCCAATCATGAGCGGAACAGCGGCTCAATAGAACGAATATAGGGCGGAGGAAGTCCAGAAGAGGGCGACATCTCGCCCTTTTTAATCAACAGTACAAGACGAGATCAGTTTTCAGAAGGTCGTCCAGTACATGACAGGGCGACAAGTTGATGTCATTTACTGGGAATCCAAGTGAAGTGCCACCATAAGATACGCCCATGAGCATGATAAGACCAAAGGTCAAATAGGAGACGAGTACAGAGTTCTTCTCACTCATCTGCGATGTTGGGCTCGCCTAAGCTAGGTAGCGTCGACTCCCTGAAGGTCTAGGCGAATCACGTGAATAACACTTCTCTCAGCTTGTGGCATCAAAAGGATCATTTCAGCTTGGCCAATCTCTAAACATCGCACATTCAAGTATATTCCGGGTTTGAAACAAGTAGATCGTTGCTTATACTTGTTAGATAAAGACTTTTTACCCCACCTTACTACCCCGCACCCCGCTTCTCTCGTCTTTGCTCCCATTTTGTCATTTTAGATATCTCAAAGACTACATTCTCAATAGCAAGACACAAGACTTCACCATGTCCGCAGAAACCATAACAGAAGAAGCTCAACGTGCAGCCTACCTGTCAAACGCCCAAACCAAAGCTCTCCATCTCTTCGAAGAGATCGAGCGTACCCTCATCCGCCCCGGTGTGACCGAGAAAGACATCAGCAAAGAAATCTTCCAACTGGCATCAGACCGCTTCGGTGTCACTAATCATTGGCACAAGCGCGTCGTCAGGAGTGGACCCCATACCTTGTTACCATACGCAGAGAACCCAGCCGACCGCACGATTGAAGCCGATGACATTCTCTTCGTTGATCTCGGCCCTGTATTTGAAGCATGGGAAGCCGATTTTGGACGAACCTTTGTACTCGGAGACGATCCCGTCAAGCATCGCTTACGAGACTCGTTGGAACCGGTATGGCTAGCTACCAAGAAGGAGTATAAAGCCAACCCGGACATGACGGGCGAGGAGCTTTACGATACCGCCTGCCGGAAAGCAAAAGAGGCTGGATGGGAATTTGGCGGACAGATTGCGGGCCATCTCGTTGGTTCTTTTCCTCACGAGCGGATTCCGAATGACAGAATTACCCTCTATATTGCAAAGGGCAGCAATCAGCCTATGAGTCTTTTGAATGCATCGGGACAAAAGCGGCATTGGATTTTGGAAATTCATCTTGTTGATCGTGCTCGGGAAATTGGAGCATTTTATGAGCAACTTCTCACGGTTGATTGAAAATGGATGAAGCGAAGACTTGAGCGATGAAAATATTGGTCGAATGTTCTTCAGGTACACTGCCGTTGTCAGACTACATGTTAGTGGAAACATTGGAATTTCATAGACTATGATTCATCTGAGAATCAGAAACAGAACCATCCTGAATAAGGGTTGTTGAATCGATGGAGACTTTTTACGTGTCTGGCTTTCAAGAAACGGAAGTACTCGGGAAGCTGGCTGAATTGAATGCAGTCCTTCACGATTCGATGACATTATATGAGAGCCTCTTCAAGACCCAATGGGCCACTTGACCCCTGAATCAGGAGTGTCCAGTAACTTTCCTTAGCGAGTCGCCAAATCATTTACTGAAGCTATAATATTACATCAGCAGCCCAGAGTAATTATTCTTAGAAGCTAATTCTCACGCGGGATTCAAATTGATTCGTTGTGCGAAGTCGACCAACGCCGGCTAATTAGATGCTGACAACAGATCCTCGTAAATCAGCTCTTTTAAGGTGATGCGATCCCCTGAAGCTATGAAGTGATCGTCTGTTTGGAGTGAAAACAAATTGCGGAATACCATCCATCTTATTTTTGCCGTCGCTCGGTTGACAATGGGTGGAAAGATCGCAGTTATAGGAGCTGGCGCACTTGGTCTTTGTGCGACAAAGATATTCACGGAGGATGGATTCATTGTCACCACGTACGCACTCAATTCATTAATCCACTTGTCATTCTGTTCATTTCGGGTTTGGACGTCTCAGTATTGAGGAATATGCTCAGCTCTCTAACATATCTTCAGCTATGAATCTCGCGAGTACCTGGGAGGTTTATGGAAAGATTCCGACGACTCCACCATATCTGTTCATGCGACTACAATCTTCAATTCGAGCAAATATCGCGCAGCTTTCTCAGATTTCCCTTTCGCCAAGACAGACGACGATTATCCCACAGCTACCCAACTGCATGAATGGCTTCAAAGATATGCTCGTCATTTCAATTTGCTGCCCAAAGTCAAGTTCGGAATGAAGGTCATGAACATCGAGAGGAGGGGTGAGAAATGGGATTTGGCAATCAGGCGAAACAGCACTGGACAGATCACGACCGAGTCATTCGACAAGGTCTGCGTTGCAACGGGCTCATTTTTCACCCCAAGATGGCCAATCCTCGCAGGTTTCGATCAATTTTCTGGCAAGGTCATACACTCCATCGATTATCATGGATCAAAGGAGTTCAAAGATCAAAACGTTTTCTTAGTAGGCATGCATGCCACGGCCCAAGATGTTACGAACTCTCTATCCGAGAACGCGAAGCATGTTTACCTCTCTCACAGAGGTGGTTTACTTCTATTGCCAAGATACAATGAGGATGGTGCGACTTTCGATTCTGCAGGTTCTCTAACGGTTACGATGGCTATGGCTTGGTTGAATCGATATTTCCCTAGAACCCTCTTCTGGTTGATGGACTCAGCTCTGAAGAAAATGTCTGCAAAGGCATTTCCTAACATTCCAAACGAATGGGGTCTGGATCCGGCGCCTTCTATGGCCATCTCGACTCCTTTGATGGCTGATACTCTTTGGACCCACCTGGAATCTCGGTTTGCGGAGCCAGTTCCCCCAATTCGGCGCATTACGGGCCCTCGCTCAATTGAGTTAGAGAACGGCCGCGTTCTGGAGGATATCGATTCTATTATTTATTGCACTGGATACAATTTCAATATACCTGAGGGCCTGATTCCTAAAACATCTACCATTGAAGATCTTCACCCTTATCCCGGCAACTCATTTGAACAGCCTCCAAACCTTTACCGAAATATTTTCCCTTTGCATCCAGACCCGTCCATCCGAAACTCACTCGCATTCATTGGTCAAGGTGCTATAGTCTTTCCTGGATTCATGCAGCAGGAATTGGTTGCCATGACCATCAGCCAGATCTGGAGGGGAAACTCTTCATTACCATCATATGATGAGATGCTCAATTGGCGAAAGCGTAACGTCGCAGAACGCGAAACAACTGCAGCTATATATAAGCCTCGCCAAGGCTCTACGTTCTATCCTGTATTCTTGAACATGGGAGATCAACTGCCCTGGTTGGACGAGACAGCTGGTACTGGTTGGTACCAAAACCTGAGCACGGCCTGATTCAATTGGCGTTCATGGAAAATGTGGTGGCAAGACAAGGAACTTTATCACCTGTGCATGAAAGGGTTGTTCACTCCTGCGATATGGCGACTCTTCGAAACTGGCAAGAGAAAAGCAATGCCGAGAGAGGAGTGTCGGGCGATGATTTTGAGTGAAAACAAATTGGCAGAGGCGCAAAAGAAGAGCAGATTGGAATCAAAGAAGAAAAGCTGAGACGTTGGTTACAATAGCTTGTCGTGATAGATGATTGGAAGAGAATCCTTTGAAGGGCGAGCGAATACCTCGTGCGAGCTGCTCCAAAGAATATTTAAATATTCGAGATGCAACGAACCATGATGTTATCTCTGAGCTTAAGCATGTAAAGTAATCCAAACCCCTGTAAGCCACATTTTGCAAATTTCATGGAGACAATTCACACGATACCAATCCTTCTAGAGACGCTGAAATTGGGTTTCTAATATAACTTTAATGATAATTTGACGACGGACAGGCAATTTTCAGCGCTTAAATCTTCTGCAATCTTTGAACAATATCACTACAATTATCAGTGTTATTAGTTTGCTAACTCCTCCATTCACTAATAACTAAGCAATTTCCAACTTGTTCATTTTGAGGTTCCCATTAACATGTGACATTGTTCTACTCACACTTTGATCATCTGTCGAAAGTCCCTCTGCATAGATGAAAGAAGATAGTTTCCATAGAGAAATCTTTCATGCCAGAAAAGAACAGCGTTCATGCATGCTAAAGGAATGTTTTTGAAAAAAGAATTTATGCTCACTTTGTGAATGATAATGCTAAGCTTTACGGAGCTCTAGTGGCTTGAAATATATTCGCAAAATCAGAGAACCGTGAACTACACTCTCTATTATACACTGGTATAAACCCTACAATAGCCCGTGATTATACGTTAGTCTGCCAACAATATGAAAACAAGGTACTTCAATTTAAAGAGAATGCATAAGAGAATACATAGGCAAAACTTCAAGTCCGTCAAGATCTCAATACTTTCAAGCGGCACAAGTTCTTTCTTCTTCAGATTAAGGTAAATAATGAAATGGCAATAAATAATACACGATCAGGCAGTACATTATATGGTCCATTGCTAGCGCAGAATTCCTTTCATCTTTTCTTCAATGCTAAAGTTACCCGACTATTAGCTCGCTTTTACAGCTACCCGACGTTTGGGTCTTGTACACCACGACTTGTATAGACAGATATTGAGGTCACGAGACCAGCACGTGAGATTCACCTACTTTCCCGATACCACTCTCTTTTGCTTTCATGTTCGGATCTCGGTCGTCTTAATTGCAAATTACAGCGCAGCAAAGTCCGTCGTCATGCCTCCAACCATCTACTTCGGCGTTGAGCTGGAGTTTTGTCTCGGATACCCAGCCAATGGGCAAACTGGCCTCCTCGCTACGAGCCCCCTCGCTTCGAGCTCCTTCGCTTCGCCCCCTTTTTCCGCCAACTTCACTTCGACAGATTCAGAAGAAGTACGGAAACAAGTCAGAGATCGCGCAGCAAGAGCGCATATTGGCCGGACTTTCCTTACTGAAGGCCTGCCGTACAAGCCAAGTGGGACGGACAATGACAAGCCCAACGAAGATCCAGATCACTGGTCCGTTAAAGATGATGATTCCATTCTCGAAGGCGGGCCACGGCCGGACTATTCTTGGTGTGGAGTTGAAGTAACGTCTCCCGCATATTCATTCAACCCAAAGTCGATTGCGGCTGTCGGACAAGCTTGTCACATCCTCAACAACCATTACTTTACCAATGTCTTGTGGTCTCCATGTCCATTTCTCCTTTGGTAAAGCTTTTGACAAGAATGTCCCAGAAGCAAACTGGACTTTTGAGCGTTTGAAGAAGTTGATGTAAATGGTTTCCACAATAGATTGCAATTACGAAACAGTGCTAATAAAGTGCGCAGGATGTTCTTTTGGGTTTTCGAGGATCACTTCGATACCCTGCACTCAACCCAACGACGCAAGGATAGACATAGGTGTTACATGGTTATGCGCCGCCATACCCCTATCAGCTCGAGCACCTTGTCCAAAGGACTCAACAAAATCAAGAACACCACCTCGGTGATTGAACTCGCACGCTTGGTATCTCGAGAAGAAGCTGAGAGGGAAATGGCAGTAAGCATCTACCACATCGCACAGAGACTTTCTCCTGGACACTTGATCGGACTCACGGTAAATGGTCAACCGAAGGCCTACACTCCAACAGTGGAGTTTCGTAGACACAAGGGAACTTTGAGCTTCGCAGGAGTAAGCAACTGGATCAAGACTCTGGCGGGTGTCATTCTGTGGCTGGAGGACAAAAATGTCAACGATCTTCCTGAACTTCTGATGGAGTTGTCGCGCAGAGTGTATGAGCTGTCAAAGGAGGAAACAGAGGGTCAAGATGGTGGCGATGAAACAAGGGACGGACTTGGAAGTGAAGACGGAAGTCAGAAGGAAGTCAGAGAACGAAAATTCCCCATCATTGAGCTATTGAAGAGTATTGGCCTTGATGCCGGTATCACTGGGTACTACTACCGGGAACTGCTTGTGGGGCGTGGAAGCGAGCTGCGGGAATAGTCTGACAAGACTTTGGAAGATTTTGAGAACGGCGGATGGCATTGGTATCAGAGAGCGCCTCGCGAACTTGTCGTCATATTTTGACTTCAACAAGAGCAACAAAGCTGGGGAACTACATGCCATGTGCTTTGAACCGCATATTTAGAGGACTAGTTTCGCATTCCTGAAGCTGAATGGTACTCTCGGACTCAAAAATCCTTCATTCTCTCTGAGACATAATATGGCTTTTTCATACCATGTGATCTTTTTTCTTTCTTGTAGCAAGACCTCAATCTTGGAAAATTCCATTCACAGTCACATCAAACTATTCCAGAGTTTTGATTGACTTCTGGTTGTGGTCAGGTTAGAGTCTGGATTATTAATTACCCTGGCCGACGGCCAAGTCCGCCCTGACATCACTGACCAAACACCAATGAAAACACCACCCATTCTTGGATTTCTGGACTCAAGTAAGTAAAGGGATCAAACTACCTTTGTTGGTTAAGTTAAGCTTTAGTTTGTTCGATGGTTCATGTTGTGAAACCTCAGCGCGTCTCTGCTTTGGAGTTATAAGTTTGCTTTTAATGCCCCTTTTTCTTTTGAAAACTCCTTTGTAGCTCATTCACTTGTAGTCATTAAATTTAATACACGACATTCTCAATAATCAACATCGTCAACATGGCAAGTGCAGCAACAGCCACATCCCAGATGGGAGACTCTCAAGCCTTCAAAAAGGTCGAAGTCGACTTGAGAGCGCAGCCATCCCACCCTTCAACATTCGATCCTTCAATTCACATGTCCTTTACACCTCCAACCGAGTTCTACACACTTGACGAGCTTTCCTTAAACTCGCCATTCGCTGTCGGACACGTCGCGATCACTGCGCCATTTCCTCTCTTCAGCAATGAAGGAGTTCGAGCTTTACGAGCCGACCTCTTTCGTCCCGAAGTCGTATCCAAGCATTCCTATCGAGAGAGCAAGACTCCCGAACTTTACAAGATTCGAGGTTACGGAAAAGACGCACCATTCGTGTATAGTACATGGACATCACCCGAAATCCTCGCAGCCTGTTCCAAAGCTGCCGGAGTGGAGCTAGAAGTTGTCTTTGATTATGAGATTGGACATATCAACGTCCAACTCCCTCAAGGTGTCGACAAAGATCAAGATGTCGTTCTTCCACCTGCCATGCCACCAAAGCAGGATTTGAAAGTGAGTGAAGAGGATCGTCGCGCTTCGGAGAAGGATGAAGGGAATATTACGGCTTGGCATAACGACTCGTATCCATGGGTATGTGTTTGCATGCTTTCGGATTCAACTGGGATGGTTGGAGGAGAGACAGCACTTCGAACAGGAGATGGTAAACTGTTGAAAGTTCGAGGTCCAGGAATGGGATATGCAGTCATGATGCAGGGTGGATTGATTAACCACGTTGCGCTCAAAGCTCTTGGTGGCGGCGAGCGCATTACGATGGTGACCAGTTTTCGACCGAAAGACCCAAATGCGTACGACAATAGCAATTTGGGCAATGTCAAGAAAGTCAGTGATCACGCGGCTTTGTTTGGACAATGGTCTGCATATCGAGCCGAGAACTTGGCGAAAAGAGCATTGGCGTTCAAGGACAGTCTAGTGGGGTTGAGTGCAGAGGATATTAGCAGAGTCACGAATGAGTGGGCTGAAGAGCAGATTGCGTATTTGAAGGTTACTGCAAAGGAATTGACAGACGAGGGTGCGAAGGGAAACTACAATCATAACATGGATTTGCTGAAGAAGAAGTTTTGATGAACGCTATATAGGGTTCGGCATTTGTAGTTTACATAAATTATCTATTATTGAGATTTCCAACACTGTTTTTTGCTCTCTTCAACACCATTTCAGCACCCATGACCATCATTGCAGCATCACCAGCTAGCAGAAAGAATTCAAAACCCATATCAATCTGAGCTTCTAAATTATCCTGTGACCCAAGAATTCCAACCGGAATACCCAACCGTTTCGAAATATCCAATATCTTCTGTAATGCAATGACATATTGTTCTTCCTTCCCATCACTACCAGGAAACCCCATGGAGCTCCTCAAATCCACAGGTCCAATAAACACACCATCAACTCCTTTGGTACTCATTATGGCTTCCGCATTTTCCACGCCCTCAACCGATTCAATCATCGCTAGAACAGCGACACCTTTCGCTGTTTCTGCCTGGTATTTCGCAAAGCTATTTGTCTTCTCCTCCAAATCCGCGTAAGGTGTTCGAAAAGGACCACTACTCCGCTGACCCAATGGAGGATAACATGCGCGCTTGATAATGAGATCCATCTCTTCTTTGTTATTCACCATCGGAACAATAATAGCGCTCACTCCGCTATCGAGTGCCCATTTAATCCACTCCACGCCATGTGATGGTACACGCACAACTGGAACACAAGCTCCCTGAGAGGCTGTGATAGTGGCATGTACCATGTCATTTGATGAGTGTGCTAATAAAGGGGAATGTTCCATGTCGATGAGAAGCCAGTCGAATCCGGAACGAGCCAGTATTTGGGCGGCATAGGGGGTATCGAGGGAGACGAAGGCGCCAAGTGCAGGTTTGTGCGTCTTCAGTTTGCTTAGGAAAGTGGTTGTCATGATTTTCAGCGATTGTGCAAAGCTTGAGATACTGTAAATTGCAGGTTGGAATCAAAAGGTCGTTCAGCTACCCACGACTATTCTCATCCCACTCCTGAAGCACGGGGTCAGGGTCCACGCGAATCTTAGCGAGCCCCTGATAAGGAGGGACCAACGGGCTCAAGTCGCGATCTGAATTGTAGAAATAACGAAATGTGACTCCCATGTCCAAGAAATCGAGGACGACCGCGGCCCGCGGCGAGATAGGCTTTCATCTCTGTTTTGTTTCTCCAACTTTCAAGTAATTCCTGGGGAAGGATATATCGGATGTCGGGTGTGGTAGCGTTTGATAAGGAGCTCGTGTCGATCATATCCCGAAGTAGACAACTGTTCCTGAGTATATCAAAATGTCATCAAGGAAGCAGTGTTCCGAGCTTATTAAAATTTTAGGACCTTCTCTCAACCGTCGCGTAACGGCGTGGGTTGGCCGTTGATAACAGTTATCTGTATTTATCTTGGCAGGTTATGCAAGGCTGAGCGATGTCTACAATATCAACTTCCCATCCCCAGATCTACGGCTGTCAGTCAGTCAGTCATATCCTTTACCATTCCATCGGAACGAATACTACTTCCGCCGCCTTGCATATCACGGGCTTGATTTAAAGTAACGGAAGAGATCATTCATTCATGCTGCCAATATCTTTTCGTAATCATGACATTCGCAGTATCGGACAAGAAAGGGGCCGAGTCTCCAATTAACAATGATCATGAGAATGGCATGAATGAAACTGAGTCAATCACCGGCGAACTAGCAACAATCCACCTCCCAGGACTCGATTCAGTCTTCGAAGAACAAGCAGCTCTTTTAAATCATGCTGTGCAAGTCATTGGTATGGGAAAATATCAATGGGCATTGTTCGTCTTAGCGGGGTATGGCTGGATGTGTGATCAGGTACGATTCTTCAAGTCCAATATCGCCTCTAAGCTAATTGTTTAGCTATGGCAAACCACCGTCTCAGATGCCCTCGCTCAAGTTGCAGTTGAGTTCCAGCCTCAACACTCTGCATTTCTGTCCCTGGCTCTCATAGCAGGCTTGGTATGTGGTGCTGGCTTCTGGGGTCTCGGATCGGACTTGATTGGACGAAGGCTAGCATTCAACCTCACGCTCTTCATCGCCGGAGTTTTCGGTCTTGCTGCTGGAGCTGCACCAAATTTCGTTGCTTGCGCTATGCTATGCTCTTTCATTGGCTTCGGTGTTGGTGGTAATCGTAAGTTTCCGCTGCTCGTACAGCGTCTAGACGCTGCTCACATTCGCTAGTCCCCGTTGACTCGGCAATATTTCTTGAGTTCTTGCCAGCTACCCACCAATACCTTCTCGTCATTCTATCGGTCTGGTGGGCGTTAGGTCAAATTATCCCGGCCGGTGCTGCTTGGGGATTTCTCCCTAACTTCAGTTGCGCGTCTACCACTCCAGCAGGACAATGCCACAAAGCTGATAACATGGGCTGGCGTTACCTCATGTACACTATGGGCGCGCTCACCCTAGTTCTATGGGCTGGTAGATTCTTGTTCTTCCGCTTACACGAGAGCCCAAAATACTTGGTTGGGCAAGGCCGATATGTAGAAGCCATCGAAGTATTGGATGCAGTTGCCAAGTATAATGGCACATCGCAACCAATCACAGTAGCCATGCTCGAGAAGATAGAATTAGACCATGCTGAGCGTCATGGAAAAAGCCATGAAGTTGCTCCTGTTGATCGGAAAGCTGCCATCAAGCGATCTCTGAGGGCATTCAAACCTGGAGGCTTTCCTCACGTCCGCGCACTCTTTTCGACATTCAAACTTGCGTACTCGTTTACGTTGATTCTTCTGATCTGGGGAATGATTGGACTGGCATCTCCTCTTTACAGCAACTTTCTCCCGGAATATCTTGCAGCGCATGGTGCTAAAACTGGAGACGGTAGTATCAATATTACCTACCGAAACAACTTTATTATTATCGTCTGCAGTCTGCCTGGAACTCTTCTCGGAGGATGGCTGATTGGAATCAAATATGTTGGACGAAGAGGAACATTGGGAGCGTCACTCATCATCACTAGCATCTTCCTCTTCGCTTTCACAACTGCTAAAACATCGGCTGAGAATTTGGCGTTCAATTGTGTCTCGACATTTGTACAATACATGTAAGTTCAAGCATCATGTTGAAGAGGAACTGACTAACAGTAAAACAGAATGTGGGGCGCGCTGTACTGCTACACCCCAGAGGTCATCCCATCTCTGCATCGTGGTACAGGAACAGGTCTTGCATCTGCTTTCAACCGAGTTTGTGGTTTGATGGCTCCTATTATTGCGACTTATGTTGGATATTCGGATGTACCTATCTTTGTGTCAGCATCGTTGTATCTGGTCGCTGGTCTTTTAAGCTTCTGTCTGCCGTTTGAGACGATGGGTAAGGCCGCAATATGAATGATAGCAAACTTTCCCGAATAGCGCGTACTATCATCATTGTCACGATGATACGATACAAAGCATCCAATCTTTTATTCTCACTTTGCAGACCATATATCGGCCTTAGGGTATTGATGGAATGTACAGTATGTATCATGGATGACCTAAACCAACAATATTCTGCCACTTATGTTTTTGAAGTCATCAAAGTTCAAGCCCCATCCATCCATGTTGAGAGCTTTGATGGCCTCCTCCAATTTATAGTTTAGATCCCAACGTCCGCCATCTTGAATATACCTAGAGGTATCGGCTTCCTTTTTGGCCTTAATCATTAACCCATTTGCTGTTTGGACGACATCTATACCTTCTCTCAACAAGCGAACAGAGCTACCAGCGTAGTCGGGCAACGCAAAGTCTCCGAGTTGAAGTTCCTGCGAACAGAACATCGCGTTTCCAAGCACCATGCTCACCAGCATCTTTGATTGTTTTAGCTTCTGACTCTTCATGTTGTCAACAGTCAGCATCTGGGTCTTGAAGTTTGCAATCGTCTTTTCGATCTTCTGAAAAGCGATGGTCCGCTGCTCGTTGATGGCTTCTATAACATCATTAGCGTAATGACAGGAAGAAAGTTTCAGCACGTCCTCGAACAAGCAAATTGATCGTGAAGCCACGATATCGTCGATTGGTGGAGAACAGTCCTGTATCTCCAGATTGTCCAGAGGATGCAAAAGACATTTGCAAATCGAAATTGTACGTCAAATTGTCGAACAAACAAACAGATGTCACTTACTCAGTACTCTCACAGGCAACCGAATACGTTCGTCTGTAAAATCGATCGAACTCGTGGCCTCATGCTGGGCTGCTTTGGATAGCGTCTCAAAATGGTCTTTCATCCCGAATAACCATGCAATCCATAAGTAGATTAAGAGATCCTTATCAAAGGACTTCCAAGGACCATGGACATTCATCAGACTGTCAAAGTACGACGTAGCATGAGGTGTTATCAGTTCGTGCCACTGATACTTGTCGACAATAATGGCTACCTTGTTGAGCATTGGAAGGTCGATTTTTTTAGGCACTTGGACGTGGTTCCCATGCAGTATGGCGAGTATGATCATCATTGCCAACGGATCGTCTTCAAGGAGCTCTATCGTGACGAAATCCTTCTCTTTCAGTTCGGTGCCTTCACGGAAAGAGCTATCAAGCATAGCCTTGAAGTAGTCGGAAGAGGCGATGAGTTTGGAAGAGGAAACTCGTAGTTTGAATCTCGCAACTTCGACATTAAGTGGTCCTATATTGTAGGCCGCCGGTCGGACTTCTTCGTTGGTTGGGGAAGCTTCTTGTCCCTGGACTTGAGCGAGGTCCTTGGTCTCTTTCGCTGCAAGAACCAGTTCCACATCGCCCTTCGGCTGTATTCGATGTTAATAGTTGTCATTTTGAGGTGGGAAGGAAAGTTGTATAGAGCAGCTCGGGAGTTTGGATCCATTATATACAGGCGCGAGACATCTGTGACTGTGCTAATCGAGCAAGCCAGCGATGTATCACTGCAAATATCTGAATCATAGAGTTCCCAAACCAACGACTGTGATGATTGTAGTGACATTGTTCGAAGGTTACTTAGGACTTGAGCCAGGAAAGTTGTCTGTCAGTCGGAGTCGATTCACTGGAAGGCTGTGATGCAGAATAGATCATGTATTCCATTCAATGGCATGTACCTTTTGAATTTGGAGTCATCCACAAATCGACATTAGTCAAATCTCTGCCAAAGGTTCGATTTCAGGTCATCGATAAACCCCAGTCTCTGGGCTCGTGACTCGGAGGGGAAATATTTTGTCCATAAAAGAACTCGAGATTTGCCTCTTGGACATGGTTTATCTCGCACTAGGACCCGTCAAGAACATCAACATCTTTCAAAAGACTAACTCATACATCAGAACAAAGACGATTCAAGTATTATTCTTCAACAACAGAACTATCAATCAGACTCCCAAAGAATTCAAATGGCCATCTCAACGATCAACGAAGAGCATATAGCAAACTATGCTAATGCAGTAAACTACAAGTGCTGCGATGTAAGCATCTCGTACAGGATTCATGCACACGCTGATATAGAGCTAGTGTAATGGACTCATTCTCTTCACTGAAGACCACTATTCAAACTACAAAGATGGTTTTGTTTATGGCCATTTGAGATGTGGCGATTGTAAACGCACTCTGCTCCATTAGATCTTTTGAACGCTGCTGCATAAGTAAAGAAGAAATCAACAGAGGTGGGATTGATTTCTTTTTGCGAGACTTTAAGTCTGCGTTGTGTTGGACTTATTTTGCGTGGCTTTCGCATCACCCAGACTGTTGGAGGTTGGATGGCGAACTTGAACGATTTTATTCCTATAAAACTACCTTTGTGTTGGTTTGGCTTAGACATTGTAAAGTTGAGATGGTTTGGAGAGAATGGTAATGCCTGACTTTTAAGAGAACTTCGTAATCTAACAAATACAAGCAGCGTAAGTGTGATTTTGATATGACTCTCAAAGCGACAGCAACAATGTGCTGCCAAACTCGGTGTGTTTCTCCAAATGAGATACCAACTTGCATGGCTAAGACAAGTTAGCTGCCATCGCTCATCTTGCCGGACTTCGGTCACGTGAACTACCGGGATATGACATTGAAACTCAATCCAGGGAACAAGAAGAAACAGTGCCACAGGAGCAGAAGACTGAACGACACCGATACAACAAGAAGTCTCACACACATCCTTGAGTATGCCTAACCAGAACCAACACAACAAAACACCCCCTACCCCCAACGCCCTCACCTGCTCATCGGGAGACTTCTCCTGAGATCAGACAAACTTGGGGTCCCCTCCCCTGAAATCAAACACAAGTACAACAACCTACGCGCCACCACAGCCCCGGGAGACTTCCGCCCGGACCAAAGTGCTGCAACCCTCTGAAACGCAAAAAGAAACCAAACCCTAAACACCTGACTTACCAAGTACCAAACATGGAATGCACATGTTGGAAAGAACAGACAGAGCCCTCATGCGACCAGCATCACACCAACATGATTCAGCTGAGGAAACCAAACCCGATCTGCCGAGAATATATGAAGATGGGAAATAGAGTGTTGTCAGCCTCCTTTGTTCGACATTTTTAGGGGGTGACGAGGAGACAGGAATACATAGAGATTGAGTGAGAAGGAATTCGCCAGATGGTAGATTGAGAGATGTTATCTAGGGGCGTAGTGAGAAGAGAGAGGGAGTTAGGGTACAAGCGAGGTTGTAAGGGAGAGGCTCAAGAATAGTGACAGATACATGCGGGAGGGAGGGACCGATGATGATAAAGCAGACAAATATAGGAAGGAGGGAAGGGGAAGGGGGAGGAGGAAGGGGAGGAGAACGGCACGGAGAGTCGGGGAGTTGAAGTTGGGGAAGAACCCAGTTTAGGTAGTTGAGTTGAATATACCCGCGCGTGTTGGCGGCAATGGCCCAGATTGCGGCCTGGAATAGAACGGGAGTAGCCAGGATAGGCCTAGTCTGATTCTGGTCTGGTCGAGGATATTGCGGGAGTGGCTGATGACATCCCGGTCACGTACTAACCCAACATCACATCTCAAGGACGAACATCAAGAGTGAAGATACTTCTGATATTCTCGCAACAATGGAACAAGATCACGATTTCTCACACCAAAAAAATCAAACAAGTATCACTCACCCCATCCTCGTAATGCCCAAATATACGCCCTTCCTGTGCCTTTTACCACTCGTCAATCTGCCTACAGAACGCTGCGATTCGTATGGATCCGCGCAGGAGGAGGCGCAGTATCTCGACTGGCACGGCTGCACCCCCTTCACGCTGCAGCAAAAAGACTCGCATGTACCCGTCGACCGCTTCATGCAACCTGCAACCTGCAACCTGCAACCTCTCATTCTGCACCGAAACTGAGCCTCACTCCCGCAGCCACCACTGCACCTATTCTTCGACCCCCAACATCCCAACTCCCCGTACTGTACATGTACAACCCGGTGTCGAGTAGAAAGGGAATGGCTATGCTGCTGGATTTGAATTTGACCAAACTTGGCTTTCACCCGGGATCCTGCGCTTCTCAGTGGCTGAATCGAGAGTGTAAGGGACCTCGATTAGAACAGTCGACCCCGGAAAATGGATGACTGATGTGCTGTCGGAAGTAAAATGTGGAAAGTGAATGTCGGTCCCAAGATAAGTCTGACTTTCTTTCACCTTCAAATAAAATAAAATAAAATAAAATAAATTGTTGGTCCAAAGAAGAGAGAATCGAGTCCAGCTGCCTTCGTCAATCTTTTTTCTGCCGAGGATACCCATATCCCTCCCTCCCTCCCTTCCCTCCTCCCACCCAACACCTTGGGTCGGGGAGTTTTCCTTTATGTACAATCCATTCGCCATCAACGTTTCCCAAGGTCCATCTGGTTCGATAACACCAACCACCACCACAACAACAAATCCCGAGTTGTTGACCTCGGACACATTCCACATCCCACACTCATTCATTCGTTCGTTCCCATTTCCTTAAAACAAGAGCAAGACCCCGTCCTACGAGATGCGGTTTTCCCTCGAGCGAGCTCCCGCCGACCCCTCATGTGCTGCTGGGTTCTTATGGTATACCTGCAGTGATATCGACTTCTATGGATGCTGCTCCACCGATCCGTGCGATGCTGGCTGTCCTGATCCTGCTTCATTGACGAAAACAATCTCGACCAACTCCCCACTTCGGACCTCGACTCTGACTGTGTCTGCTGCACAATCGAGTACCAGCTTACCGTTGACCTCGAGCTCTGCCCCGACTACGTCTGTACTTAATAATGCTGATCTGGCTGGATTTACTACATCGATGACAATTTCTGAGACGGGAATTCCAACTTCATCACCGAGTCCCTCAGCATCAACAGCGAGTTCAACATCAAATTCAACCACAAATTCCATAGCACTCATCATTGGAGGTGCGGTTGCCGGAGTTGTGGTCGTTTCCATCATGTCCCTAATCATCTGGTTCTGTCTCCGCCGCCGCAAGCAAAAGCAAAACAAGAGCAGCAATCGATACTCACTCCAAGATTCCCTTCCTCCCTACGGAATACCAACCAAAGATTTCGTTCTAGACCGAACAACCGGCCCGGCACTTTCACTCCAAGAAAGTGAACCCTTTGCACCGTTCGGAGGTATGTCATTCCTATCCATCTGATATGTATGTACAAAGCTGATCCCACTCGTAGGCCGCTACCAATCAGCAAGCCCGTCCAACTCAGAGCCTCGAAGCCTCCCACCTCTACCCCCCACTTCTCCTTCACCAGAACCTCACGTCAGCCGCGCTCGTACCGACTCGCAATCCCAATCCCAATCCCAATCCCAATCCCAAGCCGCAGCACCATCTCACTCCTCACCCGAAATCTACTCCCAAGCCCAAGCCCAAGCACACGCCGAAGCAATATCCACCTCCACCGACTCCCTCCCCACCGCCGCCCTCCCCACCGACCCCGAAAAAGCCGCCCTGAACCCACCCCCCGCACACCTGCACCCCATCTACGGCCTCACGCCGCCCTCCCCAGGACTCCCGCACGTGCACCCGGGAAACCCCGTCAACCGCTCCCTGGAACCAATCCAATCGTCCATCCAGTCCTCGCTGCGGGATTTGCCATCTTTCATGCACAACCCGACGCAGGCGTACGAGCGGGAGGTGAAGTACCGGTCTCTGCCGCGGCGGACGAGCGAGGTTACTAGGAGTACGACGACGAGTCGGAGATGGCAGCCGTGGCGGAATAGTGAGTATGGTAGCGGTGGCGGGGGCGGTAGTGGTGGGCCTGGTGGGCCTGGTGAGCTTGATGGTTCACCTGTCGTTGATGGCGATGTGGTGTCTCCTATGATTTCTTCACCACCTCAACCTGAGCTCGAGCGCGCTTCGCGATCACCGCTCCCTGAGCTGGAGGGTGATTTCGTGCCGTCTACTTTTTTGACACCTCCTATCCCGCAGAAGAGCGTGAAGCGGAAATCTCGATGGGAGACTGCTCCTACTGCTTCTCCTCCAACTGAGACTATCGGCTTGGGAGTAGGTGTCGCGACCCCGTCATCCGTATCCTCGGACTCGACTATGCATTTACCGATCCAGATGCAAGGACCGAAGGGCCTGGATCTCACGAGCCCGGTGTTGAAGGGTAAGGAGGGCTATTTCTCTCCTAGGGGTCCGCCGAGTTTGTTTGTGGCGACGAGGGAGGTGTTGGATGGGAGTGGGAAGGAGGTTGTTTCTCCGATGAGTGCGGGGACGGAGAAGGAGAAGGAGGGGGTTTTGAGGTGGAGTGGGACGACTGCTAATGGGACGCCTGGGCCTGGGATGATGGGGAGGTTGGTCATAGGTGGTAGTGGAGAGGTGGTTAAGCGGGGAAGAGGGGATTTTACGCCGATGAGTGCTATGAGTGGGGTTAGTAGTGTTGATGTGGATGTCGAGAGGGAGTGGGGAAGTTGGGCTTTGAGGTAATGAGAGGCTAAGGGGAGAGATGATGATTATGATGACGGGAAGGGAGTTCAAGGAGGCAAGGACTTGTGCAACGATACCCATTTGCTTATGACTTAATGTCTTAATGATGTATGATATGAGAGAGCAAGGCGTTTGAGGAGTTGCTTTAGCTGAATGGAAAATTCCTGGAGCTGAGCGTAGAATAATCGAATTCTTTAATATTAAATGAATTGATTTTGGGTGACTTGCGATAGCTGTAGACTTCCTGGAGTTGAGTGCAGAATAATCAAAAGTCTTTAATATTAAATGGGTGGAATTTGTGAGACATTGAGATAGAGACTCCGGACTTACTTAATAGAAACTTCTCATCTCCTATGAATCCCCCCTCCACTCTTCATCGGGTTACTAGAATTTTGCAAACTTGATTAGCCACCAAGAGAACTGCAAACGCAACGAGAAGCAAAACCCAGATGAAAAATCTTGCATATGTCTACCCATATGCCCAGCCTAACAGCCTCTATCCAAGGCCCGTCCTCTGGCTCAAATTTCTCAATCTCACCCTCCACACCTCTCACTTCTCACCACCCCACCATCTAAACAACCAAATAAACGCCATCCCACCCGGAAGAGGATATCACGCCCGCCACGCCATGCCATGCAATCAATTTTACCCGTCCATCCATCCATCCATGGAGTCCCAAACGCCCAAATCAACCTCTCCTCTCCCCTCCCTCAATTCCCATACCCCATCAACTTCGTAATCTCATCCAACAGATCCTGCAACTCCTCATCGCCAATCTTATCCTGCAAACTCGGAATCAGGGTCTTTGCCTCCTCCGCCGTGTCGCAGCAGAGAGAACCGAGTTGCGCGCGCTCGAACTTGGCGAGTTCTTTGTGGGCGGAGAGCAGACGTTCCACGGCTTCGACGTTTTCTTTGCGTTTGAAGCGCGCGAAGTGGTCTAGGTAGTCGGTGGTTTTCATGAGCATTCTGGATAGCGGAGTCAATTAGCATTTGTCCTTCTTCTATCCATTTTCCAAGATTTAAAATGTATGGAGGTGGGAGGGGACATACTCAGTCTCATTAATATTCTTCTTATCCATTCTCCGCTTCGCGACAAGAGCGTTGATGACGAGCATAGCTTCACTGTGTGTCAAGGCGTCCACGTCCTGGAATTCTCCTAATTTGAGCTCAGCGGCTGCTTCCTCGTCGCCTTGTGGTGCTTCGCGGCTTCGTGATGTGGGCGCGGGGGCTGGAGCTCGACCTGGGGCTGCCATTTTGAGTTCGTATTGTGAAAGCCCTTTGCGTAGGAGGTGTTGTGGAGGAGGGTGGACGTCGCGCAAGCTTGGGGAAGCTCGAAAGACGGTCTTTAGGACGTGTGTGTGTATCACAAGTCGAAGCGATCGTGGAGATGTCGATTGTGAGGGAGAGGGCGTCGTGTGTTCGTGGTGGAAGTGTGTTGTAGTGGGGTGGTTGTCGCGTGAAGAAATTCAGAGGTTGAGCTTAATTTCCAAATCTGGGGAAGTTTGCCGAGACTGGACTTGAACACTAGACTTCACATATTGATGCGCCGGATCCCTTCATCACCAGAACTCGAAATTAATTGTTGCATTTATATGTCCTTGATACTCCATTGAAGGACCTTCAGCTCTGCGAACATTCTAGCCCCTGGAATCTCGAAGACAGTTGCCTTCCCAAAGAGCCTCAAAATGTACAATCTCCATCCATTCCCGCTCGAACAGCCAAACTGACAATTTACCACTCAGGGTCGTCTTCGCACTCATAATAATAAACAAAGCCGGAGGATTAATCTACCAACGCGACTTCGCAGAAGGACTCAACAAACTCTCCATAAACGACTACCTCGTCCTCGCCGGCACATTTCACGGGTACCCATCCTTTCCTCCCCTCCACCACCCATCTAACACCCCCCCAGAGTCCACGCAATAACAACCCGCCTCAACCCGCTCCACCAACACAACCTCCCTCCCTCCACCTCCGACGTACGACCCGACCCTCCTTCAGGAATCGAAGTCCTGGAGACAGAGAACTTCCGCCTACAATGCTTCTCGACTTTGACCGGGACGAAGTTTCTGCTGTTTACGGAACCGCAGCAGCCGAATGTTGATAAGATCGTTGGGAGGATATACGAGTTGTATTCTGATTATGTGATGAAGAATCCGTTTTATCAGTTGGAGATGCCGGTGAGGTGTGAGAGTTTTGATAGGAAATTGGTGCAGTATGTTAGGCCGTTGAATAGTAGGTGAGGGAATGGAGATAGGATGGAATATGGGTATAAGAGAATACTGGCTGGGCGTGGAGAAAGGTCTGGTCAAGCTATAGACTTGGAGAGGCATGCTATGACAGAGGATCAACGAGCAGAAGGCCAAGCGCAACCTTCGGAATAGAAGGCAGAGGGAATGCTGCTCAGAGAAAAATATGACCCAAAAGCAGAAAGAAGTGTAAGGTCTCACGACAGAAAGATTCTGGAATGAAATCTGGCAGTAGATGTTCACAAGCCATCATTCTATGGCTCATCTAGTGGTACACATACAGTCCCAACGCCAGGAGCAATGCAGATCATACCCGCAACTCCAATCTATGCCGTGTCCATCTTATCTGCATCATCGTCGTCCTTCTTGTCCCCACTTGGTTCACCATCCTTCCCCAACAGCGGTGCCTTCTCTCCTTGCTCGTCTTCTTCCTTGATATTCTCCAGCTTCGCCTTATCTTCCTGTTCCTTCTTCTCCTTCTCGGCCTTGTCTACTCTCGCCTTCTCCTCTTCCATACTCATTCTCAACGCAAGAGCCAATTCTGGGTCAACAGAAGGATCAATGCCAAACTCGAAGCCATCCCCACCACTTGCACCTTCTGCTCCACCTCCAGCACCGGCCCCTGATCCATCACCGTTCAATATGGGTGTGGTAATGAGCTGGTCGGACAACAAACCAGGTCCTGGGTGAATAACAACCATATGTGATCCTTCCGCACTCTTAACATTCTCGTTGAAGGCCGTGAGCTTGTTTGTTGTATCGTCATCCACCTGCCCGAATGCCACGAAATCGATATTGATATTATTCTTCTTCATCTTTTTCGCTAGCTTCACCAGAGTCTTGTCATCTTCGGCGATCGGGCTGCAAGTAAAGACGACAATACGCTGGCGTTGAGATTTGTTCTGTCGGTGCTTGAGAGCTAGCTATTTGAATGTCAGCGCAAATATCTCAGAGTAGGAAATGGTCTGCATACACCTGCAATCTGAATTCCTGTAGCCAAATGACTGCTTCCTCTAATCTTGCTCTTCGTACGATGTAATCCGGATAGAATCTTGCCATGATCCGTCGTTAATGTCACCAAAACTTCTGGTCCTTTGCCACCCATACTCATCAGACCGACTGAGGATTCGGGATTGCCTTGCGTAATGGCTGCGAAGATCAGAGAAACGGCATCGCTTTGTGCTTCGTATCGAGTGGGTGTATAGTCGCCATTTCGACTGCTTTCACTGTTGTCCACCACTACCATTACTGCTTCGAGAACCATCTTGATGTATGTGCCTCTGAGGAGGGCTTGATGGGGATATGCGGGATTTCGAGAAGGATGGAGAGGTTGGATCGAGTTGCGGTGGTTTGGAAGTTGAAGTTGTTGAAGTCGATGATTTGGTTCGGTGAGGCTCAAGGTAGCTGTGGATGCGCGTACCCTGGAGCTTTAGCGTCATTTGGCGCTAACGCCTAATCAAGCGAAGGCCGCTTCCCGTATAGTTTGTTTACTTTCAACATTCACGACTTCAGCAGAGAAGAACTTCAGAATACCACGCGAAAGCAAATAATCGACGTAGGAATCGAACTCAAAGTATCCCTCGACTTTCATCCGGGGTTTCGACTCAAAGATTAGCATTAATCCAACCTTGTAAACACCACAACATGGCTCCGACGCGTTCCAAGAAGCAACGCAAGTCTACAGAATCAGCAGGTTCTGTTGATATACAGAGCTTTCCAGCTCCTCCACAGATGGTACCAACGAAGATGCGCAGTCCTGCGACAACCCCTCCGAACAATAGAAGTCCCATTAGGAAGCCAAAGATGGGCATCACAGCCGCACAGAGGCAGGCTCTGATTGATAACCTGCAGTTGGAGAGTATGAGGACCCTTTACATGTTAAGATCTGCCACTGACCCTGTTTACAATAGTCACCGAACGTGCCAGAAAGCTTAGAGCACAATATACGATGCAAGCACAACAGTTAAAGACGCGTATTGAGATACGAGTCAACAGAATTCCGGTCGCATTGAGGAAGGCAAAGATGGGAGATCTGTTATTGAAATATAGCGAAACTGCTTCCAAGCCAGCAGCTTCGACATACAAAGTACACTCTCCAGCCAAGAATCTTTTGCAGGCAGAGCAGAGTCGATCACGAGCCAGCCCATCACCGAATCGTGGCACAAAGCGATTGAGGTAGACATCTATTCTTCCCACCCGATAATCCGTGCTAACTTAATGTAGTGTTGATATGGACAAGGAGAATGAAGATATCGAGAACCCCAAGAAGAGAACACGAGCAGCACCTGTCCCACCAGCACGTACAACCTCTCGAGCGAAGATCGCACCCTCACAAGTTCTCTCTCCACGATCAGCAAATTCACGTACATTGCCTCGTTCACCAATTGCTCGACCGATATCTCCTCAAAAGTCATTCCTTGCACGACCAGTCTCTCCATTGAAACCAGTAGCCCCGGCACCAGCTGGAGGAGCGGCAGGAATACTTACGAATATGGTCGAGAAAGCAAAGACAACTAGGGCCACAGTGTCACGAAAGGTCACAGCAGAGAGTAGTACAACAGGAGCAGGAAGAGGTAGAAGAGCAGCACCACCAGCATCTGCTCCTAAAATTGGAAAAGGCCGAGCAAGCACAATCAGTGAAAGTAGTGATTCAAGTAGCACCACTGTGGTTAGGAAGCCCGTGCCAGCGAAGAAGGCGCCAGCAAAGAAGACGATGATGAGCACGATCAAGGGGATGGGAAGTCAAAAGAAGATGCCTGCAGCTGCAAAGAGTACAGCTTCAGCGGCACCTGTATCGACTGGAAGAGTACTTAGGAAGAGAAATTGAGATGCGTTCTGTGATTTGATACTGTTGGATTTTGTAGATTAGCGTTTGGCGTTGCGGACTTGTGGGAATACGAAACGTATATGAACTCAACGCAAATGGTATCAAATTTCATTTCCAGACCATTGACACTAATACCCTAAACCGTCTAGCCTCCAGCTCCACTCCCTTTCTTCTTCTTATCCTCCACAAGCTCAATATTATCCTCAGGAATCACAGGAAATTTCTCCAAAAAGAACTCCTCAATCTCCTCACTAACATCACCCTGAACCACAATCTCTTCCCCGCCACTCGGTACTTTCGTAACCGATGCCCCGGTAGCAAATTTCTTCCCCAGATCCTTGGCCACTTTCTTGTTCTCCAGCCCGAAATTCTCGAGTCCTGTTACCGTCGTGACGAACTTTCTCTAGAGGGGGAGACTGTGTCAGCTTTCCGAAACCAAAAGCCAATGTAAAGAGACGATAGAGGAGCGAGACACACCTTATTCCTCTCCACCCTCTTAATAATAACCTTACTGCTAGCAATCGTAGCAGCCTGTTTAGCCTCCGCCGCTTCTGCTTTCAGCGCTTTCTTATGGGCGTCTTTCTCAGCTCGTTTCTGGGCGTCGAGGGATAGGGAACTGGTTGCTGCTGCGAGGGCGTCTGCGAGTCTCCACATTAGCATGTGTGAAGAGGGAGAACAGGAGGAGGGGAGACAGACCTTCGGACCATAAGCGCTCGTACATGGTGGAGTTGTTCTTCTTGAGCCATTCTTGGCATTTCTTTACTGTGCCGCCGAATTCGCAGTACTACTTCCGGGTGAGCTGTCAGTTTCTGGGTGCGTGGGAGGTTGGTGGAGGGATGTGTACCTCTGGTGGTAGTGTGCAGACTGGAGGGGTGGTTAGTATGGTCTTGAGATGTGGTGGGGTGAAGATATACCTCCGCAATAGACTACATGTCTGGATTGTGGTTCGTGGGACGCATCGGCTGCTTCGACGTCTGCCATGATGTGGAGTAATTTGGGATGTTGGGTGTATTGTTTGTAGAGGGATGAGCGTGGTTGTATTTGGCAGATGTCGCAGAGTTGTGGAGGGGAAATCGAGGGAGAGGCAAATGGAGGGGCAGGTGCGCTAGCGGCCGCCTCAAGAATTAGAGTAACAAACCTCTTTTCCTCTTGTTTAGAATATTACCTAGAATTTGTATAATGAAATCTGATTTACAATTTATCTAGTCACATCACTCGTTCAAGATTCATTATGGTTCGAATTTAGTGAGCATGGAACTGTAGTGAGAATTGCATATTTATCCTCGATTAAGCATCCACCAGTTCCAAACATACCCAGATAGGTAGACAACTTAAAGAATCTTGAGAACTGAGTTGACGATTCGACTACTTCTTGCAGTTCTGCTTCAACAGTGATTGGGTTCCTTGAACGATTGGTCGACTCCTCAAGGGCGCCCTTGGAGCAGCTTGGTGATCTCAAGCTTGGGCAGAGTCATCCGTCGCCATGACTATTGCTGGCCAGGGCATAGATCCTTGAGGGTCAACCACAATTTTGATCTTGTGGATAAGTGGCCGATCTCGTGTATCCAGGGTGACTGTCGCTGATTTACCCGATGCCAACAGAATGGAAAGTTTGTCGACGCCTCTGTGGGATTTTTGCCTATCCTCCCATCTACCCCACTGATCTGGTGGACAATCCTTGATGGGCATAACATTGAGCCCAAACAATTCCTCATCATTACTATAGTCGATCAGGATTCTCTCTGGGGCATGATCCTGCTTTGTGATCTGTTCCTCCCAGAGACGAATTTCCCAGTGATGCATCCTTGGTGTGGACATCACGAGGTCAGGAGGTAAGCGTACATGGTACCTTATCACAGATGATTGTTCAACCCGAGGTGCTGATGGAATGCAATCAACTACGAATCCGTGTTCAGCGCTGAAGCAAAGTCAAATTCGATTGCATGCGCCCTTCGATCGCCATCTTCTTTACCATATCCCTTGATGTAGATGATTTTTCGGAAAGCGCCTGCCGGAGTTGCCGTGTTATAGACACCCGGATCTATATGCACTAAGCCAGAGCGTTTTGAGGAAAATGATGGAATTGCACCGCCGTCCCTACAGTATCGATCTTCGTGGGTTGAAGCTCGCCTCACGTACACTGCCAAAGGCTTATCCAAAGATGTGTTCTTGCCCTTCTGACAGCAATTGAGAAGTGCCAGCTCGGGGGCAGAGCCATTATCTGACTTGTCCTGACTGCTTAAAAGCTGGGTCCAAACTTGTCCGGAGCCGCTAGAAGCGGGAAGGAGGAAGGTATCAAGACGAATGCCCTTGTTTGTCATTGCATATGGGCTCCGGTGATAATACGTTGCAGGAACAATCCGGCTGCATCCCTTAAAATGAATAGGATGAGACGCTAAAAAGTAACCAGCTGTGTCCCACAGAAGGTCCTCTTTCCAGGCAAATATTGACTCGTCGTCTGACACCTCCAATATCTCAAGCTGTAATCTTCGGAAAGCATTATCTCCTTCTCCATAGAGCGGAGGCATATTGACACCAAAGAGACCCATTAAACAATAGGCTTGGTCTTCAACTCTCGTTGTCACTCGCTCAGCCGCCCATGACATTTTTTGAGCAATTGAAGCTCTGTTGAAATTGAGAAGGTGTGTAATGCCAGTGATTTGCTCAATCAATGGTCTTAGCTGTAGTTTCGTTCCGATCTCTGTCCACGTGATATCGAAGAATATAATCGTGTGAGGGGCCAACAGCTCCTGCAATGTCCATCCGCGGGTAAACCATCGGCTCCTCCGAAACATTGAGGATAAGGAGGTTGAGTCAAATCCATTGATTAGAACATCCGATAGGTATGCATAACACACTTCAGCATTTTTATACCATTTAAACATAGAATTGATAGCCTCCGAAAGCTCAGCACTACTGGATTTGTCGATGCAACAAGTATCGATCCAAGCATATTTCAAGCCGTCCTCCCGTGCTCGTTGACAGCAACCAGTAATTTTAAAGCTGTTGGCAGCCCCCTCTGCTATCATGTCCTGAAAGGTAACCTCTTCTTCCTCCCATCGATGTGAGAGAATCGCGTATGGCGGAATCTTTCTGTCAAAGTACTCCTCAAGCTGAAGAGTCGTCGTGTTAATAAGGCGCATGCTGGCTATGACACAGCCTTGCTAGTCAACCCAGCTGCGCTATACACCTGTATCTCGAATTGCGGATGAAAAGAGCTGTCCCGTCCTTGGACGTATGTCCGGATGATTGTAATCAAATAGGTTGGTAGGAAGATTGATGATCTATTAGCTAGCAAGAAGTGCTGGCGTTGGAAGTTCCCGGCAAGTACTCTGAGGTGCAAGGCAACAGCAGGACTTGAGGGAACGTCATTGAACGCTAGCCGAAAGAGCAGCAAGTATCCTAACGGTACCAATCTAATGAGCCAGTAGTATCTTGATACGGTGCTTGGATTCCTTTGGGGACACAGCATGAAATGTGAATCAGCCTGGGACTGACGATTGTCGAAAATGGTTCCGACATTACCCCGCATTTCCGGACCCCATACTCGTCCTTTATCCTTTCTATCCCCGATCCCCAAAATCATTTCTCGACATACATTTCGACTCCCTTAAGTCTTTTTTTCTTTCTAGCTCATCCTCTTATTCGACGAATTGATATGGCCACACAGACGAAACTCCAGACAGGCGCATGGCTCGAAACCCCTGGGCCAAATGCTCGAGTCGTGATTCGCAACGATCTTCCCATTCCATCGCCGTCAAAAGGCGAGGTACTGGTGAAGCTTGAGTGTACTGGAGTTTGGTAAGTTACCTCTAAGCCTCTAGAAAATGTTTTGTGAGTCTTGGACTGAGAATGAATACATCAAGCCATTCTGATGTATATGGCATTACCGGTCAGACATCGAGGAGCACTAATATCATGGGTCATGAAGGAATTGGTCGGATTGTGGAAGGTAAAGAGCATCTTTTATATTCGATATTCATTATCTTCAAAACTTATGCTTCTTCCTTCCCATTAGTCGGACCAGGCGCTTCACAAGATCTTCTACAAAAACGTGTTGGTGTCAAGTATGTTTGTATTACTACTAATCCTACCCTTTTTACAGAGATTGGGAGACTGACGGAGTTCAGGTGGCTATATAGCTATTGCAACGAATGTGAAATATGTGAAGTGAATGTGACGGCCTGTCCAAATCAGCACAACTCTGGCAGGGTATGTGATTATGGCCAGTATCCACTTCTCGCTCACTGACAATGAATCAGGACGTTCCAGGTACTTTTCAGCGTAAGTAAAATTTTTCAAATCCGCTCTTGGTCTGAATCCTCATTGATCTAAACTAGAATATGTTGTGTCGCCCATTGAGCCTCTGACTATGATACCTGACACTCTCGATTCTGCTATGGCAGCTCCTTTGTTATGCGGTAAGCACTTTCCAAAAAGAATTTAACTTCCCAACTGACCAATCTCAGCTGGTATCTCGATTTACTCAGCTATCATGAAACTGGATCTTAAATCCGGGCAATGGCTTGTGATCCTTGGCGCTGGTGGAGGATTGGGACATATCGGAGTTCAGATCGCGCAGAGGAAAGGCTCAAAGGTCATTGCCGTAGACACGTAAGTCATCAATCTCGAGCTCAAGTACTTTCAACTAAGTGACATGTGATTCAGCGGAGAGGAGAAACGGAAATTATGTATGGATCTTGGAGCAACGTGTTTCCTAGACTTCAAAACGGACGATGTAAGTTGTTGCAATGGTACCGTTATTTACGATGACCAAAGCGCTGACATAGGAAGGTCACTACTGAAGTCAAAAAACTAACAAATGGTTACGGAGCACACGGTGCCGTCTGTTTATCAGGAATACGAGCAGGATACGAGTTGGCTCTGTCAGTTCTCCGCAACTTGAGTTCACTTGTGTGTATTGGTCTAGCAACCGAAGATTTACCAATCAGTCCTTATAAAATGGCTGTGCATGGTTTCACGATAATTGGCTCTTCTGTTGGGACGAAGGCCCAATTAGATGAGCTATTGCAAATGGCTGTGAGAGGGGAAATCACTACTATCACGAAAGTCCACGAATTTGAGGAGCTGGATGATTTGTTGGAGAAGTTGAAGAGAAATCAGATCTCTGGAAGAGTGGTTGTGAAGATTCCGCAGTAGAGTTGTATAATTTGCAACTTAGTTTCTGGGTAAAGTTCTAATTGCTGATTTCTCTCTAGAATTTGCGACGATTCACTGTAAAGTCAGATCTACATAATTTAGAAGAGTTTTGGGCTATTTTTGCTCTATCAGCAAAGTTACGAGCAATTATTTTTCTGCACGAAATCATCAATGTTCATGGAAGCTCTGAGACATGCCAATCAATTGATAATTTTCTGCTCCAATTCTGGCATCTTTTCACAAACATGAGCAGGATCGAGAGAGAGATCTCTGTTGTTCGGAGCACGAGAATTCAAGGATACATCGACTTGTTCTCACGGCGTGCAACAACCACGAGGCAACTTTGACTAACAGGACCACCAAGTGGGTTTGGTCGTGCCAACAAACCTAAATGATGGGCCGATCTGTCAGCAGCAGGTCGATTCCCGATGCTGTGCAACAAGCGAACGCAGGTACGAGGCAGGATTGTGGATCTTGAGGGGCAGAGCGCAAGTCAAAAACTCTCCTAGGTTGTGATAGATCGTCAGATACAGTATATGTACTCCAGTGCGCTTTCTCGGAGGAGAGGAAGATGTCGTGGGTACAGCTATGCTTTGAAGAGTTCAGCTTACATATTCGAGGTCCACGAGTTGCCAGTGATCATGGTAAGTACCGATCTGGAAGCTTTGCATGTCTATCCCTCGAATAGAGCACAGAAGTCGGAAGTCTCAGATGAGGATCTTCGAGACGAGCTCAGCTTACACACTTGGTGGTACCTTGTATCTTCGTTCAAGAACAACATCTCTTATAAGTACCTTGTGATCATGACCATCTTGATGCTTCCGGTCTTTATGTTATAGATCTACACTTCTCGTGCAAAAGAGTTCCTCTTTTTCCATCAACATGTATCTACGATCCGCGTTCGTTCTGTTTGGTCTACATACCTTGACTGAAGGTGTAGTGTAAGTGATCTACACTCAATCATATGTGTTATCAAGATAAGTGCTGATAATATGATAGCATCAGGGCTCCAAATCCATCTGGTGCCGCTGCATCTAGTTCATCCCCTATAGCTGCTCAAACAACAGCTGCTGCTTCATCTGAGGGGTTCTTTGCTGTCAGTATCTTGTCTTTTCATTCCCTTGCCATCCATACGTCCATTTCGTGGCAGTTGCTGACATCAACAGGGTGCTGTAGAGACAAATGGTGCTGCTTTCACTTCATTACTTGCAGCAGAGCTTTCTGCTTTAGCTGCGGAGACTGGAGCAGCTTTGAGCGGAGCAGCTTCCAGTGGAGCTGCATCGTCTGCTGCACTGTCCAGCGGAGCCGTCTCAACTGCAGCAGCAACAAGTGCAGCAGCGACATCAGCAGCCTTCACAACACAAGCAGCTGCTAGCACCACAACACGTAAGCCTCCCAATCCACCAACGTACCACCCACTAACCTCTCTAGCCCTCCTTCCACCAGGAGCAACCCTCTCTCCACTATTCAACATCTTCCTTATTCCTTCCCAATTCACACCCTTCGAGTACACCTTCAATACCGGCATGTTCGGCGGTTGGGGAAATCCCGCTTACCTCGACTCTACAGGAAACGCCGTCGTCGCAAGCATCTTCTCAGATGGGACGATACCCTACACGGTCGGTACATATGCCATCATGAACCCGGGTGGATATCTCGTGTCCGTGGATCCGAAAACATCTCTTCCTATTAATGGAGGACAATCGTTCTTCGCGGATACATCTGCTGAGCTGAATGATGGGACTTATCCCGATTATCTGGATTTCGAGAATACGTACGATGATGCCACCGGCGGAGACGCGAGCGGAGCATGGAGTATAAATTTCGCTGGGCCGTTACCGGGTGGAGATGGGTTTTTGTCTGGGATTGGAGATCCGGCTTATACGGTTCAGCTGTCTAACAGTGGGTTGCAAAGTGGGGTTGCGAGGTTGTGTGCTGTGACGACTGCTAGTAGTGATGGAAGAGGGGGGCTATCGTTTGAGGACGGGCAGCCGCTTCAGATCGCGGGGTATACGGGGGCTTTTGGGACAGGTTGTACGGAGGTAAATATGTATGCTAAAGCTATTGATGGAGGGGATTTGGTTCCCAATACTTCGTGACGAGTTTCATAGGTGGAATGCCAGGATGGCGAGAAATTCGTGCTGTGGTAGTGGTTTAGTAAAGTCTTCGGTGTGCGGGTTGAGGATTTTCTTTTGCACTAACAAATAATTTCTACTTCTCAATCTCTCCATCCTTTGTCTCCTTTCAAAGAACACTTTGAATCCCATAATCAACAACCCTTCCAATATCCCAGCTTCGGCTTCGTGTTTTACGTACAATGGTTGTACAAATCTTCAGCCTAAAGAAATCCCTGACCCGGAGATGACCAAATCCGGGGACCTTGCATCTCGTTGATACCATGACCATGATGTCGGGACACATGTGCTCTATTTGGTACACCACTCAGAACCGCAGTATGACGGTATACCATGCACAGGAAAAAAGATCAACAGGAACATCGCCGACGATAGCCTCACAGCAAATGCAGGAGGCAGATCATGGCCAATTGCAAACTCTCGTCGACTTGGTCATATCTCACAACTGAAAAGAAAGCAGGAAATGAAATTGATCTTCAATTCCACATTCTAAATACCATCAACTATGCCTAGACATTACCTATGCTAAGACTGCGACTCCGACATACAACAAGCAGATGACCAACATGCTCCCAAATCCCGCCCGCTATGCTAAACGCCATATCCTACACTTCTTGAATCGATGCTCAGTAGTTATAAACAGAGCACTTGACGCACTCAATCTCAAATTACTGCCTTCAACTTCCTTCGAGTTCCGAATATATCACCTCTCGCGGAGGTAATGGGTATCAGCAGTCCCCACAAATGACTTCTCCATCCTTCTTCGTCGACAGGGTATTTTCTCCGACATCAAATCTCTCTCTCCACCTCTCCTCGCCCCCCTCAATTTAAATCATCAATCATGTCTCATAACATTCATCACTCATCCCTCATACCTCCTTCAAGGGTGATAATACGTCTCATGCCTCAAACTCTCACTCCTCCCCATCCTCTGGTCTCTCAACTCGCTCATCGCAAACAAAAGCGGTAGCGGGCTCAATGGCAACGGACTCTGCATCGCCCATTGCTCATCCTCCCCCTCTGCAAAATCCTCTCCAATCCCATCTCCCGCTAACCTTATCCTCGGCCTAGCTTCCATTGGAGTATTCAGTTCAGTGCCTACTGGTTCCAGCGCCGGCAATTCGTGTACTTCTGTGCTCTCTAACTCCTTTATCTCCACACTTTCGCCATGTAATTGAGGAACATCCTCTCCAGCCGCAGACGAAGATCGTGTAGACGGACTCGTAGGAACGTCGTGGAAGGGTTTCGGAACTGGGTCTTGGGCGAGCATATCTCTTCTCTGTTTCCTCCTCGTGAAGAAGATCACGACAAATACTGTGGACATCCCTAGGATTGACCCCATGACTGGACCTGCAACCCAAGATTGCGAGAGTGGAGGAGCGGATGCGTCGGCCGTCGAGGTGAGGGATGGGGTTGGAGAGGATGTATGTCTCGCAGTCTCATTTGCGAGAGCTGCTGATACTAATGCGAGGGAAGACGCAACTGCTGATGCCGCTGATACGGATTCTATAAGATATTAGCTCGACAACACAATCAAGAATTGGCGGAAACATACCCGCAGATTTTCTTGCCGAATAGTAAGGAGCCCAACTTGCAGTCGAGAGCATTGTTGTCCATGACGGATTGTCACTGTGTGCAGCTTCCCAGTTTGTAGTTGTCGGTTTCGACGTGGTGGTCACTGAGGAAAGGGTTCCTCCACTTGTCGTCGTCGCAATCTGTTCTCCCCATTCATTGATCCTACTCGCCTGACTTTGCATCGCTGCTATCTCTGTTGATACAGTCGTATTCGCACATAGATTGAGGATGTTGATTAGAGCGGTCTCGACCTGTTTCGAAACCGAAGTCTCGCCGTTCTGAAGGTTGTAATCCAAGACACATGTTTGGCAAGCACCACAATTGGCGATGAAGCTGGAGTTTGGTGTACAGGAGGTTATGGATCCATCGAAGACTGCGACATCCCCTTTGCAGTTCGCTATGCTATGTCAGTAAATAGTAAACGGCACGACGTAATTGACACGGGACGGGATAGACTCACGACAATATGGACTGCAATAGGAGGATGGTAGAAGGTTACCCACTTGCCGTATCCCAAGGACAGCAGCAATGACCGATGGGATATGCATCTTCAACTCCTCTGACCAGTCACTGGTTTGGCTTGCGATCCTCAGTGTGATGTCTTAGATCCAGCGTCAGTGGAGGTTGAGAGCGTTAAGGTACATGTTTAGTTTAAGAGGCTGAACGGGTTGATGAGCCACCAAATAATCGGGTTTGAGAAAAGGTGGAGGAGGAAAAGCTCGAGCGGTCGACCTTCGAACGATTATGCAATCCTCTTTTTGCCGATATTATCCTCCTATGCTTTGTTGTGCACGATGAGGAGCATGTACCGGCCTTGAGGCGCTGGCGTGGGTGGTTGGCAGGCCTCCTTGCTCTGGCCCATGGTTCGAGGTTCGAGGTCGGGGACGACGACCTGCAATGAACTCAATTGATCCCCGAGTATTCGGTTGGACAGGGTCAAAGTATTGGACGATTTGCGCCAAAAGAGCGGGGCTTGTTGGGAATCTCGACACTAAGGAGATATTCTGGATAGCGATTGGGTCAAATGTACTGATGAATAATTCAATAACAGATATTGCATGGAAAAGATATCAAACCCTTGTAGGAAAAGCATGCCCTGAAAATCAGCCCGGATCTTCACCCCAGCGGACCGCACTTGGCGGGCCGCAGGGGCGGTTTGGGGCCAAGATCAGTGGTTAAAGAGTGGGAAGTAGTCCGAAGGCACAGTTGCCCAGGCTGGTCTAGGTGAACGCATCTTGCTGCTTGCAGCATGAAAAGAACCCAAACACCCAGCAAAAATGATGGTGTGGTGAATGCATGATGCTTCCCCAGGGTATTGCAGCCTATAAAACAAGCTTTCAGCGCCACTTTACCAGGATCGTTGCGTGACCCATCCCACTTGGGACATTGTGGTTCACGATTTTCAGCTCCTTTCCAAGACGCCTCGTGAATCATGTCTGCTCTCACTTCACAACGGCAGTTTTGCCATTCGTCAAAACGAGCATTTCGCGAATCAAACGACGAGAGCTGAGACGGACGACCTCCCTAATCTGGAGGGGTAGCATCCCGAGCAAGGTTCTCACCCGATGAGAGACAGACTGATGGAACAGAGCCTCGTGGAATTTCCAAGCCAAAAAGCAATATTGACTGACACGCTGGTCCTTTCCGTTCCGAAGTTTTCTTTTGCTGGGTATTGATTGGGTCGAATACGTACTGCGAGTCATGACTTCCTGGAGAAAAGGTTCACAGTGACGGGATGGCTGAACGCCCGGCGACGCCGTCCAACGTTGAATTGAGCCTCTTGTGCCGTGTTCGAAAGTCGCGACGAACTCAAATACGGCCGTATCTCCCTGGACCTTTAGACGAAGATTCCACACCAAAACATCCCCAGGCCCAGCCCCAACACCGAGCAGAGCTGGATCGCAGATTTCGAAAGCTCAAGCAGCAGTGAGATATTGGAGAGTATGGTGCGCTGCTGTTTTCGTCCAAGTATGGTATGCGTTTGGTGTATTTGGGGTTGTACATTCGTCGGAGGTTCACGATGCTTGTCGCCCTTCCATGCTGCCTCCTTTCGCCCACAACATCGCCCCCACTCCCCGTGGTATCTTGCTATCCATTATCTTGGCTCGCTGCAGGATGACAAGTGCAAGTGCACGATGTGCTGCGCCTGCCGATGTATGGTATTCGTCACCAAGGGTCGCGGCTAAATGCGAGAGAGAGTTTGAATAGCACGGCTGGGAAAGGCTGCGGCAGTCGATTTGAGACGTCAACGGTGCCGTGATAAAGATATCATCAGATGGTTTCATTGGTGATATTTCGATCACAATGCTGTTGCGGAAGACTGTGCGTGGGGATGTTTGTTCGAGTTGGAAAGACGAAGGAGACATAGCCTTCGGACGACAAATTAAGGTTAAAGTCAAGCGAGACAGCTCCTTCTTTGTCAGGTATCGCAGCACTTCCCATTTATATCTTCCTGCAGAGTAACTCATGTATCTTCTATTGTGGAATATATCTTCATCGATCGTTCATCCGTGAATTCATTGTCGGTAGTTGCGCACCGAGAACTTACCGCGCAGTCTCAAGCAAGGCTGAGCTCTGTAAATATATCCAAAGCATAAACCCCTCCCCACATGAATCAAAATCCCCGAACCCAAACGAAGGCATTGATCTCAATACGACCCTGCGTCCCTGAAAATAAAAGTCGATCATCAAACAAGTCCGTGCGATCGTCGATGCAGCCAGGTTCAAGAGATGCGTACCTGCGTACATAGTACCTCAGAACAGGAATCTTGGAGCGAGTCGAGACCACCAGTGATTGTTGAAGTTTCTAACTGTACCTTGCATCTTTGTTTTCGGTACTTGCAGAAGAGCACCTTGGAGTGCACGACATAACAGATCCCTCTGAGCGCTCAATGCAAGATGGATGATTGAAACCGATTGGGACCACCATTTGACTACACGCATAGTTGGAATGGCAGACACTTGCTGCGAGACTTCGTGTTTTCACACTGCCCAGAGAAAAGAAATTCACGGATCGTCTGAAATTTTGGTTTTGGTGTCGTGGGTAAGGATGATTAAGGGGCACCAATGAGGATTCCAATCAAGGATCCCATAACGCTCCAAGAAACGTCGAAACTTTGCTTTTTATTTTCTCGGCCATCTTTCGGTATTGGACCTCGACCCATCAAACACATAATCTTCAAGGAACTTCCCTACAAAGTATAGACGAACTCTGGATTCTCTTTATCCGTCAAGTCTAAGAACTCCTGCTTATCCAACTTTCTGTACCCGGGCTGTGCTCTCACTCTCTCGTTCTTCTTGTTCTCTCTAGCATAATACCAATGAATGAACAATAGATCCAGTACGCAAACGCTGTAGCAGACAACAATCGTGATCTCTGCTGGAACATATCGCGGTTTGTCTTTTGGCCTGAAAGTTTGTGGTCCGATGATATTACCAGTGCAGTATGCAATAAGGTAGAGGGCACCAACGGTAGTTTTCTTGGTGTAGCCCGCCACGTTGCTAGCAAGGAGGGAGAGCAAGGCAACAAATCCGGTAGGTGATGCTTGTGTGAAGTAGTAACCAGCAAGACGTCCTTTGGAATTCGACAATGGGAGACAGACAATCAGGAGCATGCCTAGAATCGAAGTGAGCATGCCTGAACATGCCACCAAGACGCGTCGTCCAAGCTTGTCTCCGAGATAACCACAAACGATGAGGAAGATGACTTCGATTGCTCCTCCTGGAGTGCCGTAAAGTAGAGATTGGTCGGCTGTGTATCCAAAGGACACAATAAGTTGGGAGAAGAAGTTGGAGATACCGCCTGAACGGGTCAGCTTTGTACAACCAGTGGTGAAAGTAAGTGCACTGACCATTAGGAATATCAGCCACTAATGCAAAGAAAACGAAAGCCCATGTCATTGGGTCGGTCAGCGCCTCCTTGAGTTGATACATCTTGAAATGCTACCCAAAAATCAGCATCACGGTACCACACCTTGAAACTTGGCGGGGTAAAGCAAAAGCATCTCGTCTCCAGAGGAGAATACACACCTTGTTTCCCACACCTTGTTGATTCTTCCTAATCCGTTCAATGGCCATCAACCTCTCATGCGGCTTCAGAAATTTTGCATTAAGCTGGTTATCTGGCATGAAGTAGAGGAAGATCACCCCAACGGTCGCAGTAATCAAGCCGATGACCAAGAAAACAATCTGCCACGACTTGATGACAGCTCCATGTTTCTTGACTCCGATAGAGATACCATATGCAACCAAACCACCAAAGATCTGTGCAAACCCGTTGAAACTGAACCAGATACCAGTTCTAGTACCTTGTTCTTGTCGTGTATACCATTGAGAAGTGAAGAGTGCGAAACCAGGTGTGACTGCTGCCTCAAATACACCTAAGAAGAAACGGACGGCAACTGCACCAGCGAAGTTCTTCACTGCAGCCATGCAGCATAGAGTTAAACCCCACATGATAATATTGAATGCAGACCACTTTGCCAAGGGAAGCCGCTGCAGGAGTCGATTCGTAGGGTATTCCCAAGCAAGATAACCGATATAGAACATGCTCCCTAGCCATTGATAGTTGGTGCCTTTGAGATGGATGTCTGTTTGCAGTCCCATAATTGATGCGTAAGAGAGGGTCGTCTTGTCGAGGTAGTTGAGACCGTATACCACGCATAGCATCTAAATATATGCTTAGCAAGAATTTACAATGGCAGCCTTTAATCATACCGGCATAAGATTCCAGTCAATCTTCCTCAATAATGCTCTCTCAGCTTCTGGTGTCATTACAATCACCTCCCCCTCATGACCAACAAACGCTTTGAGGGCGATATCTCCGTCATTAATGTCTGCATGAATGAATCGTGGCTCCTTGATATCTCCATCTCCAATTGTCGCTTGAGGAGTCAAATGCGCGACCTTCTCCGGGTCATCAGAGGACCCATCGTGAACCTTTTCAACGTCTGCCATTGCGCTGAATTCCCGGTGGCAAGGGAGATGCGGGGTCACGAGCTATCCCAGTCCTCGCTTTGAGAGGTGTTGGACGTATCTGAGAGAAGGAGAGAAGAAGAGTAAGAAAGAGGGCGACAGCGGGACATAATACGAGATATATTTGACGGCACTGTGGCGCGGGGGAGTTTTTATTATCAAGTAATGATAACAATTCGCTATCGGTTCGCGATATCCAGCAGCTGCAAGCATGTCGTCGTTCATGACGATCCCCAATCCAGTCGGTACCGTTGACGGGTCACGGAGACGGCTATCTATCTCCACTGGTCGTACAACTTTGTACACCCAATCGTTGTCCCAGTGTCACTCGCAACTTGACCTCATATAGAATAGATTGGACAATCGGCCGCTTCTACTTCCATTTTCCCCTCTTCCGACATCCTGGAAGACGCGAAGAGATTCTTGCCGCGGGCTAAGAATTATGTGCACTCGCATAAATTGTTCATAATATGGCTGGATGAGGAAGGTAGTACAGATGCGATGATAAGTGTTGGATGATTGCGGGTTTTTCTGCGCCGATGGGAACTTTGTTCTCCAATTATCGGGGAGGAGAGAGTTAGAGTTGGCCGTCAGCACTCGAAGGACTAGATATGAGCTAGTCCGGAAGTGTATTGGTCTGAAACACCACGTGATGATGGTTTTGTCTTATCAATCCATCAGATTGAATCTCTTCCTCCTCCTCTTCTTTGATGTTTATTACTATGACCGACGTCTTTTGACTTCGCAAGTCTGATTTAGATCTTGTCTTCAGGAGACTGCTCATGAGATCTGTCAGTTCAAAATGTTTACCCTCACGTTCTAATGTCTTTGGATTCTTTCAACAACAACCCTCGACGAGCTCTTTAAGCTGCATCCATCATTCGGACAGCTCACTCCAAGGGCACAGGACATCGCGACTCGATGTGCAGACATCTCTCGTCTACGTTGTCAAAAAACTAGCCATGTTTGTTCAGCACTCTCTCATTACGGCTTCCTCGAGATCCGAGAAGCTGCTGCGCCGAGATTCCTTGAGCACACACTGCGGGTGTTGTCGCCTTTGAAATCCTCAAGATATCTAGGTGAAGGTAAAGATGTCACTGCTGTGTCGCGATTCATCCCATTTCCTTTTCCCTTTCTGTCGTTGAAATTGTGTTTTCATGGTCATGCTGCTGGTCCCTCCGCACGTTTCAGTTCCGAAGCTCGGAACGTTTGAGGCTGAGGATCACTGACCAAACAAACGATACTTATTTCATTCCATGATACCAATGAAGGAAGATTGTTCGTCTCAACTACTTCAACCAACACGTCACCTGGAATTTTCGTCCGTTGAATTGATGCATTGGACCACCCATCGACTGCGGATTGAACCCTTTTCGCCCCAAGTCTCGGCGCAAAAGCTTATTTTCAGATACGCTTAACCGACACCATGTTGTGGAAGTGGATTCTTCTCGGATCTGGCGAATCACCAACGTTGCTGAGTTTTGTTCTTGGTGTATGGAGCCTGAGTCTCCTGCTTCCGAGTTGGGTTATGGCAGATCCTATTTTCGTTCGTTCTAAGCCTCAAGACCTGCCTTGTCCTCCTGCACTCCTGCGCCCCTGGATCACGGAACTTTCTCAGTGACCTACACGGCGGTCTCAAGGAGAAGTAGAGCCTGTTAGTTAACATGTTCTTACCTTGTGAAGTTGAGCTCGGGCCTGGCCTAGAATCTGTGTGCTTACGGTACCAACATACATAAACAAGACCAACCCTACTTGATGTTTCGATAGCTTCGGATTCATCGCTTCTATTCTATTCATTTGCTTCCATTCTACGTTCATTAATTCGTTCGTTACTGCCGGCCAGCTACTTCTTCTGTGCCTCAACGATTCGTACTTTGTTCCACACTTTCAAATCCTCTCAGACCGAACTTTGCGATAATATCTAAAAACTGCCAAAATGCGATCATCCATTCTCCAAGCTCTGAGCCTAGCTCTGTTCTCAACTCGAGCACTTGCGAATATCTCCAGTCCAGCATCTGGAGATCAATGGCCCGTGGACTCGAATCAGATGGTTACGTGGGATACCACAGGACTGGACGGCCCAATCGACATCCACCTTGTGCCATCTACTGCTATTGACGCAACAGTAATCATCACGGAGATTTCATTGCAGGTAGACAATACCGGATCATTGCAATGGTCGCCACCTGAGACCGTCGACGTTATGCAAGCGAAGGTCTTGATTGTTGATTCGAAGCAAGTTACTGTTATTTCAGATGTTTTCATCATTGTGCTTCTAGACGTAAGTGATCCACGATCGGTGGTCTTCGTGTAGAAACTGACCCTCGAGTAGACAACTAAGACTACCTCAACGAAGAAGCTTTCCACGTCCACGAAATTGATCTCTACCACTTTGGTAAAGCTCACCACTACATCGTTAAAAGTCACGACAGCCAAAGTAGTAACGATTAGCTCTGTATTGACGAACAAGACTGCAAGTCAACACTCCCACACTCCGCAACATGACTCTAACATTCCTCTCAGACAATCATGACCACGAAGCCCCTCACGACCTCAACCAAAGTCCTGACCACACCTGCGATAATCCTCACCACTGCACCTACTTCTAAGGCCACCGCACTCGTCGCCTCAACCTCTAAGATTTCGACGTCAACAAGTATCAAAGCCCTGACAAGCACCGTCAAGCCCGTGACCACGACTGCCAAAGCTCTCACGACTTCAATGGTACTGGGCACTGTGAGCAGCAAGGTCACCTCGAAAGTCGCGAACATCACAATGAGCACACCGCTTATTCAAGCAAACGTCACGGCTGCTGCTGCCAAGGCAACATTCACTGGCGCTGCTTCGCATATGGTTGAAGGGAGAGGATATGAAGTTTTGGTTGGAGGGGTGTTGAGTGTTCTTGGATTCATGGTCTTTTGATTAATTTACGCAGCTGGGTTTTCATCTTTGATGCTGAGCATTATATATACCTGTATCATATATCAGGCGATTGAATCGTCGTCATATTTATCAATGGAGCGATGATTTATGTATTGTTTGGGCTTCTCAATCGCTTTGTTAGTGGTAATTTCATTTCACAGTTTTCCGGATATTTCGATCGCGAATCGCCATCCGAAGCTGATTCCTTGCAAGAACCGACCAAGGACGAAGTCTCCCAGTCAGACTCAGGAGTAGAATCCGCGTCATCCAAGGATGACTCGTCGTCTGCGTCGCCAACGGACTCGCACCATTTTTCAGGTGAGGGTGGCTGCTTCACCCAGTCCCATATATCGATACTGGGAACTGATGAATAGGGTTTGAAATCGAATTGGTGGGTGTCGTCCTCTGACAGAGTGTTCGAGAACTCTTTCTGTTGACTCTCAGTTGCGGTGCTTGAGGTCGTGTCTGGAGCACCTTCGCTGATTGAGTTGAGCCATGCTTCTACTCGGGTTATCAGAGTTTGGTCTACTTTTTCAATCCCTATGTTTTGGTCTTGGTCAGAACCTTCAAAATTTGAAAGAATGTTCGTCATTTTGGATGTTGAAACTTCTGCTGCTGATTGTGAAATATTCGAGTAATTTGAGTGGAAAGTGTAAGTTGAAAGAGATCTTATCATTTAGTACTAGCTGTAGCATTTACAGACTTGAGGATATAGGGGTTCACAACTTATTGTTCTAATTGTTTAAACATGCTACTGATAACAAAGATTGTGTATTTAACAAATCAACAATGGATTTGACCTAGTACCAAGGCCCCGCCAAAGTCTTTGTGGGTTTCTTAAATCCCGACAATGGGCTCCTCATTCTTTGATAAAATGGTCAAACCAGTTTCGTCAGACTGCTAAGAACAATAGCTTTGTTTACCATCATCAAAGCCATGCAACAATCAACATAGCGTTGCAGAACAGACATACTCAAGGGAATATACATAAAAGTATGGTATTGCTTCCAAGAAGCTTCTCCTCCTAGACCTCAACACGACAAACCAACTTCAACACCTAACACCAACCCAGCTAACCCAAACATGTCTAAGCTCATTGCCCCAAGCGGACGCAAGTGCAAACCCTCCCCGCTTTCAAAAACCGTTCAACTCGCACCCACAGACAGCTGTGACGCTGTGGTATCTACAAGACTTACTACACGTGCATCATCACATACCACCTCCACACAGAACGAAACACCAACATCAATGCGCGAAACCAATCGAAGGATCTATGCAGGCGCACATACCTCCCGCATGGTTGATAGCTGGTGCATTCCAGAACCACACCACATGAACTCCCCAAAGAGACAGACTGGATTGAACTTCAAGCCATGCCTGGACATTGAGTCAGGGAAAATGGAGTGGGAAAGAATACAGTATGGACAACGCGATCTATATCACAGGTGTGTTGATGGTGGGCGTGACAACATACATGGGCTGGATGATGATGCTTCGGATTGTGATGGGGAAGAAGACTTGGAGATTTATGAGCAGGAGGAGTTTGTTTTCAAAGGTAATCTTTACTGCGACGAGGAAGAAGACTCGGAAGTTTATGAGGAAGAGGCGTTCGTTTTCAAAGGTAAGCTTTATCATATAGATGATGACAAGATCAGCGACATCGAAGAGGAACAATCCGATGAGCTGGTAATTCTATATGCCCTCGAAGAGGACGTTGAATGATAAGTAGTAGTCTGAGAGCAGTAAGGAAAATTAGAATATCCATGGTATTGACAGGAATTTCAAGTCCATATTTGAGGGTAGAACAGGATCTGACTTATGAAAATGAAAACTGCTCTGGAACACATTGGTCAAAAATATGAAAAGGTTTAGCAGAACCGCATTTCTTTATTTTATTATCAGTTTCTGTATAAATCAAGCGCGGAAAAAGAATAAGAGTAAATATAATCTAGAACATGAATGGAAGCTGTCCTCCATGATGAAAATTCTTCTTGGCTACTGGCCGTACAGTGAGTGCGTGCTGGGGTATGTGCTTTGCAATTGGGGTACGCACCGTCGAGGTTCGTGCTGAGTAATGGATATATACCCACATACAAACCGTTCACAGCTGAAAGACTGAAGAGGCATCCCACCCGTCTGATTATTTGAGCCCAGACCAAGAGGTGCGAGGTTGAGTGAGATCCACGTGATAACCAAAGTAGGAAGACCCGCAGTGGACTCAGCCGAGCAGAAGAGGGGCTTCTCCTCTTCTCCAACTCCAACTTCACAAACCTTATATCGACTCCTTCCATCTCAATTGTTGATATGTAATCTCCAACCTTGGAGTTTTGTCCTTAATCTATCCTTACCCTAAATCCGCGGACAAATTATCGTTTCCTCCCCACACATGTTCCGTCGTCCACTTCTTCCTCCGTCATTTCGGCGGAAGACCTGTCAAAAGAGAATGGGGCTCGTAGTGCTTATGAGCAGCTCCACAACATCTTCACTGATGTGTTAGCAACTGTCACACAGCTGTCGTGAATCCACAATATCAGCACCTTATCAGCCTTGAGCTGATAATTATGGAGGCCTAATCTCTAGGCGGATTCACGCCTGACAAGTTGCTGTTGGGACATTCCACCCCTTTCAACCTCGAACTGGCTTTGACTCACATCAAGCCAAGCATCGGAGGAACTCTTCTCATCGGACTTATGATATAACAACATCGCCTAAATCCGCTATATCCCATCGGCGCTCCAAGAAACTGGGAATTCTCCAGCCGTCCCTGAAACTTTATTTCCCAGTTGGCATGCGGTGCGGCGAAAAGACCCTCCGCAGACACCCACGTTGTCCCGAACCAGATTTCTAATCGAATCTGCGTCAATCTCAGGAAACGAGACATGGAGGCGCAACTTCGCCAATAGGGAGAGAGGCTGAAAGGACTTCCCGAGAAAATAGTCAGCGCTACGAAACTTTTTTTGCTTCTGGGGTATCCACCCCGTTCAGACGAACGTCTCAATAGGCTCTGGCCAGGATAACGAGAGCCTCGATCGACGGCCCAGGACCATTTGATTGTCCGAAATCCCAAAAGTCCGGCCCCTGCAGCCTTGTGATATGCCCTGTGTTATTGCTCTCTTCGTGTTAGACCGAGCTGACGAGTGTGATAAGGGTGAGTTTGAAAATGGCGGATCTAGCAACTCCACCAACGGTCATGGAGGAATTCAACGAATGTGCACGTTCTCTTCTGACTCTTCCAAAGGGTACAGCTTACGAATAAACGCCGACAACAAGATGGCCCGTCCAGATGAAGACAACCCGTCCAATGCCAGCTGGGAATGAAGTTTCGTTCCACTTCATTCCAACCCCTGTATGATTTGTAGCGTGTACACAAGATGCACGTCAACTACTTTTTGGGGCCCGGTTCTCAGATGTCTATATAGTTCTCGTTGGCATCCTCTTTTGTGGCACTTGAAAAAGAGTTCGCAAGCCGGTCTGGACTTTTTCTCTTCGTGGCGTTCTGTCAAGACCTGAACACACTCAGACTTGATTGGATCAACATACACTCCATCCGCAGCCACATTCCTAATCAGCCTCGTCGTTCCGTCCGAAGAGAAAGTTTCAACAAAATGGCAGCAAACGATGAGATACCAGTAACTTCAGCCGAAAAAGAAGAGGGCATGACTACACGCAACTCGAAGCAGGACTTCCTCGCAGCTCCAACCAAAGATGAAAACACAGTCTCAGAAAACACGTCCGTAGCGGGAATGGACGAAATCGACGCAGAGAAACAGGAACAAGATACAAGCAACGATGAAGTTCCACCCAGAGATATCACAGGATGGAGATGGGCAGTCGTCGTCCTCGCTATTCTCTCTTCTACCTTTCTGTTTGCTCTCGATAACACTATCGTCGCGGATGTTCAACCCACAATCGTTACTCATTTTGATGCTGTGAGCAAGCTGTCGTGGCTTTCAGTTGCTTTCTTGATTGGAGCTGCTGCTACCAATCTGGTTTGGGGAAAGGTCTTTGGACAGTTCAATGCCAAATGGACTTATATCCTCTGTGTAACTCTGTTTGAGGTTGGCTCAGCTGTCTGTGGAGCTGCTCCTACGATTAATGCTTTGATCGTGGGGAGAGCCATTTGTGGTGTTGGTGGTGCTGGAATGGTGAGCACCTCTTCTAAGTTTTACTTCAGGTGCTTCCTCGATCGAAGACTGAACTTCAACTCTTTTAACTTTAACTTCAGAGAAAAGTGATTACTAACTTCTCTCTAGTACGTTGGAGTCATGACCCTCCTTGCAGCAACAACCACCATGCACGAACGACCAATGTACGTCGGAGGAACAGGTCTAACATGGGGTCTCGGCACAGTCCTAGGTCCCATCATCGGAGGAGCATTCACAGACTCTTCCGCTGGGTGGAGATGGGCCTTTTATATTAATCTTGTTATTGGTGCTCTCTGTGCTCCCGTCTACATCTTCATGCTCCCTAACAAGGATCCTCGACCTGGAGTTTCATTCATGGACCGAGCCCGCGAGATGGACTACCTCGGAGGTCTTCTCATCATCGGTGCCTTCGTCTCAGGCGTCATGGCTATGTCCTTTGGCGGAGTGACGTACCCATGGAATAGCGGGAAGATCATCGGTCTCTTCTGCTGCTCGGGAGTCCTCTTCATCTTGCTCGGCACCCAACAAGTATGGTGCGTCTTCACCACACAAAAACGACGAATCTTCCCCATCGAATTCTTCAAGTCCCGCACTATCCTCATCCTGTTCGCCATGACCGCCGCTGGAGGAACAGCCGTTTTCCTCCCAATCTATATGGTTCCCATCTTCTTCCAATTCACACGCAACGACTCCGCACTCGAAGCAGGCGTCCGTCTCCTCCCGCTCATCTTCCTCATGATCTTCGCCGTCATCGCAAACGGGGCCATCTTGTCCGCTTACGGATACTACATGCCATGGTACACCTTAGGAGGAGCGTTTGTGATCACCGGCGGCGCATTGATGTACACCGTCGACGTAAACAGCAGTATCTCCACCATCTACGGGTACACCGTGCTCCTAGGTCTCGGCACAGGTTTCTACGCCCAGGCCTCCTTCTCTGTAGCCCAAGCCGTCGTCGAACCAGACCTCATTGCTTCCGCAGTGGGATTCATAACCTGCGCTCAAGTCTCCGGAGTCACCATCGCGCTCGCGATTGCGAATTCGGTGTTCTTGAATAAATCGCAGACTTCAATCCAGGCTATCTTACCCAATGTCCCGTTGGCTGAGATCCAAGCTGCTATTGCAGGCGCGGGGAGTGCGTTTGTGGCGAGTCTGAACGATGCTGTTAAGTTGGAGGTTTTGGAAGCTATTGTAAGTGCGATGAGTAAGACGTATATTTTGGTGATTACTGCAGGTGCGTTAACGTTCGTGTTGAGTTTTGCGATGAAGAGGGAGAGGTTGTTTATGGTTGCTGGTCATGCTGGTTGAGCGTTTCTTTGGGCTGGACAGAAAATGGGGTACTGTAGATTGGCGTTGAGGGGTGATGGATATTGAGGAGAAATATATATAATTGATTGTACTCTACTTAATAAGATACTAGATACCCGGAGAGGGAATCAAGTCCAGTGGCATAGCACAGTTCGGGTATTGATCTTTACAGCGAAGTCTCAATTTTCTCTAGTGCTGATTTCGTAAAGGCCGTCCATTGAAAACATTGCACCCAAAAAGGCACAGCAACACCACCGGTATAGCATCCAACAATGACAACATAGAAACATCTCCTCTTCCCACCAAAGACATACGATGGCATCATTCTCCCCGTCATCAACCGACATATCTCATTCCTCAAACCTCCCAATCTAACTAACAATCTAGACTAAACCAACCTACCATCAGCATCGAAATGCCGCAAATGCCGTCGCTCTCAAGCCTCAACCCCACAATCTCAGCCCTACGACATCTTCCCCTCCCCCACAGAGTGACAAAGCGGCTGCCTCCTCATCCTTTGTGGAGACGATTGTGAAAGCTAAAATTACCTGAAACTCGGTAGTAGTAAGCGACCCCCTTTCGCTTGTTTGCTCGAATAGGGGGAGGGATGAAGGCCTCATGAGAGAAGATTGGAAGGGAACACGGTAAGCGCTTGGATACGCGGGGGAGTGAAGAGGGGTGAGCAGAAGGGGTGCGCAGAAGGGGTGGAGAGGTACGAAAATACGAAGTGAAGTGGATGAAGAGTCGGTGCTTAGCCGCATCCCTTCTTGTGCTCAGCTATCCCATACCATGGCTTCAAACGAAGAGCACATCATCAGTTGAAGAGCAAGAACAACAACATCTCAAAGACGTTCAAAAGAATAAAATTAAATACATACACGCACAAAACGTGTCACCAACACAGGTATATCATCCTCGTAAAATATCCATGCCATCCCAGGCCCTAATAATCTTCCATACCACCAGCACCTGACGCCCTGCTACCGTAAAGCAACAGAAAATCTGCTCTCTGACTGCGTTCCAAAAACACCCTTACGCTCGACAGGCTGGTTGTACCGAGTTCATCCTTTATCCCGTCATATCCACACCGTTCGTACCGTGACCGATCATTGTTTCCGCTCCGCATGAAATCCACTCTCGCTATCTGTATACGAGAACGGCCTCGAGTCCATCGTTGAGACATTCGTATCGCCGACAGCAAGTTCGTGCGGCCCTTCATGTTCGGGAGGAGGATTCTGTCTATTCGCAGACAATTAGTAAACATCCAGCGCAAAGCTTAGGTAAAGGAGCCTTCAACCGAGCGGCAAAGCAAGACGGGCACTAATACAGTGGAGACCACGAACCTTAAACCAGCCTGCGACTGTACCGTCCCATTCTCCATCTCGTGCGGCGTCTGCGTATCGTAATATGTCGGGCTCGGATACCCGGGACTGCCGGGACTCATGACTCCCAGTCCTGGACTCCCGTTTCCTTGGCCTTGGAAATGCATTGGTTGCATGCCCATCATCGCGGATCTCTCGTCGAGCGGTGGACTCATGCTTCTGTAGCTCGCGGTCTCTCGATCGCTGAATCGTGCGGCGTCGCTCATGGGCGTCTTTTGCATGTTCGAGTAGTTGGCTTCTGTCAAGCCTGCGGAGGCAGGTTGGTAGGAGTTGTGATTTGAGGCCGCGAGGGTAGATTGGCGGAGCATTAATTCGTTGATCGTTTTGTGTCTTCCGCACATGTATATCAAAGCTGCTGCCAGAACCGCTACTGCGAATCCGCCAATAGCAATTCCAGCAATCGGACCTGCGCCAAGTGAGGTGTGGGAGGATGAGGAGGCTGGTGCTGTGCTCGATGTCGATGGAGGGGCTGTGGGTGTCATCGTTGCGCCCGTAGCTGTGGTTGTTCGTGTAGCTGAGACTTCTGCTGGGAAATACTCTAAAGGACTGAATTCCAATGTCGCATTCTGCGTGTAGTTGAACTGCGCCTGAAAAGTTTCCGTCGCATTCTGTATCACCAATCAGTTGGGCTCGTCCATTGAGATATCCAGACAAACCGGATTGATAACACCAATCATTCCTTCGAAACATGCATTCGGCGCTGAACAGTAGTAGAATATAGGTGCTGTATCATTGACTCGCACTCGAAAGATTGGAGGCTGAAAGAGCTTCTGTCAGTCAAATTATCCACGCCAGCAGAGACTTTCCTCACATCATTGAGTACCACTGCGATTGGTTGAAAACCACTCCAGAATCCCACCAGACCTGCCCCGGTGTCTTCGTAAGGAATACATGGATTCGGTCCAAATGCTGCTCTGGCTACTGAATGATTCTGAGGATAAAATCGATACTCTGATATTCTGTCAGCTGTCCATCATCTTATTCTTGCCATCCATCAATTCCCATACCAATTATATCGCCAACAGCAGCGCCAGTGATCTCATGCGGGTTAAAATTAAGGCCATCCTATACAACAGATACGTCAGTACTCGATGTTGCGAACAAAGGATTGGAGGAAGGGTCACTTACTGCGCCGACCGAAACCGTATGTGTCGCTGCAGGAGCAGATGTTGTACTCGAGGCGGTCTGAGCGACGACTATATTAAAAAGAGAAACTGATATCAAAGCTACGATATTGAGCAACATCGTGACAACTTTGCAATATCGTGAAGCCTAAAGTTGTGTTTTGGCTTGTAGAAGACAACGTTTGTCATGGCTGATGAACAAAGGAATTGAGTGAAGAATGCCAGTCCAGCCGAGTCAATACTGCATGCGGGGTGGGCCGAGAGAAAATAGGTGCGGGCTTGATTGAGGATGCGCCTCGAAATGCCAACAGAGGGCCCGACGGGGAAGTCCCGACCAGCATTCAGGGTTCACCCATCCATCAATCTTTACCAACCGCACGGCACAGGAGAGTGACGATGGAGCAATCGGAGTGATCTGGAAAAAAATGGTGCAGAACCACTTGGTGGCGTGAAGGCTGAGCTGGACAAAGGATCAACAACAAATCAAAGACATCGTGGCTTGAGGGGTATCAGGAGCAAAACTCAACTTCGATGCTGCGGATCGCAAAGATGCATCAATTCTCGAGAGCTTCTTGGGAGGATTCCCGCAAACAATTAACTGTGTATACAGTACCTTTTTTTGGCCAGGCCATACATATCAACCCAGTCGTGTAAATGAGGCGACTGTTGCAGAGTTCGTCTGTGAATAGTCTTTCTGATAATACCTGCCTATATGATTTTAGCCTCTTAAAAGTCCCAAGTATCGCCGAGGGCTGCAGAAATTGAGCATGGGGAGTACCGTGGACTGGGATGGGGGCAATGAAGGTTGATTGAAGGGAATGAAATGTTGCATGCAAAGAATTCGGAGCAGTGACAACTTTGGGTGCAGCCGCTTTGCAAGCGAGTCCAGTCATTCGTCGAGATATATTCAAACGTGACAGCCTTGTGGTAACTCCTGTGGCATCCTGGCACAGCTGCGAACACACAACCGCCGCCAAGCCAGTTATATTGGGCGATAATGAAATGTCTCGGCTCTTCAAACCCCAACATCAGGGCTAGATCATCACTAACACGTGTAATTTCGGGCTACGCGATATGCGTGACTCGGCTTGAGGATCTGACAAGAATGAAGTTGGGTATAAAGCGACCTATAGACAGTTACTGAGACTTTGCTTTCTTCTTTTCTGGCGTCGAAAGGTTCACAAGCCCACTTTCCACCACTAAATTCCACAGGCACCACAGATAGCAGATGCTGAATCCTGCTGCTCCTATTCCAACATTAACGACCACCCAGAGATCTGGTTTTCCGTGGGGCGGGGCCAAGAATGCTTCCATAAAATGCCAGAGTATCATCGCGGCGTAAAATATGCAGTGCAGCGATGAGGTTGCAAATCCTGACCAGGTAGGCTGTCCATCTTGTTTATATATCGCGAAAGATGTCGGAGGAAGACCTAGGAGATAGGCCCACAGAAGTGTGAGAACATAATACGGTATGCGGAGATCTACACGTTGAAGGAGAGGAAACATTGTCCAGACTCCAAGTAGATTTGCGAATCCAATCCAAGCACGAACGTTTTTGCTCAATCCGTGATTGCTTGCTAGCAGAACCGTCATTGGCATTAGAGGTAACAAGACACTCTTCTCATGTACCTGGAAACTAAACAGAAAGAATCCCCATGCTGTGGTGGCTAGTGCCAATGGCAAAAGTTCCTTTCGAGGCTTCAAAAAGATAATGAAGCATCCTGGTGTAATAGCTACAAGTGTAGCAACCAACGCAGCCTTTTGTAGCAGTTCGGAGGGGTAGTTTCGTAGTTTGATGACCACATTTAGAGCACACCAGAAATTGGCAACCTTGTCCTCGAAAAGTCCTCTTGCGAATGGGAAGACACGATGAATCACCTGCGCCAGCTGCTGTATGATCGGAAAGTACCATGCTCGATAGTTCACTAAGTATGAATATTCGGTAAAGATTGGCAGAGGGGCAAAGCGCCCAAATGTCTCGGGTCTTGCCTCAATTCCTCGATAGGCGTCGTAGAAAGCTCCGAGTAAAAGAGGTAGGAGGAGTACCGCGAACGAGACCATCGTGACAATAGCAATTCCCAGAAACCGTGGCACATTGATGCGAGGGAATATGCACACTCCCAAGAGGTATGCGAATATGGCTGGCGCATAGTATAAAGCCATCTGCTTGAATCCCAGTGCCAGTACGAAGAAGACGGAACTCCACATGTATCTGCCTGCCAAAACACTCGACATGCTCGCCAACACCAGCCCAAGCATCACAGTATTGTATTGGAAGTGGACATGGTCGATGAGAATTGTACCAGGCTGCATCAGGATCGCTGTCAATGCAATTGAAGCATTCCATGAATTAATCCCCTGGAGCCGCGTGAGCCGGCGGACGAATATGACGGCAGCAGGTATGTAGATGAGGTATTCGGAAATAATAACAGTCGCCCGCATAAAGACTTTCAAGATAGGATCATCGAGTCCTCGAGATGTATGTAGGGTGAACCATGACGGGTCAATGAGGGCTCCAACCTTGCCCAAAACCCAGCTATGGTATGCAGTCAAAGGAGGATAATCGAGTCCCCACCATTCGAGGTCGTGGAAGTACCATTGGGATACAGGTAATTGGGTCGTGATCTCCATCCAATGTCTCTGAGCTTCGTAGTCGCCGTGCATAGGAGGGTTTTGGAAACCTGGACATTGTGTTAAAGCAGGAAATATCCTCCAACCGTGAACAACGTACCTGAATATCCCCAGAGACCTGCCGCCCATCTGAACAGCCCGGCGGCCATCAATATCAATGGCAGAATCTCCCATTGTGAGACTGAGCTGCGCGCTGGCCAGAGGAAGGCCGCGAGAGGATACGCTGGACGACTGGTACTTGATCGTCCAGTTGTTGATGGCGCGACGGAAGAGACCTCGCTGCTATTGCTCGTCTTTTTGACCTTCCGCCGTGGTTTGTGGGGAGAAGGGGAAGGTCCTGCCATTGTCACCGGATTGTCAAGAGTGCAGATAAGGTGCAATCAGGTCGCATAGTGGACAGATGTTGGGATGAAGCTTTTGGGCGGATGCAAAACCGCGACGCGAAGTCGAGGTCCAAAATTTTGGCGAGCTCACTAACCTAGCTGCCAGAACCTCACTTAACCTGAGGTAAACCATCCTCTTCGTCCTCACTCATTGCTTGATAGTTTGCTGCGTCTGATGTATTTTTGAATAAACAAGAGCGGAAGTATCCGCCATATATCCGTTTTCTTCGGTGTAACGCGTGCCTGGAAAGCCGGGAGCTGATAGGCATTCGGTCACCGAGACCAGCGATCTGAAGTTGTGAATTGTTTGTGCAAAGAGCGAGCCGTCACGAGAAGTCTCTCCCTCAAAAGTCATTTTCATGTTCTCTCGTTAGAGCTAAACTACCCATCGTTTGTATTATTCAGAGTTCGCTACTTCTACCATTTCTCACTATTTACATTGAAATCGAAGAGCTTCAAATAACGTTGAGAACACACCTCAGTCGGATTAAGATATCGAAATACCAATAGGACCAACAAGTGTCGCATCCCCAAGATTAGTGAAATCGGCGGGTTGCATCGTAGTCAGTGCCATGAATGCCATCCCACTCATGTTCTTCGGAATCATCGTTGATCCACTCCCAGTCCCATTGACAACAACTTCTGTGTACATGGGCTGATTTATACATATTCACCCACGAAGCATAGATCTGTTTTCCTGCTTCTCTTACAACCCATGCTTGCTGTGGATCCCAAGCGAAAGACACAGATGATGGATACGAGGTATCATGAGCGAAACTCTGACCTTCCATCGAAGTCACGGTGAGTTGAGGGTACGCGGGATACGCGGGCTCTACTCCACAACTGCCTGGTACGATGAACTGCAATCCGACGTTGTAGGCCCATGCTGCAGGTACTGCTGTATCGAATGGCGATGGATTTGGCGCAATGCCATGAAGAATACGGAGGAAGGAATCATGTCTCGTCTCAGTTGCCAGAATGCTCGTTCCAGCTGGTCCGCTTGCTGTGCTTCCAGGAAGTTGTTCTTGGATGCCGATGATGCTGCCAAAGTTGGCACAAGTGATGAGATTTGCGACAGAAAGGAACTCGTCGAAGTTCGTGACTGGAAATGTGTAGTTACACGCCGTCACTGGAGGAGACTGCTTGCTTTCGAGGAAAATGCCTGATACGGTCGCAACGTGCACTTCTTCTTGCTACACGATACGTTAGCTTCATCTTCAATCTTGCCTTAGGTACTCACTGCTGCGATCTTCTCAATAACACTCAGAGTCTCGTTCAGTGGCCGATCACCAGTATCATACACCCCGTTGGTGATATTCAGAATGACTTCAGCATAAAATTAGGCTTCGAGGTTCTCAAGTGCAATGAGAAGTTGCAGTGCAGTTACTCCAGCGGGCGTCTCTGCTGCTATCGTGGCCTCCATGGAACTCGAGACATTGGGAGCTCCACCACCTGCGATCAAACTTATATTAGCGTTGATGATGCCTTGAGTGAGCTCTGCGGGTGGCGGAAATGCTGGAGCAGAAAAGGCCAAAGGAATCAGGAGAGACGAGATTGGTGAAAGCATGTTGAAAATTGAATTGTCGAGCACTGAAATCGGATTTAATTCCAATGCCTTGCGGAAGTTGGCAGGCACTTAGTCTATGGTGGGCTTTTGCCTTTATATACATGATTTACACATCTGATCTAGTGTCATGCTGTAGTTGAAAATGTCACTGTCGGACCTTGAACCTTTATGGTCCGTTCTGGTTGCGCGTTCATCAATCTTCTTTTGGGTTTGACTGTACCTCGGATGTCACCAAGACAGTGAAGATTTTTAGTTGACGGCTTTTCGAGGCAGTACCTACCCACGCCAAGCAGTCACTGTGCGTTAAGCTCTCCGATATGGACCTTGCCGCATCAAATCGGATTCGCTTGGCAGGGAATCAAGCTTCCTGTTCCTTACGTTGGAGTAAGCACTGCTCAAGTCTTACCGAATTTGGGCACCAAAACGTTTTTCTAGATACCCTTCGCCTTGATTGGAGCAAACTCCGCCTCCAAACATTCAAAGGAAATGTATCAATGAAATCTCTTTGAGATTGGAAATTTTGTGCGTACCGCCATGGATTTAAGAGCTGAGTCTTGTGGCCGCGTTAGCCGTATGAGCGAAAGCGAGGACATCCCGCTCGTAACTATCGCGCAGTCGAGCTTGGGAACAATAATTTGTAGTGTCCAGCGAGAAAGTAATAATTGGTGATTGAAAACAGCTATGGTAAAGATCAGTGTTGGCATACTCCGTCGTCCAACCTGTATATTTTTGACCATCTCTGTTAAGATCGGCTCAATTCTACCATTCCGACGTATTCACTCATTTGCCTAATTATCTCCTTCTCCTTTGCATTCACTGAGAGCAAAACTCGTCATAACACAGTTTAGGAGCAAATTAAAACAAAAGTCTGGCTCTTATGGGGAATGGCGTTGTCAAATCGACACTTCACCCCTACGATATTCAAGGCAGTAATGGCCGTAGTAACGTGTAAGCTTTGGGCTCTCCAGCCTCCTGTGCCTTCATTTGTCTTAAATAACATGCAAGCTGAACTGTGTCATACAGGTGGAGAGCGTTCACCGATCCCACAGAACAAGAACAATTAATGAGCGTACTGCTTGAAACAGAAAAACATCTCCAGTGGCCAACATTGAAGCTACGAAGTTCTTTGCAGAGACAGTGGGACGCGATTGCCAATAAAAATATCACCTTTCTTGATCCGGTAAAAGAAACATCCCCACTCATGTCTGTCGCTGCCATATTGACGATCGTAGTCGGAGAAACCCCAACGCGGGGTCGCGGAAACCCCTCTACCCCTCTCACTGCAGCTTCACATTTGACATCATGGGACAGCAGGCCCACGACATGTACAAACATTTAACACCTACAACCTACGAGATAGATTTTCGCAGAGTATCCTACCATTCAAGGGACAACTTTCACCGTTAGCTTCAGTCTTCCCAACCGACCTCTGCACGTTGACAGTAACCAGATCCACATCTGTCCTAATCTTCCTGACTTAATCCTACTACCCAAACGCTACACGAAAATGCCAAAGGAAGTGAACACCATAGGTTTCATAGGCTTAGGTAACGCCGGTTACCATCTCGCCGTCAACTTGCCACGAGCTGGCTTCAATCTTGTGGTACGAGACGCAGATCCTTCCCGCGCCCAGACTTTTGTAGACGAGAATCCAAAGTCTGTCGCAGCGGGTGAAAAAGACGAGAATGCATGGAAAGAAGTGGACGTACTAATCACAATGTTACCAAATGGAGACATCGTCCGAGAGGTTCTGTTAGGCGAAGCTGGAGTTGCGAAATATTTGAGGCCAGGTACGAAGCATCCACTCGCAACAGGGACCACAGTAATGAACCGATTTCAAGTTGACTCATGAGCAGGAACTATTGCCGTGGACATGTCATCGTCTTCACCGTTCGACACCGAGGCTCTCAACTCAAAGCTTAAAGCAATGGAATTGCCGTTAATCGATGCACCTATCACACAAACTCATCTTCATGCCATCCGAACCGGAGATGCTACTTTCATGCTGGGCTGCGACTCTCCAGAAGTAATAGAGCGAGCCATGCCAGTCTTCAAAGCTATGGGGAAATACGTATTCCCGATGGGCAAATCTGGCGCAGGACATGCTATGAAGACTCTCAACAATTATGTGTCCGTGGGAAGTATCATTGCGTTGTGTGATAGTTTGGTTGCAGGTCAGAAATTCGGCCTTGATCCAGCAACCATGATCGATGTGCTAAATGTGGGGACGGGGAGGAATTTCTCGACTGCGTACTCGATGCGGGATGAAGTACGCACATTTTCTTTATCTAAGAAGGTTGAGCTAACGAGAGTTAGGGACTTACAAGGAGGTACCAATCAGGATATCAACTCGCATTGTTGATCAAGGATATGAAGATTACGAAAGATGTGATTAAGTCAACTGGTTTTGAGACAGGCTTACCACAATTGGCCCTCAGTTATCTCGAAGATGCCATTGTAGGACTGGAAGATAGTGCGGATCATACGGAGTGTTTGAAAGGGTGGGAAAGGAGATCAGGGATTGAGTTGAAAAAGAGTGCGCAACCGACGGAGAGCGTAGTAGAGGAGAAAGTGCTTTGATTGAAATTCGTTAGCCAATGTCTACAGCCATTGCTATGGTATATAATCCTACAAATTTGTCTGAATTTCTCTGTTATTCTGCGATTTTTGGGACATGGCGGTGGCGAAGGGGGATCGCAAGTTACGATCAGCTTGCTTCTGCTCAGACAAGGAATCACAATGAGCAAATGAGGAGCGGCGATTAAGTTGACGTCGATGCACTTTTTCGAGAGCCATTAGTATGATGTGCTAACCAGTTCTGTTGCGGAGGCTATGTGCACTATGTCATTCACGGCCATATATAACCACCCTTTGCGCCTATTCCACCACGCATTTGAAGTTAGCACAATTATGACTACCTTGATATCATTCTTGACAAACATTGCTAGGTAATCTCAATCTTCCGACTGAACAACCTCGCCCATCAACCCTCTACTGACTTCAAACCCCGTACTATCAGCAATAATCCTCATAATCCCTTGCAACCAAACAGCCTCCATGTCCACAGGATTGAAAGCCTGCCACGCAACTCTTAACGGAAACAACAGAAAGAAAGCTCCAGCACGCCTCCGTTCTGCTCCAAGGAGGTATTCAACACTCTTGCAAATCTCATACGCTATTGCTTGAGCATTCGGTGCCAACCCTGGAGGGATGAGTGGTTCATATCGAAGGCCGCGAGGCAAGTGGGCAGCGCAGGTTGAGGGGTCGAACTGCGGACCAATGACTTGAGATGCGACCTTCAGAAGAAGGAGGAGAAGGGCGTTGTAAAATGTAAGAGCGTTTGCTTCGATCAGAGATTTGTAGTTGAACACGAGTGGGAACAGGATCGAACCTGTTGTGCTATCGGTGGAAAGAACTTCCCAGCATGCGTGGGGATTTTGCCGCTGCCAAGACGCCCTCCATCCGTACAACTCTTTCAAACAAGACGTGATTCGCCCAGAGACAAAAGCATGATGTTTTATGAACTCTTCTGGACTCATCTGTGGAGACTGTAGTTGGTCGACATCTTCCATTACACCTGGCAAATCGCATGCGATATCATGCAAGAACATTACGCTCGTCTTCGCTTCTGGTTCCAGAGCCCACGGTATGGTCTTCCATTCTGTACTTTCAAGAAAACATCTTTTGCGTTTGACAAGATATCCCAAAGCTATTATGGCTCTGCTGGCTTCGAAAATTTCTCTTCCTTGTGGTGATTGATGTAGCTGTGGGCCTCGAAGTTCGAGTAATCGACCTACACCCCCTGCATGCTTGATCCAACCTGACGTGTTGGAGGCAATGAACTTTCAGGGTATCAGCTGCATTAAGATTGAAAAGTGACTCGATTATGAGTAACCTACTTCGTATAACTCCAACGCCATAGCAGTTTTCACTACAGACAATGATTGTCCCTTCTTGGAATCTTGGAGATCTTGGTTCAAGCTAATCAATGCTTGACCATAAAGATTATATCCACGAGCAGTGATATTGTGTTGATAATGCGTTCGTCCAAAGAAGACGGTGCTGAGCGCACGAGTACTTAGCTGTGCAGAAGCGGAAGATGTATCCTCTGCATGGAGACGTAGCCAAGGAGTTACAACGGGTATGCCGGAAAAGAGATTGGATAGCAGAAATGACATAAATATGTTGTCCTGGAAAGCATGAATCTCCAAATTCATTGCGGTGAGTCCTGAGCTGCTGTTAGAGTGAAGAATAATATCCTGAGAAGATCTGGGATCTGGTTGGGGTGTTTCAGTCGAAGCCTTCTTTTTGACATGTTTCTCTGTACGAAAGTTCTCATCTACGAATCGATGTTCCCGGGTATAACCTTCACATTCTTGATTCGACTTTTCACATCTCTTGCAGCCAGGCCGATGTTCATCACATTTGACCTTCCGTCGTCTGCAGTTCCGGCAACCTACGCACCATCAATCAGCCTCAAACCGGGACGTGCTTCTACAATAACCTACCGCCCGACTTCCCCACCCCTAGACGTGCCATCTAGAACTGCCATATGTCCCAAAACGTAGGAAACATTGCGAGCTGCGGCCCTACATCATGTTTGAGACTGCAGCGCTACATACTCGAACGTTGATCCTTCTTATGTAAGATGATCCCCGCCGCATTATACCCAAAATGGGATGAATTTTGCGAGCTGAGCAAGGTTCCTTTTTTTTCATGGATAAAAGTGGATTCTTTCCGTAACGAACCAATCATGAAAGTTGTTTCTTCTGACACTGTAGTGAGGGCTGAGTTCAAGGCGACTATTCTATATTGGGGGTCATAATTGCGACCTTCAAAGAGGAAAGATATATATGAAGGCTTAAAGTCCAAGTTGCAAAGTGAATTTCTGCCAAAACCCCGTTTCATCTTTCTGTCTCCAACATGGACTCATACACAACGTATCAAAAGAGTCCGCATCAACAGGAATGGCAATCATCATCGTCTACCTACCGGACACATGATCCTTCTCAAAGTGTACCAAACTCGTACCAAGAGCCTCCTCCGCCATATCCTATAGACCATAACTCGTTCCGAAGTCCCACTCAGCGATACCAATACGTCGCCGCCCACTCGCCAGTTTTAGAAAGGAATTATTTCCATGATCAAACCATAGGCAGCGAGCAGTATGCCTCCAGACTATCCACACTACCTTTCCATCAGTACTCCACATCGGCAGTCTCAAGACCAGCATCCTCATACTCGCAAACACCCTCAAGTCCTCCTCCATCAGATGAAGCCTTTCTTTCAGAAGCACTAGCTTTCACCCAACAGACACCCCAGACTCCCTTTCAAATCACTAGACTACAATCCCCAATCGCTATCCCCCAAACAATAGCTGCAATGGGCGGATCTTTCCTTCGAGCTTGGGCACCTATGCTCCGAAGCCACGACATCTCAATCGTGCAATTCATCGCGTTCATCGACAATCTCAACGTCGTCTCAACAGCCAGTCCTCCTTTGCAAGCGATGAGTCTTGCCGGCGGAGTTTTGGGTATGGTACCTCACCATTGGGCTATGATCGCAGGCAATGTGATTCAAACCACAGCAAACTTGGGGACATTTGCTGTAAGCAAGGGAAGGACGGAACTATACATGAGGGAAGTCAATGAGAAAATGTTCAAGCCGAGAGGGTTGAAAGTCAGCATCGCTAAGACTGAAGCGATAAGATCTGTTCTCAGAGTTCCAACCGGAAGACCCATGTTGCCTCCGTTGAATGCTCAAACGGTACAGATGGGAATTGCAGAACGAGTCTTGCTTCAGTTGTGGCCATACAATGCCGTCCTCGACTTGAACGTGCCTCCACCAGCGGAGCAGACAACTATGTTGGCAAAGCTGAGCGCGAAGCAAATTGCAGCACAGGCTAAGAGGAATCAATCGAAGTTGATTAAGAAGCACGAGAAAGATTTGAGGAAAGAAGGAGAACAAGAGAGGAAGGAGGAAAGGAAGGATGAGAAGAGACGAAGGAAGGAAGAGAAGAAGGCAAGGAAGCGAGAGAGGAAGCATGCGAAAGGACGAGATAGCTCTGACTCTGATTCTAGTTTGGAATCAGATAGGGAGAAACATCGTCATGGAAAGAAGGACAAGACAAGCAAGGAAGAAAAAAAAGCAGGGAAACTATTGTGGGTTTTGATAGAGAAATTGTAGATATAGAATGAGAATAATTTTTGTGCTCACTGGGCAAATCAAGTATTCATCCACGATTTGACACAATCCAGGGACCCATTCACAGCTGGTAAATCCTCATCATACGCTGAATTCGCTGATCATTTCCACCAGATCCTACATTTCTTCGCCTTCACGACTAGTTATAGCAGAAATCACTTGCGCACCATGCGTTCCACGACGTCAATCCCGGTCATCTTCTTGATCGTTCCATCAAGCATTCCATGCGGCATAAAGGTGCCAATTCTTGCCATATTCGCTTGAGCTCCCCCCCTATTTCCCAAATTCCAAGTCAGTACAATCTTATCCAAAGGTTGAAATGGGTTTGGTAATTGCATAAGAAGAGGTGAAACTTACCAGATAACATTCGGTGGTGTTTTCTTCAACAAATCCTGCACGACTTGCCCCGCCCATTGCGCCGCTGGCACACCCGCGTTGGCCATTTTGTCGTTACGCATTGCGCTCTCGACCGCTTCTCTAGCAGGCTCATAAATTGACCCCTTGGGTAAGACAACTTGTGTATTTTTGATCTGATTCTTGATTATGTTAGTAGCAACAGCTCCAGTCCTCAGATCCACAACTCGAATTCCGAATGGTGCTAACTCCAGCCGTTGAGAATCGGAAAGTATAACCATGGCAGCCTTCGAGGCATTGTACACAGACTGGAACGGTACTGCCATGGAAGCCACCACAGAAGTTTGATTGACAATCATTCCCTTGCTTTTGAGTAGCAGTGGCAGAAAAGCTTGTGTGACAACGATTTGAGCCCACACGTTGACATCGAATATCTTCTTGGATTCGGCAATAGAGAGGTCGGAGATTGGCATACTGTAACTAGCCCCAGCATTGTTAACCAGTATATCAAGACTTTTCAATTTGCTAACACAGGTGGCGATCGAAGAGTCGGATTGTATATCGAGTGTGAGCGTCTCGATACCTGCTGAGGCAACTTGAGTCATTGCTGAAGGACTTCGAGCTGTAGCGTAGACGTGCAGACCAGCTTTATGGAACGCTACGGCTAATGCAGCGCCCATGCCGCCGTCTGAGCAGCCCGTTATGAGAACTGTTCGTTTCGAATTTGAGGGTGCCATTTTCGTGTCCATGTGGCGGGGATTGGTGCGTGAAGATAGAAACGGCTAGAAAGACGGACCCTGAAGGAATACATGACAGGCACGAGTATTTATGCTCAGCTATCTTTTCTTTGCTGGTGACTTCCTCCTTGAAGTTCAGGTCTCAGTCGCCGTTTGTCTCGAGTTCGATCCCTTTCCGTCCCTAATTATTCGGCGTGCCGCGCGCGATGCCGAAAGCAGAACACCGCGCGGTCAGCAATTTGCAGTTGGCATCTTGCGACGCTCTTCTCTTGAATCAACTCTCTCAACATTTTCCGTTCCAAATAGTTGCCATTATATTCAATAGTACTAGGTAGTGGGTCAAGCCAAGGACCTAAACTTTAACTCCCTCCTATCTCCGTCTGCTAGGTCAGCAACATACCTTCTACATTTTTTGATGCCCGTCTCTCATCTTCCCGCCATGCTTCTTTCGTTCACCGCGCGCGCTCCTCTTGCACAATCTTGCATCAGACACGATCCAGCATCAATGTCACAGATCAAGAAAACCGTGGACGGTTGTTGGACTTGTCGCATTCGCCGGAAGCGCTGCAACTCTCGGCGTCCAGTCTGCGACAACTGTCATTCACTCGAGATTGTCTGCCACTTCGATGAGCAGAAGCCAAAGTGGATGGACAATGGCGATGAGCAGCGGAAGATGATGCAAACAATCAAGAATGAGACCAAACAAAATGCTCTTCGTCGGAGAGAGAAACGAAATATCCGGCCCCAGGACCAAGAGATGGTCATTACACTGGAGAAAGAATATCTAGAGGTCGATGTAGTTGATGATGTAGCTGGCAGAGACATCCCAATGCTTTATGCCGGTAATACCGAGCCCCTTCAAGCTGGCATGGAGTCTGTGAATATTCCTGGAGCTGGTCTAGATGCCCACCCGAAAGCGGATACGAGTGTTGTACATGCGCCAATGCAGAGCCCCGCCATCGAAATCCCTTCAAGGAGCCCAGGATCAATGAGTCTAAATCTCGGCAGAGAGGTGGAACTGGGATCCATCATGATATACCTCGACTACGTTTTCCCATTTTTGTTCCCGTTCTATCGACCATCGCTACTGGAGACCGGTCGGCATTGGCTACTCAGTCTTCTCTGTCAGAATGAAGTCTCTTTCTACACCGCAGCGAGCTTGAGCTCCTATTTCTTTTCTATTGCGCTTCAAGATGGTCAACGAGCAATGCAGGAAAGCTGCAGAGCTATTGTATGGACACAGTTGATGGAGCAAATGGACCTCGCCGTGGAGAAGATTCAACAAGACATCTCTGAGGTCAGAAATTGTGGGGACCAGGTCTCTTTGGTACAGAGCGCCAGAATGTTGGGAGAAATAATTCAACTACTCATTGTGGAGGTCATGGTACGCAGAGACGTCGACTGGAATGTTCATCTGACCCCAGCTCTAAGTCTGTTTGAGGGCATTTTCGAGTTTCATGGCACATTGGCATCACAGCCAAATTTGAAAATTCTTCTCCGCCGCCTTCATCCGCCCCCTTTTGCAACGGAATTCCCAGTTGACAAGCCTCTTCCCAACACGGCAGGCCAGTCGGCACTACTTTTCTTCACAGCAATATTGCTCTTTGTCGACATCATCTCAAGCACGGCGCTCGATCAACCACCCCGCTTAGAAGCATCTCATCGACATCTTCTCTCCAGCTCCCAGACAGATGAGACCCTACTCGCACTAGAAGGCTTTGTTGGATGCCAAAACTGGGTCTTTATCGCCATCAGCGACATCTCGGCCCTGAGTAGCTGGAAGAAAAATGCCAAATGCACTCAAACTTTGTCAGTGATTGACCTTGCCAATCGTGCAGAACCTATCTCTAAAGCTCTAGAAATGGGCCTCAAAGACCTTTTTGCAAACGCGATTAGTATGAAGTCCAAGAACGGCATTGCCACCCGTTTGGCCAGCTACTACTCTCAACCTACTGGCGGAGATGGCGACTCATCCATCGCGGCAATGACCCGGATCTGGGCACATGCCGCAAGATTATACCTCTCCGTCGTTATCTCGGGCTGGCAACCTGCTTTCCCTGACGTACAAACCAGTGTTGAGAAGATTTTAGACTTGTTTGAAATGATCAAGTCGCCGGGACAGCTGCGTAGTCTTTCGTGGCCACTTTGCGTAGCGGGGTGCTTGGCTTTACCTTTTCAAGAGCAGGCATTCCGAGATATCATTCAAAGTATGGGTGAACTTCGTGTATTCGGCACTGTTAGTCAGGCTCAGAGTATCATGGAAGCGGTTTGGAGAGCGAGAGGCACTTTCATTACGGAAAGCTGGGATATTGCTGAGTGTTTGAGGATTCTTGGTTCCCCTGCGCTCTTGATATGAGATATTGCCAGATAATTTATATTTGTGCTGTTGGCACACAATTGTCTCAGGTTCTTTATCTTCTTGCAACAGCAAACGCTTGTTATCAACCACATGTTCATGCGTCTTGCTGCACAATAGCAGGATGATTCACTTCCGTCAGCGTGGTGATATCAGCCAATTTCCTGTCCAGATCTTCACGCTCCTTTTCTGTCAGATGCGTGAGATCCAGTGCAACCTCATCGCCAAACTTTGCTCCAACTTCTTCCAACGCTAGGCCTTTGGTCTCTGGGAAATACTTGATGAAGAATCCGACAGCGAAGAGTGGTGGGAAGATGAAGACAAGGTAATATATCCATCCAATATTGTTGAAAGCTGTCGGTGCCAGCTCTGTGAAGACTTTGGGCGTTGGTAGTCAGTTATGATGAAGTGACCAACGACGGGAGGTACTTACGCAGAGCCGAAACGAAGAGTCCACTGATAGAGAATCCAACACCTTGAGCTCGGATGAGAGTCGGAAAGATCTCCGAACAATAAACATACATCGACACATCTACACACCCGCCATAGAAGGTAACGAATAGATAGATGAACAATACGCCAATCGCATTCCCTGCCTTACTCCCACCATTGGCATACCTTGCTACCATAGCAGCTTCGATAGTGACACAGACTGCGCATCCGATCTATTGATGTCAGCACACGAATTGAACCTGGAAGATCTCTCGCTGACCACTCCGATGGCCATAATTCTGATCCGCCCGAAGCGATCCAGTATCATGGAGTTGACCCAGTTGCAGAAGGAGGCCCAGGTGTTGAAGCATGCATACAGAACGAGAGGTGCAGCTCCATGAAGACCGAGATTCGTGTACAGAAGGACCTGAAAATGTCAGTACTCCGCACTAATCAGATGACGCTGAAGGTATCGCTAACCTGATAGTTATTTATCACAAGAACTCCCGTCATCTGAGCAAGGCACTGGAAGAAGAAACCATATAGCATGCGTCGTCGGTATGTTGGGTGGATGAGCAACTGAATCAGATTCCGCACTTTCTGATCTCGCTCGAGCTCAACTTGCTTATGGATTTGCATGAACTCTTCTCTTGCAGCGATATGATATGGATCGTCCGGCCGCGCATGAAGCCTCTCGAGAATCCTCAACCCTAGAAGGCGTGTTGATGAGCATCCTCGGCTTGCCGATGGGGACTTGAACTTACCTTCGGCGTCATGACCCCTGCTGATCAGCCAACGTGGAGATTCTGGGAGCCAAGGACTACCAATCAGCAACAAGAGGGGTGCAACAGCTTGTAGAGCAAGAACGAGTCGCCATTGAATAGCGGGATTTGTCTCAAAATAGCTGCCGTACCCAGCCCAGCCAGCCATGGCCTAAGCAAGAAGTCAGCAAGCCGCTTCACACACTCCAGCTTCTGACTCACATATCCAATACAAATGATAAACCCATGAGATCCCACCAACCGTCCTCGTTGGGCAGCAGGGGCAATCTCCGACTGATATGTTGGAATGATCGAGTTGATCAAGCCAATGCAAAATCCGTTTAGCAACCGCCCCACTAACAACATAGCAATGTGCACACTCCCTGCTTGCAGTGCTGCCGAGATGATGCATCCAACGCAAATGATCTGAATGCATCTTCTTCGGCCAAAATAATCTGCAAGGTAAGCAATTGTCCAGCATCCTAGAGCACCGCCACCGTAATAGACTCCGTTGATGGCTCCGGTGATGGAAGATCCTTTGGAACTCGATTCGTCAATGTTGAAGTATGGGAAGAAAGAGGGAAGTCCGATGACCGACCCCATGATTGCGGAATTGTAGCCATAGGTAAAGGAACCGAATGCGGCGAAGAAGGTTACTGCGAAGTTGTAGGCGTTTGCTCTAGCTCCGACTGCCATGATGATTATTGAGCAGTATCAACGTGTATCGAGCTTGAAGCCAAGAGTTTGAAAGGATAAAGTTCTTTGGCGCCTGAACTTTGAGGAATGCATGGTATCTTAACATTTAAGTTTCTCCACGTTTCCCCAAGAGCACTCCGCGAGATCTGCCAACAATACGGATAGTGGACATGAAGTTAAGACTCCAATTCCCTCTGAATGATTGGATACCAACCATGAAAGAAGTCTGACAGTCGAGCAAGGATTCCCCGCACACACCGCTCGGACCCCGCAACGTACCCCAACTTCCTCCCCACAAGAACTTATAGCATTCTTGGGTGACGGGTGAGCTCAACGCATGTTTCATTTGTAATGGTTCCTGCTCAGATGGAAAGTTTAGTGAGTGGTCGGAGATGTCGGCGTTTCGAGAGAAGCGAAGTTTGCCGAGGGGGAAATAGGGGTGGATGGCGGGGTAGCGTCGGTGTAAGAATATGTAATATTCGGCTAGACTTTTCAGAGATGTCGTAAAATTCTAGCCCATTGCATTGCTGATAAATATAGATGTTAAATGAAGCCCAAAAATCCCCTCTTCAAAAAAAACTGATTGTTTACCTGATCGGGCGTGCTTCCTACCTACCTAAAGGAGTAACTCATTCGAGCAGCTCAGCTTCCCGGGTGAGAATCTGGTTGGGTTGGATACCTGATGTTTGAACGAGATCATACACAGATGCGCAAAGAGTATGTCAGCATTTTATGGGTCCATCGCACGGAAATACCTGGCGCATTTCGTTAATCCATCAAGAGCAATATCCCAAGCTTAATCTCTTAGACCAGTCAAATTGACTTGCTCGTTTGCAATGAAGATTCGTGTTGACGCTTGTGTGACGGGGCGAAAAAGTAATCTTACCATTTTCGTCTCGCTTTCGTTCCCGGTACTTAATTAGACTCAACTTAGCGACCAAACCAAGCTTTTTAAGGCTGCTTACCTTGCAATGGCAACTTCGGAGGCAAAGTATCATCGCATGGACTACTCTGATCGGGTAAGGTGGTCTGATTTCGGCCTCAGCCTTACAGGGAATATTGTGGCATGGCGCAGGACGATTCTTGAGGAACGGTTATTCGTGCCAATCGAAACCATTAACTTTGTCCATACCCTAACTGGAGCTCTCCTAGCCCTATGCTAAGGCTGCATTCACGCCTCTGAGCCGCAGTCTAGGTGAACAATCTCATCTGCGGTCATGAGCATGAGATAGAAATCCTCTACGAAAATGTCTCATACAGCTGGACTTCGAGAGACACAGCCATTTACATCGTGGCTCACTGGATATGAGGATCTACGGGAAAACTTACGAAATGAAAGGTATAAAGGAAGTCCAAGGCCCACCTCTGATGATCCTTTCATCAAAGACCAGCACACCAGCTTCCATCACCTACCATGAGAACTTCAAAGAGCCTCCCATTGCTGGTTTCAGGTACGAGAATCCCCTTTAGAACCTCTTCAAAACTTCCGCTCACATGTATCAGCTCTCCTGGGATCAGTAGCACATTCTGCCAACATCTCACTCCCTGAAGCTCTTGCAGAAAGCTATGCTCCGATCCGAGTCGAATGCCCATCAGATATCCAATGGGTCCGCCCAGCAACTGGTCTCGATCCAGCCGAAGCAGAATGGGTACACAACCGCAAACGTGTCGTTCTCGATGCCCTCGAAAAATACCTTCATCGACTGGAGCTTGAAGATTTCGATGTTTACGAGTACGCCTATCGACTTTGTAATTCCAACTTGACTCACGTTCCAGTCCTCGGAATGATAGTTAGTGGTGGCGGTTATAGATCTGGATACACGGGCACAGGTGGCATGAGAGCACTAGATGACAGACTCCCCGAAGCTGTTGAACAACGTACTGGAGGCTTGCTTCAAAGTTTGACCTATCTCGGAGGACAATCTGGTGGCTCTTGGCCTGTCGCTTCCTTTTCAACGCACGACTTTCCCACCGCGGATAAGCTCGTTCAAGAATGGGTTGCAGCAAATGCCAAACTTGGTGCCGTACCCGAAAACTCGACGACTGGCGGATCACTAACATCGATCTTCGGCGATGTTGCAGCAAAGTACGAAGCAGGATTCCCGGTGACGGTCTCGGACTTTTTAGGCCGTGATTTTTCATACGAGTTTCTCCCTGGGCCGAATGGTGGCCTTGGTCTCACTTGGTCCAGTCTCAGGAATCAGAGTAAGTTCTTGAGTCACGAGATGCCAATGCCCATGTTGCAAACCACATCTCTCGAGGCGAACGATGTGGTGTACCCACAATACCTTGGCCTGCAAGTGCCGAACCTCAACAATCCTGCAGTAAGTTCTTAGAACTACACGCTCTCTCCAAAACACTTTCCACAAAACGACTGACCCGAGAACAGTATGAGATCACTCCTTTCGAAATGGGATCTTGGGATAGCAGTGTCAGTGCTTTCACTCCGATGGAATGGACCGGTACCAGTCTCTTGAATGGGATGCCTGTCAATACAAGTTCGTGTGTCCAAGGCTGGGACAGAATAAGGTGAGAGCATTTGCCTACTGATATGGGATTCTTGTACTAAGCGACTTGGTAGTTTCATGATGGGTACTGCCGCTGCCGCATTCAACTTCTGGTATATTGAAGACGCTACAAACGGAACTGTAGCACCATTTCCAAAACGATCAATAGACACAACGATGCAAGGTCTGGAGAAGCGTTACGAGGGCCAATCGCTATTTCCAGAAAGTGAAATTCAAACACTGATCGAGGTCTACAAATCTGACTTTAATCTCTCGATGCCAGAGATTGCATACTCGATTTGGCCAAATCCTTTTCAAGTTAATACAACGAACAACACAACTTCTGTATCAGACTCCGTCGGATCTTTAGCGGAACTCACTTTCGTCGATAGCACCGAAACTGGATCCTCTTTGCCTATAGCAGGAATGATTCAGCCTGCACGCAACGTCTCATTCATCATCGCTTGGGACGACGACGCTGATTCCATTCCATACGCATGGGACAATGGAACCAATTTGTACAATGCCTACACTATTGCTAATGCATCAGGACTTCCGTTCCCGATCATTCCACCTGTAGCAACCATCATGAATCGTAACTACTCATTGAAACCAACTCTCTTCGGCTGCGACGCAAACCTGACTACCACGAAGTCTACCGCATCACCCATTGTCCTGTACATGACGACGGCACCTTACTCTGCATACACGAACTACACCTGGATAACAGGGAACTTCTCACTCACCCAATTTAATGAGATTTTCGTCAATAGCTTCAACCAAATCACTCAAGGCAATGGAACTCTCGATTCAGAATGGACGACTTGTCTAGGCTGTGCAGTCATTGACCGCAGTTTGAGCGCACTTGGGATGCCCAGAACCAGGCAATGCGAGAAGTGTATGGACAAGTATTGCTGGGACGGAACCGTGGATGATGTTGAACCAGAGATTATGGATCCGCCCCTGATGTTATACCCAAACATCAGTTTTGCGGAGTGGAATGCGACAAGTGCTATATACAGCGAGTAAAGGTGTTGACAGTAGACCATAATGGTAGTTGAATTGGCAGCTCCAATTTCCCGTATGATAAAACCTCTATAATATCTTGTTGTAATCATACGGCATGGCCCTCTTATATATGAATTCTTTTCACACTATTAACACGGAAGATCCTGCTTGTACAATCGGGACCTGGCTATTATGCAGAACCCAGCTCAGTTCAATCCCCTAAGCGCCCCATTCAAAGCACATTTTTTGTCGACCGTGGAACGCTCAAGCGAACTTTTCAGACACTAGATTATCGAGACTCCAGGGCATCTAGCGCATTCAGCGCATTCAGCGCAACTCGCGCAACCAGCGCAACCAACGCGTTTAACTTATCGAGGCCAAGCACGTTTTTTTTTTTTCCATAACTGGACAAGACTGGCCTATTTGATATAAAGTGGCTATCATAATCATGAGCCTCTATGTATTCATCTAGTACTCCAGAAGTCAAACGCAAAATAGTCATTCCAGCTCGGGGCCTCTCCGAAGAAGGCGATCACACCCTACACAGCTCACCACATACTCGATACCTTGACGAGACAAGAAGAATTTCGAATCGCAACGGATACCCCTAGACTGCACTCTCAGATCTCTTCAACGATGCTTGGGGTTATGCCAGACTGATATGCACCAAAACAGCCATCTCTAATTCACGCATTTCCTCTGTGAGGTCGCGATCAGAATTTCTCAGCTGTTGATATTCATACAATACATAGTCGTTCCGAAGTCATCTGATGATTCTGCCAAGCCTCGCCGTGCATAATCCCATGAACATACGCCTCACCAATGACTCTAAAATTGCCATCTTTCACATGTCGAAAGACATAAGGGACTTTCGTGCCAGGAAGGAGATAAATCAAATCTCCAATCTCCGTTTGTTCAGGGCCTATTCCCAGAAAGTTCTTTCCTGTTCGGAATATTCGTCTCGAAAGATCTTTTGAATGTATCACCTTGGCAAAGTTTCTGCCGTTGCCCTCGAAGCCAAAGTACCAGTTCGCATACTGGATGTCTTCTGGTGAGAAGGAATCTAGAGTCCTCCATCTGTTGACATCTTCTTTTGTGAATGTTATACCCAAGGTTGCAAGACTGGGCTGGATAACTTGAAAAGTCTCCAACATTTGTTCTTTCGATCGCTTTGGCCAGAGTGCGTCAACTGGATTCTTCATGCTTATAAGTTTGTTTGCCATGGCGTCTCTTATTCCAGTCATCTCGATGAAGCATAAGTATTTGAGCCAGTTCTGGAAACTTTTGTCAAGGTCCGGAGCAGGATGTTTCCCTTGAGCTTCGTCGGATATCAATGTTCTCCACAGAATTGCTCTATTCTCAGCAACTGAGCCACCCAGCTCTGATATGATTTGACCCCACCGAAACAACTCGACGGTGTCTGGACCGATATTGCTCAAACCAGGTTGCGCAATCTCTTGTACACTGTCCCATCTGAATCCATGCAAGACAAGATAACTCTCAGCTGTCACGTGATAGGCTGGTTGCAGAGTGTTGTTTCCGATTGCGTCGTAGATCGCTGTTGCGGTTGTTTGTCCTGCCTCACTGACCAAGGACTCAATCGATATTCCGAGGGGCTGGTAGTGTATAGGCATTGTGAGATCCGGCACCCATGAAGGAAGGCCTTTGACTCTTGGGGTCGCCGGATTCCGAATCAGAGAGAGAATTGAGGGGCCGTGTGCTTGTAGCAGAGACATCGCAACATAAACAAAGAGGTCCCGTGCCGGTTGGACGTAGTCGGGTAGGACGGAGTGAGTACCTGTCTTTGTTGATAGTCGGATGGGCGCAGAAATCGACAGGACTGCAAAGACTTTGTCCCTGGTATCTGTTGCATTGTAGTTGCGACTGAGAGCAAGGGCAGACATAGAAGATAATGCTCCTTGTCTGTGGTATGCTCGTCGTCTCCGCTCGAGAGTCATTGCTGGGATCTCGTACAGTTCCGGATCCACTGTCTTAGATGACATTGCGGCTGAACGGTACACAATCGTGTGGAAATTCTCTCCCCTTTCTCCCTTGGGATTAGTACCTGCCCTCATCAGTACACGGCAACTATCCACAGCACATGATAAAAGGACGAAGGTATCCCAAGAAAAGACGAATTGTCCACACAAGACTGTGATCTCCTGAGCCATGACAAGTTCTTGGATGACCCAAGCTCTCTCAAACCAACTTCGGCGGAAGAATGGCAACCCGATCAACCAACTGCGCATTTGCTTCTCATCTAGCTTTTTGATCCAATTTGTGACTGTCTCTTTCAGATCCGCGGGTGCTTTCGGTGAAAGATGCCGTTGAGGATCATCTAACAGCGCATCTAAGGTTGTCTCATCCAGCTTGCCGCTCGTACCTGCCGCATCCAGCATCCACGTGTCCAGGAAGAGATCCTCCGCTGTTGTGTCGTTGACGTCTTGTCTTTCTCTGCCCAGCCAGACGACGACGGACTTTGCGGACTTGTAGATTCTTCCCATCATTCCAACTTGGATGGCTTTTTCATCATTGTCTTCTTGATTGATACACAGAGCATCAATCCATATGTATGATTGACTCCTCATTGCTGTCGGAAAATACGTACCCTTTGGGGCTGGGACAGCCTTTGTTTTCTTTTGCGTTGCTACTTGAGTCTCCAAGTATTTGATGGTTTCGTAACGGAACTTTTGTTTGGCACAGTCCAAAGGGGTGCGCCGAGAGTTGTCAAGCTTGAAAACCGAGCTTCCAGCTTGAACAAGAGTTTTGACAACCTCCAAGTGACCCCTCTCGGCTGCGTAATGAAGTGCTGTTTCGCCGAAGCGATCTTGAGCTGTTATATCTGCACCCTGCAACAGGAGAGAATGTACAAGACGCCCATGGCCATCTTCGGCGGCTTGAATGAGTGGTGTCTTGTAATACCTGCCACGATTTTCGGTTGACTGCACAGCGGACCTCTGACCTTTTCTCAAACGCCGTAAAGCATCCAAAAGATTCTGTTTGACGGAGAGACGCTGGTTATTGCAAAGAATAGTTGTAGTACGTTGATAATATTCATCGAGCTAGGGCCGATCTTGTCAGCCATTCATAAGATAAAATTCTGAGTCGGGGCTTACTTGAGGTTCCGAAGTTGTGAAAGGGCTCCCCCACGTGTATGAAAGAGCATCGTATTGGGGACTATGTGCCAAGTCAACAACGACGAGTGAAGCATGGATGAAGTCACTGGGTTCATCTGCATCCTCAATCTTCAATAATCGAATAGAGGTTGGAGTTGGGAGCCTTGTGTATCGAAATGGCTGTAAGGCTCGCAGCACAATTTCAGCCTCGAATCTCTTGCACTCTACTGCATGGGCCTCAGTAGCGTCCAAGCCTCTTCGTGCATAGTCATCAACATTTCCCACACCAGAGTATGGAACATATTCCACTTTTTCGTTTTCGTTGGGCTGACCTCTGGGGCTGTAGAAACCAAGTCGAGGATCAGCATAGACCAAGCGGCCATCTTTGTTGGCAATTCGATCATTCAAATCCACGGATGTTGGATGCCAGACATGTTCGGATTTGGGAAGTAAGGCATGCAAGGTCGTACCTTCGAGGTAGATATGCTTTGCGTTGTGATTGAAATTAGTTCCTAGCCATACTAATTGGCCTGATACATTGCCCAAGAGACGATCGAGGCGAAGCTCGGACTCGTGCCATGGCCACTTGCCCGATGGATCCGCCTTGCTGCACTCTGCGCGGAGAATGGTGCCCTCTAAACGAATGTTGCGGCTCTGTTCCTTGAATGACATATTGCGTTATGGTCAGAAGCTAAGCAAGAGACAAGATATCTGCCTAGATCATGAAGAAATGAAGGCAGACGCAGGAGAGTGGCGGAGCGTTTCAAGTGGGGTATCTCACCCCGCCTCAGGCATCAGCAATAGGAATCCATAATCTCACCCGAGTTTCTAATGGTCATATCAAGCCTTTCTGCACATTGGATACGTCCGCTCTTCAATATGTTGTGGTAAGAAAGGTGGAAAGAGCGCTTGAAAGTTCCTATGAAGGATTGCTGCGAGGAACCCTTTCTTAGCGTACGATCACGTGCATTTGCCTGCGGCGCCGCATAGTGCGCCGCAATAAGCGCGGCCGCCTAGGAGACAGTCATAGCTTATTTATTTTCTCTTTCCATTCGCTAATAACAGACTAGCGTGCTTTGATACTATGAGACAATATGACAATGCTAATTGTCCTTGGAACACATGACAATAAAAGGCAATAATAATGCGATAATGAGGCAGATTGCAAGAGGGTCTGGACGCTATCGAACTCATAACTCAGCTAATTCAAGGCGGATATGTAAAAGGATTCATATCACAGCCGGTCAGCAGCATTGAGACTGAAAGGGACAATCGTGAATTCAGGTTGAAGCTACCCCGGGCCCGTATCTTGCTGCGGCCTTCTTAACTGAGGTGATATTTACTTCAACATCATAGCTAACGCTAAAACGTAAATGGAAACTGGTACAAAGATTCTATTTTGAAATCTGAGGTGGGGGCCTGGCAACAGCCAGAACACCAACTTCCATTTATGTACCAGCAAACAAAGCGAGCGGCCGCCAAACCGAGCACAGAGTGCTGCAAAGGTAAAGACTTTGAGAAAGCTGCTTTATAATTACCCTATGTACAAGTGTACCCTTAGTAATATAAAGGACATCTATATCCCCTTTAAGTTGCAGGAAATCTCACAGCTTTACACAGCTAAATAAGCTCCCATTGCCACTATACAATACTTCTCCTCCATCTTTCTCGATTCGCTTCAAGAAATTATTCACTATGATTGCTTTTAAAGGAAGGTTTATTCCCTTTATGCTGTCGACTTCTTTCCAGTCGGCTCTCGTTATGGCTACTCTTACGGCGGTCGCACGAGATTTATTACCATTACCAACAGTTTCTGGTGGGACAGGCTTCCTACCTAATGGTACAGGGGGAGTTGGAGGGAATGGGTTAGGCCCTACTTTTACCTTCTCTGGCTTTGACCCCACCGCTCAGATATCTCTGCTCCGAGGAGGACTTGGTGGAGCTGGAGCAGACAGGAATCCGCCTGGCGCAGGGGGCCTGGGGGAGGATCCTTTTGGGGCTCTGCAGTTCGCGGAGACAGTACAAGGTGGCGTTAATGGGACAAGTGGAATGGTAAACACGAATTTGGCTACAGGAGGCAATGGAGGTGTTGGAGAAGGGCCGTTTCTAGATTTTTTGGAGGTGGAGACATCGATTCGAGCGAGATCTAACATAACAATTCCACTTCAACCGGGTCCGTTTAAGACAGGTAATGGTGGCAAAGGTGGTAACTCAGGGAAAAGCATTGGACAATGGAAGGGGGGAAAGGGGGGGAACGGGGGGAATGGAGGGCGCGCGTATATCATGTGGGATACTACGATGCAAAGTTGGTTAGGAGTAAATGGGGAAGATGGAGAAGATGGAGAGGATGGAGAGGATGGAGAAGATGCGCAGATTGGGAAAGACGGGGCTGATGGAGCTGATGGGAAGGATGGGAAAGGATGGGGCAATTGGGATTAACAACACCTCGATCGTTACGACTCATTTAATCAGTGGACCATAGGCTCAACGGGATAGGACGACCCGAACCCGGAAGGAGACCCTAGATCACATGGAAGTTATATGGGCTGCGTCCCAAATGAATTAGAAGCTTTTAAGCGTTTGACATTGATCAGAAAAGTTCATCTTATTTCTTACTCTGAAATCCGTTCAAAGTGCACGATGTCTCGAGTTCATGCCCTTTCGGCTATTCCTTGTTGATTACTTAGGTAAGGCCCTTATTGTGTACCTAATCGATGCTGTATTCTAGCTTTGCTGTCGCAATTCGACCAATAGCCGGACTTACGTGTCAAAAAGGGTCTGTGGGAAGAAGTTACTACCGTCTGCATTCTTCTGGGATTGTAATCGGAAATGGCACAGCATACTACGGTGCGTCAAAAACTCAAATAAAATTTTCAATAGATCGCTGCTGGCGAAGAGTCTAGTGAGTCGCGCCTCAACGGTACGTCTTTACTTCATTCGAAAAGGGGTAATCGCTCGCTTACAGTTAGTAGCACGTTAGCGAATTAAGCCCTATACCTGCAGTTAATCCACTAAATGTATAGTGATCACAGCATGAACTCAAACACCAGTGTACACAACCAATCGAGAAACGAGGAATAAATGATGCGAGAGACTACTGAGATTCTAAGATAAAATCCGAACGCGTATTTACGTACTCCACCCGATCTCGGCCACTTAAATTCTTTAGTATATCTCTCTTTCCGCCGGCAGCGCCTGAGCCGCCAACATGCAGCGGGGGTCTTCCGGTTGATTGAGACAACATGATAACCGCAATTCTTTTGCCGAAATCACCAACGCGATTGGCCTAATATTACGAAAAGGAGATGATAATGCGGACCAGCCCGACTTGCATCGGTAAATGCTGCATGCGGAAAGTGGGGCACGATACTCAGCTCTGAATCTGCTTCACCCCTCCTGTTCCCACGTTTTCGCCACCGGAGCTCGCTCCATATTGACCATCTTAGCGGATTAAACCATATCGATACCCCACACCAGATCTTGACCCTGATCTTTGACCAAAGTCTTCCGAAGTTTTGGTTGTACAGGATCTCACTTCCCAACGATTGTCTCATTCGAATCTCACACTACTCTAGCAACAGCAGGTCACTTCTATTTGTTACTGAACGTAACACCATTAATAATGTCGATGATAGCGCAAACTCTGTATACCCAGCAACAATTGTTGAATATCCAGTCTTCGATCTCCGGTTTTATTGATCGACAGCATTTGATCCGGCTCGAAGTTTCGCACCAGACCTGGAAAGATGGCTCCCGAAGTTGAAGATTCAAGCTCTAAAAGTTTGGAGAAAATTCTAGAGTGGTACCCAACTGTTCCTCCAGCTGTTGATACCCTCGTTCATATCCTCATTCAGAAGCAAGCGGCGTGGCTCCCCCAATCTCAAGCTGTTTGCTCCTGGGACGGCGACCTCTCATACGCTGAACTCGATGACCTATCGTCTCGCTTGGCAGCTTATCTGGCAGCACAGGGCGTAGGCTCTGAAACAATTGTTCCCCTATGCTTTGAGAAGTCAGTATGGGCTATAGTCAGCGTATTGGCAGTGCTGAAGGCCGGTGGCGTCTTCCTTCTTCTGGATCCTTCCCAACCGATTGCCCGCCTGAAATCCATTGTGGGACAGACTGGAGCAAACTTCGCTTTGTCATCTGCAGCACGCTTTGACACATGCAAGGATCTTGTCCCAAAGGCTTCGGTAGTAGACACAGCGACGTTCCTCGAGCCGAATAGTCCGCTCCCCTCCTCGTCGATCACCCCTACTAATGCTGCATATATCATCTTCACATCAGGAAGCACTGGAACACCGAAAGGGGTAGTGATTGAACATTCCCAGCTTTCTACCACGTCGACATATGTTGGAGAGCGCCTGGGCTACGGAAATGGTTCACGTGTGTTTCAATTCGCATCATATGCCTTCGATGCTTGCATCACTGATATTTTTGCTACCCTTGTTCATGGAGGAACAGTATGTATCCCTTCGGAATGGGAACGCAATAACGGTATTGTGGATGCGATGCAAAGAATGAAAGTCACGTCCGCGAAATTTACTCCCTCGCTTGTCAGCAATCTCTTGCCCGAGAATGTACCAACCCTGGAGACTCTGGTGTTAGGTGGAGAAAGTGCACCCTCGACCTTAGTTGATGATTTGGCTTCGAAGTTCAGAGTGATTCTTGTCTACGGCCCGACAGAGTGTTGTGTCATTTGCTTCATATCAGATGCCAGTCATCACAAACCTGCTCCTGGAGAAATTGGACGTCCTTCTGGCGCTCGAGGATGGATTGTGAGGCAAAACGATTGCAATCGGCTTGCTGAGTTGGGAGACATTGGCGAGTTACTGATCGAAGGTCCTCAAGTCGGCAGAGGGTATCTCAATGACCAAGTCAAGACAGACGCGCAATTTATTCGAAATCCACCATGGATGTCACTTGCCTCGCAATCTGCGAAGAAAGTTCGATTATATCGGACTGGAGATTTGGCAAGATATCTGGAAGATGGGACGGTCTGTTATGTGTGTAGAGTCGACAACCAGGTCAAGATTCGCGGGCAGCGACTCGAGCTCGAAGAAGTAGAGAAGGCGCTGGAGAATTGTTTGAATGGATTGGAGAATATTGCGCTCAGAAATATTGTTGTTGATGCAATAGCTTTCGCTGGATCGACGAGCAAACAATTGGTCGCATTTCTAGCTCTCGGAACTGTAAGACCGCTGGGATTCTTCAGCTGGGAGGGAGTTGATGATTCATTCTTCCAGACTTCAAAGTCAGAGCAAGAACATTTTTCGGAGTTGGTGGAGAGAATTGAGACTCGAATGAAATTGGCACTTCCCAGCTACGCAGTTCCTTCCATATGGATCCCACTCAAGTCCGTCCCATTCACGGTATCGAGAAAGAAGGATCGGAAACGACTGCGAGGAATAGTTGAAGCTCTATCGGTGAAGCAGATATCGATATTCTCTAGTCCAACTCTCTCAAACGGTGTCAGCAAGATGGATGATCCAATAACGGAACATGAGACGAAGCTTATAAAGCTCTGGGCCGACGTTTTTCGTGTCTCTACTTCAACGATTGAGCGGGATGACAACTTCTTCTCTCTTGGCGGCGATTCTGTTACGGCTATAAAGCTGATTGCAGCTGCGAGGACGAGCGGCTTGGATTTGAGCCTCGATCTAGTCTTCAGATATCCTGTTTTGTATGAAATGTCATCTGTCACGAAGGCGTTGATCGTCCGAGACGAAGACGTTATTCCTGTTCCTGCATTTAGTCTACTGGATGAAACGTGGAGTGTGCAATTAGTTCTAAGAGAAGCAAGCAAGCGGTGTCGTGTTGATGCACATGCCATTGAAGACATATATCCTTGCTCGCCCATGAGTGAAGGTCTCATTGCCTTGTCAATGAAAGATCCTGGAACATATGTTCTCCAATTCGTGTACCAAATGCCACGTTCTGTCGACATCAGCAAGCTCAAAAGGGCATGGGAAGTGGTAGCGAAGTATACTCAACTTTTGAGAACTCGGTTCTTTGACTACAACTCGGAATTACTCCAAGTAGTTGTTGATGAGCCCCTCAATTGGGTTGTCATGGATGAGGATTTGATCACGTATCTGGCTGAAGAAAAGGCACGCAGAGTGGATCTAGGAGAGAGGATGTCGCGATTGGCAGTGGTAAGACATCATGAAACCAATGATAAATTTCTAGTATGGACAATCCATCACGCTCTAGTTGACGGTTGGTCAGAATCCGACATCATTTCGTTGGTGGAACAAGAATACTTGGAAATCCCGAACAATATATCGACCATTCCGAAGTTCGGCTCTTTCATCAAGCATATCAAACAGCAAGATACAGATGCTGCACGGAAGTTCTGGCAACAGCAATTCTCTGGTTCAACAAATCTGATGTTTCCACCACTGCCAGATCCAAGTTATGTGCCGAAAGTTCAGAGATCGAATCGCATACTTCACCATCTTGGCTCGCACGAAGATGCGGAGCTTGAGCATAGAATCTCAATATTCAAGCGAGGTTCAGCGACTCCAGCAACGATGATACAAGCAGCATGGTTTATTCTGGTAGGACTCTACTCTAAGAGCTCGGATATCATAACTGGGGTTACTTTGAATGGCCGCACAGCACGACTCCCAGGTATCGAATCAATTCCAGGTCCAACTGTGACCACCATTCCATTCAGAGCACGATTTTCGCCAGAACAAACAGTGTCCAGTTTTCTTCAGATGATGCAAACACAATACCTCGATATCCTCCCATTTGCTCAGTTCGGGCTTCAGAATATCAGGCGCTTGAGCGATGATGCGGTCAATGCCTGCAAGTTTCGCAGCTTGCTAGTTGTTCAATCAGCTAACAAACCTCAAAGTGAAAGAAAAATACTCCTTGGGCGAAGTTACTCGTTTCCAGTAATGGACTTCGCTATTGTCATGGAGTGTGAACTTCTAGATGGAAGCATAGTCTTTCGAGCGACATTTGATCATGCGGTCCTATCCGAGAGCCAAGTCCAGCTTATGCTTCGCCAGTTGGAGAGGATCCTGCAAAATGTTTCTGCAAGTGGACCTGAGACAACACTGAAGGAAGTGCAAAGGCTTCCAGCGGAAGATATGTCCGCCATCGCAACATTTACTAGCCCCCAGATTGTCCCCCCCAAGGTAGTCGCGACTAGAAGTTCCGAGCCACCTTCAACCAAGATGGAGCAACGACTATACGACCTCTGGAAAGTACTGCTGGAGACGGACAACTTTGGAATTGGTGATAATTTCTTCCAGCTTGGGGGAGGCAGCATTTTGGCAATGCGATTAGTGTCTATGGCTCGAACTCGGGGATTGATTTTGACTGTTGCAGAAGTATTCCAGGCACCAACTCTGAGCAGTATGGCATTACTGTTGAGAGAAAATGTTGATACCAAAGAAGTTGCTCCCTTCTCCCTCCTACGAAGATCTGACGTAAAGGAAATTCGCACGCAAGCGGCGTCGCAGTGCGGCGTCAATTTCGAAAGAATAGAGGATATCTATCCATGTTCAGTGATGCAAGAACATTATGTGACAGGGTATGCTGAGGCTCAGAAAGACATCCATGGTTCCTGGCATTGGCAATCACAAGCAGTGTATGCTATGCCACCTTCTGTCGATGTTGACAAGTTCATTTCCTCTTGGGAAATTCTCGTTCAACGCCATCAAACCCTGCGCACTCGAATTATATACGTTTCGAAGACCATTCTCCAGATCGTTATCAAAGAGCACAATCCCTTCATCTGGAATCGCTCCACAGACCTCGAACAGTATTTACTTCAGGACCGGACTCAATACATGACGTTTGGTGACAGACTTTTGAGGCTAGCCATAATCAATGATACAAACTCGGCCAGTCGATTTTTTGTGATGACAGCTCACCATACAATATATGATGCATTCTCTCGTAGTATGCTGTTCGAAGAATTAGAACATGGCTATTTCACTGGTGTCTTCAGCCATCCACAGGCGAAGATGAATAAGTTCATCAAATACATTACGGAGGCAGACAAAGCAGCGGCTACTGAATTCTGGACGTCGTATCTTGTTGGGGCAAACACGAAGCCTCTTCTCTCCATCTCACAGCCTCATCCAAATTTCGACCTCTCCGAAAAGACAATTACAACCAGCAGACCGACTTCTTGGGGTACAGAATGCACGCTACCAACAATGATCGAAGTAACAGGCTGTCTCGTGCTTGCTCATCACTTGGACTGCCAAGATGTCATTCTCAACTCAGATCGTGCTGGCCGCAACCTACCAGTCGATGGAATTCAAGATCTGATTGGACCGACGACATTATTCCATCCAGTGAGGATCCACATTGATCCTGACAAGAAAGTGGCAAGTCTCCTCCGAGAATCGCAAAAATCTCAGGGTGAGATAATGCCGTACGAACACCTCGGGTGGCTGGAACTCAGAACAATGCCTCATCTCAAGGATATCTTGGAAAATTCACTGAATATGAACATCAACCCAAATCCGCTTTCCTCGCTTGGTAAGAAGATGAAGATGGAGCTCAAGACATCGTACGCAAGTTGTGATGATCCTTTTGGGATCAATGTTGATCTTTATGAGGGAAAGATCGAGTGGACGATTTATTTTGACGAGAGGTACATCTCGAGAGAGAAAGTCATGAAGCTCCTGGGAGATCTTGAGACAGTCTTCAAGGCCTTGGTCGATGCTTGGAAGATACCAGATATGACAGTCTACGAGGTTCTTGACTGTTTGAAAGACGAAAAAGCAGGGAAGTGAATGTCAAAATATGTGCCCCTGAAATAAGCGAGAGTTGTTCACTGCAATAGCAAGATCGCTGTATTATTGAGAGCTCCATGTTTGAAATTGACTATAAATAAGCTTAATGTCTGTTACTTCTGCACACGAATATGTGACGGGACTTTCATTCATCCAGAATCATGAGTTGTGCCACGATATTGAAGTTTCACCCGAAATAGCGGGGTATAGAGGGGTACGATTCACGTGACTGAGATATTTCCCTGATATCAAAATTATACGAGCGGACCATACCTGACACAGACCTACCTCGCGGGAACGTGGCAAATTGAAGCTTATGTTGCTTTGAGTGTGGCCACCCAGTCAATCTTACCATGCATACGAAAGGGATTGGTGCTTTCGGCTCAGCAGTCAGCAGTAACCAATCGCTGAAAGTATTGTTACACAGCAGCTGCGGCGCGGCACTCACGTTACGAGTCCCAACGTCAATCATACTTCACGCAGCTCATTATGACAGATCCTATACGAGGAAACCCACAAAACGGCCCTGCATGTAGAGGATTCTGACGATCTTACAAGGCTCCATTCAACATGCTCATACCAGACGGATACCGAAAAACTTGGCGAAATATCTGCGCGAAGGCGGCGAGTTCACCTCGAAGTTGAGGAGCGCCGTTGAATTTGACAATTTTCCTCGAAGCCAAGATTGTCTTCATGCATGACTGTGCATGAACGATGCCAGGATAATAAGGATCAGCATGCGCCACCCGCCACGCCTCTGGAAGAATGTAAAATACGTTGGCTTCCAGATCTAGTAACTGAATTTCCTTATCCATATACTGTTTACGCACAATAGCGGGCCGTTCCGCCATGAAATCACTTCATATTTGCTTTGTCTCTGTCCGTAGTCAAGATTTCAGAGATGGACGTGGCGTGACCACTCTTGCTCTCTGAGTGACCAGCAATTTTCTTGCCGATGAGCGGTTTTCGCACAGGAGCTGGTGTTAATCTTCATATCATATTGGATAGAAATCAGCTCGATCTTTCTGTTCAGTCTTTGTGCTTGGTGAGAGGGCGATGTTTCACCTGCCATTATGATTGCGGGGCAAGTAAGCGGAACCTTTATTGCGGATCTCGCGGTTGGCATGGATATTGTCAGAAATTGGGTATCTCTAACTAGAAAGATTAACGACTTGGCTCCGCTCAAGAATCGTGAGGCACAGTTCCTAATCGTGTCCCATTGACCTTTGGGAGTGTTACCGATTAATATGCCACACGTAGTAATTTGCCATAGCGCTAAAAGTTTTTGTGGTATTTATTAGCATGTAGTAATTAGCTTACTTTCTAGCGTTGTGGCAGGTCACCACGAGTGGCGTATTAATCGGTGACACTCCCGTAGGAAGCCTGTGGGCAGCGTAAAGGCCAATCCCAGAGGTCAGGGGGACACGATTAGCTTGTGTTCCTAGTGGTAGCACGATCCGAGGAATGTTGGACAATATTTAACTCCTCAAGACTTCATTCGGAGGGGCCATAAAGGATCTTTCAGGGGTTCCTTAGTCTCCACGCGGCGCTTCCGGCACTGAATCACCTTCCTGTTCAGAAGATAGCGATGCGCTAAATGGCACTTGTAGGGTGTTTGTCCCCACTATGCGCAGACTTGTCGTCGACGCCGCAGCTTTATTCGCAGATGGCCTACGATGGGACCCATGGCGCCTGATTCTTATCCAAAATCTCAACACTGACAATGAGGCACGCACAATTACTGCTCGCGAGGGGTTCTCCCTCGATGCAAACAGAGGAATACTCTCGAATCTCCTGCTTCACTTATGCCACCGGTCTGCAGTGGCACCAGCGTCTCGAGCATGCGGCGCAACGAACTCTTTCTGCTGCCGTGAGCATGTCCTGGACCCAATTTCTCCTCCCTTTCGAAATGTACACCCTGCCAGAGCGAGACCGAAAACAGGACTTTCCATCTAGATGGGAGACATAGCACTGTACTCTGACCAAACTGTCCCTGGCTCGGCCTCAGTCTCGTCCAACAACTTGAATCGAAAGCGATTTTGCTAGCTTCCTCAATGTTGTTTCGAGAATGTCCGGACGACTCGACTTTCGGGCCAACCGTTCATGGTTGCCGAGATGATTTTGACTTCACTCTCGAATTCGAGAGACTGTTTTTGTCTCTAGTGCCATCTACCATCTTCATCGTTTTGGCCTTGCTTAGACTTCTCATGCTCGTCCGACAGCCACTCGTTGTCAAAGCTTTTGCATTTAAAGGTTTTAAATTCGTATGCTAAACGTTCCTGTCCCCCGAAAAGTTTGTTGACACAAGTACAGTCTGCCACAATCACCTATGCTGCACTCCAACTATCTCTACTGGTCCTTAGCTCTAGACCACAAAAGCCCCAAGCGCTATTCATATCCTCCACAGTAGTCTCGTTCGTCAGTTCTCTTTGTATCACTGCGGTGTCTTTGGCAGAACACTCGCGTTCCGTTCGGCCATCGATACTATTGCAATTGTATTTGCTGCTCACGTTGCTATTTGATATTACCCAGACGAGGACATTGTGGCTGGCGTCCTCCAACGCAGCAGCGTTTACTTTTTCCAAGATATTCACAGTCTCAGTTGCTTTGAAGACTGTGATCATCCTCTCGGAGTCTCATCCTAAGTCAAAATGGATACGGTGGGATAATGAAAAGCACAGTCCTGAAGAGACGATCGGCATATTCGGTCTAAGTGCCTATACTTGGCTGAACAGTACATTCTTCGGCGGTTACACGAAAATACTATCGATCAAAGACCTATATCCCCTGGACCAACGAATGACGACAGAGGCTCTGCAGATGAAGTTGATGCACCATCTTGGCGCCTCCAAGTCCAAGCGCAAGAGTTTTGTTCTACTCAAAGCTTTGGCAAAGACACTTGCTCCCTCGCTGCTTCTTCCAATACCTGCCAGACTCGCTCTTACAGGATTCAAATTCTGCCAACCATTCCTCATCAACACTCTTCTAGACTACCTCCAGGAACCCAAAGAGGGATCATCGAGAAACTATGGATATGGCTTGATTGGCGCTGCAGTTTTGATCTATTCAGGTATAGCTATCTCTACAGCTATCTACTGGTACTTTCACGAGCGGACATTATGCATGTCAAGGGCCTCCCTCGCCGGAGCTGTATATCGCAAGACGACGGAAGTCAAACTATCCGCTGCTGGAGACGCTGCTGCTCTCACGTTGATGAGTACCGACGTGGAGCGAATCAGACTTGGTTTCATGAATTTACACGAATTCTGGGCAAACACGATCGAGGTCGCACTCGCGAGCTGGTTACTCGATCGCCAACTCGGAGCAGCATTTGTGGCACCTCTCATTGTTGTCCTCGTCTGCATCACATGCGCTGCATTCGTCAACAGATTTACTGGTCGAAGGCAGAAGGTATGGATGGCCAAGATTCAAAAGCGAGTTGGATTGACGGCAAACGTGATCTCCAATATGAAGCACCTGAAGATCTCCGGTCTTGCGGCTCCGGTCGAACGCCTGATCCAGGCAATGAGAGTTGATGAGTTGGGAAGTTCATCTAAGTTTCGAACAGTTTACATTATCGTCATAGCTTTTGGGTATGCACCATTGGCGTTATGCCCTGTTTTGACATTTGCGGTCACTTCGAGGACTCTTGATGTCTCTACGATCTTCACATCGGTGTCGTTTCTGCTTCTATTGGCAGATCCTTTGACATACCTCTTTCAGAATACGCCAAACCTATTGGCTGCGTTCGCCTGTTTGGACAGAATTCAAGATTTCCTGACGGAAGATTCCCGATCTGACTATCGTCTTTCTGATGTTAGTCAGACCACACTCTCCGACACTGGAAGCTCTGATCATCAAAACGAAAAAGAAAAGGGTGGATCGATGGTCCAAATTTCCGATGGGAACTTCGGATGGGGAGCAGAAAAGCCGGCGCTCCGAAATATCAACATCGATATCCCATCAGCCAAACTTACGATGTTTGTCGGTCCAGTTGCATCTGGCAAATCGACATTATGCAAAGTTCTTTTAGGCGAGATACCTGTATCGCAAGGTCGAATTACTATGGGATCTGACGGAGCCGTTCAAAGGATCGGGTACTGTGACCAAACACCATATTTGTCAAACTCCACTATCAAGCAGAATATCATCGGATTCTCAACATTCAACAAAATACGTTATAACGAGGTCATTGAAGCTACGATGTTAGGACAAGATTTATCTATCCTACCAGATGGCGACAGGACGAAAGTCGGCAGTAGCGGAATCACTCTGAGTGGAGGGCAGAAGCAAAGGGTCTCTCTGGCAAGAGCTCTATATTTGGACAGCGACTTCTTCATATTCGACGACATTCTGAGTGGTCTAGATGCGGATACAGAAGACCAAGTGTTTGCTCGAGTCTTTGGCACCAACGGGATTCTGAGGCGTCGCAATGCAACAATTGTATTGAGTACCCATAGCGTACACCACTTGCCATCGGCAGACCATATTGTGGCTCTTGGCGAGTATGGCACTATTGTCGAGCAGGGCTCTTTCGAGACCTTGATGGCAAACGAAAACTACGTGCATAGTCTTGATGTCAAAGCAAAGACGACGCACTCACTTGAAAACAATCTCGCCGTGAACATCACGAATCGGCACATATCGGGTGTTGACGAAGACCCTGTCGCTGAACTTGTCCCATTTTCCTACCTCGATAAGAAAGATAGAATGCTCGGAGACTCGACGGTATATCGATATTACCTATCTAGCCTTGGTAAGACATCTATCACAGCATTCATAATGTTTGGCCTAGGATGGGGATTCTTCTACAACTGGGGAAACGTCTGGCTTCAATTCTGGTCGGAAGATGTTACCTCCACCACACCAGCCCATTCGAACTCCTTCTATATTGGACTATATGCTGTCTTTCAATTGTCGTACCTTGGATCGATGTTCTTCAGCTTCCTCATTTGTTTCAAGACTATGATCGAAGTCTCTGGATCGAAACTCCACAAAGCGGCTCTGAAGACCGTGATCAGTGCTCCTCTTCGGTTCTTCACCACCACTGACACGGGGCTAATCACCAACCTCTTTTCACAGGATATGACACTGATCGATAACGAGCTACCTATCGCAATTACAAATCTCGCTTGCGATGTTGCCAACGCTTTGGGAATGGCTGCAGTCATCGCTTCATCTTCTCCATATCTTGCCATCAGCTATCCTTTCATTTTCGTCATATTATATGTGATTCAGAAGTTCTACCTTCGCACGTCCCGACAACTACGACTATTGGATCTCGAAGCAAAAAGCCCTCTTTAGTAAGTGTCTGAACTTGATTAATGAGTAGCAACTAATTTTAAAAGCACACACTTTCTAGACACCATCAGGGGCGTAGCTACTTTTCGTGCGTTTGGATGGGTTCAAGAAGGCATCGACCTAAACAACCGTCTTCTAGACAACTCCCAAAGACCCACATATCTGCTTGCCATGGTCCAGCGATGGCTAGGCTTTGCGCTTCAGGTAGTCGTTGCAGTCTTAGCTGTCGCGATCGTCACACTAGCCACACAATTGCGATCAAGCACAGGCCTTACAGGTGCTAGTTTGGTCACGCTCATGACGTTTGGGGATATTCTTGCCTATATTATTCGATGGTACACGCAGATTGAGACGTCGATAGGAGCCGTTAGTCGATTGAAGAACTTCAGTCGGAAAGTCAAGTCGGAAAGTTTGGAGGGCGAGGACGTCGTACCTCCTAGAGAGTGGCCATTGAAGGGTGGAATCGAGATACGTGGAGTGTCGGCTTCATACAGGTGAGTCTCGCACGCATTCATTTTGCACCGATAATATAATTTCTGACAATCGAATACAGTGATGCCAAAGCACTCGAGGATCCTTCAACGTCGGCTGGTGACAGCAACAGTGTCAGCTCATCAAATCTTGCTTTAAAGGACCTCAACATTACCATAAAACCAGGAGAGAAAGTCGCGATTTGCGGGCGAAGTGGAAGGTAAGCATCTTTGTTTTCTCCACTGTCACTATCAGCTAACAAGCAATCAAGTGGAAAATCATCAACGATTCTTCTTCTACTCCGCCTTCTTGATCCGCTTCAGGGCTGTTCTGAGAACATAATAATTGACGACATACCTCTTCACAAGATCGACCGCTCCACCCTCCGGGAACGCATCATCGCCGTCCCTCAAGACGCTGTATTTCTCCCCGACGGCTCATCATTCATGTCAAACCTCGATCCATTCGACTCATCCAACGAAGATGAATGTAGAGGTGTCCTCGAACTGGTAGGTCTCTGGCCACTAATAGATCAACGTGGAGGTCTGAAATCCGGAATGTCACCCGGCTCTCTGTCCCAAGGCCAGAAGCAGCTGTTCAGTCTCGCACGAGCAATTCTCAGAAGAAGAATCAGGTCTCGCGAACACGAGGCTGAGTTTGGTGTAGCAGTAGGGTCTAAGGAAAAAGTTTCAACAACAGAAGGAGGTGGAATTCTACTTTTAGACGAAGTTAGCTCTAGTGTTGATCAAGAGACGGATCGATTGATGCAGAGAATTATCATGGAGGAATTCCAAAACTATACTATCGTTATGGTTAGCCATCGATTGGAACTGGTCATGAGTTTTGACATTGTACTGGTTATGGATAAGGGAAGCGTTGTTGAAAGTGGAAAGCCTCGTGAATTGGCAGAGAAGGAAGAGGGTAGTTTTAGGGAGTTATGGATGATTGGACACAAGAGTTAAGTGACTGGACCTAGGCTCCTTGAATTGATTTTCTAGACTTATAGAAATAGATGGGTCAGTAAACAGGTCGAGGCTAATGGTGAGGCAGGAAACGGAGTGCAGGAGACGAAGCTGTAAGGTCACGTGGCGTGTAACTCTCTTCTGGAAATGTCCCAATTCTCTGCTGCATAAGATGGATAAATTCATTCCAGGTTTACCGTCAAGTTTCTTTCAACCTGCGCTTGGTGTCTGCTACTTAGTGTTTGACCTCAAGAGTGAAAGCTGCCTGATACGCGTATTTCCAGCGGGTCATGTGAGAGACCGTTGGGAATGAAAACAGCTGCGGCGGCAAAGGAGGCATCGCTGGGAATTAAATAGTTTCAGATCAGGCTTCTAGAATTGTACTCCATGCAATCGGGTGATCTATTCTCCGTCGTATTCTTCAGGTAATGTATTCTTGACAATATTCTAATTGAGGTATGTTGTGGACCAATCCCACTCATAGGACGTCATTCTGAAAGAGAAGTGCAGATACGCGTACAAACGACAGCAAAAGAGATCAAGCGCTAAGAAGACTTTACATCATCAACCAAGGAACGTTAAATGCCTCGCAGGGCTGAGAATCCTGAAGGCGGGTCAGAAATGCGGCACAGGAGGCGCCGATCATGAACATAGCCTCGCTAAAGGCCCTTGGCTGCAGTATCGCGACCTCTTCCTCATGATATATAAGAAGACCAGATTTCCATCTATTTAATGGCAATAACTGCAATATCATCATGGCGAATCAAGACAATATTGAGCTGAGCTCCCCAAGCCAGCAACAAAACCAAAAATCAGCCGAGGGACGAACATTACATGTCCACTTCTCCTGGAAAAAGTTCAAAACACTCATCACCGAAGGAGACGACCCAAAATCCAAACCCCTCTACATCGTAGACTACAAAAGCTTCAAGCCAAACCTCATCTTCACCAACGCTCAAGACAAAACGACTTTCGGCACCGGAACCCTGCACCCGGTATCCATCAACGCGGACTGTGACTTTCGCGGCCGACATATCCAAATCAAAGCCCTAAAGCGCTGGAAGACGGCGTACGAACATCATTCACTCACGTACTCCGACACCGAGACTCCAGTGACCATGACCTGGACCAGCGACAGCGATTTCAAGACCTGGGATTTCATCTGTCTGGACCCGCAGCAGAACCCCGTGGCGAAGTTTGCAGCTAATTTATGGGATCTGAAGAAGATTGGGAAGATTGAGTTTCTGGGACCGAAGGCGGCTATGAGCGAAGCGCTGAGGGAGGAGCTTCTTGTTACGGGGATGACGTTGTTTTATTGTATGACGCTTCGTGCGACTAGTATTGTTTCTTTCTTTGGTGCTATTTTTGCGCGGCCAGGACATGTTGAGCCGGAGGGACCGACGACTTCGGAGCATGTACCAGGCGTGGAGGAGGGTCGTGTTCCAGGTGTAGAGGAAAGTCATGTTGGAAGTTCTTCACAGTCTCATTAAATTTTGCTGTTTTTGATATCCCCTTGTTCGAATGATAGCAATATAGAGCTTCTGCTTCAATGCATGATTTTACCAGTTGTATTGTTTGACATTAAGATACTACTTACTGTGAATATAGAATAAGTATATCGATATCGGTGATATAGAGATCAAGGTATTCCAGCTGAAGATAGTGAACTAAGCCCCGGCGACGATGACGGAAGTCTGGAGAGGACACAACATTGAACAGATCAAAAACGAAGAAATCATATTGTAAACTATATACAAGCATACATAATAATCTAACGGTACGTTCTCCCCGGCTGCAACCTCTGCGCATTAGGATGCGCCGTCCCCAAAGCAATCCTCCCCACCGTGGCGCTCGGCTTCACATCCTGCATCATAACCCTAACATCACCCAACGCCCTCGCTCTCTCCGCACCACTGGCTGCGCTCGCCACAGGCGGTAACTGTACATACTTACTCTTCCTCACCACGCTACTAGCAAAGCCCAACACATCCGGACTAACCGTCCTTGCATCCCACCAAATGCTAAAGATGCCCGCCAGCAGCAAAAACACAGAGCAAATCATGAGAGCAGCCAACCAACCCCATTTCGTGACATAGATCTCGTAGGAATCGATCTTGGAGCCAGCAGCCCAGGAGACAAGGGGCGAGGACCCGAGATCCTTGTTGAAGGGCTCGGAGGTCGAGTTGTAGAATACGTTTGTCAGGTTCTTGGGCGCGAAGCCGATGGACCAGAATGTGTTCATGAGGAACGCGAGGTTGTAGGTAAAATCATCTAGGTCGACGGTCGTGAGGTTCATTCTAGGCAGCGAGTCGGAGAGCCGGCCGTTGCTTATTAGATAGCGTTCTGTGTCTGTGGCGGTGGGGACGGAGTCGTTGGTGTAGCCTGAACTGCCGAGGATACCGGTTACCCAATTCGCGGAGCCAGAGTCGAGGAAGCCGGGGGTGAGGGTTGTGTTTGTGAGGTTTGTTGGGCGGATGGCGTAGGTGTAGCAGGATCCGGATTGGCAGGAGACGTTGGCGTCGACGAAGACCTGAGAGAATGTGCAGTTGGTGTAGGCGAATGTGTAGTTGAATCCATCGACGCCGGTATCGAGATCGAAGGGGTGAGCTGCAGTGGTGTTTCGTGTGATCATTGAAGCAAGTGCAAGGCTACCGTTCGTGTGGCCGCTCATTGGAGTTAAGTCAAGATATAGCGTTGCTTCTTCAGCATACCCAGTAGTAAGCGTGCTATTGTCGATGAAATCAAGATCGACAATTCGCAAAGGAGGGCAGGTAAAAGCCAGGTATCCCGTAGAAATAGTGACGTTGAATGTTGCGGTGTCACTAAAGTAATCGTCTGAAAAAGAGCTATTCATGACGGCAACAGGAACGCCATATGCTGATGCATAGTCTAAGTAATAATAGCCTGCTGTAGGGTCGACATCTTGCCAGTGAGTTTTGTTGGAGGGGTCATCGAGCAATGGGATCAGAGCATTGTTGTATGGATCTGATCCGAGTGTAACATACGTCGGCAGGAATGCTGCAGAATACAGTCGATTGAAATCGGCTTCGACGTTACTAAACTCATCTGAAGGTGCGGAGAGGTAATTGGAGTTATTCTTGGCAGTATCGACGTATCTCAGCCAACTTGGGGTAATGTAGTCATCGGACTTTGTTTTCGATATTCTCTGCATCGCTTGAGTCGCCAGGGGAGACAAGCCCCATAGTACGAGGAGAGCGACTGTGATCCAATTGAAGCGACGGAGAAGGAACGGCTGCTTGATAGAGCTAGCGACTGAATTGCTGTTGACCAATTGTTCAAGAGTCTGCGAAGTCAAGTTAGCGACCGAACCTTATTGGCTGGAATGAACTCACCATCAATCGAACACCCCTCTCTACGCGATAAGTGGCATATGCTCTTAGTGATTGAGCCACGATAGCAGCAAAGATGATAGGCCAGACAGAGATGGCAACACTCAGTGCTTGATTAGTGCCATCACCTAAAGAGTCGCCGACTGGCTGCCCGTCTCTAACGGCGACCAAGATTCCGATAACTGCAAGATTGTCAGTTTGAGGATGCATGTCGGAGGATGTTGCTTACTCATGAACAACAATGGGAAAAGAATCATTATAGCCCAGATAATGTATCGACTCCAATCCTTGTATTTCTTTTGGAGATTCTTTCCTCCCTCTGGACCAGACTTTTCGAGAGAACCATTATCAAGGTCACTCCCTGATACCTCTTTTTCATTGACCACAGCGGTTTTCTTGGGTTGTGGTAATGCAGCTGCAGGTTCACTCTTTTTCTCGGAAATCTCTATCTGTGACCTGGGCGTGTTCATGGTTGGGATATTTGAAGCCGTGCTATGAGCCAGACCCTTTGTAGCGGAGCTCAGCTCTGAGCTTGCCGCTTCATGTTTTGTATCCTGTTCGTCATCCGACTCGTACTTCTCCTCGTCCTCATCGTTGTCATCGTCATCGTCATCAGAGAAATCTTCGTCGCCCTCTTGCCAGTCATCGATATCCCACTGCGGGGCCAAGACACTGACTAAGCGGGAAGAGCCCCTATGGAGTCTGTGGAGCCCTTTGTAAAGTCGAGCTCCATGAGCGACTGTGTTTAAAGTGCGATCAGTCTTGCTCAACGGGGATTGGCCGGCAGGAGCGGGGACAGGAGCTTTTGACTCGGCTGGGTCCTGGCTAGGTGTTGTGCTGACTTTCTCTGAATCTGGTGCCTTCTGGGGAGCACTCATTTTCTCGACGCCTTCGCTGCTGGATTTCTCGCCCTCGTCTGCTTTCTTGGTTTCAGGTGTCGGTGTCTTGCTAGTAGCTGAGGTAGACTTAGGGGTGCTATCAGGTGTCTCGACATTTTGAGTGGGTTTTGGAAGCTCCGCACTTGAGGGTTCTGGCTTTGCTGGAGCAGCTGTCAATTTCGCCGCTTCTGAATATGTATTAGCATAGTAGGGATATGTGATGGCGGCTCTATTACCTTCTGCTGTGATGGGTCTTTTGACTTTCACAATGGTACCGTCAGGCTTGCGAACTTTGACTATTTTGAACTGTTGAGCAGTAGCGTTTGAGGTTGGAGCTTTGGCAACAACCTCAGACTGTGTCTTCTCTGACACAAGAGGGGCCTCCATGTTGGTGGGAATGGCTGCTGGGCTCAACTCTGAGGTCGAAAAGAAAATGTGATCCAACACAAGTATTGGGGCAGAATCCAAGAGCAGTACAATTTAATAAGAGGACGGAAGACGGGGTCCACTAGTATATTTCTTTCCTTTGCTCCTCTTTGCCCTCAGCTGGGCCGAGACAACAATTCTCAATGAAGCTTCGACACAGGCCCCACTCGGGAGAGGCGAGCGCCATGGCTGGCTGGGCGTTGTTGTGAGGCTAATCACGCACTAATCAAGACCCCGATAACACAGATTTAGGAAAAGGGTCGATGTTGAGGGGGAGAATTGCGGAAAGTCAGGATTGTAAGCGCCAGACTGGTCCAGTCACAATCTCATCACACTCGCTAGTCAAGCCCAGCCAAGTCGATTGTTCAGCCCCAGGAGACTAAAAACCCGTGGACAAGCTTTCTTGGCTCGGTAATCCGATCTCTTATCGAGAATTCCATACCTAGGTATGGACGAAACGTCCGGTGGAATGAGACTTGAATCCAGAAGAATCTGGGGCTGGCTGAGATAGCGCGGCGCATTGACGGTGATCTTCTGGAAAAGGAGCATAAAACTCACACTATCTCCAAAGGAGTAAGTAGTTACCGACCGGAGGCTGTTTGATAGGCTCTCGAGAGAAAGGGGTCGTCGCTTAATCGACCGGTGGAAGCAATAGTGGAAGAGTCCGTCCAGATAGAGACGAGGCTAAGCTGTATTCAGCTCCGGTAGCTCTTTCTCGCTACCTTCAGCTTGGGTCCAGACTCGGCTCCCATCAAATCGGGTGATGATCGTCGATACTTGGGTGCTGCCACATATCAAACTGGTGGCTGAACAAAAAAAGAGGTTATCCAAACTCTGATAGCGAATGCAAATCTGCTCCGTGGTGATTGATGCGCAACATGGGTGCATAATAACACACTAGTATTAGTTTATGCATCCAGCTGAGTCCTCGAACCATAGATCTTCGTCGCCACTCCCTAACTCGACCCGCCAGCATGGTTTTCAATAAACAACCCAAGATGCGACAACGGACGGCACAGATACCCCGCATGGACAGGTCGAGACAGCTGGGACGCAGGTCCATGGGATAGTGCTGACTCTCGAAGGCAGACGGCGAATCCGAAGCATGATAACAATAAAGACATATAGGATGAAATCCCTCCTGCTGCACGAAGTCACCAAGTCCTGTGAACCTTCTTTCCTCTAGAGTTCTTCCCATTGCCCATCATGGCAAGCGTCGTTCTTTCATCTGTACCTGCAGAGGTAGATCTCACCAAAGACAAGACGTCTGCAGTGACTGTCACCGAGATTGCCCCACCTCAGCCCACTACACCTGTACCTGCATCTACACAGGCACCAGTAAAGAAGAGCGATGCCACCAAATCAAGACCTGGGTTCCAACTGAAAAAATTTAAGATGCCAGATGGAACCATCAAGGAGATTTGGAGACCAATAGCACCACCAGCAGGAGCTTCTACGACACCGAAGCAAGCTCCAACCGCGGCTTCAACTCCAGCAGCCGAGAAAGAGAAGACTGCCGAGATCAAAAAGGTGGGCGAGACCAAGAAGACCGATCTTTCTCCAGCAGCATCAAAGCCTTCCGATCCGGCAGTCCAGCCAACACAAACCTCTCCAGCATCAGCATCCACCCAAAAGCCGGGTGAAACCCAGAAGCCAATCCCAGACACTGCAAAACCAGCAGATGCTTCCAAAGACAAGAAGGACGAGTCGAAGCCAACTGCTGCATCTCAACCAACTCCTGCCAAACAAGCGCCGGCGATCAAGACACCCGAGACACCAAAGCCAGTTGTCAAAGATGCAGCAAAGGATGCTCCAACCTCAAAGGCACCAGCAGCAACAGTTCCACCCGCCCAACAGACACCTGCACAGCCAACTCCACCAGCGGCGAAGAAAGGAAAGTTCTTCAGCAAACTCGGAAAAAGTATCATGGCAATGGATGTCGAAAAAGCTCTTTCAAACGTTGACAAACTCGGGAATACACTTCTCAAAGTAGAAGCAATCGCAACAGGCGATACAGCTGCTCTTGCTGCGTTGAACAAGCAATCTGCTGCTCAAGCTTCGAAGCCAACCACTCCTGCTGCGAGTACTGCGAAAGCTGCTGGGCCTCAAGCTCCGGCCACAGCGAGCCCACAGGCAGGAGCTCCACAGGCTGCTCCTACAGCTGGTCAGCAAATACTTGTGTCTTTGGCTTCTGCGGTCGCGGGAACCGCTCCAGATTCAAAGGCTCCAACGCCAAGCCAAGCTCCAACGACAAGCAGCGATTCTAAGATCATTGTCGTTGGAAGCACCACTGCGCCCAAGGACACCACCACTCCTTCAAGCCAGCCAACCGCTCCGTCAACTGGAGTAGCTCCTGGACAGGCATCCCAACCCCAAGTCGTGGTTCTCCAGACCTCTGCACAAGGCAGCGCTCCACAGACCCAACCTGCAACCCAAACAAAAGCTGCGTCTCCCGCACCTGGTCAAAAAGTGACCATCGTGCAAAGCGCAACCACAACAAGTTCTCAACCGCAACCCACTGCTGCCCCGACAAACGCAACAACTTCATCTGTCAAAGTAGTGCAAAGCTCCACTACTCCAGCACCACAGGCAAAGACTCCAATTGCTCCAACGAGCACTGTAACCTCAGCTTCCAGCGTGAAAGTAGTTCAGAACAACACTTCTTCGACTATCCAACCCAAGGCCCCAGTTGCCTCCTCAAAACCAGCACCTCAACCAAGCACAGCCTCCAAAGCTCAAATAGTTGCTTCAAAGGCACCAGTCCCATCAAGCACACAATCAAAAGCCGCTCCAGCTCCAGTTGCAGCCTCAAGGTCGATTACACAACCCCAGCCCGGAACTCTAGGCCATGCAGCCCTAGCCCTCACCAGCGGCGTAGGTGTCGCTAGCGCTACTGCTGCTACGGAGAACCTCGTTTCGAGGGTCCAGGCTCCTGCTCCGGTTTCGAAAGCTTCTGCTCCTGTTTCCAAGGCCCAAACTTCTGTCTCGAAGCCTTCTCCTCCTGCTCCCAAAGCTCCGGCTCCGAGTACAGGAACGAAAGCAGTTGCACCTGCCCCTGCTCCAGCTCATTCACATGCGAATGCTGGTGAGACGAGTCGGGATGTGAATGACAGCTCTAATCAGCAAGATGGCGGCATCGATTCCTCAGACGCACTTTACGCAGCGGGTGGTGGAGCAGCGGTTGGAGTTGGTGGCTCGATGCTTTACGATGGGATGGATGGGGTTGATGGAGATGGTGACGAGCCGGGCGAGTATGAGCCTTGGATGGATGAGTATATGGTTGATGGGCAGAGTCACGTGGAAGATGATGGTGATGTGGGAGAGGGTGGTGATGAGTTTGCGGGAGAGACGGATGGAATTAAGCAGGATCAAGATGGCGAGATTGGGGAGTGGGAGCCTTGGATGGATGAACATGTCGTTGATGGGTCTGAAAACGGGGACGTAATGGAGGGAATTGATGATGGTGGAGATGGTGGAGAGACGCTAGATGATGGAATCGAGACTCAAGACGACGGAATGGAGACCCAGGATAATGAAGCAGATGTCGAGATTGGCAATGGAGACGGCGAGGTGCAATCCCAAGACGGAGTTGAGGAACCAACAGAAGATTGGGAACCATGGATGGATCAAGCAGTCGTTGAAGAGAGCGGACAAGAAAGCGGACAAGAGGAAGGAGATGATGCTCAAGATTTGGATAACACTGCTGATGATCAAGAGGATACGGAGGCCCAACAGCCGGAAGTTGAAGTCCAACCTGAGGATGAAGACCCTGCGCCACAGGTAGAGCCTGAAGTGGAGTCCGATCAAGAGCAAGATCAAAATGTTGACTTGGGAGAGCCTGATGATTTTGATGCTGATAATGAGGAAATTGGTAGCGTGGCGGGGGATGAGTATAATGACGACTTTTGAGTCTGGATGGGAGAGTTGGGGCGTTGGATCAGTTATATTTGGGAATAGTTAGCTCTGAATATTATCATGCTTCGTTAGCCTAAGCTTCTCCTGTCTTCTCTCAGATGGCACTGCCTTTTGAAACCACATACTGGCAGCGATAAACTATCATGAGTATCGGTAAAATGCGGAAGATGCGCGAAACGCGCGGACTGCGCAAACTGCGTGAATCCTCGCCCATGACCGCAGCTGAGCACGTGATACCTTGCTCGATGTCCCGAGCCAGTGCTATCCTTCGAGCATCTTACCAGCCTTGGATCAGCGGATCATGGTCTCAGGTATACATGCAGTAGTTTGAATCCTTCAAAACGAAGGATTGATCGTCCGAGACTCTGCAGCTTTGCTCCAAGGCGCTCAACCGCCCTCAACACTCGTCTACTTGGCTCTGATAGGAACAAGAGCATTGGCATACGTGTTTTTGTTTCTGAACATTCAAGCGGCCGACATTTTATGGGCGATAAGCAGCCCAAGAATGTGACGATAGTAAGAAAGGGTTACAAGGTAAGAATAACACCTAGCAATCATGTGAAGAGCAACAGAACAGACGACAACTTCAGTTTTCAAAAGCCCAAACGACGCCTCTCGGTAGCATCTTGATACCTGAATATTTGTCAACAAATAAGATCAGCTTGATCTAAACCAAGAGCGGTGCTTTACCGCAACATCGGGTCTTGTAAACCAAATAGAAAGACCCAAAGATATCGTCTCTCATTACGCGAAAAGGCTGCTGATTGAGTCCAAACGTTGGCAATGCCACTGCACCAGTTCGATCTCTCTCCTGCTCTTCCGTAGTCTGAGATAGCAGAGTGGACACGGTGGCTGGCCAGGTCTGGGTTGTTCGCTCGTTGTCGAAGAGCCCATCATCATTGACCTCAATGATGTCCTCTTCGACCTCTCCTTCAGCTAGAACACGCATATCTTCGCCTTCCCTACTGCGAAAAGCCTCGATTCGATCGTCTATCGTTTGGCAAACGCACCCTTCCAGTTCTTCAGATGCACATTGTCTCGTACCAGTTGAAGCACGGCAGTCGTGCTTGCTACACCGCACATAGAGCGGAATTGGACAGCATCGACATCCGGTGAGTGTAACATCTCTGCCATCCATCTGGAAAGCCGTTGTGGCTACGCATCTGTACTGCATGGGATTGACGTATCGAGGCCCAAGACAGTTGGGATCAGAACATGTTGGTTTTGGAGACGTTTGGCATTGCTCAGTCTCGTAGAGATGAATAAGGGAATCGCTGGTGTTAGTCTGAGATGGTTGGAGTTGTCCTTCGAGGGTTGGTGGTGAGATTGTGCCATCAACATCGTGGGATTGTGTGGACGCTGACGAGAATAGAAAGAAAGAGAGGGCGACGGCCAGAAGGTTGTGAATCGAAGTACCCATACTGAATATGTTTCAGCTAATAAAGGATAGCTGTTTCAGAGATCGCGGGGTGAGGTTTCGAAGAGAACGTCAAGAAACTTGTGATTTGATGTAACTGCCCACCTGCAGGTGCTTTCAAAGCCCACCACGTGACTATTATTTTTCAAACGTGCAAAGCTGGCGACCCAATGTCCCGAAAATAAGTAAAGGCATTGAATAAACGATTGAGTTGCAGCTTATTTGGGGAATCGAAGGAGATCTTGGAGAGGGAAAGATGATGGTTGTGATGATTGAAGTGAGAGCTCAGGCCTAGCGCGAGATTTTAGCGCCTCGGTCGCAAAATACTCTCGCGGTCATTCTTGGAAACCTTTTTGCATCTCAACACCAAAAAACAGGACCATGTGTCCCGTCGACATAGTAGAGCCCGAGTGAGGTCTTGCTAGCATTTCCGAAACTTCGATATCTCCACCATAAAAATGGGTTTCTTCCTCTTGTTGTACAAGCCAAGTTTGAGCCTCCGAGTTCCAAGCTCCAAGCCCCCAGGCTTCAAGCTTCAGGCTCTCAAGTGACAAGTCATGGGCCAGCACCGAATTTCACCATTCGGTGAAAGACCGCCAAGAACTTCAAACACGGGGAGAACAACCCTAAATCCTTCCATACATCTTCTTCTCATCGTTCTATCACTTTAGCAGGGCGATGCAGCATTCTTGTGACATCCTACCAAAGGGCTGACTGCCGCAGCCCGGTTGGCGTTTTTTACTCCGCCCCCTTAGAGTGCCAACACCCAACACCACCTTCCTTTTTCCGGCGACAACGTGTTTCCAAGTGGATTTGACTCAATCAGCTTTTACACAAGGATGGGTTACCCTTAGAGGGTCTGATTCGTGGTGGCGTATTTGGATTGTTTCTGCCGTGTTCATTGGATTGGTTGCGTGGAACAAAACACCTTATGGCTGAGCGATGGAAGGCACAGCACCGAAATGCTCCTCAGTCTCGTGGTGTAATCAGTGTATGGCTTTCTTGATGGGCCAGTGTTAGTGAGAGGCTCTCTGGGAAGGCATTGCCTCGTTGATCCTTTAGCAATATCAAGTGAGGGGTTCGCGAGTCGCTTCATGGGACCATCCTATTTTCTCTCCATCAACACTGTACACTGTTATCGACAATAGCATATACATCAGATTAACATGGCAGCAGCAATGGTAATATCGATGCCAGGTGGGTGGCCAAGACCATCAGAGGAAAGTGATCGAGGCATCGACCACCTTCAGGTCCCAAGGATCGATACCCAAATTCGACGACCTTCAATACACGTCCCAACATCAGTCTCTGCTTCGTCATCTCGGAACAATGATGAGTTGTTCTTTGATACTCCACTCTCAGCAAGCATCACAGAAGTCAATGATACCCCCTACTTGATGTTCGAGCCAGTTGTTGAAAGCGTAGAGCGGAACGACCAACTGGAGTGGTGGAGATATGATCCTCCTCAAGAGCTATTTAGAGTCCAAGAAGGGACTTCCGAGGAGCTTGCAGGTTTGATCCCAAGATCGATCGAGCGATTACGGACGCAACAAGAAGAGGCAGAAAGACAAGCAGCAGCGGCTCGAGAAGTTCGACCTCTGATAAGGACAACGAGGACTGTGCCCAGACCAAGAAGAAACGTGAGTAATAAAATATCGTCAGTAACTCAAAGTACTAACAAGAAACAGGCCGTACCAACAATTTCAAACTTGGATCCTTCATCAGCAACTGATGAAGAGTCGGATCCGAGTAATAACAGTGCCACTTCACTCGTATCAAATGATTCTGGATATGCATCAACAACACCAGAAGCATCGAAAGCACCAGTGCAGGCAATAACCAATGAGTCCATATCAATGACTTCTGGCAAAGGGAAACACAGAGGGCCATTTAGTCTCAGTTCCCTCTTCAGAAGAAAGGACAACTCGACATTCAACTTCGATATTCCTCACATAGACACCAGCCAAACATCATCGTCACGAGACCGTGTCTCTCCTCACTATTCGTCAGTCGAAGTTCAAGCCCCTATCTCCCCTGTTCCTCAGGTCTCTGTTTCCGAATCATCGACAACGTAAGCAGCCGAGATTCTATGCGTATCTATATGCTGACACCGCCAGGGAATGTGTATCATGTCTCGATGACTTTGCAAGCGGCGACATGGTCAAGTTGACTTGCCACAGCTATTGTACAGATTGCTTCCAGCGATTGATCACGTATGTCGCTCCTCCCTCAATATTACAAAACTCCACTAACCCGTCCCAGCACCGCCCTCGAAACAGAAGCTCAATGGCCTGCAAAATGCTGCCTAAACCCCATCCCCTCGGAAACAATCATCCCACATCTCGACACCGCCACCAAAGAAAAATACACCCAACGCTCCGCCGAATGGTCCATCCCAACCAGCGACCGAATCTACTGCTCGCACGCCGGCTGCAACGCCTGGATCCCGCCCCGCCGCATCCACAAATCCACCAACACCGCACGCTGCAAATCCTGCTCGCACAAAACCTGCACTCAATGTCGTGGCGAACCGCACCACGGCGTCGACTGTCCGCAAGATCCTGCTTTGCAACAGACCATCAGCTTGGCTGAGATGGAAGGCTGGAAAAGGTGTTATCAGTGTAATGCGTTCGTGGAGCATAATCAGGGGTGCAGACACATGACTTGTCGGTGCAAAGCGGAGTTTTGCTATATTTGCACTGCGAGATGGCGTACTTGTGCTTGTACCGATGCTCAGCTTGCTATTGCGCAGCAAGATGCTAATGTAAGGCGGCAAGAGAGGGCCGCTGAGATTGCGAGACTAGAAGCTGCTGCTGAGGAAGAAAGAATTCTCGTTCAAATGGTAGAAGATTTTGAGCGGCAAGAAGCTGAACGAGCTGCGGCGGCGGCGGAAGAGCAGAGATTGAGAGACGAGGAAGCAAGAGCTCGACGAGAAGAAGAGGATCGTCGCATTGAGGAGCGAAGGGTTGCTGCTATCGGTCAACGATTCCGTGAGTTGAACTCGGAGCTTGAAGGCCTCAATGAAGTTCAAAGAGTCTTGATCGCTGAACGATATGAGTTCGAGATCGAGGTCCTGCGAAAAGAACGCCAGGATGCTTTGGATGCTCTTTCCGTCCGACACGTGCCAGAGAAAGAAGCGTTGGCTTTATCTTCCGAGAAAATGGTGTTTGATGCTGAATACTCGTATAAACAAGAGTACCGCACTCGTCTGGCGGAGGAGAGACGCATTGAGGAAGAATACATTGCTCAACTCCAAGCTTTTTGGCAAGGGAAAGAAAATGCGGAACAAGTAGTGAGAGAGAAGAGAGAGGAGTTGAGAAGCGAACAAGATCGTGAGTATAAATTCTGGGATGCATATAGAAGGAAGCAGATTTTCGCTGCTAAGGAGGGAGAGAAGAGGAAGATGGAGAGATTGATGGTGAAGCATGGGAATGAGATAAAGGTCGTGGAGGGAAGAGCAGAAAGCGATGGGGTGGAGTGGAGGAGGAAGGTGAAGGCGGAAGGAATGTGGGTGGAGGCAGTCGTGAGAGAAAGGACTGGTATGTTGCAAGAGATGGAAGTTGTTGAGTATGGTAGAGTGTAGACCTTGTTTTGTTTTTGAGATTTGCTATATACCCAAGCTTCTTATCGCTATATATCTATTTATATCGGACTGTTCCTTTGAAAGTCTGTCTGCCCCAGTGCAAGCATCGGAGTACCGAAGTCCTCGTATCTGGTAACTTGGTGAGTGTTACCGCGTTTAAGCAAACACCTGACTGAGGCATCGGAAGATATCCTTTACCAGCCACTAGTTTAAAGTTTATCCTTCTATTTCAAGCCTGACAACGGACACAATCTTAACGTCCTAGCACATTTGACCAGGCGCCCTTCCCTCTTCCCCACACGTGCGGAAGACCCCAAAACAATCACTCACCACAACCCCGACCTTAGCATCCAATACCATTTCAGTCCCAATTCTCTCTTCTCGCAATGTCACAATACTATAAAGCCTCCTTATGCAATTCTTATGATTCGCTTACAAGCCCGGTCGTTTAATTTGCGCGTTTAGCCTGCATTGCCGGATCCCGGTTTTCGTTCCTGCAGCACCGGAAACATTTTATCAGATGATTGATCGAGCCGGACAGTCCGGGATAGTTTATTTGATAGCAGGACGCGAAGCTGTGTTTGTTGTGGATGACGGACGTCTCGGCGCCGTGAGCGCGGGGAAGTCTTGGGATGTATAAAGGTTCGCGGCCCTGATGATTGTGGAGATCTGGGGAAACTTAATTTGATCGACAATAGCTTATTTTTTCATTACTTTAGTGTTTTAGTGGCATATATTGACACGATGCGGTCGACATTCTTCCTCTGCCTTGCCAGCGCGAGGAATCTCGTTGCTGCTTTGCCTTCATTGAACAGCGGGTTATCTGATCGAGAACAAGCTCCCGATCATGTTCTTCTCGAAGCTCGCCAAGCCCCCATAGCTCAGACATGGACACAACCCCATTGTCAGCCTCACTATTCTCTTCACTTTACTTAGCTAATCTCTTTGCAGATTGCACAGCCAGCACAGAGTCAGGAAACTTCCACGACATCTACACCGCACTGGTGAACCCGTATGAATCTCAACTCCCGCTTTCTCACAGCTGCTGAATATCTATGACTGCAGGTCGAGATCAGTCTCATTCGATTATTCCAGTTTCTGCTCGGCGGTCGTGCGACAAACGACCATTGCTTGGGTAGACCAAACATTAACTGGCAGGAAAACTGAGACGCTCACATCAACAACTACAACTAGCGTATCCACCACCAGTACAGATACCTCGTAAGCCTTTTTTGCCAATCCCACCAATATCAGATGCTAAAATCACCAGCCCTGGAACAACAACACTCCTCTGCCCCACTCCCTCGGCGTCCATGGCCTGCGGTGTATCAGCAAATGGTTATTATTCGAACATGATCACCGATCAATACATACCCAGCGCCGATTGCCACCAACTTTGTCTCAGCATGTCTGATTGCAAGAGTTTCCAGGTCGTTCCACAAGACAATGGGATCGTGAAGTTCGACCGATGTAACCTTTACAACGTTTCTGTGGCGGGGAATGTGGATACAACGAGTCCTGGAATCGTGGCGTTGTTTTATGATAGAGATTGTGGGGATTTGTTACCTGTATGACTTCTTTTCCCTTCTTTCTCCCACATTTCCCCCCTCTTTCCTTTCTTTGGAATATTGACAAGAAAACAGTCAGGATGCACGCCCTCCCCACCACTCATAACACCCGCTCCATCCTATTCTCCCACCGTTGCCGCGATTCAGAAACGAGATTACACAGTCCCGCCTTTCCTCTCTTCAATGCAATTAATACTTCTACAACCGGTTTGTTCTTGTTTGGTTGATGCTGCGCCGCCACCTACGATTATTACGGCTACGAATCAGATTCAGAGCTGGGATTATGTTACGGTATGTGCTCATACTCCTGAAATTGAAACCGAGTGGTAAATGCTGATGATATATAGGTAACGACTTTGAAAACGGAGGTGTATAGTTATACGGATCATCCGGAGTGGCAGACGGTTTATACTAGTGTCGTTTGAGGTGGAGGCCACAATGCTTATGTGAAGTCACAAAAACAAACATGGTCCGAATTTATCACTGCCAAGGTACTAGAAAATAAGAAACTTAACAAGGTACTTTTTATGATTACGATTCGACGTCGAGTAATCCATTATGCCTTCTAGCGCATTTCAACTGACGGAGTATCAGACACAGGAGAATAGTAATCCTTCACGTGATATTTGCTCAAACTTGATTTTATTTAATGCTGAGGACAGTTCCTCGACATACTAAACCAACTCTTCTGCATGCTCTCGATTGTTTTCTGAATCCTCACTGAGCTGTATTTCATAATTTCTCACCATGCCGAATTGCACCTCGGTCACGATCTCCAAGAGTGGCGTAGTGGCGTTACCCCACATCTCCTTCCAGCTGGCCCCACCCCGTCTTACCCCAGCCATCAAAATCTCAACCTCCTCTGGTCCTACATCAAAACAACAACATCCATCGTGAGCCCCTTTCACGATCCTATTCCCCATCCCACCATGGCCTCAGACAAAGCAACGCAACTCCCATTCTCCGGCCCCTCCCTCTTCACCTCCGGCACGGATCAACGCATCACCCGCCTCTCAAAAGTCCTCTCCACGTCCTCTGGGGTCGATGCAACACTCACCCTCGTCGGCTATGGCCTCTTCTTCGTCTCCTCTCAGATCTCCAACCTCGAGAACCTCGAAATTACGGCTCTCACCAACCCCAATGCTTCTCCAGACACGTTAAAACATGGCCCCGCCTCGGTGATGAAGCTCGCTGAGCTCGGGGCTAGTACTAAGACTCTGGCTGGGATGTGTTCTGATTTCCGGACTTTCACGAGATTGTGGGGACTACTTGGTGTTTACGCCATGGCTAAGAGGAATTATGTTGATCCGCCGAAAGACGTTGTGGTCCGTGCTGTTTCATATGCGCAGACTCTTTCGCTGGGCGCGTATTATGTCTACGAGAATGGATACTATCTGGCCGGTAAAGGTGTTCTGAGAGGCTGGACAGTGGCGGATATTAAGAGATGGGCTAAGACGAGTTTGCGGATGTTTCTAGCGTATGTGGCGCTTGAATTTGTGAGGTTGTATCGTGCGAGACAGTTGAGGGAGACGAGGAAGGTGAAGGCGGTTGACGAGAAGGATAGAAAGGGGATCGAGGCGGAGGAAGCGAGTTGGTTGAGGAGTGCGCTGATGAATGTTGCTTATACGCCTTTGAGCATGCATTGGGCTTTCGAGGGTGGGATGCTGAGTGATGGGGTTGTTGGAGCGTTGATGTCTGCGGTTGGGTTGATCAAATTTAGAGCTGCTTGGGCGCAGGCGGCTTGAGATGGAGAAGTGGATAAGTGTCAAAATTGTATTACTAAATCTTTTTTCAGTCCAAGTAAAGTGGCACAAGTTAATTTGCGCTATCCATCTCATCCGAACATTTCAACTGGTTCTCATTAAATTGGCGACGCTGGCAAACCTAATGTGGGCCTTGAATGGTAGATATTCATTTTGGAATGCTATAGACAAGCAGACCGATATTTTTAAGTTCCAGGCTCTTGCGCATGTTGAGTTCTCCTTGTTCCCGCGAGAGCTTTGGACAACTCCATAATTTTGAACCCACTCCTAGAAATCTTATCTATGTCCTCTAGGACAAAAATACTTGCACCGGTGTAATAAGCCCTTCCCTCAGTCCTAACAACCACACCTCTCGCTCCGACTCCTTTTCCACCAGGGATCACAATTTCCTCTTCTGGGCTGCCCACGAATGGTCCTTGGCCATCACTAGTCAAAGAGAGCATAGAGTGGTATGCCCACCTCTCTCCGATCTTTCTCTCGCCTTTAGCGTAAGCCAATGCAACACGTGCAGCAGTACCAGAACCACATGGCGAACGATCAATCGCATTCTCCACAAACACAATTCCTACCTCAGCCCCCGAAACGTCCTCACGCGTTTGGCCAATTGTCGAGTCTCTGATAATTACACCGTTAACCAAAACTGGCTCCGGAGACGTAGGTAGATAGGTGTACGCGCTCAGCTCTGGTGCGGTTGATATTGTGTCTCTGATGGTATTTACCACTGGCCAAAGTTCCTCCAGGTTTCTGATATCTTTAACCCCATTTGCAAAGCCAAGTTCTTGAGCCGAGACGATGGCAAAGAATGCTCCACTGAAACTGATATCTACTACAATAGATGATCGAGTTCCCAACTCTGTCCACTTCCTGATCGTCTCAATCGGAACTTCAATGTCAAGACCAGCTGCAAACGAGGGAACGGACAAGAATGATACATCTCGGTTAGGATCTGAACTCTTCCCGTCCGGCATCGTAGGAACAGTGATCCTAAGAAGACCACAAGGCGCATGCAACCTCAACTCCGTTGTCAAACTCTTCGTGTCAAATCTCAATTTCTCGCGGTTCGGAAATACTTCCGGGTCATGCGTATCTATCAAGAAACGTGAAACCCCCAGAGTAACATGGCCGCACATCATAGAGTATCCGCCAGAGTGGATGTACAGGATTCCTATGTCGGCGACGCCAGACTTCGTGAGCTCGGTGTCTTTCCGGAGGATACCTCCATACATGCCATCGTGGCCTCGAGGCTCGAGGAGTAGTCTTCGTCTGATGTAGTCGTTTTCTGGTAGTGAAGCCTGGCTCTTTTGTCCGAGAAGTGTTCCTGTGAGGTTTGGAAGTCCTTGGATTGGTATTCGGACTGGACCGCCGGAGGTGTGCATATCGACACATTTGATGTGCTCGTTTGAAGTTGGCAGACTACTGAAGACGTCCATACTTTCTGATATCGACTGATATTGAACGCGTTTACGTGGAAAAGGTTTGGTTTGGTTTGCTCAAGGCCTGTGAGTCAAATAGGATTCCTGACGACCCCACTTTTGGAACTTGATGCACGAACTGTGATCTTGCAAGTCTTCTTTGTTTGTCAGCACATATTCAGTTTCATGATTAAGGTGGAAACATGTAAGATGGAGTTTGAATGACTCCATCGCTGTGATACGGTGATACCTCTTTCCCCTTAGCTGCTCTGCATCAATGGAGCTGTCGCATGCCAATGTTTGCTACTAGTATGTAAGTTTGAGTACTATTTCCTATTTCTCCCAGATATTTATCGAACTATAGTTCCGACGATCTTGAGATTATTTTCCAGAGTTTGTGAGTATTCAACACATTCGTGCTTCAGTGTGCCAGTGTATGGTGGTAAAGCAGTATTTGTGGCGAAGTGGTAGACCTTATCAAGCGCCGCCCCTGAGAAATTCTGACGTTAATCAGCGTATCTCTTGAAACCAGTTGGCCCGAATTGCACTTTACTGCGAGTCAAACTAGCCTCGAAGTGTAAAGGCAGTCAACTTAACCTTACAAAGACTTGGTTTACCAAGCCCGGACGTTTTGGTCTCTTCTGAGTCTTGAGTTGAAGATGGCTCCACCTCCAGAGTTACAAATGGCAACGACTACTTGCAAGGCATAGTCAAACACAAAGTGCTCGTTATACTCCAAAACATCGACATTGTCCATGAAGACTTAAGCCAGCCAATTGGGCCGTGAATCCATATTGAAACTACAGAAAATCAACACGAGGTAGATTTCGGTTTTGGCGAGACTTATGACATATCCGGACATCAAGCTCTCTGGTTGGTAAGACTTTGCTCAATTCGAGTGGTATGCAAGCGCGGAGACATCTCCACCCATGGTTAATGCATTGTCTCAGAGTGGTTCGCCATACCCTCGGAGATCCTGCTATAGCTGCATATGTATGTGTTCTTTTGCTCAAGACACCTTAGAACCCCGGCGCTATGCTCTTTGAATATCCACACCATTCCGAAGAGCTACAACAGATGCTAGATCGAAAAATAAAACAAGCCCAATGACCTCGACAAGAATCAATGATATCGAAAGGAAGGTCATGTCCGCATCGAAGCTTTCGAGCATCAGCAGGATATCTTCGTGGAACATTGCACGGCAGAACCTGTGCGGAAAAGCTTCCGAAGTTGTGGCGTACCACTAGACTTACAACAGAATGACACGAGTGCATTTCAAAGACATGGCTTGATTCAGTACCCCGCTCTTATCGTGAAAAGAAATATGTGCATCTAGCTCAATCTCCAATCTCCACGGTGAAGTAGAATCATTGTCTTGTGCCCATTGCCCTTCATATTTACCTTATCGCCAATATTGGATCTTGTCTCTTCCAATTTTTCATCTTCGATCCTTCATCAACCAACTCTTCGTCATGGTTGCCTTCCACTTTCAAGTTTTGGTTTTGGCACTTCTACCCCTCATTGAAGCGAGTGAGACCATTCTCGGCGCCTTTATCTTCAGCCGCCACGGAGACCGAAGCACAAAGTCTTATCCACCCACTCATTTGACAGATCTTGGATACCAACAGATCTATCAGTCAGGTACGTTTTGATCCCTTTCTTCGCATTACTGAAGAGCTTTGGGTCGAAACCTATGCTCCAACACGTAGCTCATCATGTTCCACATCCATAATGAAGCACTGTGCTGACTCCAATGACTTCAGGCGGTTTCTATCGCAATCGCTACATTACCAATGGCTCAACTCAGATCTATGGCATCAGCACGGACCTTGTAAAGTTGTCTCAGCTAGAGGTTCAGACAGCCGTCGATGATGTGCTCCAAAGTTGTGCAACAGGTTTTTTACAAGGATTGTACCCGCCAGTTGGAGCAACTCTGGGATCACAAACGTTGGCCAACGGAACTAGCGTTGAAGCACCCTTCAATGGCTACCAAATCGTACCAGTCAATGCTCTGGCCTCAGCTGTAGATAACTCTGGAGATGCCACTTGGTTGCAGGGAGCCAGTGGATGCGTGAATGCTGTTGCTGCATCTAACAATTACTTTTTCTCGTCGGACTACAAGACTTTGAGCAGTTCCACTGCTTCTTTCTATCAGAGTATCTTGCCTGTTATCAACAACACTTTTACTGCTGCTACGGCCATCTACAAGAATGCTTACGCAAGTAAGTCTCCGCTGTTGACGCTTCAAATCTGTCGCAACGATTTCCCAATCTGCGGACGCTGACTTCAACAGTTTGGGATCTCGTCCAAGTTTCTATGATCCACAATGCCACTATCCAATCCTCTGACCTTCTTACTCCCGCCAATGTCCTTCAGCTTGAGACTCTGGCAAACCACCACGAATTTTCTCTTGCTTACAACGCATCAAACTCATTGGTGAGTCAATCTCTTCTATCTCTCGTCTCCTGCGTATTTAATCGTCGAATATTTTCTGGTCCTTTCCTTTCCATAGCACGCAACAAGTGTTCTAACCTCTCAATCTCGTATCAGGTAGCCATTGCCGGATCTGTCCTCGCTTCCCAGATTGTGGAGTACTTGAACATGACTCTCACTACCACAGCACCAAAGCTTTCACTCCAGCTCGGCGAATACGCAGCGTTCCTTTCGTTCTTTGGCCTGGCCTCTCTCCCATCCGTATCCGATAACTTCACAGGCATCGTGAACTTTGCTTCTTCCATGACTTTTGAGCTCGTCACAAACGCTACTGTCACTGGAACGGCATACCCACCCGTGGACCAAGTTTCCGTTCGTTTCCTCTTCGCCAATGGAAGCGCTGCTGATACTCCCCTGATGCCGTATCCTCTCTTCGGACAATCGAGCTTGGAACTTCCGTGGACTACTTTCATGACCGAGATGAATAAGATTTCCGTCAGTGGGCAAGCGGACTGGTGCACGGCGTGCGGAAATACGTCCACTGGTTGCACCAGCACGAGTACCTCTGTTGTCACTGTTACAGCTACCCCTGGAGCTACCGATTCGTCTCGAGACAATGGAATTTCCACTGCGGTCGGTGGAGTCATTGGTGCAATGGTGACACTTGCCGTTATCTTGGGTATTGAGGCACTTGTGCTACTGCTGGTCGGGCTGAGAATTGTTGAAAAACGATCTGCGTCACCTGTGGTTGTTACTGAGCCTCAAGGTGGATTGAAGGCATAGATACGAAGGACAAATTGACAAGGATGGATGCTCTGCATCTCGTGGGAGTGAGTATTTGGCGATGTTGTTGCAATAAGCGAGGAGAAATAGGCGACTTTACAACTTAATGAATGATATTATGTGCCCAGTGTCGCTCAAAGTTGTTGCTGGATCTGGTGCTTCATCTAATTAAAGAACCAAGAGAATATAGAGCACGAAGATACGTGACATTGTAGGTAGGAGAGACTTCGGTCTGGCTTACCAATAATCAGTAGATTCTGCTGCTCAAGGCTTGAGTCTTGATCTGAAGAATTCATACCATCTGCAGCCGATTGAGAACCAATTGAGAATAACACCTTTCCGGAAAACATGGGGATCGACTTGGAGACGACTTGGACGATAGCGAGACCGAATCCCGCAACTCACAGATTACATAGATTAATAGCATCTTGACAGTGTATGTTATTAAAGCTGGCCGTCAAGTGTTTCAGCATTCGGGGGTTCAGTTCGCGCCGCAGTTTGTCAGCTGCTACTGCGAACTTGTCATTTAGGGGGCTGTAAGCGTGTATTCCAAGCCTACTTAGTGCTTATAGCATGCGCCGCTGACAAATATGGTTTCTGAGCCTGAACTAATAAAGCTGTGCTATCATACGTTATTGGATCTTTGAATCCTGATAGTGGAGCAAGAAAGGAATTTTATAAGACCAACCAAGTTTCCGATATATGTTGGATAGAACATTGAGCTCAGGCCTCAAATAATTCAGACTCAATCTAAAAGCTCACCACATCAAAAAAGTTCACACAACATGTCTCAAACAACATCCTCCATTCCCCTCCTCTACATCGGTAGAACTCGACCAATCGCTCTCCAGCTCGAACAAAGCTTAGCTCCCAAATTCCACTACCTCGCCATCATCGATGCCGACAGCTATAGCCCAGCCAATGTTCGCTTAATACTCAAAACGCTGAACCCGACTCCCGCAGGTATCATGGTTGGGGGAGGACTTCCTGTCGAATACCAGGAAGAAGTGAAGAAAGTGGTCGAGGAGTACAATGAGCAGCTGGGGAAAGAGTTGAAGTTGGTGTGCATTCCTGTTGGGATTAGGGAGAAGGCTGGAGCGGACGGCTTGCTGGTGTGGTTGAAGGAAGCTTTAGGAGAGCAATTCGGGATTGACTGGTGATTGAGTGCCCGTGACTCTGGCTAAAATCTCTGTACATACAATTGTAAGCCATACGTCCCAAGATAGACTTGATTACTGCTTTCCTTACGAAGGCGTCTCCGACTTTTCAGTCACCTCCAACTGATTCTTACTGCTGAATTTGACAAATACAGCAACTAAAGACCTGAACGGTATATCGTCCTGCCCATCTTCGAAGTCGTCCATATATCGAAGCTCCAAGGCTGTCTCGTACGTGGGATAACCAGTGCGTTTCAGCCAGATAACATTTCCCTTGATCTCGAAGGGCCATACATCATTGATGACCTTGATGATGGTTAGTGGTCTTTGCTTCTTGAGGGATTCGATATACATACATTTCTTCTGTCAAATTTGTGCCGCTCAGTTTCTTTCTCATCGATGAAACGTCCCCTGTGCGTACACCGCATGTCTCGAAAGTTTTTATCGCGTTCATGGAACTCAGTTCCAGCGTACGTGTGGGGGAATTGCGCAATCCATTCCCAGGCGTTAGGGAATTTCATGCTATGCTGTCCACCACAACCACACGTCTTCTGGTGGAAGTCTCTCAGCCAGTCATTCTGTTCCTCTGGCGTCATTTGATTATATCTACCGAATTCATGGTCGTGCTCCCAATCTTTCATCACAAAATCTTCGAGATCCTTTTTTTTGAGGATGGGCTTTTTATCAACTTCTAATCCCAAAGCCTTGAAACTAGTGTAGAGAACTAGATCAACTCCCCTGAGATCATACGGCATACGACCAACGGTATCCTCGTTCGTGTGGAAATATTTGTGTTGACAGTGATAGCCGATAATGCCACCTTGGATCCATGATCAGTCTCAGATAGAGGAGCTATTGATTTGAGGACTTACCTTTCTTGAGAAAAGCCGGGCAATGGAACAATGCTTGCACCCCTTTGTACAGTGGGAAGACAGTCGATTCCAGAAGCCGTATCCCTTGTACGAATGTACCACAACGCTCGGTGACGAAGAGATCATAACTAAGGAAGATCTGAAAGCCGTCTCGTATGGGCTCAATCTGGTAGTCACAATCTTCCACAAATGCAGCCCAATGGAGAGCATGTTGTCTGAATTTGGGAGTGTCATGCTTGACGCTATCTTCACTTGAGGTATCCCATTGTTTCTCGTCATATGGTTCGTCGGGAGGATGACCTTCACGCAGATCATCAGAATTAATATCGTTTCCGAGTACTCCGACAACTGTTCCAGTGATCGGATCTTGATCAACGACGACATTTTGGTCGGTTTCGTCGGTCCAGGGAAAGCGACTCCAATCTTCATTGTTTAGTACACTAAGCTCTCCACCAGTATGATCCATAGGAATACAACAAATCAAAGTTCCCAAGAAATTCGCATCGTCCGAGATCCTGAACGGCTTTTGAGACTTGCTCGCAGGTCCTTGCATAACGTAGAGTCCTTCGAACTTGGCTGTAACACCTCGATGCTGAGGTCGAAGTTTCAGAAACTCTCCTTGGAAGCTGGGGAGAAGTATCTGTGAGATGAGATCAAGAATTCCGACGTCATGGGGATGGAAGCCTGTGGTGATGCGATGTGCTTCCAATCTGCCGATTTTGTTGCAAGCTTCTATCAAGCGGTGCAAACCTTTAAACGTCTTTGGCGACCGCTATTTGGCAACGAACTGGTCAGTAACAGTACTTCGTCTTCGCTCGAATTGTGCTTCTGTGTGCAGTGCAAAATAGAAAGGGGTACTCACCTCAAATGGAAATTCAATCTTTCTTGAGATAATGTCCTCATCCGCATCATTCCAGTAAATGACGACCTGATCATAGACATCAAGAAGGACCGAGCCTCCGCAGCAATACCGTGCTGGTGCTTGTACTCCGTCTACAGCCTGAGAGAGGTCGTTGATGAGCCTATCCTGACAGGTTTGTTGGAGTGACTTCATTGGTTTTATGCATTTCTGGACTTCTTGCGGTGCAGGCGATGCCCCATCGTGGGCAGAAAACTGATTCGTCCTAAGATGGCGGCGATTTAAAATAGATTTTTGGAATTAAAGATGCAATCGATGATTATATGTTGCTGGGAAGCTTAGTTGTACAAGGAAGGCACTTCCTGGAAGACTTGCTTTGACTTGGCGAAGAAAGAAAGCGGCATGGGCTTACAACACAGAAGCACCACGATCATCCAGCTGCTTTCTTCTTTCTACAATTAAGACTGCTATCAGCGATAGAGTCTTGATGCAAGCCGAGCTTTCAGAGAGGAAGTAAAGAGGTCAAACGAAAACTCTTGCAAATCTTTAATCTCTACAATCAAAGACACCTGAGTGCTTTATTGAATTGCTGAAAAGAGTTCTGTGCTTAATTTAACAGAAAATTTGCGCTTTGATTTTGAGGTCTTGAGAGAGAGAAAGGACATTTGTCATGAACATGTAGGGACAAACTCAACCTCAATAGCTATAAACAAAAGTCCACCTCTGATCGCCCCTTCTTCCATTCTCACCCCTCTCCTCAGCCCTAACCTCCTCCTCACTCCAAGTCGCAATCCTCTCCTTCCTCCTCGCATTCTCCCACATATAAGCCCCCCTCACACCCGCAAACCCCAACATCCCCACCGCCATCAAAATCATCGTAACCTTCAACGGGTACCCATAACTCGGCGCATATTCCGCTTTAAATAATTGTCCTGCAATAACCCCTGCGATGTTACTATATCCATTGATACCAATGATAACACTTCTGGGACCGAGGAGAAGCGTGTTATTCGCGAGCCAGGTGACGATGAGGGACCGGCTGAGAAAGCACCTGCGAGGCAGATATGGGTGAATCCGTAGCGGAGGGAGGGGTCGGTAGAGGTGAACATCACGATTAGCCCGATTAGGGCGAGGAACATGGAACAGATGGTATGGAGCGAGCGTTCGTGAAAATGATCGGACGAGTAGACGAAAGCGAAGAGTCCGAACGCTCCACTGGTATTTGTCAGCTCGCTGTAGAATCGCGCACAAGAAAAGAAATGAACGGTACTCACACCACGAAAGGTGACACGCTCATTAAATTTGCTTTCACTCCGGAGTAGCCCATACCCTTGACAACAAGGGGAAGGAAAGTCCCAAAAGCGCTGACTGGCAGGGTAGCAAGGATGTTGAACACGACAGTCAACAACTTCTTCCAGTCGAGGACGACATCTTTGATATCGCGCATGCTGACCATTCGAGTTGCTTTGATCTGGTTGCCTTCGGCATCTACCTCATAGACTTTCATCACATCGACATCCATCCGATGAATGGCATGTGCTCGTTCGGCTTTTGATAAAACTGGAAAGCAAATTATTAGTGGCAAATGGGTGAGAGTGTACGATTGCAAAGCTTACACCAAGCGGACTTTTGATTGGCTGGAAGCATGAAGAACGAAAGTATTGCCATGCCAAGAGTACAACCGCCTTCAATCAAGAACTGTGTAGAGGATGTTAGAACGACTACCTCTGAACAGGATGATCATAAACTTACGAGCAATTGCCATCCTTTGAACTTAGAGTGTTTGATCTGGAAGACGCCATACTAATAGATAACATCAGTCTTTCTGTATCTTGGAAATGAATGATCCTCACTAACAGCAATAAGTCCCGAAAAAGCTCCAGCAATGGAATACATTCCAGCAAACAGCCCAAGTCGAAATGCGAGATGGTATTTCGGGTACCACGTGGAGAGGTAGAACTATTCAAAGGATCAGTATTCTAGCATCTCCTCGGTAACACATGAACACTTACAAAGACACTAGGTACAAACCCCGCCTCAGCCACACCAAGCAACAACCTCAACGCAATGAGAGTACCACTATTTTTAATCCCAGCATGTCCCATACAGATACTTCCCCAAGCGAGCATCATGATGGAGATCCAGTACTTGACTCCGATGCGGCGACCGATGATTGTCGAGAGTGGTTGGAGAGTGACGAAGGTTACAGAGAGCTTTTATGAATTCTTAGTGAGATTGGTGGGATGATCACAGGTTGACTCACAAGAGATACTGCGTTTGAGATATCGTTTGGTTTGAGATGAGCATCTTTGGCGAAAGCTAAGAGACATGTCAATCTGATGTGATGAATTGAGGGGCAATTGACATACTTGTCGTAGCAGCATTTCCGATGTTTGTCTTGTCGATGCCACACAACTGCAGGGGCTCAATCCTGAACAATTTCTCACAGGTAGAATACTGACCATAAAGTTGAGAGCAAGAACGGGCAGGATGATGCAATCCAGTTTGAGATTGATTGACCTGTCGAGTGCTTGTTCTTCAATGGATTGCGGTGCATAGAATTGTCTCATACTCGGCTGTGGTGCATCTTCAACAAGCTCAATGTCACCTAAAGGTTTCTCGAGACTCGTTCGTGATGCCATTGTCGAATCATTCAGCATCCCGGAGTTATTATTATGAAGTGAAGTAAAGTGTACACATGAATGCCAAGAAGAGATGAAAATATGTGAGTAGCGACTAGATGTGAAGATCTTTTGAGAAGTAGATGAGACAGAGCCTTGATATGCATAAAGAATTGTCTTGGATCTTACCCCACTATTCGAGTGCGGGACGCGTGCTGCTTCCCCACGGGGATTTGGTTCGTGGAATCGAGGCCAAAGACAAGTCTGGATTCAACTGAACGCAGACTTCACCCCAGGAATATTTGCTTTGTGTGTACTATGTGGGGTGCAGGGCAGGGATACTCGGAAGATAGGGAGGACGGAAGGGCGGATGAGCGGATGTCGGAACGACTCCCAGCCATGTCGTGTTTGCCGTGTCCCACTGCTTTGCAAGCAAAAAGCATCAAGCACGGCTTGGTAGATGATATGGTAAGATAGTGTCTAGAAGGCACTGAGGATTCTTGTTACGCGGCTAGCTGGGAGTCTATTTTACGTTGGCCAGAAAATTCGCAGTTGCTTCTAATTCGAACTTCTTTTGAAGTCATTGCAGATATCCTCACTCACAGAAATGAAATAGATTCTAAAGACGAAAATGGGTTCAATTCTTGTTGAAGAGGTGGAACGGAAAAGCGATTTCAACCCTTTGATATCCAACGATCCAAACCATATCTACGCCGAGTATGACACTCTTCGAGCGACATGTCCAGTAGCATACACCAATGAATACAATGGATACTGGCTCCTGACGCGATATGAAGATGTCAAGAAATGTGCATCTGATAGCGCGACATATATCTCATCAGTCAAGGCCGTTGTTCCTAGCGACCCTAGAGGCATTCGACGTCCACCATTAAATTTCGACGCTCCAAGGCATACACCATATCGCACAGCGCTGGATCGTACTCTGAAACCTGCAAGATTAAAGCGATTAAAAGGTATCCTCGAGAAACGTGCAGACATGGAGCTAGCGCCAATGCTCGATGCTGGAGGAGGAGACGTCTGTATGAAATTCGGAGCGAAGTTTCCAGCGTGGGTGGAAACAGAGTGGTTGAACCTCGATGAAGGCTCTACTTCCACTTTGGCAGCTACTGCGGCAGGCTGGATCAAAGCATGGCGAGAGCAGGACGGGGAAAAGACAACGGCACACTCGATGAAGATGTATGATATGGCCAAAGAACTTCTTGCGCAACGGCGGGAGAATCCGAGGTGTCCTGAAGATGACCCCGCATCATCGTTATTGCTCGAGAGAGACCCCGACGGCAATCCGTTGGACGAGGTGCATTTGATGTGAGGACTTTTGCCCAATTTCAAGAGAATACTAATACCACCTAGTGGAGCTCTTGGACAATCTCTCGTCGTTGGAATGGTTGCACCTCCTCTTCTGATTGGGGCGATCTGCAATCACTTGTCCAAGGACCAAGATTTACAGTCCCAGCTTCGGTCAGACCTAAGCCTGGTTCCAGCTGCCACAGAGGAGTTTATCCGCCTTTACACGCCATATCGAGGTTTCTGCAGAACACCTTCCACTGGAGTGACAATCCATGGACGTGACATACATGCAGGCGAACCCATCACCCTGTCTTACACCGCGGCTAATCGAGATCCATCCATATTTCCGGAGCCCGATAAGTTTATCCTGAACCGAGAGAACTTGACGTCCCATTTGGGGTTCGGAAGGGGCAGACACCGATGCGCAGGAATGCCATTAGCACGAATGTATGTGAGCCATAGTCCGAGGAAGTACCACTGAGTCTTTCTGACGAAAGTCATTTGCGTAGTATGATTCAGATAGCATTGAGAACGATTCTGAGACGGACGAAGGGTTTTGCTGTATGTGGACCATTAGAATATGCTAGGATGCCAGAGATGGGAATCATCAGTTGTCCTCTAAAGATGGACATTTGAAGATCTGCATTGTATTTCGACATATCTAGAACGTTGCACCGTAGAAACAGAGACCGATGAGTATCGGCGTCCATATGAATTTGTGTCTGAGTAGTATGCATGTGGACTCAGAGTTGAAAGAAGCCGATAGAAGACTCTAGCGTATTGCATGTGTTTCATGGTGATGATCAGGTTGGCTATTCCTCATGCCATGATCTCGAATCATTGACCTGTCCACTTGCGAAGTTCGAACTTGCGTAGTAATCGATTCCGGTGTCATCTGCTGCGAAGTTGGAAGACATGTCTCCATAATTCTCCATCGTGAGATCGTCAAGTAAACTCGGATCCATCAGGCTCAATAGAAGATCGTCTCTCTCCAGACCTCGAACTTCGTGTGCGAGGAATGCCAAATTGTCGAGTGAGGGGTTTGCCACAAGATGAGATTCTCCTTGACTCTCATCATTATTGTTTTCAGTATTTCGATTCCAGTGAGTGGTGGCATTTTGTAGGTCCGCAACCCCACCAGACTCTTGATTATCGTCCGAGACTGTTTCGCCCTCATTGCTAGAAGCTTTCAACACCTGTTCTATCAAGTCCGCATAGCGAACAATTACCGGCATCGAATCCATTGCTCGAAGCATTTTGAGAGATTTCTGGATATCTGAAGATAGTTCTTCCATACTCAGGCTTGCAGTTGATACGATGTCTTGACCATCGTGCATAAGAATAATGTATATGATGATAATAGTGGCATAAAATATGTGAGTGGCGTTGTACCACCAAGTTCGGAAGTATATTCGATGCGTGAATGCCGAAAATATTAGGTCAATGGAGGCGTGCGCAGCTGCCAGACAAGTAACGGTTTGTTGATGGGATAATAATGGATTTGTCGATCCCGCTAAGAATGGGCGATAAATGAACATCTTGGTCTGGAGAAATCCTGCGTGTGTAAGCAAGATGATGTACCACAGTGAAGGAGATCTCACGGATATGCAAGGTCAGCTTTTGCCGGCTTGCAGATTCTGACTCGTCGAACGAGACACTATCTGGCCTCAGCCAACTCGGAAGATTTGCTACCCACAAATCTAGCTTCCTTTCCAACTGTGAAGCAACATCTGCTCTCTCTTCCAGTGTCAGATCACGTGACGAGTGGTAGAGGTCCGTGGATGCTGCTCGGAGAACATCGTAAAGACCAAGTTGGGCAGGAATGATGGAGTCTTGAGATTCTTCAACATTTGAAATGTGCAAGCTGGCTTTAAAAGTTGCATCAACAGGAGCAGCAAAAGAGGGCAGTACGATAGATCGTCCAGACGAGCATGAAACTTTGATGTCCTGGATGTATATGCACGACCAAGTCCTGGACGCCACATCATCCTTACAAGTACTGGCCATGGCAGGTAATCCGATAGCAATAGCGGTCCTCGTTGCCATGCCACTATACATAAAGCTGGCATGTATTTTCAGAGCATGTTGAGAATAGATAGATAACAATAATAGAGTCTGCACCCCTTCTAAGGAGCAGACTTCGAAAGTGTCGCCTAACAGTCGTCGAGCTCGTTGAACATAGAGCTTGGATAAACGGATCGACGATGGCACAAATTTTGGGCCCCTTTTTCGATCCTCTTCTGTCCGAATTTCAAGTTCTTCCCGTTCCTTTCGCAGAGCATCGAGGGGTGCAGTGAGTGATCCAAGCGCTAGAACTGCATTATACAGGGCCAGGAAGTGCATCTGACTTCTAGATAGTCGTTTGAGGGCTGGAGTTCCCCACACATCCTTCTCGCTGACGAAGCCGGATATCTGGGTGGAAGCTTTTGAGCCCTACCAGCGACGGTCACTGGAGATGCTGGGCGCGGATCTGGAAGTTCAGAGCTCTCGTCGCAGAATAGATCAACAACAGAAACGGGAGTCTTTGACTGTACACCATCTTGTCTAGTCTCAGACGAAGTCGCAACCTTAGATGGTCCAGTGGTGCTAGAACTCATAATTTCTAGAGAAATCGTGCTAAACGGAGACAAAGCCTCTAGAGATTGAGATTTGGCAGCTTGTTGTCTCGAATGTTGGTTGCGAGAATGCTGCAGAAGTTGTTTGACAAGAACAACGTTCGAAGAATGTCCATAGAACTCAGTGCCACTAGTTTGGTGATTGACAGCTGCAACCGTGTTGATTTCTTCTTCATTGTATCGCGCGACGTTGTCTTGACCCTCGATGCTTGAATGATGGATGCCCGCGGTTGAGTAAATCCCAGAACTTTGGATTCCAAGCTGGGTTGGAGCCTGGTCATTGCTACCTCGAATGGTAGCCACATCACTCAAAATAGACAGTCTCTCTGTATTTGAAGGGGCTATTGTCCCAGGCTTTGCCCTCTTGGCACCGTAAACACAAGGGATTTCGCGGTCTGAAAGATTAGAGATCAGCACGGACCTGAAGACATTATGGAAGATCAGATGCATGCCTTTGCAGACCTGACACGGATATCCTTGGTCACATTTAGACTTCTTGACCCGACAAGTTTCGCAGGCAAGAGAAGCTCTAGGCTTGTACTTCCTCTTCCTTGGAGTCCCACCTTCCATTTGCGTCGAGTTCATGCCAGGGTCAATGTGAGAGTTCTCATCTGAACTTCACTCGGATGCTTAGATGCATCTTTTCAGCGTGCCAGTATTGAGACGTTGTGTCGTGAGGTTGGAGAATTGGTGGACCTGGAGAAAGTTTCACCCGGTGGAGATTGCCGAGACATCCATTTGCGGAGTAAAGACGCTAGTCTTCATCTGGGTTGTGGTGCAGCAAACAACGTTGGTAATGAACATGGCAATTCTAGGTTTCTATGATTCTTGAACTCTCCAAAGTCTTCAAGACTGGCTCGGAATAGAAAGAACTACCCGCACAGGGCGATAGGCGCCTGTGTAGGTGAAAATAGAAGAAATAACCATATGATCACAATCACATGACCTATCCCTGATTTCAAGAGCGTTTGTAATGATATGGCAAACTTATTCATCAATGGTAATTATAACTCAGCTAATGATCTTATAAGTTAAATCCTGCAAAGAAAAGGCCATATCGTGACAGCTCGGGCAGAGTTATCTCGCCTAATCCCGTTCCAAACAAGCCAGCTCTACCGAGCCGAGCCTCGTTTGCAATTCCTTTTCCAGCCTCAGCATAGAAGCTTCGTACAAATGGAGTTTTACAGATCATATCTATGTGTGTACAGCTTGCAAGATAATCATAACAAGCTTTACAAAATGCCACATAAAGTCATTCAAGGCAGAATCATGATCGATGCACCACATCTCCAAAAGCCACCCCCATTATTTGCTTTTGCTTGGCAATGTGGCCGGGTGAGATTGGGCTATTGATTTGTCACAATCTAGGAGTATTCTAGAGCCTCGTCTATATCGAGGACTGTTTTTCTGTGGCAGAGCCTTGTTGTTATGGCATTGCAACTACCCTCGAGACCTTCTGTGCAACTTTGCGATGGCAATCTTCAACAAGAGCACCTAATCATACATTCATATATCGAGTGAGATCACTCAATACTGGAATTTGAACATGTCATATCAACATCGCTCTGAGCAAACAAGGAATCCAGAAGGATTTTTGCGTCCCGTTCCGCATGTGGGCTGAAACTAGGATTCGCTGTTTTGCGGGAAGATTGAAATAGCAGAGACATTGTCTCACTCTGCAGACGCCATCAAATCGGAAAGGGGGCTGAAGACTTTCTCTCACATGGTATTTGTAGTCCAACGACCGCCCACAGCTTTCTCAGCAGCTTTGTCCCCAGCTTCTTACGCTTTGCACCCTGTACTATACGTCTTAGCACTTGTCTCCTTTACCAAAGAAACATGGTTGCCACTTCAGCTCCCTCAGGATACGTCTACGTTGGATGTTACGCTGACAATCAAGCGATACGCCTACTAGATGGAGCGATTTATACCTCTTCTTCCATGACAGTATCAGTATGCGCAGGCTACTGTAGCACAATAAGCGGTGCTCGATTCTACCCCCTTATCGGCGTCGAAGACGCAGGGCAATGCTTTTGCGGTTCGAGTTTTCCTCGAAGTCCTGGAATCGCCAACGAAGCTGGTTGCAATGAGGAATGCTCTGGAGACTCGACGCAGACCTGTGGAGGACAAGGTTATATCAACGTCTACAATGCGACTTCACTACCGTCTTGGATAACTCTTCTACCTTCTTCTACGTCGACGTCAACGAATACTGCGCAGGTCACCTTGTTGACTACCATCACGCAGACTCCGACATCCTCGCCTTCCAATTCGACATCACCGTCACCAGGGACATCAGCTGCTGTTGTCGCTCCTGCTGTCATTGCTGGCTTGCTGGCTCTTTCGCTTCTCGCAATTGCTGGATTATGGTTTCTCCGAAGAAGGAAGTGGAAGTCAATCTCTCAAACGAGCCCATCGCATGTTGAAGATCATAGTCTCGAGAATCAGAACAAGTCGAGGCCGGAATATGTTGCGGAGATGGATCAGAACAGGGTTACCCCACATCTGTCTGAGTTAGGCCCAGGGGTTCATGAATACCGGTAGGGCAGACGGAATGATAGATGAAGGGATATTTTGAATGCCTGTGGCGGGAGCAATTGCGTAATTGTTATTTCTATGATTTTTTCGGATCAGGCTCTGGAGTTAAATTTGGATGTGGGGAGTTGGCATTTGATGGTCGAGGTTCGACTCTAGTTTGGAAGAAAGAATGTCTGTAAATGCTGCAGCAGGGACTTAAGTCATCGAAAATACAATAATATCACTCCACCTCCAGGAAATGCGACACCGCATTCGTTACCAAATTCAAAGCCGAATGATTATCGACCCCAAATTCAAAAGTTTCGTCCATTGCCTCTTTCAGAGCCATACATGCGCCTCACAGCGGATAAATCCAAAAGTGGCTCTCCTCCGCTGCACTGCCCACACCACCTTATCTTCACACATCCAGACTCATTTTCCACTGCCATTCTCTCAAAATAATTTCAAACGGCGACTACTCGAACTACATTAGCAGTTACGCCTCTAAAATGTCAACAAGCACCCTCACCACCCTCCTAGCCTCCGTCCGCTCCGCCCTCGCCACCCCGTCCTCCCTCCTCCCCTCCACCTCCTCCGACCAACAAGCACGCCTCGACCTCATAGACCTCCTCCCCGAACTAAACGCCGCCCTCATCGGCGACACCGCTCACCTCCGCGAACTCGCCTGGTCGGTCCGTCCCTCTCTCCTTTCCCCCTCTCTTTCCCCCCCCCCCCCCCCCCCCCCCCCCTTACAGGCAATCCACGTCCTGCCCCTCGCCGCCATATCCCGCTGGAAACTCGCCTCACACGTGCCCCTCGATGGCGAGATCACCTACCACGAGCTCTCTTCCAAAACCGGCATCTCCTCGCCCCTCCTAAAACGCATCCTCCGGCACGCCATGACCAGCCGACTCTTCCTCGAGCTCCCCAGCGGAGAAATATCCCACTCCCCGACCTCCCGCCTACTAGTAACAAACGACGGCCTAGCCGCCTTCGTAGACCTGCACACCGAGACGGCGCTGAAGAGTATAGCGCACACGCTCGACGCGCTGGAGAGGTGGCCTGAGTCGACGGATCCGCGGGAGGGCGGGTATAGTCTTGCGCTGGGGAGGGGGGGCGAGACGAGCGTTTATGAGGAGGTGGCGAAGGATGAGGGGAGGATGGTGGGGTTTGGAAGGGCGATGCGGTTTTTTAGTGAGGGGGAGGGGTATGAGGTTGGGAGTTTGGTGGAGGGGTATGCGTGGGGTAGGATTGGGAAGGGGGTTGTTGTTGATGTGAGTTTGTTTATTTTTTGGGGGGGAGGTGGGGGGGGGGTTTGTTGATTGAGTGAGAGAGGAAAAGGAGTTAACGGAAGTAGGTTGGCGGAGCAAACGGGTTCGCGAGCGCGGCGATCTCGAAGGCGTTCCCGGAGTTGGAGATGGTGGTGCAGGATATTCAGGATATGAAGGTGGAGTATCCGGGTGCGAATATTAGGTGGATGGTGCATGATTATTTTACGCCGCAGCCGGTGGTGGGAGCGGATGTTTATTTGTATCGGTTTGTGTTTCATAATCTGTATGATGAGAAGGCGGTTGAGGTTCTGAGGGCGGCGGTACCGGCGCTGAAGAAGAAGGGAGCGAGGATTTTGATTAATGATGAGTGTTTGTCGGAGCCTGGGAAGGTGAGGTGGAGGAATGAGAGGGCTGCGAGGTATGTCTTGTCCAACTTCTGGAATGAGATGCTGTCTTGCTAACTGAGTTTTTAGAGGTCTAGATGCCATCGTAAGTTGGACGTACAGAACTTGTATTCTCGCTAACGGTGCATAGATGCTAGCTTGTATGAGTGGACGAGAAAGAGAATCAAGTGATTGGGAAGGTTTATTTGAGAAAGCTGATCCTAGATACAAGTTCCTCTCAGCGAAAATTGCTCCACAATCTAGGTTGTGGTTGATAGAGGCTGAATGGACTGGATGATCGGCAAAAGACGAAGCTAGTCCGTGCAGATCTTAGCTATACAAGTACATCAAGCCCATCAAGTTGAAGGCGGGCCCCTTTTTTAGCGAGCCGAGTTGCTACAGTCTTTGAAGAATGGAGGAATGATGTAGACATTAAGATTGAATTGTTTGGGATTGAGACTTTCGTCTTGCTTGATTTAGCCTTAAGACTTTTGGAACAGATGCTCCACTCACGTCATGAGTGACTAACTCACAACAAGGAGTAGCCACCGAGCTTAAAATTAGGTGAAATTCAACGCTGTACGCAGTGACAAAACAAACACGCTCTCAAAAACGAAACAAATTCCTCCCATCAACCTCCTCACTGAGCCCCTTTCCCAACCCTCCTCCTCTCCCCCACCGCCACCCTAACAGTCAACACCATAACCACCAACCCGATAATAAACAACGGAATAAGATTCCACTGATACCCCTCCATCACCCTCAACCAATGATTCAAATAATTCCTATCAACCTGATGCTGCAAATCCAGCGCCAACAAAGCCTTCGTCCAGGTGCCCGGCGCCCAGTTATCCAACGGGTATCCGTGACCCTGGAACTGCGCCGCGATGGGCTGGGCGATGCTTTGGCCGCTGGTCTGGTGCACGACGACGAAGGTGTATGCCAGCGCCGAGAGAGTGAGGAGGAACGAGAGGATTGTTAGTACCGTGTAAGCGAGGAAGATCGTTGATGGGCGAGTGATATTCTGTTCACTCATCAACACTGCTCTCTCTTAAAAGAAAAGAACAACACACCCTCCTCTCTCGGCGTCGCATCCACCAGAGGACCAAAAAGCCCCCAAAACAGACCCCTACCAACGCCGTCCCCGCGGCGCCGTTGCTGGTGTGCCCCTCGTTGACTAGAAGATGCGCCGGTTTGGCGTTCATGAAGATAGTCGTTCCGTCGGCTGCGGTGAAGGGATATTGATTCGCGCCTGATCGATGGAGATAGCCCACAATGCTGCTTATGAACGCCAACTCCATCGCGGAATCGACCATCAGCACCAGGAGCGCTATAAAGAGGTGAAGCAGCGCCGCCATCTTTGCCGTTGCTTGACCGTAGAGCAAAACGCTCAGAAAGAACTTTTAACGAAGACAGCCCAAAAATCTGGGGAAGATTAAGAATGAAAAACTAAGTTAACCATAAAGTTTTCTCGGGGACTTTCCTCCCTTTATGACAACGAGGCTGAGAAAGCAGAACGGAAATTTGCCCCACTGGTCGGCATGCGGTGGTCAGCAACGCAGCATGCACGTTGCAACCACCAGCAGCTGAGGGGGCTGAGAACTGCCATATAGATTGAAAATCCCGGGTTGGCGGGCAGCGGCCGCGGGTAAGCACAGGGCTTGGCGAGGGTGGAACAGGCAAATGAACATTCGGGCTGCGGAAGGGTGATGTGATGTGGGATTTGCTTGACGCGTGGAACATAATAATGCGCTGGCAGTTGTGCTGAACATTACTTTTGTTTGCCGGTTTGTAGGACCGGTTGGATGGTTCGGATAGGCTAACTATATGGCGAAGAGGTTTGTATCCTGGGTGGAGATCTCTCGTTAAACGCTACAGGTGGAAATGAGAAGAGGAGTTTCGTTTACTGGAGAGATTTGTGTAATGATCTACGTCTGGGGTAAGATTCTTTTGGAATCTTGCAAGCAAACTTTTACTCCACGTGGAACTCAAGCTTACTATATCTGGCAAATGCGGCGACTGGCATCGGAGCTCCGAGATTGTTGGATTGCGGTCGGTTCAAGAAGACAATGTGACTCGTTGCAATTGTTGGAAATGGATTCGTCGAATGAGTCGCGATTGTTGGCATACGTTACGAGACACGTGATGTGTGGAGGGGCTGTAAGATGAGGCGCAACTTGAAACACGAAGGAGTTAGGCTGGAGATTTTGATTTGGGAGAAACCGCATAGGTGGACTTTGATGTGGTTGGGTCAGAGTCAGGTAAAAATAGTGTTTGGCGAAGTATTTCAATAAGGCTGAACTGAGACATCGGCTTGGTTATGTGTAGAACAAGACTAGTAATGATATCGACTCGTCGACGGTATGTCATCGGGTCATCCTTCATATAAATGCCAAGTGGCCAAGAACCAATCTCAATGATGGATGCAGATTAGAATAGCAGTTGATGCCTCACGTGGTTGAATCCCACCAGTGCCGTCGTGTTGTTGCCCAATAACATCGTTCGAACTAGATGAAATAAGGTTTCTATCCCACAACTTGCAAGTTTAATCAGGTAGCCATAGCTTTGAGAAATAATTTTACAGAGAATCTCTCGGACAGATGCAACTCTCTCGCATGTGACAAGATGACAATGCAAGTACGGGTTTCTCTAAGGTATCTTCTTCTATGAACTTCAAAAAGATAATTCTTACATTCCAGTGCGCTTGCATCCGAGTACTTCATTGCACATGCTAAGAAACCGAGGAGAAGACACTTCTACTGAGGACGGAACGACAAAGGTCAAGTGACCATCCTGCTTCACAAGCACAAACCATAATACCTCTGAAACCAAAACCAGTGTAGAGTATCGAGCAGAACCAGAAACAGACTCGTGCACAAGCAAGCAAAGCAAAGCAATACATATCCTTGACACAAATTGAAAACAAGGGCTACAGGCAGGCGATAGAAATAAAATCCCAGCAGATTGTCTGAATGCGTTGGATAGATGATTACGGACTCGGGATAGCGATCATTCGCCCCAGAGACAGACATCTCGTCATTTTGCCATTCTTAGGAAATCGTTGGTCATGGAGTGTTGCCCATGACTTGTTCCCTTCAACAGAGTCATCCAATCGTTACATCTATCCATTCCAACTCTTGCCGTTCCCATATGTCTTGGGGAACGCGCCCCAGAGCTTTTCGGTACGCAACGCCATTATCCCATCCGATCCACATGACATGATAGAAGTTGTAGATTTCCAGAGACTTGTGCTGCTCATTGATCACCCATTCTTCGAAGTCGAGATTATTATCGCGTTTTGGAGTCGTGAGCCCTTTTGATATCGCTATTAATTCTATTTTTAGGTTGACTTCCAGTGTTATTTCCTTGGAACTCTCGTCGTTTGGACCTAGAATGCCAGCCCAGTCGCCAAATCTATCATTTAGTAGAACTCGCCCGTCATTCCACTTGGGTTGGAAAACACTGCCGTTGTAGAGCCATGCCCTTTGGGTCCGCCCTGACAGATATCGAGCGTTAGGGCAGGTTGATCCGTTAACATCGTTATTGAGAGGAATAGGGTGCCAAAACTCCGTGTCCGGAAACTTCTCGTGCTTGAAATAGTTACGAACACTTCCGGTTGATCTTGGAGGAAGGTAGAGCGGCGCTTGAGAGACCAAGTCGCGACATTGATACTGGTGCCTAGTCCAACCCTGCGGCATAGATTGGGAATCATCCCAATTATGGAACTGGTATTTTTCCCAAGGCCTGAAGACTTGTTTCTTGGTCGATTGAAGTGTTTCACTTACACTCCACTGCACGATTGGTATGACTCTATGGGATGTCATGCTACCTTTAACTCGTGGCTGTGATGACCTTTTGATATAGCACTGGCCTGGATCCCAGCTCTGAGAAGAAGTTGGTCCTATCCAACCGACCCAAGACCAGCTGGGTAGACAAGGAAGCATATCTGACTTGATCATGGTAGTCCGCCGTCGCATAGTAAATGTGGGCTGCCATAGCAGAGCTATATCCAGAAACATGGATGGAAGCCCGGCAATAAAACCACCAGAAAATGTGCGATTCAAGACAGTAGTGATTCCAGAAAATGCGAATAATGCGTCCTCTGGATTTGTGAACTCCCGTTTCCCGTATTCCTGTATAAGGTCTACGTAGCCTGAAAGAGAAGGGAAAGGTGTTACAAAAATCTCGGATAGATATCTAGGACTGCCGAGCCTCACATTCTTATGGACTTTGTCTCTCTCTTCCCTCCAGTAGTTTCCGTTACACTCCCATTGCACCATGTCTCTATGGAATCTCAATCGTCGCGTAGAGAAAACGTCTTCTTGGAATGTCCATCCTCTTGTCCCCCAACGACTCGGTGTGCGTAGTCTATCGTCGAACAAAGAAACAGCGACGACTTGCAGGCGTGACGTAAGCTTGTGCACCTTTTGAACGAAATTCCTTGGTTTGGAGATCCCCCGCAGTCCTCTCAAGCCGTAGTTTGCATCGTCTCCATCCTCTGCGATGATAGTCAGATGGGAATTTGCAAAGATCGAGGCCATGTTGTCAATCTGTTGATACTTCCACTCATCGTCATCCTGTACAATGCATAGTGCATCTATCCATAAATATCTTTCTCCAAGATATTCGACCAGGTTGATGGCGTCTTTGATTGTATTTGGTAGCTTCTCGAGAACTTTCGGATCAATGAAAGCGCCTGGTTTCTGGAGCCTCGCAAGAGTTGCCTTTGTAGTCGTAAAATTCCGAACTTGTCCCCAAACATAACTTAGGGTTATGTAGTTCATATCGGAAGAAGCTGGCGCAAGACATCTCAGCCAAGTATCCACGAAGTACTGGGGACTGGAGGGCTGCAAGTATGTTTTGGCTTGCGAGATAAGACAACTGCTTTGATCGCTGCGACGATGTGATTTTTCGCAAATTGCTTTCCACTGCTTTGGGAGATGTTGGCCAATCCATTTCGCATCAAGGATTGTGATGGTGCTGCGTGGTTCTCCTGCAACTTGAAGGATGTTGTGGTTGAAAATATTCCCACTCTCATAAATTGTAACTACGCCAATCTGCCCTTTGTTTTTGCATATGATGACCCTGCCTGACGGCTTTTTCACCCAAAAATCCTCGCCAAATGAATCACATAGAGACAAATGCTTGTGACAATCGTTGATCGATGCAAGTCCCTGGTTGTTCTCAAGCATGTACTGTTCAGAATGTCTGATGGGTGCTTTGATCAGCCTAACAATAACATTGCAGATGGCGCAACCCTCCTTCTCTAACTTCACCAACCGACTGGTTTTTGCAGAGATTGTGGAACGAACTAAACCCTTGGACTTTGCTCGGGCTGACATCTCCTTGAAGGCCACGGTGGAGTCCATCAAGCAGCTGGCATAAATTCAAGACGATTATAGAAGGATGGGGTTGCGCATGAACTTTAAGGTGCAATGAGATCTAGGCAGCCGTGCGAACCGCGAGATTGCCTCAGCGAGGCTATGAGGCTGGCCAGAGAGTACTTCATCCATGTGCCTTAGCAAGCCACACCAGCCTCAGGCTTTCCGTGATGATCAACGATAGACGGCATCTGATAATTAATGTATACGGAGGTACAATGCGGCAATATGAATAAAACATCGTTGCTTTTGTCCTTCTGCCCAGGTAAATAGTGCGAAAACAAATCCTCGAAGACATGTGGCACGCTTAGTGTGAATGGAGAAAGAACGGTCGAGAAACGCTTACTCGAGTAATCCAAACCATGAAATGCATGCAACACAAAGACACAAATGACGAATCTAGAAACTATTCCACATCGTCTGACCGAGAAATCTTGATCATATTTGAGCACTAATGACTCGAGTTGGAGCTGCAACTGATCGCACGATCAACTTTCTCTCAGCCGCCTTTCGTGCCAATAGTCGTCCACATAAGCAGTTCCCACACGCCTAAATCAATACTGTACCCACCGCATCCACCGCGATCCCCCACGCGGCGCGAACTGATCATCGCGTTCTCGACCTGATGTGCGAGGGAGGGCTATGGAGTCGCTGAAACAAGGAACCACATTTATATTCGGATTGGGCAGTTGGGGTTCAGCGAATCCACCACCGCGAGAGGGAGCGATTGGTGGTGAACAAGAAATTCGAGTTGAGGTGACGGGTGGGATCTTATCGAGGACATTTCGTACGGTACGTAGGGATGTCTGAGATTTCAGACTTCAGGGGTGCAGACCATTTTTCAGGAGGCGACGGGACGGCGTTGATGATAAGGAAAACGTTTATTTTTGGCTGAAAGATAAGGGACATTGAAACGCCAAGAATTCAGAGATGCTTTCTTCAAATTTCAGCCAAGTGGCAATAATCTCTGGAGAGAATTGGAGAGGAAGTGAAAGTTGTGTTTTTCCTTCTATCCGGACAAGTGATCTAGACTCGGTCGCACAATTTAATGCATCGGGACGAATGCGCGTTGTGAAAATTAATTATTTCGTTCGCTGAATTGGCGATGACGTAACCTTAGGGTTGGCGTTCAGAGCCACAGCCACAACATGTGAAAGAGAGGCGAAGAAGCGGCGGCATCTTGTCTCTTGGCAGGTCCCACCACTATCCACCACTCTCCACCATGAAAATCCATTTCTGTGCGAAAATAACCCAGATCAACGAATCACACACACCGAAATCCATCTCTGCTCTCAATTGGGATGCCATTGCGTATTTTAAGTTACAGGGCGGCGCATCGTTGGGAAACTCGAGCGAGTGACTGGCTTTAGTCCCGGACGCTGCTGCAGGGACACTATCGCTGAACCAGGTAAAGACGAAGGCAAGAACCCAACGATATCAGATCTTTTTCCTTAGTCGCCGTCCTAGCACCCACTGGGTACAAGCTGAAAGTCGCTCCTCGTGTCTGCGTGTCCGATCGCGATTAACTCGACTTCCATATCTCCACTTCCTCCGCTGTCGTCGTCGTCGACCTTCTCTCCATTCTTCCCCCATCTCTATCATATGTCTGTATAGACATCACATTCGTTACCTTTCATCAAGTACACGAATACCAAGGAGCAATTATCTTGCTTACTAGAACATTAACCTAAAAGCTTCGATTTTCCCGCTCCACAAACATACGTCAATTCATCCATTGAAGCTTCAGGAAGCAGACCTTCGTTTCTTTCGTCACCAGTCTGCTGTGCGGCACTTCTTCACTGTCCGCATTTACCAAGTAGACTTTCAATCTGTTTCAGTAACTTACTACGAAATATTTTCTCAACGAAACGACGAACTTAACATGTCAACGCCAATCCAAGAGAAAGAGCAATTCTCCTTCCCGGCCTTCGCTGCAGACCCTCCTGCGAACCAAAACCACGAGCGAAGATCATCAGACGAAGATGGCACATTGCAAGGAGAGTTCGCAGAGGATGGAGTCGACCATAACCATCTGCGAGTTACGACTAGCTATGCGTCAGGACAACATCAGTTGGAGAAGGAGAGGGATAGATCACCAATGTCTATCACACAACAAAAAGAGCAGTCTAGACGACTAGACGATGACCTCGAAATGCTGCGTGCCGAACGAGTCGTCTCGAACGCCGAGAAGTCGAACGAGGATAGTATGGGCAGATCAAAGTCGATGATGGGAAGATCTCGATCGAGGAATCCTGGGGAACCTGTGGATGATTTTGATATCGATACGACACCTATACACGAAAAAACCAAGATCTATCAACCTCCAGCGCACCCTACGACAAAATTGGCAAAGTGGTTTAAGAAAATTCATAACTCGAGCTTCTTAGTTCGGTATTTCTTCTACATCTCACCACTCACCTTACTACTCCTCATACCTCTCCTGTTGGGGCTTTTGGTGTTCAAACAGACGACCGTTGGCGGTGTTAGGCTATTTTGGTTTGGAATATGGCTGGAGATCGTGTGGTTGACATTATGGCTTGGAAGAGTGAGTGCCAAAGCTTTGGTAGGATGGATGAACAATGCTAACATACAAAGATTATTGCCAAGATGATCCCATACCCCATGGGATTGGTCTCAAGTCTCTTTACCAACAACAGCAAGAAATGGAGAGACTTGGGCAAGGCATTAGAAGTCCCTGCAACGTTGTTCTTCTGGTGGCTTGCGATCGAGATCTCGTTCCTTCCAACGATGAAGAATCATCACTTAGATGGTAGCAAAGCTACGAGACCTTGGGAAGTGATTACCAACAAGGTCATTGTGTCCATCTTCGTGGGAGCTTGTCTGAACTTCTTCGAGAAGATCATTATTCAACTCATTGCTATCAGCTTCCATCTGAGAACCTACGCAGACCGCATCGAAGTCAACAAATTCCAGATCCAGAGTTTGGTCAAGCTGTACGTTTACTCCAAGGAAAAGATCGCGATGGAAGACTCGGAATTTGAGGTCCATCCCCAGTCAGGTCCAGCATCTGGAGCAAGGACACCCATGGCATATGTCAACAAAGCCCAGAAGAATGCTCGTCACGTTTTCAACAAGGTTGGTGACGTTGCAGGGAAGGTTGCAGGGGATTTTACAGGCCAAGCTGTGAAAAGTAGCAGCCATCCTCATCAAGTGTAAGTGTTTTTTATAATCGCTAGGGATATTGCTAACGAGGTTCATAGCATCCTGCAACTTTTGAACAGCACCAATGGCTCTCAAGTCTTGGCTCGACGTCTGTATCGAACTTTTGCGCAACTCGATTCTGAGACCGTGTTGTCCGATGATTTGCGACCAGCCTTCGATAATGATGACGAAGCTACTGCAGCCTTCACCATGTTCGACAAGGATCTCAATGGTGATATCTCGATGGAGGAACTCGAATCAGTTTGCGTTGAGATTGGTCGTGAGCGTAAAGCCATCACTGCTTCTCTCAAGGATCTCGATTCCGTGGTTTCAAAGTTAGACGACGTTTTCCTGTTCATCGTCGTCGTCATCACTATCTTGGTTTTGATTTCCTTGATCTCAACATCTGCATCGGGTGTTCTCACTTCAGCAGGTTCGACAGTTCTCGCACTATCTTGGCTATTCTCAGCAACAGCTCAAGAATTCCTCCAATCAGTCATATTCGTCTTCGTTAAGCATCCATTTGACGTTGGTGATCGCGTTACCATCTACGGCAATACTGGATCTGCACTTAAAGGAGACGACTACTTTGTCAAAGAAATCTCTCTTCTCTATACCGAGTTTAAGAAAATGGAAGGTCATGTTGTTCAAGCACCAAACAGTTATCTTAACACGCTCTTCATTCTTAATCAACGTCGCTCTGGTGGTCTTGCAGAAGCTGTCCCGGTAACTGTCAAATTCGGCACAACACTCGACCAGATCGACACTCTCCGTCAACGCCTCCTCGAATTTGTTGGTTCCGAAAATCGCGAATATCAAAAGAACATCTTGACAGAACTTACAACCATATATGAAGCTCATTCTATCACCCTGAATGTCGTATTCTTCTACAAGTCCAATTGGCAAAACGAACTGCTACGTCTTCAACGCCGTAACAAGTTCATCTGCGCAATGATGGTCACTATGGAAGAGACTGGAATGGAAGGTCCACGTATGCGTCTTGCTGGAGCCACACAACAATTCCCTATGCACCTTCACGATGCTTATCCACCTCAATATACACCAGCTCCTGCATCTTCAGATGATCAAGGTCCTGGTCCTCGATCGGGCTCTTTGGCGAGAGAAGCTGCCGGGTATCCTGCTCCAATGGACCCTACGGCTCCAAACCCAATTGTCCCACAACAGAGTCTACGTCATCATCCCTCTATCCTCCGTAGTCGCGGCAGTTCAACCAGTGCCAACCGACAACGAGGCGAATCTATCTCAGCCATGGGCAAACGAGTCGATTTCTCTCTCGGCATGTCAGCCATTTCCTCCGGCGCTGATTTCGGCGATGTATACGAGGACCGCAGACCAATCCTCCCACCAACCATCACAACCACCTCCCCATCCCCCGGCCCATCCCGCACTCGCGCAAGCGAAGACGACGGCTCCGAAGCAGTTCGCACCGGTTCCAGGGACTCTAACCAACTGAGCAAAGTCCTAAGCGGAAGCAGCAGCAACAAAACGCACCGGAACCGCTTCTTCGGCCGCAGAAACAGGAGTAAACTAGGGAACGCAGACGAGGGCACCGATCTCGACGACCTTGAAGCTGGAACGAGGGAGTTTACCGTAGATGATTTACCGGATATTCCAGAGGCGTCGGGAGCTAATTCTGCGGAGTGGAGCGAGAAGGTTGAGGGTGAACTAGAGAGGAAGAGGAGGGAGACTGTTACTGGTGGTAATGGTGGTGGGGGACGGATCGATCCTAGGACGGGGATTGTGAGTCCGCAGGCGGTGGCGAGGGATAGTGCTTTGGAGAGGGGGGAGTTGCCTACTATGAGTGCTCCGAGGAGGGCGAGGACGGAGGTTGTGGGGAAGGGGAAGAGGTGATTGTGGGTTTAGCGGGAGTTTTAGACGGGTATAGATGATAGATGGATGGTGCATAGATGGTGGGATACCTTAAATTAGAGCCCGGATCGGGCATGGCATCGCGAAGCATTTGCTGGGCATTTCAGCGGGTAATTGGTAGTTCAAAGATAAGTTCCAGAAAGGAAGATCCGCAATGATAAGATGTTCGAAGTTCATATGTGAGGATAGAGATTTCACGATCCCTTAAGCTAGGCGTATTTCAAAATACTCTTTTCCAGCCTGTGTCTGTGGTGCGCTGTAGCTAATTTTGGCAGGCCTCAATTATTCCCTAAGCTGCCCTGTGGTAAACACACTTCTGTAGGCCTGAGGCATCAATCAATCTTCGCTAGATTTTCAGCAACTCGCGACCTGAATGTGCTATCCCCAAAGCTGCGGCCAGAATTACACTGGTCCGTGCATGAGCTCAGCGAGCCAACAAAAAACTGTGATATCAAGCTTCAGGCGGGCAAACCTAAGATTTAGCGATCAATGCCCCAAAATTCAGCGATCAATCGCTAATTTACAGCGTGCTTCATTTGAGAGAATTTTGGTGTTCCTTCGCTTAGTAAGCTTTTTGAGAAGTGTAATTCTAGCCGCAGCTTGGGGGATAACCAGGGCAGGGCCTAGAATAATTCGCTTAGGGGCTCTCACCATAGCCTAAAAAGGGTGTTTTGAAACTCAGCTTAGGGGGCACCAGGTTCCGAACGCTTAGCTATAATTTACTGGGTGCGTCGGGCCTAGAAAACGAAGTGTTTACTAGGTACAGCTTTAGCCGGGCAGGGTAGGACGGTGGTTTTTGGACTGTATGGGTTTATCGGAGCGAGACTGCCTTACCCTACTCAAAGTAGTCAGTCGATCAGTAGGTAACGAGTCAATGTGATGCAAGTTAAAGCTTCGTTCGCCGCTGGAGTCGAGTAAAATGTGAAAATTGACAACCAGATAAAATGAAGTTCCGGGAATATTAATGTAGCCAAGCACAAGTTACACGAAAATCACTTCACATCAAGCAGATTGACTGACTAATCGATGTATTCAAATTCTTCATTCATTCGCACACCTTCCTCCCCATTTCCTCCCCCCTCCAATCCCATCCAACCCCCCTCCTCTATCAACTCAATCAAACCAGAACCCCCCTCGTAATCCTCAACACAGTCCTCACATGCTCGAACCGCGTCCCCTCCTCCATCCCACTAGCCAGCAAATGCGCCGTCTTCACCGCGCTCTTGATCTGTCGCCCATTCAACTCTAACCTCGCTAGTTCATCTAGTTCCTGTTCGCTGAAAACAGTTTCCTGTCCCCCTGCTCGAGGTAATTTCGCAACAAAATTCACCCAGACCTGTCGACGGGCAGCGGCGTCGAGGGCGGGGTAGTGCAAGCGGATGTCGACGCGCGAGTCGAAGGCGAGGTCCATGGTTTCGATGCGGTTGGTGGTGAGGATCATGAGGCCTTTGAAGTATTCGAGGTGGCGGAGGAAGACTGTTGTCTGTTAGTTTGAAGATATTGAAGAGAGAAGGGAGAGGGAAAGGGAAGGGAGAAGGAAGAAAGGAAAAAGAAAGGGACAAAACAAACGTACTAGCAACCAACTCATTCCTCTCCAACTCCCCACTCCCCCTCTGCTCCAAAAAGATATCCGCCTCATCAATCAAAAGAACCGCCTTCCACATCGTCGCCATCTCCAAAATATCCCCCAGCTTCCCCTCCACGGCATCCGCCTGGGTGCCCAATTCGCCCGCACTCATCGTATACAGCGGGGCCCGCATCTCCTCCGCGACCGATTCCGCGGTTAGGGTCTTTCCGACGCCGGGAGGACCGTCGAGGAGCACGATCATGCCGCGTCCTTTGCCGATCACGAAGTCGTCGAAGTGGGTTGTGGAGCGGGAGTGCGATTTTGCGAGGGAGAGGAGGAGGGATTTTTCTTCGGTCGGGAGGACGAGGTTGCTGAAGAGGTCGAGGGTCCAGTGGACGGGGCGGAGGTTGGTTATGTTTAGGTGGACTGGGGGGTGTTAGCCATTGTAAAAGAAGAATAGGGGGGAGAAGGGGGGGGGGGGGAGGGGGGGGGGAGGAGAGGACATACCCCATTCTTTGCTCTTAAATGAATATCCCCTCACGAAAGGGACAGTGATCAAGAGATCCTCGTCAGATAGCTCAGCGAGCTCGGTGTCAGCGGGTCGTTGCTTCTTCTCGTAAATCGGGTTCCCGTCGTCGTCGTAGCGGCACGGAGGAGGAGGTGGTGGTGGACGGTGATGGTGGATCATCATTCTTGGTCCGCCTGGCGGGGGAAGAGGGGGTGGGGGCCCATGGTGCGGGATGAACATGGTGGTATCGACCATGGGGGGTGGTGCTGTGAGGGGGCGGAGGGCGAGGTTGTCGTGGCGGTTGAATTGGAAGTAGGCGAATGGGTCGACCATTACTCGGCCGTTGACCTGGTTTGTTAGCTGGTGCAATTTAAGGGGGATGATGGTTCCATACCTGTGTATCGTGGCCATCCCAGCTGTTGTCTTCTTTGAGGACTGCTCGTCCGGAGTATTCTTGGAAAGTAGCAGTTCTCAGGGCAGCGAATTGTCTTCCTCGCTCCACCAATCTGGTTACCATTCCTTTCTTGTCTTCATGTTGGTCCAGCGGAATGGCTTCCAACTCACTCAAAGCCATTGTTCCCTTGAACTCTTGGACTTTGATCTTAGTCGTGCCAAATCCGGTCATGGAGCCATTGTAGTCGATGTGCTTGGCACTCAATGCCCACCCGCGGTGTCCACCACCGTATTGCGTCTCGTCGTAAGGAAGACCTGACTCCAAGAGCATAACGGTATCTTGACCATGCATATCAGTGACTATATGCTCTCCCGGTTGGAAAATGGCCCAGATGTACTTATACTCGATGACATTGTTCTTGAGCAGATCAGCAACCGTCTTGTGCATTCCCTCAAACTCGACATGGAGGAGAGTGATGAGGAGCGTCAAATGCTCTCTAGTGGTATCAGTCGAGGCTTCATAGGCGTCAGTGAGCTCAGCCCAGCGGTGATAGAAAGCTGCGAATGGAGCTTCGACAGTCAAGTGCTCGAGACCAGTCGTGATTCCGGGATAGCCTTTCAAGACAACGTTGAGGACTTCCTTGATCAACTCGCTCTGGATAACCATAGAATGGAGTTTTAACTCTCGGCCGAAGTCACCATGACCCTCGGTCTGACGAGCGAGAATAGCGTAGCCGGACGTGTCGGTGGCAGCTTGAGTCGTGATCTTCTTTTGAGGCTCGGCTGACCATGTGATGCAGCATGGACAACTCGCTTTGCCTTTGTAGACATCTTTGATCTCAGGGATCGTGCCTGGCTCAACTAGGCTGGCCGCGATGGGTGGAGGAGGAGTCATATCGACGATGGTGGGAATGATGGTGACGATGCTGGGTGTCTCCTCAGCCTCACTATCTGAATTGTCCGAGTTGTCTTCGGCGTGGGGAAGCGATGGGACAGTCTTTGCCATTGATTGTAAGTTTTGGAGTCCAAGACAAGTAACTCTACCTCAACTTCTGCTGGAATAGAAGAGAGGAAGTCGTGTGCAGTGAAAATCTGGGAACTCCTCCCATATAACAGCTTCGAGGTCCATCCAGATTGCCAGCACTTCTCAACACAAGGCTGCTGCAGAGCGGGGCAATCAGCACTGAAGCCTACAGTAGCTCCGTGCAGCTTTCCCCAGCTCTGCATGGTTCTGAGTCCACGATATCATTTTAATTGGTGGTCGTTGGCCCCCAAACCAGTTGCGAACCAATGTTCACGGAATTTGCCTCACATTTCTGGTGTCTGCCTGCAGAGATTATGCAGCAGCGTCCGCCACCGTGTAGCGACTCATTGGCTCGACCGTCAGCTGATTGATGCAGACCAAGGCAGCGTTCTACACCGAGTTGGAATCGTGATGCTTAGTGATAGGCAGACCGTGGTGCGATAGGAGAGTGCTGTAGTATTGGCTGGATATGGTGAGCACTGAAGCCGGTTGGATTGCTGAAACAGCTTTGCATGAGTTCTGCGAGGCTTTCGAGGATGTTTTGTTTGCTTCTGGATGACTGGATGGTTGTACAGATGCAGCAAACATGGGATAAGGACGAAGGATCACTCGACAGAGGCAATATTGAGGCTGATATTGAGACGAGGTTGAATGTTGTGAGAGTTGAGATGTGATGAGAAAAGGGCAAATGGCGGAAGCGGGGTACTTTAGGAGACTTGTTTCAGTGGCTGCCTCTGTAAGCGAGCCCCTGAAGGATTCTTATTGCTTCTTCGCTTCGAGTTCAATAGCAGAACTTGCAAGCAGGGCTCGATATCAAAACCCAGTTGAAAGGAAACAGAGGAAACTCTAATATGCGTTATTCAGTGGGTAATATGAAAGCCTTGAGTCTAAGGATCTAGAAACAGCTAGAATACAGCCACATCTCGAATTGTAGGCTGAAGTCACATGATCAGAGTGCCAACGATGATCCTGAACTGCTCATTCTTTGCTGTAAAGGCGGGAATAGGAAGCCATAGAGCATCGAGGATTCTCTATGCAAAGCTTTAACTACCGATCGAGACCAATAATACCCAGCCGGGGAGTTCATTCCGGACAAGGTAGAAACTGCCCCGCAGTTAAGTGGTTGACGTAAAGCTTAGAAATCACTTCAACGATCATCACACCATGGTTTTATATCACCTTCCCATCCCATACAAATCAAAGAAAATTATCAATCAATGTGAAAGTCTTCTAAAGAATCTGAGTAACATCAAACCATGGCTCCCAACAAAAAAGTCTTCATCGTCGGCCCAGGCTTCATCGGCTGGAATATCATCGACCTCCTCGTCCCTGAAGGATACTCCATCGCCGGCCTAGTCCGCAGAAAAAAGCATGCCGATGGAATTTCTGCCTCTGGAGCAACTCCCGTTATGGGCGACCTAAACGACAAGGCCCTCATCTCATCTCAAGCTCAAGAAGCAGACATAATATTCCACACCGCAACAGCAGACCATCTACCCTCCGTCGAAGCAATCCTGGACGGCATCTCCGCCCGCGCCAAACAAGGCAAAGAAACAATCTTCATCCACACATCCGGCACTTCAGTCCTAGACGACAACGCGTTGGGTGCTTTCAAATCCACAAAGATCTACCACGACGACATCCCATCCGAACTCGACAGCGTAGCAGACGATGCTCCACATCGACAAATCGACCTAGCTATCGTGAAAACGAAGAGTTCGGAACTCTTAAAAAGCAAAGCGAAGATTAGTATCATGATCCCACCACTAATATATGGATTCAATCCCAAACATCAAAGACTCTCGATTCAGATCCCGACGTTGACGAGATGGGCTATCAAACATGGATATGCAGCGCATGTGGGGAAGGGTCTGGCTGTTGAGTCCAATATCCACGTTTTGGATCTCGCGAGGGCTTATGTTGTTCTTTTGCACGCGATGGAGAACGCTGGGTATCAGGATGGTTTGTTGGCTAATCCGTATTTCTTCTGTGAGACGACGGGTGATGGTGAACCTTCTTGGAAGGAGGTTGCGGAGGTGATTGGCGAGGCGTTGAAGAAAAATGGGAAGATTGAAGATGCGGTGCCAAAGGAGATGCCAGAGGAGCTTTATGGGGATCTGTTTGGGGAGTATACGGGAGCTGTGACGGGGTTGAATTCGAGGAGTAGGGCGAATAGGTTGAGAGCTCTGGGTTGGAAACCTGTTGAAAAGGATTGGAGGCGCAGCTATCTTGAGGACGAGCTGCCAGTCATTTTGAAAGAAGATCATTCGGGGTTTGGAGGGTATTCTGGGACTGTGGCGAGCTAGAGCAGAGGTGGGGAACGATCCTTTACCTTCCTAAAACCGATTTGAGATCTCCGTCGTACATATTCTCAACATCATGAATCAAGTTGCTTTTCTGTTGGACGTGAAGGTTATTGGTCAGTCAAAGCGCTTGCAAGCCATGTCCACCGCAATTGACAAGCGAGCCCCTGAGGTTCAGGGGTAGTTTGAAGTGGGCTTGTGTTTGCCGAATACCTCATTCGCCTCAGAGTATCGATTCTAATTAAGGAAACTTACTTACAAAGTGTGACAAGAAGTTCATATCCCCCTGATGTAGACCTTACTTTAGCACATACACGTCCCTCACAAGTAAGATTCAAACCTATGACCTAGTCATGTGACCATGTAAGCCTCGGCAGACCCCAGCACACCTTCTAGTTTCGCCGTTTCTGTTGCTTCACGGCAGCATCTTCTCATCTACAACACTTCATAACCATCATATCAATCACAAATCCACTGCTATCTTCATTAGATCCACCTCGTTATTAGTTGCCGAATGCGGAAAAGTGGGATATGACATGCTAGACGCATAAATGTCGAGATTGATAATCGAAGGAAACCTGCACTTCACGAGAAACCTGCCATCTCAACATCCAAATACCCCGAAGCTTTCGCATATACGATCACAATGTCCTCTTCAGAGCCTCCAAAGTTCCGCATCGCCATAGCAGGCGCCGGAATCGCCGGTCTCACAGCCGCCATAGCCCTCCGTAAACACCCACTCATCGACGTGCAACTCTACGAACAAGCCACAGAGCTCAAAGAGATCGGCGCCAGTATAGCACTCGGTCCCAATGGACTTCGAACTCTCGAACGTCTTGGTCTTCACAATGCCATTTCAGACGATGTCTGTTTCCGGGGTCCGTCGAATCTTCCGATGATTTATAGACATTGGAAGACGGGGGAGGTTATTGGGAATGATAAGCATGAGGATGTGGATGAGTATTTGCATAGGACGGCGAGGTATCATAGGAGTCATTTGCATGGGGCTTTGTTGGAGAATGTTCCGAGGGAGAGTATTCATTTGGGGAAGAGGGTTGAGGGGGTTGATGTGTTGAGGAATGGGGTGAATGTACGGTTTAAAGACGGGACGGAGGTGGGGACTGATATTCTGATTGGGGCAGATGGGCTACGATCAGTGAGAAACTTGACCTGCAATCTCTAAGTTTACTGATTAGGAACAGGCTGTACGACAATATTTCGTCCCCGACTTCAAATTGCTTTGGAGCGGTTGGACAGCGTATCGAACTTGCTTCGATGCATCCTTGACTGAATCAATACCCGATTTGCCCGAAGATTCAACTCACTGGTGGTGCCAAAAGACCTCATTCTTCTCCTCAAAGCTAGGAAAGAACTCATATACAGTAGTTGGAGGCATCCACACAGATCCGGATGATCCCAACGCACAGCTGAAATATGCAGAGTGGGACGAAAAAGCCAGCGTCCAAGCATTCCGAGACTTGTTTGCTGTAAGTACCCTGGCACTTCTCGAAAGAACCCGAAGCTCATCAAGACGCAGGACTGGAATCCAATAGTGAAAGCACTGACTGAAGTCACACCTTCAGTGCGACTATATCCAAACCTATCATGCGCCACCACCCTCGACTCTTGGATCTTCGACAATCGAGTGGTGCTCATCGGAGATGCTGCTCATGCACACGGTGGAGCTCACGCCACGGGAGGATCTCTCGCAATCGATGATGCTTACGCTCTTTCTCTCGCACTATTCTCCTCATTTCCGGTGAACTCTACGGAAACGCCATCACTAGATCAGATCACAGCGGCAATGAAATTGTACGAGAAGACTCGAAAGCCGCATGCGGAGAGATTGTTGAAGTTCGTCCACGCGAATAATGATGTTCGGCTAGAGAAGCTGAGAAGAGGGGTTGAGGAAAGTGACGGTGAATTGAGAGCTAGGGCTGCGAAGGGTTCGAATACTACTTGGTTGCATGAGCATGATGTTGTGAAGACTTTCCAACGTACGTTGAGATCACTCGAGACTAATGGAGGTGCTTCGGATGAGGCAAGACCCAGGTTGTGAACATCAATGTCTTGGGTGATTCAAAGCAACATCGTAGCATATGTTCCCACGTCAACAATAATTATTCTCTCTGAATTGAATTTCCACCTTGCAGAGGGATAGGTGCTTCCACGTGATTTGTGTCGACGACTGCACCAGACTGTAAATATAATTATAATTATATTTGAAAAGAAATGCAAATATAAATATCCTTAGTCGGCAAGCCGTATAAATAGCTCACTTTTGTTTCTTTAATATCAAATATTAAGAAAAACGAAGAAAAACCGTGACAACTTTCTTATATAATCAGATGTAGATCTTGGCTTAGCAATTTACCCTTGGAATCTCGACCACGCCTTGGCTGATCAACAATAAATTCTACTACTATACCCTTCGAAGCTCTAGTCTCCGCGTATTCCTACCGTTCCCCTTCCGTTCCAGTCGATCCTACTTATCCACATGGCGATCCGGGCGGGCGTCAGCCCCATCCGTGGCTCCGTCGCTAGAAAATTGAAGATTGATCTCAAAGCCGTTTTGGGGCAATTTCCTCCAAGTCTCCAATTAGGTAACCGTGCGATTTATCTAGCTGCTTGGTCTTTGACAACTTTCTCCACAAGGCAAACGGGACATGTAATTTTGATGCAGTACGAAGTAGAATTCGGAACGCGGGGTAACCTTACCCCTTGAACTTTGCCTTTTCGCCCACCACCCGTGTCAACCATTCGCCCTTACGGGAACCGATCAACCGAGGAGGTTCGATCGATTCAGTACTTCCAGACCCGAACCGTGTCCGCACTCTCGGGCTTCTTCGAGACAGGTGTGTGGGAATCTCTCCCATTATCCATGGGCCAGATAGAGCCGGCAGTTTTGCATGTGGTCATCGCTCTCAGCACCTATCATGAATTATTCGAAGAACGTTCCAAGTCATCTCCCCTTTCTCTCGTCCGTACAGCCAAATTCTCGTAATGTGGCTTGGTAGCTGGCGAGGCCGGTGCCGGGGAGAACAGCTTGTTCGGACTGCATGATCGCAGCGCGGAAGGGGAGTGGTGAGGGAGGCTGTGCCATAAGTTGCTTGACGGAGACGCCGCTGGCTGATTCGCCGAAGATGGTGACTTGGCTTGGATCACCGCCAAATTGAGCAATGTTGTCTTGGACCCACTGGAGGGCTAAGCGCTGATCGAGGAAACCGACGTTTTGTTGCCCTGTTGGGAGTTCGGGTGATGCTGAGAAGCCGAATATGTTCGTTCGGTAGTTGAATGTGACGACGACTACGTCTTGGAAACCAGAGAATGACGAGCCGTCGTAATTTAGCAGCGATCCGGTGCCAAATTGCAAATTGCCCTTAAGATTTTATCAGCAGAAAATTCGATGGGTAGATTAAGACGGGCTACATACACCGAATATGTAAAAGAGGACTGCCTTCTTGTTGGATGGAGAGGCATCTGTGGGGGCGAAGACGTTAAGATATAGACAATCCTCGCTCTCTGGTGGCGCTGGACCGCCGGGGTTGTTAAACACTTCTTCCAGAAATTCAGCCGTCGACTCGGGGTCTGAACGGAGTTAGCAGATACATATATTATGTAGTTTCGCAGATACTAACAAATGAATTGTTGAAGACATGCAGGAGGTAAAGCCGTTGCCTCCAACGGCGAGTTCCAAGCTGTCGGTGCGGCAGGAGGTGCGAAGCGACCGGTACCAGTCGGTGGTGCCGCAAAGGGAATGCCAAGGTAATTGTATACAGTAGTGGTTGATTGTGCTGCCGATATAATCGCCTTTGCAGTTCCAATCACCACTCCAGATGATATGGTGACGGTAGGATTTGCATTGTCCGCAACCGGAGCACAGTGAACCTTGGCAAGAAGTGTCACGGCCGAGAGAAGAAGGTATGCGTAACGCATCTTGAGCAGAGAAGATGATGCCAGAAGGAAGGAAATGGTGGGAGAATAGTGAAGAACGAACGCAGTGAGATTGATATGATAGATCAAGCTTCAGGGCGATGGTTTATATGTAAATATTTCCACCACCCATCCATCCCACGGTTGACGGAAATTGCTGAAAAGAAAAAGAGCCCGGACATTGAAAAGACACTACTGTACTTTACAAATATCAATAAAGCTCGTGCATTCTCGTGGAAGCCAGGGAAACTTCATCCCAACTCTGCTAACAAGTGTACGCCGTATTCGGGAGCCGTCCTACCCCGAGGTGCGGGGAAAGACTAATTTCATTGTGCAGGTCGCAGCTAACGAACTGTGGAGGAAGCCTCCTGTTGTTGTGGGTTCTGTAATTTGAGATGTTGAGAATATCTGCTTGGAGTGGGGAGGAGTGAAGTTCTGGAGAGGTTCATCCTTACTCGCTTAAACTTACTGGCCTGTCATCCGATATTACAGTAGCGCTGTAGATCGCCGTATACGCTTACCGAGGCGCGAGATCCGTACTGTAGATGGTAGCCCGTAGCGGACCGCCTTCAGCCCCTGGCCCATCGATCGTCTAGTGCTGGCGATCCTCGTAAACTTTTACCGAGGCGGCAGCAGAAACGAGGACCCTGCTTCAACGGATAAACCTTGGCCCCGTCACCGAGAAGACTTATTCATTGATCGGCCGGCAACTTCCACTGCTTCCCCATATCCGTATATGTAAAATTTCGAGTCTAATCATCCGACGTATTCGGGAGAGTCGGTTAGGCGTTGGTACCCTATCGGCATTGAATTTGATGGGACGAACACCGCTCCATGATTTGATCCAGGTTAGTATAGTTTGAGAGCTGCGGCTCCTCAATTGGAATGAACTCCTTTCCACGGACAGGCAAGCTAGCTGAAAGAGATGTAAATCTCTGTTTAGTGCAAGGAGAATTGGAACAGCTCCTGCCTGGTTTTTATTGCACCCCGCACCGATCGCGCTTTCCTTGGCGAAGTGAAGCAGATGTCGAATCGTCTAATGTAGCCCTTGCTTGAAATTACAGTCTAAAAGAAAGCCGAAAACGTGGGAGATTTGATAGATGAGATTCCCGTGTCAGCTGCAGCAGCTCCGAGCGCCGCATTGACATGTGGCTATCCGCCAGCTAATACGCTCCAGTTCGACATACTATTGGGATTCTCCTGTGTTATCCCCGCATACTCCCCGGCTTTTCTGAATAGTTTCGGTCTAATTATTATCGGCCTAATGTCTAGGTCTAGCCATTCTTGCTTGAGATTGCGGGGGAACTATGGCTTGTGGAGATATTCTTAATTTGATCCTATGACGGATCCAAAAAAGCCAAAGTAACTCCATGATTTCTTCTGGGCCGATGATTCGTATTTCTTGCCTCGGGGATTCTCTAAGTATGGTGTGGGGATTGTTAGAAAGACAGGTCAGAACATGTATAAAAGTGACATCTGCTGAGCAGATCTCTCAATGTCACTCATCCATATCAAAGATTCATCAAAGATCACAGTCTTCTTTCATTCCCGTCTTTCAGAACTTCGTTTCTCAGCACATCATATTCTTTCCCACAATGTATTTCTCAGGAGCAGCTATTTTTGCTGCCTTCAGCTTCGCAACTCAGGTTTTCGCTGCACCATCCACGACTTCAACACTGGCGAAGCGCAGTGACTTTGTCACAACACTCCAAACTACGATGAATAGCATGTCTTCCAGCATCAATAGCTCTGCAAACGCTTTGAGTACGGCTCAACGTTCAAATCCTATGATACACAATGCTAATTATTATTTCAGACGCCAGCGCCGCATCAAATGGCGGCAAGCCCACTCTGATGACCTCTTTCACTGTCCTCGGAGACATTGGGGGAACTCTCACAAACGGCTTGGGCAGCATTACCCAATTGATCGAAGATCCGATAATCGATTTCAGCATCGAGGAGATTCAGGTTCTGGTTGAGGTCCTAGACGTGTGGGCGGAAATCCTAGAAGTTGTGGAAGGCATTGTGGACGCTGTTGTGAATGCATTCTTTCCCGGTTAGTCGCAAATGGGGTGGAATAGTCTCCGGTAGGCTTTGCGGACTGACGAGTGTAATAGGTCTGGTGGATGAGTTTAAGCCTTTCATCCAGATATGGATCAACGTAGTTGATGCTTTCACAAACCCTTTCCTGGATTTCTACTCCGAGTAAGAATGACTATTTCTTTGCTTTGCATGTCTCATTTCCAAGCACACTCAATGATTTCCCTGCTACACTTTCATTCCAATCTCGGCAATACCCACAGAGCAGCATTCTCCCAGTTTACTCTCTTAGGACCGTCCATTGGCAAATTGCTAACTTCCCGAATCTTAGACTTGTCGGCACATTGACCGGATCTCCCGAGCTCGCTGCAGAGATCAACGACTACATCGCAGTAATCGAGAAGATTCGTGATGACTTCCTCCTTTCTTTTTAACCGCCAGATCAATACCGCTCACCGGGGAGAGCAAAGTTGATGACGAACTTTAGGGGATCGTGGGGAATGTAATATATATTCGTGGATAGACGAATTTGAAAAATATTCATGGGCATTTACTTGTTGATAGGTTTTATTTCAGGCTAATGGTTTTGTTTTTCTTTTCCGTTGGTTGAAGTAGAACCTTTCTCAAGCATGAAAAGCTGCAGTTGCTTTCTATTCAAGGCCTTGCTCGGGATTTCATATTTTGTACTTATTTAAATGTATATTTCCTCAACATAGGAGCTCTCAATAGAGGACGCACTCAGTCCAGTATAGTAACGAAGCTGTTTATGTTGACTCCCGATTCTTAGTGAAAGTCTCAACAGCTCTTCTCAATAGTAATCAGCAATCCTTATTTCATCGTCTATGTAGCAGACACCAGAGCGACCCCGGTGTCTACAAGTCTAGTTTACTTCGGCAAGAATCTTTCATTGGATGATGATTTAGACAATCCTTACTTCAGCCTCAATCTCAGCAGCTTCCCGTGAGCAGTGAGCTTGGCTTCAAGTCGTTCTAAAGTCTTGACGAGAGTGATAGATAATATGACGTTGAAAATATGGTGGGCACTTTTCATAAGCAGAATATTGTTAAAGCTTTCCAAAACCGGTTAAAATCACTTGAGCATGATGGAGGTGTTTTGAATAAGGTAAAGACTAGGCTTTTAGCAAGGTTTGTTGTGTGTCAGAGTAAGACAAAATCATAAACACTTGTTTGCTAGGGTTTCTCTTTGAGCGGAATCCGCGCGAAATCTAGCAAAAATATAATTTCCATAATGTTAGCGGGATATCAAGAGTACTAGTTGTTCTATCTACAACTTATGAACTGCCTCTAAGCCTGTTTATCGTACTTCGTCGCCCGCGCCTACCTGATCACAACCTTTTTGGTCTGTTTTCCCTCTGATTCCAGAATGATGCAATATACGCTGGGGTAGACAATATACGCTGGAGTAGAAAATATACGCTGGAAGAGGTGTTTCATTCTCTTCCAATTCCACGAGGGCTTCTGCAATATCACTATGTATGTGAAAAGAGGGAAAATCTTCAATCTGTATCCAGGCCACTCTTTCGCTCTTATCTCTTGGTTGGCATATAAATATCTGACGCCATGATGGAATTTGGAGTGGTTGTTCATCTTGTGATAAGCCCCGTTGCTTGAAGATTAGACGTATCATGGCGATCCTGCTGGGGCTAATCATCAGAGGCATGGGAGGCATGAAGTCGTCAGGACCATGGAGTTGTATGTGACTTATAGCATGCAAGCTTGCCCCGCGTCCCAATAAAAGTTTCACCATTGGCAAGTGATTGCTCTTGATCGCGAGAATTAAAGGACTGTCACCAGCCTTTGACTTGGCTTCAACATCCGCTCCTAGGTCGAGTATGAAGCTGGCGACACCGACAGCACCTGTAGCAGCAGCAATGTGTAGAGGTGGTGTTTGCACAAATTGAAACTTGGTATCGCCCCCACACAGGTTGGGTTCGATCTGGGACATGAGCTTTAAACATTGCAATGTACGAGGAGAGTCGTCTTTGCCGATGGATCTTGTGTAGAGCTCTTGTAATCTTCCTAGCGGTTGCAGCAGATTTTCGTTTCGATGTTTTTGTAACAGCTCGACTGCTTCCGAACTTTGTGTTACAAGCATCTCTCCAAAAATTGTGGATGATCTGCCACCAATATGTGTCGTGGCGTTTTGGAATGCACCTGCTTTTAAAAGGCATTTTGCGGTCTCGAACTTGCCCGCTTTCAGAGCTTGGTAGAGCCAAGGCTGAGTTTTGTTGAAGTTGACGTTGATACCGGCTCCAATTAACAATTGCATAACACCGAGATGCCCTTTCGTCGCCGCTATGTCCCCTGCAGTTCTACCTGTCGAGTCTCTACCATAGAGGTCCACCTTGGCTGATATCATTTCCTGAACAGAAGTCTCATCTGCTTCACTGACTGCAACGAGAAGCTTGAGCACTGCTTCCTCGGACTGAGCTGTTGTCCCCTCATTTGAGGAGATTTGGTAGTAGTGGCGTACAGACTTCTTCGAAGCGGGATCGGCAATATTCTCGTGACGAGTTCGCATATGTTTGAGAAGATAATCCCTCCGCGGTGTTCCCTTGAATTTGCAGAAGAACTTGGAGATCTCAGACTGATGAGTCACTCGGTGGCGGTCGCGGTCGGTTTTCAAGCCGAAGGACTTATCGCAAAGAGAGCATTTATACGGCCGTTCATGCGTTTTCCGATGGCGGCTATTACTTCTTTGTAAGTTGCGGTACTGTAATCGGTCGAATTGCTTACTTGTAGTCCGTACATCTCATAAAAGCTCTCCCACATCCGTTGTAATTACAGCTAATACGGATTTCTTCTTTTTCGTTATCCATGATATATCATTTGTTCCATAGTTTGACTGTGGATATAAGCTTCAGAACCAGAAAGGAATGGTCCAAAGTCATAAAAAATTACGATAAAAAGAATGTTGAAGGGCGAATGTGCCAGCCTCGTAGGGCGCTGTAGGGCGAATCTAAGCCTCAGCGGCTAAGGCTCAGCCGCAGCAAAGTGATGTGCGATCAGCGCCCTCGCAAGAATTTTCATGATGCTGCGTTGTCCTCAATCTCCTCTGCAGTCCATCAGCACCTTCACCTTCATTAATAGTACAACCAAGCGTTCTGACTCTCAAGACGGCTCGCAGACTGTTATATTGACACGACGGAACATTGCGATTCGAAGTTTAACTCTGGACAAACGAAGCCAGCAGACCTCTCTCTCGACCGCGACCTTGCTCTCAAGCTTCGGACACCCAAGAGACTATCTGCAAGGATGGATATCGCAGACAGCAACATAAGTACACGGAAGAATGGCTGTAATGCCTGGGATGATGAATTTCAAGCTCAAGAAACAGAACGGCCTGGTGCAGAAATGAACAGGTAATTTTTTTTACACGTGAGTTGATATGCCTACTTTTCAGCAAGCAACCAAATTTTGTGTGGTCGCAAGAAAGCTCGGACAACTTGGTTGCTGCGCAAGCAAACGCCAACACCCTTCCCTCGCTACCAAATACTCGCGCACCTCCTTGCGCAACAACCTTCGACTCATCCATTAATCATCTTTTGACTCGACCTCTACCGGAGATAGAGATTTCAGACAGAAACATCATACTCGCTGAGCTCTCTAGCCTACAATCACGATGCGCTACACTTCAACGTCTTGTCGCAGGAGCATCGTCCCCTGTAAAGCAGTGCCAATGCGGTCATGGTGCACACCAATGTTGCGTGGCTACTGGCACTCTAGCACCTACTCTGCCGAATCTTTCCGACGATGATAATGGCTCCAATTTGATTGCAAGCCGACTTTATCTGCCAGGAGAAGAGCTTGACACTGGTGATGATGGCGGTGCACCCGATTTGTTCTCCCGGGGCTATAGCAGACTTGTCCCCTCGTCTTTTGATGTCGTCTCGACCGAGAGTGCTTTTCAGACTGAAGACTTGGTGCAACAGGACTACAATCTATTCAATGCTAGTATCTATAATACTATGGAAGCTGACTTTCAGGACTTGTTCGATTTCTCTGCAGCCTCGATTCAATCCCCTCAACAGGTCGATGGCGCATCGGCTCTCAATACTACTACCACCTTTGCAGGCGGTGCCCACAACGCCGCTACAATCTCCAATATATCTGCAACACAACCTGCCAATGCAGTAGTCTCACGAGTATCGAACAACAATCAACGTCCCTACAATTGTCCACATCCACAATGTACGTTGGCGTTCCGCCGCCGTGGCGATAGAGACCACCATGCCCTCTCTCACAATCCCAATGCCCCTCGATTCTCTTGCACATACCCTGGTTGTTCTCGAGTTGGCAGACGTGGCTTCTTGAGAAGAGATAAATTGGCACAGCACCAGGCTCATATGAACCATTAAATGTTGGTTGGTTTGTGTTGAAGGCATCTTCGGCCTAGGGATAGCATCGGATCTTCGTGACTTTGTCTTCATTCCTTTTGTTTCCTTCCTTTGATGTCCTCTACGCAACTTAAGGTTTACCTCTGTCTTTACTCGCCTATTCCTGTTTCTTTTGCCAATCCGTTGCGAAATTTATCTTTTCCTTAGTATGCTATCTTCTTGAAACAGTTCCGATTATACTGGCCTGGAAATCGATTGTCACGGGGAATATTTGCTTGCACATGCTGTAACTTAGCTCAAAATTTCAAAGGATCCATCTCGAAATCTATCATTTGTCTGGACTCTGGTGTGAATGAAGATACCAAGCTCCCTTTTTGCCTCGCTTACTAAAATAGCGGAGCTACTGCGCTCGTCACTCATGGTTTAAACTGGTAAACTGCTCGCTATCAGCAACTGTCACTGAGCGGCACCCTGAGATCTTAGATACTCCAAAGGCTACCGGGGGAGATGGAAGCTTTGCGGGTCAACAAACCATTTGGGAGCCAATCACGTGAGCTCAAATTGAGCCCGTTTTCACTATTTTACCATCACCAAGCGCTTGAGGTGGTTCCATATCCTTCAGCAATGAATTAAAAAACGGCGGAGAGTAGTCATAATAGTTCAGCTCAGACCATATGTTCTACAACAGTCTGGCGCAGTGCTTTCCGTGTTTCAACCACTCTTACAAGTATGGTCAGCAAACAAGAGACAGCGGTGTAAATGATCATCAAGTGAAGGGCTGATGCCACTGTAATTCATAGAGCAAAGGTCTTCATGACATTCTTTCCAGCTTCTTTCTGATGAGTTGTCTCATATAGCGTTGAACATAGATTTTGATCCTCCGAAACTCCGCTAAGACCACTTCATAACTCTTCCACATACATACTGCTAGATTCATCTAAGACCCTATCTAACATTTGATTCCCTGTACAGTATGCTCAATAAGATGGCTTGCAATAATTTGCTCGAAGATCCAGGGGCATGGAAGCCAAGTCGCCGGGGGATATCTTAGCTCCTGCATCGAGGAGAGATTTGACAACTTCGTTATTGACAAGGTCGTGGTTGGGAACCGAGATGTAGTAAAATCGACGGAGAGTATAGGATAAGGGTGTACTACGGAATCTGGCTTTAGCGTTGATATCGAAACCGCCTTCAAGAAGTAAGTTGATCAATTGCGGGCGCCTGAGTACCACTAAATGCAACAGTGTAACCCCGGGATCCCCAAAGCGGCGGTTGATGTTGTCTGGACGAAATACAACAGGTAGGACCGCGTCGACATCCTCGGTTATGAGCAGAGCCAAAGGGTTCTCCTGGTGCATCTTTGTGCAGTATTGGATAAGCATACGCATAACAAATACTCTTCCACTCAAAGCGGCGCGGACTATACACGATTCAATACCGATTAAGTCCAAGGTGCCATGCCTTTCAAGAGTGTCAAGCATTAACTGCAAGATTTCAGCATTACCGCATCGAATGGCTTCAGCCAAGGATCGTTGAAGGATTAGTGGCTCCTTGATCGCATCAAGTATCATTCGCACGATCTCGACACTGCCACTTCGGATGGCTGCTTCAACCGAACCTAAATAATTTGGTGGCTCCTTAGTTGCATCAAGTATCATTCGCACGATTTCTGCACTACCACGCAGGATGGCTTGATCCAAAGGCTGTTCAAGGTCTAGTGGCTCCTTGGCTCGAATTTCACCATCGAGTATCGCTTTGACCATCTTAACACTGTGTTTTCCGATGGCTTCGGATAGAAATGAGCGGCGGTAGTACCAGTAATCTTCCTCTTCCATGAGTATCTCTAAGATTCTTGTCTGGCCTTTGTCGACGGCAATCGAAATGGCGGATAGCGCTTCCCTACTCTTGAGAGCAAGACTTTTCCCTTCCAAAATCAGCTCTCTGACTCTCTCTTCCTCTCCCACCGATACAGCTTCCAATAGCTCTAGATTTCGTGCATGTGCATTGGCCTCCAAGAATTGGGTTGTATCTTGAGCTTCATTTGGATCTTTTATTTCGGCGGTTTGTCGGGCTGCTGAGTTATGTTTCTTCTTGATATGCTGCTTCAGATTGTCTTTTCGAGCCATTCCTCTGGAATTGCATCCTGGGAACGGGCATTTGTACTTGATTTGAACTTGTTGATGGGTAGGCCTGTGTCGATCCAGATCACTCTTGAGGCCGAATTTAGATGGACAGAGGAGGCATGAAAAGAGTTTTTCGTGCTTTTTTGTATGCCGACTACTCATAGATCAGTCGGTAAGCGTGTGACAAAGCGCAAGGACTGTACTTGTAGTCTGTACGTGTATAGAATGTTTTCCGACATTGTTGACAAAGAAATGACAAGTAGTTCTGGTCCATTTTTGCGAAAAGATAATTGAGTGCCGAAGAATCGTAACAGTTTGATTGTTCGTGGTTGTGGACCATCTACTCTCAGCCGCAGAAAAAAGCTGTCGGAATTGATCGTTTCGGACGAAGCCTTAACCTTACCTCGTTAAGCGAGGGGCACGAGTGCGGGCGGGGCATCAAATTCTAGTCGGGCGTTGGGGCGCAGTAAGGTTACCGCCAGTTCACCATTCTTCATCAAAGAAGATAAACCGATCATCGCCGCTGTCTTTGGTCTACAATCCACCCAGCTGAAATTTACATCAAGCCTGGAAAGCTACCTACCTCAACTCAACTCTACAATCGCTTCTGCCTTTCCGACGGGGTCGCCTTCGTGTCATATCATACTCCTGTATTCTCATGCCATGATGCATTATCAACCAGAACTCGACGGCTCAGCTGAACCGCTCTCTACCTACTCCAGTCTTGAAATGGAAAGCTCGCGGTAAGTTCTTAAAAAAAAATGCTCACGTGTGGAATGCCTTAGAGATCGCACCTCCCTATTCTATGCAATCGAATCACGGCTTCAGGCCCTGGAGCGGCTCGCTCCCGCTAGCCTCAATAGTGAGACAGCGCCTCCCAACTTCAGCCACATCGACGTCGATACCTCACCCAATGGTGTTACCAATACCTCAGAGGATGCCCTCGACTTCGCCGGGTCAGCAAACTTCGACTTCAACGCCGAACATTCGTCACACAACTTTGCATCTGCTATTGAAGTGACAAGCAGTGTCGACCCAGATCTGGGAGTCCAAGAAGACGACTTGAATTTCGATGATTATCTCGACTTCTCTTTTGCATCTTATGCAGAAGACACTGATACTTCAACTTCGCCTATCTCCAACTTCGACAATGCCCAACGCCAACAAGTTGCCGATGCCAACACCATGATCGCTAATGCTACTATGCCGGCAAATATGCTGGCTGGCGGACCACTGGGAACCCCAGCTACAGCTCCCGCTGCTCTCCCTCCTGCTCGCCTTCGCTGCATCACCTGCAACAGACCTTTCCATCGTACTGGTGATCTCAATCGCCATGCGCTCAAGCATAACCCGAATGCCCGCCGCTATGCTTGCCCTGAACCCACCTGCAGGTTCTCTGGTTTGAACGGGATGGTGCGCAAGGACAAGATGAAGGAACATCGAGCTCGTCATGGACACTAGAGTTACCGTTGAAGGTACTTAGCCTCTGCTGACGCTTGGAGGAGTTCTTTGGTGTGGAGGTATTTCTTTCCAAGTCTGCTTTTTGAATTGCGCCTGTCTTTGTCCAATTGATACTTGATGAAGTTCTCACTTCTCACCTTCTCCTTTTATGGCACATGTCGAGAGAAACTGCTGTCTTTACTATGCCGGCAACATGTCCATTACTTTATACATTCTCGACGCTCTCTACTTCTGTGGACTTGGGATGGTTATTCTCAATTTATGTTGTTCTTGCTTCATAGCACGTTCGTTCTAAATTACTCAATCAAAATATTTCCTTCCTTTCCTTCCATGACATTGCTCATAAATATTTACGCCGGAGCCTATCATTGACCACTTAGTATCGTGACCAATTTTCGCTTTATTGGGCATGGCCCTGAATTAGTAATCTGCTCTCTCTCGACCGATAATCGCCATCAGCTCAATCCTTCTCCCTGAATCCACTCTTCTGAGAACACCTAACCAGAGCTTACTGAAAGACCCTCTGTATCGGGATATAATTGATTGCGATCCCACTTGAACTGGTAGTTGATCTTTTCTAGGCGACGCCACAACCGCTTTCGGGGGCAGAATTACGCCGACCGGGATATCTCACTGGCCGATACTGTATTGAATGTGCTTTTCACCATAAATTTCCAACTTAACAGGTACTTATATAAATGCCAAAATACTACAAAAGTACAGTACATCACATACGGTGCAGTTCCCTCTGATCCAATCCAACAATGAAGATCATCTTGACGGGTAGCACAGGTTACATCGGCAACGAAGTCCTACTTCAATGCCTCGCAAACCCTTCAATCACTTCAATCATCGCTCTTTCACGGCGCAACCTAAAAATCTCAGATCCAAAGCTCAAAGTCATCATCCACGAAGACTTCACGACTTACCCCCCTGAACTCATGACTCAGCTGGCAGATGCTGATGCATGCATCTATTGCCTCGGATCAAACGTCCCAGTCAAGCCTCCAGAGCTCAATCAAAAAATCAACTTCGACTATGCAATCACAACCGCACGCACATTTGCCGGTTTCTTCAACAGCTCGAACTCCGCTCCCATGAACAAGAGTTTCAAATTTGTCTATCTCAGCGGCGCCTTACCAGAGAAAGACCCAGAGAAGAAATTGTGGTTCTTAGCGGAGAACCGGCGTATGAGGGGAGAGCTTGAGAATGCGCTTTTGCAGCTTGGGAAGGAGAAAGAAGGAACGGGGTTTGAGGTCTTTGTTGCGAGACCGGGGTTTGTCCAGAAAGAGGGTGCAGTTCTCAAGGCTTGGCTTGTCGGCTTGGTTGGGAAGTATATTTTTATGCCGGATTTGGCTGCGAGTATGGTTGATGTTGCTTTGCATGGGTATTCTAGACCAATTATAGAGAACGAAATGCTGGTTGAGCTAGGGAGGAAAGTGGCTACGAGAGGCAATAGTTGAGAGGGATGTTGTAAGATCTTATGTGCCAGTGTAATGTTAAAATTTAGAAAGCTATACTATCGAAGAAGAAGAAGAGGAACGAGAAATGTGCACTTATTGCTTCTGGCAGTCGAGACTTGTGTGCACATGAGTGTGAGTGTTTGGGTGCTGGAGTAGGCGAAGCTCGCATTGCTCGCTTACTGAAAAGGGGCTCGCAAGGCAAGCTCAACCCACCATAGAGGTCTTATATACTGAAAAGTGTAATGAAGCAGGAGATCTGCACAGAGACCATTCATGGGGACGTTGAAAAAATTGCAGGCTTTGTGCAAATAGGAATACGAAGAAGTTTTATCCAATTGAATGACTTCGTCAACCTTCTGAATAAACTCTTAGAAGAGCCCACGCCCCACACCATTTCTGTTGTATCTGCAATTATTTCTCCTTGTTAACTGCTTCGAAAAGGTTGAAATAGCGCGAATACCTTCTTATTCGAGCTCTTCAACTAAATCAATGAACAAGTCCCAGTAGTTGTCGTCATCTTCGGATCCCTTGTCTGCATTCTGAGCATACGTCCCTTCCTGCAGTTCAACAATCGCAATCTTCGGAAACATCTTGGGTATATTCAGCATGAGCTGGTTATCAACACCACCTTTCCATTTCTCTGCCGACATGACCTTAGTATCAACTCTCTCCCAGCGTATCGCCCAGCCCCTAGTACCAGGATATTTGCCCGTCTCATGAATGACAGCACCGGGAATATGCTTTGTATCCTCCTTCTCTTCGTACCCAATCACTGGTCTGATGTGTTCGCTGACGGATGATCGACGAATTGCTGTCACTCCAGTTGGATCGAAAGGTGCTGGTAGACCGGGGGTGAAGGTTTGCTTGCTCGAGAGATTCGTCCATGTCGCGTGCGTCATGAGGATCAGCCCTGTAGCCATCCAGATCTGAGGAGGGGCGTGAGGTTGGAGGCTTTCGGCAGCAGAGATGTGGGATGCGAGCCACTTCTTCGCTTTGTCTGACTTGAGAGTGATTTTCTCGAAGAATTCCTCAGGACTGTGGAAATCAGCATAAACCCAAATGAAAGCTGTAGACCTTACTCATCGATTTCGAGCTGGGTTGACTTCGCTGCTGCTGCCACAAGATATTTATTGCCTTCGACTTCCTCGTCTTCTTCTTCCTTCTCTTCGTCTTCGGGTGTTTCTCCCAACGTCAGTGCGAAATTATCAAGTGCTCTAGAACGAGCCCATGCTGGAGCAGGCTCGGACAGGCTAAGGTGCATCAGTCACAGAAGATCTGATCTGCGAATATACCCACTCAGTATATGCCTTTTCAACATATGGTTCGAGGTTGAGGGGGTCTTTGAAGTCGTGGACTAGGTTTCCGAGATGGAGGTGTTTCGCATCAACTCCGCGGGTGTAAGTTACATATGTGACTTGCGGCATCTTGACCAAAAGAACCCTTCAGCTGTTCACAAGTACAATACGAGATAGTGAGTCGATGATCGTGGAGTTCGAAGATTGAAGTCGAAGGAGGAAGCTGTGGGTTGTCACCTGAGGATTATTACATACCCCGCTACCCCGCACTTCAGCTGGGAATCGACTCCCGTGCAGCGGAGACGGCGCATCACCTCTCCATCTATCCAAAGGTTCCTCTTCTGCTCATCTGCAATTTTTAGCTCGATCCAACTTCTATTACGAATATGAGTTGAAGCGGCGAGCCAAGAGTTTTAGACGACTTGGCATTGCATTGTGATTCGCAACTCGTGGCTCAATCTGTTTATCTACTGGTGCAAGATATGTACAGAGGAGTTTTTCAAGCCTGCTTGTGAATTACCAAGTGGATGCTCGAGTGTTGGGGCTTTGGAGTTTTCAACTTTGATTCTTGCGTAATGCTGAGTGGCTTCTTTGAATCAGTTGCGCTAAAGTCCTCCCTGCTTGATTTCCGTGGAACATTTAGAATTGCGTCAAGTATGCATTTGATTCTTGTTCGATCTTCATTTCCACAAAGATTGTTCTTGCATTTCGGACATTGAAGTCTAGTGCTTCTGGCTGAGCTGAATTTGACCGCCTGTCTTGCGGAAATGAATTGAGATGAGTTTTAGACTCCGTTCGAGAGAGACAAGAATCGACAAGCTATAGGGTACCAAGCGGTGTCAAGTTGCCTCAATAGGTGGAGTTGACAGTAAGATACTCACAAGCGTGCTTGATGTCCAAAACTTCCCAGCAAGAAAAGTTCAACTTATTTTACGACCAATTTCTTCGATCTCGTTATTTTCACTCTCTCTCTCTCTCGTAGACCTCTGCAGTTTTGTAAAATTTATTGCAAATCGTCTCTACTGACGTCGTCGCCTTGCACAAAAAAAGTAATCAAACTGCGAAAGATCAATGTCACACTTGTGCTTCGAAGTCGAATTAAGGTTTAGCTTGTATTTGGGTCCACAAGTAAAATCTTTCTCTCCCGAGGTATGACATTCCTATTCAGGATACAAACTCCCACGGAGAGAGCCATTATATGAAGACGCAATTTTAAAAGAAAGTGCGACAGTGTGCGACGACGACGACGGTTCCTGCCGTGTCAATTTCCCAATGGGCCTCCTTCTCGCAAGTTGTCTCGTTCCCTCTCCCTTAGAATCCTATGATACAACCATCCTATCAGTCAAAGGCTTCAATTCGAAATGAAAGACAATATGGTCAACCAGCAGAGAAATATTGGGTATGAGACTCCTACCTCCTCAAATGTGGATCCCGATACTTCAAAGACCGCGTTCCTCGACCGAGCAACTCTGGTGAGCGAAACTCAAGATGGGGTTCGCATCATAGATGAACAAGAGGAGGAGAACCTCTCTAGATCTCTAGGTCAAAGACATATTCAGATGATCGCTCTGGCTGGAGCAATTGTAAGCAGGCTTGCACTTTTCTACGAAACACGTGATCACATCTGACATTCCGTAGGGCACAGGACTGTTTCTTAGTCTGGGTGGAGCACTTCAGACAGGTGGACCACTTGGAGCACTTCTCGGATATGGAATTGTTGGCTTGGTAGTCTGCGCTGTTCAATTTGCTTTGGGAGAAACATCTGCTCTTTTTCCGGTCACAGGAGCCTTTGTTCGACATGCGGATATCTTGGTCGATCCGGCTCTTGGGTTCGCGGTCGGCTGGAACGTTGTTTATGGATCATACCTTGGTGTTCCATCTGAGATATCTGCCGCTCTTGTACTGATTGAATTCTGGACGGACAAATATCCTGCTTTGTGGATTACGCTTCTAATCATCATCACTTTCCTGGTTGGTATCATTTTCGTTGGTGTTTATGGCGAAGTCGAGTTCTTCTTCGCGCTTATTAAGATACTTTTGGTTGTTGGGGTCATTATCATGGGTCTTATGATAGACTTGGGAGGCGTTCCCGGCCAGGAACGAATTGGCTTTCGGTACTGGAAGAATCCCGGACCATTTGTTGAGTACCTAGTTCCTGGTTCTCTTGGAAGATTCTTGGGATTCTGGGCAGTAATGATCAATGCGGTCTACTCCTTCTCTGGGATCGAGAGTTTATCCGTAGCTGCTGCAGAAACGAAAAGCCCTCGGCAGAACATTCCAAAGGCGTGTCATCGAGTTTTTGCGAGAGTCTCACTGTTTTACATCGTGTCAGTCTTCATTGTTGGATTGATAGTCCCAAGTAACGACTCAGCACTGAATGACGATTCTGGTACAGCAGCCCAAAGCCCCTTTGTCATTGCTGCGACGCGAGCAGGCATCAAGGCGGTTCCATCGATCATCAATGCTGTCGTCTTGACTTCAGCCTGGTCGTCTTCCAACCAAGCCATGCTTGCAGGAACTCGAATTCTTTATGGCCTGGCATTAAAAGATCAAGCACCAAAAATCTTTCTACGAACAACGAAATGGGGGATTCCATATGTTTGTGTCCTACTTCAGACTGCTGTTGCATGCTTAGCATTTCTGAGCTTGTCGAATGGGGCTTTGACGGTCTTTTACTGGTTATTGGATCTTACTGCAGCTGGCACACTTGTTTCGTGGGCAACCATTCTGTTCAATCACATTCGATTACATCAAGCTTTACAGAAACAAGGGATTGTGCGACAAGAACTTCCATGGCATCACTGGTGGACGCGTAAGTACTCCTTTTGGATAGCTGGATACCATGCTAACGTTCTTGTAGCATACTCATCGCGGATCGGCCTGGTCTTTTGCATTCTCTTCCTCTTTACTGGCGGGTTCTCAGTCTTCATCAAGGGCAATTGGGACACAACTTCTTTCATATCATCATACCTGTAATTGTGCTCCAACATTGCTCTCTATAGCTTCAATTAACATAACCAAAGGGACATCCCAATTGTCATCGTTTTGTATGGCGGCTGGAAAATCTTCAAACGAACAAAGATCCTTCCACTGGAACTAGTTCCAATTCGAGCAGCACTGGATGAGATGAATGACAAGCCGGAGGACCCTATACCACCACCGAATGGATGGAAGAGATTGAATATCCTGTGGTGAGAATTGTGTGGGACTTGGGTCCGCGATTCGCGCGAAACGCGCAAATTGAGCGAGAAGAACTCTAAGTTCGAATAGTACTTAGGTAAAGTGTATGATAGGCTTTGATAGTATTGAAAATTATGCACTTAGAGAATGTAATATCCTCCTCAAATTGCCCCAAGCAGACCGAAGCTCTGTATAAAGCAAGCTCCCATGTTCTGATGCTGATTCTTTCCACATTGTGGACCGCGGACTGAATTCATATGCTCCTACTTTCATTACTGGACTGAAAATGTAACGAAGGAGACCTTGAGTGTTCAATCAAGGACGTGCATGGAGGAGAGTGTGGTTACTAGGTCGAAGATGAATGTCAACTAAAGAGCATCTTTACAACTCACAGCTATGCCCACTACCATGAACTCCCATGTTCCACTCCGCTCATCCCACAGATTGTCCTAAATGTGTTGTTTCATCAGTGCTCTTCCGGGGATGGACTTCGCTACCACGGAACGACATTGTCAACCTTGGGGTGAATGAGTCAACACTGAGATGTCTGGAGCAGCTGAGACGAGTATTTGCAGGATCCATAGCTTTTTGAAGATGGACCCATGCACATTGAGAATTTGTAAGTAGAGGCTACAACATTAGGTGACCATGTTACCGATTTAAAATTACAGATCTGAATATCGCAACAAATAAAGGATTATCCAGATTCTGAAAAGACCAAAAGAACAATTTCAGACGAATCCTTGGAGAAACTTACAACTATAGACGGAAACTGTATGAAATCATGTATAACTGTTGTGATGAAAGAGGGGGACTGTCGATTCACAGAACCGGATCAGCATCACTCGGCTTGTGCTATGACTTCACAGGATCACGAGTTAGGATCCGCAATTGTTGATTGCCAAGTGGTTTGGCATAGACTCAACCAAAAGAGTCCTTACAGGAGTCCGTACAGTAGGACAAAAATGACACGTTCAATTTGTATACCAAGAAGACCAATCCGATGCCATTTGTATAGCCTATCTAGTGGTACGTCTTGGAACCTTTGTACCAAAATGAGAGGCGCAAGTCAACAATTGTGAAAAGAGGCGTTCATAAAAAGGTTGTTCGAAACTGTCATAATACTCTTAGGATTAGAAAAAGTCTGTGGAAGAAAATCGGTGGCAAAAGCTTGGTGGGTCATAGTCTGATAAAGAACAATTCAAGACCTGAAGTTGTTCGGAACATTGAAGAAGCGGTCCTTCTTGTCTCAGTCTGACAATCCAATGATGCAAGTGAAACCAATCCTCATCCTGAAATCCTTTTAGAAAAATCGATATCTTCTCAGCGAGATCAATGTATCGAGTATAGTGTATAATGGACTTCCAGCGATCCCGCTGAGATGACGAGAGCCATAATCAACATTTACAAATGAGTTGTAGTCCTCGCGATTGGATTACTTAAACTACCTTTTTTGCTTGAGAGATATAGCATCACATTTAGAAAGCTCTCCCTCAATCACGGTCCCGGAGAGTTGGATACTCGCCCATGCAAACATCAGTAAGAGGATGGCGATCCTCAGCCTTACACTAATAGAATAGAACGACCTGATCTTTCTTGGACAGTCTTAGTCTGTCAAGGACGGTCATCTTCAGCCTTGAATTCAATTTGAACGGCCTGACTTTTTCCTCGATAGGTTTAGTCCGCCGAGGAAAATTTCCGTTAGTCCGGTTCCACGGTGGGAAGCAAAACCACAGCCTTCTTGCTCAATCTCTTCTTCGCAATCGTGATTTTCCAACCGAAAATATTCAACTCTCGATCCTCAACCACAACATCCAACTCAACCTTCTATTTTCCAGTTCCACGGAGACAAGAATCGCGTAATTCTCAGCTCCTATCTCGCTTACGGAGCTCGCTTCGTGCCTCCTCCTTTCTGCCCCACCTAGTCTCTCAACTTCACCGCCTTCACCTCCTTACTACATATCTCGGCTCCCTTTAAGACCCTACCTAGTATCGCGAAAATGGCAACATCCGCAAGAATCGAGGCTGCGTTCGATGCAGCCACCGGACTTCCAAAGCACTTAGTGAGCGGTTATATCTACGAACAACCTGCTTCAGATTTCCTAATACGTGATAGGTGTACGATGGGCTGCAGTACACTAAGTCCAATTACAACCCTGTAAGTCTTTTGATCATTGTTCGTGTTTGTTCTTTCATTTGCTAAAAGTTTGCTTTACAGGAAGGCATAACTGGACGACTAGTCGTGCTTGTTGCGGTTGCAGACGACGAAGATGAGGACGAAGATGTAAGAGGAGCTGGACCATACCATGTTGTAAGTGCGAAGCTCCTTTGAAGACGTTAGGTTCTAATAAGTCCTAGGTGTTCAATCGTTGGGTTTACCACAAGTCAAGCACGGATCCGGTATGGTTGATTGACATCTCCAATCTGAATCCTTTGCTGACAATCTCACAGGCGGACATTGGTGATGAGGTCTTGAGGACCAAAGAGGCAATTCCGCTCCACCACGCAAATCCGCCACAGCAAGCACAACAACCAGCAATCTTGAATGCTGCGCCGCACATTCTCCAACCTCTACAAGTCCCGCCACCAGTCCACTATTCCGCTCCGCTACAACCCGCACCAGCACCCCCTCCCGCCGCGGTCCCTCCGGCTGGTAATCAACCACCGGTTCATGTCCAACAGCCCGCCGGTCCTTTTGCGCCTCTCAATGGCCACCGGATTCCCGGCATAGGATTCCCGCCCCGCGCTGCCATCCCAAACCCTAACAATCTCCAAGGCCTATTCGATGTCCTCCCCCACCAGCGGGGAAATTTCAACTACATTCCCGCTGGTCCCTACAATAACTATGTCGGAACTCTGCGCGGAAATACAGCTGCTCCTCCGGGATCCCGCCAAACATTCCACCATGTAGAAGTCACCTACTTAAGCCAGCTCCTCGAAATTGCTATGCGGCTGCTCGGCCGCCGGCTCAGACCAGTGGACGACTTTCCCGCCATCGCGGAAGCCTTGAACAGACGATTCCATGGTACAAACTATGGACCTAGACTGTACGTCCACAGAGGATACAATACAGTTCATTCGTTTGTTATCAAATCGCTGGTCATTAACCATAATGCTCTCGTCAATCATCTAGGTCTACCATGAAGGCTGAAGGACGGAGAGGAACTCGATGTTATTGATGTTGTAGGAGCTCAGAATTAGCTAGTCATTGCATGAGAAACGAAAGCTGTTCTCCGAGTCCGTTGATTTTCTGTACATTGAAAGAGTGATTTCTAATTACAAACTTAGAAACTGCCGTACTTTCTATTCCGAAATTGAGAGTTTCACAACATGACAAACGGGATTGTAAATGTTCATTCCAAAGTCCCTGGGACTAGTCGTGAATTTGGGGAGTGATAATTCAGTTCTAAAAATATACTCTGGAAAATAAGAAATCTCGTTTGTAAAGGTCCTCTAGGTCGCTGGACATTCAAACACAATACTTTCAGGATCTAGGATACTCTCTGTTTGAACCCAGAATCCCTAAGTTAAAGTCCGTTCATATCCAACACTTTCATCAAAGAGATGTTGTCGCCAAAGCCCAGCCCCTTCGCTTATTAAGCGATGCACGTGCCGTTCAGGGGCATTGGCCGCGTCACTCACTAAATGGTAATTTCCGGCACTAATCTATTCTCAGGTGCGCCATAAAGGACTATCCTGAACTATTGCTGCATCTGGATCGACGTCGAATTTCCACTCCAATATTGAGATGCAAGCTGAATGATAGCACTATCATATCACTAAAAGAACAAAGTCGTCTCCTCCCCTCAATCTTGTGAAATGTCGTTCTCTTGCAATTTTCGCACTTATGGACTTTTTGCAGCAGAAGAGCAAGATGCTCTCTCCCGGCAGAGCACGCGCAAGTGTGTTGAATGCAATGTCCATTATGTCGAGCACCGAGCCGTCGCAGTGGGCTGAAAAAGCAAGCATATATCTCGAAACCCTCGATCTCCCACGATACACTCGACCCCGCCTGACACGATACCTCATCAGCATCCTGGCTTTTTTGTCTCTCATTGTCTTCTATACCTCTCATCAACCCTCACTCCTGATCTCCGAGCCAGAATTCCCATCCATCTCCATATACGCAGCAAACAACACCAACCACCTCCCCCATATCCCTCCAAAGATCTGGCAAATATACCTCGACTACACACCCTACGCCATCATGCCCTACACCTCCTACATCCAAAGCTTCATCACCCACTCTCCCTCACACACCTACACCCTCCTCGACGCCCACGGTGCCCTCTCCATAATCTCTAAGCTCTCGACCTCCAAAACACACGCACACATCCTGCCCCTCTTCTACGCCATGTCCCGGCGTGTGCTGCGCGCGGACTTCCTCCGGTATCTCTTACTAGCGATCGAGGGTGGGGTATATTCGGACATGGATACCGAGATGCTTCGTCCTTTGCACGATTGGGTACCTGACGAGTATAAGAGTCGCACAAAACTCATTGTGGGGTTGGAAGCTGACCAGAGTCCTCCAGTAGGAGGAACGACGTATGAAGTGCAGTTCTGCCAATGGACGCTTGCTGGTGCGGCAGGCCATCCGGCGTTGTGGGGGATGGTTGAGCGGATTTTGAACGAGGTGCAGAAGAGGCCGTTCGAGAGCCCGATGAAAGATGTTGAGTTTAGTGATGAGGAGGTACTTGATATTACAGGACCGGCAGGGTGGACGGAGGTCGTGTATGAGTATTTGAGTAAAGCCGCAGGAGAAGAGATTGGGTGGAGGAACTTGACAGGAATGAGGAGTCCGAGGTTGTTTGGGGATATATTGGTCTTGCCTATAGATGCGTTTGCGAGTGGGGTCCCACATTCCGGGGCGAGTGGCCCTGGGATGGGAGAGGCGTTTGTGAAGCACCAGTTTCAGGGGTCGTGGCGGGGTGGTGATCATTGACGCAAGGGCTTAGCGCATTCCACGTTTCTTAGACATTTGGAGCTCCTTTCTGCAAAGCAGCTTCTTTCTGCAAAGCACGATCGTAGGATTGGAAAAGGTATATGGACTGATGGTAAACGCAGCATAGAGTCTGGATTGGAATCCAACGCCGCATTTATCATCAGAAGATCGGGTTGAAATATTGAGATGGACAAGTCGAGTAGAGAAGGGACAAAATTCCTTTACCGCCGAGAGAGCCTTAGACAAGCCAGTATATCGAATACATACCTCAACGAAAATCCGTCTTCCGCCTTGCCAGGATTTTATACCCAAGCTAGCAAAATAGATAAGATAAAAATACGCCTCCCTCGCGCTTTTACTTCCCTCCACGCATCACCCACCGAAACCATCGAAACAACAACAATCATGTACAACGAATCAGCAACAGTCCCCGTTGCCACAACGGCAGCGATGCGCTCACTCGATATCAAGATCTTGTTTGGTCTCCTCATAGCCCTCATCGTCATTCTCGCTATCGCGTATCTCTGCTGCATTCGTGCACTTCCTCAAGACTATAGCGAAATATACAAAGAAGACCTCCTATTCTCAACGCCAAGATACATCAACGCACACCTCAAGTGGCTCACCGACGCAGTCGCCTTGCTTCCCACCACGATGAACCATGAAGAAGTGCACAAGCGATATATTGGGGTGGAGAAGCGATTGAAGCGATATTGCAAGTGGCAGGTCAAGAAGAAGGCGATGAAGAAGGCGATGGCACTGGTTTGGGATGAGGCGGGGATGGTGGCTCAACGTAGGGAGTTTCTCATGAGGCTGGATATGGTGTTGAGGATGAGGAAGGAGGCGCTGGTGGTGATGGAGAATGGTGGTGCTGCGGTGGATCTGAGTCTTGAGAGGAAGAGGGTTGATGCTGCTGCTAGGGTGTTTTCAGCTGAGAGATGGGGTGCTTTTATTTAGTACGAGCATACGGTTTGATTTTTCAGACCCTTATGTTGTACTCGTGCGATGGGGCAGTTGGTGGGGTACTGCTCGTATTATGAGGTCTAGTTTGCAAGAGTTATTACAGACACTGCAAATCTACCACCTCATCCTCAGAAATTGTCGAGCCTTCTGATACTACAGAGTCCTCCTCACTCTCCAGCTCACAGTCATCATCCTCTGTCTCATCATCTTCACTGAGAAAAACCTTCTCATTTCTCCAATCGATCCTCCCCTCACCATAATGCACTACTCTACGCCCATGCGCTTGTACAGGTTGATCCAAAAACTTCGAAGTTGCCCAGAAAGACACCCCCAGAAAAGCTGTCCCATAACCAATCACTACCGCCGTCCCATACGACTCGTCGATGTTGTTCATGTATGGGAAGACGTATATGAATGTGATGGCAAAGATAAGCTTGATTGTGAAGATGATGGCAAGGTTGTCGAACCAGGTGTGATTAGATCGTGTGCCATCTTGTGGTTGGTATTGAATTGTTGTATTTTCTGTGTCTTTTTCCATTTTGAAGAATGATAGATAAATTTCGTACAGGAGTTGAGATACTGTATTGGGTTGTGTGTGGGTTCTTGATATGGATCGGGCCGCGGAAGATGAACTCATCATCGGTCTATCCTCTTTCTCCGGTAGCCCACTTGGCTTTCTTGGACTCATTTAATATGGTTTAACTAGTTTCATTGTGGAGGAAGGTTGGGTAGAATGTCTCAACGATGATTCAGTCCCTAAAAGACCATGACACTGCTAGCAAGTGTTGAGCAGGATGCTCGAATATGGTAGAAGCACGAAATCTGAATAGAAATCGCGCAACACGGTAATTACTACCTAGCAAATGGTTCGCAAAAAGTGGTATCTTCCTACTCTGCGAAGAAACAACCCGTCTTAACTACTAATAATTCGACCATGCAACAGAAAACAATGCGAACAAGGCCCATACGACGCTTGATATGCATCCCCTTCACTTTACGCAAATAAAGCCAACGCCGCTCCTAGCAACTTTGACAGCTTGCCTCAAGGCCTGCTCCTCAGTATCAGTCCACTTTACACTCAATTTATCCCATTTCTTGATCTTGAACTCCCGCTTGAATGTTGCATTCATGGCTTGCAATCTGCTCATCTCGCGAGGATCACCAGAACCACTGTAGACGATAAATGCCGTGCAAGGGGGAAGACTCTCGTAGATCTTGGTGATACGATTCGTCAGGTCTGCAGCAGCATCTGAGACAGACTTTGATGCGGCGAGCTGTTCTGGGACTGGTAGAGAATTGCTGGGTATGACGCCAGCTGGTTCTGTGCTGTCCGGGAACTCTTTGCCTTTTGACACGGAACTCATCTCAACATCACCATTCGCCTCGACTGCAGCATCTTTCGCAGCGGCCTCAGCAGCAATTGCTTTGTTGTTGTTCCACCAACCCTTCAGGGCTTCAAGCTCTCGGAAGCGAGCCCATACAAAATCGACGCCACCGCCAGGGATCTCCTTCCCATCTGCATCTCCCTTCACAGCACGAATGACTCCGTCCATGATCTCTTCATCGCTAGTACATCCGATAGGGAAGTTTGCAGCTGCGCCTGGGCCTTTCTTTGGTTCACCCCAGTCAATCATCGCGCTGGACTTGCCACTGGTTGGATCGGGTATAGCTGAGCCTCCTTGGCTTTTGTATTTGACCCCAGCACGGGCGACCCGCTTGAAGATATTCTCGCCTTGTGCTTCATTGGTTCCCCAATCTTTGCCTTTCTCACATTTCTGCTTGACCAAATCAAGTACAGTTCTGGCATCCTCGACGGAATCGTGACCAGCTCCAGCACCAACAGTTCCATGACCCTTCTGAACCTCGCGGTTAAGATATTTTTGAGCTAACCATTTCAGAGAAGACTTCAGTGGGGGGCCGCGTGGATGCGGATATATAACTGCAGTGTCGATGATGTATGGATGGGTGATTTTTATGGCATTGAGATCTGAATTCAACGAGTGGCCTAGAAGAACAGTACGAGGATGAAGGATCTCGAGCAGTCTTTTCTGGATGTCCTGCAGCGTAGTTGTAACCGGTTCCAGCATTTGTTCTGTGATGCCAGAATACCTAAGAGAGTAAGAATGGCCATTGTAGGCAAAAAAGGAATACATACTGTGTCAGGTAGTTTGTGATTGGTTTGGCTGGTTTGACCAGTTCATCCAGAACAACTGTACCATCCCAACTAACAAGGCTGATGCGCGTGAGCGAGAATTCAGTTTCCCCAGTCATGCACATCTCGCAATCCATGGCAAGTACTTCTCGACCAGCTGTGATACTACCAGACTCAATCTCTTCCTCAGGCGCGGTGCCATCTTCGAAGCTCTTCACAATGGTGTCCACCCATCCATGATCCTCGGAGACTCCATTGGATTGTCGATGTTCAGCTAAGGCCGCTTTATCATCTTCGTCTGCATATATGGCAGGATGGAGTGTGTATTCATTCTCTAATAGAACCTCCGTGGGATGAATGAATTCAGGAATTGGAACACGCGTATTCTTCCAGCCTTGGGGTTCCTTTGCTGGAGCAACACCCTTTCTGTTCTTCTTCCAGTCTTTCTCCTCCTTTGTCTTGGGTGCAGGAGCTGTAAGCATGGTGTGAAAAGGAGAATGCATTCTGCCGAACTTATCATCACCAGGTGTCTTGACTGGCCAGATATGCTCGAACATGTCCGCCCATGGTTGCAATGAAGTCGAGAGCTTCTCCGGTCTGAGACGCTTGGGGTAGATATCATCTGGTTCGTAATTGCGATCCCTCCTGTCTCTGTCTCGCCGTGAGTCTTCCATCTCCCTATTATCTTGGCGCTGCTTGTAGAACATGTCCATCTCCAAACCAGGTACCATGAGCACCACAACCTTGCGGATCTGAGGTCTGTGGCGGACGGACACAAATTGAGGTGACGGGCCATCTGCCAATATATACAAGACAAGGCTTTGGAGGTCATTGAGTTTGACATATGTTTGCAATCGAGCATCGTGCGAAAATCCGATCGCGGGGTAGTTCTTCGACTCGGCCTTGGGAACTCTCTTCGTCTTCTTTCTGGGTCGCTCTACAGTCTGCCAACCAGGAGAACTTGCGCGATCATTCTCCCTGGGCGACTCTTTGTCTTGGCTTGAACGGCTTGCAGATGTCAGATTGAATTCTGGTAGCTCTGGCTGTTGCGGCAGGGATGGCGTCTGGTCCATACCAATCTGCTTGGCTATGTCTTCTTCTTCTTCTTCGTGCTTGCGCTTCTTTCCACTGCTTCCACTATCGGACAATTGCGATCCCACATCGGGGACTTCGATATCAGTCGTTGCCATGATTGCGTTGTTTTGACGTTGGGGATGAATCAAGGCTGGAGTTGAGTTGAAGGATATTTTCGAGAAAATAATCCCTGTCCTCAGGCAAGGCTGACTGGCGCGCTAGCGCGAGGCTGGCGGGAAACCGCATCCCATTATTGATGACAGCCAGACAACAGCTGCACATCATGAATTCTTTCTACATCATCAAGAAAGCATTCAATTCAATCGATACATATCCTTCCTCTAGTGTATCATAGGGACAACCTATTTGCATCAATCAACATCATTTAAGTCTTCCAATTGGTCCTGCCGCCAGTCGCGAAAAATCACGTCGACGCGAACTCGCGCCAACAAATCAACACCGCGCAAGTCTTATGCACCTATTATTTCGAATCCGAGCAAATCATCGTCCCCGCTATTCCCTATTTTAACATAATTCCATTTGCGATCGGATTCCCATTTTCTGGCAAAGAGATCACAAGTATGGAGGTCGTCACAGGCTATTGCAAGAAGTGTGACTTCGAGGTTGGACGTTTCAGAAACTCTTGGAATCAAATGGGAAAGACCTATTACAGTCCTACATATCCTCCTCTCTCTACTGATGGCATGGAAACCAGAGGTGATGCCTTCGAAGGCGCAAATGATTCTCAAGCTGCAGACAGGTATGACTAAACAATACGTAAACAGAATTTCATCCTGACTATCTGTATAGTATGCTTCGAGATATAGGGTGCGAGAAATGCGGTGCGATCATCGGAATTCGTTGCGAGAAAGCACCAGAAGGCCACCTCCTTAACAAGTAAGCTGTGTGGAATTCTGCAGCTGGATAAGACTGACTTTAAATTCAGGAATCAATTGATCTTAAGACTTTGCGAGATGTCTGTCCTTTCCGAAGCTTCAGGAAAGAAGGCAAAGATATCCGTATTGAATTCCTATTCCCTTGTCCTTGGTCCTGGTCACCAAAAAGTAGCCAGAGCCAAGGTTTTGCCGCCCCTCCCATCTACTCGACCTGCAACGCGTGCTGGATCTCTCCAAACTCCAGAAACTACTGAAGCACCCGTTCAACCTTCCGCTGGTGTTGAAACCATATTTGATGTGGTCAAATTCAAGACCTGGGCAGAAAATGCTATCAATAAACAGCAAAAGGACATTGACCGTTTATCTGGAACACTGGAGAACATTGACAGAGACATGACTACTTTCAAAGAATTTATGGAAGAGATGCGAGCAGACCGAGTAAAGATTGACCGGATCACGTCTTCCGAGGGCGACAAGGCGACACAACTTGCGTCTCTTCGAGAAGAATTGAACGCACTGCGCCAACAGATCAATCAGAATGGTGGTCTCGTTTCCCAAACTAGTCATGACATTTCGACTAGAAAGATCGATGTCGTGATCAAGGATATCCAAAGAATCACTCGAAAGGCTGACGAAGTTGATTTCATGAAGGAGGCAATTGCGGCTATGAAGTCGAAGATTGAGTCCCTCGAGGCCAGCGGTAGCTCTGTGAAGGTGGAGTCATTGAAGGATGAAATGGCAGTGCTCAGATCAAAGACTGAATCGCTCGAAGCCAAAGAGCGATCCAAGGCTTTCAGCAGCTCAGTTGAACTTGATTCCTTGAAGCTGGGAATTGCTTCCATGAACTCCAAGATCGAGAACATAGGAAAGACTAGTGAGGTTGATTTATTGAAGAAGGAAATGGCGGTAGTGAGAACGAAGGTTGAGTCTCTCGAACTTACGGAGCAGTCCAAGGCTATCAGGAGCTTTGCCGAGGTTGATACCTTGAAGAGAGATGTGGCTGCAATCAACTCAAGACTTGAAGTCACACGAAGGAGTAATGAGGTTGATTCTTTGAAGGAGGACATAGCGACAATAAAATCAAAGATCGAATCCCTCGAAGCTATGGCGCGGTCCACGGCTCCCAGCGGATCCGATAAGCAAAGGTCCAACTTACCTACCACGGATAAGCGCAAGCATGATGATCACAATGATGGTTATACCATCCGAGAGGTCCCCACGATAGGCCGATCTACCTCAAAACGAAGAAAGATCTCTAGTGCTGCACTCCCTTCGAGCAATCGCAACAGAGGGACTGAAGCTATTCCAACGCCTTATCAAAACTTCGATGAACAATCTATAGTGATGGCTTCCTCTTCGGATCACTCTTTCTCGTCGCCGATACCTGACCAAGAACGCGAGAACAGAACCTGGGATGGGTTTGACGATTCATCTATGGGCAACGCCCCTGACCCATCCACGCCCCTGGCAATGACAGCCGATCTCATGTCAAAACCTACAGCAGCTTCGAAACTTGTCATTGAGATCAACAATTCGATGCAGCCTCCAATGATGATGCCGTTACGAAATGGCACGATCTTCGATGCTTCAACTAGGAATGAGCTCCTGGAAGTATCACATATTGAAGCTGCAACAGGCAAGAAGAGGGATGTCAATGGTCGGTGGACTTCAACACCCAGGAAGACCCCCAAACGTTCCCAAGGAAACCGAAAGGGGCGCCGAACTGGCGTGAATGAAGTCTTTGCCAATGGTCTCATCGGCAATGCAAGCACTAGCGAGATTGAGCAGGGCAGCACACGTACACTGCGGCCCAGGAAAGCCCCGAACAGAATCCAGCCGATGGCTTCCATCGAAGTTGATACGTGTGATGGCCATTCAGATGATCGTCCTTGGCAGCCTGATCCTGATGCCAACGTGGAGGACGAAGAGTACGAGGAGATTCAAGATGAGAATAAGGAGAACAGGACTGCCACAAACAGATCTGGTCCAAATAGGCAGGTGATCAAGAGGGATGAGACACCCAACACAGACGTCAAGCCTGTCATATTCTCTTCCATGTCTGCTTTCTCCCGTGCGGAGAGAGAGCATACTGTACCTCCAATTCAAATCGATGGAGTGTTAGACAGACTGGCCATGCCCAGTTATTTCCAATGCGGTACCTGTCTGAATGGATTTCGCACCTTGCAGTCCCTGGACTACGTAAGTTTCTTTCAAATTCTTGAGTAGTAATAGTTGCTAACGATTGCTAGCACCAAGAGCACAGCAAAAGCTGCAAGAAAAGTCCTTCGGATGTGATACCTGAAGGATTCAAATGTGGACTCTGTTCGAAACTGTTCAAGTCATTCACTGGCATCAAGGATGTAAGTTCGAACCACTCTGCTATTGCCGATCAAGACTGATTATAATTAGCACCTCGATAAGAAGCGCTGCAGCTTGACTGCAGCCGAGCGAGCTTCAACTCCAAGCCAGTCTCGAGCTGGGACCCCAAGGCCGTCCTTGAAATGTGAGAGATGCGGAAAGAAGTGGAAGAATGAAGCACAACTCATGAGTGTAAGCTGTTAGTATCACTGAAGACACGGTCCTGGACTGACAGCTGCTTAGCATACATGCGTCCCGAAGAGCGAGAAGAAACGCCAAAGCTTATTGGAGCAGGCAGTGACAGCTGCTGCGAATGAAGCAGCAGAGAAGGCGGATTCAGAAGTGACAGCGACAGCGACAGGAGAGCAGGAAGCAACCCATGAAGCAACAGGAGGGGCAGTAACAGGAGGGGCAGTACCAGAAGCTGGCCAGGATGCCATTCTGGCTGATCAAGAACGCTTGATGGGAGAAGCACTGGAGGGTGAAGCGAGTCTCTTCGTGCAGTGATCGACTGTACGTCTGGTATCATCAAATGGGTTGTTGACCCGAAATCAGGTCTCTAGTCTCTGTTCGAGTACAAATTGAAAATCTGCTTGTACAAATAATAATTCCCCCATCCCCCTTCTTTTGTTCGTCGATAGACAAATCTTATAGATTCACACCCACCAGAGTCTTAACACAATTTGCCAGCGCCCAAAGCACCTGAACTACACGCTTGGCAGCCTTCGCACCCTCGTCATTCCTCCGATCAACCAACCATCTCTCCAATGCCTCTCCAGATTTGCGTCCTCCAGCCATCTTCCGCCCCTCCCTCAAATCCTCCACCTCAGCCTCAATTTCCTTTGCAAATCTGCTCCCCACACCATGACTCTTCCCCACTTCTTCAGACACAATTGCCATCAACACTTGCAGCACATCCATGAAATCAAGTAAAGGGACAATTTTCTGTATAGAATCCCTTGTTTCTATGTCCTGATCGCTCAACAACAGCACGAATTCCGGTGGAGATAGGGTCGAGAGAAATTTGAACAGCTTTGCTATGGTGAAAATTCGCACAACTCGTACGAGGTGGTGTGGTGCGGGGTAGTTGTAGGGGTCCGTGTGGAGGGCTAGGGAGAGGAGGAAGATCAGAGCGGGGATCCAGGATTGGTTGTCGAGGTGGATGAGGAAGATGTTGTGCTGAACCGCAGGGCTAGGTGCGATGGCAGGGATTCCGAAAAAGTGTCCTGAGCACAGGTTACGGAGAAATGATAGGCGTTCAGAAGGAGGTGAGTCTGTCGAAGATTTGAGATAGGCGTCGAGGGAGTTCTGTCCACTGTTCAATGCCTGTGAGATCTGGGGGTCTAAAGAGAGCTTGTTATAGCTGTCGAGACAACTTGTTGCGTTTTTCGGGAGGGATGTTGGGTCTATAAGCATGTTGATCAACCTGTCGGGGGGACTGGTGACAATTTGAGGACCAAGACGGAGGAAGGTCTGATATGCTGTCTCGTCCTTGAAGCATTTTTCACACTGGCAAGTAAAGAAGTATCGATGTTCAAGCTCTGCTCCACGATTTTCCCTGGTCTGCGTGTTCTCGATGTAGGATATACGTATTTCTTCTCCTTTTTTGATATCTGATAATGCTCGGAAAGATATAGCTCGACCATCGAAGACTACCACTGCGTTCGGGGAGCAGGAATGGTTGGCGAGGGCAAGAGTGGGTTCAAAGCAGAGTCCGATTGGAGTGTCATCGGGGAGAGTGACGCGGAAAGCATTGGAAGACATCTGAGATGCATGTAAGCTAGTATCTAGAGTTGGGGCAAAGAGTAAGACGAAAAGTGAAGATCTACCTGGCAGAGGACTTGGGCTCCAAGAAACACCCACCGGTCTCCTCTTCCACTATATTTCGCCGCAATCATTGACTGCAACGTGAGTTCGTCATATCTTCCCGCTTCAATCAGTTGAGTCTTATTCATCACCAATCCCTCCCATTTTGGGTCCGGCTCGTCCCTAAATTTATGCCTCAACGCCAATTGCAGTAAACCCCGCGTCGGTGTAGGTAAGACATCGGGTGAGGTCTTCAAAATCTTGCACTCTTTCTTGTGGATTGCCTGCCAATCCTTCTTCTGACAATCGGACGAACAATATCGAACTACTTTGCAGCCGCCACAGTTCTTTAAAGTGCTATTCTCGGGCTTCGTGAAGCACCACGAGCACGTGCTGTCGAGGTGAGCCTTCTCGAGGAGGGTGAGATAGGGATTTGAAATTTTGATAATCAGAGAGCCTTCTGGAATGTTTTGGGAAGCTGCGAGGCCATTGCCTGCGTTTGCAGTGAGAATGCGAGTTGTGTTGTTGACGTCTGGTTCGCTCATGGCCTTGAACGGGAAAGAAGGGGGATTGCTGATGTGAGGACTAGCGTTGAGCGAGAATTGGAAACATGAAAGATGGTAATATACAATGAGATTTGGAAGGGTGTAAACTTGAAGTTGGTGAAATACACAGAAGGTTAAGGAAAACGGATGGCAAACAAAATCTTACCGAAACGCCACGTGACTCATTGGCTCTTAGGCTTTGGTTTATTGTGGCCACATGAGACTCGGATGAGAGATTAGATTAGACTTAAATTATCATCTAGCTAGTTCAGCTTAGTCTATTAGGTCTAGACTTGCTGAAAATTTGGGACACCTGGAAAGGGCATTATAGTCACGTGCAAACCACTAAACTTTTAATAGGAGAACCTTGGAAAGTTTCTCCCAACCGTTTTCAGTTCCCATGACTTCCAATGCGTCAAGATCTTAACGGCAAAGTCCGGCGATACACCTTGGGTCGATTTCATTTTGCGGGCGTTTGACAAAAATCAGATTTGGACGAGTACATTATTATTTTGCTATATACAATTCCAAACTCATTCTGTAGGCCATTATTTTAGATATAAGAAGCGATTATCCGGGCTTTAGGATGTTCGGCCTTTGGTGCCCCCGGTCGCTCTCCATAGAATTATTACTCATTAGAATGATAGATCCCAATTCATGCTATGCTTGTCACCGGCTGTCCTCCTCCAATTGTGACAACAGTTGTTACGAAAGCGGTCACAATTGTTCCAGGAAGCTATTGTATCGTAAGCATAATACCGAGACAAGAGCCATCATTCCACTTACGGCAAGATAAATGGTGGTCGCTTTGGGAAGAACGCCCAGAACGGTGGTAGCTGGGATATTATGAGTGTAAATGCACGAGCATACTTCACTCAAGGTTGCTGTCCCAAATGGCTGTAGGAACCATGGTATAGTTGCCCATTGTTCGGCACGCTCAGTAACAACGGGACCAGGTATTCGTGTCGGTGTGATGATTACCGTGTCTGGATTAAATGCTGGTGGAGTGACGATTACAATAGGGGCCGTCGTTGACGCGGAAGGAGGGGGCACAATGACAATTGGAGGGACTTGGATACCGGCATTGCTGCAAGCTGCCTGCGAGACGTTAGTAGCTTCATGATGGGATACGGAGTTTATTTACTGGGATATGATCAGGACAGTCGCGGGCGAAAAAAGAAAATGGTGCAGCTGGTGATGCAATGGTGTTGTTGCCTGATGGATCGACCTTGTAAAGATTGCATGTCGGGGTTGTTGTACTGCTGTTAGTCTCAACTTGGAAACTTTGACAAGCAGAGTTCGCCAAACACAACTCGTGACAAGCTATGGCATCTATGCCGGATTTAGAATAGATGTTGTTCGTAGCGTAGCCCCATCCACCTTGTCCACAGATCATCGATGGTGCCGGTATTGGGCATGTCGCGGTTGCTGTGCCTGACCTGTTGCATAATCAACGATGATAAGAATATATTGGAGGCATTCGTATGAAGCTACGTACCCAGCGAGTGTAGCTGTCGATGTCGTGACCGCAGTGACCGTGGAAGGTGTGCCTGCTAGCGTGACCGTGGTTGGATAGTAGGAGATTGAGGTCAACGTCTTGGTGGGTTGATTGAATGCACAGCAGAATGAAAGGTAATCGAAGTTGGGATCACTAGGGCTGCATCAGAGATTTTAAAAGTCGAATGGGTCATAAAACGTACGGTTTGCCCGTGGGAACCGGGCCTGTTCCAGTGGTGAACAAATTGTATGAATTCCCACAGCCTTTTCACCTAGTCAGCGACCCATAAAACAAAACTCAGATTTGTTAGCATACTAGCGACGATGTCTAGGATCGATTCCTCAGCTCCAAGATCACGAACTTCATGTCTTGCTTTCAGTGGCTCAGGAGTTTCGTCATAGATGATCCCATTCCTCGCATAGGGCTTGCCGAGGACCAGGCCTGCCTCAACGGAGAGTGCCAACAAGGAAAGAAGAAACCTCATTTCGGGGAATAGTAATTAGTAGAGGACGAGGAGAAGTTTCAGGAGGAGTCGAAGATCGACGTGGTTGTGCGAGGATGAAAGATCGTCAGGGGAGCATGGTTGAGGCTTGCGGGGATTCATATATGCCTTTTGTTATCATCTGATGGTATCCAGGAACAATATGTAAGAATAAACATGCACTCAGGGACTTCCCCACCGTCATCGCCAATGGTTGTTCACATCCGAATGCAATAATCAGGTTTGATAGAGGGGTATAAGAACACGAGGTAAGAATGAGGCGCGGCGCTACAGGCTGATAGCCGGCAACGAAATCCCATTGATCCATATTGATGCGGTTCGCAAAAGCGTGAAAATTGTGACGAAAAGCCTGCGGACGAAGCGCATCGGGAGACTTTCAATGGATATCCACTCGGAATATAGCCACATTAAGTGCTGAGCGGACTGTTAAAGAAGGATGCCGAAAAGGCTCAATGCCAAGATCTGGGGAGCAGCCACGCTTCTTAAGCTTAATATCGCTGCAATGCGGGCTGCACGACCTGAGATGATTACAGGACTTCAGATGAACGTTGCCTCAAGAGCGACCTTCGTTGGTGACATTTGCCTCGAGCGTCGATGAAAGAGAGCGAAATGTAACTCGGGTCGAGATCTCAAGGATTGCCACGTTGGCTGAGTTGTGTGGCTAGTGCCGCCACGTGATCATTTTGGTCGTCAACTCAGGTAGGTATCTCAATCAACTCAAACATTCATTCTTCTTTTATTTTTCCTGGTACACTGTTTCAGGACTAGCTACCGTCCACTATGCGAATGTTTTTTTCATGATATTAATCGCGGGCACGCAACATAAGCATTCCTGGATTGTGGTTCGGGAATGTGATCATCGACGTTTCTCTCCACGCTAGTGAACTTGTCACAAGGCATTCTGATGATTGACTGGTGACAAGTATGGAGACTCAGTAGCGGCCGCATCAAGACGCTCAACGATCTCTATTATGCTATGAAGAACGCTCAATTCAATGCCCGCTCGCTAAATTGAAAGATCCACCACCCAAGGACCAGAAATCAACCATCTTCGTGTAACCGGCTTCATCCAGAAGAACTTCAGCTTTGCCGACCTCGAAAGAGCTACCGGTATTTAAGACGGGACACGACCGAGACACTCTCTGATACTTCTTCCTCGATATCTCACAGTTCTCGTTGAGATTGGCTCAATTATTAGCCGAGATCGCTTCCAGAATAGGGGGGCCAACATGCACATACACGTGATCCTTTCAATTCACTGACCTTTATCACCCAGATAAAGACTGGAAAGTAACCGTAAAAGAATCATTTTGGGAATCATTTTCTATGTAGATATAGCAAGGTGGTCATGGGGAGGCTGTCCTGAAGCATCAGAATAAAGAAGCTTCGCGTCGGGAGTAAGCTCAAACACTAGCGCTCTATGAGGTCCTCTGGTATGAAACCAAGCATCTTCCTTTCGCAACCTCCAAATCTCCATTCCAAAGTTATCGACGGTCAAGACTCATACCGAATCTAGTCAACATGTCTTCCTGGCAACCGGATAGCCCTGTGGAGCGTCCAGATGGCTCGCTCGTTTGCAAAGCTCACGGACTCGTCGTTTGCGGCGTTTGCACCGTCGATTACAGCTTCATGCTAGAGAATCTCAACAACAGCCCGTTCTACGATGTTGTCCCTAGACCTACAAGGGAACAAGTCAGTGCAGACAGAGTTCCTAGTCTGCAACACAAAAGTATTGATCATTGGCTGATATTCTTTTCCCACAGACTCTCAATCCCGTCCCTGGCGTATTTCCCACGAGATTTCGGCCATCTGCGCCGACAGACATACCGTCGTCCTTGTTCACGTATGGCAATATCTTCGACCACCATCGTTTCGTCCGCCGTACCGACAGCAAAGAAATCCTGATCTTCACTGATGGAGCTTGTCTTGACAACGGCAAGGAGAACCCCAGAGCTGGATGTGGGTTTGTCTTCCGACCCCAAACTACAAATCAGCCCGTCAAAGGTGGTAGCTTCGAATTCCGCCTTGAATCCCGTGGACCGAGCGGAGATGCTCTACCTCAAACTAGCAATCGTGCTGAGTTACGAGCTGTGATCGCTGCTCTTCAGTACAGAGCCTGGGATGGAGAAGGATGGAATCGCATTGTTATTGCCACAGACTCGGAATATACAGTCAAGGGTGCTACGGAGTGGATCAAAAACTGGCAGAGCAATGGATGGCGGACGTCGAATAGAGAGCCGGTTAAGAACAAGGATTCGTGGGAGTTGTTGTTGAAGGAGGTGAGATTTCTGAAGGAGAAAGGAGTAGAGGTGGTCTTCTGGTGGATTCCTAGAGAGCTGAATGGAGAAGCTGATGCTGCCGCGAAAAGGGGGGCTCAGGAGGGAGAGCAGCAGCAGTTCGTCAGATACTGCGGTGTTTACACGGGCATTGGTGGTGAGATGATGTCTCTCATGATGCCTCTCCCAAGCTAGTCAGAGGTAAAAGTCAGGAGCTTGTGAGTTGTCACAGCTGGGTCAGACTTTCTCCTACAAACCAATGACGGAAGAGTCCACTTTACTCATGCTGCCATGAATTATGTCTTGTATCATGTAGTCTGGCGTACGTCGGGACTTTGCTTCCGTTGCCATAGTAAAGACATGAGTTATGATGAGCTATGACTGATGACCAGAACAGTGACAAGCAGATCTCCTTTACTTCTCCGATCTTTCTAAATACAAGTAACATAATAATAACAGAGCATCAGGATGGTATGTATGATTCCACGAGTTGCTCTCGCAGGTCGGCATCAGGTAGAGTCCTTGGCCTCTACATGGGCAGTCTTTGCCGGTCTCTCAAGGTTGAACCACCCAACAACAGGTCTGTCCTTATGCTTCTCGGACACAGGAACCGTAAGCCAGCCTTCATGGTCCATAAGCCCGAACTTCTGATACAAATGTTCTTTCCCTTGGTGAGTGCCTTGAACAAACGCTCTCAAACCCAAACTATCTGCGATGTCAATTCCCCACTTCATCAACATCGAACCCGCACCTCGACGTTGGTGTTCTGGATGCGTGCAGAGCATTTCGATGACTTGGAGTCAAATTAGTTCCTTGTCAACTCTAACGTTGAAGTGACTTTGAATGAACATACTGCAGCAACCTCCATGTTGCAATCTTGCCAATTGCCCTTGAAGCAGAAAGTCCCAGATTTCTTCACCCCATTCGTTCGAATCCGCATCAGGCAGCCAATCGAAATGAATCTTCTGGCTCACGGTTGCGGATTTGGGAGGTGGCTCTTTGTGAATGCACCATTTTGCCGCGCTGATGATTTTCCCTGCACACATTAGGAAATAAGTTCTTCGCACTGCTTAGACTGCAGAGCAATATATCTCGCTTCGAAATTAAGATTGAAGCTTACTAGTCTCCGTATCAACGACTTTTATATATGTAGCGGTTGGATCATTTAGCCATAAATCAAGCATTCTCTTCACTCCTTTTTCTCTATCTTCTTTTTCCGGAAATAGGACATAGAAACCCCATTCACTGTATACCGAATTAGAACTGCAAGAATAGAGACTCTCTAGATCTTCAGGAGTTTGAGATATATGCTATCCGTTGAAGCATTTCACTTACTAGGGATCCTTGAAAGAAGCTATTTGCATTTCCAGAATCTCGAGAGCATCTGACGGCTCAGCGACGAGAAGTTGTAGGGGCGGTTTCTGAATGGAGTCCATGCTTCTATGTGTACGCGTAAGACTGTAACCTTGAAAACCTTGTATTGAAAACAGACGCTGGCGATTCCGAGTACTCGGGAACCATAAGTGGGATGTGTCAGTTGAACAGGAAAGTCTGATGGTGGACTTTATCTTGCCACATTGGATTGGGTATGCGAGGACGGCTGGCCTGCATATAGGGTGGTGTGGGTCTGAATATCCAGAGGCGTCCAATAGTGTGTACCCAGAAAGAGGGGTAGCAAATGAGGCTTTGGAGGATTCAATCATTGTAGATAGTTTATGCGTATGCCAGATACGGAAGTCAGTCTGTTATTTTTATCTGCAGCTTTTAGGAGTGTGCGATACTCTCACATATTGTTTCATTTTTATCAGACCAACGCCTCGCTGCACTGTCTATATTTATTGATTTCTCCTGATAGTATCCACAACTGGCCACTTATATGTGTGTCTTCCATATACCATGTAGTACACAATACTGAAAATCACCGAACCTCCAAAAAGAGCACAACTCCAATTCATGGTTGTGGCCGTAACCGTTACCGTAGACGGAAAAAAACTAAAGAACAATGCAATGATACTGTATATCAAACCGACTGCATTGACAATTGGTCCAAAGATTGGCCCCATACACCAAGGGCCCCAGTTGAGTTTGTCCTTGACTGGATCATTTCGAAGTCGTTTGTAAAGTATGAGAGCGACGGGTACAGTGTAGGATGCCATAAAGCCTGCCACGGCGACGCTCACGATTGCATTGAAAGCAGCTGTGCTTCCAATGTTGATGAGAGCGAGAAGAAAGGCAATGCCAGCGGAGACAAGAACTGCGAATATGGGGAGACGTGTTGAAGGATGGACCTATTAGCAGAATGAAAATCAGTTTTCAGCATTTCAACGAGTGCCGCAAGGAGTAGTGGAAGATCGGAAGACTTACACGCTTGATATATCCACTGAATGGGACGCCATTGTCTCTAGCCAATGACCACAGAAGACGAGAAGCAGTGGCCATAGTGCCGCTTGACCCAGCAGCCACTAGGAAGAGAATCAGGCTCGCCATGACCGTGGCACCCGTATTGCTACTTGTCGCCTGGGCAAAGATCTCGATGAAGGGTATTCCGGTGGGAGTATTCAGGGCAGCGTCAGTATTCCCAAGGCAAAATAAGAGTGCAATCAGCATTGCAAGGCCCAAAATTCCGTTGACAATTATGGTTGCGACTATGGCCCAAGGAACAACTGTCGTAGCATTGTGGACCTCTTCAGCCACTGTGGAGAATCTCTTAGCATTACTTCTTCATAAAGAATGTAGGAGGATTAAGTATGCCTTAAGAAAGCAAGGGAGTTTCGGAGTTGAATGATGTTCCGTAGCATTTGGTACGGAATCTGGTGAAGGGACAAAGAACTTGGTGGATACTAACTATGGTTGGCGCTGTCAGCTCCTTCAAAGGGGTTAGCAGAATATCATTTATTAGGCTGGATTAAGCATTACCTGTGAAAGTGTAGACACTGGTAATAATCCCAACGAAAAATGACAACCCGTCAGTGCTCCATCCGCCTCCGTTGATAAAAGTTGCAAAGACATCTTTCGCATCGCCATGAGGACCCAAATACACCAACGGAATAAGCACTGCGAAGAATCCAATTACATGGATTGTAAGAAATACTCCCTCAACCTTAGGAAGCCATCTTGCTAGGAATGTGTTTATAAATACCATAAAAGCTAGAACAGCATAATAGAGGAGTGTGCCTTGCCATCTAGTAGGCACGTAGTTGGGCTGATTGAGGATGATTAGTCCTTGGATAATTGTTGCTCCGAGGAAACCCGCAGAAGCTTGGCCGAACTCCCAGGCAATTACTGTAAGCCAACCTTTCACAAGATGTCAGCATGTAGTATGGTTGACATTGCATCATCTTACCTGTAATAAAGCTGAGGAATTTTGCTGTGCTGGGCGGCGCTAAAATAGACACCCAATGGTATTGCTGGCGAACAGGTCAGAATGTATGCCAATCTTCCAACAAATCACTGTGGGGATTGAAGAACACACCCCACCTGCTAAAGGCATCCTAAGCAACCGTCAGTGTTCTGAAACCCAACATCTCGCTCTGGACTTACATCGAAGCCAACTCTGCCAATGAAGCCATCGACGCGAGTGTGCCACTAGCGAACTCAAGTTAGTGCTGAGAAAATGACTTTGGAGATTTCATACACCCAACAGAAGATATAACCATAGACCAGGCCGGCAGGACCTCCATTCTCAAAGCCGTATAGGAAGACACTATACACAAGTTAGCTTGATCAATAATTAAAATTCAGAGCAGAAGAAGTATCGGAACTTGCGCAAGTAGTATTTCCCAAGTTGCTAGCAGACTGCAAATGAATCCGGTAATGGATAGGAAGCCGAATCTCCGCTGCTCCTCATCAGTGTCGAGACGTTACTGAGGCTCTGCCACTTAGTCCACGGACCTTCAGTTGTTCCTTTTTGCCATAGAATGCCATCTCTCTTTCGTCTCTGGTCATGTTGGACCAATTGCCGCCAACATCTGGAATTGGACTTGCGCTTCCGGCCTGATCGGCAAGCTCCAAGTCTCCAAAAGAACCGAGAGCCTTGTCATCCATGTTGATGTTGTTGTGAACAACTTTATCAAGATATCAAATGAAAATTAATGCTCAAAAGGCAAAAACTGGTGGGATTGCTTAGCGATGGCACTTTGAAATTCAGTTGATAAACGAGGAGCAGAAACGAGAAATCATGGAGACGAAACCCCATGAGCTGCTCGTATGAGAAGCGGGCCAATCTTATCCCCATCGGTGAGAGTGAAGATAAGGAGGGGAAGTGCGACCATGGACTTGATTGGCAGTCTCCTCACTTGGGGTTACATTCTCGCTTGGACTGAACCAGTCGATGCCGGAGTATGCAGCCAGGTCCATGTTTGACAGCTGCCACTCCGGGTCGCATCGAAAGCTCTGGGAACGGCAAGGCCCTAGCTTTCCCGGGTAACATTTTCCCTGGATCCGGCCTAAACCCCCACACCTACCTAGGTATGTGACCCTGCGCTTATGTTATATATTGGCCTTCCAAACTGTCGGTATGTGTGTGCATTGGATGCTGCGGCAAAGCATTCAAATCAGACGAATCGGAAGTGTGAAAGAAATCCTGCAATGAGAAGCTTTTTAGGTACGATGTCGGCCTCGTATCATTGCGTTTCCTTGACCAGAAAGCAATACAGGACCATAGACATGTTTATCAAAGACTGTGCTCGATCCGTTAAACTGTCATAGGAATACTAGAGATTTGTTAATATACTAACATGGGGTAAGATCGAAATCCCGTCCCACCAATGAACAATATCATCTGCCGTTCCGTCGGTATTGAACGCAAGAGATCATTCATGGCTTTGCTCTTACCCTTGAGCCTCCTACTTCGCGTGTACTATTTGCAGGGATGTTTCCCAAACCAGGGAAGTGAGACAGCTTTCAAGCATGTTCACGGACTTCTAATCTTGCACAGCCCAATAGGGATTCCTATAATTCTCCTCAAGCCAGCCCCTCGTCACGTTCTCAAGACGCCAAATCCAGTTAGAATATTGAATTGCTTCTTTCTTCAGACGATCGGCGTGCATAGAAACCTATGTGTGCGGGTGCGGGATTAGGGGTATTCCCGTTGGATTTCGCTGGCGTGCTGAATATGCCCGCGCGTTCAGAAACATTAGACCCTGTATCCTACAATGATATAATTATTGCATCATTTGGTCTGCGGAAGCCCTTCGTGTTGCCGCGTGAAGACTTCCCTGCTATCGTTTCGGATCCTGGGTCAGCTGTTGGTCCTAGATTCACTGCCTTTTGCTCGATTCGAAGATTGATTACTCTGGGACAGGCTTCATAGATGCTGGCTGAGTCCTGACAACTTATTATCAGACATTTCTCACAAGTTGACTTGTTGCTCCATCACTCATGCGAGTCTACGAGCGAGATGACAATCGTCGTTTCAGACAACAACGAAGGCCCCGTTGTGAACATAGCGGCCTGGTTTGGCACCACAGTGATGGTTCTTGGCGTGTGTACGCGCATGTGGAGCAAATACAGTGCTATGAGGAAGTGGGCCCTAGATGACGCTTTAGTTATTGTTACAATGGTAAGAACCCTCAGCATCGATGTATCGTGCTAATGGTTCCGTTGCAAGCTCTTGGGCTGTTCAATGACAGTTACTATCACGTTGGCGGTTGCAAATGGTTTGGGTACACCTCAATCATCTCTGACTGATTATCAGACAATCCGGCTTCAAAAGGTACTTTGCTCTCCATATTTTCGACTGCAGACAGTAGACTCATGCAGGACGAGTCAACCATGTCATAAAGAAACTTACATCTGAGTAGTACGGCTATGCATCGCAATTACTGTACATACCAGCGCTTTGTCTCACAAAAATGACAACGCTAGTGTATCTTCACGTTCTATCGCCAGAATGCCGTTTCCAAACGATGAACATGACATTGGAAGCCTTTACAATACTCTGGAGTCTGGCTGCTGAGTTTGCGATCGCCTTTCAATGTCAGCTACCTTCACCATGGGCAGCTATCTCCGGAAAATGCTTCAACACGGTACATTCGGGGTGCTATACAGTATGACCTATGATGACTGATAAATTAATAGGATACTTTCTGGAGAATCAATGGAGGGTTCGATATCGTAACGGACGTAATGATCGTCTTTCTTCCATTATACCTCGTCTGGTCCCTTGGGATGCCTTGGAGAAGGAAAGGCGTAGTTGTTATGGCGTTTGGTTCTCGACTTCTGTAAGAGGCACTTTCCACAATTTTCTAGAGCTCCTTGACTTGCTCAATGGCCTAACAAGCATGCAGAGTCATCCCATTCACAGCTTGGCGAATCTACTCCTTCTCTGCCATCAACCGTCACGATCAGACCCGCTCGTTGTATTACGTCTACCTAACCACTACTATACAACTCAACTTTGCCATCTTTATGGCGTGCGTCACATTCCTCAGACCCTTTCTAGAATCCACGGCTTCCGGTGGCCTGACGACTGTTGTCAACTCGACGAAGACCTCCTCCACCAGGGACACCCTTAGCTCGCTCTTTTCCTCCCAACCCCGCTCCGAATACAAAGTCTCCAGACCGAAACCGTCCTACGCAATGCAGAACTTGAGCGAAGTCGGCTTGAACGAAACCTTGAATACTACTCCAAGGAAGTCCGATTCGAACACCAATGGCTGGCATACCGATGCTCCTTCGATCAATAGCAACGAAATCAACCACCCAGCGCACATATACGGAATTGCAAGATGATCTTGGATGCACCGATACTATGGGGAACATCATCCAGAGGAGGTGAAAGCTCGATATCTGCAATAGCAACTGTTCTGAAGAGCATGATCACGGTCCTTCGTGGTTCCCAAGATTTGCAGGTGCTTTGAGAGATTACACTTGCAGTGCAATTCCAAGCATGACCTTGACATTATTCGAGATTTACACTCCCAACAACGCGAGACTGATCCGCATGATGACCGAGGTGAGGGTCTATAGTGCACTGCGAGATACGAAAGCAGATGTGGCTCTTGAAAAATCGTCGCGGAAGCTCACAGCTAACGGTATAATCATCTATAAAGTCACGAAAGTACTCAGATTACCAGCAGCGAAGGCTACAGAGGAGGAATTTGAACATACCAAAGGAATGGGGAAGAAGAAGCTCTGGCTGCCCAAGCTTCAGAAGAGACGGATATGAGCGATGAAGTGCGGGTATAAAGGGAGAATAAAAAGTTCTGGCGAGTTGCTCGGCTCGGACAGAGTTGGATCTGAACTCCATTCAGAGAAGTGTGACTGGGGCCTGAAGACTTCAATGATTTCAATGGGATATTTGATTACGATGAGGGTTTGTTCCAACGATATCGAGAGACAGCACCCGAACAATTGAGCAAAGACTGTGAATCGTGGATAGAAGAGAGATACCGGATTTGAAGACCATTGATACAAGCTTTGGCAGCCAAGTGCTCAGGCATAGGATGAGGAAGTGTTACGGTTTCCTGGGAGAATGTATGAGATTTGGGCCACAAGTAGCAAAGAAATGAAATTCCGCTTGCATTTTTTTGGGTTGCTCTATTCGGCTCCTAGTGAACCTTCGAAAAAAGATATGATGTGTATCACTTTCTAGGTGAAGCATACTTGCATAGTGTTATGGATGGAGTGATCATTGAGAAGATAGATACTAGTGTTTACCAAATTAAGGCTTTTTCAATGATCTAACTTTTTGGTTTCTTGACTTAATACTATCCGAGCAAGAATGGCCACGCTCGTGAATCAAGGAAAGACTGAAATGTATGTCTCGTTCAGTATGCTGCTTGAAACACAGAGAGAGATGCTGGTGACTGACAGTTTGAGGATCTTCTGCTGGTCCAGCTTCCATCGCCGGTGCCCAAAAATAGTTGAACCACATTTGAAACTGCCACTAGGTGGAAATGCTTGACACGGTTATGTATGAATAGGTGTAATTGGAAGTTGCCACATTAAGTTCGCGATCTCAAGAAGCAGATCACCATCCCTAGATAATTATGAAGGCAAAAGCGTGCCTCTAATTCATTATGCTACCTGAAACACCTACGCCTGCTAGTGTACATCCTGCCAGTCCATCTTAGACGTCTAGTTGTATTGCATGTAAGTAGCAGTAGAGTTGAACTTCAAGTTCCCCTTAATGACCTTGTCTACCGCACTCAAGAAGTCCTTCTCGGTAGCAACCTTTCTTCGTGCTCGAATGGCGAACATACCAGCTTCTGTGCACACACTTCTCAACTCAGCACCAGTCGAGTTAGGGCAAAGACGTGAAATCAGCTCCCATCTGATATCACGTTCGACAGACATGCTCTTGGCGTGGATTCGCAGGATGTTCGCACGTCCCTCGAGATCTGGCAGGGAGAATTCGATCTTTCGGTCGATACGTCCCGGTCTCATCAAAGCAGGATCCAAGGTCGAAGGTCTGTTGGTGGCGAACATGACCTTGATATTTCCTCGTGCATCGAAACCGTCCAGTTGAGTAATCAGCTCCAACATAGTTCTCTGCACTTCATTGTCTCCTCCAGCACCATCATCGAAACGAGCACCTCCAATGGCATCAATTTCGTCGAAGAAAATGATACATGCCTTCTTCGTTCGTGCCATCTCAAAAAGTTCTCGTACCATCCTTGCTCCCTCTCCAACGTACTTCTGTACCAGCTCGCTACCAATAACTCGAATGAATGTCGCGTCTGTTCGGTTGGCGACAGCTCTGGCGCAGAGAGTCTTTCCAGTTCCGGGAGGGCCGTACAGCAAAGCACCCTTTGGTGGGTCGATACCGAGATTTACGAATCGTTCTGGTGATAATAGTGGCATTTCAACAACCTCCCGTAGCTTCTCAACCTGTTCCTTGCATCCTCCAACGTCACCGTACGTAACATCAGGCTTCTCCTCGACCGTCATCATTGTAACACTGGCATCGATCTTGGGAGGTAATGGGAGGAGGATCTGATACTTGTTTCGATCGACACTATAATAGTCAGCATCACGTAGCCTTTCTCGATGTAGAACTGCTTACCCAACTCTCATACCCTCCTCGATATCCGTAGGACTGACACGCTCCCCAAGATTGACCACGAATTTGGCTATTTGCTTAACGTTGATCACATATTTGCTCTTCTCGGCATCTTTGTCGTCTGCAATGATCTTTGTGCATCGTGCGACTTGGAGAGGTTGCTCTTCGGACATTCGTTGTCTATCGGCAGCAACATCCCAGAGATGAGGTGGTGCTAGTCCAGTATCTGATTCCTGCGTAATGTAAGGGCTTGTTTCCAAGGCTCAGATCTACCTGCCGTACCTTGACTCCAATCTTCTCATTCACGCTGTTCTGCTTCTCCTTGATTTGCTGCTCGAGCTTCTTGATCCCTGAAGCATATGGTGCCGCGCCATATGTCTTCAGCACTTGGATATCCCTAACATTGATGAGTATTGATAGGTTTGATTGTTTGGAAGGCAACGTACTCATCGGTGAGAGGCGTGATCTTCTTCTCTTCTATCTCATCGTCCGCGAACTGTACATGATTTTAGCCAACGATCCAGGGCCCAAAGAATACTGGAACACCTACATCCTTTTTGTGTTTCTCCCAGTCCCGACCAACAGCGCTTTTTGGTCTTCATGTTAGCTTGGACGTCCTGGGGCTAGGGGGAGGAGACTCGGAGGGAGAGAGAGGCCGGCGTCTTGCTCCTCAGGCGCAAGCGGCCAGAGGAACTGGGGACACCGGTGGGACAGCGTGATGGAACTTACCTAGGCATCTTGAATGATTGTGGGTTTGCGGAAGATTGAAAGAAGGATAATTCGAGAGGACAGCGTTGAAGTTCGTTGAAATTCGTGGATGTTGTTGACCTCAAGGCAAGCTTCCAAATGCGCGGCAACTGAATAAGCTAGCCCGGATCGGATCAACCTTCCACCGTAGAAATTCCGCGTGAAGACGAAAATCGCGTACCTTGATCAGGCAAGACCGCGACGACAGCTATTTTTCACAAGTTCACGAAAGTTACTCTTCTTCTTTCTCCTGAGATAACTTGGTAAACTTCAAGATGGCTCTCTCCCAAGCTTCAGCGAATTCTACAAATGCGTCCTTCAAGGTATGAGCTCTGGGAGCTTCGAAATATTTTGACTGTAGTTAATATTGGCCATGTAGGATAAAGAGAAGCCTATGGCAGTGCGCGCGGCGAATGTAAGTTGGAATCCGAGCAGAGATAGGACATATGCTGACTTTGAACTCTACAGATTCTTGCTGCAAGAGGTACATACACCCCGCGGGCCTAGATTATCATATACTGACCTGTTCAGCTGTTGCCGATGCTGTCAGAACCTCCCTTGGACCCCGCGGTATGGACAAGATGATCCAGTCAGGCAAAGGAGAGACTATCATCACGAATGACGGCAATACCATGTTGAAGAGCATGTCTGTCATGCACCCCTCAGCAAAGATGTTGGTCGACCTATCAGCAGCACAAGATGTTGAGGCAGGAGATGGAACTACATCAGTTGTGGTTATTGCAGGAAGTCTCCTTGGTGCGGCAGACAGGTTATTACAAAAAGGCATACATCCTTCAGTTATTGCGGAGAGTTTCCAAAGAGCAGCAGCAGCGGCTGTTCAAGTTCTTCACGACATGTCACATCCTATCTCTCTGAACGATACCTCAGCCCTCCTCCAAGCTGCTACGACCTCGCTTTCCTCAAAGATTGTCTCTCAACATTCGAATATCCTCGCTCCTATGGCAGTTACCGCTGTCACCAAGACCATCGACATCAAGACAGCGGACAACGTGGACTTGAAGAATATTAGGATATTGAAGAAAGTCGGAGGTACGATCGAAGACAGTGAGATGGTAGACGGGCTTGTTCTGGATCAACCAGTTGTCAAGAGCGGTGGTGGACCAGTAAGAATGGAGAAGGCTAGAATTGGTCTTATTCAATTCCAGCTCTCACCACCCAAGCCAGACGTACGTCTTCCTTCCTTACTAAAAAGGCTGCGTTGCTAATCTATCGCAGATGGAAAATCAAATCGTAGTAAATGACTACCGCCAAATGGACAAAATCCTCAAGGAAGAACGAACCTACCTCCTCAACATGGTCAAGAAGATCAAGAAAGCAAAGTGCAACGTCCTCTTCATCCAAAAATCGATTCTCCGCGACGCAGTCAACGATCTCTCTCTCCATTTCCTCGCCAAACTCAACATCCTCTGCATCAAAGACATCGAGCGTGACGAAGTAGAGTTCATCTGCAAGAGCACCGGCTGCAAACCCATCGCCGATATCGACTCCTTCACAGAAGACAAACTCGGCAGCGCAGACCTAATCGAGGAAGTCCAAAGCAGCGGCAGTCGAATCGTCAAAGTGACAGGAACCAAGAGCGCCGGAAAGACAGTCAGCATCGTCTGCCGAGGCGCCAACTCCCTCATCCTCGACGAAGCAGAGCGATCTCTCCACGACGCACTTTGTGTTATCCGCTGCTTGGTTAAGAAGAAGGCCCTGATCGCCGGAGGAGGAGCACCAGAAATCGAGATCGCGTCCCAGCTATCGAAGCAATCGAGAGCACTAAAAGGCACGGAAGCTATCTGCTGGAAGGCATTCGCGGACGCTATGGAGGTGATCCCTACCACGTTAGCGGAGAACGCTGGTCTGAACAGCATCAAGGTCGTTACGGAACTGAGACATAAGCACGAGTATGGAGAGAAGAATGCGGGTGTTAGTATCAAGAGCGGCGGAGTCAAGATCGATATCGCGGATGAGAATGTGTTGCAGCCGTTGTTGGTGAGCACTAGTGCAGTGGAGTTGGCTGCTGAGACGGTGAAGAGTGAGTCTTTCCCCTTTCAGAAATTCTGGTGCCAGAAGATGAGAAGCTAATTTGTAACAGTGATCCTAAGAATCGACGATATCGCCTTATCGAGATAGATAATGAATACGCGGGTAGGAAGTGACTTGATAGCGATGATTGATTGTAGAATAGACAGGTCATGTAGCAATATCAAAAGTCATGAATACTTGCCTATACCAACAAATCACTGTCGTGCTAGGAAATTAATTTTCCCGAGCAATAGATGTCGGATTGAGATGACTGCTACGCCCCTTCTTATTCTGTATTCCAAACTCTTGAAGGCATCTCATGCATACCTAGGCACTATGGATGATTAGGCCTTGCTACGTGCATTGAAACAAAGTCCTCGTCTCCTACTAAATAATGAGATGAACGTCTCTGTTCGAGAATCACTTGCTTTATTTGAGTAGCACTTACTGCAATCGATTAGTATTTTTTTGTCTAATAGTATCTGAACAGAATCTCAGAGGTGATATGGGCAACAAAACTCGACCCTGACTTGCTTCTTATTGCACAAGTATTTGCAAAGCACTTATTGGTTTCTAGTAACCGAGTCCTTTCTTTAAGTAGCACTTACTCTACTTAGGTATTGAATAAGTGCTCAGAAGTACGATCTACAGCAAAATTCACCACAAAGTCACTTAGTTACCATTAGACACCCCAATTAAAAAAAAACAGAAATCAAATCTTCATAATTCATTGCTCACTACTCTACCTACTCCCACTACCTATTTTCTTTCTTGTGTTATTTCTTGCTTGCATGAAAAAATCCACCACCCGCAAAAAAGGAAAGGTATTCGCTCCACACATTGCATTGCCAAAACATGTATCCAAAGCAGAAACATTGTGTTCGCGTGCCACACACAGACATCGACCTTCACACCCGAACCACGCTCCGATGTTTACATCCCGAAATTCGCGCATCTACTTACTCCCTCGAACATTCACAACCCAATGCTCGCATACCTGCTCACTCACTAATACTCTTCCTCGCCCTCCCCAGGCTCAAAGCTATCCGCAGCAACCTCCTCATAATCCTTCTCCAACGCCGCCAAATCCTCCCTCGCCTCACTAAACTCCCCCTCCTCCATGCCCTCACCCACATACCAATGCACAAACGCGCGCTTACTATACATCAGATCGAACTTATGATCCAACCTAGACCACGCCTCCGCAATCGCCGTCGTATTGCTCAGCATACTGACGCTCCTGTCCACGGACGCCAGCGCGCCATCGTTGGGAGACGTAGAGGGCACCGACATGGGTTTTTGGTAGTTGATGCCGAGCTTGAAGCCCGTGGGGCACCATTCGACGAGGTTGAAGGAGGTCTTGGCTTTGAGGGAGGCGACGGCGGCGTTGCAGTCGCGGGGGACGACGTCGCCGCGGTAGAGGAGTGCGACGGCCATGTATTTGCCGTTGCGGGGGTCACAGACTACCATTTGGTTGTTGGGTTCGAAGCATCTGTTTATTCCGTCATTAACCATTTTCTCTTGTCCACATCTGAGGGAAGGAATAGGGATGAAGAGAGAGGGAGCAAAGGGAGAAAAGAAAGGGGAAACAAACTGCAAAGTCAAATCCTGCGTCTTGAAACTCTCATGACTACTCTTCGCCGCCGAAATCACAGGCGCGTAACTGATCAACGGATAATGGATCCTAGGATACGGCACGAGATTCGTCTGGAACTCATTCAAATCGACATTCAACGCGCCGTCAAACCTCAAACTACTCGTAATCGAGCTCACAACCTGCGCGATCAATCGATTAAGATGCTCGAAGGACGGACGAGGGATGTCGAGGTTTCGACGACAGATGTCGTACACGGCCTCGTTGTCGACCAGGAAAGTACAGTCCGAGTTCTCGATGGTGGAGTGCGTGGATAGGACGGCGTTGTAGGGTTCGACGACGGCGGTGGAGACGCGGGGCGCGGGGTAGACGGCGAATTCGAGTTTGGATTTCTTGCCGTAGTCTGTGGAGAGGCGTTCGAGGAGGAGGGAGCCAAAGCCTGAGCCGGTTCCTCCACCGAAGGAGTGGAAGATTAGGAAGCCTTGGAGGGAGGAGCAGTTATCCTATATCCCAACAAGTCAGCTCTTATTTTCCAATCTTCACTATGAAAAGAATAGGGAAAGTGTAAGTGAAGGAGACAAACCAAAACCCGTCTAATCTTATCCAGCGTGCCATCCAAAATCTCCTTCCCAATCGTATAATGACCCCTAGCATAATTATTCGCTGCATCCTCCTTCCCACTAATCAACAACTCGGGATGGAACAGTTGTCTATAATCCCCCGTACGGATCTCATCTATAGGCGACGGGTCCAGGTCCACGAAGATGGAGCGCGGGACGTACTTCCCGGATCCCGTTTCCGTGAACACGGTGTCGAGCTCGCCGGAATCGTGGAGGGCTTTGGCGTCGGGGTCGGGACGTCCATCTTGCTTGAGGCCGTGTTCGAGGAGGTATCTGGAGGCGGGTTAGCTAGGCAGGTTGAAGACGGGAGGAGGGAGGGAGATGTACAGTTCCCAGGCGCTGTTTCCGAGTTGGGTGCCGGCTTGGCCGATGTGTAGGTGTAGAATCTGAGGGGATGTTAGATGATATCTCTTTGCTTTTCTACTCCGGTGTTGGGATGAACACAACACAGCACCAATCTGCCCCTGAATTCCCCCTTCCCCGCAAACAAACGCGAATCACAGAGTAGACATACCTCTCCTCTCGTCATCTTGACTGTATCTTTACTTTCCGCTCTCTAATTTTCAGTCTTCCTTCTTGCGTGTCTCTTGCTTTCTGAGTAGAAGATGGGATGAACTCCTGTCACGACGGAGCGAGAAAGGAGACAAAGTCGGAGGTGGGTTTGAGCTGGATGCTGAATTGTGCTTGATGGTGGGGTCTCGAATTATGCACGAGCGAGGGGTCAGAACCAATGAGTGACGCGCCACAGCAGAGGCGGTGTGAAACCCCTGCAGCGACGGATGTGCCGATTGTTTATCGTCACGTGGAGGAGTTGCATTTAATTGGAAGGGGAAGAGCAGGGCTAAGGGTTAAGAACTATTTATTGAGAGAAGAAGTGCTGGTTGTTTATTACACGAAACTGTACGCGTTGTTGTTGTGTTGCACTGTTGCTGCGGTAGTATGGTGACAGGAACACAGCATACCTACGCATCTGAAGTATAGCACGACATATTGAGGTCACAAGGCATAAGTAGCAAAGCTGGACGATTTGCAATTTCCATTCCATGCTATGGTACAAACGCAGACTGAGGTAGCTAATTCGCAGCTATGAAGACAAAGCTACCTCCCTGCTGCATAACATCGTAACGCCATGTATCTTTTCGGAGAATCGTTTTGTCCACCTTTCCCTTTTAATAATTGAGCTCGCCCGAACCACCACCAGCCACAGCATCAAGATCTTCATAAGACTTGAGACTTCTGCCTTGGACGGCTTCACGGGGACCAACCGCAGCACCTCCAGCTGCTCCATCACCCCAACGACCACTACCCGACGCCATACCTCCACGACGTGATCCAGGCGGTGGACTGAGTCTACCAGCATCTGGTCGTTGTCGGCGATCGTATGGACCAGCGCGAGCATTATTTTGGTAGGGTCTACCGCCTCTGCGAATTGGACCTGCACCACGATCGGCTGCATTCCATCCAGCGGCACCGGGAACGGCACCAGGGAAGAAAGGCGCGAATCCTTGTTGACCAAAACCTTGCATTGGCGGCATACCAGTCAAACTGAAGTTCTGAAGATTGAATCCTCGTGGAGTTCCAGCTGGGACATGACCATTCGAAGGAGGGAAGTGACCATTGCTATTAGCATCCGATCGTGACGGAGCTATGTGAGCAGGATCCATGACATAGGTATTGATGAGATCAAACTGCGGAAAGTTAGTCAAATTCATGACGAAGGATAAGCAACTTCACTTACGTCTTTCTTCAAGCCCTCTAGCCATTCTGGATGACGCTTCTCCACGTGCTTCTTCCAGAAATGTTCCTCCTTGAAAAGCTTGGTACACTCTGGGACCCGGCATCTGAACTTGTGGTCATCTTCCTGCTTCACATACTTGGCCAATTCTTCCTTCAATGCCTCCTCAGTTGGCTTTCCACCCAGCTTACGTACATCAACTGATTCTGGTTCGAGAATTTGCATGAGTTTTTCTTCGAAAGTCTTGACCCAGTTGAAAGCACGCTGAAGTTGCTGTTCTGCCTTCGAAGCTGTGCTGTTACGTTGGAACTTTCGTTCTTCTCCTGGAGACATTGGTCCTGTCTCCGAATCTTCGGTCAAGTCTGTATTGGTTCTCTTCTTTCCAGGAAAAGGTTCGCCCAGCGCACTGGCTTTAGCTGCAGCCTTTCCAGCAGAGCTCAAAGTGTTGCGTGGTCGACGGAGATGACCTCCTGGACATTTTCGGATGAGTTCGTGGATTGAATCGCTCTCGAAAACGCAAAAGAAGCAGAAGTTGAAAACTCGGCGAAGATACTCGACCATCAGATCAAGCTGCTTCTTCTTGACAAGAAGATCTTCATCATCAACCTCATCGTCTAAAGCACCTTCCTCCTCGTCGTCTTCCTCTTCCTCTTCAATCTCCTCTCCCTCGTCCATTGCCTCATCAAGACCAAGGTAATCACGAGTTTTCTTGACCTTCTTGACTACTGGTGCAGTTACAGGAGGTTGTAAGCGTCCTTGCTGCCTGAGATCTTCAACACGTTCCTCGATCTTCAAAACAGCATTGAAATCCGATTCGTAGTCTTCCTCGTATTTCTGAACCAAGCGTTGCGCGAGCTCCAGGTCCTTCTCAATACGTTCTGGTGCTGAGAACAAGTCCCACAAAGCCTTCTTCCGTGGCTGAGTTGGGGGAGCGTGAACTCCAACGTGACAAGTGAAATCTCCTCTAGCTTCGTCCTTGACAGTCTTGCCGTTGATCGCCTCCAAAGCCTTCACAGCTGTGCTCTCAGGGACTGGTGGAGCTACAATCTCAACATCTCCATCCTCATCCTTGGGTTCCGGTCGGTCAACAATAGGAATTGCTTCTGGGGCTGGATGTAACATAACCCATCCGATACGATGATAACGCTTGCTCGGATTTGGATCGCTCAAGCTTAACCACTTAAAGCCGCCTTCATCTTCACCTAGATGCTCTTTGCAGAAAGCTTCCAGATTTTGACGGCTGACATGAGGTGCAATGGTCTTGATTAGGAGAGTAGGTTGGTATGCGTTCTCGTCCCTGATATCACTTCCTCGAGAAGGAACAAGATCACCAACACCAAGCACCTCATTGGTAGCTGTAGTCTCTCCCTCTTCCTTCTCAACAACTCCTCCAGCACCGTTGCTTTCATTCTTTGGAATACCTTCCAGAGAATACTCATCGAATGTTCCCGACTCAAGGTCTTGTTCCCACTGGCTATAGTTGCCTCGTCGAAATTCGTTGAGCTGTGCCTTTAATGGATCTCGGACTTCTGCGTAGTACCTCTCCTGGAACCATTGTTCGGTCTTGTGCTCTTGAACGAATGACCTCGCCATCTTGGCCTGTAACTCCTCTTTGTACGCATCGTACGCTACCTGAATCCTAGCCTTTTCCTTTTCGCGTTCTTCGGGTCCATCACGACGAGGCTCCGGTCGTCTGCCAGTCTTGATGCGTTCCTTTTCTTCCTTAATCTTCTCATTTGTGCGCCACCATTCACCGAAGTATGAAAAGCCTACTTGAAATGCGAGCATAGCTGGGTCTTGAAGAGGATTGGCAGTGATTGCGGGAGGATCTTGACCGGGAACATATCTGTCAATATTTATAGGAGCAGGCGAACGGCGGGTATCACGATCGCGTCCTCGATCTCTTCTGTCATAATCGTCTCTTGGAAGGCGACCGGATGGCTCGTAGCGATCAACGATTGCTGGCGATCGACTTCGGTCTCGTGTTCGGCGACCACGATCAACTCCTGATGAAGAAATGTAAGCGAAGTGTTCAATGGAATGAATGAATAAGAAAGGGATCTCGTTTCAAGATTGCGACAGTGACATTGTCCTGTAGAACGGCATCCAGCCTCGCAACTGCAGGTAGCGGATGTAGCCGCTTGGGTGAGACAGAAAACTCTCGAAAAGTGAACATACCGGGAGATCTGCCACGGTAGAAGTTATCATTGCGCGAATTGTCCGCACGGTCATTCGGCCTGTATCCATCGTCGCGACTGCTCCAGCTTGTTCTTTCCTGAGGCGACCTCGCGAGGGGCGGCTCTCTGTAACTCGGATATGCATCCATTGTATGATAAGCTCTGGGTCGATAATATGATCCGGTTGGATGTGTTGGAAATCGAGGGATCTCGTTCGCCAATCGAAGTGGTAGAACGTGAGGTTCTCTGAAGTGGATCGCGAATTCGTCGTAAGGAGGGGTTTGTCGATTGTCAAGTGACACCAGGTGCTTGTTGAAGTGAGGATATGACAACGGAGCTACTGCTGTTTGGCGACATGATTGCCTGTCAGAGAGGAGTGTTCAAAAAGCAGAAAGAAGTATAAAGTATAAAGTATAGAGCAGCAGTAATGATGATAATTGGGGTGTATTGGGGGGCGCGAGTTGAACGAGTGAGAAAATTGAGGTAGAAAGGTTGGATGTCAGCGCCTATCAATGGCTAACGAACGAGGACGACGACAACTATCTGATCTCGAAAAGAAGAGGAGAAGCTGAAGCTGCGAGACACTTTCTTGAAAGGTACAAGGGCTGGTTTGGGGGAATAATAATAAAAAGGATTGACGAACAAGATGATTGAGGACTATTCCACAGCTGCTGTTGCGCAGGACTGTACTCATCCACGGCGAGGTTGGAGAGGTCGACGAGAGGAAGAGGATGATTGAGAGTGGGAGAGTAAGAGGAGGAGGTCGGCTGAAGGCTGCGACGACGAGCCATTGGGTCTGGCTCCGAGTCGAGTTGGGGCGCGACCATTGTGGTTGGATGGGGGCTGGAGAGCGCGAAGACGGCGTGGACCTAGGAAAGACTTGGGTACTGAAATGCTTGGGGGTTGTCGTTATTGGATGAGAAGGAGAATAAAAGCGGGGACAGCTCGAGAGTGGACTAGAGCCATATATAGCCTAGTCTAGCCGATTCGTGGACTTTCCGGGGTGCCACATTCACCAGGCACGCTTACGTTCCAAGACAGCTTTACTGGCTGGAGTGAAGGGTGAGCTGATCCTGGGTACATGAGATGGGACCATATCTTCGACCACCCGTTTCTTCTTCTGTCCTACAATCTTGACGTTGTTAAACAACGTCAATTGTTGAAAGAAAATAACAATCAAGCTGTAAGTGCACTATTCAATCCCTTTCATCTCATATATTTCCTTTTCTTTACATTGTTCGAGCTTCAGTACATGTGATCCTACGTCATTTCGAGGGGAGCTTCGAGCCGTTGTTGTCCTTTATCACAACAACATTTACTCTTCCCATACTTCATTTCTTTCCATCTTTCCAGACCTTCAATCCTACAAATCACAATCAAACATTGAAACTCAGCTAACCTCACACTCCCCAGCATCGTCGAAATGACGACCTTCATCCCCTCCCTCACGCTCCCAGCAGCAATCTTCGCCAACCCCGCTGCCTCAATCCTATTTCCCATAGCCTTAGGAACCGCAGTAGGATTTTCCGTTCGACGTATGTATTCCATCCCAATCCAATCACCACTTCTCTACTCCTCCATCTCAACAAACAGCACAACTAACTCTCCTCCCTCTCAGCAAAAGAAACCCAAAAAACCTACCTCGCCCTTCGCCAACCACCCTACCGCCCACCCCCCTACGTCTTCGGTCCAGCATGGACTGTATTATACGGCCTCAGTACGTCAACCTCTACCCCAATTTGAATCCATCCCAGAAATCGACGCCATCGTAATCATGCTCGAGAGCGATTCACCAACGAAGATACATTTCCCGTCCTCGCACGAGCTACTCAGCTCCCACATCTTTATCAAAACTGTATACTGATTTATTATGTCAATAGTGGGCTACTCCGCCTACCGCGCCTACAGCACCGGCACCTCGCCCCTCTCCTCCGCCTCCAAGCTCCTCCTCACCAAGCAAGGCGCCACACTCTACACCATCCAACTCGGGCTAAACCTAATCTGGATGCCGCTCTTCTTCGTAGCAAAGCGACCGATTGAAGCGACGGTTGACATCGTGGCGCTTACGGGCGTGACGGGGTATTTGGCGTATGTGTGGGGGCAGGTTGATGAGGGGGCTGCGTGGGCGTTGGTGCCGTATCTTGGGTGGTTGGGGTTTGCTACTTATTTGAGTGCCGGGGTTGGGTATTTGGTGAGTTTTTTTTTTGTTTCCTTGGTTTTAAGTTGGGGTGAGGGATGAGGGCTAATGAGAGGAATAGAATGACTGGAATTTGAAGGATAAGGAGGTTGATGCTAGTCCGGCGGGGAAGGATACTAGATATGTGGATGAGAAGAAGTAAAGTCTCAATTCTTATAACTAAAACACGGTGGCTTTGGGTGGACAGTATGGGGAAGTAACTCTCTTCTTTCAGATGGAGAAGTTAAGCAATGCATTCTATGAATAACAAGTCAAATTTGAAAGTTCAGTGATGGTGCGCAATTCAGAGTACAGAACTAAGTCCAGTTTTGACTATCTTCCAATGTCCAACACCCGGACGGACATTCACAGGTAGATGTGTAATGTTTGACACAGCCTAAAGTATTACAAACACCTAATTGTCCTGCAGAAGCAGAGAGATTTGAAAGTCATTGATGTTGAAAATGGGCCCAGTACTTGAGGCGCGAAATTTTGTCTGTATCCTTTTCAGTTCCTCATAGGGCGATAGATTCAGCTGGTGAACCAGACAATAAAGACTTGATTTCTCCTCTCCTTCACCCCTAGATCACAATTCTCGAAGCCTTCACTCGCACACATACGAGAGAGCATCTCGTCTTCATCTCAAATCTCTCCAATTTTTGTATCCATCCCAGGCCTATTGAACCATGATATCTAAGATTCTGCCTTTGAACTTTTTGAAAACAACGCCGCCATGCTGGACCAACTTTCAGTTCTGGTTTTCGGGGGTATGTATGCAAATCCACCTCCATCCATCTGAGAACGCCGAAGTAAAAAACAATATGACCTATCCAGTTCCCATCCATCTATACCTCATGCACGCTCGTATATATTTGAAAAGAAAAAAATATGCTCCGCCAAATGCTCACCACACCGCTACCTACATCCGAGGATACCTGACCCTGACATTCAAGAAAGATGAAACCTCCCCTTCAAAGCATCAAAGATAATAAAAATAAAGGCACTACTGGGCGCACTCCTCATAACCGTAATCCCACACCCTCTATACAACCCCTTAACCCCATACGCCCTCCAAATCGCCACGCCCTCCTGCCAGAACTTCTTCTGCACTTCCGCTTTATTGTCGACGGCCACCGTCTGCATCCGGCTCTTGATCGTGTCCGCGGGGAAGAAGAGGAAGTTGTACGACATTCCTGCTGAGGCGCCAGCGAGGGCTTGTTGCCAGAGGGGGAGGGGCGTGAGGTCGAGGTCTGAGGATGTTGTTGGGAGGTTTTGGGGATTGGGGTTCTTGTGCTGGGGGAGAGAGGAAGTATTGGTAGCTGAGCGAGAGTTTAGATGTCGAAAGAGGAGAGTGACGGTTTCTTTGCTGCCGAACCAAGCTGCACAACCGCCAGTCTCCCGGATCAGTGTCCCGAGTTGACCATTCCAGAAGCCGCGGAGGCCTTGGTGTCGGAATACTTCTCGAATTACTGCCAATGGGGTGGGCGTTTTGCCCGTAGAGGCAGAGATGGGAACTTGTATTTTGCATTTTACGAGCTCGACGGGTGTGAGTACCAGACTTGTAAAGGCGCCTGAGATGGCGCCCGTGAGCCAGAGGGCAGAGAGCGGGAGGGGTTTCTCGCGCTGGTAGAGGCCTGCTGCGAACAGTGATTCGCGGCCTACGCGTTCCCAGAAGAAGAGGGAGGAGGTTTCGAGAGCTGCGCCCACGAGAGGCGCGGAGATGCCGCGGTAGAGACCCAGTATGCCGTCGCTGCGGATAGACTGGCGGAAACAGTCTAGGGGACCAGTGTAGCGGAGAGGGAGGTGGTCAGGTTGAGATTGTAGGCGGACTTTGACTGTGTCGAAGGGGTATTCGATGTATTTTCCTGCTACACCGGCGATCTGGTGGGGTTAGTTTTGTGTGACGATGATATAAGGGAGGGGTGAGTTACAGAACCAAAGACGATATCTTCCACGGCGTCCATGAGAGCTTCGTGTCCTTTGACTGTAAAGACTGGAGTTGGTTGAGGAGCAATTTCTGCCGTCGTGAGAGTAGCCATTTTCCAGAACAAATCACTGTCGTAGTGGAGCTTCCGTGATCGGTGGTGGGCTCAATTATGACAGAATTGTTGTTTCTTTTTGGGATCCTGTATCCAATGTATCTTGCCACCAACTAATAGATCCCAGCAGAAACTTCTTTGTAACAATGGCGCAATGTTGGGGGATTTGTTCGAGTAATTGGGGTCCAACTTGTTGCACGCCACTTTGCACGACAACAGTGAACCTGTTTCCCAAAGTGACTGACGTGGATGTGGCACGGATGCTGAAGAGCAAGAAGGCACATGGAGCACTTCTTGCCTTTTGTTATATTCCCATCAGAATGTGTGTGCCAAGGTGAAAGGTGGTGAAGTGTGGAGAAGGAGAATTGGAGACGGAAGAAGACGTGTGTGGTGGTCGATCCTTATCGATAGCCCGGAGGAAGCATTTCGAGAAGCGGTCTGAGGGTTAAATTTAGGCTTAAATTGAGCCCTTTCGTCTTCAAAATAGCTCAAGAATAGGTATTGAATGACCAGAGCTGAAGAGGGGTAAAAATAATTTTGTACTCGAGTGCAACGGTACTTGCATCTCTGACGCGTCTTTTGCTGCTGCAGAAAAAAAATCTCTCAAGACTAGAAAACGAATTGCGGGCGCGGCCTCTAGCGCGGATTTAATTTTCAATCTGATAACAATTATCTGATCCTCCACTTTTTCTTTCTTTTTGCGGATCGAGACCCGCATCACAATCTTGGCGGCAATTGAAACTTTTGAATTTCTCCATTATTTTCTTCAGAGACGTCGAAATGTCTACAGAAGTCGCAACTGCTGCTACGGCACCTCAAGTTACTGCGCAAGCGCAAGGAATGCGCAAGAATGGTATTGCTTTCAATCCGTCCTGCCACTTTTCCCAAGTCTAACGGTGTGTAGGAAAGCAATGGCATCCCCAAAAATCTGCTTTTCGTCCTACGTCTGGTATGACTTCGTATGAGAAGCGACAGGAAGAGCGGAAAGCTACTGCGGCTGTCAAGGCCAAGGAGAAGGAGATGAAGGAAGAGAAAGAGGCCGAGAGACAGGTGGGTAGTCTTGGAGGGGTAAAGTGGAGGATCGAAGCGCTGACAGGTCTATAGAGGAGGATAACTGCTCTGAGGGACAAGCGTGCTGCAAAAGAGGAGAAGGCTCGGTATGAGAAGTTGGCAGAGACGATGCATAGAAAAAGGGTGGAGCGATTAAAGAAAAAGGAAAAGAGGAATAAACTCTTGAAGTCATGATCAGAGCATTCTGTTCACGGTTATAACTGGGTATTCCTGGGATCTTCGACTCTCTGGGTGATCTCTCAAAATCATGCATATGGTGGCGTCTTGGTTTGATGGCATGGAAAAGGATCTGGTGTTTAGGTGCTCTTCTGAAGGGTTGGCAAAAAGAAGTCACGACAAGGAACATACTTGAACAGTATCGTGTCCAGCATACCAAGGAAGCAATACGCAATACTGCAAACTTGCATTGAGTAGGAATTTTCTCCTATAAGCTACAGCGACTTTTTGCAAGAGTCAGTGTTCAAGATAGAATATGCGCAGAGCACACTACACAAGAAGGTAGCCACATCAAGAAACCACAATAGCGCCCTTCATTCAGCTGTCAAACCCCCAATCAAGAGTCTACTCGCCAACTGTCCAAGACTACATTCTCTCTCCATACCTGGTATTTTCCACTTGGACATCGGCACGTGAAATCTGCACCAAAGTCCCACTCGGCTCCCGGACAAGCTCCATCCGTCTCCATTCGAGCTTCTGCCTCGTCACTGCACCTTCCCTCCCTTCACAAGCATTAACAATGAACACCCACCTCGCCGACTTCGGCAAACTGAAAGATTCCTCTCCCCCAAATCCAACTCCCACCCGCCCCAAACACCTCACAACCCGCTCCATCAGCGAAATAACCAGCATCCCCAAGGTCCATAAACACCACCACCACCCGCATCTACATCACCGAGACAAAGATCCCGCGGCCTCGAACCCGACTTTGAAGGTTCAGCCTAGTGTTGTGGATGTAGTTGGTGGGGAGAGGAGTAGGAGTGAGGGTGTGACGCCGAATGAGAGTAGGAATGTGAGTCGGAGGGGGAGTGTGAATGTTGCTGTAGTAGGGCCGTGGGAGGACAGTGTAGGGATGGGGGCTCTGCAGAGGGAGAAGAGAGTTGTCAAGGAAGGGGAAGTGAGGGAGGAGAGGGAGAGGGGTGCTTTGAGAGCAGCGTGAGTTTTGAAAGGTTCAAATCGAACTGGGAGTTTACTGACGGCGGATTAAGGGAACTACGAAATGCGTTGATGGGGTTGAATACGCTGTCTAATAATACGACGAGACGGCTTGATAATACATATTACTCGGTGCTGGAGAAGCTTAGTGTTTTGCAGAGCACGATATCATCGTTGAAGGAATTGGCTAGTATGACTAAAGACTTGAATCAAGAGTTCAAGAACGAGTCGGAGGAATTGGTTAGAGAAGTCAGTGCTCAACTGGAAGGATTCGGAAGCTTTGCAGAACAAGAGAAGCGGATTGGAGATCTCCAAGAGAGAGTGAAGGCTGGGAGGGAGCGAATCAAAGCTCTCGGCGGCCGGGTTGACATCGTCAAAGATCGCGTTGAGGGTTGGGAAAGAGCCGAAGGGGAATGGCAGGAGAGGACGAGGAAGAATTTGAGGATATTATGGATTGTCATCAGTTGCTTTATAGCTGTTCTTCTGGCTCTGGTTGCTTTCCAGTATACGCCTGCGATGACAGGACCAGAGGTACCAAGGGGTTTGAATACAACGGGCCTACTGGGAAAGGTGCCAGATTTCGAATCGTTCAAAAACGAAAGCCAAGCTCTGAAGAGAGAAGTCGAAGAGCGGTTAGACGGATCGATGAATAGAGCCCAGCCGGAAGAGAATCCGAGGCTGAGAGTCTTTGACGAGTTATGATATTGCATTCATGATACCCTTACTACTAGTTTGCAATAAAATATGGATCAAAAGCATGCCAAGAGTAGAGAGACAGGTGGGCAAAATCAGTCAGCTGGTTCCTGAGACCTGGGCGCCCAGGGAATAACTTGGATTGTGTTCGCACTGACTTGGCAACTACATGTTAATGTCCAAATCTGTGATGAACAACCTCATTCTCTTCAAGCTCTGTTCCCAGAATCAACATTCAGACTTTCGTATTTTCCGACAGGAAGAGGAAATACCACCTATTTTTAAATGTCGCAAAAAAAGAAGCAGAAACATGCATCGGCCTCAAGGTAGCTCCGTCTTGAGACATTTTAAGGCTCGCTCGCAAACCCGCAACGTGAATGTGTGGCGGCAGCGAATATCTTTCGTAGGCCCGATGACGACGTCCCAAGCCACCTGTGGCATCCCTGTCGAAATCATCACAAGCACCATCGCATTCAAGAAACCAGACTCTCTCCATTCTCTCCTCATAGAATAAATTAATATCTTCTCCATTCACTCACTCGCTCTCACCAGCTCGTATTGTTCTTCTTCTTTGCTCTCTATATTAACCACTACGTAAATTTCATTGAAAGAGAAAGAAAAGGGCGCAGGGCAGGGATTCTCGCATCGATCAAAAGTACCCCGCTGCGCAGCACTCGCAGTAGTCATCAAAGCTGCTACAGTACTCCAACAAATACCAGAGCCAAATTTCCCAAGCCACAAACCCTCACCAGGATACCCGCCGTCTGTCAGCTTTAGACCACTTCCCCTGAGAACAAGCAGCAGATCCTTCAGGAGTGGACTTTCATTCCTTCTCTTCTTGTGTTTGTTTACCGGTGTAACACACCAGCAAGATGGCAGCAGCACCGCCGGTACCGAATGGAAAAGCCCAGAACGGCTCTGCGATTCCTCCCCAATCGCCAGCGGGAACGGCAAATGGACAGGCGCTTACGGGGAAGCAAGAGCATTGTACATTCTTCTCCTCTCCCCAAATTTCTGTGTTTTCAAGCTGATTGATGTGCGGCAGATCTGAAGCGCGAGTTGATTTCTCACCAAGTCAAGTTCGAGATCACGGAACTGAACTCCCCAACGGCGCTCCAGCGCTTCGGCGCCCCGTTCAAGTCGGACTTTGGAGAGGTGTCGCCGCTGGACTCGGATCTGCCGATTCTGAGGTATATTTTTGTTCATCATGTGCGCGAGTTTCCGTTTCTGGATAAAGCGAAGGAGAAGGAGTTTTGGCAGGATAAATTACAGGTGGTGAGTGCTGTCCCACCATCTACGCAAGATTTGAGCAAAGCTGATCACGGACATTAGTTCCTGGAATCGTTCGCGAAGAAACATATCTCGTCCTCGGAAGATAGACTGGAGGAGACGAAGAGAAGGAAGTTGTCCATAAAATGCCAGAAATTGGTGGAGTTGATGATGGTTTCAGGCGTACCTACAGCTTCTGGGTATGAAGAGCGGATACGGTTCTCTGAGCTTGAGGTTGTGGATGCTGGTGCTATTGAGCATGGGGTTCTGCAGACGCTACCGGAAGGACATTACACGAACGGGTGGGATGTGAATGTTGCTGGTGTCAGAACGACGAGTGTGAAGAGGAATATTCGGTATCACAAGCATGCGGTAGGTGTTCGTGATTGTACTTGTGGCGAATACCGGGCTAATGTCATGTCCACAGGAATTCATTCTCCGGATTAAGAGGAAGAATGAGCTCGAATACTTCGTTGGGAGAAGATATGGAGATTTTGCAAGACTTCATAAGAGGTTACGACAAGAATTGCCAGGGAAAGTATTACCTCCAATGCCTAAGAAGAACAAGCAGAGTTCCACAGCTTCCAATCTACTCAGTGGAATCACGGGTGGCAATGACAGCGACGCGTCGTCTATATCTTCGGTTTCCACTATGGGCACAGTTCCCCAGGTCCAACAGTCCTTGAACAATCTATCAGTCACTGGTAAATCATACTTTGAAGGACATTTCTGCTACTTACTAACGAGATTTCCCAGGACATCGCAGACAACTCTCTGCAGCATCGATGGGAAGAGCTTCACCACGCTCATCAATGGACGGAAGATCAACGACCCCAGCATTACAATCAGAAGAAGTACGCAACAAGCCTAATATACTCAGAAGGAAATCAAAAAAGCTTACAGCTGAACAGCCAATCGTTCTATGGCGTGAGAACCAAAGAATCTCACTCAGAGCGTTCCTCCGAACCCTCCTCTCAAATCCTCAGATTGCCAACACGAAAGCAATTCAAGACTTTTTGTCTTTCCAACCAATCACTCCAACAGATGCTGATGTGGAAGATATTGCTAGACGAAAAGCTATGGATGAGAAGAGAGTTGAGGAGCAGAAGCAATTCTATGAGATTGCGAGAAAACGTGCTGCTGAGTTGGATGTTTACATGGAGCAGTATGTAACTGGGCAGATGTGGAGGAGGCTTTGCTGACCGAGAGCAGATTCCGCCGTGATATCATCGAAAGCAATGGTCTAACAAAGCTTTTCAAGGAGATCAAAGAAAAGAAAACCATCCAGGATCTAAGTATTCAGTACCAGAAATTTGCAGAATGGTTACGGATCGAGGTTGCAGCGACAATCTACCATCTCTTCCTGGCAGAGGACAACTCACCTGAGTTATTTGCTCAAGCGAAGAAGATTCATTCCATGATCCCTTACACATTAATCAAGAACGCAATCAGAATAGCAAATCCGGCAGCAGTTATGTCTAGTATTCTGGATATCTTTCTAGCTCAACCCTTTGGTGCCAGGTCGCTGATGCAACGCATATTTGCCCTGACGTTGAACGACGGTATCAGAAGTTTCCAGAAGTCTATCGATGCTGTAATGGATAAGATTGGGGATCCGGTTTTCTGTGAGAAGTTGAAGAAATTCTCAGATGCTGATGAGGACGTCAAGAACATCATCCGAGAAGAATCGAAGAACGATGATGTGGATTTGATAGTGGCGATCCTGCGCTCTGAGCTCATCGAGCCACCTCTGAAGTCGGATCAAGTCGGCAAGATCTTCAACGCATACGTTGCATGGAATCATGTAGTGGAGAATGTGGATGATGAGATGAAGCAAGGAGCCCAGCTTTTCTCATACTTGAAGCAGCTTCTGAAGTTGTACACGAGACAACGAGATAAGGCTATGATGCTGAGCATGATTGAAGAGCCGGTCACGTTACAGCTTCTCAAGGATGTCTTTGTCATATTCTACGAGCCTCTTGTTCGGGTTTACAAGTCGGCGAATGTTTACAGTAGTGTTACAGATTTTGCTGTATTCATCGATGATATGATACAAGTACGTTCTGTCTACCTTTCGTGTGATAAGATTACTAACAATATCAGGTTGTCGAAAAATGCCGCGAACAAGACGTCTCAGCAGATCCCAATCAAACAGTCCAAGCATTCATCGACCTCTGCCAACGCCACGAACACAACTTCTATAAATTCGTCCACGAAGTCCACACCCACGACAATGGCCTCTTCACCCAACTAATGGGCTGGATAGAAGGAATCCTCGAATTCCTCCGCCAAGGCCCCAAAGCCGGAAAACTCGACATAAACGCCCTCTTCACCGGCGCCGTCTCCATGAACCAACTCGACAAAGAAAAAGCCATCTCGGAAATCAACGCTCTGATCTCCTGGCAAGAAGCCCGCAAGAAGTGGCACCAAGACAAAACTCGCCAGAAGATGGCTGCAGAGGGCAATATTTCGAATGTTGAGACTATTCCTGGGGGCATCGCATTCAAGAGCTCGGATTTTGGCTTGGATCAGATGGATTTGCAGGATATGGCGTATGAGGAGGAGGATGAGAGTAGTGACGAGGAGGAAGAGGATGATGAGTTGGATCCGATCGAGGCGGAGAGGAAGAGGAGGGCAAGGAAGCAGGATCATCTGAGGAGGACGGCGGGCGAGCCGGTTAAGCCGGATGTGGGAGAGGTTTATAAGCTGAAGGAGAACTTTTTGACGATGTTGAGGATGGTGCTTGCTGAGTAGAGAGACGACGGTGGGAAATTGGTTGGGCCAGAAAAAGTTTCGTGAGTGAGAACTGGATACAATGGATATGAAGAAACGGGTTTTGCATAACCCACGCAGCGTGATGCATGATGATAGATTACAGTACAAGACCAGGCAGCGAAATAGCATGTTCTTTTCCCCGCATCACCCTTCCTGGGTTGAAAACATCCTTTCCCTGTTGCAGGGGTGTGTTTACTTTTCTTGATTCTTTTAGAGCTTTCTGGTTATTTCACTTCTCGTCTATAGCAAGGCTTTGGGCAATGATTTCCTCACAGCTCAGGTGGATGTCCTCTAGGTAGGTATTCATCTTTGATAGGGAGCTGAAGTTCGACATGAGTACCGCGATTTTCATTTTGATATTTGTGGATGTGGAGTTGGACTTTGGTGTAGGTGGAATGTATCTTTGTCTGTCTTGGTCTTAATGCTCACTTTACCCCACATCGTATTGCACGGCCAAGCGGGGCCAACTCCACATTTGCCATATTATCTCGGTGTAGAGAGCGTATACCGAGTACATAGTCACCTCCAAATCGATACACCCGAATTGCGGCGCAGCAAGGCTGCGGTGAGTCACGGGCTACGACTCATCAATATACCTATTCAAAGTACATCGCGACACTTTCATACTTCACATCATCATTACAATGTTACTTCACGATCTTGATGAGGATGTCCTCGGCCTCATTGTGTCTTACCTTAGTCCCATTCGCCAGGATGTTGTAAATCTAGCTCTTGCATGTCGGTCATTCTATCCCATCACCAAATATCCCGAGCATATTTCCGTCACCTGCCCGTCAGCTCAATATCTGGCCCTCACAAACATTTTCATTGAAGACCCCTCTTATGGCCATAAAATGCTATCCTTACACCTCCGTGTCGACGCACCAAAGTGCACCATCCGGCGATCCACCATAGACGCTTTCTTCCAGCGGGTGCCCAACCTACGGACCTTAAGGCTCGAAGCAGACGTTAAACCACACTACACAAACCTCCTCCTATCTCCCAATCTCTCATTCCAAAACACGCTCCAAACTTTACACCTCACCGACTCATCGCTTACCGTCCAGGAAATCCTCAACCTCCTATCCCTCCCCAAACTCCGCCATCTTAACCTCGCAAGCGATCGACCCATCCACTACTCACCACCATCAACACCCCAGAGTCCTTTCCTACACCTGCAAACCCTCCGACTAAATTCCCTTCTTCCAGCATCTATACTCGCATCCATCCTCCCCCGGACACTCCAACTCTCATCCCTGCGCTGGAAAATCGCCCTTCCAGCCAATACCCTCCAAACAACACTCTCCCACCTCTCACAATCCCTCGTATCACTGAACCTCTCCACGAATCGCCAAACCTGGGTCTCGCACGAGATACCCCCGCTCGATTTATCGGCTTTTGTATGCCTGACGCACGTCGTTGCTAGCGCAGAGCTTTTCTTCACTCCACTGTCTCCCCAGATCTCCAGAGACGGGTTTTTTGACTTACTCCCTTATTCACTGAAATCTATCACGGTACCCTTCCCCTCCCCCTCTCCTCCTTGTACCTAATAAAGCCAAAAAAAGATATACCTCCCCTTCCAAATCTCCCTCTTCTACAACCTCAGCCTCTCCCACGTCGACAAAGTAGGCCGCCAAGCCTTCCTCCGCGGGAAACTAGATCCAAGTCTATACAACTTCATAGCTCAAATCGCAGACCAGAAAAGAGAACGATTCCCCAACTTGACAAAAGTAGAATTACTAGAAGGCGTAGGAGGAAACAGAGGGCCATTTGTGGAAGAATCATGGGTGCCACCACGGAAAGTCAGAGAGAAGTTCGAAGAAACGGGGACGGAGCTGAGGGTCGTTGTTAGGGCGGACAAGGTGCCGGGCAGGGATGAGGGGTGGGTGCATTGGAGGGGGTTGGGGCAGGGGTTTCGGGGGAGTGTTTGGTGAGTTGATTTGGTGATTTTGGGATTTGTGGGGACTGTTCTAATGGTGTTGTGCAAGTTTTGTGTTTAGGCTGTTGAGGAGTTGGTGGCGTAAAGTGGGTTTCTGTTTTTGGCTTGTTTGCTAGTATTGAAGTCAGGTCGATATCCTGCTTTGTACGGTTCTGTTGGTGCCCGAAAGAGAGATATTTGCTCCCTGAGAGCAGGAAGTCTTGTGACCCGGACCGACTTGCAGCTATCATCTTGTTGATTCTTTACATTGTACAAAATATTGAGGTTCTTCCTCAAGTTTGAAGGATACAGCCCATAGTCTAGCCTTAGTCTACATGAAGTCCGCTTCGTGAACAGGCGCTCAATCCAGAGGTATTCCATAACCATGTCTCTCCAAAATCATTTGCAGGCAGTTGGTAGCTCCCTTTTTCTTTTTTTTCTTCTCCTTTTTTTGAATATGCCTCTTCATTTGCTTGATTCCATTGACCTGAAAACGTTCCCAAAATTGTCTAAAGCATGCCTGCTTGGAACTATATACAACACAATAAAAGCACCGTCATGATAAGTTCTCTTCTTAGTCGAAGCCCTGAGAACAAACACCTCATCCAGCTTATCTCACACTCATCGATTCCTATTCGGTGGAGACCTGGCAATATTCGGATTTCCGGGCGCCGGGGGAACTGGCCCGCGATAAATGTTCGGATTGCCCGGTCCGGCACCTGGTCTACGATCTATATTTGGGTTTCCTGGTGGTGGAGCTGGAGCTGGACCTCGATCAACATTTGCATTTCCTGGCCTTGGAACCAAGCCCGGTCCGAGTGCAGGGCCTGGTGCACGGTTACCAGTCCGTAGTTCTGGTTGCACTACGGCCGGTACTCTAGTCGGACGTCGTTCTGGCTCTGGTTCTGTATCGGAATCTGATTCTGGCACTGGTGGGCGATGAATATTGGGATACCCTGGACCCGGCGGAGGAGGAGGAGGAGGAAATCTTGTGGGAGATGGTCGTGTTATCGGAGTTCTTCTCCTGGAAGAGTGTCTTACGGACTGCGTTCTGATAGAAGTTTGTCTCATCGGACGGCGTGGTCGATTTGATATCGTGTAGGAAGATGTGCTTATAGCCCTAGTTCTTGGCCTATTGGACTCGATATCTAATAGGCGAGTCCTAGGACGGCATAGACACCAGACGATGAAGACTAGCATGAAGACTACTAGGACGACGATGATGGCTATGGTGTCATTGGCTTGCGCCATTGTGAAGGTGGTGATGACGAGTGGTTCTACTTATGTAAGCCTGGGGCTTCATTGACTCGGGGAATGTGAAGCAAACATGGTGGATATCGGGGTCCGTCTGTTACTGTTTCATTGATACCTCTCTTCACTTGTTGGACTCTCCCCTCCAATAACACTGCACGACAGGGTGTCTGGCCTCGAAGCCTATTCAAGAACAGATCACAAGAGCGTTTCAAATCGCATCGTCTCTGGTAGAAGGTCCTTACAGTACCCAAGCTTTTTCGACAGCCTAGAGAATAAAATTACAGCCAAAATATTCCAAGCCTCACCTCCTCAAAATGACAAATCAGACTCGAACTCACACTCGGTGAGCAATGAGGCTCCACATGTACCAGTCAGCACCATGAAACGATTTCAGACCGCCTGCTGTCAAGATTCTAGGGGTCTGACCGCAAGGCTCTCAGCTCAATGCTCTTTGGAGCTGTGGGGTCGCACAACATGACGCCGCCGACGCCACCAGGAAAGGGACTCTCCGATTCACGAGGGCGCCTGCATATTCGAGGAGGGCGCCTGCGTCTCGCTAGAGAGATTCCGGCTTGGTAAGCTTCTCGTTCTCGAGCCTTGCAGTAACAATAAAGCCACGGAATGTTTGGGCATTTTTGACACTCGGATTATGCATCATATAGCAGCACTGCATTGATAAGCGGCCGTCAAGTTCAGTTCCTCATGCATTGTTTGGAAAGTGAGCTGAAGTGATGCCTTGAGTGAGTAAGCTCACTGGCTCAAAACCGGAGGCATTCCCGATTGGTGAACGCTCAACTACAAATAAAGTACGAACATTCTATCTACGCGGTTTAAGGCTGCTTATGCTGTGGTCCTACTAGGCTTGATGTACTCTACCTTCGTCGCCTCATAACGCAGCTCCCCATAAACAAGAGCAAAACCAATACTTCCCGAGTGGATCTTGATCTCTATCTGATACGGGATCTTGTAGAACATCTGGGAACCCGTGCCTCGCTCCTTGAATTTATCGGCTGGCAAACCACTGATATCTATGTCAAGGTTGACAAGCTTGTAAACACCTAGCACGTTTGAAATCAGCGCTCATCCTTACTCCGAGCAATGGTAGCTTTGAGTACTTACTTGCGTCCGGATATTCTGGTTGCTGGTCCCTGTCACACGCATAGATTGCTACTGTAATGATCGTAGGCGGTCCATCAAGGACTGGCCTATCCCACCAGTACAAAGTAGGCTTGTTTGGCAGTGTTTCGCTGATGTTGGTATTCTACAGGGACTTTGAGCATAAATTCATACCATCGTTAGCATCATCATACGCACCTTTGCAATGAGCCACTGCATGACTTTGATACGGTCACCAAACGGGCCAGGCTCTCTGTATTCATGTCAGACAAGTGTTCAGAATGATCTTTGGAGAATTGTGACTTACTTCCTTCCTTCTTCATGCCCTTCGCCGAATATATCATATGCCATGGTTCCATAGTGTCTTCGAGCAATTCTTGACTCAACACGGATAGTCGCAAGACCTGGCTCTTTCTCAGAGAGTCCTCTGATCAAAGCTCCTTTGACAATTGCAGTCTCGCTGTGGGAGTACTTGTCATTACATATGTACCCACAAATTGCAAGAGTTTGTGCTTACCCTTGTGCCACTTTCCTCACATCAATATCGGTTGAGATTGCACCTTGTATCCTCTTGCGCAAATACTCGCTCAATCCAAACCCTCCCGCCATGAGCACAGCCTTGACTGGTTTCCTGGTGTTCGTAATCTGACCCTTAACCAACGCCAAGATCTCCTGAATCACAGGCTCAAAAATTTCCTTCACCTCTTGTCCAGAGATCTTGAGCTTTCCATTCACGATACCGAGCTCTGGCTTCCGCAAAGGACGGACATTGATGATATAAGGAGTCCTCGTATCGCCCATGAAATTCTTCTTGATGTCATCGTCGAATGCTTTTAATGCATCGCCATGGTACTCTTCCGTCCAGTCAGGATAGTTCTTGAACTTCTCCTTCAGGTGTGACGAGAAGATGCGGTTGAGGAATATGCTTCCGCAAAGCCCACCTGAGCCCTCGGCAGATTCGACAAGTTTTGGGATCGGCTTCAGAGCCGCGATGGTGTAAGATACTAAGTCGACGGTACTTTGAAAACCATTAGCATCGTTTATCAATCGTTATACGTACGGGCCCCGGTAAATTGGGGCGAGGGCTCTTGATCTCTAAACCACTTACCCTCCACCAGCATCACAAAGAACGAATGTGTCATTGATCTTCAAGTCCACATTTGGCGTGCTATCCAGAGCATATATCCCAGCAGCTTCAGGCTCGGTAATTATCTGGACGTAATCACCCATGCCAGCCTTTTGGGCACACCTTCGGGTCTTGTCTTGTGCTATGTCAGACCACACGGCAGGGACCGTGATGATATATTCCCTAGAGATCTTCGAGAATAATGCTCGGCCGTAAGTCGTCTCCATGGTACTCTCCGCATGTTTCCTGAGACTAGTCAGGTAATCGATGACTAGTTTCTCCGCATCTTCTCCGTGGACTTTTTGTAGTGCTGACAAGCTGGGGTAGCGCTGCGCAAGGTTCGAATCCTCGGCGCCGGGAAAGAGACCTAGTTTGAACCATTCGTGTCTGGGTACAGTGTCTTTGATTTGGTAACCCCAGATATGAGTTCCCTCGTTGTCGTATAGCAGAGTCCTGTCATTGATGTCAGCCCAAATGTCTATGTTGGAGGTAGCTGGGCAAAACACTCACGAAGGGACTTTGTTGTAACCGGCAGCCTCTCCTGGCCATTGCTGAATGAGATTGTGCTGAATGGCATGATTGTCTCCAGGCTGACAATGGCATATCAGTAGAATGATATAAAAATAGAAAGTTGTGGGTAACCAACCTTCTCAGCAAGTGCCCAGCAGAGTCCAGAGTAGGTGGTTCCTGGGGGAAAACGTTAAATAAAGTAGAGAACCAGATGATATGTTGCCCTACCAAAGTCCACCGCCACCAGAGCTTTCACGGTATTGGTATTTGTGCTTGTCATATTATTAGTATAAGGAATGTTTCAAAGTATTACAAGGAGAAAGAGCTAGGCTGTTCAAGTGCATTGAAACCGACGAACTCAACTATATAAGGGTTGGTAGGACCATGAGGCTTCAAGCCAGGCTTCAGACGAGGCTCTGCCGCTTTTACATGTTGGAACCTTGTAGACTTTCACGAGAGCCATCCTCGCTCTGGCGATGAGAGTTTCCGCCACCATAGCTTTTGTGTGGTTCCTGATATCTGCTTGCATATTGTGCAACCACACCTGCAGCCGAACAAAGAGAGGTGCATATCCACAATTCCCGGGGAGCTGCAAGGCCGCGTCCAACGAGACGGCAACACGGCTTCGATACACGATGCACCGCACAAAGCCGGATGAAGAAGTTGATAAGGCGTTTCAGCCGCACCTCCGGCGAAAATGACTCACTGAAGCCCATCGAGTGTGTGTACTTTCTTGCCGAAAAAGCTCAACCTGAAGTCGCTTCTGTTGCCTTGCGAAATATTGTTTGTCTCTGGAAAAGCAGTCGGTGGGTTGACAGCCTTATCTATTTTTAATACAACTAACAGGCCTCTGAAATCTAGGGACGTATTGCACCATCTGACTTCCGACTGCACTACTCGGCCTGAGATCCACTCCACAACATGGATATTTCGTATGATGAACTGAAGGAGAATAATGAACAGCTGAGAACGGAGATCAATCAATACAGAATACAGCTTGCTGAGCTTCACCACAAAGACTACCAAGTACCCGATGGATCCATCAGAGACGAACTTCAGAGTATATGCAGAGCAATTGACACCTGGATCTCATACGCTTCGGACGGACAAGGTGACAGGGTGAGAAAGAGGTTCAAACTCGCCATTGAAAACGAGGAAAATGACGCAAGGCTGTCCGATCTAGGTCTTCAGCCAGAACGCCCTGCGACATCAGATGCGAAATTAAAAGAGTTCAAGTGTTTAGGCGAACTTCAGGATTTCATCCTGACCCTAGTGATTGGACGTTGCATCTTTACCTCTATCCTGGCACAGGTGTACCCCGTCGGGATCACAGAAGAACAGTGTACGTTGTTGGAAAGCGTTGAACATAGAATGCTTCTTGCAGGCAAAAGTTTGAGCCCCAATGTCACTCAATACCTTCGGTCACTAACATCGTACTTTCAGTGAGGTCCACAGTCTGTCAATGGAAGTCTGATACCTTGAAAGCATTTTGCGCTTCTGAAAGCTTTAGTAAAATGCATAATAAAGCTCTTCTGGAATACGAACAGGACTTGATGTTGGACTTAATCTACTGGCTTGGAGAGGATCGCTTTGGCGCTTACAAGGATCGGTTGAAAGAATCAGTATTCGATCCGGCCGTTAAGCTGCATCTGGATATGCGCTGTTCCAGTCGAGAGTATGAAGTTATTTGGATGCCCGAGAACCCAAAATTGGATGCGACAATTGTTCAAGAGCTCGCTCACACATGGACGCTGAAAGATATAAGTTCTTGGAGACCAGTGAGCAGCCTTGATCCGGATCATGGTCTTCACTGGCTCTTTCCTGGTCTCACAAGTATTGGAACTGAAGATGGAGAGAAGTTAGAACTGGTCAAACCCGTGATGGTGGTTTACAAAAGACCTCCTCCTTTGCAGTCTAAACGCTCATTGCCACCATCAACTAGTTCTTCTCCAGGGCCAAACGAAACATCGTCCGGCCAGCACACAAAAGATTCAACTCCCAAGCACTACAAGGCGTCTAAAGACACAAGTAGCGGCGCATCAAAGCAAGGCTTCATGAGTAGAGCTGCCAGCAATCTTTCAAGTATTCTCAGCCCCACTCCTAGTCGCAAACCAGAGGAGACCAGACCTCCCCCAAAGCGCACAGACACTGGAGCCTCATCAACTAGGCGCCCATCCCATGACCCTTCCAGAGAAGCAAGAAGGAAGACACCGATGCATCCTGACGAAGAGGCGCATCCAAGTGACCCATACCAGGGATATAGTCGAAGTTCGGATCAGGAAGCACCAGCATCTCCGTCATACCAGGGACAGTATCCTTTCCACTCAGATCACGCCTCCTACAGTACCCATGTTCCTTTGAGTTCTGAACCCCTGGAACTAGATTATACGTACGTTGATCCGGAAGAGATGCAACGAATGTACTACCGGAAAGGATATCAATCTGCCAGTGTTCGACATAGTCCAGCTCATGGAAACGAATACGGTAGTGGGGGTCATTATCAGAGTCCTGGTCCGTCGTAGTGTGAGAGATAGAAGTAATGAGGGATGCACGTGAGGGCGAGAAAGTTGAAGTGGGTTAGATAGTCGAAGGGTTGGTATCGAGACCTACACTATTAAATCGCCTTTCACATATTCGAGCTCCCATGATATGCGTGGAAGTGTGGGCGGTGAAGCTGATATCTCTGGACTATAATCGAACATTGAATAACTTGAAGACATATTACCACTGCCACAAATGCGGGATGAGGTGTCTTGGAGGAATGCTTCCTTCTTTCTCGAACTTGACATACCTTTAGAAGCAAAACAGTTGGAAATATCTTATTTATTATGTACGACGACATCCCGGCTCAACAAATTGGCTACAAGTGCAAATGTCCCGTAAACGTTTTGGGAAGAAAATTGGCTCATGTTTAGCACTCTCGGGTTTTCGTCGGAAGAGACTATTGAGCAATTATTGAATGGATGCGGCTACCCGGTACTGCAGGATATCTTGAGCCAGATCCCAGAAATGCGATATAGAATAATAATACACCTTCCGGCAATTATCTTGAAAGAGGATAACGCCAATTGTCAAGTAAGATTGCGGTTCCAAGCGCATGTCAACATGCTCAACACGGGTGTGATTGCTATCGTGATTGTGTAGTGGGCACGAAGCGCTGTTTGCGTGGAGGTCCATTGATCATATCGGAAAGGACTAATCTCTTACGACGATGTGATGAGGGTTCTGTTGGTGCGTTGATGGGTGCTTTCATCTGCTGCTGTTGCATTTGAATTGTGGTCTGTGGAGACAGATCTGATACTTGTTGCTCGAGAGGATATATTGGAGTTGGAGGTCCCTTCCCCATGCTGGAAGGTGCTAATCGTTTACGACGATGTGATGAAGGTTCTGTTGGTGCGTTGATGGGTGTTTTCATCTGCTGCTGCTGCTGCATTTGATTGGAAAACTGAATGGTGGTATGTGGAGACATATTTGGGGTCATGTGAGGAGTCTGTCTTGGCTGGTGAACCGTGAAAGGAGAGAAGCTATTGGGAAATTGTGATGAACTGAACGACATATTGTACTGATGTTTGTGGTGCTGAGACTGCTGCATAGGAAACTGTTGATACATTTGATTCGAGTGTATGGGGTCGTAGGTGAACTGAGACTTATTGTGGTCTCCAAAAGGGCAGATTGGAGGTACTACATATGCCTCCGAAGATGGCGTAATGGCGGTATTGTTGAATGCAGTATTGATTGGACCACCGTTGTGAAGAATTCGACTTGACGTGCAGTCGTGCTGGATTTTGAACTTATTTCCGCGTCTGTTCCTCGGACTTCCCGCTCTCCGCGAAGTATCTATCTTCGTCGAGAACACTGATGGTAGCTTGAAGTCTGGGTTGTTGGGAGTAGTACGGTTCTGCGAAGTAGAAATATACGAGCCGGCGCTGCTTTTGGCGGATTCTGCAGCTACCATATCCCTGAAATATCGCGACAGTCCACGAGCAGGACCCTTGGAAGCCCTGAGCTCTTCAAGTTCGGTCCCAAGAGTTTTTTCAAAGGATTTTATTCTCCTAATGAGAGTCGAGGGATAGAGGATTCCAACCTCTCCAACCTTTGTTGCCATAAGAGAGCGTCGAGAGCGAGCTTTTACGAGAAAAATTCTCACCAGCTCGGCGGCTTCCACATGTTTGTTATCCTCCAATAATTCAGAGCAGATCGTGTATGCAACTGCCCACAGATTGGTATCAAGGCGTGAATCTGGGCCTGAATCTTCTGGTTTGGCAGCATTCTCAAGAAGGAAGAGTAACATATCGGAACGGTCACAGAGAGAAACCGTAGAGATTTTCCAAGTTTCCATAGCATGTAGGACCATACAAAATCTGGAAAGATAAGGCAAGTCGTTAAAATTACAGAATGCCTTGAGATACTGACAGAGAGCCAGTCTTGCAGCAAGATTAAAGGCGTTTGCCGCAGATCGCACTGATTGGTTAGAGGTGGGAACTGTAGTTACAAGCAACAAGTCCGCCGACCAATGCAATGAACTGTAGAAGGGTTCTCGCGATTCATAACACTGGAACTGGTGTTGTTGCATGGTACTCTCTATAGAGTCGTAGATTTGACCTAGATCACGATCCGAAATTGACGTTGATCTTCGACAGATTGCCATGATGTTATCGAGATGTGTGTACAAGGAAGGGCTGAGGTGAACTAAATTGGCAAGTCAGGATGTCTTGAATACACGTTTAATTGAGCAAGGAATGAAGATAGAGGCAGAACAGCAGACTGCTAACATATATTCCGACGTTATAGCAAGATTCATCAAGTACCCAAAGAATAAAAGACCTAAGAAGCTTGGATACACTTACCATCTTGTGTCTTCAATAAGGAGAGACACCCACAAGCGAAGTTGAAGTATGCGTTGAAAGTTGAGTTCTTCGTCATCTCGCAAATTTCGTTCCACACGTCGCCAGAAATGAGGAATTCTGCAACTGTTCGGTGCAAAAATTCAATGGTTGATTCCGTGTCAACATCTGAGACAAGATAATGCAACCCTGCCTTGGGAGCTTGATTATACGAAGGCGTTGCTGAAGAATCATTTAGACAGGTTTCTCTTACTTTCTTGTGGACTTCAATTAGTCCGCAGCATCGGCTACGAATACGCGCTTCTGCATTTTGACAAAGCCACTGGATTGTGTCGGTTTCAAGAGGCTCAACCTTACGGCCTAAAGCTTCAGATGGCGGTTGCATTGCCAAGGACATGACAAGTGTACGGAGTGGTTGGTCCACGATTGACAAGTTCCATGCGTGGAAAAGTTGAAATATCTCAGCCGCTTGTGCTTGATGCTCAGGCTGCATCTTCCCCATCATGCGTATATACAGATCTCTCAGGTCCGGAGGGAGCTGTCGAAGTTTATTCTGGAGGTCGGCGATATCATCGCCTTCTTCTAATCCATCGACCAGGAGTCGGACAACAATTTTGACCCAAAGGAAAACACCTGTCGCTTTGGTCTTGATCTCATTGACTATATCGTTTGCATGCTGAGGAAATCTCTGGATAAGCTCCACCATCGACCTATGCGAAGACAAATTACCTTTCACGTAGAGCTCCATGTCGGGTTTTGTGAGATCTTGCAATCTCAGGGTAGGACAATCGCGGAAAGAATTTATACAAGCGCTAATTGGGCGACCTGAGACGACAACCTTGATTCCACCGGCCGCTAGTGAGATCAAGAACATGGACATCTCTTTGTGATCTCCTTCGAATTCGTCGATGCCGTCGATGAAGATGCACAACTTGAGAAATCCTGACGTTTTCGACGTCAATAGGTCGAATGCCTTTTTAATCTCAATTTGAGAGGGCTCGCGATCAGCATCAGAGTTTGGTCCAGAGTCTTTCCAAGAACGATACAGCTCTGGTAATACTGCAGGAATGAGTTCAGGGTACTTCTCAAGCACGCTATGAATCAAAGACCGTAGCATGCCAACATTGCTCTTTGGCAAGAGCGTCCCCAAGTTCCAGAAGAAGAAGTTAACAACAAGGAGCTGTTTGTCGCCAGCCCATCTTCTCAGCGCTTCCTCTGTTCGACAATCATCGACTACGAATTTCATAAGAGTCGATTTTCCACTGCCTGCCTTGCCGTTGATCCAGTATGGGAGAACAGTATTCTGGTGGGTGAGATGAGCGTTGAAATCGTCCCATAAACCGTCGCGACTTGGCTGAAAGATCCATTGAAACGTTTGCTGGTATGGTAATGGGACTTCTTCGTATCGCCATGACATTTGACGAAAGTTGAGCCATCGCAGAATGTCATCCTCTGCGGTGTGAGGCAGTTTCCTTCTCAAATCATCTATCTTCTTCAGGCACTTCTCTATCTCAGATTGAATGGTATCTAACCGCGGCCCCGACTGTAACTGTATGATGTCGACGAGGGCCTGTAGGGCCCTTGTGCCTTCAGACCCTTGGAGAACTCGTCCTTGGCTATCCGTCTTTAGCGCCTGCAGATGCTCTAGTATTACTTGATTGTGGTCGTCTGTCTTTACTCGAAGGGCAAGGATCGTTGCTAGACTTAGGACACTGCGAAACTTGTCCAGCTTTGATGCGAACTCGTCGATTCTATGCTGCGCCCATTTGAACTTGACGCTCAACTTTGCGCTTCGAATTATGTTTCGTGAGGCTGTAGGATCGAAGAGAGTATCGAGGTAGGCTAGGAATTTATCTCCAGTCTTGCGACAGTCCAAGGCCACATCGAGGAGATGCTAGGAAAAGTTTATGAGCGACTGTTTACCAATGATAGTGTAAGAACTGACCTGATCTTCCTGGGAACGAGGAGTTGCAGCGTTGCCCTCGTTGGTAATTGATTGAGAAGCATTAAGTGCTTCAAGGTGGCCTTCAATGATACAAGCTTGCTTTGTCAAGCTTTCCGTGAGCTTTCTGAGGTCGGGAAGCGACGATGGACTGCCACTTTTGCGAATAGCGTTGGCTTGCGATATCATTTCGCCCGCGTATTGAACAAACTGGATCACATTGCCAGCAAGGCCGATGGCAACCAGTGCTTCGAGCATGTCGAAACTATGTTTCCGGTAGTACTCTATCATATATGGAAGAGTACATACGGAAAGAACAAAGAGTAGAGTGTATTGTTTTCCCCAGCCTTATGGTCGTGGTTGATCGAGATGCACCTGCACGCAGCCTTAGTCTGGAGTGAGCAAAGCCTCACTTTTCGCCTCCAATCGGAGGTTTTAATGTTCGCCGTTCCAATCAAACATGACTAAGGTTTCTGCACTGCCATGATACATACATTGCAGTGCCTCTCGGGCAGAATTGAAGGCTTTGCAACTTTTCCGGGTAGAATTGACACTCTAAACTTTTACGGACGGGTGCACAACCTCAACGTCAACTAGGTAAAGTTATTGCAACACTTGTTGAGCTTCGCGTCCAATCGAAATTAAATCTCATAAAATCAGTCCATTCGTTATGCAGCATCTCATCCATACCATTTTGTCCTAGCAAACTCCAAGCGCCTTGCAACGCGATGATGGAAGGCAAGAACTCAATGCAAAGCGGCTCATCCTCCACTTCTCAATCTCGAATACCAAGCAAAGTTATCCCGTATTTTCTGCCATTATTCGTAATTCGTAACTGAGCGTACGCAGAACCGTGAAGGAGTCAACGTTGAAGATTCCGGAACTAATTGCTGGATTGCAGCCATTGAAGTTCCACAGCTTGCTTAGCAGAGACCAGTTCAGGAAGGACATTGGCGGGCATGAAGTTATGATCACTGAACTCGAAGCCTGGAACGACCGTCTATGCTTTGTTAGCAATGGTCCAGAACCTTAGCAAGACAACTCACCTCGCTAATCAACAGTCCCGACTCGCTTTCAGTCGAACCATCATCATCGGGCAAGAGATAGCTGGCCTTGTAGATATCACCCTCGACAATCCACTGCAACCGCTCTCCCTTCTCAACATTGTGTCCAACGACAAACGTCTCGATCCTAGCCTTCTCTCCTGGCTTTGCCTCATCCGTGCGAATCAGAACATATCTTCCACGACCCTTGTGCAACGTATGGACGGTTCTACCCTTGTTGCGATGGAAGCGGCCTTTGGGACTGTTCGGGGTCAAGAGATAGAAGATGGTAGTCATTGCCGATCTCGTGGTATCGTCTCCGGCGGCTGCGGCAGTGTATTGGACAGCGGCATGTTGTTGTTGCTCCTTCGAGAGGAAGGGATTGGGGATGCGGAGAGGATCACGATCGGTCTCGGCGAACCAACCTCCTTCGGGATGCTTCAGTAGTTGGAGGGATTGGATGAGCTTCTCGATCTTGGCAGAGTCCGAAGCATTCTCACCAGCACCCTTGAAGCTTGCTGTGAGGGGCTCACTCAGCTTTGGGTCGCATGCAGACATCGTGAAGAGCGTGGTGTTTTGAATGCTCTTGAAGTGATGATTGAAAGACCCCCTGTAGTTGGGAATGCGGTTTGCTAAATAGTGGAAGGTTCGATTTAGGTTTGTTTGATATAGAGGAAGAGCGACTAGCGCCGATCACGGCTGTTACACGACAGCACGTGATCCAACAACTACCGAAGCTAGCCTTGTCTGAAAGACAACTGCGCATCTGCAGTCAGCTTCATTGATATGCAATGGAACTCTGTCACATACCACAGCAAATACAATCTTGACAGCCTCGCACTTATTTCGGCTCTTTTCTCAGAAGATGTGCATGAGGGGTGACAAGACGCTTGGAGTTCCTCAAAGCCTCCATCCTTTGTTCCTTTGAAAACAACAAATTGATAGCCCAATATTCGATTACGTGCAAGTGCACGACACGGATCATTCGAATTTCAACTTTTTAGAGAACTTGAATCGTGTCCTGATGTTATCGCGTGCGCTTTTCTTGCCAGTGGTTGAATACAGTAAGGCTCTCATTTTTATCGCTGTGGCTGCTGCACCTCAAACCAAACATGAAGCGAGCCATCGTCGATCATTGATTACAACATGACCTTGCATCTGAGGGCCAATCACCTACAAAAGCAGTGTTATCTGATTGGACTCCAGTGAGTAAGCTGCCTTATCTCTCCAAGCTGAGTTTGGGGGCGTTACACGCAACACACGTTTTTGATAGACGGTAGCATGTTGTGCGCCCGATATGTTGGCTGGAGTTCCTTATATGGAGTCCGGTTACACACCCACTCGTATATGCGCCTGTTCCTGATATAGGCCCGGCATTTCGTGCTTCCAAGAATGTTCTTTATATGCAGCCCCGTTTTTCCCGTCAGCTTTCTTTTCTACCATGGTTCAATTCAACATCGCTAGGTTTGAGATTTGTTAAGCTCGCATTGCTTCAACGCACTGTTCGCGATGCTTACTACTTCGTCTAAGACTATGGTAGCGACCATGGCAGTGTTCATGGTCGTCTCGGGTCTTTCGGTTGTCCTTCGGCTGTTTCTAAGGAAGCAGAGGAAAACATCCTTGAAGGCGGACGATTATTTTGTCATAGCAGCTTGGGTAAGTGCGATTCTTTGTTTCTCGCACGCAACTTATCCTAATATCAAGTCTACAGGCTTTCTCTGCTGCACTGGCTATCACAAATATCGTCGGAGTACCCGTTGGTGGCTTCGGAGTACCGTTCGAGTCCCTTAGTCCTGCGAAAGCCATCGTATTTCTAAAGGTAAATTGATTTCGATGCCTCTGAGATCATTTGAACTAAAGTCAATAGATTCTCTTCGTCCTCCAATTCTGGTACATCATCGCTGTCGCCCTTGTTAAATTCTCCGTCCTCTGCTTTTACGGTCGGGTGTTTGGCATTGGTCGGTACCCGACATCGGTGATAGTTCTCCTCGGGATATCCGCCGCATGGCTCATATCCTTCCTCTTTGCAACATTTTTTCAAGTGTGGCCATTGTGGTGCAATTGGATAGCATGTACTCCCACGACGAACTATCCAGTCATGTATGTACTGTCAAGCGCTACGGATATTGTCATCGATATCAGCATCTTGACCCTACCGGCCTTCTTCATTCGGAAGCTTCACCTCAGTGGAAACCAGAAAATTGGTATAGGCGCAATCTTTGGATTGGGAATCTTGTAAGTTGTCTCCTAATTTTGAGTTGTGAGAGAAGACTGACGATTTCAGCTGTGTTGTCTCCTCAGTGGCACGACTGGCATATACAGTCCTGTTTCAACTGGCCGACATTGAAGGAAACTATGCCGTCAATTTCGATAGTATGTCTCTCTTTCAAGATCATCAGAACGCATCCACTAACCAGAACTCCAGCCGCAGTAGTAAACATAATTATGTGGTCCGGAATCGAAGCATGCGCCTCCACCATCTGCGCCAACCTGCCCTGCTACGGCCCCCTAATCGGCCGTGCCCGCAGCATCTCAGCCATCATCACCAACATCGGGTCTTTCTTCTCTCTCAGAACTAGCAAGAATGCGTCTACGAAGAGGAAACCAGACCTCGAGCGTGGTGTCTCTGCTTCTTCTGACAACATTATTTGGTTGGAGCCTAGTGTGGAGAACTCAATTGAGGGCGGAGCAGTGAAAGTCGAATCTAGGGAGGAGGCAAGGGAGTATGTGGAGTTGGAGGAGGGGATTAAGGTGAGGAATTCTGTTAATATAGATCAAAAGTAATGTGCGGGATGTAGAGATAGGAAATGTGCGATTTATTCATGACAACTTGCGCTGGAAGAAACTCGGAGTATAGGGTAGCAACACTTGTAGAACTGTCCGAGACCGCAATTGATATCCAAAGAAATCTCTCTTTCTCGCTTCTTATAGCAAGACGAAGTTGAAACAAGTGTATAAAATGATGCATTCCATCCTTCCCTACTATATACAACAAACCAAACAATTCTAACCCAAATAACTGTTCGGCACATAAAGCGGCATCGAATCCTCCCACATACTATCCGTCAACAACGTCTTATTCCCTCCATCCGCATCCATAATAACAATCCGCCCATACGGCTGGAACGTATTATCATACAACGCATCCTCATCCCTGTACCCATACATCCCACTATTATACATAATGTGATTATCCGCCGACCACACTGCGTGGGCATCATTCGCACCTGAGTCGGTGAGGATCTGGAGATTGGTGCCGTCGGGCTTGATGGTGCAGATGTCCTACCGGTCGTGATACCACCGATTCCCTTGCTCCCAGGTCCAGTTCGTTTGTCGCGTGAAGACGATCAGTTCCCCGTTGGGTGACCAGCCCGGTGTGTTGTCCCAGCCGGAGGTGAGGTTGAATGTTTCGCGAGTTTGGAGATCCAGGATTCGGAGTCCCAGGGGTCCGTTGTCGCCGTCCCAGAGACGGTACACGAGCTTGGTACCATCAGGATTGAAGGATGGGAAACCGGCGTTGTGAGCACTGGATGGATCCGTCAAATTGATGTATTGAGACGAATTGGTTGTGGAATTGGAATCAGCTAGGTAGATGGTGCTTGGGTAATCCGACCGTTCCTGAAACCAGAAGCCGAAGCCTACCGCCAGCCCGGAGGTATTGCTTCTCCACGTCGGCTGGAAAGCACCTGCTTCGCCAATCTCGTAGTTGTAGACATAATCTGCGGAGTCGTTCAGATCGTATACGTTAACGACAGTCTGTTGATCGGTGTAGTCGGCATTAAATACAAGAGCATTGTTCGATGCATTGCCCTCGTTCTTCTGCGTCGTGACCAACTTTCCGGTCCCGCTTTGGAGCTGAGGAAAAACGTCCATGTAACGGTACTCCCATTCAGAGTCGAAGCTCCAGAGACTTTCTTCAGCAGTGCGCAAGGTAAAATCGGGTACTTCGTAAACAACTTTACTACCATCAGGTGACCAAGAAGGGTTCCGTAGATAAGTTCCGTTGATATACCCGTGTGTACTGTCGCTGATGGTGTAGTTGATGCCAGCATTAATCCCTGCCTTGATCACATAGCCGATCATGCTTGAGTTGCCAATGTACGTGCCGGAAATCTTACAAGTTTCCTCGAAAGTGTGCTGTACGACGTCGAGGCCAGTACCGACGTCAACGCTGAAGATTTGAGACACGACTCCTTCTTCTTGGTAGTCGACGCCATGTGCATAGTAGGTGTTATTGACAGTCATGTTGTTGTAGACGAGTCGGAGGCCGTCGGCTGACCACTTAGGTGTGCCAAGGGACCAACCGGAATAGCCAATGACTTTGCGGAAGTCGCTGCCATTTGGGCGGACAACGTATATGGAAAGCTCTTGGGTGTGCTCCCATCCCGTGCCGTTACCGTGACCCGTCCAGTCGGTACTCGCATCAGAACTCAAGGCGATCCATTGGCCGTCGGGAGACCATTGAGGTCTGAAGAAGCCGTGTGGGCCCCAGAAGCTGCCGACAGTCTCGTCACTACCTGTAATGTTCCATGGGGTGGCATCTGATCCGTTCGTCAAGTCCTTCACGAATACATTGGCCGTGTGGTTGATTGCGGTAGAGACAAAAGCGACTTGAGTGCCGTCAGGACTCAGGAGACAGAACGCCACTGTCTTCAAACACATCAGTGACGATGACTTCCTCCAGAGAGCTCCCATCGGGCTTGACACGGTAGAGATCTGACTGCCCATCACCACGCCGTTCACTGGTGAAGACGATCCATTCTCCATCTGGCGACCAGTTTGCATGGTAGTCGAAGGGTTTCGTCTGGTTGGCCATGAGGGCCACCTTATTACTCCCATCGGTATCGGAAATATAGAGCTGCGAATTTGAAGGTGCAATGCGGTTCATGTACATGACCCCGAGCTTGCCTGGTACCGCAGAACGCTTAGGAAGTGCGACATTTCTTGGGTTGTTGCTGGGGTCGCGAGGAAGATCTGCATAAGGGTCAGTCCTTCGGCTCCAGCATAAGAAGGCGAGGCCAGGGCCGAGCCGGCGGCAATGCAACCCAAGAAGGCAGTTGAAAGACGCATCTTATTGTATTTTGGTTTCTTCACACTTCAAGTGCCCTGAGGAGGTCTTCTACAGGAAGCTACATGATTCTCCTTATAATGTCAACGTCGAATTCATCTACCTTCGGCGTTGGCAAAAATCTCGGTCCCGAATGATAGCTTTTTTGAATTGAATGTCACTGTCCTTCCTCTTTCGCGAATGAAGATCTTGCTCCTATCCATAGATCCCTACAACTTGCAGGCATTATGGAAGGCAAGCGTCTTGGCCCGTTGAACATTGAATTTTCGAGAGGGGCTGCGCAAAGTCGCTGACGTTCCCATCTTCGCCTCAGAGACTACGGGTAGACCAGACAAGGGCTGGTAGGCAATGGAAGTTACGTTTTACAATAAAACAACAGGAGAGGATGAGAGAATTGTTGCTGTGATGGACTCAGCGCTTGGCAGGTGATGGTTTTGCAGATGAAAAGTTGAAGAATGTGTGAGGTATTTACATGGGTGCACACACTTGCAGATCTTGTGAAGACTTGCACTTTCTCGAATATGAATTCTCGTGCTGAGCCACAATGGAATACACATTTTGAATCTTCTTTCCTCCACAAAAGGCCGTGCAAGACCCAAGGCTTCCATCACTGCGAAAATAAGGGAAGCACTTGCAACTTGAGGGACCGCACTAGATTTAAAGACTGTGCGGAAACAGAGGTCGAGAAAAACAACATTCAACAACATATACAGTACTCGCGAAGTAAGATCGAGTGAGTGAAACCAAGGTCAAAAGATGAAGTGCTTGGCTCTTGGATGCAAGTACAGTGGGGTAGATGAACGCATGGCATAAAGTCATTTCCGGGTCCCTCCCTGCAAGCTCCGAGCTCCACCTCACAAGTGCACAAATCCTTTGAAAATCGTCCGCAATAGACAAAGCAACCATACAACCTGCACTTGCAGCTTGAGGTCCACCTTGATCGGGTCGGATCAAATTGACAGTTCCCCACCGAAATGACACTATCCCGACCGGCATTCGTGGCATTCTATTGAATGGTTTGTTGCAACCGATGCGCCGTATCAAAATTGAGAAACGCCGACATCATTAGCGGCAGGACTAGAAATCTACTCAGCAACTAAGCCGTATGTTGACGTCCAAGTCCCTTCGGTCGCGAAACTCGGCCGAACCTTCTCAAGATTGGAAACCCCAGGATATTGTAATGAGGTTGAGGCTGCGATGATGCCCTCAGCCTTTTTCATAGAGAGAAGATTGTCTTGGGATGTGGAGAGTCTGAGATGGCAATTCTCGTGACGACATTGCCAGGCCTTGCCAGGCCTTGCCAGCTGAAAAGGTGGACTCTTCCGCCAATGCGGTCGGAACGATGGCGACGCACCGAACATTTCCGGACATCGATTCGCTGATATTGTGGGATATTGGGTCAACTAGGGAGATAGTTTTGATTCTGAAAGGTAAACAGGGTTGATTCTTCAACCGATTATGCTGACTAATTATTCTGAGACGTCTCGCACGTGCATGTCATGCGGACTTCAGCAACCTAAAGAACTAGGAGTCATACAAAGATGTCAAATTGGTTATTGATAGCTCTTCGAGAGGCGGAGAGTGGCTTGTACGGGGTAATTTGATATATGTAGGGTTGCAGATCGTCCCGCGATTTGATCCCCCGCGTTGGTGTTTGGGCAGTGGACGAATGAAAGGTTAGAGAAGCTTCGATTGCTGCTGTTTTTCACACCTTCTTCTATATTCTTTGAGGCTTGATAGCGGCAGAGAAGCCATTGGCCAGTATCTGCACATACCAACAAATCAAAGTATATTTGATAACGCCACGCAAACGCCATGAGGCACAGCCTGACATGACACTTATTTATCAGGCTTTCCACAGCTCTTTGATTTTCTGCGAGCATGAGGCTGCATCCAAATTTCACACACATTAAGCGGAAAGCAGTAATTCATCACGAATAATCAAGCCAGTGTCGATTCGCTGCTATCTCAGCAGTCGGTGATAGTTTGCGTAATGTCTTTCCCGGCCAAAGTATCGATGAACTACAAACGTATCGACGAGTCTCGTCAGGCTACTGCACTTGAGCCGTATCCCAACACACCTGTTATTGCAGAGGGCGGGGAACATGCGCGGATTGAGGACATGTGTCTAGGGAACCCACAAGGCAAATCATCTTGGGACAAGACCGATATTTGCGTTGTTCTGGCATCATTTTTATGCCTCGCTGCTTCGATATGCGTCGTTACGCCAAGTTTGACTCTCTCATGGCAACTAAAATTTGAGCGGCAAATCATCATCATTGGGTTCTTGTTGAGTTTGATGAACCTTTCTCTGAAAAGAATCGCACCCACGCTATTCCTCATATCTGAATTACGTTGGGGCGGTTCGAGCTTGCAGAATTACGATGCCATCTTAAGGAACTCGATATCGCTCTCTGAGATTGGGTACTTTTGGAGAATCACCATACTATCATTCATACTCTTACCGCTAGGGTTGAGTGTTGGATACAAGAGATTCACCGGCGGAACCAGCAGCGCAGTCATTGGCGGTAAATTCCCAGGACGCTACGGGCTTGCCGTACCTCCTCTTGGCGATTTCACCACCATGAACAATTCCGTCTATTTCGCCATTGACGCGAATGTACCCTTCATGGCTGCGTCTTCAAATGATTCAGTTCCACTGCCGTTTGAATCCTTGCCAATAGCTTACGGGTACAACACTCTCTTACTTGACAACGGATCAGCTGCTTTACTTGATATGCCTTTGCCGGACTATGTTCTTTCAATACAACAGAATTTGAACGGAGCCGACTTCTGGAATATCTCTGCAACGGTAAATGCGACCGTCGCCAGGTACAACACCCTTACTGAGGCCTACAGGAGCAACGACTCGTTTTGGCAGGAGACTATGGATTCAAGTTGGAGCGGAAGCATGGGAGGCCTTTCCTCCTTCGAATTGTTTAATGGGAACGCACTCGGTTTCTTGCCTGGTATTCCGAACGATTATGATGGGGCATACTGCTTAATAGGCTCTTACAACAGCACCCTCTTCTGGGTTGGCTTCTTCAACGACCTCTCTTCCCCTGATGCTGTGGCTTTTAGATCAGTTGCTCTCATGTTCAATATTCGGCGTGAGATATGCGCAGGCAAGTGGCAAATCAACCGCACCGCTATTACCTTGCTAGAAGGTTCATGCACTGGGATAGAAACAAACCAAGGCCCTCTCTCGCAATATAGCAATGTGCCCTTCCCTCTGGACGCCTTACCTGTTCTTGCTCATGCTCTTACCTCCTATAGCGTGGAGCGCAATCAGTCTGCATGGCGTTTACCTGCCTTCGTAACTGCTATCGCCACCTCTTACTGGGCTCGGCTTGCCTTTATGGTGCCAGGACAGACGCAGGAAGGTCAATTTGATTCTGAGCTCAATTACCCACCTACTCACGAGTATATCACATCGACTACTACAACTCTTAATGCGACTTGGATGCTGTATTTTCTACTTGCCTTCCAGCCCGTCTTGACCCTATTCATGTTCCTCTCGACTACATTGTTCTACTCTTCGCCGATCGGCAAAGGGTTTGGGCTTGTGGCGGTGTTATCTGGCATTGACAGTAACTGTCTGCACTTGCTCTCGGGGGCGGGATTATCAGGTGAGCTTAAAAGGCCTGTCAAACTCAACATTTCTGTCGTCGATGATATCAACGATGGTGAAGGGAGTCAGCGAGTTTCACCAACTGGGCGCATAGAGTATACGATTAATCGGCGCTCGCGGAGGAATAATGGAATACAGAAAGGGAGAACATATATTTAGAGCTAGTAGGTAATTATTGAGTTCTACAAGCGAAGACTTGCTTGAGTTCACTAATTTGCAAGTATATGGAGTATTGATGATATAAAACAAGTTCAACCTATGACCAGCTATTAATTATATCTCACAAATATGCTCAAGTATAGGAAGTAATAAATTCTGAAAAGAATAACCATTCTAGTATTTCTTTTCATATTTTTCATAAAATACAAAAGATGTGTACTAAGAAGAATCTCAGTTCCATAGTATATCCCCTATGTCACTTCACGCTTGACGATCATCCGCAGCGAATCCACGGCGGCTCTTCGATTGTTCCTGATCCTGAATGTCCTGAAATGTGCCGAATTCTGCCCAGATATTGGGGAGCATTTTGTACGCGTTGAATCTTACATTTCAAGTAGAACTGCGAGATCCACATGGTGTTGCTATAGGGTCATACTCTCCGTTTTCCTTTCTTTCTGCGCCACAGCTGAAGTATATCCTCAAGTGCCTAAAAAGTGGCGTGATGCGGCTGACTGTGGCGTTCTTCTAAATGGAAGCCTGGATCTCTTGCAAGCATTACAATGATTCCTCATACCAAAGACACCCCCCTAATGTTGTCATTAAGTCAGGCCTGGTGACGATTTTGTTTGCGAATGTCACCACTATTCCAAATTGGTTGAAGGCTTCAGCCACAACATCCAAATTTGCTCACCACAACAATAGCTTGCGGAAATGTCTCAGACACTTTTCCTGGAAGATTCACAGCCCTGCACAGTACATAAGATCTTCAAGGGCAACACAGTCTTGGATCGGAAATAACAAACATTCTTCACAATGCAACTGTTGACTTGCTATTTCTTCATTTTGAGTTTGGTCAACCACGCTGCCACTCTTCCAGGCGGTTGCGGCGGAACTCTTGGGATTATATCCACCAACTCTTCAATTGTACCATTACTCTGGACTTGCTCCTCCATTACCCCTTACTCTCTCTTCCCCAGCGGCAACAACTCCCTCCTTGCCGCCTTCCAAACACCATCGGACGCCGAGCAAGAAGGCTACGAGTACTAGTATGCTTTCGAGCAAGTCTACGTCGACATCGCAACTTGTCTCAATTATGAAGCCTTCTGTCAAGCCAACATCAATAGCGAGATCAAGCTCAAAGTCATCCACTCGGACAAGTACATCTACTCGTTGAGCAAAAATCTGTATCTAGAATACAGACGCAGTATGCAATGTACATAGATTTCTAGTCAGAGTCTTGAAAATCTGTTCTACCCGACCCTTCGTCGCTTGTTCGATGGTTCCTCTGCCTCATGATGACTCTCCGCAAAATCAGACTCAAACATTCGCATCGCTTTTAACGCTGTTTCTATATGCTTAGGTGAAAGTGGTACCTTAGCACTAACCGCAAGCGCATTCGCGGTTCGTACTGTATTCTTGATCTGCCTTCCGTTCAAATCCTCCCTGCCTATTTCGTTTAGGTAGGTATCCGTAAGCCACGGGTAGGTATTCTTCAGTTTGTCTGAGCTCGTTCGATCGGCATCAATTGTACTTGTGATAAACGCATGCCACAAATTTACACGGTATGCAGGAGACAAGGCATGGTATTTGATGGCCAAGTGTATTCGTGATTTAAATGCGCGATCGAATGCTTCGATTCGATTGGTTGTGAGAATCAGGATTCCCTCGTAATATTCCATTAGCCGCAGAAAGACTAGAGCATCGTGTTAGACTCTTCTCAGTGAACAAATTCTTCGGGCTTACACACTAGATACGAGGCTGTTTCGATCAAGATCCTGCATGCTTCTCTGCTCCAGAAAAACATCAGCTTCATCAAGGAGTACAATAGCATTCCAAGTGGTTGCGAGATCGAGCGCTGCTTTCAAGTTGTCTTCAACTGCTTTGGTACCAACACCGAGCTCTCCAGAGCTGATCGTATAAAGTGGCCTCTTAGTTTGATCTGCAACACTTTCTATAGCTGATTCAGTTCACGCCTTCTCGTCGGAATTGAGTTCAACATACCTGCTGTAAGCGTTTTCCCGACGCCAGGAACTCCATGTAGCAGGAATACCATGCCCTTTCCTTTCCCTTTGATTACATCGTCGAAGACGAGATTGCTGTTGGTGTGAACTTCGACTAGGGAATATATCATATCTTTCTGCTCTTGCGGAAGGAGTAGCCTTTCGAAAGCTGTGAGGTTGAATTCCACTTCGAAGATATTATCGACATCGAACCAGCACCATCGTTTCTCCGCCAGAGAGAAACCAGCTACCTCGTGATCGCAAATCATGAGCTGCTCATCATATAGAAAGTATTCGTCACTCTCTGCGTATTTTGGTAACCGACCAAGAGTTTCGTCTGTGAATGGCATGCTGTATTGGTTTTTCTTGGCAAAGGTTTGAGCATCGATCACAACTCGAGCCTTGGTCTAAGAAAGTTCAGCATGCGGATGAAGCAATGGACGTACTGAGATATATACCATGGTAGCTGGCAATGGCAACACATCAGAATCGCCTACAACGGTGCGCCGCTTCTGAAGCTCGAAGGCTCTGATCAACCCATCGTACATTCGATACTTCACCCCTCTCAGTGCCATCATATTTTGTCCCCGAGCTATAGTATGCTTCTTAACACCAGCTTGATCAGGATGGTATTGCAGAGGAAAGATCTCGAGATTCACCAGCGGCCTATAGCCATCGTATTTTTCAATTCGGCATTCGTTCTTAATGTATCCTACACGTCTTCCATCATCAGCAATATAGACAAAATATACTTTCCAAAAACTTCTGCTGCCAGCCAATATCATGGTCTTCAACTGCACGACACGATGACAACCCATCGCCTTCAAGTACAAAAGGTCTCCTGGTTTAAACGCCATCCACAAGTCCGAGAAGTCTAGACCAGGCTTGATTACTGTAGATTCCATGAGGTTACTATAGCTAGCATACGGAACTTGAAGTTGCTGCCACATGTGCTCGAGCAGAAGTTCCAGATGTTCGAAGGCATCCGAGTCTGCAGGTAGCGTCTCTCCGTATGCTTCTAGCTCTTTGCGGTAATGAAAAAGGCATTTAGGTAGGTCGCCAAGGATGATATTTTGCGTCTTGAAATTTATTCCCGGGTACTCCTTGATGACCTTACTGAGTGCCTTTTTGAGGTGTAATGATCGGATTACGAGCCTCCAGGAAGTTAGTGCTTGCTTTCATAAAAGAATCAAGAACTGAATCTTCGGCAATGGGATGAAAGTTTGTTCGGAAGCCCAGACATGGCATTTGTGAAAGAGAGAGAAGAGAAGAAACAAAGAAAGGGCATGGTTACTCTGTTGTTTCGACTTCGCTGTCATAGTTGTACCATCGGGTGAAGACTAGCGCCGAATTGTGGTCCTGGTGTAATTCTGGTTGTTTGCGGTGATACTTGCCAACTTGGAGTCGCGGCCGCTCCCCCTTGTGGTTGTATCTAGCTTCGTATAACTTTATTTCGCAATTAACGCCTGACGGGTGTGTGGCTTCATCAAGTGAGGATCCAAGGAAAGAGAAATTCCTTGCAGACTGGTCCGGCTCATCGTCATCTTCGTCATCTTCATAGTCGTCTTCTTCCATTGACGATTGTAGTTTGGAAAGGCAATTCTGAAGTAAATAATGGCCAGGTTGAAAAGTTCAGGAAGTTGTCTGTTGACGGCTCTCGTTCCCATGCCAGGGACAATCTATATAACCACAGCCTTCTCTGAACGACGCCCAACGGGCCGCTCAGATGCGGAACAGCCTGTTGCGAGGCAAAGATTGGTGGCTGTCAGCTGAGCCATGCCGCATGTCTAAGCGCCCCAAAAATGCGTCGGCTCTTTCCACCCCGGAAGACTTTCAGCCTCGCAGTCATGATGGACACCAGAAGAATTTTCTAAAATTAAGTCCGCTCATGGCATGTGCACATGGGATATGTCACTGAAAAGGGTTCTGGCGACTTCAAGGCAACCGGATTGATGTCCTATAAGACGTCGTACGGATAGACATTCACGACTCTCATCACCATCTTGCGCAACCCACACCATTGCTCATTTGTCCTTCGACGCAGTTCATTTCTAAGCCCAAATGATTGATCGAAACCAAAAGGACTGCTACAAGACACCACCATCATTGCTCCCTTGTTCCTTCGGGATCTCCCCTACCACGGTTGCGCTAGTGTAGGAGCCACATATCCCGCCCGTGGAAAATGAGGGCATGTAGCCGGCTGCAGAGTCAGGGTAGCTTGGTCGAAGAGCGATGGGTGGCATGTAGGAGAATACGTTATTGTACGGCTGGCAGACCGTCGGCTCGCATGTGAATCGCTCCATCGGTGTCATGGAACTAGGAATAATTGGTGACTGGGCCTTGCCAAGTTGTTCTCTTTGCAAGACAGAGATGGCTGCAGGACACCCTGACGCAGGCGCCTCTTGGCCGCTCCAGTGGCTGCGTTCTCCGACCGAGGTGCAGGGCCCATCAGTGCAGGCATTGAAAGGCCTCGACCATGGACGGTACATCTGGACTCGTGGTTCAACAATTGCTGGTGTGCGATGATGATCAATGTTGATGCCGGAGCAAGACTTCCGGTATGAATTAATTATCTTGTAGTGGGTGTATGAGAATAATACTTACTGGACCAAATTTAGGAGGTAAACTATTCTGTGAAGGTGCATCTTTGGGTTTTGATTCTCTGCGCTCTGCGTTCTGAAATTGAAGATTCATTATGATTGGTGAAACGTTTGGATTGAAACGGGGTTATGGGGAAGAATTTCATAAAGTCAAATCTAAACGGCTAATTTGAAATAATGAAGACTATCTTCGGTGGAGGGTATGGGTTCTTATACTTAGGAAAGCCAGGCTTGGGTAAAGGAGTTTCGTGATCCTGCTACCAGAACAACCCAGAACTTCGTGAACAGGCGCTGAAATAATGACGAGCCTGCAGTTCTCCACAGCGCTGGCTGGTTAGCCATCGAAAATACTACCGTTCCGTCAAGGAAGTGAAAGAAACACTTGTCAAAACTTTCCAGAACTTTAGAGATGATGGCATTCGGTCAAGTCTTCTCTTCCAAACGAAGTAGAACTTTGCCGAACTTTGCAAAACTTCAACTAATTAAATTAAGCGAGCTGTACGAGGGGGAGAGACTCAACTAACAACGGGCAAGGCGGTTTTACCACGAGGCCGGGAGATAAACTTCAGAACTTTTGAAAACGAGTCTGAACCAAGCACAATAGCGCATTAAACAAAGGCCCCTGGGCCCTTGCTTGGAAGCCGATCATCAAAATGGCGGTCGCCTTGACTTGCCCTGTCAGAACCGTCGAAAACTCTTGAGAACTTTGGTTTGATTGGTTCTACTTCAACCTTGTCTGAGATGTCTGCAGTATGGCGCTCATGCGCCCGGAGCGGTCCATCGACGCCAGTAGCGCCACCGCCAGTTGCGCCTCCCTTCACCATGGCTTCATGCATGGTAGTTGTGAAGGCTGCGCCCCGCTTGAGTATCGGTATATTCCAGCCTCTCAGTCTCCCCAAACAGACATCCCTATCGATCGCTTTCTAGCTGGAGCCAAAACCTGCGTGCACTCAGCTTCCTCGATATGGATCCTTCTCATTCTACAAGCTTCAGTCAATGGGCGGTTCCATCAGAGCCGCCACGTCGTCCAGCTGGCAAGTCGCCTTTCGGTTCTTGGCACAACGGACACAATGGTGGACAGAGATCTCAATATCCTTCTCAATTCGGCAACGGATTCGATATGCCATCTGTCTATGAAGAATCCTATCATCCGATTATCCCTCTGAACCATCGGTTCGACAAACAAGTGCAGCATTCTGTAGATGATGTCTGGGCGCACAACACCAGCTCTGCTACAATAAGTGACATCAACCCTACGGCCTCAAAGGGACCTTCTTTCGCAAACATATTGCAGGCGGATGATCGTGAAAAGGCTCCAGAATCCACGGAAGAGCCATCAACCGCCAGGAGAAAGGCATCCCGTCGAGGTCGCATTCACCCACGGATCCATCCTAATGAGTGGAAGAAGTACAAAGATTGTCTTGAGAATCTGTATATCGAGAAACAAATGACTACAGTAAAGATCAAGGATCATATGAAGGCTAAATTTGATTTTGATGCTTCGTAAGCTTAGTTTTTCATCAGATTACAACAGTGCTAATATACTACAGTAAACAGCAATACAAGAACAAGTTTTCCGAGTGGGTATTTTCGAAGACATTGAGAAAAGATGGCCCACCCGAGGAAGTGAGCCTCTAGATAATCAAGAAACAAGAAGAGAGACAACAAACTGAGGGCAAAAATACCGAGTTCTCCTACCAGGATCGCATGGTACCATTTGAGCGATTGCAAGGATTGGTGAAGAAGGCGAAGGCCCAATCTGCCATAGTTTCTCTGGATGGGAAGTGAACCAAGCCCTTCTTCACAAATGAGGTGAAATATTAACAAGTTTGCAGCTGCTACCCCAATAGGTGTATCATACTCGACTCCAGCAACTTTTGAGATGGTTGCAACGCCAGTCAACGTCAAAAGCGTGCCGTCTCGTCCACCTGAGCCGAGCAACTCACAGCCAAAACCCGATGCCGAAGAACAAGATCCCTCTCTTTTTCATCTTCGATCGACATGGAAAGGATACACTTTATTGGATGCGGAGAACATGGTCACTGAGGCTGAGGCATTTGATGATCTTGGAAAGTTTGAGGAAGCAGAGCACAAGTTTCTTGAAGCCTTGGCAGGATTCGAAAGCCTTATCTCGCCTTCCAATGAGAGAACGGTGTCTCTGGCGTACCGAGTAGCCGAATTCTACGCCAAAAACGTTCGTATGCACGAAGCAGATGAAATCCTTGAAAGGGCGGGTAAGAATCTGATAAAGAGATGGGGAACCGAGCACCCATAAACCGTTGCACATATATTACATATCTTGGACTTATATCAAGCCTGGTCGCGGGACGATGACGCTTATAAGCTACTGCTACGTGCAGTCGAATACCTCCAGGATCCTCCAGTCAAGGATCATCAAGTTCGAGAAGGAGGTCAAAACACTCGTCCGACGGTGTCACAGAAACGGACATTTATTTCTCTTTCCTTGACCGATAGTACCTCCGAGTCGGATATTGGGGACAAGCCCCAGTCGCTCGGATTCCAACTCATGCTGAACAAAGTGCGAGTGCGGGCCAGAGAAGAAGAGGCGGAACCCATACTTCTTGATTTGATCAAACAATGTGAAAAGTACCAGGGCGGATTCTCTCTCGAGATTGTCAAAGCACGTAGTGCGCTGTTGGACCTATATACAGAACTCGACAACCTGGAACAGTTCCGACTAGCACTCAAGGATTCGAGGTCATGTGTGTTGGCAATCTTGAAGAAGAAAAGTAAGGTACCAGCTGATGTCTCTTTATTGCAAGAAATGATCGAGCTGGTTGAGCATTTCATTCGGGCTGGCCGATACAATGACTCCGAGAGCATGTTCAAGGTCATTGAAAGGGAAATTACTACCACTTTCGAGATAGATGAGCCGTCAAGTGCGATTGACTGTTTCGTAGCTATTGGCATGGCTTACCAGAGGCACAACAAATGGAGGTATGCCCAGCCAAGATTCGAACATGCCTTGGCCGTAGCTATTGGTACCCAAGGCCCTGAAAGTACAATGGCCCGGAAATTGGAGGCTGCGCTCGATAATCAATTGTTCTCGATGGCCGCTCTGCCAAAGAAAGGTTCCACAACGCTCGTGCGTCGCAGACTGAGGAGATAAGACAGTTGCTTGTTTTGGTGCTGTGGATAGGTATTCACTACTTAATGCATTGTTTTCAGGAATCCACAGTGAGGTACTAGCTTCGGATTGTACTGCACCAACTTTAAGCGCCTGCCGCTGAAAATGGCGAGTCTTTGGGGCATTGCGAAACGAGGCGCAGCAATTACCAATATGCACTCCACTACTTCACAACCAACATCAACCATCTGGGCATCTTTTTATCCTGATTACGCTTCTTCGTCTCGTTTTGTACTATATTCTTCGACCATGTCATCCGAACCGCTCAACTTCGAACCCATTAAAGACGATGAACGGAGTGTGTTGAGTAGCGATGCGCAACACGACATCCTGAACTTGTTCGAAGCAGCTATAAATTCTTCATTACATCCCAACATCGATGAAAAAGCCGAGCGCTTTGTCAAGGACCTGGTGACATTTGCCTCCGAGGGGAATTCAGGATTAGACGCAGATTCTGTTGCTTCTGCGACATGGAAAGTCTTGATAAACGCTGCCAGCTGCATCCCTTGTCGACACTGTGGCCAAGATGTTCTTGTCAAGATTGTTGGCTTGTTAGACACAGCTGGCGATACTTGGAAAGATTACCCCGGATTTGGAATTACCATGAGGGAAAATTGGAACCGCAGTATGTAGACTCTCGAGAAGCACTCTTGGAGCACGGTCTAACATCACCAAGGTCCCGTATTCCAGATTGACGACGATGATGATGGAGGAGCATTTACCTTGGATGAATGGCTCAACTTGAATTCTTTCCTTGCCAGGTTGGGAGAGGACTTTATCAGCTTTGGCCTCTGGGAATTACGAAATGGCATGGAAGGTCGCAGTGCGGAAGAAATGTTTACCCCTAAAGCTGTGGCCAACGCTCGTATCCTTGTTGCTGCTGAGTGGATTATCCGAGGGGGGCGGGGACTGTTGCGAGAGTCTTTACTTAACGCCTTGTCACATGAGCCTACCAGTGGGAAGCCTTGGGCTGGGGGACCTTTGTTTCCTGGCGCTAGGGGATTTAATCTTGAGCGATGGCGCTTTTGGAAGCGCCGGTGAGGGGAGCTACGAGAGGATGCTATCGAATCAAGTCAAAAGTCGATCGATGAAGCTGTCGAACTGATGACGGTATTAGAAGCTGAAGTTGCCGACGGTTGAGGTGTGAATTAGGAAACGACACTGTCGACCCCAATTATCTTTTGAGTTCCGGTGATTATTGTCTTCGGCCCTGTAAACACGGTTGCGCTGCTACCAGTATCACATGTTCCGTGCGCGTCCACCGACGACCTCAATATGCTCAAATAGTGTATCATAGCATAGAACCAAAATGACTCTCTCTTCCCCCTAGTATTCGAACGTGAGCCATCCTATTTCTCGATATTCTTCCTTCCTTCTCTAGGCACAAATCTAACCTTCACCCCTTTCGGCCCAGCTCTGGTCGCCCTCACGTCCTGGATACCCTTCATAGGATCAATACACCCCTCATTTATATCCTCTACCCCATCACCTGGCGACAACTCAAATCTCGCAACCAAATTCAGAAAAGCCATGTACAAACCCTGATTTGCAACATGACTAGCAACACACATCCTTCCACCATATCCAAACGTGTAATGGCTCAATGATTCCCTCTGCCCTCCCTCTTTCTTCATCCACCTCTCAGGCTTGAAGACATCTGGATTTGGAAACGGAATAGGATCTCGGTTACATGACCATGAGTTAAGGAAGACCATTGTATTAGCAGGAATTGTTGTTCCATCCCAGATAGCTGGACCAGAGGTAGCTTTGGGCAATGCGAGACGGAGAGGTGTGTAGTAACGCATGATCTCTTTCGTGAAAGCCATTAGGTAGTCTACTTGTGGGCTACCGGGAGCTAATGGATTGGAAGGATTGATGCCAGAGACAATGGTGTTATATGCTTGCGCTTGAATGTCGGGATGATGAGCTAGGAACAAAATTCCCCAGCCTATTGTAGGAGTTGTGGTTTCGGCTCCCTTTTGGCCAATGATTAGCTTTCGATTATGGAATTGGATAGAGGACTTACAGCCATCATACTGAAACTGATGCTGATCAACTCCTCTTCCGTTAAATTGCTGGCTTCAGGATCTTTCAGGACACCGCCTTGGATGCAGGCATTATCTGTTCCTTTCGAGATTCTTTGCTTTAATTCATCGAGAAGGGCTTTTTAGTACCTAAAGTAGCATCATCAGTATCGTCACTTTTGATGTTGCCAGGAAGGCAATATACGCAAGTCTTCGCTTCCCAATATCTCTTCCATAAGCCGGCCCAGGACTGATGTGCAAAATCTCCTTGATTCGATCCAAGATACGAAGTGCAGGGATGTAGTTGCTATAGTTCGAGCCGGTAGACCTCAATTTCCCAATCTCAGTCTCAATATGTACGACTTCCTGCAAGAGAGGTGAATTCTGGAAGTCTTTCGTCGACTCCGCTCTGTAAAGCGAAAGTTCAGTTGGGACTTTGACTATGTGTCAACATCAACTTTACCTGAAGCCATAATTGAGTGTAAGGCTCAAGTTCAATGACAAGCGATGAGTGAGGTCTGTTGGGTCAAAGGCTAAAGCACCCCCATTCCCTTCTTCGTAGAGATCCCGTATCCATTCCGTGACTTCGAGATTGAGAATCTTTGACATGTGTCAGCTTCTCTGAAATTGACAATAGCTCTTATAAATGCTTACAGGTAAGTAACTTTCAGTCTTCGATCGGTTTAAGGCCGTGGCAGCAGCCTTTCTTCGTCGCTTACAGCTATCATCCCAAGGCGAAGTACCAATACTTAACACATTCTTGCTCACAATCTACCAGACAATTGAATCAGAACCGTTCGAGACTCGTCCTAGTGATGACACAACATACTTTATGAAAGACATGAAACACAGGCCTAGAATTGAGGGCAGAGGTCTGCGTCAAAAACAAATTTTTCGCCGCCGCCGCAGAGTTTACGACCACGACTGGAACGTTTCCGAGTTGGATTTGAAATACGGGGCCATATTCCTTTGCCCAGAGACGATGTTGCTCAGCAGCTGAGATATTGTGGAGCTTCAAAGGAATTAGGACTGTTATATCAAATGTAAAAGTGGGTTGACTTGCTTGGTGGAGGTTTCCTACGACTGGGAGCCCGCGAGGCCCTTTGAGACCCTTGACTCGAGCTGTATATCGTGCGATCTCATTGAAAAGGAAGTATACGATTGTAAGTAAGATTGAGGACACAAGTGGCAGGAGGAAGAAGTCGCGAGTCTCCAGATTTAGAGACATGTTTGGAGGGGAAAGGGGATAAAAATCAAAGCTACAGTCTGAGTCTCCGAGGAAATGTGCTCAGAAGGTAGGTATCGTGATAAAAAGAAGAAAGATTTACGTGATAGAGAAACACTCCGGTGTGTCTGAAGTGTATTTGGATGCTAGGTTGAAGGTAGGGCAGGAACCGAATCACACCATGCGAGCCAACATTTCGTGACCTATTAACCCTTGAATGATGATAAGCGAGAAGCGAGTTGGTAAAAATGGATCCAAGCATACGAAAACAATTAGCAATCAGCGGCCGTACGAGGGGGAATCCTGCAGAAGCAAAGATGGGATGGATCTCATTCTGGACCTTGGGCAACACACCCACTTTAAAAATTCAGCAAACATCTTCGCCGCGTTGTTCGATTTTGAGTTGGCAGCTGAAAGCTTCGTTACGCGCCTACTATGGGCTACATCTCGGGTGACCACTAACGCTATGAATACTTCTTATACAAGGAAAAATCAAAGAACGTAAGTCATACTCCATAAGGATATGTGTACGATCGTTTTCTTTTCATTAAACGTCTAGCTGATAAGAAATGCATTAACAGTTGCTGGGAACTATGTACAGCTGTAAAATGTTTTCTTGGTGTGCTGAGAAGCTGTTTACCAACCAAGCAGTACCAAATAGTGTCCTGTTTCTTCAGAGCGCATACCTAAATGAGGGATTGAGCTCCATCCCAGCAACATGCCCAATCTCCCCTCTATCAAGTTTCTTGTTAATTCTTGCATAGTACTGTCTCTGCAAGAGGCAAATCACAATGAATACTCCTTGCGTGACCGCCACCGTGACTAACGCAGGCTTGTAAACAGGGGCATCTTGCGCCCTGAACACTGCCGAGGAGATGATACCCGCGAAGTTCTGACCCATGAACAGTAACCCGAGAGTCAGTGCTCGACCGGTCGTGGTGTGTGTGTTGCTTGCTACCCACGCTGGCACTAGTATTCCAGGGGTAAAAGTTCCGAATGTAATTAGATACTACCTGACTCATAGGACTCAATTAAGAAGAAAAGGAACAGTCTACGGTGATGAAGTAACCAACTTTCACCTCATGGACGAGATCAAGTGTCCCCAGGAGTACAAATCCGATGAGCGACACTAGAAGTGCACCTGCAGAGAAAGTTGCCCTATGCTGAAAATGATCGGAAAGCCAGGACGTGCTCAATTGAATGAAAGCAGCGGTCAAGTTTGGACCAACTGTATAAAGATTTGCTTTCGCGGTATCCACCGTCAAACGTTTCACCATGGTCTAGCATGGTAATCAGCATACCATCAGAAAATAAATCAGAAGTCCAAACATACAGGCAAAAAGTTGGAGCTGCTGTTACTGCCGATTCCGTACATGAGAGCCATGAAGCCAAAGCTCCAGACCTTCCAGTCTTTCAACTCGGTGACGGCATCTGCCCACACGAATCCTTTCTCATGAGTAGTATCTTGATCCAAGCGCGATTGAGATAATTTTGCTTCTTCTTCGGTAAACCAGCGAGACGTAGTAACACTGCGAGGAAGCCAGAAAAAGTTGAAGATGGAAATGCCGACTGTAAGTGCTCCTTCGATCAAGAATAAATATTGCCAGCCCTACTTCGATTAGAATCAGTGGACTTGGAGAGGTTATCCGAGCTTACTTTTAATTCTCTATGCCACTGGAATACACTGTAGGCGATGATTCCACTCACAGCCCCAGCAATGAATCCCATCATGCCAAACGCAGAAATTCTCAAAGCCAACTCTTTCCTGGTGTAAAACAAAGAGCAATAGAACATCGCACATGGAAGAAATCCAGCCTTCACTGCTCCCATCAGAACACGACAAGTCAAGATTCCTCCAAAACTTGTCGCTGCAGCCAAAGCCATTGCCAATGTACCCCACGCTCCCATGATGATAGGCATTACTACTGCAGGATTGAAGCGCTTCGCAGACATGGTCGCTGGGATATTGAAAATGCCATATGGGATATAGAACAGAATTAGAAGGAGCGAGTACTGGTTTCCAACAAGTCCAAGGTCAGCTTCAAGCCCGCCTGTTTTTGCATTTCCGAGGTTTGCGCGATCGAGGGTATGAGTGAAGTACGCAAGCACTGTTCAAATCAGAACGAAGGTTTCATTTTGGGTAGATAAGAAGTTCGCCTACTCAAAGGAGGCATTAGAACCACGTCCAACTTCCAGACGAGCTTGTTTTCCGCAACGGACTTCGAGCTGAGTGAAGGCTCCGATAGCGAATGCACGCTCGTAGCAAGCTCTTTGCTCGCTTCCGACATCTTGATCAGTCTCAAACGAAATGAAGCAAATCAAAAAATAGATGAATGGGAGATGTTTGGAATTTCTCGTGTTTTCAGACACTTGAGATAGGAAAAATTCGAAAAGAGTAGGTTCAGAAGATTGATCCCAGCGACAGTGACAGAGTGTCGGAAGCGAGCAGGCGGACGAAGCCAACTTAAGATGTGCCTGCATGAATGTGGTACAGTTTGATATTGCGTCTTATCTTCCATGATTTCGACATCAAGAGGCGCGGGTACTGGCCCACAAATTTTGATGAAGAATGGATCTGATTTAGACAGTTGACAAGCGGCATGACAGGAGACATTTCGATCCCCTTATTGCACTTTACAAGGAGGTCAAACAGGCAGTCAAAAATGAATATCTATCAGAAAAATGAATTCAACATTCATTGAGACTGAATGAATGTCTGCACTTGGAAATATTTACACTGTGGCCTCTGGTTAGGGAGAAGCATCACCCAGAAATTGAACACACGAGAGAGGTTTATTCTCCACCGTATATGCAGTTTTCGAGCATTACCCCGAGAAAACATGCCTAACTCCATGTTCATTTACCGGTCTGGGACCTGCCCGTCTGTTTCTCAGGTCAAGTCAAATGGACATTGTTCAGCCAAGACGGAACACGGCACCAAGGACAACTGCAAGATTGATCACAACTGAATGCAGGATCAGGGATGAGAGTTCCGAGAGTATGGTGGACATCAGAAAGCGCAGCCTGGCGATACAGGCAAGGGCATGTGAAATATAGGTGAGAGTGGGAGGTTGTCTCTCTATATCCAGAGAGTGGGATGACTTCCAGGGGCTGGCGACCACAAACCACCATTTCCGCACCATTTCTGTATGCGAAGCTACGCCAAGCGAGACTACCGACAACCTTATCTCAACGCCTCAGGCCCGGGTTTGCGGGTTAGGCCTGGGTTTTGCGGAGACTTTGTACGGAATCTTGCCGAAGGACGTGAATGTGGAGTAGTATTGCATAAGCCACTCGGATATCACCATCCTTGGAGTGATGTCCGCATATGTTCTGGACAACCTCTTGCATTATCAATCAATGGTGCTATAGGTGTGAGAATAGAGCTTTGTTCTATTCCATGCAGGAGTGGGATATCGCGAGATTCGAATTGGCGTTGGTGGGGCTAGTCATACGATGTCCTAGAGAGCGAGAGGTATCTCATGCTCTTCTTTCAACTCAGCTTATCCCCTGATATTCCAAGTTCGAGATCCAGCATTAGGAATCTTGAAAATGCCTGTGAAGTCAGAACCTGAGGTCGAACAGGCGAAGCCTCCTCTGATGGACACATCTAGACCTGCACTACAGTCACAAGCAGTCATCCTATCACCACCCCAAGGACGTCCAGTGACTTGGATCAAGAGATGGCCCTTGACAATTATTGCATTCGCGATTGGGGCGATCAGTTTGCCCCTCTCCATGTGGCAGCCGTCTAAGACCCCTATCGATCCATTGGATTATACGGCTCGAACAAAGCATGTATTATCGACTACTCCGCTGATAGACGGCCACAACGATTTGCCACATCTGATCCGAATCGAGCTATATGGCAAGATGTGTGATGGTACTTTCAATTTCAATGATAAGTTGCTTGGGCACACAGATGTTCAAAGAATGCGTAAGGGCCAGGTATGTGAACTTTGCAGTAACCGTTCGCACAGCTTTTGGGTCTTGAAACGTATCGAAAGTCATTCTGACACTGAAATTCGTCTATGCAGATGGGAGGACAATTTTGGAGCGTGTTCGTAGAGTGTGAAGAAGAAGTTGGCATCGATGACCCGACCGTGAGTTTTAAACCTCAATGAATTCCATCCTGGAGACTTATACTGACAGATGATAGTGGATTGTTCGGGATACTTTGGAGCAGATCGATATCGCAAGACGCTTCATCGAGGAATACCCATCTGTTTTCCAATATTGTGACACTCCAAGATGTGCTCGCGAAGCCCACAAAGCTGGTCGAATTGCCAGCATGATCGGAATCGAAGGTGGACATCAAGTTGGAAGTGAGAAACACCTATTCGCAGCATTTTCGAGCTCTCACCCAAATATTAAACATATACTGACCAACCTGCTAGATTCGCTCGGCGCAATTCGACAAATGTATGATCTTGGCGCGAGGTACATCACCACAACGCACAACTGTGACAATGCGTTTGCAACAGCAGCATCAACCGTTGCAGCAGGAAGGGAAGACAAGGGACTGACACCCTTCGGTCACGAGTAGGTATTTATTCTGGTGGAGCAGATTGTTTCCGCCAACAATTCTCACTATTTTCCAAGGTTCTAATGAGCATGGGCTAACCTCCACATTTCACAGGTATGTGAAAGAGATGAATAGGCTTGGTATGATGATTGACCTGTCTCATGTCTCGCATCAAACTATGAGAGATGTGCTTTCGGTTACACAAGCACCGGTCATATTCTCTCATTCAGGAGCATACTCCGTCCAAAAACACCTTCGCCATGCTCCTGACGATGTACTGAGAGGGATTAAAGCAAATGGCGGTATCGTCATGGCCGTTTTCGTCAATCGCTTCCTGAACATGAAGCATCCGGAGGAAGCTACAATCCACGATGTTGTTGACCACATCATGCACATTGCTGAAGTAGCAGGGTGGAAGCACGTTGGTGTTGGTTCCGACTTTAGCGGCACTCCAGCTGTTCCCATTGGACTCGAGGTGTGCTTTCCAATCTTCTCCTCAGATCAGCGTGTTGACTGTTCTTAGGATGTTTCAAAGTATCCAGATCTTGTAGCGCTCTTGATGGAGCGAGGCGCAACAGACGAGCAGGTTCGAATGTTTGCAGGTGAAAACCTTCTCCGCGTCTGGGCTGACATCGAGAGAGACGAGGGAAAGAGATTCAAGCAGCAGGCGTCAAACCTAACGAAGCAATATGGCAAGAGAGGATCAAAGGGTGGGCAACTGGTTTCGCAAATTCGCCGTTCATGTTTCGATCAACGCGCGAGAGGAGTAAAAATATCAAGCGTATTGCTCACAACTTCAATGTGGATGGAGGAGTGCATAAACCAGAGTAGAGACACAATGCTTTTTCGGCATGTCGTATGAATGAGAAGCTAGACAGATGACAAGAGCGATGAGCCGCCATGATCCGTTGCAGACAAGTCTCGTGGGGAGGAATTTGGAAAATGAGGCTAGCGAGAGGCGTAGGACTTTCCCGAAATCTGTACTTGGCATCGAATTAGATATTCCAAAGACCTTCAATCCAGTGCATTGATTTATTGCTGATTGATGTATCCATCGAATGATCCTTCCTCTGGTCATCTAGTGTCGACTGAGATCGCAATACGACCATCGCAATCACTCTATCAAGATATTGGTGATTGCGCCCACATGTTTCCAGTCAGCTCTCGGCTTTTTGGTGTCGAACCTGAGCCAGCCAAGACGTTCATAAATTGCTGTTCCATCAAGCTCTCGATTGCAAGATCGGAGGATCAAGCCAGCAGTCCAACAAGATTCTAGCGGCACGTAACCGTAAATAGTAAGGTCAGCCTCAATGCCTAGCTCCACAAAGAAGACGTTGTCGAGTATTTGCCAAAGGTTCTCTTCGTCGGACCAGAATTTGTAATCGGTCCAAAGATTGCCAGCGTTCTTTAGAAATTCTGCGGGATCTGTGTCATCGAGACAAGTGATGGCTGACATAACTCGAGTGGATGATTCTGAGAGAGTATCTTCAGATGCTAAATCTGAATTCGGCATTGTTGGTATGGTATCCGAGGTTGTGGGGCCATCATAGGTTACGGTCCATTTGTTCACAGAACAGCACCGATATCCCTTGTAACACTCCATACCATTGCTGGCCTCTTTTTCATGGAGGGAGATATGCGTCAAAGGGGCACAAAGAGATAGCAATCTTCGGCTAGAGCTATTCATCTGATCATCGTCACAATCTTGGTCAACCACACGGATAACCCTCGAGTATGAGCCTGTAATGTTCTCATTCCACTCAATGCCACCATCAGCGGCAGATACCCAGGACCAAGATGATGCTTTTCGAGGACGGGACTGTTCATCACTGTAACCGTAACTCTGCCACAAGATGTCCTTCTCAAGGCTTTCAACCCACATTCCTTGGATGTATTTACCAGCATCAGCAGCCTGGAAATATCTTGCCAAACCAGCAAGAGCTGGTAGTTTATCGTGAATAAAGGTAAGGTCGCGCACGGTATACTGAGCAACCAATTGACGCCATAGTATCCAAAGCTTCTCTCGCGGAAGCTGTGAGATCTTCGCGAATTCGAATTTGATAGGAGGACAATTCAATAAAGTTGGTTTGTCCGCTTGGCTACGGTGCTTGAAGCTGTCCGGGGTTGTCGAACATGAACAAGCCACGTCCTCGAGACATTCCCACAGTACCTCGTTAGCTGCAAAACACAAGAATCTCCGTGATAACAGTCGTTCTTGAAACACCCAACCTCGTGCCATCAGTGGCATTTGTTCGCCTGAGGGCCAATCCTCATCTGGGTGTGGCAAGCATCTCCTAATGTAAACCTTACGCTCCATATGCCCATCATTCAGCATGAAGGATGAAGGCGAGCTGAATGGAGCTGAGGCTTGTTGGAAAAAACCGCTGTCATCGCTTCCGCTAGCACCTGCTGCAAGTGTTATGTATGCATTTCGATAGATTTGAGCCATCTCATTCACATGTATCTTCCAATCGACACGGTCGTCTTGAACAATACACAAAGAGTCTATCCAAAGATACCGGATAGACAACGCGCGGGAGATCGTGATCGCATCTTGGAACGTTGGAGGAAGATCAGAAACTGGGATGCCTCTGACGTTGGCATCAAAATTTGATGTTGTTGTCACGTGTTTGCACCTCGTCTTTCCCCAGCAATGGCTGAGGCATGCATAGCGGAAATCGAACCTGGCGTTTTCTTCTTTATCCGAGGTGATGTCGGGCTGATTGAGCTCAACAAGGCGAATGCTATCTGGAGATCTAGTCTCTAAGTCAAGGAGGCGTGGCGGGACTTGAGTATTAGAGACGCTGCAGGTATTATGTTGTTGTTCGCAAGTCCGCAGCCATTGCAGGATCATTCCCAGATTTTCACTTAGGTTTGTGGTCAAAGATATCAGAGCTGCAGGCCGTATATGTTTGAAGGGAGGCGTAGTATCGATAGTGAAGATGTCTATATTCAAGACACCACGAGGCTTCTTGAAGAGGTGCAGGTAAAGATGCCCTGCGCTTCTGTTGAATGCGATTTGCTCCTCCTTGCGATCTTCCAGTGCGGGCGTGCCATATTCCCATGCCCGAACTAGAACGAGACATCCAAGACAGCCGTTGGCAGAAGAGACTTGGAGATCATTGAAGCTGTGGCATAGAATCTCGCTTTCCTCGTCGTCATTTGCACCACGTGCTTCAGTCCAGGAGGGATATCGACAGACAAGACATGCATCTTGAAGCGCCGAGACAGATCCTGGCGATAGCATGCTCATTGCAACTCAATCATCTCTAGCTCTGTTGATTATGAGGTTTGCATTGCAGGATAATCTGCAATCAGTTGAAGATGCTGTCTGAAATGATGACTTGGCTGAGCTGAGACTTTAGACTAGCGACAAAAGGGGATAGCGAAGCCGAGAATATGCCGAGGCTCCTACTGTACCGGCGTTCTCGAATAGATGCACTTGAAATGTCATTATGCAGGAAAGAAAACGAGTGTCCGCTCTCAAATCTTGAGCATTCGCAAATCTTGGACGCATGCATGGTCTCATATAAATCGCGGATAGTTAAGTGCTTTCATAATCATGATTGCGATTGTAGGGGAACACCTTCTTTCATTGCCTCGCAAATCATAGAAAATGTCAAACACCTCGTGTAGGTGGTGAGTCCATCCACTGTACAGTCCCTTCACGACGACTTTCCTAAATTGACTAAGTTAATCAAGTATGGACGAAATGATTGATTGATCTATACAGCTCGCATCTACTGCATGTCAGAATCGAATACTGACTCATCCTATAGCTAAAAATAACTGATACAGTACTTGAACAAGGTCGCTTCATCAACACCTTGATTCGGCCGTCACAGTCTCTACCTGATCTATACCCATACCCCGCTGCACTCGTCACTTCTCCATTCCCAATTTGTCTGGGACATGCTCGACCGTTGCTTCGACTTTCTCAGTCATTTGCTCCTTAACGCCCTTCAAAAAGAATATAGCCACAATCGCTAACACAACAAAAGGTATGATAGATACCCATGCGAGTCTGTACGCAGACGCATAAGCTGAGTGGCTTGCATTCACTACGGCTGCAATAATCGACTCATTGATTCCGGGGACAGCAGCAATTGCTGTTGAATCACCAGCTGCTAGTGCGGCTAGAAGGGCTGGCACGGCGCTGGCTGACAGGCCTGCTCCAGTTGCAGCTGAAAGTATGCTAGGTTCATATTTAGAGTTCAGTTTTCCGTTGATGATGGCGTCGAGGACGGCCGAGCCGAATGCTCCTCCAATTGCACGTGCTGAGAACGCAAGACCGGTTGCGCAAGAGAGATATTGGTGAGGAGCGGTGAATTGAACGAGAGCAACGATCAGGATTAGTGGTCCAGCTTGTCCAATCCCGGCTGCACCCGTGTCAGTGGACATAATGTCTTCGAATGGCTAGCTACTCACCGATCACATTGTATCCAATCTGTGCGTGGTTCATAGCAGGAGTAATAGTTGCGTAGCAAATGCAGACAATCAAAAAGAGTACAAAACAGACTATAGTCGGATTCTTGAGGTCCTTATACTTTGTAGCGTACCAGCTTCCAGATGTTAGTAACCTTCATTCAAAGATCTGTGGGCAATTCTTACGTGATAGGTAGACATGCAAAAAGAGATACAAGATTATAACTAAGCTGTCTGATGGAGATTTGCCATGAAGTGTCTTCGAATCCAAGATTAAGAACAATCTGAGGGGTAATAGAATTTACAGCCGAGTAAAAGATCCAGCTATTAAACAATATATTAGTTTAAGTGAATCAAAAATGAAAGGAAGCATACATACCCTTCAACGGCAAAAGCAAATACAGATAACATGAAGTTCGGACTTCCCTTGAAGAGCGAATGAGCCACGATCCCATCCGACCTGCCCTTCCACTCATAGAAGCAAAACAAGAGCAGTGACGCTCCACCGATTGCTATTGGTATTGCGACATGTACGTTGCCCCAAGGATATGCACTCGACCAGTCAAAGGCCAAGAGTAGCAATAGCGACCCTTCGATGAACAAGGCAGATCCAATCGGGTCACAAGCCCAGACTATTTCTTTCAATGTCATATCAGGATAGTCTGGGTGTCGCTTTGGATGATAGAATATAAGGAGTGAGACGGAGCTTGTTAAGTGGAACGCAGCTTGTATCCAAAAGATGGAGCGCCATCCTCCAGCATCTGTATTGGTGACACCACCAGCACCGAGAACACCGAGCCTAAAAGAAGTTAGGATTTAGACATAAGTCAAAGGAGGTCAACAGCCTTCGAGACTTACAAACCACCGGTAGCGCCGCCAACAAATCCCAAGCCGCTTGCCAGTGCACGGTACTTCAAGGGAAGAACTTCAGCTGGTACAGCCTCAATGATCGCAACAGTGCTCAATGTGAATCCAATTAGAATTCCCCCGCCAATGAGAACCGACATGCTTTCTGCCCTTGCTGATATAACAGCCCCAGCAAAAGCAATTAGTGGTGGTATAGAGACTAGATACCTCCGGTCGATAACGTCTGATAGGCGACCGACAATTGGTGATAGCACGGCTTGCATGAGAAGAGGGCCCTGCATTTTTGATGAGCTGTCACATCGACAAGGTAAGAATATTCATACCTGTATGATCCATCCAGATATTGATGCATCTCCCAAGTCCCGAATAATAAAAGCAATAACGCTTCCAGCAGCTGTCACGACGAAAATCTGTGACATGTTGCTAATTCATTAAACGATCAGCATGAACGCTAAGCAGAAACGACAGTAACATGTTCCCAGCCATGTAGTAGGCAATGAATCAATAAGAGTGGACACTTACACAAAACAAATGATGAAGACAACCAACCAAGATCTCCAACTCAACTTGACAGGATATTCATCCTCAATCAGATCAACACTCTGTAATTGAGTTTTCCGGTCATGGTGCGCTTCGGGACTACCTGCATTCTCGATAGTCATCGCAGTAGGTTCCTCACCAGATTTCTGCATCTTGAATCTTGATCATGTAAAGACAACTGTGCAAGAAAGACGTCTAAATTTGGCGACTTTGTAATTTCGGCCTTGCAGGACTAAAGTATCTTTCTCACAAAAGCTGGGGATCCCGCGAAGGGTGGTTGGGCCTGTGGGGTACGCTCAAGGTTGGGGTATCTGGAGCTTGAAGTTCCCAGTCCGGGGGTCGCTTAGGGTCCCCGCAGAAGACTGTGCATGACGCGGGGTAGAGCTTGGCGACAATTCATAACCAACAACAGTTGTGACCCACAGCTTCGCGGTGGTTTTGATATCACCGTTCTGTTGCGGAAGTCGGGAGCCGCGTTATCTCCGGTTATCTTTAAGAAAAAAGAGGATACTTCTGCTTTTTTTTTTCGCAGAGTAATGGGCAGCTGAATAAACAAGGGCAAGTTAGGCCCCACGTTAGTTCTCATATGCTTCCGAAGCCCCACCTAGAAAACCAAACCTCGCTCTTATCCTCAACCCGAAGGTACCGAATTGAATCCGTTGCGATCGTCAAGCAAGCAGTCGGTAAAGCTAGTACATCTTAAATTCATCTATCGTGCCTGTTCCCGATCTTACCTGATTGAACTTCATCCCAACCCGAAAACAAGCGCTTTTGGACAAGTCGACAAGATGGCAACTTCTACATACACAGAGACTAAAGTGGGTGATGTGAAAACGACCGTGAAGTATCTACAACCAGACTCAAAGAATGTGCGTTATTTCAGCAAAGGTCTCGAAGTAAATACTGGCAAGTACGACGACGTATCCATCGTGGTACATGACGCGCGTCCGACCCAGGAGGAGTTTACACTGGACAATGGTGGATTTGCTTTGATTCAACACAATTCCAAGGTATGCTACAGAATTCGTTCTCTGGAACATGCCCTGATAAGCCGAATGTACAGCTTACGAACTTTTACTCTCGCGAACAATTGGATACAACTTATGCTTCAGAAATCACTTCTCTCGTCAAATCGCTCACTGGTGCGGACGATGTGGTCATTTTCAGCGCTCCTGTACTTCGCAAGACAGATGCTAAAGTAGGCACGACCTATCAGCCTCGTGCCGCAGATGTGCACACGGACTATTCATCGTGAGCAGTCCCCGAGGATTATCCTGTTAATTTGAGTCATTTGAGGGGTGATGGGATACTGGTTCTCTCCCAAAAACGGGATTACTTCTCCAACATCCTCCTCAAGCTTTTTTTTAAAGAAGTGTACTGACTTCAAGAATCTCCACAGTGGAAATGCTGAAGACTTTGCTCCCAAAAAGGCACAAGAAAATGGAGATATCAAATACTCTCGATTCGCGTTTGTGAATGTCTGGCGCGCGATTACACCTCCTCCGCAAGACTGGCCATTGGCAGTCGTTGACGCACGATCAGTGGCTCCTGACGAAGGAACACCGTACCCCATGATCATCGTCGACAAGATTCCAGAGAAGTTGCCAATAGTACCTCAGCCCGCATACACTATCGAGGGCGCAAACTTCTCTTTCAAGCCAGAGCATAGGTGGTATTACTTTAGGGATATGAAGATTGACGAAGTGCTTGTGTTCAAGCTGTACGACTCAAATAGACATCAAGGATCAAAGAGTTGGAGGTGTCCCCATACAGCATTTTTCAATCCAACGGAAGGAACTATCCCAAGGGAAAGTGTCGAAGTTAGAACTATCTGTTACTTTAAATGATAGAGCGGATACCGGGAGCGTTCACTCCTGGCCAGAACAATTCAGGGGAATCAGCTTAACGCGTGCTGTAGTAATCACTTCTTTTGAGAATTTGAGAGCCTCTTACAGATTTCTCTTGTTTCCAAACTTGTTGAACAGTGGATAATGTGTTGGTCAGATTTTTATGCCACAAGAGGTCAATATTTCCGTATGCCTAGCTGACAAGGGGCCTTTCTCAGCCTGCTACCTCCTGCTCTTGGCCGGCGATTGTTTTGGATCCGCCTTCTTGGACGTCGCCAATAGATTGTGATCCATCGGTAATGCTTCAAGGGGATAGCTGGCCAATGCTGGGTTAAGCGCCCAGTCGGAGGTTAAATATACAGCTGGAGATTAAAGGGAGGGGCTCAGATCTCGGTTCTGGAGCGACTTGTTTTCATTTATCAGTCGTACTAACAAGGAGCTCGCTTACTTCAAGAGATATCTTTTTGTGGATACACTTTTGAGATAGTGCCTTAGCTCTTGCACTATGTTCGACGAATCTTCCCATCTTCCCCCCGCTTTCCATAAGCAACATCATGTGACGCGGTCGAAAGAGTCCTCCATGCCAAGAAAGCTCAAGGCGGAGAGAATTTACAGCAGTAGAAAGATCAAGAAGAAACATGCCCCGTCATACAAGAAATCAAGACTTCTAGTATAACTCTACGAAATATGAATCACTCTGATAAGTGACACCTTATGCCCCCAGCCATTCCAACCCCTCAACTCAACGCCGGTTACCCGCTTAATCTTGAAGACACATCTCATTTGGAGTGATAACTCCATCTCCATTCACGTCATATCTAACTCGAAGTGTTAGTGGATTCGTATGATGAGATCAATAACCAAAGGTTCACATACTTGTCAAAATATTCCTCCAGCTCCGGGGTCCTCTCCTCTCCAAGATACTTCAAAAACTCGTTGAAAGTAAAGAATCCTTTCCCATGCCCATCCACAGCCTGATGCATAGCATTATCATCCTCGCTCACCCCTTCCGGTGTAACGCGAGAAACTTTCGGACCAGCTTCAGATTTGTTGGTCGGGTCGACTGGTTTCTCATCCATCGCACCACCGCACAAGGCAACGTTTGGAGCATCTGCACTGACTCGAATAATCGGGGCTTCAGCGGCAAGCTTGCCGTTGGGTTTTGGTGGGACCTTGGGGACTTTGGGACCTCCTCCTGACATGCTTGTTGATCCATCAGGGTTGTCGCATATGGTTCCGCCGTCCCACGCCCAGCAGATGGGAAGTTCGACGGGTTTGCAAGATTTGTCACACCCTATGAAGAGTAAGTATAATTGAAGTGAAGGAAAGTGATGGTGTGATAGGTTACCTCCATTGCAGTTGCAACAGAAAATGTTACACTTCCCTTTCCCACAGCAAGAAGTGACGCCTTTGTTACCACAACAGGCGAGAGTGACGGTGCTTAAGGTAAGCAGGGCAATGATTTTCAAACGCATTCTGAGATACTTGACAAAGATGGATTTTCAGAACTGTGATGAGGCTCCTCTCTGGAGAACTGTTAATTGATTTTTGGTGGCATCTTTGACTCTTTTTATTTTTAATTCAAACGATCGTACACGGGAAAAGCCTGGTTCATGGAAATTAAGATGTGGGGTTCACCGCCGTGAATTAGTTTGACAAGTATCTTCCTGCAAACAACGTATCATCGCGGGCATGACTTGTAACATCAGACATCCACTTTGCAGCCAGCCACACTCGTGCTGTAAGATGAGTGATTTATGGTTGGAGAAGTAGGCCGCAACATGAAGCAGCTGAAAAAGTACTCAACTCTAAGCGCGGGGATCTCAATCGGCGACTTGGCGCGGAGAGCCGCTCAAGCGAGAGGTCGCATGTCATCTTCTGCAAGGTACCAAAAAAACTTTTCGGAGTATCTCCCATTTAGGAATTCTTTCTTCCCATGGAGAGATGAAGTTTTGCTAGGTGCTTTATTCCATGACTAAATGCTGACATGATTTCATCCTGCACTGTACCGTTGTATCTCAATCCTAGTCAGTGAGTAAGCCAGCTGAAAGACGGTGGGCTGACATATACTTAAGCTTAAAGCCGTCAAGCTCGGACGGCCCGAAAGCGGAGCAAATTTTTTAAGGTTGTTTAAGCTCCGATTGGAAACTGGAAGCGTGGAGTCCTCTTGGCCATAAAGCAGAGTCTCTTCGCGAGTGTGAAAAGTGCCTCGGAGATTTCATGATCGAAGTAACGATTTTTTTAGTCACGTGAATCTGTGCTGAGTGCTTTTGATGTCTTTAGTGTCAGACCAATTCATATTGATTGTCATAGTTAAAATGTTTGGGGTATAATATCACCATGATACCGTTACAGTCACCACTTTATTCGGATCACCTCCACAATCTGATCCCACTTGCACACCATTTGGGCTGAGTTGCCAGCTGCTACACATATAGTCTGAGTCTGGTAGCGTCGGCGGAGGAGTTGGTTGTATCGTTGAAGCCGTGGTTGAAGTGGGAATTGTTGTTGCAGGAGCATTAAGACCAAAAACAAACTGCGGTTCGTATGCTCCATTTCCTTGGCTCTTCAAAATACCCGAGACGTCCGCTGGACAAGCACCTATGTCCACTTGTTTCGATCTGAGCTGGATATCTGGTAGTCCAGAAGCCGTCGGAAGACTTTGCGGCCAGGTATACGGGTAGACACCAAGTATTTCGTCTTGATTCCATATTCGTAACGCACGCGAGACGATACACTGCCCGTCATCGGTTTTTCTTAAGTGTTGGGGAGCGTACTCAAATGTCATGAGGCCGAGCCACGGCTGTGCTTCCATCTCAGCAGCAGAGTTGACAGGTTTGTATGTGGCAACTTGGATGTTCTGGTCTGTAAAAGCTGGCAGTTGGTCGATCAAGAGAGCCTTAATCTTTTTGATCTGATCACCGTAGATAGGATCTGCCGCTTTTGCACCTTCTGGAACCTTTTGGCTGTCGCGATAGCTTGGTGTAAAGATGACGGCGGCTGAGAAAAGAGGTTCTTCCAAACTCTCTCCTATGTCTTCAGGTATTGACCCGTTAAATAGCCAATCTACAACGTCAACGAGCCCTTGATGTATTCCATCACCGCTGCCTATTCTCAGAAAGTTAAGCACGTCGCTGTCAAAGGTCGTGCTATTTTGTATCTGTTCCTGCTCCCAGAAATGTGCCATCCATACTCCTCGTTCGGAAAACACTAGCACACTGGTACAACCCCATGAAGGCCCAGTGCCAGTGGTAATAGCATGATTCCGCAGATCCGAATAGTCGAACCAAGTTGATGATGGAATACCTCCAGTCGGTGTCTCTATTCTCTGCGGCCCACTACTCTCCACGAGACCCACTGCGTGTTGGAACCACTGAGCTTTCGTCCCAGTTAAGAATGTATTTGGATCGGTGAAGTCGCGTTGCCTGATAATGGTTGGGTCTTCCTCGTCTACCCGCTTGACTGTTCCGACCCTCGTGACTCTGGAACTTCTCTTTCCAGGATGATATGGATAATTTGTAATGCTCGGCACTTTATCTTTTGGATCGTTTGTCGTAATAGCTGGAGGTATACCCCGGATGGAAGATGCTACAACATTATATGCGCACGAGCCAGCTTTGCAGATGAAAGCCTCTGATGAGGCTGGTAGGAACGATGTAGTGGTGGGGAGTTGGCCTTATCAGAACGAATAATTAGCATGAACTGCGCGATGAAGATAATTAACTTCAGGCTACAAAAATGTCGAACTTACCTTGTCGCGCAGAAACAAGGGCTGCTATCCAAAAAGCAAAAGCTTGTAGCCTGGTGATCAACATCTCAGGCACATTTGTTCTGCTGTCGTAAATATTCGGAAACGAGAGTTCGAAGACGCAAAAAGTGAAGAGAAGAAACAGAAACATCTTCTCCTGCGATCGCAGCCTTCTCGACATGTTGGGCACGATGTTGGAAGTTTACAGCCGCGGAGGTGTTGGTCATGTCATTTTTTGACACAAAGTATATGAAGCGAAACAGACCATTCTGAGGTCGCAGAGTCCGTACCGAAGAATAGTTATCATGTTAAGAGTATCAAAATCCAATGCGAACACTCCAGTACCTGTTTGTATGTCTTCGCTAAGGTCACGAATTCCACCGAACACTTATGCAGTTTTCGTCCCGGCATGTACTAGTTGAAAGTCCTGCTCCGTGTTTTCTTTTCACCAAACTGCATGGAATATAAATTGTGCGCACAGGGAAAAGGTTCGGGGGGATTGTTGGCTTATACGCGCCGAGAGATCAGTCGACCAATCACGATATGCCATTACTTCGAAACTTCGGTAGGCCGAGGCTTACCCTTCCAACTCGTTTCAGGCTTCGTACAGGCCTACTTATGCTACCGAGTAGGATCTGAGGAAGTGATGCGGATGACTACTCCTCCGAAGACCATGTTGTTGCACAATTGACATTCGATCTTGTTGCAGCACCAACTCACACGCAAGCTTTCCCCACGTCTTCTATGAGAAATTATATGGAGTAAAAACGCTTTCAGTCAACAATAGGGAGAGGGTTGCTGAAAACATTCGTTGTTCTTCATTGGGATATAATTAAGTATGACACCACTTATACCTCGTCGCCAATATTTTTATTCTATGTATATGAAACAACCATCCTTCCCCAACGCCTTGGTTTTAATCGCCTTCCTAGACCAATCTAGATATCTCATAAAAAGGCATTTGCTCCTCTAAATTACCCCACGTGCCCTCCCAATCTCTCCGAGGATTGCCTACCCACCAGCAACCATCTCCATATCAACCTTCTCCCACTTCATAGTAACACCGCACACGAACGCTACAGCACCAGCCGCAATGACTAGTATCCAAATTGAATCAATAGTCTTTGCAATGGCCTCAATAGCCTTTTGTGTCACCACCGCATTTCCACCTTTCAAGATTGCGCTCTGAACACCACTCAACGCACCTCTCAACTCATCTTCGGTAAAGTTATAACCCGCAAGTGCGTCGCGGAGGTTGATGAAGCCTCGGTTCTGGAACACTGAGGCCGCGATTGACAGCGAGATTGCGATTGTTCCGATTTGAGCTGTGTTGATAAAACCAATGGCATTCTGTGCATCCTCCTTAGCGGCCTTGGCAACGGCAACACTGTATGCGACTTGCATTGTCAAGCCTGATCCTATTGCGACGAGAATTTCAAAGCCGTAGATCGAGGTGACGCCTGTTGAGACGTGGACTCGGTACATGAGAACACCGCCGATGAGTGTGAAGATACCGGTAGCGAGATAGAATGGAGCGTAGAGACCTTTTGCGACCATGGGGAGGATGGCTCCGGAGAACATCACGAAGAAGACGTTCAGGACGATAAAAGGAAGAAGGCGGATAGCGGCTTTGATGGCGGAATCACCGCGGGTGAATTGGAAGAAGAGGGGAATGTAGTAAACACCGACTATTCATGAATGTGTAAGCAAAAATATGACGGAGAAGAGCAGGGGTAGACTCACCAGCCAGTCCGGTCGCGGCTGCGGCAGTTCCAACATAGAGGAGGATCATAGTGCGGGACTTCAAGAAGTGGACAGGGAATATTCGCTTCTCTGGTGTCGTGAAGATGCTGAATGTTTGTTGAATAACGTAGAGAGTGAGGCAAACTGCAAATGAGGCCCAGAGCGCGATGGGACCAGCTTCAGTCCATTTCCAGGTGCTGCCAGAGAAAGTGAGGACAACCTGAAATAGTGTGAAGACCGAAGCATTCAGTGTTACACCTATCCAATCGATTGTGGCCAGCTTAGTGACGGTTGGGATGGTAGGAGTAGAGCAGTGTTTTGGAAACAGGAAAATGTAGACTGTGAAATGTAAGTGTTGATTTCATCGATGCTTCAGAGAGAATCTTACTTGGTGAAAGAGCAGCAGCCAACGGCAAATTGATGTAAAATGCCCATCTCCAGGTTGCGGATGAAACGGCGAATCCACCCCCAATCAGTGGACCGAGGATACATCCTGTGCCCCAGCAGAGACCGATCAACGCGTTGTAGATGGGACGGGTAGCCAAGGGAGTGAAGATGGAGATATATGTCAATGCTCTATTCATAGTTAGACTCGCAAGAGCATATAAGTCTTTTGAACTTACCCAAGATACATTCCAGCACCACCCATACCAGCAATAACTCGTCCAACAATCATGGCATTCATACTAGGAGCTGCTCCGCAAAGAGCAGAACCCGCTTCGAATGTGATCACAGCACCAATCATCAAATACTTAATCTCAAAAAGAGAGTAAAAGCGTCCTATCAGAAGAATAACAGCAACGGCACCCATTGGAAATCCGATTCCGACCCAGGCGAGCTTGTCGATTTCCCCAAGAGAGAGGAGAATTGGACCTTGTACCGAGGCGGCAATGGTGGTATCAAGGCCGTAGAGGAGAGCCCCGAGAAAGAGGCCGGCGCAAACAAGGATCCAGCGAACTTTGGAGACTTCTTGGATTTTGGAAGCAGAGTTCAAAGAGGACTTTTCGCTGTCGGAGGGGTTACCAACAGTTGCCTCGAAGTCTGAGGCACGAGGTTGAGTAGAGTCATCCTTGGGGATGGCCTCTTGGTAGGGGGCGGACATCTTGTCGTCGAACCAGGAAAGACGTCGAGAAGAGAGTGAGGGTAGAAGGCTAGGGTCGACGAGACGGAGGGGAAGGGGAGCCAGGGAAGAAAAGTACTCTTGTATGTTCTGAGTTTGAAGTGATGGCTGGAGGATTATGAAATGTGGGAAGAAGTGTACTTAAGCTATGTGACAGAAGAATAGGACCACACAGCAACAAAAGCCAACGAAAGGATCCTTCGGCGACGTCTTGCCAAGAACGCTTCTAATCTGAGCGCCTCAATAAGGACGTGCTTCAGACTGTGGACCACAATCCTAGCATGGCTATTCCGAATCCGACTTCAGAACAGTGGTAACTATACCCTGAGTGGAACGGCAGTGTGTGTGCCGTAGCAACTAGCTTGCGGGGTAGCTAACGGCATAATCAATAGATATCCTTGCGACAACGTGGTCGAGATATGGTACTGATGTGCGACCGGGAACAGATAAAAAGAAAAGTTATCGGTGGGTTCCGTTGTCGTACCGCATCGTGAAGTCGGAGGGTTGTGTTGAGATGTCGATCAAAACGCGCCGTTAGGCGGATGCACGTTCGGCGCGCGAGAGAATAGCCGGTCACTTGACTCGACTCAACCATGCGGCTATATTAGTTGAGCTACTTTGCCTGCATGTCTCCGGTCTCAAGGAATCGAATTGAGAATTCAAGAAGACAATGTCGAAGGCATTAGCTTGGTGCAGCATCCGATTCTCGAGTCACGTGAGCGGTTATTGCCCAAGATTGGAATGCGTATGTGGTAGTCTGATCCTTGTTCCAATCACCTTGTTGTCCTTGAGAGAAATACTGCATCGCCAAACTGGCAAGAAATATGCACTTGTGGGTTGGTGCTGCAATTCATTGGTAATCTTAGCAAGTGTATTTCTGCTTTGCATTCCAATCTTTTAAGTCTCCCAAGCTAAGCCGTTGAACGGTGTGTCTACGCATATGTTTCAAACAAAGTTGTTACCACATTTCGTAAATACACGCCTGTACCACCAAAAGGGTGAGCTGCAACTTGTGCAGAATATCGGCAGTCATATTTCTGAAGCGTTGAGGAAAGCAAGCAAATCTCTGAACAATTGCCGAGCTCAATTATCCGGGCTTACATGCAACAACACAGCCAACCCATTCCAACAACGGCTGTAAGATATAAAGAACATCTAAGTAGTTGGGATAACCCGAGAATCTTACTAATTTAGATTGCGGCGAGTGAAAGTGTTCATTTATCAATGTTGGTTTCAGTTCGGCGTTAGTACACCCCTCCTTCCTGTTACGGGCAGTCTACACACAGGGTCCTAGCAGCTCTCAATATTTTAAGCTTTACTTTTCTGTTCTCCATAAGACGCTTTCGTTCAATGAAACCACCCCGTTTCAAACAGTTCACCCCCTTTTGGAGCATCATGACTACACCCCTTCTGTCCTGGGCGTCAGTCTTGACGTCCCTCGTGTCCGGTTACTTTACTTACCTGGTGCTCTCTCACTACTTAATGATTCCGCTTGGGAAGATTCCCGGTCCCATTTTGGCTGCTCTCACTTCTTGGTATGAATGTTATTACGGTCCCAATCTCATGGGAGATTTGGGTCTTGCTAAACTCCGCCGTCAAAATGTCGCTGCTGTACTTGGCAGTGTTAAGTTTATGCCACATTTCAGTTGGATCCGCGACTTGATGCAGATGTTGCCCTCCAGCATCGGCGCACGTATGATGCCTCCAGGAGTACAAGACATGATGATATTCCGCAGAGACATACGCACGCAGATCGATACCATCTTGGCTCGCAAGTCTTCATCCCACGAGATTCCTTCAGTATTTACACATCTCCGTGATAACCCCAACCTGACAGCATCGGAAAGGTCAGCACAAAGGCTCGAGGACGAGGCCACGCATATTGTTATGGCGGGCACGTACTCGCCCATGCTATCGCTTGTGATAGCTCATTTCCACCTCCTCGCCAATCCAGATATAATGACCAAGTTGCGCACTGAGCTAGCCGCCAATCCATTAGCTGTAACGCCAACTCAGCTAGAGCAGCTCCCCTACATCTCTGGTATCGTCCAAGAAGCACATCGTCTAACGTTTGGCCTCACAGGTCAAAACCCGCGAGTATGCCCAGATGAGTCTATCATATAGACGCACACTAACGGAAAGAACGAAACAAAAACGTACACGATCCCACCCGGCACTTCAATTAGCGTTTCCACCCTGCTGATACACACCAACGAGTCGATATTCCCAGACCCCTGGAAATTTGAACCTGAAAGGTGGACGAATGCCGATGAGGCAACACTCGCTCGCCGGCGCCGATGCATGTTGAGCTTCATGAGGGGATCACGAGCCTGTGTGGGTATGCACCTTGCAAATGCTGAAATGGTCGTTGCGGTTGCAGCCATAGCACGCTGGAATATGAGACTCTTCGAGACCACAGATCAGGACGTAGCATTCTGCCATGATTATCACGTATTGTGTCCAAGGTTGGGATCCAAGGGGCTGAGGGTAAAGGATCTTGGTCGTCAATAGGGATGTGCTAGATGCTTATTTGAGAATCTTCGGCTTTGCATAGTCTCTTGATATGAGATTGGAGTGTCATCGGACACCACGTGAGAAGCATTGAAAGACCCATTGCTTGATTTTAAAGTACCACTTTAATTCAAGTCTTTCAACATGAGAGACTTCTGCCCTATCTATCAAGTGCATCTATGTCGACCGACAAGATTGAGAATATCAATAACTGATTGGACTTTTCATCTTTGAGGAGTTCCATTATGCAACTCGCAATAAGTACCCACCGCCTTGCCCCCCTGTATGTGTGTATTTGCTTCTTGCCCCGTTTCCCCGAATAACGACCCAAAATTTATAGCCAAAAGGAAGATATATCATTCCGTTGAGTTGTCATTGAACCGTAAAAATATTGCGGAGATGCTAATCTCATTGACATGGAAAACAGAGACCGAATCAAATTGTGTAGTGGGAGTAATGAGGTGAGAAATGTACCCTGAAACTTTGTAAACTATGATCCACGTGCGAGTGACCAACAATTCAATTAGTTTGCGATTCAAGAATAAATGTACAAGATTTGACAGAAATGCCAACGATCTTCGTCATTGAACTTAACATACGAGAATGAGACTGGCGCTCCGGCGCACAGCTTTACCAGGCCCACCACCAAAGGGATGTGATACCAGGAATCGTCATGTTCTAGAGCGACAAATTATGCAGGACAGGATTATTGAGATTAATGTGCTATGCGAAATAATTCGGTTCTGTCTTGGCGTGTCTGAGACAATGAACTCTCCCCAGGAACCACGCGTGCATGAGGCTGATAGCGGTGTGCTGGTCCAGAACCCTTCGAATATTGCAGATCGCGATGAAGAGCGGGAACTTACCGGAACGGGCCGTGAGAGGCTTGCTAAGGCTGACTGGCATCGGTAGCGGTGTAACCCCACGAACCCCCGCCAAGGAAGAATGATTTCGTTGAGTGTAAACCGTTGAGCTCCATCAAAAGAAAAGTGTGATTTTTGGCCTCGGGGATGACTCGACTAGGTCTGTGGTGTTACCTCCTTCGGCTTCACTATCTTTGTCCGTAATACGCTGAAGATGAAAAAATCGGCTTTGGCGTGGCTTCCAGCCATAAAGCAGTCCGACCAGTGGCAAGGAAGTAATGTTTGCTGCACTATACATTTCTCGTTCACCCCCTATTTTCCCTTCTCTGTATTTGGTCTTCTTTCTGCGCTTAGTTCTTCAAGTCGGCTGAACATTCTTCATATTACTGTTGGCGGACAGGGTATTCTAACAGTTAAAAATACTATGGAAGAGCTGTCAGAGGGTAGTCTGTTCCACACACAATCCAGAAATAATTTCAAGTTGAGATCTTGTTTGTTTCAGACAGTCCATTATGTCCAGGGGCGATCCAAGACTAAAGCGGCACTGACATCTCGTCTTCACAGGGTCTCCAGTTTCAGCCACGGACGTCCACTTGTCCTAAATGGAGCCATATGGCTTGAAACTTGAAGATAGATTTGTGCTTTGCGCCGCGTTGAATCTCATAGTCGGACTGCATTATCCTAATAACACGATAGTTGCACACCGCTTTAAGCCCTTGAATGCAGATAATAATGCGCCTCTACTCCTATGATGCACGTTTCTACTCAATTATACGACGTACGCAATATCATTAGTCTGGCAGAGCCATGTGAAAGTTCTTTGCTGGGGAATCCCCAGCACACCGCTAAAATATTTGTTCTGGCCTTCTAGATTGACACAAATCAATTAGATGAGATAGATAGTGAACAACTAAGAAGACCAAGCCAAGAGCAGGCACTGATAGCTGAGTCAACGGAAGAAGACGGAATCTGATAGGTGCCCACCAGTTTGAGAGCATATATATAGCATGACCCTTCTCCATTCTGTACAACTGGCTTTCACCTATTCATCAGGACATTAGCAGCAATCCAAAATCCAATCACACGATGTCTACTATACAGATCCGCACCATGCCGTCCGAGAAGCTCGCCAAATCCATTCTCTCGGGCGTAACACCAGCAGCAAAAGAGACCTTCAAACTCGACTCCTGGGATCCGGCCGTCTTCATCAGCGATCTTCTCCTCCAGAACACTAGTAATGAGAAGATCCCGAAGACTTATGAACAAACTTCAAAGTCTATGAGCGTAGCTTTTGCCAAGGGCATTGGAAGGTAAGGCGGACAGGAAGATAGTTCTCTTCAATTGAGTTTTCACTGACATCCGAAACAACAGTTATTCATCGTATATGGACACAATCGGATTTGAACCCAGTATCGCGGTCGCCAGAGAACTGAAAGATCAACAGCAGCTTTACAAGTTCGTGACCGAAGAGAGATCAGAAGGCTATCCACCACATCTGGAAGTCGTCCCACCGATTGACGTTTTTGAAAAGGAGGATATCTTCGCGGAGAACGGACCTGATGGGGAGACAAATATCAACCAGTAAAATGGGATCGTCGGGTTGCTTGCCAAACAGAAATTGGGCTGGGCCACAAAAATCTTCCAACTCGTCTTGCCAATTCCGGATGCGGTCGATGACTTCAAGCCCAGCACATCCTTTCTCCAGATCATGGAACATCATGCAGAGACCAAGTCCAGGTCTTCAATCGGAGACCTTGAGGGAGACATCGACCCCAACAAGAAGTGGTATTCGGATGCTATCTTTGCCCAACAAAATTTCACAGGGATCAATCCAACGACAATCGAATCCGCTGGCAAGTGGGTTTCTCGTTTCACTGTTGAAGCTCAACGCCAGAGGCTAGACAAGACAATGGCCCAACTCTTGGAAAGAGCAGATCCGGCATCGTTGTTCGTGCAAGACTGCAGCTACTTTCGCGAAGCTTTCGGATTTTCAGCGAAGGACCAGCAGAAGAACATTGCAGACCCAGGTGGATGCTTCAGAGGAAGCACTCGGTGGGGATGTGCTGCTGTTACTCTGTTTCAGCTTGATCCTCAGGGAAAGTTGCATCCCTTGGCAATCGCAATCGACTACAAGGAGTCATTGGAGAAATCTGTGACGATCTTCAACAAGCGCTTGAGTCCTTCCCAGACAAACGTTGACCAAGAAACCGATTGGCCTTGGAGATATGCCAAGACCTGTGCCCAAGTGTCTGATTGGATTCGACATGAACTGGCCATTCATCTCACAAACACGCACTTGATTGAAGAAGGCATCATTGTCGCTGCTCACCGCACTCTCCCCTCCGACCACGCTGTCAACAGACTCTTGTCCCCTCATTGGATAAAGACATTGTCCCTCAAGTGACTCAATCATCTGATCATTACTCTACCTGATCTATCTAGTCAAATGTTCCATCTGATTGAAAGATCTGATCCTGATTGATCTGATTTCTCGGAATCAAACTGGATAAGTGATTGTAGGAAACTTAGGTCTACAGACTCTTGGTGATCGTCCCAAGTGACTCTTAGAATAATGCGACTGATAGCGCTCTACTTCAAATCCTACTTAAGTAGAATCCTTGGACTAATTGATTCATTCTTGTATACCCTATGTTCATTTCTAAACTTCGCCAAGGGCGCTTCTGGGTGCGTTTTCAGCCGCTATTATTTCGAAAGCCAATTTTCTTGTCCGATTCCTATCTTAGAATAATATTTCATGGGAATTTTAGGCCATACTACCATATTTTTTTTCAAGTTCGCATTACTTGAATCGTGATTGTTGAACGTGGTGATGTTGTCTGTGTCATTTCACAGCGTAGTGAGATCACCCTTCAACTCAGGTTATCCTAAATCTTGCGTCACCATGGTATACGTAGGGCTCAAGACTAATCTACGCGCAGGTTACTGAAGGATTAGCCCTCCAATGTAGCCGGGGAGATCCCATCATGTAACTCTTACTGCAGACTATCGCGTGTATCAAGACTAGCAGCCCTTCAAAACTGTATTCAAAGATAATAGAACCTTGGTCGATATGTACTGGCGTACGAGACCTTCTGAGTAAGTCCATTATTTGAAAAGAGATGCTTGACACATATATCTGGGTTGACTAAAGTTTGATAAGTGACCTCGGGACCCTCATTCTATCAGGGGGGTTTTCACCCACAGCTATCCTTATCCATGCTGGACTAAGGACCTCTTACGCTCCCTTTAATACCCTATGGTTAGAGGAGAGTGGTCGTTGACCTAAGGATGGTCGCTTATGCTGCGCTCTACATTGTCACTTCAAGAAATTATGGCAAATCAAATGAGGGTCGGACTTTTCCGCTGCCTAGACTAGACAGAGCATTAATAAGAAGTAGGAATGTAACTGTAGGTGCCTAGCAGAGAGGCTAATTATTGTCAAACTGAAGAGAGTCCTGGGCATATCGAGGCTCTGTGCGCAATGGAGCGTCCAAGTCGCGCCTCGATCTTTTACAGCGGTATCTGCATTAGGGAAGACATCACTTTGCCCATAGTTGTTGTGGGATTAAGAATAGCGTTGGACTGTTGTGTAAGTCGTAACGAGTTTAGCAAATCTGCTAGTCTACCGTTGAGCACTTGGTACATGAAAAGGTTGGAAAGCGGTTTCAAGCATGCGCTTTTCCGTAGGAAAACGAAGTAGAGGGAAGCTTGTGGTGGAAGATTCCGAGATGGTGGCGCACTAACCATGCATACCCTCCTACGGAACTCGCAAAGCTTTTTGCAAATGTATATATAGCTCGTCACATCGCTTGCCTATAAAAAGCGCATCATCTTCCCCTCAACTTTCTAACTTAACATCTACCACAAAACACGAATCTACCACAACCTTCTCTCTCCTAGTAACAAATTCCCTCCTTGCAAACTGCCGAAAGTTCTTGAGATCTTTGATTAACATCATGTCTTCGCAAGAGAACGAAATGTTGCGATCGCAAAGCGCAATCCCACCATTCCTGTCACGACCGGACAGCGGAATTCCAGAATTCCTTTCCCGATGCCCATACTTTGTAGATCGTCTGGCTGGTTCTATGCTCGGAGAATATCATGAGTACCTTGCAGAGAATCCGGAGATGGAGGCCCATTTCGGTAGAGGTAATCCTGCGGGTATGACACCAGATATGATCGCAGCATATCAGGAATATCTTGCAGACCAGCCGGACATTGTAGTCGACTACATGCTGACAAGTGGTTAGGGAAATCCACGAGATGAGACTCCCGAACGAGAGAGCCCTGTCGTCGACTCTCCAGCCTCCAACAAGAAGATCGTCTTGATTTTCAAGAAGAAGGCAGATGGTTCTGGTTACTGGACCGTGACCCGGGACATCACTGAAGACCCTAACGATGAAGACGACGGTGGGCTCATCGATGATCAGATTTCTCCTGAGCCCGTGAAGCGTACGAAGCGGAAGAAGAACGATGTAGAGAGCACTTCAGAAGACGAAGGAAGTATCTCTGAAGAGTTCGACGATGAGAACGACGACGATGCTCGCCCTTATCCTGCGCCCAAGAAGCGTCAGATTGCAAATCCCAAGAAGAAGTCTCTCAAGAGGAAGCCTCTCGGCAACATTTCAGAAGATGAAGAAGCACCCGACAAGTCAGCGACTAAGTCAAAAACTGCCTTGAAGCGCCCACCTTGGACAAAGTTCGAGCATGATAGTCTGTTTGCCGCCATCGAGGAAGTGGTTATCAAGGTCAAGCGCTCATTGAGCAAGCTTGATTTCGAGACGGTGGCAGACGAGCTCAAGAAGCTGTTGACTGGGAAGGCCATCAAGAAAGGCGTCAAACAAGGATGGACACCGTTCACGTGGTGCAAAGGAGGATGGACCCTATCCCAAGCGGAGTGCCAACGGTTACCACTCATATGCTACCAAGGAGAGATACCGAGCCAGTTACGACAAGATTCTCAAGGATCACTTGCCTGGTGACAAATCGAAGGATGACACTGAGCCGAATAGGTACACTAATGACAATGAGGAGGAGGAGGAGTATGGTGAGAATGCTGGACAGGAGGGCGGAGATGATGCATGATTTGAGGCCTTCGGGAGACCTTGCGAATAGTGCTTCACAATACGAGCATACAGCAGGTCCTTGAAGGCTCGTCTCAGGCTACGAAATGAGATCGGTGTATGAGTAGTCTCTTCAGCTAGGTTTCGAGGGACTGAAGGACAATGGGGTCAATAGTTTGTACAATAGAATACCTAGGTAGGCAATGACAGGGAGTCGTCGCCTCATAAAAGCAGAAATAATATATAAATCTTCATGCCCAAGTAGTGACTTTTGTTCTAATGCATACTCGTCTAACAATTCACTTTCTGCCTGAAAGCGTGCCTTCTTGCTTCTTTAGTGGCAATAATTTGGAAGTCCAAATCTCATACACGGCTTCTATGAAATAATATTGGTATTCTAGACCCTGCTACCACTCCTGTGTCAAACTCATCCCTAACTTCGTAATTCAGTTTCAAGTGTTAGGCTTTTGGCGAGGAGAATTTCCTATCTCCCAAAACAAATGCCGGGTGACACTGCATCGTGGTGGCAGCCTCGAGCAACGCTGCGCCACTGCTGACCCCAGTGCATGAAACCGCCACAGAAGGTGTGCTTTCAGCGACTTCCCTCATTGGACATTAACGAGAGTGAGTTATTTTCAGAGAGGTAGCCTATCTGGATAAAACGCACATTGTTTGCTGATGTTCAGACTTCCAGGCCTGTTTCTCCAAGCCATCGACGAGAATACGAAGAAGCAAATATCGACGCAAATTATGTCACGCAAGACTTATTTCCGTATGCCCGACTTCGATCACCCGCCCGACGGACTGGTGCAGTTGGGTCAGATCATCACTTCACCGAGAAATCCCTATCAACGTCTCGCCCCGCCGCTGCCTATCGAGGTCCGAAGTGTTCAGACAAACAAGAAGACAAATTACCACGAAGTGGTCGCCCGAGCACAGAAAGGCGAAATTGGACTATGGGTCTCGTTTCTGGCCTCGATTGTTGGTGCTGGAGGCGATGTTGCTGCGAAATGGGCCAGGGACAACACTGACTTGTTGGAATTTCGAGAACTGGAAGCCAGCTTCTTCGAGCCCGATAACGAGTACCTCCAGAAAAGCGTCGAAAATTCTCAAAAGATTAGGGACCATATCAATAAAACCCCAGGAAAGTCTTTGTACATGGTCACGGGAGTTAAGATAGCTCACGGTGCGAGGAGCATTATTCAAGTTAGAAATGCTGTGGGCGTGGATGTGAAGCTGGGTGTTGATGCTACGCCTTTCACGGGCGTTCCAGTCCAGGGAGGTCCAAGTTTCAAGATCCAGGATGCGCACGGCGAGAGGTTCCAATTTGAAGGGTCCTCCGATTTTGTCTTTGCATATCGACTTTTGAGAATCATCCCTAAGCCCAAGGGAGTCTTCAAGATCAAAAGACACGAGAAAGGTGCTGAAACTTTGGGAAACGACGATCGATATATTAAGGATGGAGATCACGACGATGAACCATCACCAGATGCAATGGATGTGGACATCACAGCTGTAGAGTTGGACAGTGCTGATTATGGTGCAATCCCAAGCACGTTACCTTTTGAGGTGGATGAAGTCCTGGGTGAAGTACCTCAAGATGAGGTTGAGGGAACATATTGCGCTTTCATTGTTCCAAGCTCATGCGAAGATTAGAGGGATATCTGAAACGTTCATAGTAGCAGCTTTGAACTTTGGAATTTTCTTAAGGGTCATATTCGTGCCTCATAGAGTATCTCAGCAATCCTACTCTTGATCGAGTCAATGCCTCCAGGATGCATGCGAAAGACTTTGATCCAAGGTACGATATCCCAGAATCCGTCCCCGGTCTGAGCTGTCATCTCTCTAAGTACAGACCTCACTCCCGCAAACGTTTCCAATTTCTCCCCGACTCCATATTGTCTGCCAAATTGCACGATCAAAACCGCAACACATGCAGCGATTGTCGTTGCTTGGGAAGTGCCTTCCGCTCGCTTCCAAACTGATTCTCCCAGCCTAAACACACCTTCCTCCTTACCATAAGCATCTTGCAGCCATGTAGATTTGATGCTTTCCCCGAGGACGCTCAGGTTTTCGTGATACTTTTGCTGCAGAGGATTGAACCACGATCTTCCACCACTGCCATTTGTTGAATTGATACTTAAGACATAGTCAGGTTGACATGCCGGAAATGCAAGAAGCTCCCTGTTTGCGCTGTTCGAAGCTGCAGCGAAGACCACGACATGTTGTTGTCGTGCATATTGTAGAGCGTGGATTATGACGTGCATCTCTGAATCTCCGAGCTTTTCTTGATCGAAACCAATTGAGAGATTGATGACCTTCACTTTCCAAACTTGTACTGCATACAATATTGCCTAGATGTGTTAACCTTGTTGGCTTTGCCACTGGGCGCATTGCTTGCTTACCAAAGCGACTCTTTTCGCTGCTTCGCCTGTATCGTATGTTGTGAGGTTGTTTTTGAGTACTCTCGCGATGCATAAATTTGCATTTGGTGCAAGTTGCAAAACTATACCAGCAAGATGCGTGCCATGACCAGCGAGATCAATTGCTTGATCTTGTCTCCCGCTCTCCAGCGAACCTATCACTTCGCGCACGTAGTGGCTACTGTAACCCGATGAATCCACTCTCAGCCCTGCTGCCACATTGTCATCTACCAGGAAGTCTCTGTATAACCATTTGGAGTCCCAATTCCTTCGTATGTAAGGGTTGCCAGTGTCAATACCAGTGTCAAGGATTGCGATTCTGATTGGAGCATAGTTGTCGGTTATGATTGGGAATATCTCATTCCTGTTGTCATTGAACTTTTGCCACCAGTTTTCAATCGAAGAGCTTGGAGGAGAGTAATGAGGGTGTACTGGGGCCGGTTGGAGGGGTTCCGTAAATGGTAATACACAATATGGTCCTTCGCTGAGTGCAAGTCCTGGCTGCCCTTGCGACTCGAGACATGTTGACACGAACTTTTCGACGTCTATCATTGAGATTAGCACACCTTCACATAAAAAAAAGCTGGGATCTGAGAAACCAACCATCCTCATTGGTAAACTGAATCTCGAGTGACTCCCAATTGTTCTTCTTCACGCACTCATCTGTTTTAAGCTCGCCGCTATGTATCTTGAGAAATTGACTTGAACTTCCACCTGTTGACGTTCTTCTTGGAATAGGTTCCTCGCTTTTTTGCCTTTTGCCCTTAGATGGAATAAAGACATTGCTACGTCTCCGTTTCTTCTCGCTTGATGGTGATTCATGTTGTCGCTGAACATCACTTTGGTGATTAAATCTCAAAACAAGTTTCCTATCGTTGCGTAACCCTGCCTCTTGCTTGAACCAGCTCAGATAGAATTGAAGATGTGTCTGATACTCCACAGGATCAAGATTCGCGAAAAATGTGATTGCAGTATCAGTCCGTCTCCAAAGCTTAACGGGCTTCTTTCTTGCATACTCTCTTGCTGTGTTGGGCCGCATGCGATGGATTTCCGTTAGAGATATTTTTTCTGTGTCAAAGGTTTTCAGAAGTCTCCTGCCACGGACTCTACTCTGGAAACCCTCACATTCTTTATCGTCAAGGAAGTGATATTCTGGGTCGTGCAATGCCTCTGTCCGAGTCTCGTCTTCTTCTTCTTCAAAAATGAACTTATGCTTGATAAGTCCTCCAAAGTTGTAAGCTCGAAATGTCACTACATTCTTCTTTTCTGGACTTTGAATAGTGTGGTTAGTGAATGGGATCCCAGGGAGCACCATTGGGACTCGCAAATGTCAGTGATAGTTCTACATAGATCGGTCGAAAGCATACTAATGTGCATAATCTTTCCAGAGGCAACTGTCGTCCATGTTACTGTTCGCTGCTGCGCTACTTGATCTTCTTCGATGGTATAAGAAACAAGTTTATGGGAATGGTTATTTTTGTCTCTGAAATCATTCAGCGAGATACATACTCACAAAGCCGCAGCAGTACGTACAGGAATAACCTTGTATACTTATGAGAGTCGGGAGATGGGGAATGCTTTGGTCTGTGCACGTTGTGCATGTTACCGAGGGACATTGGCTATTGCGTGGAAGTCCCATGGGCGAGAGCATGAGGATTATTATGCTCGTCGAGGGTGCGACAGCTCATCGACTTTCGCACCACGAGTCTTCCGCGAAGTCATTGAAACTTCTGTAAATAATATTGACCAATAGTATGCCGATTCAATGGCACGGTGTCAGAGAAGCATCCCGTTCTCAGCGATTGGACCAGCCGTCAAAGCCTCACGGAGTATTGCCTCAATAATGACTGTGTAACGATATGTTCAAACAGTATTATGGCTAATTTTTATACCAATTACCGGCCTCCGCCACGCTTCTCGGGCGCAGCTGCCTAGAACATGAGACCACCAGGTCCGTGCAATTCGCTTGAATAGGGGTAAGCGAGATGGAATATATTATAACTAAGCCTAAATGGAAGTGCATTGCAAATGAAGCACATGAATTACGCCCTGTTTCTCCCAGATGAGACACCGAGCTCAGACATTTGAGGCTGAGGATAGATGTGGCGCAATCCAAGTATGTATTAGTTTCCATGCCTCGGAGTCATGAAATTTCAAAATTATCAAACTTGAATCCTCATTCACGAGTACGGACCTGGCGTCACGACACGATAATACTAATGAGTTTCTGGAAAGGATACCAAGGGCGACGTGCATATGAGGACCTGTTGGAAGGCAATCCTGTAAGCTTTGTCTCAACGCGCGTTCTGGAGCGAGAATATGCTGACATAATCAGGATGGAGAAACACTGAAAGGAAAACTTCTAGAAATTATAGAGCCACATGGCTTCAAATGGAGAGTTTTCATCGTAGCAGGATCAGGTTTCTTGGCTGATGCCTATGCGATCTTTTCTCCCAACGTTATCTCACCTGCACTTGCGTACATCTACTGGAATCAGGATACCCTAGGAACGAAGGGTATGATTATCAATGTTGTAACACTACTTGGCTCTTGCATCGGCATGGTCTTTTTCGGGTTCCTAGCAGACTATTTCGGCAGAAAACGACTGTACGGGGTGGAGTTGGTCATTGGAATCATCGCTACCTTGGGACTGACACAAGTCTCGGCCGGCTATAACCAAGCGTCCATGAATGCCTTTGCTTGGATCGTCTGGTGGCGTCTAGTGCTCGGAATAGCCATAGGAGCAGAGTATCCCCTTTCAGCCTTGATTGCAGCGGAATGGTCGGCGACATCTACTCGAGGAACTATGCTTGCTGCTGTTTTCATGATGCAACCTTTTGGACAGTTTCTTGCATATATTGTAGGCCTTGCAGCATTACAAGGGATTACAAAGAGTAGGATTCCAGATCCAAGTTCATACGACTGGAAAAGTGCAGACGATAGCATCAGCAGCGCTGGTACAGCTGCCATTGTAAGTCAATTCGTTGCAAAGGAAGCGACTGGAAGACTACCGAGAAAGATGCTGATTAAATATCATCGAGCAATAGGATGCTGTATGGAGATGTATAATAGGAGTTGGAGGCTTCCCAGCATTATTAGCCATCGTTCTGCGCTGGACAATCCCTGAGACTCCCCGTTACCTGATCGATGTCAAAGAGGATCTGCCCGCTGCTGCCCAGGCTACGAGAAGAGTCTTCCCAAAAGGAAAGGATTCGCCAACCAGACAGAACTCTGACAAAAAGTCCGAAGAAGCAGGAGCGCCATTGATGCCAGCCATCAAAGATGCAATTGGGCAGAACTCTTCAAAAGAAGATGGGGCAGAGCTCGGACATGGAAATGCCAACCACATACGTCGCAGGCCGGTTCACGATTACTCGGTGGATGAGCATGGGCCAAGCGGAGAACAGATTACCCAGAAAGCAGACATACGTGCAAATGAAACACGAATTCCTCCTGACCAAGAGTTAGATCGGCGAGCAACTCAAATTGACATGAAATTCGACAAACCCGGCTTTTGGGATGACTGGCACACCGACTACAAGAAAGGGCAGGGCTTTCGACGTATGCTAGCTGGAACAGCTATCTGTTGGTTCCTTATGGACGTTTGCTTCTATGGGCTTGGCCTCGACACTCCCAGGACTCTGGCAAAGATATGGGGTGCTTCAAGTTCGGATGTCACCCCAGGTCCAATATACGACTGGAATTCTGGATTTGCAAGTCAAGACGACAACATTTATGACGCTCTGCATGGAGATGTCACACGAGCCTTGTTGACAATTCCTCTCAGCTCGATTCCCGGAAGTGTGGTGTTTCTCTTGCTTGTCAACTACATCCCCCGAGTCACAGTTTTAAGATGGACATTTGTTGCCCTTGCAATCTTATTCGTCATCACGGGTTCTAGCCTGACCGCTGTATACGAAACGAACAACCACACTGTGACAATCGTCTTCTATGCTTTCGCCCTCTTCATCCTCAATGCCGGACCTAACACGATCCTGTTCATGCTGCCAAGTGAGTTGTTCCCTACAAAGTACCGCGGGACTTGCTACGGGATCGCTGCTGCTTCTGGCAAAGCTGGTGCGATCATCATTCAGCTCATTGTTCATTTCCAGAACATCACGAGACCAGATTCTGGAAAAATGCAGCTTGCGATAATGCTGATGTGCTTTACTCCTCTGATGTTGATTGGTGCTTTTGTGGCTTGGGTTTGGATACCTGAGGTGCAACATCCTCGAGATCCGAAGCATGTCGACAAGCAGCAAAAAGGAAAACTCAAGTATAGAGAGCGGATGGTGATGCCTTCTAGGTCCCTTGAGGAAATTACAGCAAATCCAACGGAGGATCACACATTCGGTTTGCGATATCATCTTAGTGAGTTGTTTGGAGGTGGGTCGAAAGCAGAGGGCTCGGCTGTATAAGCCGGTGACTGAGAATTTGTTTTCTTCAACTGGATCTCTGTATTCCTTCATCAACCATCCAGACAATACTTGTAGTGGTAATATTGGTATATCATGTGAGAAGTATTCCATGGGCTTAATCAGAGACAAAATTTTTGATATTAAGTCCTATTTGGTAAATCTTTCAGCACTTTGGGAGCATAATCTGTTGGTTAAAAAGTGGATGAGACTATTTGAGATTATACATGCTAATCAGAGCCTCAATTGTTTCTCAAGTAGCATCATTCTTTTCTGATTTCCCCCTTAACAACCCGTTGGTAGACCTTACCTAAGTTTAAATCTAATACTCATATTAGATCGAATCGTTTGACTCCAGCAATACATGGAAACCAAGAAAGTAAAGGAAATCACTAGCAGATCTTATGGCGGCGCAGAGCGAGGAGCAAGAAGCAGAGCAATGAAGACTACTTAAAGAACTGCGCTCTAGTCTGTGGTACTTACTTACTTTACCTTTAAAAGAGGATTGGGCAGGCTTTGAATCCCTTATTTAGCTACTTTTCTCGTGTTGTGTAATTCAAAAACCACTAGTACAGAATCTCACCCACCTCAAAGCCAAGATCCAGGTACCGGTTCCACGCACTTTCAAACACGGACCGTTTTTATATGCACTCCATCCACCCCCACAACATCACCCCTTAATCGCACCTCACTCCAACTAACCTCGCAAGCCCTCCTCCGCAAAATCCCACGAACAGCTAAGTCCAGTCCCCTGAGCGGGAAAGCGTAAAGACGGCCCGACGCAGCTGCAGAATGCGGGGTAAGGGTACAGTATAAGCGAGCTGTAAGCGAGGCTAGTCAGGGGTTGTGCGTGGAGAAATGTTTCTCTTGCTCCGAGTGGATGCGAGATTAACGTTAGGGAGAGTTTTATGGTTAGCTTCAATGGTCGCTGGGATGAGTGGTGCTTCTGGGTGGCGAAGTGAAAGGTCAGATGGTGGGTGTCATGTGCCCGAACATGATGCGGAATGTCTAACAATACCTAGGTAATAAAGTCAGGAAGCACAACTCCGTGCCTCTCCTTAAACCTTCCCTCTTGCGATCCGTTTCTTTCAAAAAGCCAACCCGCAGTCAGTCAGCACGGAACTATGGAACCACCGTCCTTCCCACATCCAAATTATCGGGCCCACACCGCACACAGTCAGCCCCACCTATGCCTGAATATCACATCTCGACACCAAACACCGCGTTGATGAAAGCTTGTTTGCTGATGTGTCGCGAGTAGATACCCCTGCCTACCTAGCTGGCTGGGTAAATAGGGATATGCGCTAGGAAGGGGGATTTAGCCGGGTTGGGGTAGAGTGTTTGAGCGTGTAAGAGGTGGTATTTGAGATCTGGTGCATGAGCAGATCTCGGCTCTGGTGGCGAAGTACGGAACATTGGGGACCTCGTAGAGATGAGGGAGAACGTCACGTGGAAGGAGAAAAAGCGGCGGGGAGTAAGGAACGTGATATGTATATGCATGCTGGTGAGTTAAATACGGAAAGGAAATGTATGTACAAATCATTTAGACCACTGTATTCACCACGCACTTCCACTGTGATTTAATTACAGACACTATGATTTCGTTAGTATTGGAGGGAGGGAGGGGACAGGGAGGGACCTACTTGAGAATAATAGGCGTTGCCGATAGTACAAGTAGAGCCCGTCTCACAGACCATGCTGCCATCATAGTACAAACCACCACACTGGCTATACTTGGCAACAGGAGACGGGACCGGTAGAGCCAAGATGAGCTCACTGGCATGCTCGGCCGCGACCACGATTAGGGCGCTAGGATTCGTGGTCGGCATTCCGGGATGGATCGAAGCATCAACGACGAAGATGTTATCTGTGCCGTAAACCTTGGCGTCGAGGTCAACGACCGCTGTGCCGTTAGCAATGCGACCGTCGTCGGCGCCGATCTTGGCGGTTCCGAGCCAGTGGTTGGCGCGACGGGCACCGACGTTGGCGTAGGTCAGAGGAACCGATGCAACATACTCGGCTCCGGTCATGTTGGAAGGTGGTAAGTTCCATGTGAGTTGAGGGACAGGCTTGAGTGCTGCTACCATATGGTCGATGGCAGTTGCCACAGTTGCGAGATCGTTCGCGTTGCCGTAGGGCAGCTCGGATACGATCATGTTCAAGCCCTTTTGAATAACGGTGCGACCACGGGAGACGGCACCACGACCAAGATAGAGTGACATTGTCATGGAGTCGCCGTTTGGTACACCATTTGATCCTTCCACTCGAGATGTCCATTGGAAGGCTCTGACAATGCCATCTGGTCCTTCAATCTCTTCCCAGATCATAGGGCCGATATTTGGTGCTGCTTGGGCAAGTGGGCCAGAACGCTTGGTGAGATAATTGTTCATATCTGTGACATTTGGAGTATCCCATGCAGCAACCCAATCGTAGTAAGAGATATTTGGATGCGAAATAACACAGTCAGTGTTCAAGTGGTCATCGAGGTTGTATCCGACGGGGAGGTTGATCCATTCCGTTTGGTTAATCATAGTCGCGCCGTCAGCACTGGACTGCACCACCTCGAGCATATCCGTGGGACCGATACCACTTCTGAAGAGGAGCTTGGGAGTTCCAAAGGCACCAGCTGCGAGGACGACTCGTCCAGTGACAGGAGTCAGACTGACTGTGCCGGAACGCCCTCCATTGTTGGTTGGAATAACATTGAGACTGGTTGCATGGCCTGCAACTCTGTTGATTCTCTCAACACTAGTGTTCAACCACATATGGAAGTTGCTTCGAGCGTTGGCGCTGACTAGGTAGGTTGCCATAGGACCTCCTCTCTCTCCATTGATGTACATGTAAGGAGTGTGCGCATATGACTGGTTCTTTTGGTCTGGGACGTTGTTTGCAGTGACGCTTTCCCAACCAGCCTGAGCAAGACCTTCCTCGATGATATCGAAACCAGATTGAATATATCGTTTGCCGTCCATACTAGGGGTGTCGGTCCCTGGAATTCGTGAGAATACACGTTGGGTGGCGGCTGCCATATCATCTGATTGCCATCCATCAGGGAAGTTGTAGTCCCAGTCATCTGGATCGGCCTAAAAAACATCAGCATCGTTTTGCAAGGAAAGTATGTATTCTCACCTTCCACCAGAGACCAGCATTGACAGCAGTACCACCTCCGAGGACGCATCCTGCCATTTGATCGGTATCAGTGCAAGCAACTCCGGCAGCGCCGCCATTCCAGATTCTGTTGCATTCTCCTGGTACGTCGAACCAAGTCAAGTTATAGCCATCCATCCAGTGACTTTCAGGTCGAATAGCTGTTCAAATTAGCAACGCTTTCGATCATGTATTTCGGATTATCTTACTTCCGCCCCATCTAGCCGAGGATGCGACTCCCTTTTCAATCAACAGCACCGACTTGCCACCTTCAGAAAGCTTATCTGCAATTGGGATACCAGCGGCTCCACCACCAATAACAATATAATCGTAGCTAGTTGTCGTGGGTACGGGAACAGCTGAGAATGTTGCTGTAGCAGTGGCAGTCCCAGATGCGATGACACCAGTAGCCGTCTTTGTGGCCCAAACGGAATAAGAAGCTTGTGTAGCAGACTTGACTTCGATTTGAAACTCGCCCATTCCGTTATCGTGTTGACCAATATCAGACAGCGGATTGGCAGGGTTGACAGGAGGGGTCAGAGCTTGAGCCCATCCCTGCTCGAATGATCCAGCTGTGGTTGAAGTGTTGGATGGCGACTGAGTTGGGTCGTCATAGATGAGACAGTTCTGACATCTATAGACTAGGGTCCAATGGGTCGAGTTGACACTTGAGTAGATTTGAGTGAGATTGGCGCTTCCATGGTAGATAGATGGATCTAGATATGACCTGCGTCAAGGTTAGCCATGTTCCAGACTACTAACAACCGAATACTCACGTTGCGTATCGGAAGGAGGTAGCGATCTGGTCACCGGTTCCTGTTGGCCATGCCAAGAGCATAAGATGGTTCGGCATAGCAGCGCCACCTCCGAGGTTGGTTCCCTGAAGAATACCAGCCCATCCACCTTTGCCAGTTGGAGTTGAGCCAATCTGAGGATGTCAGCAAACTGCATTCGACTCATGACTAGTCAACGTACAATCAATCCAATGTATTCATAGCTGTTCACAGTCAGGGCGTTGCCAGGCAAGGCCATACCAAACGTGAAGCCTCCCAAGGACACGTGAGATTCATCTCCATCACCGGTAATCGTTCCATTGGCTTGATTGCTAGTATAAAAGACAATACCCGTGTTTGGCTCCGTGTAAGTTCCATGTGAAGCTACATCGTCTTGTGCTAGCACTGTCTGCGTAACTGCTTTTCATCAGCCATCTGAACAACAATCGTGGGATAGTGAGCGACTCACAATATACAGCGGCACCAAAGAGACTACAGAAGAAATTGGTGGCCTTCATCTTGACGATGAACTAGTGAACTACACTAGTAAAACGGACGACTGCGCACTGCAAAGAAAGAGAAAATTCGAGGGAGACTTCAGACTTTATATTATCTATCCTAGTCGGGCAGACCGAGGATGATTTGAGATGTTTCGCCATTGGAGGAAATGTATAGAGCCAACCAGGGCAGAAACAGCGGAAACCCAATGCAGGGAACAGAACAGAGTGCATCTGCAAGGTGGAAACTGGGGTTGATGAGATGGTTTGTGGAAAAGGAGATTACCCGTTTGGTCTTGAGAGATCCAGATGAAGTACCTTGCGGGATGGGGTGCCGCTCAATGTGAGGTGTAGAGCTGGAGTACATTGGGAATTAATATATCTGGAATTTAGGCGGGACGGCAAAGGCACTCCGCCCTTCGCCCAATCGTTCTGCCGGACCCTCATCCCGGACAAAACGGTCCTCCGCAAACACAGGCATGATTTAAAGTGGAATCGCGTTGGATTGAAGACCCAGCCAGAACTCTGATATTGGGCCAGTAAGACGGACTCGAAAAAGAATATATGACCTCTGGTTGCATCCGATGTGCTCATGTACCTCGAACCGCTTGGTGGGGCAACTTTTACCCTTCCGCATACTTGCGAAACTAAGTAGGAATAGTCGGCCTACAGAAGTGAGGAGAGCTCTGTCCACGAGTACATCTTTGTGAATTCACGGAATTCATCATTCGAGCCAGAAGGAAGCCGGACTTGAAAAAGATTTCGTAGATCCGGAAGGTCCCGTCCGGGAAGAAGGAATGAGGCGTCGTTGTTGCTATTGCTGGTCTATATTTGAGCCGCCAGGTTGGAAGCCTTTATTGCCGCATCCATGGTGAGGGTTGAACTGGTGAAGGATGAATTGAAGGGACAGAGGAAGGACATCTATACGCATGAAGAGGAAGAATTAAAGTCCCGACCGCGCTCGGATACTTGTAATGCGACGGCGGTCTGCGCTTGCTGACATCTCTTCCTATTGTTGTTCTCGAAGGCAAAGATCTGTAGATCGTGATTTGCGAACAAAGAGGATATAGAAACGACAGGCTGGGTTATTCGGATGGAAGAGTTGTGTTGACAAATGCGGTGCGATGAGAACAGATTCCATCATCTTAACGTCCCAAGTGATACCCCAAAAGGTATTGTACCTAAAAATTGGAAGAGCGGGCGTTTCAACGAACGAAATTTCGAAATTGGAAATAAAACGAGCTGCTGAGGTTTCTGATCTTGAGTTTCTATGTGCTCTTGGGACTTTGGATGTGTCGATGTTCTCTTTGTTCAAGTGAGAGCTCGCTCATTTTCAGGACCCCGCATTCTTCCGATTCATGCCTCAGGCTGCCACACTCGATGGCCGTGCTGCCGAGGACAAAGCCGAGAAGTCGTCAAGCGGGAATGGTAAGCAAAAATTCGAGGCTCCTTCATTGGCTCAATTGCTAGAGCATTGCAAGTCGTGAACATCAGTTGTTCCGATTGAAGCTTCACGAATTGCCTCCACAGACACAAGAACCTCGCCTTTCGCAGGACCTCTCCTCTCCTTCATTTGTCTGGGTCATTAACGTCAATATGTCTTCCTTTGCGATGAGGAAGTTCACTTCTGGTCCTTCCGTATGCTTTCCTTTCTACCTCGGCCATCGTTTGATCTTTTTGCTAATCAGACGATCCATAGTTCTCGAAGGCATTGAGAAATCAGACAAGACAATTCTCTTCGACACGACCTGCGGGTACGTTCTAATATATCTGCAGGCTCTCTACTTCTCTGGTTGACTTGTTACAGCACGAATTATCACGCACGCGCCACTCCGAGCAAAAGAAGCTTCACCATTCGTCAGCAACAAATATCCTGTAGTAGTATGTATAGGAGGTATACTGGAGTGAGAATGGAGCTGATACAGGGCAGGATCACGAGTATGATGCGATTGTCGTCGGTGCTGGTGGATCAGGTCTGCGAGCAGCATTCGGTCTTGCCGAGGCTGGATTCAACACCGCTTGTATATCCAAGCTCTTCCCAACTCGAAGTCATACTGTTGCAGCTCAGGGAGGTATAAATGCGGCTCTAGGGAACATGCACGAGGACGACTGGAGGTGGCACATGTATGATACAGTGAAGGGTTCGGATTGGCTCGGAGATCAAGATGCCATTCACTACATGACAAGAGAAGCTCCCCAGTCTGTTATCGAGTTGGAGAATTACGGTTGCCCCTTCTCAAGAACGGATGACGGGAAAATGTGCGTTTCCATGCTCCAATAATGCGGCTTTGCTGACTTTTGTAGCTATCAACGTGCTTTTGGAGGCCAATCGCAGAAGTTTGGCAAAGGTGGACAGGCTTATCGATGCTGTGCAGCAGCCGACAGAACCGGACACGCTCTTCTACACACACTTTACGGCCAATCACTACGACATAATACAAACTACTTCATCGAATACTTTGCTCTCGACCTGATTATGGAGGATGGAGAGTGCAAGGGTGTTCTCGCATACAACCAGGAGGACGGAACTTTACATCGATTCCGAGCACACAACACTGTCTTGGCCACTGGTGGTTATGGACGTGCATACTTCAGTTGTACATCTGCACATACTTGCACAGGTGACGGTATGGCTATGGTTGCTCGTGCCGGTCTTCCCAACCAAGATCTCGAATTCGTCCAATTCCATCCTACTGGTATCTACGGCGCTGGCTGCTTGATCACCGAGGGTGCTCGTGGTGAGGGTGGATACCTTCTCAACTCTGAGGGTGAACGATTCATGGAGAGATATGCCCCAACAGCCAAGGATTTGGCCAGTCGTGATGTCGTTTCCCGATCGATGACGATGGAGATCCGAGAAGGCCGTGGTGTTGGTCCAGATAAGGACCACATCTACCTGCAACTCAGCCATTTGCCACCCGAGGTTCTCCACGAACGTCTTCCAGGTATCTCTGAGACTGCTTCTATCTTCTCTGGTGTCGATGTCCGAAAGCAACCAATTCCTGTGTTGCCCACCGTCCACTACAACATGGGTGGTATCCCAACCAAGTACACAGGTGAGGTTCTCACTGTTGATGCCGAAGGTAAGGACCAGGTGGTTCCAGGTCTTTTCGCTTGCGGTGAGGCTGCTTGTGTCTCCGTTCACGGTGCCAACCGTCTAGGTGCCAACTCTCTCCTGGATTTGATTGTCTTTGGTCGTGCAGTCTCACACACCATCCGCGACAACTTCGAGCCCGGCAAGCCACTCCCAGAAATCAGCGCCGATGCTGGTGCCGATTCTATCAGTGTTCTCGACCAGGTCCGACAATCTTCTGGACCAAAGAGCACACATGACATTCGTCTCGCAATGCAGAAGACTATGCAAACTGATGTCAGCGTGTTCAGAACACAAGAGTCACTGGACGAGGGTGTTCGAAAGATCAATGAGGTTGATCAAACCTTCAAGGACGTCGGTATCAAGGACCGAAGCATGATCTGGAACTCGGACTTGGTTGAGACCCTCGAATTGAGAAACTTGTTGACTTGCGCGTAAGTTATAGACTTCTGATATCGTCCTGAAAATACCCCGCTAACATATGAAAGTGTCCAAACTGCCGAGGCTGCAGCTGCGAGAAAGGAGTCACGTGGTGCACATGCGAGAGAGGATTTTCCAGACCGAGACGACAAGGAATGGATGAAGCACAGTTTAACGTTCCAGAAGAAGCCTCACGGAAAGACGGATCTCTCGTACAGAGCTGTGGTGGGTCATACTTTGGATGAGAATGAGTGCGCTGCTGTGCCTCCTTTCAAGCGTGTCTACTAAAAGTGCGTTGTTGGAGATGGTGAGAGGAGCAGGTTTGAGCCTGGTATTGTAGCATAGTATAGCTGAGTTGGTGCGTTATGGGAGTGCATTTTGTTATGAAGATAATCATATGTGTCACTTGTAACTTCGCTGATTGTAAGCTCTGTGGTGTGATAGCATCGTGGAGAATGCAAGTGCCTGCTCGTCATATAGTCATTGGATGATAGTTTGTTTCATTACCCATATATAACACATTCAATACCATGAGTATGACCAGCTTTGACAAGTTTCAAATAGCTAGAAATGAGCGTGAATCCTAGATATCTGAATCAATATCCAACATTTGTGGCTATGGCATCTCGCTTATTGTTGGGCCTGCTCAAGGCCACCATGCTACCATTATATGACACACAGCGCTTACAGCGTTTCGAACAAAAGTTCATCGTACCTACGAACAAAATGCTGTTCATCCGACTGAACGATGATGTGCTTAGATTTATTGCTGCTTCCGTCGCGCAGTCCGAAGAAGTTGCAGACATTCTCGGTCTTGCACCCACCTGCCGCCGTCTTTATAACGCTGCCAGGTTTTTCGTTCCATCTTGCTTACGAATAGAAGTACCATCTCGAAGATTTCTTCTTCTAAAAAGAACCATGAACGAAGATGCAAGCTATGGACTGGGAGTGTATTCTGCAAAGATCGAAGCGCACAGTTCACAGAGAGAAGGGACTTGGGACGAATTGCGCGAGTTCTTTCGATATATACCAAATTTGAAGCAACTTTCTGCTACCGACTCTTGCCTGAACGTCATTTCTGTTCTTTTGTCTCCAGAACTCTCTTTTCGGCAGTCTCTAAAGAAGCTAGCCCTCTGCGATGTGAGCCTTACAGCTGTCGACTTCTTTGAATTAGTTCGCTTGCCACAACTCCATCATTTGGAGGTCCGAGAGTTCATGAATTACGATGACGATAGGAATTTCTCAGATGATTTTCATCCTTCTCAGTTGCAAGTTTTGAAGTTGTATGCAGGCCAAATCCGTTGTCGGACTCTTCAACGCATTGTCGGTAGCTCACCATCATTACACACGCTCGATTGCAGATCACCGCTTTACGGACCTTCGCAGAAAAACGTAATCTGGGGCAGCGCTTTCATCGCAACAGAACTGTCTCCTCTTTTAGTTTTGTCAACGCTACTTTCAGCATCCCAAACTTTGGTCACGTTGAACTTGACCACCAACTCCCAGGAATGGCAAGGTCATGACGGCACTAGATTGGATCTCGTCAGGTTCAGGGCCTTAAAACATATATCTGCCAGTGCTAAATTGTTCGTTGCGCCTCTATCACTTGGGATCACTCGCGGTGGGTTGTTTAGACTATTGCCGCCGTCCTTGATCACTCTTCAGGTACGAATGATTTAAAGAGCTTTATGACGAACGCTAACACGTTTACTCTCCAGCTTAAATTTCGATTCAGCATTGGAATACTATACGCAACGCAATCGCAACGAATAGATTTGGCTGGGTATCAACGCCTTTTAGATCAAACTCTAGATCCATCAGTATATGAATGGATTCTTGAGCTCGCTCAGCACAAGAGAGATTTCTTCCCAAACTTAGAGTCTGTCAGAATGGTAGAACTAATACTTGAGCGGCGCCTCGTGCACCTGTTCTCGTCGGAGGATTGGGTCCTTCCAGCGCGTTTCGAGCAAGCTTTCAACGAGGCGGGCACCACTTTGAAGGTATCTGTTCGAGCTCCAGTAGGGATTGAAGGGAGGGGCTACATTCCATGAGTTCTTTTGCAACGCATTAAGTTGTAATAGGATAGTCAGCAATTTTGAGCAAATAATGAAAAATCTCTTACGTCGTTACATCGACAATGCGATAAATTTCTCTGCTGGACTCGATACAGTGATGGCTTCTAGCCAGAAAATGTCACGCGGTGATTGAAAAAGCTTCGCTGAATCATTATTGGCTCCTTGAAGATTATTTTCACATTTTAACCAAAATAGTCCAATAAAGCAGCCTGCACGAAATCAAATTTCTCAATTATTATCCTACAATTCTCCCACCATCTCAGACTCGTAGAATACATAACCCTCACTTCTTCTCACTCGCAGGTCTACTCGGCCCATCAACAGCTTTCTCAACCTGCCCCGCCAACCCATCCTTCGCCGCATCAAACTGCTTCCCAATCGCTCCATCCTTATCGAAAGGTCCTCCGATTTCTTGAGCCACGCCGCCGATGGCTCCGTCTGGGTTGAATTGCTTTCCTACTGCGCCTCCTGAGGAAAGTATGGATGGCTTCTGCGAGGTGTTAGTGATTGCCTTGCGTTATAGGGAAGATAGATGTGGGTTCATAGAAAGGTAGGGTGAAGAACTCACTTCCGGGCTTGAATCCTTGGCCTTTCCTGCTGCTTCGGCAGCGTTCTCGATACGTTGGTCAGCCATTCCTCTCATCTGGATAGAACGGAGGATGGAGGCTCTGGGAGCGGCGGATCTGGAGACGATACGAAGCATGATTATGGTGGGTAATTATTTGTGGATTCTGTAGAAGGAGAATGTTCTGGGATTGATTGACTTGGTTAATGAAGAGCAAGGGTTGAGAAACGCTTTAAATACGAGAACTCCATCGTCATGATGACAAAGGGGAGCTTGGTACCTGAACCCGCTTTCGTTCATCACGATTTGTAAATGGTGACGACATGACAAAAGTTCATAGCCGAGAGGGATACAATTAACATATGCAAGGAATGAATTCAAAATTTCAATGATCTATATGATAAATAGAACTTGTTTGATATCGTAACTGTGTGACAGTAGTGTCAATTAGATTCAAGAAAATACTTTGTATTGGAAACCAATTTTGGCAGAGATCACGTGCTGAGCCCTTAATTTATTACCAGCAAGCAGACGATTACTTACCGCTTGCTCTCATCTGGCATTGGATCTTATGACTGATAGTGGCTTATATATTATAGATTCGGAGAATGAAAACACTCAATGTTGCTTTGGAGCGAACGCTAGAACAGCATTACCTCCTACTCCCGCCCAAGGAAGGTTTCTAAATTAAGACCTCTTGAATCAATGCACAACTACTAAGCTCGACCAATGCAAAGAACATTGAAGGAGAATTGGACATTGTTAGGCAATGCATGAAAATGTTTAGATCATACCAAGTTCTTTAGTCTCGATGTCTGCTCTGGTATTTCCAAATGAATCCTCAACATATCTCCAAATAGTCCCATTCTGATCTAGCCGCGTGGGAAGGATGTAAGATCAAATTCAGTGGTGGAAGAGAATCCCAAACAATAGTGCCCCTCGGAAGTATGTTCTCGGAAATGAGGTCACTATCAGCGAGCTCTATCTGCCGGACGGTCTCTCTTATTACTGTCCTCGTTTCGAATCGTGCAAAGTCGAAGTCCTCCAGAGACTGTCGTAAGGATGACCCTGAAATAGATGTCGCCATGTTTTCAAGGAAGGCATCCCCCACAAGTGTGTAGATGCGAGGGTTGGAATTTGAAGCTGGACGAAGGACAACTGGCATGCTGCAACCATGTAAGACGAATATTTGATCACCCTTCTGTGCCCTAAGATGAGCCCAGCTCAAAGAACCCTTCTTTGTTGTCATGAGTCTCATGTTACCGTTCAAGACGTTCTCAATGTCTAGTATCATCTGTTCCCCCACCGGAATGTTTGCTCTTCCCAATCCTCTGTCTCACGTGAGCAGCGCCGCCCTTGCTCAGGCTCGGCTTAGGCCAGGCTCACCCTCGGCTCAGGTCTGCTCAGGTCTGCTCACCCCCTATTACGCGACGCGGCACAGCTAAGAATAACTTCACCAGAAATCATTAACTTTTAACGAAGGGCTTTTTCCGACTCTTTTTTTAGCCAAGAATCTCAAATATACTACTTTAATTATACTAAAAAAAATATAAAAACTATAAAAATATTTTCGTTTCTGTGACAGCACTGTGACGATGGTGTGAGGTGGCGACGCAACGTCGGGCTATTCATTTAGAATCTAAAGCTAAGGAGAGAAGAAAGGAGAGGAGGAGAGATCTATATACATATATATGTTAGAAGTAAGGGGATGTCATGTGAGGAGCTAAGCCCTAGTAGGCTTAAAGCTCGGGAACGCCACCATTCCCGGCCTGGCCTCTGTCGCAGGCGATTGGCTCAGGCGATTGGTAACAGCTGGCGCTGTGACAATTTATAAATTTATAAAAATATTTAATAAAAAATATTTAAATTAAAACCGAAAAAAATAATTTATTTAAAACTAAAAAAATTATTAATAATTATAATTTATTAAATAAAAATTTATACGTATTGTGACAGCACGGTTGGACTCAAGTACGTAGACGAGGAATCGATTAGGCTATCTCTTAGAATCTAAAGGTAAAGAGGAAAGGAAGGAAAGAAGCGCCGGAAGGCAGAGCATATATACAGGTGAGCGGTCACGTGAGTACTTAGCGAGCACGTGACTCCAGAACCGTGACAATTTTATTATTAACTTTTATTATTAATGTAACAGCACTGTGACGATGGTGTGAGGTGGCGACGCAACGTCGGGCTATTCATTTAGAATCTAAAGCTAAGGAGAGAAGAAAGGAGAGGAGGAGAGATCTATATACATATATATGTTAGAAGTAAGGGGATGTCATGTGAGGAGCTAAGCCCTAGTAGGCTTAAAGCTCGAGAACGCCACTATTCCCGACCTGGCCTTTGTCTCAGGCGATTAAGACAGGCGATTGGCTCAGGCGATGGGCTCAGGTGATCCGTAACAGCCGGCGCTGTGACAAGTTTGCCCTGGATCCTGCTAAAGTAATTCTGCCTTACTAAAATTTGCATAATTTTTTAATTTTTCCTGCATTACTCTTCAATACAAGCTACATATGAATCTTTCAGCGTTACCGTGCCGTAGTGTGACTCCTTCTTAACGCGGCATTCTAGCTAACCCACTAGCCCCTTTTACATGAATCTCTCATAGTTACTAAACCTTTGGTGCGGCCTACACGACTTTACTTTAACTTGGCCCTTGCCTAGCTGATCCTATGTTCTTTGTTAATAAACTGTGCCGCTAGTGTAGTTCGGTATTACTAAGATTTACAAGAGTCTCTTAGTACTATTAGACACTGGTGCGACTACTCCTTGGCACGGCATCACCGCTGCATACTACGTAACCTCACTATTAGCAGGCTTGTCACCGGCGATTTTCTATTTTGTCAATCCAGCGGATACGATTTTCTTTTTCTTGCCTCAATCTGCGTGAATCAAACCCGACCTTAGAGCACTTTGGCTTTTTGCTTTTATAGGCAAAACAACGAGACAAAAGAAATACTTAAGTAAAGTATATAATTAAAAGACATAAAGTAAAGAGAAGTAAATTGAGTATTATAAAAATCATTGAAATTGCCTCGTAAACATTAATAAGACGTTATGGAATAATGAGGCTGAGCCGCTTAACTTTGCAAGTATCACGTGCATATAAGCGAGTATAGATCCAAAAAAGGTTCCGGAGGGATCCTTGTCGAAGCCAAAATAGGACCCGCCCCTAGATACAAGACGAGGAAAGCATAACCGGGCCTCAAGGGTGCCAAAACGAGCCCTTGCGGATACTAAAATGGCTCTATAATGCATGCTCAGGTTTACTTAGCGTGTGCTCAGGTGGTGCTCAGGAATGCTCACCCTCGGCTTAAGCTTGCTCACCCGTAGCTCAGGCTAAAGCAGCAGCTGCTCAGGTCCAAAGACGGAAATGGAAAATGTCATGAAAACATTCCGGTGTGGGTTGACCTGTTCCACCTTCGACTCAGATCCGAGAATATCTTTCACGCGAAATCTCTTTCCAGCTAAAACAGACCATTCTCCTAGGGTGATTCCATTAATCAAAAAGGAGGCAGTTGCGGTGCGCCATGACCCCAGTCGCTCCAATGCTTTCGAAGCAGCAGATTTAAACGCCCAATAAGAATCCCCGAACCACAAGAGGTGAACAAAGCTGGAAATATCCGCGAATGTATAATTATAAATCGTCTTGCGTGTTAATGTTCTGATCATAGCTTCAAGGAATATACCAATTTTAGTAGAATCGTCAAAGGCAGCGGTCGAATTCGTTTGGACGTAAATAAACCTTGAATCAACTGCTTCGGATTTCGTCGCACAAAGTCCGTCAACTTCGTCAACAACGACGCCTTTGACTCGAAGCCTGTGATCTGAGACAGTCGGCATTTCGGAGAGTTGATGAGCAATATACTTGTCGTGGTGCAAGTAATGAATCCGGCGTTCAAGAGAGAAATCTTCAAGCTGGAACCAATTCGGAACCCAGCTAGGCAAATTGGGAGATGCAAAGCCAGACCCCAAGAGTGGAAGGATGTCTAGCGAAGCAGTGGTGATCATAGCTGATATCGTAATTCCCCTCGAGATAGCATGTATTGGCTGCCGGTAATTTGGAACGGGAAGATATATACCGCTATCATAGGCGAGTCCCCATAGTGCAAATATCTTATCCCTAGGCTCGCTTGCCAACGACTTCACGCTGCGTTGCAATGCATCCAGGAAATGGATCGGTTTGTTGTTGGAAGCATCCACGTGGAATTTTGCTAAACCAAGTGCATTCTCGAACCCGGGACTGGAGACTAAAGCATCTAGGTTCTCACTATCAGGGGCGGAGACGCAGATCTCTAGAGCAGAATGTAAGGTCTTCCAAGGTAGAGATTGTCGACCACAATGTTTAATGGCCTCTCTTGCGAAAGCCAGTTCTTGGATGACCCAAACACGCCTCCAATATTCTCGACTCAAAAGCGTTCGCAGAGCGATGAGCGAAGTTGTATTTTGCTCAATGCTCTCGAGTTCGAGGCTATTGTCAGAAAGTTTCCTGATAAGTTCGATCGCTTTGTCGGAATCATCAGCTTCTCCATCAACCCATGCTGCGACTCGCGTCGCTCGTCGATAGATCGAGCCCATCCATAAGAGCTGTTGGCTTTTTTCAACATTATCCTGTTGGTTGATACAAATCGCATCTACCCAGAGCCGGTCGTAGCCTCGTGACTGCAGACACCGCAAAGCAGATTCGAGGTTCGGTCCGATTTCAACTTCAACATCGTTGATGACTATACTCTTCACTGGAGTGGGATCACCCCAGCAATACGAAAGAGCAGCGTAAGCTGGAGCATTGATGAGAGAGGCATGGTCAAGGCGACATCGAATACGACCATCAGCGTCTTGTGGCAAGAATGTTAAGAGACGAATCTCATTCCAATCAAGATCCAGAGCTTTGTAGTCCATTTCTGAGAGAAGACGTAAAGGGTTTCAAATATTGTGAGATTGTGAGAAAATAACACTTTTGAGATGCTTCAGGAAGGTTGTATACTGTTGGACTCAATGAATGCGTCGCTGCCTGAAGTTCAAGAGTAAGGCTGAGGTACATTTTGTTCGCTTGCGCGATTGGTCGAGGCTGATAATACCCCGCCAACTCCGTTTCGAGAAAGTTGATGCCCCAAAATAAACGAGCATACCTAGGTACATACTCGTAGTCCATCGTCAAATAGGTCAATGAAGCGAAGTACGAAGTCAAGCCGAAGCCTACTTGAAAATATGGAGAGAGCTCAACATAGAAGGATTTAGATCATTAACATTCTTTCGATGTAGATTTGGCTTGTTAATAAGAATCGAGCTATCTTACACCTGCTTTGATTTCTAACACCTCACTTACTAGCTGGAGCTATCTTTCTCTTCAACGTATCTCTACTATCTCACGTTGATGCTTTTGTATTCTGATACGCCTGATAATGCCACGAAAGCAAATCTACAATTTGACATAGATCCTTTTGATCGCCGTCAGCTGGAAACTCCTCATTTGCCCCGCATCGGTATAATTGCTCGAATATCTCCAGCTTGAGACGTGAAAGATAAAGGTCTGTTAGAGCTAGAAGCCAGCTTCTTGAACGACTGCTAAAGTGTCGAAGCCGTCGCTGTCAAGGTTTGCCTCGATCTCGAATCGTGCTGATGTTTATGGTTTAACTTTGAGGTGGTGCTGAAGTGCTGAGGGGTATTTTCCTAGACCGGAATTAAAATCAGTTCCATCTTTGAACTTTGTGTGGCCCTTATACAGCACCTGCTAATTAAAATATTTCAAGATTCATCTTGTGTATCTCCGTCATGTCAGGAAATATTTGGACCCGAGTCATGGGTAGTTCAAGCGCTAGCGAGCCCCTTATTTTTTAATATCCCTAGCACGGAAATAAGCGAGATCAATCTGGAGATCTGTCAGAAGCATACTTCAGGAAAATCCATTATGACATTCACAATTAACTTATTCGATATGTAATTTAGGATTGAGATCGATGAGAATGAATCAATTGCGGGGCTTATTTGAATTCAGAAACATTATCACGACCTTTCGAAGTGAAACCAACTAGATTCTACAGTAAGTAAGTGTCACGCTTGAATTAGCAAATCTTGGCAGCTCTAAAAAGGTCGGCCCCGTCGGATAGATTAGTCAAATTATATGTATCAGCCAGCAGTGCACAAATGAGCAAGTCGCCACACACTGCCCAATCACGACTGGCAAACATTCGAACGCGATTCAGTGATACACAACAGTACCGAAACAAGAGTAACCCACGCTTGCTACAATCCACGTCAGTTTCATTGAATTGAAAACTGACCTTGAACGAATCAAGGTACAAGCTTCCTCTTATTGAGAAACTGTCGATATGGATCCTGAATGCCCACCACCAGGATATGACGGAATGAGTTCGACGGTAGGACTTTTGCAGCAATCGCGAAACCGGACTGGATGGCCTCTGGGCAATATCACAGTCGACTGGCCATATTGCACAGTCAACAGTCATACCACATATTGGACGAGTGACGATCAAGACCGAACGCAACCCACAAAGGCGATGTTGGAACGCATTCGTCTTCGGCAAGATCTAGAGAACTTCGACAAACAACTGGAAAAGATCACCATTTCCAAGCAAAAAACTTGGATCGAGCGATTGAGACTACACACCAAGATCATATTTCAGCACATGTGCAAGGTTCGCCCTGGGCAAACTATCTTGATGCCAGTCGCTAAACGTTTCAACCCTGCCATTTGCAGCGGCGAAGGTTGCAAGCTGCACGGAGGATTACAATGTTTCTGTGCAACGTATCAACATGGTCGGAAACGTTTGAAAGTCATAAACTTCAAGGTTATGCTGCTTGATGATCTCGATCATGCAGCCCACTACAGACGAAAATGCCGTGTCCACATTTGCGATGCTTGCTATTGTGTTGTATTTTCGGAACACGGAAAGTCGTGGATCGTCGATTGCAAAGGGTCCCGAATTCGAAGATTTAGTGAAGGTGAGGCTTGGATGGATATCGTATAGAACTAAAATTACACTGGAAAGACAGTAGTAAATATAGACGACGACTGTTTAGCAACAAGTTGATATGAATGTTGTGTCTTGCTGCTTCGAATCACGTTTCGTTGGAAGTTTATCTCTAGCTGAGTCAATGCAGAATACACCGTCAATTATACAAGTGGACTTCATATCATTCAAAGATCAATGGCTTGAATGTACGTTGCAAAAGGGTATAACAATCACCCAAGAAAATGGACAACCATTCAAGTAAAGAGTAACACTCACAGATCAAATCGAGGTTCATAAAATGACCCGTCTTCTTCTCATTCCTACGTCTCTTCCCCTCTATCATTTCCCAGCACCATCTCAGCATACAGCCCAACATCATTCATCAAAATCATCAAAGAGAAAGCCGACAACAACGCCAAAATGTGCCACGAGGAAGTCACAATCTACAAATGTGGACACGAAGAAACGACAGGGTTTTCCGAAGTGCGTCAAAAGTTACCCATGTTCTTACATCCACCCTGGAAAACACTCTTCTCAAAGATCTCTTCCAAAGCAGCAGATGATGGAAGAAGATGTTTCCAATGTCCTCGTTTCATATGCTGATCCATTCATAGTGCCCAAACGGTAAAAGTATGGAGATTCCATGCTACGAGCCACCAAAGAAGACCCGAGTGAATAGGAATTGCTCATCGCAGAAGTGCAAAGACCAAAGAAGGGGAGAGGCACTGGACAAGGCATCGAAGAAGAAGTACTCGTGGTAGAAGAAAGGGTATTGAAGGTCGATTCTGGGAACATTGTTATCGCGTGCCTGATGCTCCTGTACTATTAGATGAAAATGCATGCCTGATGTTACGCGGCGAGAATTGCGCCTAGACCTGCGAGTTTGGAATTAAAAAATAGACACCATGACCCCGTGAAAAAGCAAAAATGAGGGTACTAACGTGAGACTAGTTCAACTCCACGCCAATTCGAAATCTGTAGGAGTGATATTTTGGAGGGGTACCTCTGGTTAGCGGACAAGCATAATTTACTAGTGATTTTACGCCGCTACTATATAGCAAACGCTTTTAGATTTCCATTTAGATGTAGAGCAGATATTACTTAATAAGTGATCCAGTCGTAGAGGAGTACTCGAAAATGCAATAGATAATCTCCCAAGCCAGTTGGGTAATATACACTTGTGAATGCATAACTAGAGCTTGATTTTCCCTTCAGACAAGACTGATTCACTATCATCAGCTACTTAGCACCTGCTCGATTCAAATGGCACAAAATAACACGTCACTCAACTAATTTTCCATCATTTGTTTGAATAAAAAATTTCGAATAGTGTTTAACATTCAGATAATGCCCTTCCTTCCGCGTCTATAAAATCACCGCTTCTTCCTCCTATTCTCCCTTTTCCTTCTCCTCAGCCTGTCCACCATTTCTCAACGCGATTCTCACCGAAAAACAAGAATCAGGAGCAGAGAACCGATTTTATCGAAGATCAAAATCCAAGCACTACAGAGAACGGGAACAACAACACAAAAAAATGTGTCAAATGACCATCATTTGGTACAGCTGCGATGACTCTTCCACCCAATACGAATACTGCGGACAGGAGAAAAACATGGAGGTCAAGTGCCGTAAGCCTGACAAGCGCATAGTAGTTAACCAGACATGTCGTCGGTCGGAATGCTTAGAACGGGCAAGACGAAAAGCATTGGCCGAAGCGCAAAAGAAGGTTTACAGGTGGTAGTCAAGAGGAGATGAGAGAGTGTTGGATCAGTTGGGGATTGGGACTGGTCTAATGAGGGGAATTGTGACATACAAGATAGCGCGCCTGATGTTCCTGTATCGTTATAGAGAGATAATGTATGCATGATATTGTCAAAAAAGATTGTCGAGAGTTGAAACCATAAAAGAAGTGATAGATGTGTCTTGAGAATTACATTTCGGACGGTCGTTTTACAGTAGTGTCCGTCCCCAACTCGCACGACGAGACTGAAGAGCAAATATCCAAGTTTGAAGAGAATATGCTGACATATGCTTTAAACATGAAGTCCGCTTTCACTCGTATCTGATCTGTTCCCATACACTTTATTCATGCATTTGACATAGTTTGGGATGAATCAAATCAATTGACCATCCAATTTCCATCTGAATGTGATGACGCTCCTTTAGACAAGCTTCAATGTTAATAATATATCTCTCTTCCAAAGGCTATAAATCAATTCCCCAACGCACCCAACGTTCCCACATTACATCAATCCACACCGCCGAACCAAAAGCACATCTCCCAATATTCAATAATCACAACCTAGAAGATATCAAAATGTGCACAGAGTTATTCGGCAAGTACACCGGATGTCCCCACAGTTTCTGGCTCGAGACCGCACAATGTCCATTCTACAACGCCTCCACTAGCTCCTGCAACGCGGGCGAAGAAAAGGTTGACTTGGTTCCGCTGCGTGGTGACTGCAGGATCTGTAAGTCCGCACGGTTGGCTTCGGGCAGATCTGCCTTTAGAGAGAGGAATCGGCATAGGTTTAGATACGAATATTGAGCAGGTTGGCAGAGATCAGATCATGCTCTGTGGTATATGTGAAAATGATGGAAATTACCGTATAGAAATATGGTAAATGCTTTTTGGGGTATACAAGTACACGGACGCCGGTTTTAGGCGCAAACCAAGATCATAATCAGAGAAGCAATCATGCATGGGAGAACTTCCAAGATGATAAATCAATTAAAATCCTCCAGCAGCAACAACGATGTGCCGTATGCCGCTCGAGCAATGACTCAAGAAGGAAACAGGATGTGAAATGCAGACTTGAAGATGAAGTTAGACGCGAAGTTAGAGAGGATGAACAGACAAGAGATTCTTTGATAAATGGACGCCCGGTGCGCATCTAAAAGGTCGGCCCGCGTTCTCCGTCTCTCGCTTGTTCGGCCAAAAGCGCCTGCCGCTTCTCGCATAGCGAGTAGCGAATCTTGCCGCAACAATGTCGTCAATGCCAAAATTGTTTCCACCCTTCGAAAGAGATGTGACAGGTAGAGCCTTATGCTACAAGAGTTTTCACTTACGCTCGCTCTCGCTTTCTTCGGGCTCTCTTTCTCAACGTCCGAAAGCTTAAGGGCAATATCCTCTACGGACTAAAACTGCTTCGTAAGCGAACTTAGTTCGAATTTGGGAAAGTCGACTGAAGATCAGTACAATGTATGGAAGAGTAAAGAGCATGGTGTTGTGGCTCAACATGTATATAAGAAAGAGAATGCTGCACCAGATCGCTCTTCCATCTCTACTTCACTCATCGATACAGAACACACTTCAATAGGCATCGGCATATACTTCTTACGCCTTCGAGCAACTCAAACACAAACGAAATGGCAGCTCAAGCATCTCTCACAAGTCGCCTTGATGGCAAGGTGGCTCTGATCACTGGATCAAGCCGTGGTATGGGCCGGCAACACGCTCTCGAGTTTGCCAGTCGTGGCGCAGACATCGTCATCAACTACTCCTCTAGTCCTGCTCCCGCTGAGGCCACTGTCAAGAAACTCACGGATATGGGTCGTCAGGCTATTGCTATCAAAGCTGACATGTCGAAGCCAGCTGAGATTGCCGAACTTTTCGCAAAGGCTTATGAGCATTTCAAACACATTGACATCGTCGTTTCCAACTCTGGCGTCGAGTCCTTCGGCCACATTTCCGAGATCAAGCCCGAGGAGATCGATCGTGTGTTAAGCATCAACACCAAAGGCCAACTGTTGGTCGCCCAGCAAGCATACAAGTATCTCACTCCAGGTGGGAGATTGGTTATGCTTTCTTCCATTTCGGCTCAAGCCAAGGGTATCAAGAACCACTCTTTGTATTCTGGATCGAAGGGCGCAATCGAGGCTTTCGTTCGATGCTTGGCGCTTGATTTTGGTGACAAGAAGATCACGGTCATCGCTCTTGCTCCTGGGGGAGTCAAGACGGATATGTACGTTGAAGCAGCCAGGCTTTATGTTCCTGGTTCAGAGGATTGGAGTGATGAGAAGTTGGAGCAAACCTTGGCTGAATGGACTCCCTTGGGTAGAGTTGGAGTACCGGAGGACATCAGTCGTGTTTGTGCCTTTTTGGTCAGCGAGGAAGGTGGCTGGATGAATGGACAGGTCCTTACTATCGCTGGAGGAGCCAATGCTTGAGAAGCTTGAAGGGAAGAGGACCGGCTCTGTGGCACAGCGTGTACATGAGCCTCGGCACTGCAACATGTCGTTCGCTATTATTTTTGCTTCTGTCGTTCATTCTTTGTTTTGCGAATTCCAAGCACACAGTAAATATACGAATGAAAGTCGATATTCTCCGTTCGGATGAAGTCCTGTAAGAATGAGGAAAATGCACTAAGCTAATAGAGACTAGCGCCAAAGTACTATGATGTGGCTTATCAGTGAGGCTGGGAAAAAACATCGTCACCTTTGTCCCAGTAAATCCTCACCATGGATTCTGCTCATTGTTCAAAGATCCCTTATGTTATTGATCTTGGATAGAAACGAAATATCTTCTGAACCCTTTTTTCCCTTCCATCACTGAGATCTTGCATATGAACCATGTTCACTACACCCAAGAAACCCCGTGGGTCATACACCCCATACAGCAGCAGTCCCAGCAAAGTTCGGCTCAATGGCCTCTTCGCTGATGGCATTTGGCAATGTAGTCACACTGTTGTATATCACCTTCGTCGCTGATAATATCTAGGCAACTGCAATCCTCGACTTCCAGCAGCGCACTTCCAAGTCAAGAAGGATGGTCCGAATCAAGGCAATTGGTTCTACACTTGCCAAGAATCTAGAGATAATGGCTGTGGCTTCTTCTTGTGGGATGATAAGGCCGCTGGACGAGAGATGCGAGCCGTAATTGGTAATACGCGATCGGCTGCAGATGCTGCCAGGGACAAGAGGACGATCGAAGGACACTCCGCAGCTAGCAATAAATTCATGGCAGATTTGGCAAAGGCAAACGAGGATGAGTTTGGCGACTTCTCGTTGTCTGCGGAAGATGAGCAGAAGCTTGTTGATGCTGTAGAGGAGGCCGATGCTGGAGAATACCCGCAGACTCCCAGGAAAGCTATCAAGACAAGCGAATTTATGACAACTGGTAGCAAGCGGAAGAGAGACGAGGACACACTGCCAACTCCGAACAGCGGTTCCTATAAGCCCAATATGGCGAATAGTCTCAGGAAGGATGAGGATGTTTTCAATACCCCGAGCAGCAGACTCAAAGGAGGAATGTGGGACGGACACGAACGCCTAGGACTGCGTAGCCCTTCAGCTACGCCAACACCGAGTCGATTCCAAGATCCGAGCACGGATGACAATTCGCCTTCGAAAACTACGCAGAATTGCGACATCAGTGAAGAGGTTCTTGAATTGTTGAAATCTCAACACATTGACGAAGAAGCAAGTTCGAATCTCCGGACATTACTCAGCAAACATGCTCTCAAGATTTCGGGTATTGTGAAAGGGCGAGATATTACAAGAATGGCCTTGAAGACCAAGGATGCGAAGATCGCCGAATTGCAGCAGAAGATCACGGCTCTGGAAGCTGAACGCGAGATGGACAAGACTGTCATCAGACACTTCAAGGCCGACATGGCTCACAGTGTCGAGAAACGACGTGGTCGAGGTCGAGGGAAAACTTGAAAGCATTCTGGGCGAATAAAGTTGACTGCACCACACCATCAGTCCTCCGAACGGACTTCAGCAACACCCGGATATGTCGACAATTCGCCGCACTACCCCAATAGGGCTTGACACAAACTGCAACCCAGACTCATTTCGAAGTGCACAGTGCTCGAATTTCTGGAAAGGGTGAATTGAACGGAGGACACACTGCAAAGCAGAAGACACTATGTGGGAATGCTAACACGGAGACAAAGCGAGAAATAACATCTCTGTCTTGATGCCGTCGTGACTGTGATCTTGTATACTATACAAGCTGCTCAAGGGTTATTTACTCCTTCGATCTACACGAACTACATTCGCACTATGCTTCTTCAACAGAGAAATCATTCTCCCGTTTGCATATCGACAAATGTAAGTGCACCAAAAATACAACTAGCTACATCATTCACCTTAGCCGAAGGAAGGCACTGGGGAAGGTGAGTCTTATTGACAAGTTGTACCAAAATATATACATCAAATCCATATTTACACCACTTTCCTTTTCCAAACATGCACATGCTCATCAACATCTTTTATCTACAGACATTGTGAGTAGTACTCATTGGTGGCCGTGCAGGTGAAGCCACTGGCACAAGAAGTACTTCCAGTGTAACCAGTTCCGCCACATTGGCCATATTGTGCCACGGCAGAACTGTCACTGCCAGAGCTCGCATCTGTTCCGGCGGCACTGTCCGTTGCGCTGGGTGCAGCACCCATTCCACCTGTTGCGACAGCACCAGCACTCTTCGTCCACGTGGGGCTGCTGGCCGCTCCAGATGGTGTCTCGCCTTGTCTTACGCAGCCACTCTTGGATGTGAGCGCAGCTGGACAAGTGACCTGCTTGAAGGTCATCGCTGGGTTGTCGGCACCTTGGAACCAGTCGAATCGGAAGTAACAACCCTGCTTGAGAGCAGCTGGGAAAGCATCACATGCGGATCTCGAGTCGACGCCACCGTACTGTTTCCCCCATCCTGTGGAAGGCGTGCCCCATTCTGCGGTGCAGCCGTTGAAGATACCGAAACCACCACCTGGAATCTGGGTTTATCAGTCATCCATTTCTACAGTACGACGAGTAGAAACTTACAGCAAGATCGAACTGGTTTGATCCCAAATCGCCACCAGTGTTCGTCACTTGAACCACCATCTTCTTCCCGGACACTGCTCCACTCGTGAAGGTCAACTCATAACAAGCACAGCACCAACTACTCTCAGACCCTCCTGAAATAGTTGCAGCAGCGTATCCATATGCCAAACTGTCAGAAACTGCCCATGGAGATTGGTTCGAGCACATATATGCAGGTCCCCCACCATCACATCCCGACTTCGCATCGTAGTTCGAGAGCTGGTTGTCACTTTTATCGCATGATGCAACTGGATTCGCTCCGGATGCTAGAGATATCTTTTTCGTCCATCCGCAAGATGCTTTGCAGCAATCCCAGTATCGGGTTGTCTTGCCTGTCCCAGAAGCCTGGGACGCAACCTCTGTGACCTGGAGAAAGAAAGGGAGGATAGCGAGGAGAACTTTGGTTGGAAGAACCATTTTTGAGGTAGGCGTGAGAAGACAAGAATCTCTCTTAAAGATGTTCACTTGAAAATGAGCGAAGAACGAATGAAAAGCCAATTGACAAGTGAGCAGCAGCCTCTCATCTAATGTACCCCCAGCCAAGCTGATCATCGCATGTCTTAATCTGTCACCTGAAGGCTGTATTGAAGAAACGGCGGGCCGTTTTCGTGGACCTGGTGATATTTTAACCATTATCCGGGATCTGTATAATATGTTTGGAACAGGTCATTGGTTTCGGTTCGTGCCGAGAGGATTGGGAGACTTAGGCTGTGGGATTGGGATAGATTGCTCCTTTGGGGATATGCGGATGCACCCCGCGTTTTGACAGGTGCCGGGCTTATTCCTTTTATAGTTTTCTGGGATAATGTCTTGACAACGGGAAAGGTTATAGGTGAAGGCGTGGGTAGCAAACCTGGAAGGGAAAGGCACACACGGCACGTGATATGCTTCAGCATCTTGCCCCTCTTCTCCACTTCATGATCTTCCACTCTACATTACAATTTGGGCTATATGTCAGTCTACTATCCTTTATTCGCGTCGTAGCTAGCACCGCAGCTGATTTATTTCTGGGGTTTTTTGACAAAAGCTGCTAGTATATTTGCTCATGCAACGACGCCGTCCTCGACATATCCAAATCAATGTTTTGTCTTGCATTTCTCTTCTGCCTCTTTCTCTACTAGTACATCTAGTAGTGTTCGTTTACAATTTAGTCATTCTTGGTGGGCCCTTCAACACGTTGAATCTATCTACTCAGTGTTGTTCCTTGTTTGGAGCGCCAATCGCGCGAATTGCGCTGATTGCGCAAACTGCGCAGCCAGCGCTCGCACCGCTGATCGCAACTTGAATTGATGTGACCAAGCCAAGCCAAGAAAGCAAGTTTAACTCGGTGCCCATAATTCAACAAGGATATACACGGCAAAACAAAGCCCACCCTCCTAGCACTTGAGATGGGGTTCAGAAATATCAACTCGGTCAGCCTCGCTCTTCGAGATGAGGGAGGTTATAGTCCTCTCTAGTTCAGCCCCAAAAAGAATTGATACAATTGGTCGTACGCGGCTCTTTCGGGTGAATTGTTGCCACAGAACACAATGCAACCAAGAGAGTGATAGGAAATGAATTCATCTCAGCTCCGACATCTAAACGCTCCAATATCAGGACAAAGGTAGGCGGAATGATTGAGGACAGAGAAAACTGCGATCATATCTCAAGACCCGCCCACCTCCCAAGCTTCTAAACTCCACCCCCCTCCCCCAAACAAAACCCAATCCCTGTGTCCTCCTTGCTGTTTGCTATCAACTACCGAAGTACAACGCCAGGGCAGTAATGGTAGCACCTCCTCCTTCCCAGATACTAGCCATCTTCCAGTTTCCGCCTTGACTCCAGAAGACCGTGCTCGTTAACATCCTCATCGGAACAGTCAGATAGAAGAATGTTCGATTTTCTTGGTATGCAGCCAGGGTGTAGTAGATGCCCATTGCAATAGCCGCAAGAGAGTTGCCTTGAATGGGTATTAGCGATTTTCATCAGCAGCCTGCTTTGAGAGTTTTTGCAAGTACATGGAAGCAGAGGACAGTTGAAGCTGACAACTCCAAAAAAATTGAAGATGAGAAAGAATTTTTTTCAAGTGTTCGACATAATATCGTCTATGGGATGTACACTTACCATTTGTTGCAGGCATGCAAGAGTCCGGAAGTCCGAGCGAGGCTGTAGCGCTAGAAGGGGAAAGTAGATGCATGATCCCAGCCGCGAAGGCTGTAAGACCAAAGGCGTAAATCGTGAGAGCGGCGAGCGTAGGCATGGCTTATTTGGACAGTTGCAAATGACCGGAAGATTGGTTGAATGACTCTCGGTCGAACATGGTTCCAGCACCGTTTGAGGTCAGCCGCAATATGACGGTGGGAAAATGCCGTTCTGCAGCTGTTGGTTGGTCAAGCGAGCCACATAGCACCAACTTCATAATAGACAGAGTCCACCTTCTTCTTTATCCTTTGCTACCGTGGACTTTTCTGCCATAGTCGAATATGATGACGTGATGATTGACGATCGGTTTGCGTTCGCTGTTCTTGCCTTGATGCATGCCGAGTTTGTGCCACCAGCTGCCTTTTTGCGCAACACGATAGATCAGGTAGCCCACGAGCCCGAGGAAAATTCGCTGAACATAGCGACATTGCATTAAAATGTGGTTCTTTTTATTTGAAGACGGCTGTTAGCATCTAGCACTTGCAAGTTGAAGCGCTACCTGAGTCTAATTTTTGTTCAAGTATTTCTAAGAGATCGTGCTGCGGGAACTAAAAGCGGATGATCAGCTATGCATGGCGCCGGGAAAGGAGCGAAGACCGAGACAAATACAGCTTGTTGCTTTGAGTCTCTGAGACAACTTCAAAGTACTGAGATGGCGACGTCCGATGTATTTCACGATACCATACTGCGACAAAATCTTTTCATAATCATCTCCCTTTCAATGATACCTATGAATATGATATAGATATATCGAAATCTCAGCCCATTTCTTTTTCGCAGAATTGCTTAGATATGGGAAAATAAACCGAGGTGAGTAATCACCAATGTCTCAAGCACAACGCGACTTCCCGTCGCACGTGCGATTAATGCTAGACATCGAACAACGACCACAGGTCCAGACTCAAGTGATTGGAATTCTCTCAAGACAGGATGACTTATCACCAACCACCTCAAATGAGGCTGAGACTCCCGACGGGCTTAAATCTCCACACCGACCAGTCTCCCTAGGAGCATCTAAGTAAATCTTCTTCAGCAGAACCAACGACGAATTTCAAACCTTGCGAGTATTATACAGAAAGGCAAGTCACGGAACCCAGATGATATAAGGGAGCATGACTAAGAGATGTACTAGAAAAATAGGGAAATCAACAAAGAGTAACCAATAACAATGGTCCTTCTCGAAATCACCGCCGCAGCAACAGCGATGCCAGTCCTCGTCGACATCTGCCTCAACACAATCGTACTCCATTCCTCCTCGAATCCATGACCTCGAAACCCGGATGCTCTTTCGTCCACTTCACTGACGGCGATTTCTCTGATAGTTGTGGAGCTGTATTCTGTCGAGTTTTTGGGCGAGGATTTCACCTTCGAGATCAGGTTCTGGTGTAGCAGTCGATAGGATGACGAAGGAGGTCATGAAAGTGAGGCGAGAGTGTTAGGGGGAATAGTGATGTGGATCATAGTGCTAGGATAATACTCGAGTCTGCATATGCTCTTTCATGAATTCTGGATAGAGTGTACGACGAAGAGATGGAAATGGACAATGATTCGACGACATTGGAAGACTTTTCTGGGATGGATATGTATGACTGAACGATATGGAAATACTGGGAGTTTGATACCATGAAAGATGTTTGGAAGTTTGGCAGGATTGTATTAGCAGGATACCAGACAATACGATATGAATTTGAATGATCGGTCTCGAAGGGCCTTCACGTGGATGCTCGAGCTCTTGCTCAAGACCATGAATTCGAGCTCTAAGTGACGCGCCACACAGAAAGAACCTCACAACAAAGTACTTCCCCAGGTGAGGTATATACTTATATTCTTCCCATCTCCACAAGGGTAAAACAAGAATACGAATGCACTGCACTCGGTAGCCGCTATCCGAGAAGCGAAACTCTGAAGCGTAACAGCCGAGAACTTCAGCCCGCTAGACGCCGCACGGCACTTGGAAAGGGGCACGATGAGGCATTTATCTGAAGGGGCGGAGAGGGGCTCCACTTGGAAGTGCAGTATTTAGTTTGTCTTGGCATTCATTGCGATGTGCAACAGAGTGAAATTGGGAGAGAACTGGGAGTATGAGAGGGACGGCACGTGATCGTGGTGCTGCACTGTTCGACTTTAACCCCTTTCATTGCTTAGAGAGTGGATAAAGGAGTACTATGTTAATCATACTTGAGTGCAATTAGAAGCAATATAGGAATTCGTATGGGTCCAAGTCTAATGTGGAATACCTGGACCAGTTCACGACTTGGGTCCCGCCTAGGTATATAAGAAGAGTAACCCTCACCAAACAGCCTTCAGTTCTTTCATCATTTTACCCTCATCTCAACCCAAAACTCAGCCCACAAGACTTCTTCTCGCCGTGAACATCCACAAACCCAGCCACAACGCCCGACATCTCTTTCTTCATCAGCCCGCTGACGAAAATTGAAAGGACAGGTTGATAGGCATCGTAGACCCCCCTCGACGCCATTCCCACTCGCCTGTCGGAAGGCTATCTGTGGAAATGATCATAAAAGTGCACAGACACATGTCCAACCCCAATTTTGACTTGACATAAACTCAACCTAGGATCTCGGGAAAGCCGACGCGGGCTTGAATTGAGTTTGGCAACCTTGCATGCCGGGACGGCAATCTGCAGTCTCGCATCAGCCCTATGTCAATGGGCAATCACAGTTCATACGAGGAAGAAATATGATCGAAAACTTTCCATTCAATCTTACAACTTCCACAAACACTATATTACACTAGTAAAAGAAGAAGTCCGCCAAAAAGCAAGGGTATCAGAAAACGCTATCAGGAAAATCAAAGGGTAGTCTACACTTCGTAGTAATAATCCTCATCCAAGCCTTCCCTACTTGGGACGACGCCAGCGCCTTCAGGGGGTCCACCATATCCATCATCTAATCGTACATTCAGAAGACGAATCTTCAATCCATACTCGCCAGCCAAGGCCAATAATTTGTTTGTTTCGGCAGTAATTGGGGTTTGGCTCAACAGCATGAGCAAGCCGTCCAACCAGTCGGATGCGAGGCTGTGGCTGGTGGGTATCAGGGTCAAGATCGGTCGCTCGACTTGGCGTCTCTTTGACGATTCGGACTTGTCGTCTTCAACTGGTACAAAGCTCATGATGGTGATTTTTGTTGGGTTTTGCTTTTGCGTCTTTGATGGCGATCTCAGAGTTGATCCACTCGATATACTTGAGGTATCGTCACCGGCTGCGGAAACATTGGACAGAACGGAGCTGATGGAGCCAACGTCGAGTTTCTCGCCAAGGTCATCAAGAGGGGGATCTTTTGTCGTAGGTGAAGGAAAGTCCGCATAGTGAAGCCACCGGCGATTGTGAGAGAGCTTCACGAACCGCCATGACGTTTTGGATGACCTCGGTCCGTTTTGATACCCATTGTCCATGCTGCTCTTGTATTGGACGGACTTCGGGAACCATGCACCTTGGAGGAGACATCTAACACGCTGTTCCTTGACAAAATGTAGAGCTTCTTGCTTGAGTTCTTCTCGAACTTGCAACAGATGCTGTCCCCATTCATCTTCAAATGTTAATTCCAGCAACTCCATCTGCAATTCACGAAGGCGGTTGTATTCGAATTCCGCAAGCTCTTCCTCGACTTCTGAAACGTCCTTGGTTCGTGGAGCTTGTCCAACAACTTGTTCCACCAAGATTCGTACCAGTTCTTCTACCTTTTCGAAATCGTCTCGTGTAGCTCCAGTAGCTTTCCATAGTCTAAAAAATGCTTGAAGACTGGCACCATGCAATCGTGACCATTGCAACAATAACGGCTTGAAAACTTTGTCGTAATTCTTCATACCGTCCAAAATAAGGTAATTCTTGGCGTCTTCCACGTCTGATTTGTCGACTTCGAAATGGTCGTATAAGATCATGGTGACTGCCAAGCTGGATCGAGCAAATGGACATCTTTCGTGGAGTGGTCGGGACGATTGTTCGAGAAGCAATTTTTGAAATCCATCCTCGTACTTTCGCACGTAATCCGTCAGGTCCATCATCCCGAGAAACCCAGTCTCATCGAATTCATATGCTGGACTCTCCGTCACAAATCCAAGTCGCCTCCACTTTTCTGGGTTGTGTCGTCTGCTTCCCTTCTTTCCATTCTCTGCCAATTCTTCTACCCTTGACCCGTTCCCATAATGTTCTTTCCGTTCCGGCGCACTCGATAAATGCAGTCCTTTCAATGCCCGTCTATGGTCTGGCTTCTCCAGATCAACACTTACCTCCCTCCACTTCTTCAGCAGAACTTTCGTCAATGCCTGGAATTCGAGTAAAGGGTGGGCGAGATCTTGGAGAGCAGAGCTTTGCATGAGAATATATGCCGCCCTTATGACTCCCAGATCTTGTAATCGTTTTATGAACTTGGGCCATTCCTCCCCAGTCCCTGCGACCTTGCCCGTATCACTTTTCCCAGTGTCGCTGATCGCATCCCTCATCAAAGCATTAAGCAGCATCAGGGCATTCGCACAAAGTGCATGGTCCGCAGAGTTGAGCTGTGATACTACCATTTCGAAAAATTGAGGATACACTGCTATTGCTGGTTTCAATGCTCGGAAACCAAAGTTGCTAGGTATTTTTATAGCACCTCGAGAGGATTGCGGATGGCTGACGATTGCGACCAATATTGACATTGCCCCACGTAGAATGTTGACCAGAGGATGCGTAACGATGAGCTCGACGACCCGCTCTACCAATTCCCCAGCGCCTGCGGCTTCGAATATCTCCCATCCCATGTCAACTTCGAGGAGGCGACTCAGCGATTGTAGCGAGTATGCCAGTGTGTTTCCTCCCGTTGTCATGATCAATCGCCGCAGGATGTTGAGCCCGCCGGAAGATATGAAGGCATCTGCGAAGGCGGGATCGTTGATCGAAGATTGGAGCTTAAAGACTGCCATCTTGCGCATGGCATCTTCATCGCTGGAGAGGCGCGAGAGGAGGGCGGGGATATCTGCTTGATCCATTGTGTCGCGTGTGGAGACCGGCGCCGAAGTGCTGTCAATTTGAGGAGGCGGAGATATTTCTTTTTATCGCAGACATCAGTGGTGATAATTGTGGAGGGGTATATGGAGAGGCTTTTTCTTGTTGTAGAAGTGTGGATGTCTTGGGATGTTTGCTGTTTGTGAGACAAGATTTTTGGAGATTCTGCTCAAGGTCGCGTCGGATCAGGAAGGTCCGTGCGTCAGGGGTCGCGGGACATTTTTGACGATCGTCTTGTTGCCAGCAACCATGATCTGAAATGTTATCAGAACCAAGTACAATCACTTCTTCTTTCTCTACAATGCCTATTGTCTATCAATTCATGCTGATCATGTGATAGAGTTATAGAGCATGTTCCCTTGAGCGAGACAACCCAAGTGGTCACCTCCTGAAGGAGGCACAAGAGAGTCGGCCTCGGAATATGTCAGCAGTTCTTTGCTGAAGAGCCAGACTTCTCTTGATCATGTGTATATCTTGCACCAAAATATCATCTTCGTGTTATCTTCCCCTTTCTGTGTGTTGTCAAATATGTGGTAAGAGTCAAGTCGGCGGCTGCATCTGCGGGGGTATGTACGGCAGGTTCCAAGTGGCAGGCTTTGGTTATACATTTTACTCAAGTAGGGCTATCTTAGTAGCTCAACTTTGCGAGCATTACAAGTTTATCGAAATCTATGCAAGTTCTATAGATTGTCCTGCCATCTTTTATTTCAAGGGACAGACATTAGAGATCTCGAATTTGAGCCCACATGACCCGGTATCCAACAACCGTCCAGCTCGACCATGGCTGACACTTCTCCCCTTCCAGCGTTTGTTGCCATGAAATCATCCTACGAGCTCCCCTTACCGCATCTAGCATCTTCTCCGTCAAAGACTTGCACTCTTTTTCTCCATCTGTGTAGCAGATAAGTCTCTCTCCGACCATTTCCTGCCATCCTTGATTCCAGAACGCGCTGATATCCATCTGCAGATCCCGAACCTCCTTTGTGAGATGTTAAGTGGTGTCATAACGAATACTTCCCTCATCCAAACCCTCTACCATCGGCGCGAATGAAATCAAAGCAAAGCTTCTTTCCTTACATTTAGAAGAACTCGGATTCGCTGTACGAGATCTTGTCCCGACAGGGTCCCCGAACGACCTTTCTCGACCTCTCCCCTCAATTCGATGGAACATTTACCCAACTCAGCTTCGAACTTCATGAATTCCTTTATTCTGTATACACAATTCTCGTACTTCTTCCGCAAGTTCTTGACCTGGTGATATCGGTCCATGAACTCCTCGCTGCTCCACGGCTTCTGTCGTTTCTCGGACAGGACTCTCAGTCTGCACTCTAGTGTGTCGGTATCTTCCGGCAGCGACAAAAAATCGTGGATCCGTGCTTCAGCGAGTTTGCACGGTACATAGATTAGTATGAGCAAAATTGGGCAGTATATAAGCATCGTGAGGGTCGTTATTCTTGTGGCCAGGTGGGAACTGTTCTTAATCGGGTCGTTCTGAAGGCGTTGTGTCGCATAAATATCCATAGAACAGGGGTCATCTGAAGCATGCAATCCCCATCATAAGAGCGGCTTGTTTCTGTGGCTTCATGTTTCGAGTGCGCTGATCGTGCTTCCGTGAAGATGAAGGTAGGTAGTTGAGAGTCGAATTCCGCAAAAGTAAACATATCAGAAAATGGAGAAGGTTCCAGAAGATGAGAAAGAACGCAGGGCGCATACGATATATCGTTTCGGCACTTGCTATCGTCGAGGTTTCGTCATGCGTATAAGTTGATACAGAAGTTTGGGGCCTGACGTACATAGCTTTAGCGAACTAACCCCTATTTCGCTAGCGAGCAAAACTGCTCCACCTATCCTGGGCCATTGTGAAGGCTTAGGAAGAAGGGTGAAAAAGTCGCGACTAGATATGCCTGACTGTACTATGCGACAACGAACATCTTTCGCAGCGAGTTTGGAAATAGCTTGTATGAATGCAATATAGATCTACATATATAAATGCACTTAGAAAGGTAATTCCCACAGCTTCGAATACTGTCGTCAAATCTCTACGCTTCACCATAATGGCAGCGTTGATGTCCAGTATTTCAGAATATCTTTCCACGTGACCATCGCCCATCTACGTCCAAGACACGGCATTCTTGCTCCTTTGCCTGATCTTATGTCCGTACTTGTAGAAGACATACGGAATGGGAGTCATCAAGACATTGATACAGGCCATAATGGTCAATGTCATATGCGGGCCCAGGTTCTCGTAGAATGGAACTCCAACAACCGTCATGCCACCCGCCGTCATGTATCGAGTGAAGGTAACGAAAGTGAGTGCTGATGCGGCATAGACCTCGTATGAATCGATGATGTACATGTATGCCGTCATAAAAATACAAATTATCCCGTATCCCAATAGCACCGAAGCCATTATGGAAGACCAAATGCTGATTGTGTCCTTCTGAAGTTTCAGCAGGAGTTTTACATGCGCGTGAAAAGGGGAGACTCACGAAGTCAGTCCATGCCATCCAAAATAATGAGATTGGAATAGCAGGTGCTCCTAACATCGCGAACCATAATCGGACTTCGGGCACGAACGCGTTCCTTCCAAAACTCTCTTTCGTGATTCTGTATACCCATGGAACAAGGAAGCTGGCGAGTACAATTCCAACGAATATACCAGTGAAAATGACATTCGTCAAACCTTGGCTCGTCCCGTATACCCTTTGGAAGATATAGGGATATCCATCTAGGAACGTGAACAGCACAATGTACAGCACTGTCAAGTATAAGGTCATGAAAAGCACAATTGGTTCCAGTGCCAAGACCAAGGGCCTGGTCAAAGCAATCTTTAACCTTGACCATAAAGTTGACTCAACAATTTCCATCTCGGCCCGAAATCTGTCGTCGCACGTCTTCTGTCGGAGATGTTTCGCTTTCCATACCAGCAGAAGAGGTGGATATGTTTCCGGTTGGAAAAGTACGATTAGACCGAGCCCTACCCCTGATATGATCAGTATGATCCATTCCGACCATCGCCAGCTCCCAAGGTTGATAATATAGCTGGCTATTACGGGACCAAGGACAGGCCCTCCGAAGCCGGGAATAGCGTACAAGGGAAAAGACCACGTCTTCTCGAGAGTTGGCCACAAGTCTGAGATAGACCCACCAGCACAGGTCAAAGGCGTTGCGCCAAAGGCACCAGCGAGGAACCGAAATGATAATTGTGCTCCAATGTTGGGCGCTAAAGCAGATGCCATGATGAAGATCATGTAGATAATCATGGTTGAAATGTATACGGCATTGCGGCCGAAGGTTTCCGATAACGGTCCTGCAAAGATGGCACCAACAGCGTACCCAGCAAGGTATAAACCTATGTTGGCATTATCAGACTTGGTTCATACCATATAGAGAGTTGCTTTGATGTGACATACCAATTGTCATCGATTCTACGACGTCACTGACGCCAAACTCAGCAGCAGCTTGAGGGAGAATAGCAGTGTCTGCGGAAGACGCTGCCCCAACCACAAAGCCAATGGAAGAGACAATTAGGGTGATGCATGCCCTGTATGCCACACTCCAATTTCGTGGATTTGAAGGATCGCTCTCTCCCTCCCAACCAACCACGAAGACTTTCCCACCTTTCCCTTCATGCGTCAAGCGTTCACGAGCATGAATGCCAGTTAGAGCGTGACCAAGAGTAGTTCGTAGAGAATTTTGTGTTCGAACAGTAATAACACTCCCTATCCGGCCGAGATCCATGGGATTGTCATCTTCAGAGTCGGTGCCATTCGAGGAATTTGTTGCGTCTTGTAAGACTTGTCCTTGGTCTTCTGGAACTGCAGGCAAATGACTCGAGGGATAATTAGTCTTTTCATGATCTCTCTGAATTTGTTTCTGGACTGCAAGACCGAGCCTGCGGTATTGTAAAAGCGATTGCATTATGTCGAGACGGTAAGACTTCTCTGTAGGGGCGGCAGTGACGATTGAAAAGAATTTGAATGCCGCAGCGCGGAACTGATCTTTATCATGCAGAGCGATAATCCTAGGTCTCTAGATCCATCTTTTGCAAAATGTTCGATAAGAAGCCGTTGGTGTGATGAAAGGTGGGATTTTGCTGGGAGGCGGTAAGTCAGTTCCCGTGCAGCTTGAATTCAATATGCAAAACAGTGGAGCCTCTCCACCGAAGAGACTCCACAACTGATAATGTGGCTAGGGTATGAATTTAGAAGCAGTTTCGAATCTACTGACATCATTCAGTGTGGCTATATTCCAATCTTTCTAATTATTGCGAAACTTGTTCGATTCAAAGAAAAGGAGACTCAAATTCGAAGTCGAGATCATCAAGATCATCAAAAGCAGATCCATTGAATCCGAAGATAGGATCATAAAGGAAGCTCATATCGCCAACATTCGCCGGCATTTCAAGCCCAATGGATGGATTTATGGGATCGTCTGGCGTTCGCAGCGTAGAGTTTAGATGGAGTGCCGTAACCTCTCCATTGTCAAATGGAACAGTCTGGGTCTCTGGAATACATTGTTCCCTTTCAAAGGTCCTTATGATTGCATCAATGTTGATATTCGAGGAAATTGACTCAAAACTTCCAGCAAATTCTCCATGGTCAAGAACGACACCCATTCGTGAGATCAAAGCGTCGATAACTTTCTTGGCCCGTCTGGGCGACCAACACACAGATTGTTGGATATCAAGAATATCTAGACATCTCCGAAGAGCACAATGCGCATCAGACCCACGAGGCCGTTGGGCAGCTATGCGGACGTGAATAGTCGCACTTACATATGTGGCGTACGATATAATGTGTGGTGAGGTTCCGAAACAATAATTTTGCTTGTAGCTTTCAAGAATGCGATCTATTTCGAAAGCAGCGACAGAGCATATTGAAAATGCATGTAGAGCATTGGAGGAAGATGTCGACTGAAGATGTCCATCCGAAACAAATGGCCGGTGAAGCAATATGACTATTACGTTGAAAAACGCCCTGCCAAGTCGAAGAGAGCATCAGCCTACCAAGCCAAAAATATTTGGAACGGACACGAAATTACTTACAGCAGAGACAAGAAATGAGGCAGTTTGATTCTGGCCCGATCGGCAATCTTGATATCCAGATGCGTAGGCAAAGACCTTCGCCAGTTCTCGAGCTCTGCATGAAGCGATTTAGAGGCATTAAGTAGATCGGTGGGATCTCGAGAGCTACTCTTCTCCATGTAGAAGTTTGAGAGAATTTTGTCAAGTATGATACTCAACTTGCAGAACTCTGCGAACGTGGAAATACTATATACTGGTGTCATCAAAGACGCCGAGTTTTCTGTGTAGGAAAGTGCATTGAACAACTCGAGCTCATCGTGGTCATCCAGGAAAGATAATGGAAGACTAGTACCGGAGTCCGCAAGAAGGGCAGGTCTCCCTTGGGAAAGTGACTGAAGCTTGTCATTGACTGGTTGCAGGTCAGAAGGGCAACAATAAAGATCGAATAAAGATCGACCTCCTCATAGCCACTCACCATAGGCAGCCCAAAAGACTCGGCGGCGTATCTCTGATTCTTCGACGGAGAATCGTCGCTGCGATGTTGCGGCGCCAGCATCAACATTTAAGCCTAGGTCGATAATCATGCTGAAGGCTATCCCAGCATACAGCCATGATACACTCTTCTCGTCACACCAGGAAAATAGAGCACTCGACAGAAGGAGTAATGCCTGGATGGTGGGGATGTCACTCTTGTCGAAACTATTTCGAAGTAGTTCAACAACCCTCTGTCTAAAAGCCCATCCTGCTGTGAGTTGATTGCTTGCATCGTGGCGGACTTCTACCCTTGATGTATATTTACATGCATAGAAATAGATTGCATTGAGCAGCAATTTGGAGAAATAAGGTCCGACACAAGCCATGTCGCGCATGAAAGCAGGGCGATATACGACGGGACCAGAGGACTGTTGCCTACTCCAGTAGATGGATAGAAGATGCATCCCTAGTTCCGGATCAATTCCATCAAAGTCGAGTTTGCCGGCGAGAAAGTTGACAGTCTCTAGTTGACGTTGGTTCGCGGACTCCGCTACTAACTGGCGTTTGATCCACAGATCTGAGACTTTCGTGACGGTGGCAGAACCTTGTCGAATTGCAGCTTCGGTAGACTTTTCATCAAAGACGGCACTTGTTGGACCATGATAGCAAGAATCTTTGTCTGGAGAAAATGCTCGCTCTGATGTTGAGCACACTCTTGAAGCCCGTACAGGATTGTGATCTCGGGGTCGATTTAACAATGCCAAGGACCTCCTGCATGTCATGGAAGGCCCCTCGCTTGATCCATTGCCAAGTGCTAGGATCGGGGATTGATGGTTTCCACTGACGGAGCAGGTTGTGCTGGAGTCGTGAGTGTTTCGTAAGCGTTGTCTTAGCGTTAATACTTCGTTTTGCAACTCCCGATTTTCATGCTCTAGTTGAGAAATTCGAGCGACGGAAGGTCTGGTAAAGATGATCAGTGACTGTTGGACAGGACCTTGACGTAAACCACCTCGGCTTTTTCTCCAGCTCGTAATAGATGCAGTCTCTTCCATGCTCTTTGCAATTTCGACATGTAGGCTTCTCATTATTACATCTCATCTATCTCCTCATCAATCTCCCCAAATTCTTCCCAATAAGCATCGGTTTAACGTACCTTGCGACGTCGGCAGAATTCACAGGCCATTGGAGCACGTCTCTGCTTACGGCTTGACGTATCTCCGTCTTGGGCTGACATTTCCGAAGGCTGGTGAAGCTGTCAATTGGGCAGAGAATCACACGGGTGTAAAGAAACCGTGACGGCAAGTGGGTTGTTAACATATGGATGAGCTGTGGGTTCTGGTAAGGTTTACAAAATGATGATGGGAAGTTGATGTTCAAGACGGCAAGTGAGTTGCCGTTTTGTCGCTTATAAATGGAGAAGGCTTAATAGGCGAACCAATCATCGTGCAGGCGTGAGCCGATCAGGGGAAGTACCCATGAAGTGGGATATAAAATCCCGCCGGGCTAAAATAAGGCATATTGGAACCGTATCACTCGTAGGACAAACGGAATCATAGCGCTTTTTGTCACGGATATAAGAGACAAAGAGAAAAGGTTCTTGCAATCATGGCTCCGTCAGTCAAAGTATAAGAATTCGTATCCCCAACGATGTAGAAATTCAATTCCTTCAGTGACCTCCCCTGCGCTGAGAGTCTATCTACTTACCTTTCTGATATTAACATATCGATTATGTCATCTCTTATCTCTAAACCTTGCATGGATCCTGAGCTGAGACTCGCTCTCGGAAAAGTTTCTTTCCCGCCCATATCACGCATCACTCCTGAAATTTGGAAGGCGATGCGTGTAGCGAATGCAACCCCTCCCAGCTTCCTCGATGACCAGAAAGTTCGTGGAATATCTCATAGAGAAGTCCGAATTTCCAGTCAAGACGGCAGCAATCACGAAATTATCCTCTCGATACTCCAACGTTCCGTCGAAACTACCGAGCCACGTCCTTGCCTCTACTGGATTCACGGCGGCGGCTTGCACTGGGGTGATCGTCTTCACACACTCGAGTTCCCAACGGACGTGATCCTCGAATGCGATGCTGTTTGCATCAGCGTTGAATATCGATTAGCTCCAGAGCACCCATTCTGCACTTCTGTGGAAGACTGTTACACAGGTCTCCAGTGGACCAGTGACCACACACAAGAGCTAGGCATTGACCCGAAGCGTCTCATGGTTGGGGGTAGTTCAGCAGGTGGAGCTCTCGCAGCTTCGATCGCTCTACTGTGTCGTGATCGTACAGGGCCATCGCTTTGCGCTCAAGTTCTCTTTTGTCCCATGCTCGATGATAGTTTGGCTACTGTGTCAAGTCGTCAGTATGTTGAATGTTCGGATTTCGTTCCTCGCGGGGTGTTTGAAGATTCATGGAAGGCTTCTCTCGCGAACAATGGCCAGAATTCGAACACCGTTGTACTTCCTCCGGCCAGGGTGAAAGATCTATCGGGACTTCCCCCTGCGTATCTTGATGTTGGATCGGCAGAAGTGTTGAGAGACGAGACGGTGGCATTTGCGTCAAGACTGTGGGAAAATGGTGTGCAAGCTGATCTTCATGTGTGGTCAGGTGGTTTTCATGGTTTTGACATATTCCTTCCAGATGCAGCTGTTTCGCAATCTTCCAGAAGATCTAAGTTGATGTGGGCGAGGAAGGTTTTTCAAGCAAACAGTTCCTGATCTACGATCAACAACATTTGGTGGAGTCATATGAGTACACATACATACAGTCTAAGAGGTAGATAAGAATGGAAGACCATATTTATTACAAGAAGGCAGAATTGAGTTGCAAGTCGTAAACAGCGCTTCATCCTTCGGCATAAAACCAATTTTTAAAGAAAAATTGAAGTAGAACTCCTTTTTTGTTACCCATCTATTCGCTGTACCCAGAAGGAAATTAAAAAAGCTTGACGGAAACTTGCAGTTGTTGCACTATTCCTTTCCATGATCATTTCGCATTCTACAAAGGATCGAAGTTAAGACAAACTAGAAGCTGATCGTCCTTGTAAGCGCTACCGCTGCAAGAAAATAACATGCGCCTTTGAAACAACCAAAGTAAAAGAGTCCGAGAACACATCTGACGTCACGGTTCTTTGATGCAGATAGGTAAAGAAGTATATAGAAGCTTCAGATGTGATTCATTGAAGCAACAGAACGGCTTGCTCTAAAGAAATACATAAAGTGCTCCCTTGGCCACGGTTTTCATCTCTCATCTCATATCCAGACATTACTGAATCGGATCCCGCCGAACATGGCCGTCCTATCGCCTTCTACGACTTGGTCTGGAGGGTAGCGAGCGGCGAAGTAACTAAAACCCACAATGCCATTGGATACCTCGAGTTCATGGAATACACAACATTATCCGCTGACGCGAATTCACCACTCGTCGAACCCTACTATAAGTGCTATTGGTACTTCGGGAAGTGGAGCGCGGTCTTCCTCTGCGACGCCTCTGACGATCCGATCCGAAATTCTTTCATCAACTTCAAGTTGATCGAAGCCAATGAGCACTTGAGAAACGACCTCGGCGCGCAAGCCGACAGCGTATTTGGATTGATCTTTGTTGATACATTGGACGATGGTGACGATCCGTTTCTATATTGGCGGAAAGATTGTAGACTTGCCGGTGGCTTGCAGACTACGATTTGTGGGTGGGCGAAGAGATATAGTGCGCTGGAGCAGAGATTGTCTATGATGGAGAAGAATAAATTGAGGATGAGAACAGAGTACATTGACATGGGTGACGCTGAGTCAGAAGGCGCAGATAAAGACGAGGACCGGAGAGGCGATGACTAGAATGATATTAAGGAAGGGAAGGATGGATAAAGTCCTATTTGGAAGACGATTGAAGCTTCAAACCAAGAGGGTGGTTACCGAGCGGCTCTAAATAGAGCCTAAAGGAGGCAGCAAAATTATCGTAGTAAATCTCTCTCCTGGCTAGTTCACAATCAAATCGTGAGGCTTCAAAGCTACTCTCTACTATTCCACTCCCCTTTCCACTATTAACCCTAATCACTTTCCTTTTCCTATCCTCTTGAGTCACTTAACATTAGCACTTAACTGACCTGCAAGTAAAGTTTTAATTTAAATCAAGTGCCAGTATGTATATTATTTCCAAAAAATTTATGTATAAAGGGTAAAAGGTTTTCTCCCAGAATTCGAACCTGATCAAGTAAAAAGTCATATTTCTTCAAAGGATTCTTAACAGACGGTAGTGGTGCGCCGTTAAACCTAATATAACTTCACTCCATCTACATAGATGATAGATCTTGCAGACAGTGACTAGTTGCATCAGCCTATGATGACTCTGGTCCCAATACCACGTATATTTCCAGATGGGTATATATCTCCTGGCCCATCTCTAATTTTTCCTTTCTTTTTCTCACATGTTCTCGCTCTCCAGCATTCAATCCATGTTACAAATTACGCGATCAATGCCTTGCAGTCCTACTTTTCTGAAAGTATATTATAATCATTCATTCAGAGTTCATCCTTCCATGTCATAGCCTGCGTGGTGCCAACCATCTCCTAATTCCTTGCGGTATGTCAAGAGTTTTATGCTTGAACTCGAAGTCTTCACAAATGTGATAGTACAGCTGATAGCTGTATGAAAGATTCGGTCTATGTGTGCTGAGGAAGTTCCATGTCAACAGCACCGTACCGAATTCAAGGAACGGATGGGAGAAGCTGCGGCATGAGCTTAAACCGCTAAGGTTCTGGGGTAATGCGGAAGCTAATTGACGGGGTATATGTGGAGTGGGGGAGAAGTGTATGGCGACAGCGGCAGATACAAATCAAGAATAATCTTTGAACTTTGAAACTTCACATAATTAGTATAATCGAGTTTTATGTGGATTTGATAGTCCGATCTCGCTCCATGCCGGTTGAACGATTTCCTTGGGCAAAATTCTCGCTTACGCCCCTTTATTGTTTCTCATATTCTTCCTTGCAGCCCGCATCATACCTGTGAAATATTCCGGTGTGCTATAACTCCCAGGTATGCGCTGGGCTGCACCGTTGCTCTAAAACGCTTCAGAGCCCCTCAGCGTGGGCTTAATGTTCTTCTTCAATTCGTTGCTAAAATCTCTGTAAGCAGCATCCAGATGTGCTTTCACTTCAAAATTTGCAAGACGCAAAAAAGAGAAAATGGAACTTGTTTCGAGCTGAAGGACGGGAAGGTTGTGCAACTTAGCCGTGTTTTGGCAGTCTGTCCACGACAAATATGGAAAGGATGCAAATGCGAAGGCAGTAAAAGTTATGAATGAAAGAATGACAATGAGGACGGCAGTAGCGACTTCCGGGAGGAATGAAAAGGGACTCAAAGAACGATGGTATTCTTGTTCAAAGGCGGGATGTCGAAAATTTCCGAGAAATAAGTGAGTAGTCTTAATCACAGTCCGGAGAAGAGACTTAGAAGATTCCCATCTCATGATTCAAAAATATTGAGCGAGCTGTAAAGGCTACCAGTAGCTATTGGACAGAATGATTCGACTAAGTGAAATGTGAATGTGGATGCACAGCACCAGTGTAATTCGAACGTGAATATCAGGCTTTATGTATGTATGGTACATGTTGTTTTGCTTAAACCATGCACTTTCTCTCGTGAATAGAAAGTTCTATATCACGGTCACTCCTTTCCATTCTTCCCTAAACTCGAAATTCCATCTAGCCATATAGTGACATAGGTGCCCATTTCCCTGAACTTGACAATTTTCCTGAAGAGAACAATAACATTTAAGCCACTTTGTCTGTACTCTTGTGGATTAGCTTTACTGGAAGGGATATACGCCCTCGCTTCCTACTTACTTTCATGGAAGAGTTAATAATCTAACCAGAACGTAGTCCCAAGCTTGATGCAACCTGCTCCGCACCAGGGGCATGTGACCGGGACGCCAGATTGATAGGGTTTCGCTCCTTTGTAGCCACAAACGATACTTGAGCACTGAACTGACTGGTAGAGAGGCATTGCTATCGAGTTGTTGACTTATTTGAGTTTGTGAAAAGGTGAAGATTTTGATTTATATACAATTTTTAAGTTGAATTGGTGTTGCGAGAAGGTTTGCTCTGATGTGATGCTTTGTGAAAGAAGAGAAAGAGGAGATTGAAATGGGCTTTCTTTTATAGCCGTTGGAACGGGAAGACTGGTCCTACAAGTCAAGGATCATTTGAATCACCAACCCTCAAGAAACTCGTCATTCTCATGAATAATTGCATTGAGGTATGATGAATAGTTGTCACTTTGATTGTCCATCATCACCATCAGTTGTTGGGAAATTCTGCCCAGCCTCTCTGGTTCACGATTCGATCTCTCGCAGTTCGGATGTAGCAATCACTCCAGTCAATAGATATATCAAATTTTGGAGCTTCAAGGTTGCCTGAAAACTAAATTGACTTATTGAGTTTCTCGAGTGCTTGCGTAATCTTTTGTTCCGTTGAGATGTTGGTTTCGTCTCTGAATAACACTCCGTCAAATGTTGGTATTACACAGGCCTGCTTGCCAATTGGTCAGATTTCAACAGCTACCTGGCTATTCCAACACGAAGTGCAGAGCCAACAGGCTAAATGCAGGCCGAATACCCACTGCCGGGCTTGTATTGGAAGTTCTTCGGTCTGTTTCTCCCTCAAGCCCCTCAACCATCAGTCCTCAATCTTTCAGCAATGAGCCTTGAAACCGCCGTTCTTATACGGATACTGTTCACGACGGTCGTCCTTTATATCACTGGTTGGATCGTATATTGCCGCTATTTCCATCCTCTCCGCGCCATTCCTGGGCCATTTCTTGCTTCCATCAGTCGATCATGGATTGTATACAAAACCATGGCGGCAGACATGGAGCATACCCAGCGGGCCTTGCACAAGAAGCATGGTAACATCTATCACATACAATATATAGATTCGGTGATTATGTAGGTAAGGGAAGCTAATTAATTAGGATATCTTGTTCGTATTGCACCTAATGAAGTTTCTTGCTCCGATCCCGAAGCCATCAAGGTACCAGATCTTCTTTTTCAAGATGAATCCACAATTGATAATTAGCTTACGCATCTGCCATATAGACTATATATGGCGTCAAGAGATTATTCAGAAAAGTTACACTCTTTGATAACCATTTGAAACTTTCTACTAACCTCCCTCTACCAGACCGACTTTTACAACGCTTGGGCTCCACCGAACAATGGCTACGTCGGTCACTTCCTTACTCGAGATGAGAAAGTTCACTCTGAACGAAGACGAATTGTCAACAATGTCTACTCGATGTCCAGTGTACTTGAATCAGAAGAGGCTGTGAATTCATGCTCGCAGCTCCTTTGTGAAATCATGAGCGAGTTTGCACGGCAGAAGAAAGAAGTTGACCTCGGCCTCTGGATCAATATGTAAGTACATATCCGCTATATTTCTCAAAACTCTGTCGATCCTTGGCATGGATATAATACTGATTTCTCATTAGGTACGCGTTTGATGTACTCGGTGAGCTCTTTTACGGCAAGATGTTCGGCTTCATGCGTGATCGAACAGACTTTGGAGGTTATATGAAAGCCATCGACTCTCTGCTTCCTGCTTTCACCATAGGCGGCACTTTGCCGTCTTACTTAACGAAACTATATCTGCTATCCACGATTCTGTTCTCACCCTCTGTTCGTGGGGCGTTGGGAGCTATCAAGCACATTGAGATCGCTTCCAAGAATGCAGTCCAAAAGCGCAAGCAGGAACTTGAAGAGAAAGAGGACGGAAAACACGACATGCTTCGCAAGATGCTGGAGATTAGTAGCGAAAAAGGGTCGAAGATACATTTCTCGCATGAAGATATATATGTCGAATCACACAGCTCACTGTAAGTCCTTGATAGTTCAAATGCACTGACTTTCGATAAGAGCAAGTCTAAAGGAGACTTTCAAGCTTCGCGGGCGCCGACACCACAGCTGCCGCCATTAATAGTATATTGTATTATCTGATGCTCAATCCTGTTGCCTACGAGAAGCTTACCGCCGAGATTGACGCATCTGTGATTTCTGGCGACCTTTCAATTCCCGCTTCCTATGCCGAAGCAATCAAGCTCCCTTATCTGAAAGCATGTATCAATGAGGGCATGCGCTTATACCCAAGTGTCGGTTTGACGATGCCACGACTTGTTCCTGCAGGTGGAGCGAGCATCTCTGGACACTATTTCGCAGAAGGTTGCCGCATTGGTATCAATCCAGCCGTGGTACACTACGACAAAAGAGTCTACGGAGAGGACGCTGATAGATTCAACCCAGATCGGTGGATTCACGCACCTGATGGATGCGATATTCCACGGATGGATAGGACTATGATTCAATTTGGTGCGGGGCCTCGTACATGCATTGGCAAGAATGTGAGCTTTTCCTTCTTAGTCTCTGTAAAAAAAAGTTTTGGGTAGACAATTCTGATGAATTTGTCAGATTTCATTGAGTGAAATCTACAAATTGGTCCCTCACCTCGTGAGGTTGTTTCACTTTCGCCTTGCGGACCCGAGTACAGGTTGGAAAACGAAAGATTATTGGTTCAATAAACAGACCGGCATCAATATCTATATGGAAGAGCGAATATTTCATTAGATCTAGCAGGATTGTTGAAGGGTTGAACAAGAGTCTAGTGACATTGGGTTTGGGATGAGATCAGAGGACGAACTTAGTCGTGGTTTTTGCTACCTTGTAGCTGTGGTTCAGATTCGGGCACTCCACTAGGAAAATAGTCGGAGTTCCTTAATCAGATTCCAATTCAAGTGACAGTACTTTTACATTTACTGATTACTTCAGACCATCAAGAGCAACGTCTCTAAAGTCTCGGACCTGTGCTTCACCACTGTCAAAACTATTCCATCTCCATCTTCATTAGTTCCTTTTACTTTAAATGGAAAAGATCCAAAAATACCTAAATATTTCTGGCTCAATGTCCTGGGAAGCATTACAGGTAGTCCCACACCGAAATGTTGACATGAACGTTTTCCATTTCCGTGTTTGGACCTGAGCAGTCGCTGCTCCAGCCTGAGCTGAGCCCTGAGTCCTGAGCAGGCTAATAAGTCAACAGGATCATGCTGAAGGGATCGTCTTCTATCGTCTTCTATTCCCTCTGGGATCGGTTATACTTTCTGTGTGGTCTAAATATAAATCTTAAGTTAAAACACAGCCACCTCTTTGACCCTATCCATTCTCGCACCCTCGTCAAACTTATCAAGGTTCCAGCCAGAGCCGATTGGATCCCCTAGAGCTCGGGTGCACGTAACCAGTTATTTAGTCTCGCAATTCAATGTCACTCGTGTATATCTCCTACTTGCTAAGTTGTTGATACAGCAGCGGCAACTCGGGTTAGATAGATAGGGACTCCCGAACATCTTCCGACAGCATGATTACATTGTCTAACATTCTTTTAAACTAAAACTTTAATGCGATCGGATATAGTTACATATTAAACTAAGAATAAATAATGTAATAATTAGTACGGTTCGTATTTATAAACACGATGTAACGTCTCTACCCTCACTCGGTGAGGTCACGTGGGTTTGTATGGTAGGATGAAGTAAAATAAGGTAATTCGATTGAAGTCAGGAATAATACAAAGTTGAGCACAAAGCTCCTATCTGATAGGCGAAGTTTTATCGCTATATAGGATCTCCCCGTCGTGGAGTCCTAAGAGGGGTCGGAGTCTTGGAGTCCCCGGAGTTCATCAGACTCTCCAGACTCCATCACGTGACCTAATTCAAAGTAAAAAACACCTTAGCACGTCATTACCGGACAACCCCTGGAACCGATTGTACGATCCCCAGAAAGACCAGTTCACACAAGCTGTGCTCCACGATTGCGTATCTGGTCAATTCATTTCCCGTCATCTTGGTTTCATCTCTGTGAGTTTGCCCATAACATCCAGCTTACTTGTACAAATACTCTCTCTTGGTCTCACGTCACCATTCTCCTCCTGGTTCACCACCCTATCCACTGCTATCTCCGCTTTTTTTCCTCGCTGGGCTTTCCTCGTCACTCTGGGGCCACTTCGCTGATCTTAGCGATGGGGTTTCCCGGAATGTAACATGTCTGGCTCCCAGCTCTGCCATTCTTTCTCTTTCATCCATTTCATCTTCAGATAATTCTACAATACGCTCTCCTGAACGCGTGGGTGATGGCATTCTTGCGGATCCTGTTCTTTCCTCCTCGACTTCTCGCACGTATCCAGTGCGAGGACTGGAAAAGCTTCGTTCACGCCTCTGTGGACAACGATGGTTTGATTCCGAAGCTCCTCTCCTCCCCTCCCACTCATCTCTTGATTGTAGGGCCTCAAACTCAGAGGCTGTTGGATACGGAGGCTGATTATCCCAGTGATCATCTCTGGAGCCAGTTTTGAGTGGTGATGGGGGAGTTGGAACTCGAGGAAGTTCGTTTCCCACTATCCATAATCAGTATTATGTCCAATGTTCTGATCGACGGTCTCACCTCTGCTGATTGTGTATTCATAGCTTTCCGCACTACTCAAACTTGGCTGGCGGAGTGTGTCCCTGCGATATGATCGTCTCGGATGTTCGACTGTGGTCTGCGGTTGCGGTGCTTCTGCTCGGTCCCAGTCGTCGACAAAGTACCTCGCCGCATCTTCATGTGAAAAGCCTTGAGCCTGGTCTCGTGCTTCGAGAGTCGTCCTGTCGACTCGTTCTTGTCGTCGACGATTCTCCTCGTCATTCCGAGGTCTTCTGTATTCATACCGCTCGGTTACCACAACTACTTCACTATCAATCTGTGGATTGATGACATGAGGAGCCTCCCAAGGTGCAGCACGTTCTCTTCGGCGACGACGCCTAGCTTCCGAAGAGTGAGATCCATTTGAACTCTGATCACGGAAGGTATGCTCCCGATTAGTGGGCTCGCGGATAGACGTCGAACGCTCATGGAAAGCGGGTTCAAGACTTGGGTTGGGTCTGCCAACACTCTCAGCTTCCTCGACTATGTATTCATGAGCACGTGGATTCCTGCTTTGGGGATGATCTCTGGGACCTTGTCTTGATACTCCAGCCGGTCTCTTCTCAAGAACTTCCTCCACAACATGGGCTGGGATTGTCCTGTACAGAATATCATCCTCATGTGCCCGATGATATCCCTCAGATACTTCCACAGGTTCGTCGTACTTGACCTCTTCCACGAAGTGGACTGGTATATTCTTTGGATATACTACTTTCTCAAATTCCCGATCGTGGTGGCTAGAAGCAAATTCGGCTCGTGTGTATTCCCTAGATGGGGATCTGCGTCGGGGCTGCTCGGTGGGCTGCACTTTCGGACGTCGTCCAGGCTTTTTGGCATTCTGATATCGATCTTGTCTCTCGGCTGCTGAGTGTGCTCTGCGGGGAAAAGCTCGTGAATCTAGAGACGAGGGTGGGCGGCTCGGACCGTCATACTCTTCTACCAGAATCTTTTCTCGTTTACGTCCTCTTAGCCATCGGTCATCGTCGGATATCTCCTCTTCGACTACGATGTAATCTTCCTTTGGATCAAAAGGTATGCCTTCAGTCTGTGGTAACGTTAGTAATGAAACCTCTAAAGGCCATGAATGGCTCGCCTTCTTTGCAGGTTTTGGCCTGCTTTGTTGCTTGCCAGCCTTCGATTTAGGAGACTCTGCTTCACTGGAGCTCTCCACCACTACCTTCTTTTTCTTCTTAGAGCTCACGTTCTTCTTTTTCTTAGCCCGCTTCTCCTTCCTACGCTCTTCTCGCTCAGTGGCGCTGGATTCACTGGTAGAGCTGACGTCCCTCTGACACTTTCTGCAGAACTCAGCAGGCGGAGTTTCCCCATCTCTGATCGGATGCTCCTGATGATATTTTCGAGACCGTAGCCTACCACAGTTGGCGCACACATGCTTGACAATCGTGATCGTTGTCTTTGTTGCTACCACCTTTTCGTTTTCTTTAGCTTTATCGGGCGAGCCCTTGTTGAAGTGAGTGTCCATTCTGACAAGTTGAGCTAATTCAGCCTCGGTAGCCTTGGTGTTTGGTCGTTGTTGTGGCTTTTGCTGTTCTGGAGGCATGAGAAAAGCCTGACCTTGTCCAGGATAGTATGGAAGAGGGTATGGCGGGTTGTATTGGGCAGGATTATATGGCTGCATTGGAGTCATCGGGACGAAGCCTTGTTGTGGGATTGGTGCCGTATAGTTGGGTGGAGGCGGGAGTTGTGGGACGTATGGAACTCCGTTGATGAGTATTGGACCTTTCCCACGCTCCACAGACCGAGCTCGTCTCCTAATGATTCGAGTCCTTGGACCAAAAGCTTCTCCTAGAAGATCTAGTGCGATGTCGGCTGTTCTCTCTCTCTTCTCTCTTGCCATAACCAACTTTCCATTCACTTTCGTCACGTAGGGCCTTCCTGCAGGGATAACCTTTCTGCTGGCGCTGGATTCATCACTGCTACTACTGCTACTATCCTCGCCGCGAGGAGCCTTATAACTAGAATCGAGTCAGTCAAAGCTATGAGAGAGCTCCGAACAACGGTGGGCCTGCAGCGCGCGGCGAAGGAGGAATTGGAATAGACAAAGGGTTGTGGGATTGCTTACACCGTGAGCATCGTGAATTGAGTCTCGCGATTGCCTCGCGACGGCAGAGGGTTTGGCAGCAGTGATTTGAAATGACGATCGATTCGTTGTTGTAGTTGCGAAATTTGTTGAAAGTTTGATGGCTGCGTTTCGAGGCGAGGAGACCAAAACACCACCCATCGGCTCAGGTTTGGAAGGTGCGAAAGTGAGCATGTACGCAATTTTCGGCATACAAAGACATATGCATTAATCTGAAAATTGGCGACCAATCCAAATTGTTTCAATTAACCACATGGTATAAATGAAGTTCGACGCTTGACAGTGCAAAGCTATGTAAACTTAATCGGAACAGCTTTCCCTACCGAATCTTGCCACAGGAGAACCGCCATCTTCGTCAACTGTCGAGAAATTTGTTCTTAATGTCTCTTATTTTATCATTTCTATGTTCGACACTGGATCCACTTTTGCAGCGCCCCCCAAACTTGCGATCTTGCACATTGTGTTCGGCCAGACTACAGGTAGTTGGAAAGGTAATTTGTTTACTACTTATGTATTGACTCAAGAGCAGAGGGGTGCACTATAAATTAAAATTGAATTCGAGTTCTCCATGGTTTCTTCTGACAAGTATATGTTGGACTGGAAGAGGAGTTTTGATCTGAGCAGAAATGCACGGCAATCTCAAAGTGCGTTCTATTGTAGCGGCATCTTTGGCAAGCTTTCCAACAAAGGCCTTACTGCCCGTACATCAAGTTAGCTAGAGATTGCCTAACGAGATAGAGTAGAATAAGAAATAAACCAAAAAAATATATAATTTCCCAAGGATTCTGGAACTTTGGAAACCCAAAATTTAGAGCTAGAGCCTTGCTCTCGCGTCAAGCTAAGCGAGTTTAAAAGATTTCTCGCGAACCTCGAACTTTCTTTCTTCTTACAACATCAGCACCAGCCTTCGAAATGGCATCGCAGGATCTCGCATCAGGACAATCCTGGCACGATAACGTTGCGGGATGGATAAAGGCGAAGGAAGAAGCTACGGCTGATACTCAACGTTTTACTCGTACCCTGAAGCGCCAACGATCAGATGACGACGTCAGTTCTGCTCTCGTGTCTGTCTTGAATCGCGTCAACATCGAAGCTGAAGGAGATGTGAAAGTCAAGCTTGAAGAAGAGGTTGGTCAATCACTCAGGTCTCATCAGAAGATCCAAAAGTAAATACTAACAGTGGGGCCAGGACTCCAAGGTTCCCTGTGACAGCCTCGATTACTCAAAGTTGGTTTATCCGAAGACATTGATCCGACGCAAGAATCGCGCTGGTCCCTTTGCAGAGCAATTTATGACTCCAGCTCTCTTCGCCAGCATCCTCGACCGCCACAACCGCCGATACAAGTTCACGATCAATCAGTATCATTGTGCTTGGGAGTACGCCGTGGAGAAAGAATGGCCCCGTGGAAAACTTGATATGAAAAACTTCAACGACAGTTATAGTACTTGGGATGAGGTTTCACGTCAAGACCAGCTTGACAAGGAGAAGTTGATGATTATGACGTCGGTAAGTAGGATGCATGCGAGAGAGATAATTAGCATCCGTCTGAAAAACATTATACTAACTCGAGGGTTTATCAGATCCAGGATAAGGACATCTTGACTTTTGACGATCGATTGAAGAGATCTCAGAACAACTTCGAGAAAAAATATAAGAGATTCGTCGAGCGTGGGGACATGCAGCAAGCGGCGATTTTGAGCAACCGATTAGCCAACAAGTTCAGGAGGCTTGGCCGTGAGCTTGATTCTGAGATTGTAGCTCGACCAGCCTCCAAGAGGGTAAAGTTAGACCACTAGAAGTTTAGGTCTCGATTGTACAGCAGCGTGTGGGACAATAAAAATAAATTCTGTGCCAGAATTTCCGGTGAGATCTGCTTTCGAAGTTTTGATCAAAAGCTTTCGGAACATACCACGTAGGCGTACCACGTGAATGCACTACGTTCCAGTTCGCTTACCTAGGTATGAATCGTCAAAATACCTAGCTCGAGTAAAAAGATGGAAGCAACAACACAGACACCCAAAAAAAATGGAAAATATAACTAGAAAAAATTAGACGAAAATGGATCCAGATATCAAAACTCAAGTCCAGCCCTTTAGATTATCAGACATCTGAGATGAGCTGCTATCGGGTCTGGCTCTAGAAAACCGGCGGGTTTTGAAGAACGACAAATTTTTGCTTGATTAGCACTATTAAGGAGGTACCGAAATCGCAGAACCTCGTCTGTTTGAGGCTAGCGTCAGATCTAGACGAAGCCTATCGACAACGATCAGCAAGCAGGGTAGCAGAGATGCAAGGACATTACGTAGCTGCAGTGTACTGCTTCTATCATGTTGCCCGTTTATGCATCCTATTAAATCATAGTCATGATCAATGAGGTGCAACATTTCCAATAAAATGATTACTAGAGCATAGGGAGATACGAGGGACTCAATGCAAATACAGATTCAGCGACTACGACACTAAAGGCCGAACGACAGTCTCACTACAGTGCATATCAACAACTCACTCGAGGCCACAAGAGAACGAGTATATTTCTACAAACTCGCTGGACTTTTAAGCCTTCCCAGTACAAACATGCGAGATATGGTACAAAAACAGCCTTCCCTTTTCCTTTCCCTGTTTATTCAACTCTCAGAACTTTTGGTCCTCTTCTCTTCGTCACCTTCTTCTTCTTGTTTCCTCTATCGAATGATGCCGCCGCCGCATGGTCTCTTCCTACGTTGTCAAGGTCCTTGACCTTGTAGATTCTGATGATCCAGTTCTCGCTCGTGAATGCCTCTTCAACAGTATTCAACGTTGGACCGACGTCTGGCATTCTGACACCACGGACACGGTCTTGTGCCTGTCCAGGTGGAAAGAGGGAGTTGTAATTGTAGTAGGACATCTTGTACCTGTATAATCGTCAGAAATTATAGATCAAAGAAAGCTGCGCAACTTACATCAAGCTGTTCTTCATGGTCTCAGTGGCACCCTCATCGACTCTGTACTCTCCTCTATCGGTGAAGAAGTCACGCTCCTTAACCTCATCAGGCCAGATACCTTCAGCGATTCTCACCATCCACAAGAACTTGTTGATATCATCTCCAGAATATCCTAGAAGACCACCAAAGACAACAAGAACGTAGTCGACTTCGTGCTGACGCATAATTGGGTAGCTGACTTCTTCGCGAGAGCTCATAGCCTTTCCGACTGTGGCAATGTGGGTGTTGTTCCAGGTGTTGTTGTCTACGAGGGTTGGCCTATCAGCCATTCCACCAATTTGGTAGCCATAATCCCACCACGACATAATCTTGGCGTCCTCGGCTGTGTTTTGTCGGAGCCATTGGTAAGCCTCTCTGTAGTCATCAATGATGTGTTGACTTCCATCAGGCATTCTGCTTGCCAAGACGACCGATGGAGAAGAGTAAGCATTGGAAGTGACCCACGTGCAGTGAAGCACAAATATCAGGAGATATGCAGTTAGAGCACTGACAACTGAGGTCTTGGAGAAAGTGGTGTAGATTCCAACAAGTGGTTTGCTGAGGGATCTGAGACCATCTTGCTTAGCAGCTTTCTTGCTTGAAGCAGGTGCACCGTTGGCTGCATCGATTTGGGAATCAGTTGGTTCAGCGGGTGACTTGATGGTAAGATACGTGTCGAGTAGGTTGGACAAAGCTAAAGCTGCGGCAACACAAACAATTGGTGTGAGAGTAAGCATCAATCGAACCATGACACCGGAGAAGTAACTAGCAAGGATCGCGTAAACGACAACGAATACTTGCTCATCCGCAAGCTTTTGGAAGCAAAGGTAAACACCTGCTGGGAAAAGCCAGATAAGCATATTTAAGTCGAAAAAGAACGCAGGCCAAGCCGTCGGTTGATGTTCGGACACGGAGGCAATGATTGGGATGTGAATCTTGGCGTATCCAGTATCCCAGAGAGAGTAAAATCGGCCAGTCCATGGTGCAATAACACCTGACACCGTCAAGAGGACCAGACCTCCGAAAGCAACGGCGAAAACCACGAGCACAAAGCCACGAAGTAGAGTCGTGAATTGCTTGCTTGGGACACCTGATCGGACGAACTCGACAAATCCGACCAATTGGAGGAGTCCGAAAACGCCTAAGAAAATCAGTGCCAAGCCAAAATTAAGGGGTCCAGCAAAGCTTACCGAGAGCAGACATATGCTCACTACTACGAATGGGCAAGAAACCCACGAATGGAATTTGCATGCTGGCCAACGTTCCCAGAGCATACCATGTGCAGTAGCTGACGTAAACTCTGGAGCTGAAACGTCCGATGCAGACAAGCACGAAAACGTGCAGCGGAATCAAGTTGGTGATGAAGACATATCCTCCCCATGCAGAAACCATGTATCCGTAGAATAGAGCACACCAGGCACCCCAGAAGATGGAGCCGACCTTGAGTGCTTTGATCCAGAGGAAGAAAGTAAAGACCAATAGGAAAATGGCAATTGCCTCGTTATCGTAGCTGCCAGCAACTGATCTCGAAATATAACCTGGGGCAATACCCATGAAAGCTGCTGCAAGAAGACCAGCAGAAGGAGATGTCGACATCTCGTTGGTGAAAAGATATGTTGCGTATGCAGTGAGGCCAGCGAAACCTGGTGCAAGAAGCACACAGATATTTCGAATATCGACCGGTATTGTAAGAGCTCGAAGAGCATGGTAAATCGCACCACTGGTCACCATAAGACCTGGGTAGAGTGTACCTCCAGTAACACGACCGAGAGGATGCCATGTTCGGTCATCAAACCAATCCCAGAAATCATAGAAGCCATGCTGTACAAGGTATTTCGTCGCTCGAAAGTTGAACCATGGATCAACTAAAGGTTGTCAGTTGATTGTACAGTCAATCTTGAAGATTCGAGGGTGAACTGACATTCGTGAATAATACTCTCGAATCCTGCACGTGGAACAATTAGCTACAATTCAACTATCCAACATTTACTCAAGCAATTCCACACAAGAAATATGCAGCATTGGTCTGAGAGCACTCACTAATCACAGAGAACAATCGAGACGATAATGCTGCTGCTGCTATTAAGCATAGAATTATCAATCGCAGAAGGCCTCTCGTATTTCTCCCGGTGCTGCCCTTGAAGAAGGGTTCTGCCAGCGATTCTGTCGCCATTTTGCTGGTTGATCGGCTGATCGAGTGATCAACTAATCGATTGATTAGAAAGGTGTCGCAGACGAAGTTGTCGCGGACGAAGAAGTTGTCGCGAATGAGGTTGAAATCATCAGTATATCTGTCCGCTGCTGTAACCGTGTCTTTGAGCTTCGCGGCCCGACAGGGATCAATCCCGAGCTAAGCAAAGCTTTCACGTGATGACCATCAAAATGATCAGGAAGCTTGCTTGGTAGAAGCAATTGTTGAGCTGAAGATGATAATTTGTATCTCTGCAAGTTAGTCCAAGTCAATTTATTTTTTGCGTAACAATAGAGTTGCTGGTCTATTCTGGCGTCGAAGCTGCATTACAGCGGCTCGGAAGAACATTTTTACATGGGCTTTGCTTCATTCACTCTTGAATGACATATACACAGCTTCCTATTCAATTGAGATTAGTGTTGCTAACTCGCAATTTACAAATTCGATCCAATTTTCGGATTCGATTATCCTCTCAATTGAGCTGCACAGTTCCAACAGCGTTAATGCAACCATTCAAGGCCAGATAGCTCCCAAGACTGACACTTGATTCATAGGTCTGCATAGAGACACTCGAATATCATGATATCGATACTAGGTTCAAGCATATCCTGCTGACTATTATAGCAACTTGACTCGAATCTTGAATGTCCCAGGAAGTTCGGCATGTTCTGGGATGGTTCCTTCACCTGTCAATACCACCGAGCAAGACAACATTCGCAGAATGGGAGAAAGATTCTCTCGTTACACTAGTGTACAATGTACATGAAGTATGCTAAGTGACATCTAAGGCTTTTGTATGGATCACGGCATCTCCCAAGGCAAAGCTTTCATGAATATAGCTCGCCCCTCACAGCTTTCTATCTCCGATCCCTCCGAACCACTTGTCATTACTCCTTCTTTATCATGTCTTTATGGGTTCTCTTTCGATAGGGTTTTCAGGTACGCCTCCAGATCAAATCGTGAGTCGTTTGGATCGCTTATGACTGTTTGTAAAAGGTCAGCATAGGATCGGAAAGTAAGTAAAATCAAGCATTGCATTATCCAGGACCATCTGCAATTAGATCCTAGACCAAAGGAGCCGCCACAGTAGTATGCGAAAGCATAGTCTCGCTCGTACGGGCATTGTTGGTCCAAGGGAAAAGAACCACAAAAAAGAGCCACATACCATCCCCTCCCTCTTTCTTAGCACTCGGTGGTGCGTTCTTTTTCGAGTATTCAACCTTCGCCTTCTCAATCAGTTCTTGCTTGTGTTCGTATTCTCTGTTGATCGCGGAGAGTTTTGCTGCTGTAGAGAGCTTTGCTTGGTGATAGAGCCCGTAGAAGATACCAGCGCCCAAAGCCGAGTATCGGAGAACCTGTAGATATAGCCATCAGCTGAAGCTCCTGCAAAAAGTGATTGACAGTGTTATGAAGCTTCGGCAACCGCAGATAAGGTCCTGAAGCCATGCGCGAAAAGATTCAACGTACGTTAACGCCAGTTGAAGCCATTGAGAAGCTTCTTCGCGACGAAGAGAACGAGAATATCGGAGGATCGAGTCCGGAACGAGCGCAATATGTCAAGGAGTATCAATTGACAGGTTATCGCAAAGGTGGGTATCACGGCTGTTGTAGAGAGAAATGCGAAGCTCTTTGAGAAGTTCGAAATATTCCGGACGAAGCTTGGAACTTCCCGATGTGCACGTGATTTCAATTAAATGAACGCGAACCACCTCCAACGACGCGATCAATGCATCACAAAGAAGAAAGCAAACGCATGTTATTCGAACTGGAATTCCTTGGAACGAGACTACACGACACCTGTTCTACTCAGCAACCTTGATCTGGGAATTCGACAGAAGCTCGCAGCTCTCACCGGAGATTAAAAGCCTCCTGTATTTCGACGCTCATCGACATGGGCGAGAGGCGCAAGCATGATGCAACAACGAAGAGATGAGATTCTGGCGAAGAAGGCCAAGCTCGCGGAGCTGAAGCGGCAAAGGGAACTCCGGACGAGGGAAATATCCACCAGTAGGCAGAGCATAGGTAGTTCCAGTGACGTGAATAAATCCAAGCTTCCTCCAACAAACGGGTACTGACAGACAATAGCTCACAGTTCCACCCGCAAGTCGAGCAGATAATCGCGAAGAATTAGACAAGTACATCTCGTCGATATTAGTGTCTGGAGATAAGAGTAGGCCAGGCTCGACTGGCCCTGGAGGAGCTGGTTCTCCGGCTCAGAAAGGCAGTCGTCCCAACAGCGTTCTAAGTGCTGGAGAGCTTAGCAACGAAAACTCGGAACCATCTGTTAACCATGCCCAACACCCTCAGTCCCTCTCGATATCTACCCAGACCCTCACGACCGTTCCTCTATCCACCGTCTACGAATTTCAACCATCACCAGTAAAGGAAGTCTTCTCTTACAGTAAAGGAGTACAAACGACAGAAGAATGGGGCACACAGACATCACGTCCAAAGGCAGTGGAAGATGAGGATGAAGACGATGGCGACTTACCCGTCACTGCAACGCCCAACAAGAGACTTAGTAGGCGAATGCGAGATCGAGAGGAAGAACTACGAGAGAACATTCGAAGGGAGATCGAGGAAGAGCTCAAGGCAGCCCAAGAGTTGACAGTGGATGGGCCTCTGAAGATCTCAACAAACACTGTCAAAGCCAATTTCCCAGCCAGAGCCCTCACAAGTGAAGAGCTGAATGCTGTCACATCATCTGATGATTTCATGGACTTCGTAGAGAGATCCAGCAAAGTCATTGAAAGAGCTTTGGATCAGGAATATGATATTTTGGCAGACTATGCACTCAGCGGAACGAACGGGGTAGAGGATGAAGACGACGTGTATGGCACAGGAAAAGGTCGCCGGAGAGTTAAGGAAGTTGCTCAATTCTACGATGAACGATGGTCGAAGAAGAGAATGGTCAGTGACATCAACTTCTCGCCCAAGTTTCCAGAACTCGTCCTTGCAGCATATACCAAAAATCCTTCGGCACCGCATGAACCAGATGGACTTGTCCAGGTATGGAACATGCATCTCCACGATCGACCAGAATTTGTGTTTCACGCACAGTCAGATGTTTTAGCGGCCAAATTCTCACCATTCCACCCAAATCTCATTATTGGAGGGTGCTACAGCGGCCAGGTTTTGCTCTGGGACACGAGAGCCAAATCATCACCAGTACAAAAGACGCCTCTCACGGGCTCAGGACACACTCACCCTATCTACTCCGTCGACATAGTTGGCACTCAAAATGCCAACAACATCATTTCCTGCTCAACCGATGGCGTCGTCTGTGGCTGGACGGTAGACATGCTTGCTCAACCACAAGAACTCCTCACACTCACCACTCCACCACCTGCCAAGACTGAAGATCTCTCTCCAACATGTATGGCCTTCCCGCAAACGGATCCAACTTATTTCCTCGTAGGTTCCGAGGAAGGCACAATCTTCCCCTGCCACCGCTATGATCGTGCTGGGGCGAAGGCAGGAGTCGATCAACGAGTCAGCTATCGTGGTCATGCAGCACCAGTTATGTCTATTGACTTTCATCCTGCCAGAGGACCAGTTGATCTTGGCGATCTCGTCCTCTCTTCCTCCCTTGACTGGAGTGTCAGGCTGTGGAAAGTCCGTGCACCTGCTGCAACATCCACAACTGGAATCACAGGCGAGGGCCACTCGGTGATCCCTATCCTCGACTTTACCCGTGAAGATGTCGTCTACGACGCTGCATGGTCGCCAGTAAAGCCTGGTGTGTTCTCTCTAGTTGATGGTGCAGGCAATCTCGAAGTCTGGGACATTACTGTGGATATCGAGGTCCCGCTTTCCAAAGTCTCGCCCAGTAGCAGAAAGGGAGGAAGAAGCATGATGTCAAAGAGTCTAAATAAGCTTGCTTGGGAAGAAACAGAAGGCAAGAGAATAGCAACAGGGGGTATCGACGGTACTGTCACTGTATTTGAAGTCGGCCCTGATCTAGGAGGCAAAGAGAGTGCCAGAAATGAAGAGTGGACAAATGTCAAGAAACTCATTGCGAGATTGGAAAGTACGGCTGCTGGAGTGGTCGCTAATGGCGTGAACGGGGTATAGGCTACAGTACATACTCTGAGGAGATATCGAGAACAGATGGAGGCAAGATTCCGATCATAAGTGCTGTATGGTAGATGTGGCGTTGCGTGTGCATATACCCCAACCAAATCGAGGTTTTTCATTTGTTATTGCATAGGCATTAGTGGTTGCGCATCAAACAGATCCTTTGTCTCCAGTCTCCTTTTCAATACTTGCACTTCTTGTTTCTTCCCGACTTGATCATCTCTACTTCACTGCTCTCACTTCTGTCCCGCACTTGCCATGTCAGTCACGAAGTTGCAGTTGGGGGCCAAATTGTGCCTCTTCTCTCACTCCACAATTAGACTAGCCCACTCAGTTCAAGCCAGCTGAAAATATTGGCGATTACTGACTGCATTACGGAGATTAAGTAATCCCATTATGGAAGTTAGACAAGGCGACTTTGAGCAGAGTCTCGTGTGTGAAACGACCTTTTCGGTAAGCTCGCGCCACCCCCCTTTTCCACAGACAATCCTAGCAAGAGATTTCGCCCTGCTGTGGTGGCAATAGGACGCCACTGCACTCGATCTGGAACGTTCTTCGCGAGGGGGACTTTATATGCAGGAACGACAGGAAAACTCTTTATTTGAGCACTGATGGCTTTTCAAGATTCCGCATCTCGAGTCGCATCCTGTGGCTACTCAGCCTTAGCCGTGCGACCCTCTAAACGCTCACTGAGTTAACTTGGGTCCAACGGTCTCATGGCAGGTAAGGATTGTCACTGAGCCCCTAGATGATCGCCGAACACTTGGTCGTTCTATGACTTTGCAGCAGTACATGTTGATGAACCATCCCTAACTATCAGACTCTGCAGAGAACAACCACTCTCGTTAACATCCCAGCTTATTGTCGCAACTACATACTCTCGTTCATACCTGTACCGCTCACATCTCGTATATTCTTTCCGGCAAATTTGATCATTTTTGTTGATCAAGAATATTGTACGCTAATGTCCTCACCTCGATCCTACTATGCCTTGGTTTCTAACCTCTGTATACCAGTGCCAAGCTTGGACGAACACTACTGTCGATTGTAGTCCCTTGGAGTATGGTACTTTTCAATCAATGCCGACATTGCTGGCCGAGGGGTAGGTGTACCAACCCACCTTTTGACACATCCCAACATCATCCAAGGTTGTTCTGTCCTTCGCTATTGGACTGATGCTAACCGTGATCGTCGGCATCGTCGACCTCAGTGTACAAGCCGCAGAATATACTGGTGTCAATGTGGAGGGAAAAAGTAAGCTTTTCAACCAGGGCCGTTGTCTCTTACTAGCATGTCGATTCAAGGTCAGAACACCAGAGGAAGGGCATCCTCGATACTTTCCTCATCGGTCTCAGCGACATACAAGCCATCACCGGTCTCGCTCTACTCATCGTCACGTAGTTCTGTACTACATGTACTATCTCGGCATACCACTATGATCTCGTCTGCGAGATGGTGTTGATGTCTCTAATCGTCCATTTCTGCACAATGACCATCATTGAACACTACTTCAATGTCCGGTATCTGGCCATTATATGCACAAGCCTCGTCACGGTGAACTTCATCCTCGGTATCGCATTGTTGGTCCACAACCAATACATCATCCATCCTAGGGTCCTCTCTAGTATTGCCAGCAGTCTGCTTCATTATTGTCTTATATTCCGGTTTTTACCCTACATTCTATTTCAAAAATAATACTTAATCTTTTTTCCGAGTCAAAACTATGACCTGTCCAGTATTGTACAATCTGCCTCGCTTGCTTTGAGCAAACAACCTCTTTCCCTCCTGCTTCCCTACTCAGCAATAACCTCAACAACAACCTTCCCCACCCCACCCTTCCCTTTCATCACCCTCCCACACTCCTCCCTAATCCCCACCAAATCCCTAAACTTCAACACCTTCCCCACAACCGGTCTAATCTTGTGCTCTTCTACCCACGTCCTAACTCTCTCCAACTCGCTCCCATTAGCTTTCATCAATACACTATCATAGTTAACACCTGATCTGCCAACCCACCATCTGGTGAGATTATCTATAAGATCGAGAAGTTTCTCAATGAAGCGATTGATTGCTGAGCTGATATTCTTGAGATTCCGGCCTGACGGTGGTGATGGACCAGCGCAGGTTATTATCATGCCGCCTGGTTTGACGAGCGGGAGCTGTGATTTGGTCAGCAAGAAATGATATTGATGGACGGCAAAGTACCGTGGAGAACATAGAACCAATAGTATCGATCAAGACATCTACCGACTTAAGCGGTACCGCCTTCTTCAGATCCGTTTTCGTATAATCAACAACTAGGTAGGTAGTCTCCAATCAGCGATCTCTTCAAAATGCGCGAAAGATTTCAGATAACTCACCCTCATCCACAACACCCTCGCCTACCAACCCATCTACCAAACCTACCTTCCTCGTCGACACACTCGTACACACCCTCTGCGCCCCATAAACATTCTTCGCCATCTGCACAGCAACCGAACCCACACCACTAACTACCTCCTCACACTCATCAGCTCCCTTCTCCCAAACTTTAAAAAAGAGAAGAGAAAACTCACGACCCGCAGTAACCCAAACAGCCTTCCCCTCCACACCCCCGGGGATCCTCTCAAACATCTGCACGGCCGTCAAACACACCAACGGCAAGCTCGCCGCTTGCACAAAGGTTAAATTCCGCGGTTTGAGAACCACTAGATCCTCAGTACTCTTCGCGTACTCGGATATTGAGCCGTTGCCGAATCCTTCTATTGACTGTTAGTATAAGTCGGATGGAAAGGGGAGAGAGGGAGGGAGGGACCAGCAGTCTTAAAAGCTAGACAGCAAAACACTTCATCGCCAATTTTAAATTTCGTAACTGACGCCCCGACGGCGGATATTGTGCCCGCGAGGTCGTAGCCGATTTTGAAGGGAAGACTTGACTTTGTTTCAGCCTTTTCATCTTCTGGTTTGTAAGAGACAGGAAATATAAAGGACTTACGGAACATTAAAAGCTGGCCAATACCGGCCCTGAGCGCCCCCGATGTCTGTTGGGTTGATGGCTGCGGCGTGGACTTTGATTAGGACTTCGTCGTCTCGTGTGAGGTTTGGGGTGGGGAGGGGGAGGAATTGCCATTTTGAGGGGGGGCCGAAGGAGGGGGTGCAGAGGGAGAGCATTGTTTCTGGGGGAGGAGACATTTTTGGAGATGATTGTTTGAGAGATTTGGAGATTTAGTAATTTTATATGCGTGAAAACATCGTGAGTGAATGTGGGGAGAGGAAAGAAGGGACGTGTGGGATGTTGTTTCGGAATTGTCGTCGGGGGAATGTTTGGCCGAGTTTGGATGTGGGAGAATATGGAAAGAGAGAACTTTGAGAATCAAGAACAATTAGAAAGGAGCTGGAAACTCTGGTAGGAAATTGCAAGATTTATGGTGAATGACGAAATTATCAAGCGGGGACAATTAAAAAGATTGTGAATATATTGCAGCTTGCAATCCAGCAACTGAACAGCAGTGGTATTTCTAGCTACAACTGTCTATGAAAATCTATCTATCCTCTATACATAATCTTTCACATCTACAACTGAGCCGTGAACTCCTTGCTAAATGGCCAATCAATATACCCATGCTTCTCTCCCTTGTTGTAAAACAAATTTCTATCATAAGGCGTGAACTCGATGTTGTTCTTTATCCTGTAAACCAGATCCGGATTCGCAATGAAGTGTCGTCCAAACACAATCGCAATATCTTTCCCCTTGTATTCCTCATCTGCTGCCGTCTTCGCAGAAGCTGCTGTGAAGCCACCAGCGATCAAGACCGGACTCTGATTATCCCAAACATCGATCAGGAAATCAACCTTCTCCGTAGACTCAACCTCCGCATTGCCTTCAATCCTCGATTCCACAACGTGGATATATGCCAACTTCAACTTCTTCAATTCAGAAGCATAGTACGAGAATTGAGGTACGGGGTCCTTCATCCCCATTCCTTGGAAGGACGAATAAGGACTCATCCTGATACCAGTCTTCTCTGCACCCACAGCCTCAACGACCGCCTTTGTAACCTCCAATCCGAACCGGGCTCTATTCTCGATGCTCCCTCCGTACGAATCGGTTCTCTGGTTCGACACATCTTGCAGGAATTGATCAATCAGGTATCCGTTCGCGCCATGGACCTCCACACCATCGAAACCAGCAGCAATAGCGTTCTTGGCTGCTTGTGCGTACAGACCAACGTATTCCTTGATCTCCGTCTCGGTTAACGGTGTAGGTTTGGCTCCGCCTTCGAATGGGATATCGGATGCGCTCTTGACTTCATATTTATCTCCAAACTCTTTCTTGAGTTGCTTGGGATTCGATGCTCGGCCCAGCGCCCAAAGCTGGAGGAAGATAAAGGAGTGCTTTTCGTGTACGGCGGCTGTGACTTTCTTCCATCCTTCGATTTGTGCTTGAGACCATATTCCTGGCGCGTTGCCGTATCCGCTTGCTTGGGGAGCGATGAAGGTGGCTTCGGTGATAAGAAGTGTACCTGGCGATGAAGCTCGTTGGGCGTAATATTCTGGGACGAAGGAGAGAGGGACGTGGTTGTCGTCTGCGCGGAATCGAGTAAGGGGTGCCAGAACGAGGCGGTTCTGCAACTGAAGATTGCCTAGCTTCAAGGGCTTGAAGAGAGTGGAGGACATGATTGCTTTGATTGGGGTAGTGGACTGCTGTTAATTGGGTACCTAGCAGAACAACTGAAGAAACTGAATAGGATGTAGAGAAGGAATTGACTTGTAGAGTGAATGAGGGGTTCTGGAGGAGGGGCAAAGGTGTTTTATATATTCCTCACTTTTCTGCATGGGGTTCCTAGCCACTCCGGCACTGCATTGCATTGCGTGCGCAAGGCACGACTTCCTGCCTTGATTGCTAAGCGGCTTCGGACATCCAACATTATGGATCAATCTCTGGCAGAGTGTCCACTCACAGCTGTTCTGGATATCCTCGGAATGTCTCGTCGTCGTCGTCCTTGGAAGTATTATTAATCAAACTTTTGTGGGAGTACCGTGTATGACGTTGATGTGACCCTAGCAAGTGATTTTTGCGAGCTTTGCTCTCTTCGCAGAAAGGTCGGGAAGTGCACGGCTATTGCGGAAATAAACGGCCGCTGCTGGTTCAAGCCAATCGATGACATGACATTTGTCCTTTCTGAGAATAACTGCTCTCCATGTCAGCACTCTATATTGACCTGCTTCGAAACTGGGCCAATTCCGAATTTCAGTTCCAAGTGTTGATATGCTCGAATACTAATCTGGCCGAGTGCAATCAATGGAGTACACAACCTTCATCGCATATATTGACCAAGCACGTTCCAGGACGTCTGACCAGCTGTGACCTTCCATTTCCATATGCTCCATGGCTGATTATGTTGGTCATGATTCGTGAGACTGACAAATGGTATATGGTGTGAGGGAATTGTGTTGGACTGCCTGCGGCGAAGCAATGCCAGTATTCGTCGCACAGTCTCTGCAGGAAGTTTACCCAGCTTCATTCATCAATACCTGAATTGAAGCCAATATCGGCCGACATTTCAAAGAGGTTGAGTATCTTTTGGAGGAAAGAGATGTCGGCCGAGAATTAAAGAAAGCTTGTTTCTTAAATTTCATGTAAGCCGGAGATCAAGTCCAGGACACGTGAATTATCTCACATTTTCCTTAAGCTTCTGTTTCGACGATCAAGGGACTAGGTAGTGGGCGAAGAGTCTTGAATTGGAGTGCTCTTCACATCCAACTTGAACTTACCGCAGATATACTTTCAGGTACTTGAGATGCAGAAAGGGGCAAGGGCAGCGAAGCTATGATTAGCGAGACCAATCACAGCACGAATCGTATAACTAACCAAGAAGGATCAAACTTCACCTGGAATCTCTCACTTCATCGTTTTCTAACCTCCCATATCTCGTCATCATTTCCCTTCTTGTCACTCTCTTGGACTCACTCTGAAGAACCACAGTCCCTCTCCGCTTCACAGAACCATCTCTTCATTACCACATCGAACCAAAAACGTGTTCTTCAGCCTCATCCAACACCTGACATGGCCCATTAACCCACCATCTACCCCGGATTCTCCCCACCTCCACTATGGCACTCATCTCCCGCTCCTTCAGACGCAGATACATCCGGCCCCGCGCCATCCTCCTAACCCTCACTCTCCTCTTCCTCTTCGACGCTTACCTCATAACCTCCTTCCGGCCCCCTCCCACCCGCTCCACCACCCTACCCTCTCATCTCAAAGACAAGAAAATCTTCATCGCGTCCATCCACCGGAATTCGGAGTACATGCTTCGCCTCTACTGGAACTCTGCTCTACTAAGACTATGCGAGCATCTGGGGCCCAAGAATGTCTATGTGTCGATCTTGGAGAGTGGCAGTTTGGAGGATACGAAAGGTGCGTTGAGGGATTTGATGGGGAAATTAAATGAGATGGGGGTCCAGAACCGAATTGAGTTGGGGATGGATGTTAAAGAGCAGGTTGCTATGCTGAAAGAAGTGCCCGAAGATCCGGATGCGAGGCAGGGTTGGATTTTCACGGGGAGAGGACAGAGGGGATGGGAGGTGAGGAGAATTGCGTATCTGGCGGAGCTCAGGAATAGGGCTATGGAACCGCTTGAGATGATGGAGAAGGAAATGAAGTTTGATACCATTCTTTGGATCAACGATGTTGTTTTCACCGTGAGTCACGTGTCTTGACATTCGGCCTCCGAAGGATGCTGATGACGGGTAGTCCGAAGATGTTACGACGTTGCTAGCTACGAGGGATGGCGATTATGCTGCGGCTTGTGCATTAGACTTCTCGGGCAACGCCGAGATGTAGTAAGTCCCCCTTTATCATACATACCAAGGATCTCGCTAATTCCTCCCAGCTACGACACCTTTGCCCTGCGCGATTCCTCAGGCTTGAAATCCGCCACTGGTACATGGCCTTATTTCAGTTCCCATCGCTCTCTCCGAGCCCTTCAATCCTTGGTGCCGATCCCGGTCCAATCCTGCTGGAATGGGTACGTCAAATGATGCCCCTATTTGCAATCATCCTAGGTGTCAAGATCTTCGAGGTCATCATCTCAAAGAAGATGTTTCTCCGCTTCTAAATCTCTGTCAAAAATGTATATACTGATTTGTCTATAGTCTAATCGCCCTAGACGCCACCCCGTTCTACACCTCACCCATCGCTTCCTCCGCGGCCTCCCCGCCCAAATCAGCACTCAAATTCCGCGCCTTACCAGACAGCTTAGCGAAATCCCACCTCGAGGCTTCGGAGTGCTGTTTAATCCACGCTGACAACCCTTTACGGGACACTAAAGGCGTATTCCTGAATCCCAATGTGAGGGTTTCGTACAACGCTAGCACGTACTCTAAGGTCAATTGGGGCGTAGAGGTCCGGGCGGATATGATGGATATCGTAAATGGCGTGAAAGGCGGGGATGGGAGGCTGTGGCCGGGGAGTGCGGAGATGGTGAGGGGGTTGTGGAGGAATAGGGCTGTGCGGTGGATGGGATGGGTGAAGGTTTGGAGTGAGAAGAGGGTTGTGGAGAGGAGGGTCAGGAAGTGGATTTCGCAGGGGAAGAAGGCGACGGTTATGGAGAAGAGGAGTGATGTAGGGATTGAGTGTATGGTGAATGAGATGCAGGTTTTGTATGAGAGTGGGTGGCAGCATGTTTGAGGGGTGGGGTTGAGGAAAAGTGAGCATTGCATGGCTGGGAGGGAAAAGGAGTTTGTTGTTGTCTCCTTGAGAGACTTTACTATATTGACATGTACAACTCTGTAGTGATAACCGAAACTTCGATTTCGATGAGTAGCCTTGGGAGTGATATACTAGTTGCGGGAAGCTCAATTCATTTCCAAGCAACCACAAGTCAGACTCTAACACCACTCATCCATCTCTGAAGGCGCTTCTCAAAACTCTCATCCCATCTACACTTACACAATCCTTAGCCTTACCTACCCAAACAGATCCAATCATCCAACAACAATAAAAGCATTAGAACAACAGCCATCCCCAACCCCTCAAGCCCAAGCTCCAAGTCCCCAAGACATCAAACCTGAGACAAAAAAGAACTTTTCCAGAAGAAGTGGCATGACATCCGCCCTGACATGCCATCCATTCATACAATGCAGGTGAAGTGGACGCTCGGAAAAACATGGCGTGATATCCACCACTACCTGCAGCTTTGTATCGTTTTCTAGCAGAACTAAGAACTTTCCCCTCGTTCTCTTTCTCACTTCACTGTGGAAGGAAATATGAGATGATACGGAGGAGTGGTACATAATTCAGTTGACGTCGACTTAAACACCAAACTAACTCCACATCACTCCCTGTTCAGATACCTCTCTCAACATACATCATCTATCCACAACCCTCAACAACAACAACCGGCTCCCGTACCCCGGGATTCGCAACGAAAAAGAAATCCAGACGAGAACAGTAGAAGCAAAAGCAGTGGAATGAAACACCACATCCATCCTCCCTATTTGCAGGCGTGATCTTGTACCAAGATTCGCTCGCTCGTCGGTCAAAGATCATGTATGTACGTACCCTCCCGAGTATATGCATGCCATCTCCCGAGAACGGATCGATCGATGGGTGGATGATGGAAGGGTCCCGGGAATCGGGTCGGAGGGGAGTTTTCTAGTTTTGCATTCCGTGGAGATGTGGAGGGTTTGGGTACGAGATACGGGTGTTGAAAAGATGAAAGTGGAGTGGAGTGGAAGAAAGAGACCTGGCTAAGCCATCCATCACGCGGGGAGGGATAGAGAACATGCAGTCGATCGTGCTTTGTTTGCATAAATAATGTTTCTGCCTGACGACTCCATAGCAAAGCTCCATGGTGGAGGGAGGTCTGTGGGTTGTAAGACGTGCAGAGGGCGTGTGGGGAGCGCAAGGATCACTCGATTCTGCCTCGGGGTAAAGTTAAGCTTAAGCTTTGACGAAGGAAGCCTGCTGTGGCAGAGCATTCATTTTCCAGCTGGGAGGGAAACTAGAGGCGGGGACGAGAGCCAAGAGTAGATGCGCTACTTGCAGCATCTGGTACAGCTTCTCCGATCACGGCCTCAAAAGTTGTCGAACCGCATATACTTTAACAAAGTACTCTACTGTACCGTACATGCAATAGAGTAAAGATCAAAAGTGGCATGGCGGTGCAACGTGGTATCAGGGACCAGCCAGCCAGCCGGTTTGCAAATAAACCCATTTACCGGCTGTAACAGAGGCGTCGGTCCCTGATGTCGTGATCGATATACACACAGACGGACGGGACAGCGAGAAATTTTGTGTTTGCATTGATGAGCTGGAAGTCGTGTGCTAAGGTTATTCTGGCAACAATTTTGTTTGGAAGCAGAACAGACATAGAGTTGTATTCAGCCTCAACCTGCCACCCATGGAGCAAGTAAGAGCAAGAAGAATCCCTGATGTGGGGCTTTCCAACCCGTCCTTTGGAACCCAGACACACTCTCTGCTCCTCGTGAGATAAATTGCACCTTCCTCCCCTTTAGCCTGTACCTTCCGACAGACATGTGGCATAAATGAATGAATGAATGATTAACAAGCGGAGATCATCAACGCATTGAAGAAAAAGAGAGACAGGAAGAAAGACCCGGAGTCTGCCTGCCGCTAATGACGTGCATGCATCCTCGCATTCATTTCATTCATTCGCCGGGATGGAGTGAGTGGTTGGTTGGTTGGTTGGTTACCTCTGCTCCCTCCCGTCGTGAAGAGATATAGAGTTGCACGTTCAGGTACCAGACGGGAAATCAAAATCTTGTGCTCATGAACCAGAAACGAAGAACGAGGTACGAAGGAAGTAGGATACGGAAACGCCATTCTTCCATCCATCCATCTCTCCGTTCGATCGTTTCTCCTCAACAAAAAAGAATTTACAGGAGAATCCTTGGATGATGCAAGAGAAAAATGACTGATTGGTACTGTAGAACGTTCAAATTTGAATCGCGGCCAATGAAATAATTTCGTGTTACCATCCCATCCCATCGATCCCCTTAATTCCAAGACGGACCGACTTTCTGGAATGAACTGCTCTGCTCTCGTCCAACAGTCCATTGTACGTGCCATCCGATTGAAATGCAGTTTACGAGCTACCCAATCCAATCAAGTCCAAACTCCTCCATTGAGCCTCCTCCTCCTACTTACCTTAAAGCTTCGCACGTCGTTCGCACATGGCTGCCCCCTCCCCTCCCCTCCCCTCCCCATATTACTTCTTCCCACCAGCGAGCGGCTCAGGATAATGATAAAAAATATAAAAAAAGAAGAGTGATCATCCCCACGATTACCGGATCCAGACCTGCATGCACATATGCTGATGGAAAAAGAAAGTGACAGTCGAGGATGGGATAGGATGGGTTGAAAGTTAGCGCACGAACGCACCGATCGATCCGCGATCTGGAAACTCAACTCAATTCCCAGACAAAGAAAAGATTGGCTGGGCTGGGCTGGGCTGGCAAGTGACACGCTGTAGCGCGCGGACGCCACTGCTAGCACCAGGACGAACCGTCGCTCCGTGCCGAGTGGATGGGAGGCTTTCCTTGTTTCTTGCTGGTAGGGACGGAAAGCTGGCGGGTGAGATGCACTACGGTAGAGTTATCTAGATCTCGATTGTGGTGGTGGTGGTGGTGGTGGTGGTGGTTATTTTAAGCTTCTGGTTCAGGACGGTTCAACGACCGGCCATGGTAGGTAGGAAAAGAAATACACGCAGTGCCGTTCATAACCAGCACCAGCACCACTACTACCCTCACCAATGATGCCATATCCCTCGTACAGTAGTGATTGGATTGGGGTCTGTCTGGGTTCCAGCCCAGCGGTAGCCAACGAGCCTGGAGCGTGAAGTAGATCTCGAGCACCACCTATCCTATCAGGAACGATGATTCGTTTATCGGATTTGTGTTCATTATTCTTAGGATGAAGGAAGTATGTAATATGTGCACATCTTATCTATCGAAGCAAGCTACCCACCAGCCTACCTTATGTTGCGACGATTTATTCATGCGGTGGTGGTGCGAAACGGGGATCGATTGCTCGTGCTTCCGCGTTGGTTTTTGATGTTCCTGGATTGAAATGCCTGGCTGGTACTGACCTTCTGGAAGCGGAAAGGTAAGGTACTGCTTGCACCTTCGTGAACGTGATAATAGAGGGGAGAGCTACTGCAACTGTAGATCCTAACCTCGAAAGCCAAAAGTTAACGTTAGACACCGAGATCCCCGATCGATGTGACAGGTCAATCGAACAGTTAGTCGTCGCACGCACGTTCGTTCGTTCGTTCGTTCATCCACCACGAACACGTTTCTGGCCCGTGGCTTTATTCATTCATTGGAACAAACGAACGAACGGGCGAACGAACTATGTATCTGCAAGGGCCGGGAGCAGAGCAGCGTGAAGGATGGGATGGGATGGGATGGGATGGGGTGGATGTTGGAGCGGTTAAGGCTGGGCAATCAGATATGAGCGGGATGTAACAGTAGGTAGGCAGACTTTGGATCTGATTGATTGATGCATTGCTTGAAGGATGCATTCCAGCATCTTGAAGAAAATAAGAAGAGAAGATATCGGCTATTCTGACCGTAAAGGACCGTGAGTGAGTGTGTGAAGCTATATCCAAGAGAGCAGTTCGGAACAAGTAGCTTCTATCTAGCTATCTATCTATCTGTCAGATCCAGGATTGGATTGCTTTTACAGTAAGTACCATGAATGCCAGATCCAGAATTAAACGTGGATGTGGAATCCGCTGGCTCGCTCGCTCAAGCGCCAGTCGGCAGACGTGCAGCGGTACAGTACTCTCTACAAGGACCTCACCTTACAAGGACAGGGACAAGTCAGCTCATCTCGTCGCCATCTCGGTGATTTGCAGTCATCCAAATAATGGGTCCGTCCGAATAAATCCCATACCTTTCTACTGAGCCTGAATGGCCTTCCTTACCAGCGATCCAGTCGCTTGGAATCACATCGCACGTTTATGGGTTATTATAGACAGGCCTACAACGCGATATAGGGCCCGGTTTAGGTATCGCCGGTACAGGATGAGAAGATGTTGCGAGCGAGAATAGACTAGGGGGATGTGGATTGGGGGCTATATTCCACTTCAACCCCAACCCAACTCCAAATGCCATGCGCGGGCGAACAGGGTGATGGAAAGGAAGGTAAGCTTCTTCTGAAACAACAAACGAATGTCCGTGGTGGGCGGGCCGAATATGGCTGCAAGCACGATCCCTCGATCGTTTTTAGAGTTGCTTTTGATGGTTTCCGTAAAGAGGGCGCGGAACGGATCATTGGACGGAACGGAGCAATGGTAATCGGCTGCCAGGTACAGTACCACAATGTACTGCAGTGGATGGAAAGGAAACATGCCAGATGCTGTGCTGTAGCTGTTCTGTGGCACTGATCGGATGGAATAGAGTTGTATGACCCGCGACTGAATGGAAACAGCCGTTGAGTTGGGGGAAACGAAGGAAGTGGAAGGACGTTGTATTACAGTATGGTCTAGTGTTGTGCTACCGTACCGTTCTCTCATCTGTCTGCCCCCCGAGTGCTCGTGCCGAGGTCGACGTCGGTCTTGGGGAGAATGTTGGATTTAGTTAGATAGGAGATTGGTTTTTCCCGGTCTATTGTTCCGTGTACACTTTGATGGATAGTGCCTAAGTACAATCTAGATCTAGTTTGGGGATATGCGTATTACAGCTAGAGACAATTAGAGACTGCAGACGTTCAACGGTCCGAGCCCGGGGGACGCATACACATGACAATCCAGGGGTTCATTTTACATTACAAGAGCTGCAGTGTTGTGGTTGTGCAGCATGAAGGGTTTTCTCTCTACGTATGTAGGTTGGCGAGACACTGCAGCGGAAAGGAAAGGAAAGGAAAGGAAAGGGACAGGGAAGGGAATGGAATGGAAGGCTCGACACATGATTGATTGATCTAGAATGGTGACAATGGGTTCTGTGTAATGGCACTGTAGCGTGACGGATGCTCGAGTCACGTACAGGTAACTTGACTGTCGCACCAATATCCAGTGATGTCTCTCCTTCTTTCTGTCTAGAATAGGGAAAACGGATGGATCATGGATTGGGGGTTTGATGGACCTGGACTTGAGAGTTGCACATGTGGGAGATCGATGCATTCATTTTCCGCATATGCATGTCGTTCTCCAGCAGCAGCAGCAGCAGCAGCAGCAGCAGCGGCAGCACAAGAAAGAGTTTCTTCTGAATAAGGTCTCCTATCACATAAGAGTCCAGTACGGTACAGGCCTGCCATGCCCGGAAAGAGGCACACACGGGGAGTTTTTCTGTCGATTTCGCGGGGCCGCGCTTGGATTCTGATAGAAGGGGAAGGGTCGCCGAGGAGCCCCATGTCCATCATTCATCGTTCAAATGTTACAGTAGGGTGAGAATCTATTCCACGCACAGGCATTTTAGAGCCCGGAAAGCCAGGACTCGACTCAGCCAGTGGCAGAGATGAAGTCAAATCGAGTCAAGTCCAGTCGGGGCAATTATTATTATTATTATTATTAAAGCAAGTCATGATGTTGAGGAGTACTAAGCGGCTTTGAGGCAAGAAGACGCCCCCATCCGGGTTTGAAGCCATATGGCTCGAGTGGTCGCCAGTGCGAGACAGGCTGGGATGATGCTGGGCTGCAGCCGCTGCCCGTCAAGGATATGATATGCTCTCCAGGATATGGAACAGGGGAGGGGCCACAGGGCAAGGACAAGGAAGGACAACGACCAGGACCAGGACGAGGATGAGGACAAGGACCTGGTTTGACTGCGAGTATTGCACCAGCACCCGTTGTTGCTTTTCCGTCTGCTCTGCGTGTTGCGTGCGTCTAACCATCCATCCATCCATCGACGAGTAATCCATGCTCTCTCTCTCTCTCTGTCTCCGAATCTCCATCCATCTCTGTGCTCCTCTCTCCTCTCCTCCCAAACCACCAGTTCGTTCATCCCGGTCCAACCTTGACCTTGCCTTGCCTTGCCTAGGTAATTAGTCTTGGTTGGAGCCTTTCGCCTTCTCCCGTTCCCACGCACCGCAATCCTTACCCTGCCCATCATCGCCATCGCCATCGCCCGCAACCAACCTGCGCGCTCTCTCTCTCTCTCTCCTCGAGGCACTGCACTCTCCCTCGCTATCCTTGTCCTACACATCCTGGCAGCATCGTGCGTCGCTCACCCACTTTTTCTTTCCACACATGCGGCAGGCCTTCTTGCTCGTGCACCGTGGGCGTGCGAGACCTGACTTTCCACCTGCCTTGTACTGCACTTGCACTGCACTGCACCACTGGTACTGGCCCTGACGTTGAACTTGATTCTTGCCTCTTGACGGATGGATTGACTGCACTGACCACACTGCTCTGCTCTGCACTGCACTCACTTTCTTACCTACCTGCTCGAACTGAATTGGGGGCTTGATCTCCTCTCGCCTGGCTGGGCTGTCTATCCGTCCTCCTCCTCCTCCTCGCACCCCCCCCCCCCCCCCCCCCCCCCCCCCCCCCCCCCCCCCCTGGCAGAGACACAACCCACACTCACTGGCCGCTACGCCCAAAAGATCATCCCCGTCCATGTCCTCGATGGGCGACAGCGACAGGATCGCACCGCAACCACGTTCCGTTCTACTTAAACTTCTTCGTTGTCTCTTCCGCGCCTGGTACTCGCCGAGTCCAGTCGCTCGCTCGCTGTGCCATCGACGTCTGAACGTTCGTCGTCTTCGACCTGCCTGCTTTGATCATCATCATCCTGTTGCTGAGTCTGACTTCAACGTACATCGCCACGGTGCCGGGCCCTCTTTCATCATCCCCACACTCAACTCGACTCTCCATCTGTCTGTCGCCTCCACCTCGGACATATTTTATTTATATTTATATCTATCCTTTCCACTTCCACAGACCATCCCATCATCATCCCCAGCAACCAGACGGGCCCATCGCGATTCTTACCTACAGTACAGAACGACGGACGGATCTTGTCAATCGGGGGGCGTGCCAGATCCGCCAATCACAAATCTTTCCCTCGCCCTGGTCGCCTTTTTAGTGCTCCACCCAACTCGACCACGACCATCCCCAATCGCACTAGATAAAATCGCAGGTCCCTTCCCTCCTCCACCACCGCCTGAACTTGAACCTCACCCTGAACCGCACATCCAGAGAGGACGATCTTCCGCATCTCGATCAGTGATATCCGTCGCTGGCCGTGGCTGCGTCTGCTCGCGTCATTCGTCGTCAATTGCAATCCCGTCGTTATCGTCGCTTTGGTTCCGTCCATTCTCTGTCCTGGCCTCGGCCTCTGCAGGCCTCACTCCTTCCGCTGCACTCCTGCTGTCTCAATTGGGAAAAGTAAATCACAATGGCTGCGTCACAGGTATCACAGAAGCTCCCTGCCGGCTTGGCTGGAGTGTTGAACAAGCCCGAGGACCATCGCGATTCTGCATACTATTCCGCCAAAGATACTGCGAGCAAGCGTGAGGCTCGACCCATCCCGTCACTTGAACAACGCTGACAACTCTGCAGACAACTCGACGCAGTCAAGCAATGGCACTGCTGGAATTGATTCTTGTCTCTCTCGTACCGACTCTTCTTCAGTGGCAGACATGACTCCTTCACCTATCTCGACCGGACCCAGCACACAGCCGCTCAACTCGCCTGCGTCTGGAGCCATGAGTGTTGCCTCGATTGTGTCACCCACTTCATACGGCTTTGCTCATCCCTTCTACGAGGGGAACAATAGCCTCAATGGAACGAATGGAGACTCGAGACGGGAGTCGGTGGATAGCAGATTGGGTGCCAACTTCGGCGACATGAGACTTGCGAACTCTCCTTACGCCAGTGCCAATCCTTCAACGACGTCGTTGCAGAGTACTCTGGCCCAACAACGCAATCCAGGATCTGCACATCCAGATCGTAACTCGGGGCCCTTTCGCCTCTCAAGCGGTTATCAACCAAACTATCAGCGTGTTCCAGACGGTCCCAGCATGACTTCCCGTACGGCACCTTTGATCACTGGACCCGCTCTTGGTGCCATTGCTCGTGCACCTGAGCCTACCAAAGGTCAAGCTTGGGCTTTCCCTGAAGAGGAAGTGCAAAGACTTCCGTCGGCTGCGAGACCGAGCGATGATACGAATCGTCATGGGACATCATTCTATGATGACTCGAGGCGCAACTCTTACGCGGACTCCATCGCAAGCAGCCAGTATACAACCGAATCTCGATTGCCTCCTGGACAACGACGTTTGGAAGACGGCGTGCCTTCTGACTATCACAGAGCCTCGTCGGAATACCAAGTGAGCACACATCATCACAGTCTTCAACATCGACAGATCTCTGAACTTCAGAACGATGATGGCTCGCCTACCAACTCCCAGCCTTATTCGCGAACTCCTGAGTTGCGAGTCTCGCACAAGCTTGCTGAGAGAAAGCGTCGACTGGAAATGAAAGATTTGTTTGACACATTGAGAACATTGCAAAGTGTTGAACGAGGTGCCAAAGCTTCGAAGTGGGAAATTCTTTCTAAAGGTAAGGAAATCCTCAATTGATATTGATATAAGTGAATGTGCTAATTTGGTAGCTATCTCCGAACACGAACGTCAAACGAAGATCATCGACGATCAAAAGAAGCAGATCCAGCGCCTGGAAGCTCACCTTGGACGAGTCGAGCATGATCTCGACATCGCTCGACGCGAAGCCAATTCCGCCCGACTGGAAAACGCTCAACTTCGGTCGGATGTTTCTGGACTCCAAGGCGGTGCTCCCGGATACCATGGTCCCGCACCACCCGTGCAGCACAGCCACGGGTATGCAATGCAACCTTCTGAACCCCAACAACAGTTACCACCGCTTCGAAATATCCCAGGTCCCGAGGTTATGAATGGGGTACAGTACCAACACGAGCAACGATCCAACGGATATCGTCCTGGGGACAGATTCTGATCCACGCCTTCACGCCTCGTCATGATGATCGATCCTTTTATATATCATGGCCAATGGCCAACCTATTTCTCCTATATATCCAAATTTCAGCTGTGCTTACAATGCACGTAACGCTCGAATATCGCGACCATGACATGCATTGGAACGACGATACAAGGCGCAGCTATCTTCCCTCAACGGCTGTCAGCAATCATTGCATGATGCAACGTCTCGAGCTGACTGACGATCTCACATCTTCCTGAATCGTTTGTGTTATTACTATTATTACCATTTATATTCCCTTTCTTGTGTTTGGAGTACATTAGTCCTGGTTGGGAACACCTTTTTACTTCGCTCAATACCCCACGGAGGTGACTCGGTCTGCCTCACATGGAGCCTGGTCCTTTTTTCCACCCTTTCCCATATGGATGAATTGTGTTATAAAAGTGCGGCGTTACGGGTTTAAGCATGGGAACGGCGTTGTGTGTTTTGTTTGAGCAGGGATGGATGGCTGGATGGATGGCTGGATGGGGAAACTCGATTGGGGTGTTCAAACCAACAACAAAAAAAGGTGGCGGAGATACCTGGCTGATAGGCAGGCGTTGTTACAATACCCGATAGGTCTCTGACAGATAGCACGTGCGAGTAGCTATCGTTTTGGAGATGGATGGGATCATAATGGTGCTGAGCTGGATGGATGATGAAATATGCTTAGTAGGAAAGTTATGGGTGTCAAGAGCTACCTAGGGAAATATATCATAGACTAGGATTGAGGAATGAATGAGAGATGATTGAGTATTCTTATTGCAAATTCTGCTTCTACGATTCGAATGGTATTTCTGGTGAATTTCTGAAGAGAAGGCTGCGGTCGAGTACAGAGAGACTTTGAGGTTGTGAGGTGGACACTACCCCTGAATTTCAAGGATAATACAGTTTCAACCTTACAGGTATAGGCTGTGGAGGAGAGAAAGTCGATTCGGGACTTCATGAAATCTCAATCATGAAGAACACGACGACTGTCTTTTCTTTCCTTACCATCCTTGTACTTTCTATGAAAAAGAACAGTAAAAGGAGTTCCGTCGCCTGAGAAATCGCCCAAATGGGCACTAGCGTCGAAGCTTCCACGCTAGTCGACCTCGTCGCGAAAACTTTCGAAAAATAATTTTTGGTAGACATCATCATCACTCTTTGTACCTTTCCATACAATCTCCGAATCAATCCATTCACTCCTTTCTCCAATCATGTAAGTATTCCTTCTTCTTCTCTTCAATCCATTGTTCGTAAGCTGATTGGGATTGAATCAAGGCATCTCATCCGTCGTGCCGCCGTTCGAGCTGCGGCTTCAAGATCCAGCATCTCATCATCGAGAACGATCAACACCGCTTCCCCCTTCCTGCTGCGATCCAAGACCCAATCTCCAATTGCCTCCTCAGTCTTCCGTCGTTTCAAGAGCGATGAGCAGCAGAAATCCCAAGTCGAGTCTGCGGACGGCGAGTCGGGATCCGTGAAGTCTGCTATTGAATCTGCATCAACGTACGCCAGCGAGGTTGCCGAATCGGTCACAGAGTCAGCGCAGAATGTCGCAGAAGCGGCGGGCTTTGCTCCTAGAGAGCGTAGAGAGGAGAGAAGTGGCTTCGAGGATCGTAGAGGTGGTGGGCGGTTTGATGCTGATCGACCGTCGCCGCCGCCGACGAATGGGATTTATGTGGGCAACTTGCTGTTTGATGTCACGGCTGCGGATCTGGAGAGGGAGTTTGCGTCGTTTGGTACCATTACTAATGCCACTGTTGCTTCGGATGCGAGAGGACTGAGTAAGGGGTATGAACTATTTTTCTTTTCTTCTTCTGTAAGGAGAGACGGGGACTAATTTTGGGGATATAGATTTGGATACGTCGAATTCGAAACCCAAGAATCGGCCGCTGCTGCTATTGAAGGAAAGCACCAAGCCCTCCTCGAAGGTCGTCGTCTGGTCGTCAATTACATGAAGAAGAACACCCGCGGCGAAGGTAGACCGGAACTGGAGCCCACGAAGACGCTGTTCATCGGTAACCTGGCCTTCGAAATGTCGGACGCGGATCTGAATAAGTTGTTCCGCGATATTCGAAACGTGTTTGATGTCCGCGTTGCTATTGACCGTCGTACGGGCCAGCCGAGAGGATTCGCGCATGCAGATTTCGTGGATGTCGAGAGTGCGATTAAGGGCAAGGAGGCGTTGATGGATAAGGAGGTTTATGGCCGCAAGTTGAGGATCGATTATAGTGCGGGCAGCAGAACTTCGGGAGGTGATGGGGCCCCCAGAGGTGATCGGGATGGAGGTCGGGGCGGTGGCCGCGGGGGATATGGAGGCGGTGATCGACGAGGAGGTGGAGGCTATGGAGGAGACCGACGAGGGGGCGATCGTGGCGGATATGGAGGCAACCGAGGAGGAGACCGCGGAGGAGACCGCTTCTAAACGACCACCAACGAACTCTGCAACTGACGGATTGAGGAAATGTGTACATCATGCAAGAGGTGTGCGATAGAACGGGCTGTACTAAAAGTGGAGGGAAGGAGGGCATCACATCACATCACGGCGGCCGTCTTTTTTTCTATACCTTGTCTTAAAGCCATACAAACCTGGTTTTCTCTCTACCTACTATAAAATAAGGGTTTATTACACTTTTAGGACAAGGCGTATAAGAGAAGAGAGATGAAATCCTGCTTGTAGAAACTCCTCTCTGTTGACGAATCTTTTTTTCCCTTGCGTATTCTGGTAGATATTCTTTTTGGTAGTGATAGAATAATATTTGTGTTCTCTGCCATTTCACTCTTTCCTCTTGACTTGATATGTGATAGGAAGCTTAAAGTAAGAAGGTAACCTTGAAAAGTTTGCAGCATGTGCTAGCGCAAGGCTGCCGAATCCCGGCCGTCGGCACCCACGCCCCCATACATCAGCGCCTCGGCTCAGCATTGCCAGACAGCTTTCTTCCGAGAAATCAACCCCACAACTTCAACCCCATCTTCTTCCTTTCTTTCGTTCTCGACAACAACAACAACAACACATCCGCCACCTCACACGACACGACGTCCTCCTTTTTCTTGTACATTACCTGCCTACCCATTTCATTCCCGCCCAGCGATCACTTGCACATAGAAACAAAAAGTTCCTCTGCATTTACGTCTCGCGATTGATTTCTAATACAACAACGATGTCATTCCTAGGAGGAGCAGAGTGCTCCACGGCCGGCAATCCGCTCAGCCAGTTCTCGAAACACGTCCAGGATGACAAGAGTCTGCAGCGGGATCGGCTGGTGGGACGGGGTCCTGGGCCGAGTTTGCAGGGCTTGAGGAGTAATGGGGGGATGGGATTTAGTGGGAGTCAAGATAATGTGAGTCTGAGTTTAGGGCAACCTGGACGGAAAGAAATTGCTAACGGGAATGCTGGTAGATGATGAATGAGTTTATGCAGCATAATGGCCAGATGCCCGAAGCGTTCGCCGTGCAGCACGATTTACACCAGATGCGCTCTGGATCCGCGTCCCCGGGCCTGAATGGCTGGGCACAGGAGTTCAATCCGGGTGGGGAGACGCAGGCCAGGATGGAAGCTGCGTTTGGGGCGCCGAAGGGGGCGGCGTTCAGTCCGGCGGATTTCGCCAAGTTTCAACAGATGAATCAGTCTTCTGCTGCGCGGACGGCGAGTCCTATGAATCGGCCGATTAATAATGGGATCTACCAGCCGCAGATGGGCATGGGCATGATGGGGATGGGCGGCATGGGGATGAATATGGGGATGATGAATAGACCGTATTCGAGTTTCCAGACGCCGCCGCCGCAGCAGCAGGAAGATAAAGGGAAGGGGAAGATGATCGAGTTGGATGATGAGCATTGGGAGGAGCAGTTCAAGCAGATCGATATGCAGGGGCAGGAGGTGGATGAGAGTCTCGCTGCGGAAGCAGAGCTCGATCAAATGGACAGGTCAGTCCTTGAATCCGAAACCAATGAGTTTGGTGATTTCGAGTCTATTTGGAGAGGCATACAAGCTGAGACTGCGGCTGCTAGGGAGATGGTCGCCGATGACAATATCGGGAATCACCTCGGTGACGACTTTGGTGAGTGGGATGGGTTCGATGGGTTGGGGACCCATAGTGCTCAGTTTAGGGATCCGCAGTTAGGTGATTATATGTTTGAGTCTGATAACTTGTTTAAGGATGTCAATAATCCGTTCGAGGAGGGAGTAAGGATCATGGACGAGGGAGGAAATCTCTCACTAGCAGCTTTAGCGTTTGAAGCTGCGGTACAGAAAGAGCCTCAACATCTGGAAGCTTGGGTTCGACTTGGCTCAGCGCAAGCCCAAAACGAAAAGGAAACCCCAGCAATAAGAGCCATGGCACAAGCCCTGAAAATCGACCCAAACAACCTCTCCGCCCTCATGGGTCTAGCAGTCAGCTACACAAACGAAGGCTACGACAGCACCGCCTACCGAACACTGGAGCGCTGGCTCTCAATCAAATACCCCAACATCGTCTCCCCCAGCGACCTCTCCTCCGAAGACGAAGTCGGCTTCACAGACCGCCACATCCTGCACGAAAAAGTCACAGACCTGTTCATCCGCGCGGCGCAACTGTCCCCCGACGGCGAACACATGGATCCTGACGTTCAGGTCGGGCTGGGCGTGCTGTTCTACGGCGCGGAGGAGTACGATAAAGCCGTTGACTGTTTCTCCGCCGCGCTCGCGAGCACGGAGCACGGGATCGTCAATCGGAGCGATCAGTTGCACCTCCTTTGGAATCGTCTCGGCGCCACGCTCGCCAACAGCGGCCGAAGCGAGGAAGCCATCGCGGCGTACGAGAAGGCGCTTACGACACGCCCTAATTTCGTTCGTGCCCGCTATAATCTAGGGGTATCGTGCATCAATATAGGTTGCTACGAGGAAGCGGCTTCTCATCTTCTTGGCGCGTTGGCGATGCATAAAGTGGTGGAGACGGAGGGCAGGGAGAAGGCGAGGGATATATTGGGCGGGAGCGGCGTCGAGGAGGCGGAGCTCGAGAGGATGATTAGTCAGAATCAGAGTACGAATTTGTATGATACGTTGAGGAGGGTTTTCAGTCAGATGGGACGGAGGGATTTGGCGGAGCGGGTGGTGGTTGGGATGGATGTTGAGGGGTTTAGGGGGGATTTTGAGTTTTAGGGGGGAGGGGAGGGAGGGGATGGGAAGGGGATGGCTGATAAAGGGAATGGGAAGAAAACAAGAAAAGTATGGCTATCTGGATCCACAGCAGTCTGTCTGACTTTTAGGTTCTTGGTGAGATGTGTGGCATGATGACAGATTTCCTAGTGGTGTCTGTGGGCAAAGTTGCCGTTTCTTTCTCCTTCACTACCACTGTATAGATATTTATTGCTGTCTTCTTTGGGGTTTGCGAGTATGTTTTAAGCTTCAATTATTCCATGAATTTTTCTTTGCTATTTCATATGGGTCCTCAACGTGCAGGAAGGACTTGGGATAGAAGTTACTTAGTGGTGATAATAAATACAGGGGTTTTGAGGCAAGTGCCCCCCCGGGAGGTGAGGACTAAATGATGAATGAGTAAGGCTCTAAACCCCCAAAAAAAAAAAACTTCATCTGTTCAAAAGATATGTTTCATTGTTTTTTTTCCCTTGTGCTGGAGTCGAATGTGAAGTTTTGAGACGATATGGATTTCTTGAAAATAGCTGAGAAGTTTCGAGCAGGGTATGTAAGTAGTTGTGGGGGGGGGGGGGGCTTGAGTAGCCCACGAAAGTAAATATATACTAAACAAGGTTCGTCGGCGGCGGAAATAGGAAGGTGAGAAAGAAGGAAATTGATGTGGTAACTGGAATTCCTAAAGTGTGTTTTTTGGGAAAAACGGTTGGGAATTTCACAATTGCATCAACGGACTGTGTGTGGTTGCAGAGAATGGGTATGCTTACCTTGCTCAACTGATTACAAGCGCGTGAAGTGTTGTGTTGGGAGGGGACTTTTGACGAGGTTGGGGGGTCTTTGTATTTTGGTAATCAGGTTGCGAGGAAGGGGAAGTTTTTTGAGAGAAGTCTTTTATAGGTACTGGGTACTGGCCTTTTTTTGCTTAATTCTTTTTCGAATTTGATCTGGTTATGTAACAAGAGTATTTCCTTATAACGTACCCTCACATCGAGCTTCTAAACACTTAGCACGGTATCAGGATCTTGAGTGTGGTTGCGCACTCTGTCAGACGAGATACTGAACGATGAGCATTCACAATATTCTCAAGTCACAAAGTCAAATCATAAAATCAAGTCGCTAAGTTCTCATCTCACTTAATTAATTATTATATCCTTCTCCCCATACAGTGTTCTCATCTATCATATACACATTCACATGCAATATACATACAAACCCCCTTTCCTCGTCTCTCCTATCTACAGCAGCGCAACCACCCCAGCAACAACAAACAACACCACACTTCCCCAGCTCCCCACCACACTCGCCGAACTGGTCGTAACCACACTCGGCGTCGCAGTCGGCGACAACGTAGCTTTCACCGTACTATTGCTCCCCGTCGAAGTCGGCACCGAGCTCACGATAGTAGCTGCACTGGTCGAGCACGGAATGACGGTCGTTCCAACCGAATACACCGTCGTGCTGGTCCGCGCAGGGCAGTTGGTCACGGTCGCGGCGCAGGAGGTGATGGTTTCTAGTTCCGTGGTGTAGATGATGGATGTCGTGTACGGCAGCGTCGCCGTCGTGCTTGATGAGGAAGCAATTGAGGACGCAGAAGACGAGGATGAAGACGAAGAGTTCGCACTCTGCGTATACATACTAACCCACCCGAACTCGCTGGCGCCGCCACAGGTATCCATCGCGTACCCGGGACAGGGGGTGTCGCACATGGAATCCAGGCTTCGATCTAGCGTCGGGAAGGGAGCGGTGCCGCAGTAACAGGTTCTATATCAATCAATCCATCAGCATCATCCCCAGAAAGAAAAGAAAGAAAGAAAGAAAAAATTGGGCAAGGGTAGGGTGGGTAAACGAACGTGTTGTCAATCCCGGCATAAGGCGTAGTGCACGTCTCGAGACAGAGACCGCTGGACATAAACGGCGAATCGAGCGTGTCGACGTAGCGCGGCGAGATGTTCTCCTCGAAGTGCGCGAGGTTCATGCACCCGCCATACGTCCAGGTCGCGGTTGCGGCGCTGGCGAGCAGGGCTAGGGAGGAGAGGGTTGAGGTGGTGTACATTTTTGGTTTGTTAAACGATTGTCAGAAACGAAAGTGTATGTTTGGATAGGATAGAAATGGTGTTTTTGGAGAGGGAAATGGCGCTTTCTTATGAGGAGGTGGAAATTAGGAGGAAGGAAGGTGCTGTGCCGTTCGTAAACGGTGGTCTGTCTGGGCGGATTTTGTGGCGCGTTGAGGCTCAGTTGGGATCGAATTTTTAGATTGAAGTGGACCCCTTGGCTCGTTTAAGCTTAGATGTTTAAGTGAACACGAGCCATGCGAGGTGGCGAATGAGAGTGGCATGTTTGGTCGTCATTTGTGTTGGATGTTTGGATGATGCGGAAAAGGGATGGTTTTATCCGATGGAGTTGATGGGGTTGAAAAGTGAAATAGTGATGTTTACGTGATGAGCAGAACATAAGTTTGATAATTAAATTGAATTGTGGCACAATATTGGGATGATAGTCAAAGGTTATTGTTCGTACTTCTCTAAAGTATCGTAAAAATATGTTGTTTCTATGATATTTCCATCACTTTTTGCCATTTGCTGACACAGAAATAGGACCAAGCTTTGAGACTCTTGGATCTTTGGGTAAGTTTGGAAGTAAGGGGGTCTAGCTTCAAGCGAAGCGAGACAAATACCCCTGGATTCCACGTTTTACGTGATCGACTCGACGTCCTCAGAATGGAGCATCTCTTGACAACACATATTTTACCTTTACTTGATACCCCCTGCCTAACAAGCTCTGCGCCCTGTAGCTGTTATAACCAACATGGCGCATCACCAACCTGCTGAAGACACTCCTAAGCTTCACCCTTGGGGGAATGTTCGAGAGATCTTGGATCAACCATACTTACGCAAGACCATTCCGAATGATATCCCAGACGACATATTTGCAGAATTAAGGCTGTTTCAATTGCAAAGGCGACTAGAAATCGAGGCCGAACAGCGACTCAAAATTCCAAAGAGATGGTGTGGAGGTTAAAGACTCAATTCCATCACGACGAAGAAAAGTTGAAGGAGAACAATATCAACACGCTATTGAACAACTGCTGGGTAAATATGGAATTCTTGGGCTTGAGCCGTACTACGAGCTGGAGTTAACTTTCTTGTGTAGATCGGGAGTATTGACGAAGCTCGAAAACGAGCCGTCCCTGCTTATACTTTCACGAAGATGTCTGAGCTCCCATTGGAGATCCAACTCAAGATATGGGGGCGTACTTTATCTGCTTGTAGAGGAGAACCCCGTATGTACCGAATAGACACCATGACGGATGACAAAGAACGCATTCAAATCTATAATCTCTCTCAAGATTCGGGTCCAGGGACAAGTCGAGCAGTGGAACGACCACATACGCGACTAGAGGAGATCAAACATATGCTAGTCATTCTGCAAGTGTGCCAGACATCGCGCATGGCTGCTCTCGAAGTCTGTTCTGTATTGCAGAGCTGCAAACGAGATTTCAAGGCATACAGCACCCATTATCTACGCTATTATGCTACACGCTACGACAAGTTTGCCCTAAAAGGATCTTGGTATGATCACAAGTTTCTTGTGGATATTTTGGCAAACACTATCGATGAGCCTCCATCGATTCATTTTGTAGCAGAAGAGAACAGCTTCCTCTCCATACAGCGTTTGATTGTTGATCTCAATATCTTTGCAAAATTTCCACTGGATCTATGGGCACAGTTCTACAATCTTAGGAGCTTGACAATCTCAATGCTCCCCGACGATTTTCCCTCGAACATAGACATGGTGAAAAGCTTGAAATTTTGCAAGCGCGTAGCATGGGTTCGTGAAAAGGTTTTATTCTCCCTACAGACAGCCAAGAAAGAGCAACGTCCAGACTGGAGGATCCCTAAAATTAAGATAACGGGCGACTTTCATGTTAGACCCATAGACGTGGACGTTGGAAGAAAGGTGGGAAAGGCTTCCCAAAAAGATGCGGGCGAATTTGAAGACGATGCTATCTGGTATCAGCAAACGGTGGCTTTGATGACGCACACCATTCCACATGACGAAATTCGACGGTACAAGCTTAGATATTCACGCAAAGTTATCCTTCCAGAGTCAACAGGCCGGCCAGAGCAGCCACATGAGAGGGCTCTTGGAGAAGAGCCTCGGCAACAAGAAAAGGGCTACTTTGTCTTTTCAGTTGACGTATTGATCTAAAGGTACACAGTTATAGCCAAGTATGAACACTTCCATCCAATATTGTTCTTGCTCAGTGCAACGTACTTGAGTCATTTTTATGTCCCTTAAAATACCGCGATTTATCCCGCCCCCTTTGCTTGCACCTCCTTCTGTCGTGCTATCGCTTCTTTTATATTAACCTCTTCCGTACACTGCTGTTTGAAAGCGCAAGAAATGTTGTTGAACTTGCCCTTGGAATAGAAATCTCTCCTTGCCAACCGAGCCCAGTCCAAGTAGCCTACTTGTCTCTTTCCCTGCCGCACAGCCCTCCTTTCTTGAATGCCAGTTTATAGGCGGTCTCTGATTGTAGCGCCACCTTCCTACACTCTTGGAGGTCTTAGGCATGAACTAACAAGAGGTTGTAATTTTTCAAGACTGGCGCACATTTATAGTTGCCCTAATCGCTCACCGAACCAGGCTGGAGCGAGGCTCTGAAACCCGATCAGGCTGCATGAATTAAACACGCCTATCAGCAGAGCCTCCGTCTTATATCTCAAAACTGCTCTGCTGCCTTTCCACGTCCTACACTGAAACGAAGAAACGAAACCGCAAAACAAGAGAAAGGATGAACGATTCAACATCGCAAATGAACGGCCTAAAAGCCGTGGAGATGTTGCCCCATCCGACGTCCCTTGGACCTTATATTCCTCTTAAGCAGCAGCACCAAGAAATTCGACTTGTAACCCTGCAACCAGGGAAATGGGACGATCCAATCCAGTGCGAGTTATCAACGATGCATCTCCACGAAGCTCATTCGTCATATGAAGCCCTATCTTATGTTTGGGATGCAGAGCCAGGCTCTGGCGAGATGATCCTCAACGGCCATCCACGCGATGTAACGAAGAATTTTTTTCTGGCCTTGCGACGATTGAGAAAAAGTTCAGACATTCGAGTCCTTTGGGTCGATGCTTTGTGTATCGATCAAGAGAACCACATTGAGAAATCCCATCAAGTTAATCTCATGGGAGAAATTTACAGATGCTGTGCGCGGGTCTTCCTATGGCTGGGAGATGATTCGAATGGTAGTGACCGACTCAATGATACTAGGACTATTGAATACAATAGTGCTTTCCCTTGGTTTGGTGGAACAGATGCTCAGGAATGGACTAAGCACAATGCGGTATACCAGGCATTCACTCTGATTTGGGAGTTTGCTCGGAATACTCACTGGAATAAGCTCTCATGTTATCGTTCCCTGAATGGCGGGTCCCTTGACCCAAATACCCTTGGTGCTTTTGCGGCTATCATGACTTCAACGTGGTGGACTAGGTTGTGGGTGGTCCAGGAAACTGTACTGCCGCATGAAGCGATTGTCGTTTATGGTTCTATCTCGGCGCCTTGGCGTGTGCTAGAAAAAGCCTGTCTAGGATACTACAGGCACAGCGTTGGCTGTTGTCGCGCCCTTCGAGACACATTCACGTATCACCACAAACTCCTGTTCTCTAAGTTCAGGAGGGACATCTCAAGGCTCGAACTCACACGAAAGGAACTATCAAAGAAGGAGGACTTCCATCAACTTTTGTGGCGTTATCGCACGAGGAAAGCTACGAATCCTCTGGATATGGTTTATGGCCTTTTTGGATTTGCATCTGGGTCAATTGATAAACTTGTACCGGATTACTCGCTCACCAAATCCCAAGTCTATCAGGCAATCACCATGTCATGCCTCGAAGATAGCAAGAAGTTGCACATCCTAAAGGGTCGACGACGGCCAAGTGAGGATTTTCCGAGCTGGGTGTACGACTGGAGCTCTCCAATCGATGAAAATCTCTGGCATTATGAACGCGTAAGAATGAGTAGTCACATGTATAAAGCCTCGCTGGATACGGAAGCAACGATTTCTCTTCAAGCAAATTCTCGACTGTCTGTGGACGGGATATACATTGATGAGGTTGTTACCGTTGCACAAGTTGGCTTCCGTGATAGGAGACGTGGCAAATTGAGACCGATACTAATTGCCATTTGGCATGAAATGTGTAAGGAACTGTTCATGCCGCCTCCTCTAACAAAATCAATTAAGTATCCTGTTGAGGGCAGAAGTTGGATGGATGGATTTCGACGTACAGTGATTGCCGATCTTACCTACAACATGCTTCCTTCGGGGCAGTCAAGCATGAATAAGAGAGCATCCTTTAGAGAGGATGAGGATTTCGATTTATGGTGGTCATTTGCTGAAGAGCAACAATGGGACGAACTTCGCGTCAACCCGAGAGTCCAACGCTTCGGTAGCTTGGTAGCTAATGCGACCTTTGGAAGAGAATTCTTTTTGACCAAATCTGGCTATATGGGCCTGGGAAATCCTCAAGTCGGCGATCAAATATGGGTTCTTTTGGGTGCGATACGCCGTTTATCCTTCGGCCTGATGCAGAAACCTCATATTTCTTCCTCATAAGTGACTGTTATGTCCATGGAATCATGGATGGAGAGGCTCTAGTGGACTTAGAAGCAAAGCGGAGACATGTTACATTGAATTGAGGGATTGTTTCGTCCTTTCCATAGACCTGCAGTGCTCGCCTGCATCTTTTGGGGTCGTCAACTTCGAGGTCTCAATTACACTTGAGTAGTACAGGTTTGGGATGAAAGCACAAAAGCACGTGGAGATGATCGCGGAAAAGCACTAGGAGCTTGGACATGTCTAAGAGTAAGAGAGTAGCACGGGATCGGCATGTTGCGGATTATATATCGTTCGAGGTAACCTAAGTGTGCAAACAATACAACTGTATAAGTTGACCGAAAGACGTGGACAGTACATGTATAATATACATCGCACAACTTATTCGGTACGTCTCTCATGAGCCCAGAATCGCCACTTCTGCGCTTGTCAGATTACAATTCAGCGGATTCGTTTCAGCCAGCTATTCGGAGCAAAGTCTGGAATGAGCCAAATTGCGATACTGGACTCTTTGTGGTACAAGATTATAAGTGTCAAGACAGCCAACCATAACGTGTCAAATCGGGTAGCCTGTTTCGAGGAGTGGTGTTGAGATATTTGCGACAGGTGTGGCTTTGGCTGTTGCATGGCTGCGGGGCTGAGGGCTAGCCGACAGAAAAAGTTGATGCCCGATGCAGCCATTCATGCTCAATGCGGCGAGATGCAGACTGAGGCTGTTAACCGCTCAAGCTCACCGAGAACGAGACAGCGCACCTCATGTTGGCCAGATCTAACGTCTACAAGGATGGCTGTGGTCTTTCATACTTCAGACTTTATAGTTCATCATTTGATTTCTCCTCTCTTGAAGCTGACCATAGCGAGTCAAACACATCATCAGTGTTATTCAATTTCCAAGCGGCTATTGCACTGCGCTAGTGATGTTGTCGTTAAGGCTGCGCTCTCCTGAAGAGCTTAGAGCCTTCTACAGTATCCCTCTCCAGGGCAGTCAAAAAAGTCAGCAAGTTTTGAATATAGGAAGCTCTGTTACTATTCAATCGGAGTCTTTTGTATCACATTCTGTATACACCAGATCCTACTTATCGCGAGACTCGGCGTCATACCTTGGCGGTAGATCCCTGGAGACACTTAGCTCCAAAAGTCAGAAAACAATCATCATAGAGGAACAATTAGAGTTTGAGAATAATCAAGAAATAACTCCGAGGCAGGACTCTGCGATTCCTCCTTTAGAAGAGTCTGAAGAGGATGTACCTTGGCTAGAGTCACTTGGGCATCATCCTTACCACAACTTGGAAGGCACGAAGAAAATTGGCCGTATTGGAGCATGGCGACTGAAATCGAGACGAGATAACTCTTCGGAGACAGCTGGTTTCAAAAACCCGGCAGCATTCATCTTGTATGACAACCCAAAGCTGAGACTTGATAAAGAAACACTCTCCAGAATAGATACGCCCGGCGTGACCGAGGACGAGATTGCTCATATGAAGATCATTGAGGATGACATGGACGACAACTTTTCTCTGGTGGGCTCCCCGACATCCTCGCTAGCGCCGTCTGATCGCCTCATCGGACATGCAGACAACTCTACCCGCACTCTTTTCTTGGACTTTGGTGTGGATTCGAACGTACGGACTTCTACCTACAGCTTTGACAACGACTTGGACAGCGACTCAGACTCAGACAACATGATGATAGAAGATTCAAACACGCACAGCCTTATTGAGGAAACTTTAAATAAGTCAAATCCTCCAGTAGAGGCACCAACCTCATATTACTGCCTCTTTTGCTTCAGGCAGTTTCACAGCAAAGAGGATTGGAAAGACCATGAATTCTTAGAGCATTACTCCCGGGCAAGAGATTGGATTTGTATGCCTTGGGGCTCCACTGATTGGCTTGAGGACGGGGATCAGATATGCGTTTTTTGTGGAGCTGTGGATCCATCTCCATCGCACCTTAAGAAACATAACGATAAGCCTTGTTGTGACCAGCCCGTCAGCGAGCGGACCTTTGTGTGCCTAGAAGAGTTTCAAGAGCATCTTGAAAAAGTCCACGACCAATGGCTTTTGACTGACAATATGAACAAATGGTCATTTACACCACTGGATGATTATTATTGGCAATGTGGATTCTGTGAGCATATACTAATGACATGGACGGATCGGGTGAGACACATGAACCATCATTTCAAGGAAAGACACTCCATAGCTTGCTGGGATCCATTTGTACCTTCGTATCCGTTTGATAGGAACACTGGGATGATCAAACAATGGTGCCCACATGAGATAGATCGAAACAAGCTTCTCGCTCAACAGGTCGAGCGCTCGAAGTTCTTTGATGAGGTTGAAGTTCCCGTCTCCCCGAACATATCTTTAGGATTACACATCGACAAGACAGTTTCAGTTTCAGTTCCAGGTCGAGTACACAGTAACAACTGCTCAGCATATTTCGATGACGAGAAAGTTGCAATTCGACACGATAAGCTTTGGCACCAGCCACGCGATGTATGGCTTTGTCCAACCAAGAGTGACGTTGAAACAGCAGCTCACCTCCAGATCGATCCTCTAGCCTCATACCTCTTTCCGAACCCTTCATCATCCCCGAGCAAAGACTATTGTCCTTATTGCGAGGAGTCCTCGGAGGATATATTCTACGATCTTGATAAGGATATCGACGAGTGCTTTACTGATTGGGACGTCCGTATCGCACATCTAGAGTCGGAACATAATTTCGATGGATGCCCGGGTGACCTCATGTTCTTTCGGTCTGGTCAATTTTTGCTGCATTTGGTTAGTAGTCATAATCTCAGGCTCAGCAGGTCGACGAAGGGTATCATGGAGTCCTGTAGAAAGAAAGAAGTTGTGTTACTAGACGCTCAAACGAGTATCCAGAAATCAAATCCGCCAGACGTCTCAACGAGTATCAAGAAATCATATCCGCCACCGGTGTCGGTAGAGTCAGATCGCGAGGATTGAGCGATTGGACGGGTTAGATTTAAAGGAATTCGAGTGTTACTCGGATGCTCGAAAGGTGAGTGTATGAGTGTGGGACTAATCGTAGCCAATCTAGAGGACGAGAGTCACATCCACCAGTGCTGACTGATCTCAGATCATCTGTGAATCAACACCTACTGAAGCTCGTGTATAAGATTTCATCGATGTCCGCCTCTTCTTCCAACTTTTTTTTGCCACGACTATCTACCCCATTCCTAACAACAACCCAAGTTCAACATCGCAACTGAACTAAGACATCGACTCAGACACAACTCTATCCAACAGACGAAATGTGCATTTCACACTACATCAAATACATGGGCTGCAGTTGCAACAAGCTATTCTCAGCAGGCCCAGGCACTACCCTGATTTGCAACAAGGATGTTTTGCGGTGCTTGGAGGACGATGATGCCCCAAGAATAACAGCCATGGACACTGAGTGCCCTGATTGCATGAAAGCTGCGGCTGCACGAGAGGATCGAGATTGTACGGCTTATTGGAAGGAGCGTGATCGCTGGACGTATGAGGATTCTCAAGAAGACTACTGGCTATGAGAGAAAAGGCTTTATCTCGGGACTAGTTGGTGGGAAAGTCTGGGTTGAGTACGGCATGGAGCTGGCTTATGGAGAGTAAACCTCGCATCACTTTTATGTATTGGAGAAGAAATGAATGATATTGGCTTTGCAATTTGAAGTAGGAGTGGAGAGCTATCTATTCTAGCAGAATTCGATCTCAGAAACGATACAACTTAGACTGCTCAGCTTGAAGTTTCATCCCACACAAGCAACCACCCAACTCATCCTCCGGAAACTGGCTTCGCGAAGTGACCGGGAGGTCGAATGGCAGATCTTGACCAATAATGGATCCATCAGCCAACCTCACAGCTCGGTACGCTAAATGCTTGACCCACAAAGCCGCAGCGTGTTGTGGCGGTGTCGTCAAGGTATGAGTGATAGTTTGACTTCTCAAGGTCTCGGTACTGGCGCTGGTGGTGTAAGTGAACTGATAATATAGTTCTGTTGTAACTTTGCCCACGAGTTCGACACCGACTTCAGCTGAGATCTTGACACCAGTGCTGTGCTCGAAAGTCTCGGTTTGACTGTTGGTGATTCCGGTGGTGATTTCCTGGGACGAAGACTGCTTGACTGAAACAGTGTTGTTGTCGAAAAGGGCGAGGGTCCAATTGCCCCATTGCTCGATGGAGATGAAGGGATTGAAAATCAAGTCCACCGATGTCTGGTCGTTGGCTGGGAAGACGCAGGTGAAAGGGATAACGACAGAGCGATCCAACTCGAGAGCCGTTGATGCTGAGGGCGCGACTTTGCTGGTTAATCGAGGCGCCTCGCGGCTGCCACCCTCGAAGATGTGGGCGGGAACGTCGACAAGCAAGGCTTTGGCGAGTGCATTGTTGGGTGCCGAATAGTTGTTCGCACTGATGAAAGTATCTCCACTGAAAGGGACCTTGTCTGCCTCGAAATGTGCATCACGCGGCTGGACATCCCAGATAGAAACATCATTGTCGCCTCCAGTTCCGTGGTCGTCCCAGACCAGGTCACTGAACTTTCCAGCAGTGACAAGATCGCTTCGAACGCACCAGATATCATCGAGGCTGGGAGCATTATAGCCTGCTGCCACGACGTCGCCCAAAGCATGGTAGCTTGCAGGTGCTACTGGTCGCCAGATCGATCCATCTCGGTTTGATCCAGTGCCTTTGTCATTGTAGACTTGGTCATATCTGATGGGAGGCGCGACGGATGCCTGACCATGGGGTCCGATCAAGAGTGCTGCTCTTCGATTATTCGGGTCGTCATATCCTTGAAGTGCGACGGTACCAAGAGGTCGAAGATCGCCCTGCGATTTGGCATGCCAGAAGGAAGCGTCTTTCTTGCCGCCGCTGCCTTTGTCACTCCAGCGGAGATCGTATGCAGTAGTCAGGGTGACCAGAAGCGGTCCATATGGGTGTGTTTGATTTGTCATATTGACGACTGCGTTGGAGAGGTTATGAAGTTTGAAACAGAGTACAGGTTTGGGAGAAGAGTGCAAAGTTGGAACTTGTATAGAAAGATGGATAGGGTACAGACTTTACCCTGAGTCACAACGCTAAGTGGCATGGAGACTTTGACTCAGAGTACATACAAAGCTAGAACTAAAATCAGACCACATAGGTGGCATCAGGGTACAAGACCAGGTCAGACATAGGCTCTTAGAGCAGAGTACTAGCCTGACCAGAGAACTTAAAATCTTGGAGCACAAAATAACACAAACGAAAGCAGAGCGTAGGACTGGTAATCCAGTCAGAGCTGGAGTCAGAGTGAGCCGACACACTCTTGATGTAATGGATCGAATCAGTAGACATCAGACATCGACCACATCATAAATGAGAGCAGCAATGACCAGACAATCACAGGATGAGAATGTCTGTCCTAGCACTGGTCATTATCCTATTGTAAACACTTGTCCAACTGGTCACCCTCGCGTGGAAAAAAAGTGGCGTGATTTTTGCTCCTAACACCAAGAGCTACCCCGTATCACGCTAAATAAACAGTTCTCCTCTAACAACAAAAACGTCTCGGTCGATATGGCCGAGTCGGAATAAAGGCCGGGTGGTGTAATGGGCATTGCCCTTCGTCGTGTCTGTGTTTGCCGCGTAGGCGGCCCGGTGCAAGCCGGTTTTTGGGCATTCACGGGGTACGGGAGGCAGAGGTTCGATCCCTCTTCTGGCTGAAAAAGGGTTAAATTTTTTTTTTTTTTTTTTTTTTGGTTCTTTTCTGCGAAGTTTTTGGGTAGGCTGTAGCGAGAAAGGGGAGATGTGGGTGCGAAGCGAGGTGAGTGAAAGGGGTTGATGCTTGAGAGCTGGCAAGGAAATGAATTGAATAGAGACTGCATGAAGAAATTGAGCATCTTTGTACAAGTGCAGACATGGATATGAGCAGACATAAGCAACTTGCTCGATTCCTCTTTCATCCACTGATGGTGTTGTCGTAAATGCTCCAAGCTTCCCATCATCTTTCGTCTCGTCCAAGGATCTTGCCAGGACAACATTCAAGATTTCTTTACAACTGCTAAAGTCCAATAATTCCTTGGGGAATTTCCTTTGATGCCCTTTCCAGATGTGCCCTTAATTCACAACTGCATGAATGTCATGACATCGAGTGGATTCAGCTCACCTAACTCCAGACTCCGAACACCTTACCCAATGGTTCAAAAATATCTTCGAAAGGTGGGATCCAAAGTAAGAAGCAAGTACGCATGCGAACATAAAAGATTGCATAGATCAGAGCCTTTTCTGCCCTGTCACGAAACATCTGAGGTATTGTTAGATCTGGTCATGATGAACAAGTAGAAAGGAGAACGTACGCTCTTGTAAAGGTATGCATCCCTGGATCTTTTAGTTCTGTTCTTACTTTGCCAAGTAATGCATGTACAGATGTTGCTTCCCAACCTGCTTTTGTGAACAACATCATCGAGTAGTTCTCCATTCCTAAGAAAGGCTTCGTTAGTGCATTTAATCCCAAAGTGCGACAATCAAATCAGACTAACCTCCATCTAACATATGTGATAGATAGTATGCTCCTAAATATTTTAACTTCTTGTTCTTGGGCCATGGTCCCACAGGTATGATCCTCGATTCCAAATGAACGTGCTCAAATCCCACTTCCTTGAGCCAATCCGGAACATTTGGGGTAGGATCGAAATCCATCCCCATGCCCTTCGCGATCTCATGAAAAGTGTCGGCCCACTCCTTACACGCCTTTCCTCTCTCCTCAAACGTGCCGTCCAGACATTCAAACTTCGTTCTGATATCCGTTACCTCAATCCTCCCACCAGGCTTGAGATGCTCAAGAGCTTCTGCAAACAACGCCTTCCAATCTCGGATACTGCCGACCATATTCCGAATGTGAATGAAATCTATCGAGTCTTTGGTTCGATGCCATGGTTTCGTTATATCGTCTATTTCGAACATCACGTTTGGGGGAACCCAAACTGGTTGTATGGGTGATATATCCACGCCAGTTATTTGCGCAGATTCGTACTTGTCCCCTGCCTCAATTGCCCAGATGCCAGTCCCAGTTCCAACATCGAAGATATGTTGTGAGGAAGTAGGCAGATTCGTTACAGTAAGTTCGCCGTCGAGACACATTTTTAGGATGTGATGTTGGAGGTCGAGACGATCCTGTTCGGACTCGTCGTTTGGGAGGAGAACACTGTCACTGCCATGATATCGATGGCCATGCTGGAGTATATCATCGAGTTGGAGGGACCCGAGAGAGCTTAGAATGGAGCGCACACTTCCATCGTCGTACCCGGAATCATTGTCGTGCTACACAGATCAGAATGAATTGAGGAAGACACAATAGGATACCTACATCGACTTCTATGGTTGGGTCTACATCCTGTCCTACCTCCGAGTCCGTCTCTTGACCAGTTGTCGAGTCGTTGACACCTGCATCAATTGCTGAGTCGGTCGTGCTTATCGTCACAACATCTGAATCCGGGGCATCTCGTTGTAGCTTGTCCGTGGTTGCACTCATCCTCGTAGGTGGGTCTGAATAAGAAATCATAAGGTTACTCGCAAGATAAGGAGACTTTCTCCTTACTAATGCTGTTTTGGATTAGCGCAACATTGCACCTAATTACCCCTCGAAACTCAATCTTCTCTCTATCAAAGATCGTCGTATATTTTAGCTATATATTGAGACAATCTAGTTGCTAGAGCTCATGATGTCTGTAGACGAGCATACTTATGCCCCATATGTGAAGCTTGCTGGTGGTGGCATCTTGATCTTCGTAGCTCTGATATTTGTCCGTCGACGCTGGTTCTCATCAATCAGCGATATCCCAGGACCATTCCTCGGCTCGTTTTCTGTCTTATGGCAAATTGTGCATGCTCTCAAAGGTCACACGGAAGAAGAAACAATTGCCGAACATAGGAAACATGGTAAGCTGGCTCCAATCAGCTGCCCAGCTTGAACGATATTGATCTGATTGGGTTAGGTGACTTCGTCCGCATTGGATACAACGAAGTCAGCATAGGTCATCCAGATGCCATTAATGAAGTGCTCAAAAGTCAGATGAACAAGGTAGAGACTCACACAGCTTGGAAAAGATTTATTGAACCCTATCACGTGCTGACCTGACCATTCAGGGAGATTGGTACAGAATATTCTCTCTGCCTGATTCTCGATATGTCAATCAAATGTCCGAAGTAGATGCAAAACGCCATATCACAAAGACTAAGAATGTCGCTCCTGGATATGCATTCTCGAACGTTATCAAAGCCGAGCCCTACGTCGACGGTGCGCTTCAGGTTTTCGAGAGACAGCTCGACACCCTCTCAGAAGCACACCAGCCAGTGAACTTCGACGAGTGGTTCAACTACCTTGGCTTCGACATCATGGGAGAAGTGACCTTCTCCAAGCAATTCGGTTTCCTTGAACAAGGTCGTGATATTGGAAACGCCATTGCGAACACTCGTGCTCTTGGCATATATGTCGCAATAATGGGCCATTTCTGGTGGGCGCATGATTATCTCCTGGCAAACCCGCTGATCGGATATCTTAACTTGCAGCCCACTATGCATATTTTCGACACTGCGCTTGCAGCGGTTGATGCTCGGTCTAAAAACGACAAAGTCCGCAAAGACATGATTGAAGAGTGGATAACTATGCGCAAGAAACATCCAGATCGCATGGAAGAGAAAGAGATCTTAGCAGCGGCAGTGGCGAATATCGGTGCTGGTGCCGATACTGTCAGTGCTACTCTGCAAGCTTTGTTTTATAACTTATTGAGAAATGAAGACACGCTGAAGCAGTTGAGGGAGGAAATTGATACTGCTAACTTGGCGGAGGTCCCAACGCACGAAGAGACGCAGAAATTGCTTTTCCTGCAAGCTTGCATAAAAGAGGCTCTTCGTATCCATACGCCAGTAGCATTTGGTCTTCCTCGCGTTGCACCGAAAGGTGGTGTAACCGTACTCGGTCGCCACTTCGATGAAGGTGTTATACTCAGCGTCAATCCCTGGGTGATACACCGACGTCGCGAGATCTTTGGAGAGGATGCAGATTTGTTCTCACCAACTCGGTGGATGGATCCCATCCGGTCTCGTGAGATGGAGAAGAGTTTGATTGCGTTTGGAGCTGGATATGGTCAATGTCCTGGGCGACACTTGGCTCAAATGGAGTTATCGAAGACGACGGCAATGTTGGTGAGAGATTATGAGATAAGGCAGGTGCACAAGGGTGAATGTTGGAAGTTTGAGACTCATTTTACAGCTGTGCCGTATGGCTGGCCATGCTATGTAACGAGGCGTCGCAAGCCTTGATTGGACACTCTATACGATCTTGATTGTATATGCAGCAGCCAATCAGATACCCCCTTTTAGACAATCGCAGGTGGCTTTCAAAGTCGTGTCGCGCAGGTGAAGATGAGTAGCTGTATGAGATCGAGAACCATCATATACGAATGAGCTTTACAGAGTAGCTGGGTTTCCAGACTGAGTCACATGCGGCGTCTTGAGCACTAGCGCGATACACTTGATGAGAAAGCTCACTGCAATCGTGGAAATACCTCACCAAGTTTGAGAGCATGCTTGCAAGTGCTCAGAGGGCGGAAATGTGCGAATTGCGCGAATTGCACAAAATGCGCAGTCCTTACCACAAAAGAAACCGAGATCATGAGATATCTATGAAGAGCTGAAAAGTCGTACTCTAACTCGAGGGTAATTAAGATGGATCCAGGTTACCAGTAACTGCTAAATCCTGGATCATGAGCTACTTTCAAGACTATATCTTTATGTTACAGATTCGTATATCTTCTAATGGCATGAAGTAGTCTCTAAGTGGTCGGAAGTCGAATGCACTAAGCGAGGAAAGCAGAAGCTACTTAGAATTTAGAATTGCATATCCGAGAAACTCTTGATCGAAGTTTGACAAGCGCTCACAAATAGGAAATGTGAACGAGTTGCGGAAATAGCATAACCATCATCCCGTCATTCCCGCTTCGTCACTATACACTGCAGTTGGAGAACCCCGCATTTTACCCCAACATACTACAAGCCTCACCCCAGAATGAGGATACCTACTTGGCCAGAATTAGGCTAGACACTATCGTCGCCAAGCTCGTTGGCGTCAGCAAGTCCACAATCAAGCCAAGATTCTGATGGTTGAGAGATTCAGCTGTGGGTGTCTGCTTCCGGGTAGGATCTCCGCCACTGGGCTGCAGGAACCACTTCCCCATCATCGAGAATTGATATCAAAGCTTGCTCTCCCAAGATACTGGAGCTGTCTTAAGAAATCTTTTCCTTTCGTTTGCTTCAAATTATTTGGTCAAAGAGTGTCCCGCTATGGATGCATCATTCACCGACGAGAAAGCTCAACAGAGCTTTCATGAAAATATTGAGGATGACTCTCCAGCAGCAATCGAGTATAGGAAGAAGGAAGCGAAGTTGTTGAGAAAGCTGGATTGTTTCATTGCTCCGGTCATGATGTTGCTTATGCTCATCAGTTATCTGGATCGAGGCAATATTGGCTTCGCTGCTACGCAGGGGATGATTGATGATATTCATTTGAAAGGATCGCAGCTTAACGTACGTCACAGCATCCCGATATAAGAGCAGTTATTGACATGATTCTAGACTGCTGTGTCAGTGTTCTACATATTCTATATTCTTGCCGAGGTAAGTGAAGAATTCCCAGTCCGCGAGAAAGCCTTGACTGATCAAGAACCAAGTTCCCATCTTCAATCCTCGTCAAGAGGTTGCAATTCAATCGAGTTATCCCAGCCATCACGTTCTGTTGGGGCTTGGTTTGCATGTGCACAGGCTTTGTTCAGGGGTTCTCATCACTCATCGTCACGAGGATTCTCCTCGGCTTCTTTGAAGGCTGTCTCTTCCCATCGATGACTCTGTTCTTGTGCAACTGGTATAAGCGCGAGGAACTTGCTACTCGGATTGCTTTCTTGTTCAGTAAGTTGCGCACAGGCTCGACGAAAGACAGTATACTGATCGCTTGATAGTCGCTTCGGCATTGTCAGGTGCATTCGGAGGTTTGCTCGCGTGGGCAATTCTATACATGGATGGTACCGCTGGCCTTCCTGGTTGGAGATGGTAAGATCACCCACCTGTTCGCCCTGAAATTATTTCTAACAGCTTCCAGGCTCTATATACTGGAAGGCATCATCACCATTGTCTGGGCCGGGATCTGCATCTTCGTGGTTCCCAAGAACTACGAGACAGCTTATTTCCTCAATGCAGAAGATAAAGCTATCATGAGGCAGCGCGCAGAAATCATGGAAGCGTACAGCGGTGGCTCAGGACACTACTCCATGAAAGACATCAAAGAAGCTGCCAAAGATGTGAAGAGTTGGGTTCATGGCGTCATTCAAATTGCTGTGGTCACTATTCTCTATGGCTTCGGAACTTTCTTGCCTATCATCATCAAGAATGGGTTTCATTATTCGACGGTTCAAGCTCAATATCTTGTCATTCCAGGTAGGTTTCCTCCTATATCTTTACCTCAGAACGTGACTGACTATCGTCGAAGTGAACCTCTGGGGAGCCATTGTCTATGCAGTCGGTGCATACCTCTCCGACAAATACAAGACTCGTTTCCTGCCTCTGATCATCTGTGCACCATTCGGTATAGCCGGTTACGCCATTCTCCTAACAAAAGTCTCGCCCGGCGTCCAATACTTTGCAACCTATCTAATCGCCACAGCTTGCTTCCTCTGCACTGGGACTAACATCGCCTGGCTATCAGGTAACTGTGCACCAGACGGGAAACGTGCTGCAAGTCTAGGGATTCTGTTGACATTGACTAACATTGGGGGTGTGGTCAGCGGTCAAATATATCAAACAAAAGCTGCACCGAAGTATACCTTGGGTCATGCTTGGAGTTTGGGATGCTTGGCTTTCGCCTGGTGTGGGTGGTGGATTGTGAGGGCGATTTATACGAGGAGAGAGAAGGCGAAGGATAAGGCGCTTGCGGAGGGAGTGGTCATTGATCATGAAAACTACACGGATCGTGCTCCGGACTTCAGGTATCAGTTCTGAAGAGGAAGCGGGAGATATTGCAAAAGACACGATGCGTTGGAGACGTGTGTAGACGAAGTCAAAATTCACGTCGTGCTTCATATCTCAGACATCATTCAGTTTGTATCCCGATTATCAGATCCCAACAAATATACATTTTCACTTCTTCATATGCTCCACCAATATCGGCGTCGCAACCTCCAACGTATGCAAACTCAACAAAGTAGCCAATTCCAACACCTCCATAATCTCCTCCGGACTCGCGCCTAACCCCAACGCATTCCGCATATGCAACTTCAGCCCGGGCTGATAAAGATGCGTACTCGCCGCATCAAACGCACAATACACCAACTCCTTCACCTTCGGCTCCAACACTCCGCCCGCCTTCCCGTCCCTCGCATCCCGCACCCACGGTACCGTCGAGAAGTCCAGATACGCAGCAAAGAACTCCGGATCGAGTTTCAGGAAATCCTCCCAGAACTCGTGCCAGTATCCTCTTTTGGCTGTGAATTCCTCTCTCAGTCTCTTGCGCTCGGAGCCTTCTTCCCACCCGGACGCTGCGCCGAATTTCCCCTCGTAGAGACCTTCTTCTTTCATTACTTCCATTAAGAGCGGGACGCCGATATTGCATGCGTGGATTCCTAGCGTGGACGTCAGTTCGAGCACTTCCATGATCTCAGCTGGCGACGCGCCATTTTCGAGCGCGGCTTTGGTGTGGCGGTGGATGCCGGGGGTGTAGAGATGGGTGGACGATGCGGAGACGGTGAGGGAGATGAGGGATTGGATTTTTGGGTGTAGATGTTGTTTTTTGAGCGGGATTGAGGAGAGGTGGATGCTTGCGGCGAAGATTTCGGGGGAGAGGGAGGATACGGATGCCCAGGACGAGTTCCAGGATGTTGCTCCTAGGGTGGAGATGAATTTTTGTTTTTGTTCTTCTTGTGAGGGTTTGGGTGTTGCCATGGTGCTGAGCAGTGAATCGTGTAGTGGAGGGAGGTTTTGTGCATATGGATGTTGCCTGTAGAGATGGTATCAATTTTCGTTCTTCGTATCGCAAACTAATTAGTTGTCCTACTGCCTCATAAAGGGGGTTCACAGTCGTAATCCCACTCTTGTGTAGTTGTGTGATCTTGGTATGTGAAGCCGATAATGCAATGTGAATCCCCGCAGTTGGAGAACATGTGGGGCATTTGGGGGAAATCCGAACACGTTTTATGTGCCTCGGTATTGTATTTGCGACACTTCACAGTGAAATCCGTTGGCATACACAAGGGGAATATCATTAGCAACGACTTTCAATTCATTTTCGATGTTCTAAATCGTGTTTGTAGATACTGGTGATAGTTGAGTGAGACACCCCTTTTTAAGCTAAGGTGGACCCCTGGCCAACTTCAGAGGCACCTGAAGACTTTATGATACTCCTCCATTAAAATCTTCTCTCAAAGCCACCCTTTCATTTCATAGCATTTACATGCATTATAATTGTAGCCCATTACGTTCATCAATCGCCATGTCATGATCCCCAGAACCTGTCCCTATTCTTCGGATCCTGTTCCCACTCCACATCATGCGCAAAGATAACCTCAATTCCCTGCCTCTCCAGCTCTCTAATCCTATCGATTGTCTCTTCCGCTTTCTCACGATTCGCATGGATGCAACATGTATACCCCTCAGCATCTGCCCATGTCCCTATCGTCTTCTCTTTCCGCAAAATCCTTCTGTCATGGCATGCATCTCCAGCTAAGTATACACTTTCGTTGATCCCAGTTCGAGCGAGGAGGTTGATATGCCCTGGTAAATGGCCTGGTGCGTCGACTATGTAGAGACTTCCGTCTTGGAAGAGGTCGATGACGTGAGGGAGGTGAAGATGAGATTTCCATTGTTGGTGGAAGTTGGGTACTCCTGGCTTCTGGGAAAGGGGTTCGTTGATGTTTGAGAATTTGGAGGCTGTGGGGGAGGATAATTCGATTGTTCGGTCGTGGGGGATGAGGTCTGATTCGAAAAATGAGTGGCCTCCGCGGAGCGACGTTGATGTTCCTTGGAGGAGGTCTGTTGCACCGTTACCTACAACGAATTTACTCTGGGAGAAATCGCGAGGTTCTCCGACGTGGTCCCAGTGTACCTAACATATCTGTCAGAATGGTAGTAATTATGATGAGGACATGTGGATCTCACATGGGAATATATGACAAAGTCAATGTCATCAGGAGTCAAGCCTCCAGCTTTCAGACTCTTGACTACATCTGGATCGGTAGATATTGGCTGTCTCGTAGCAGCATGTTGTTGAATAGGCTCCGAGTAGCGTTCCAAATCTCGTCTCAATCCGAGGTCAAAGACTATCCTTGTTTTCCTGCCAGTCTCAATGTTCTCATGCTGTATGAGGAACGCTAAGGAAGGCACTGTACTCCTTGCTTCCTCGGAGGCTGGATGTACAAAATGTCTTTCCGGAAGTGTAAGATGTCCAGCAGATAGAACATGGAGTTGAACAGTTGCAGGAATAGCTTCCAAAGGAGGCGAAGGCGGAGCCGTCTGCTTGATGAAGACGTTCGACATGATCAAGCCAACATGATACAGATCTAGTGAAATTCGATACTGGAAAGAATATAAAGGTGAGCCTTCCGAGGCCTACAGACTTTGAAGGCAACATAGCTTCAGTGCCCGACAATGGTTCCGAAGGCACACCAGTAAGGTGATTGGGGTAATATCACGTGGAATAGTCCTCCCGTCTTCCCCGCACCTAGAGATGAACCTAGACTTAGTGGGGCAACCCGAACTTTCCCATGATGTCCAGTGGGTGTGGCTCAAGTTATTATTCTTGAGAATCGTTACTTTCTGGTTGATATACTTATTTCCTTGATACTTTATTTCTCTCTGTTTCTCCATGGGGTCCATCAAAGAAAATGCAATTGGCTTCATTGGCTTGGGGGCGATGGGAAAGCCAATGGCGGGGCATCTGGCAAACAAACTTCCAGCACAAACACGAATTTACGTCTTTGATGTCGTAGAGTCTGTGGTAGATGACCTATGTGCTCACTTCCCAGACAAAGTGATGAAAGGCGCGAATGCGAAAGATGTGGCAGAGAAATCCGTAAGCTCAATGCAGCCCTATGCGGAAGACTCCCACTGATTTGATATGCAGGAAACTATTATAACTATGGTCCCAGAAGGAACACACGTCAAAGCTGTCTACTTAGATCCACAAACCGGCATATGTCAGTCAGATATCTCGGGCAAATTACTGATCGACTGCTCGACGATCGATACCCCCACAAGCCACCTCGTCAAAGACCACATTGCGGAACACTTTCCAACGGCCTCTTTCTATGACGCTCCAGTCAGCGGAGGGGTTGTCGGAGCTGTCAAAGGCACCATAGCATTCTTTTTGGGTGCTTCAGATACCGATCCCAATCTGCCACGTTTGACATCGCTGCTCCAGATGATGGGAAAGCAACTCATACCCTGCGGTGGACCTACCTTCGGCCTGGCAGCCAAATTGTCGAACAATTATCTGTCAGGCACGATCGCTATTGCATGTTCAGAAGCTATGGATATGGCCATGCGATCTGGACTTGATCCCAGAGTTCTCGCGAAAGTTTATGCAGCTGGTACGGCTCAGAATACGATTTGTGATCGATTCTGTCCTGTGCCGGGAGTTTATGCTGAAGCACCGTCGTCGAAAGGATACAAGGAGGGCTTCAAAGTTCAATTGATGAGGAAGGACTTTGCGTTGGCTGTTGAGATGGCAAAGAGAGTGGGTTCGAAGAATGTGCTTGGGGAAGTGGGGCTTGAGACGTATACTGGTGTGATGAATGATCCTAGATGTAAAGATTTGGACTCGAGAGTTGTGTATAGATACTTGGGTGGAGACGAGGATTGGAAAGCCAAGATTGATAGTACATGAAAGCTGGTCTCAAATACACATATTTTTTCATGATGGTACGCAGTTCTCAACTACTTTCCGAAATCGGACACTTGGGATTTGGTTTGGTGGATCCGAGTTGGGGAAGTGGGGTTGGCGGGGTAGTCTCAGTCTCTCTGTGAACATCTCAATTCTTACAACTTGCTTTCAATTTGAAGTACATTCTTATATTCTAGAATTTATATTATATAATTCCACTGCCACAATCATCTTCGATCCAAGCATCTTCAATCAGGATACTTTTTCAGTGATTTTAAAAAGCACCGCCCAAGCTTCCAACCGCCAAAATGTCATCCGACCCAAAATTCGATGCTCTCCACAAACAACTCTTCGACGAAGGTCTGAAGATGCGCCGAAGCGTCGTTGGTGACGAATATGTCGACCGAGCACTTGCAAACGGCTCTACTGAGTTCTCTCGCGCAGGCCAAGAACTCGTAACAGAATTCTGCTGGGGATATGCTTGGACACGACCTGGACTCGACAAGAAACAACGCAGTCTGATCAATATTGGCATGCTCATGGCTCTCAATCGAGCACCGGAGCTGGCTGTGCATATTCGAGGAGCGAGAAACAATGGTTTGACGGAGTTGGAGATTAGAGAGGCGATCATACATGCCACAACCTACTGTGGAGTGCCTGCTGGGGTTGATGCTATGAAGACGGCAGAGAAGGTGTTGAATGATATGGCAGAGAAGGGAGAACATGCAAGAGAGCTTGGTGGTAAGGATCCTAAAGCTTAAGAATCGTGTTGGCGGAGTGAAAGAGGAAGTGTGGCGAGAGACTGGCACAGATTGTTCAAAGGCGACGCCACGAAGGCCATGTCTGGAAGATACAAGCAAATGAACAAGGAAATATAGACTCCAATATGGCACCACTTTCATCATTCGTCTTTGCTCGTCAGGGTTTAAATCATCTCATTCGAATGCAAAACTGTGCAGTTAACCTCGGTTGAAGTCCCTCTCTCAATGCATTCGCCCACCACTTGACGAACGTCTTCTAAGTAACAGTTCAAGAAAGCAACTTACGAAGATCCCGGAAGAATTTATATTTCAAATAATATACCCAAAGAACATTAAATTGATTCGTTAACCACTTTGCCAAGAAGTGACGACCGTGCGGCCCCCGCACTTCCTTCCGCACTTCCCGTGTTTCTTTTTCCAACCTCAAATGCCCAACGCTACCATTGCACACTCTCCAACACCAGCTATTCAGCCCTCGGGGAACAAAGAAAGACCACATCTCCAATATTACAGTTGTATCATTTTCTGATACTGGACTTGAATTGGCCAATCAAGCCGATTCCTTATGTCCGAAAACGCGTCGCGTAGTCCTTCATGTTGGACGCAGTAGAATCCTCGACACAGGCACCAGCTCCTGTGAAGAAGGCCAAGAGATTTCTATGCAAGCATTGTCAGAGACGCTTTGCACGCTTAGAACATCTCCAACGTCATGAGCGGATCCGTAAGTTCCCTTGTCCGGCGAGGTGTGCGCTCTGCTGATTTCTCTGTTTGCTTGAAGATACTCAAGAAAAGCCATTCGGGTGTCGCTTATGCGGTCATCATTTCACTAGGAGGTAATCATAAATTGAGAACCTTGATGGATGTTTACTTATCAGTATCCCAGTGACCTGTTGATCCGCCACGAGAGGCTCACCCACAACAAAGATGCTTCAGCTGATGCCCAAAGAAACGAATATGATGAGAACGAAGATGGATCATCGCAGTCTCGGCCAAACAAAAGGAGAGCAGCAACCCTTCCCTATGAAAGGCACAGTAATGGTGAGATTTCGAATTCTCCGCAAGGCATCAGCGCTGGCATGCGGCACACGAGCTCAATGACTGATACAAATTTCACCTCTTCGATGGTTGCTAATCAAAGTGATGAATACTCACTTGCTGCACTTTCCATGGCAGCCGAATACAGTAGTCTACATGGAGCCTTCCTCACTCCTCCCGTTCCTGAGCACAACACGTCTGCTTATCAGCCAACACCAAATCAGAACGAACAGATTGAAATGCTTTCGGATCCCATGGCATTGCAGAACACTGAAAACATGCAAGGACTGGGCCTTGAGGAGTCCCTTGATAGCCTTGCTGCTTTCCTGGACAATGAGCCTTTGTCCTCTTATCACTTTTCGTCTTTGACAAGTGCCGAACAGCTACCGTTCTTTTCTCCCGAGTCCTTCAGCTATGCGAATGACTTCTTACCGCACCACGAAGCTCAAGTCGTTCATGGAACTAGACTCAATCATCAAAATGTCGAGGAGTCAAATTCGTTCTCTCTGTTTGGATCACGACTTCCTTCTCTCCAGCCAGAAGAGCCTCGATCTCGACCAGACCACCAAACTACTCAATCGCGTCCATTTTACGAAGTATCTTCCGATGACAGACAATGCATTGTATCCAAGCTTGAGGAATTTGCTTCGACATTGCCAGATGACTTCCTGCTACCCACCCGCTTAGCACTTTGTCGGTACATTGCAGCATATGTCAACGGATTCCATGAGCATCTTCCGCTGATCCATATACCGACTATGACAATTGAGGGCTGCGCAGTCGAACTTGTATTAGCAATGGCGGCTGTCGGCGCTCAGTATTGCTTTGAGGGAGAGAAGGGAGTTGAATTGTTCAACGCCAGCCAAGCGATTGCAGTTCAAAGAATCCGACGCCGAGATGCCAGATTAGTGAATTTCCATAGACGAGCTGAGTCAGAGATGTCTGCCTTGTCCCGAGGTGTGGATGGAACTTCAAATTTAGGATCCCCTAACATGGATACTGCCGTATCTGGACCTCTGGGACTGCCATCTGAACCCGAAACTTCTGCGACGATCGAACGAGAAGACCTGATACAGACCGCGCAGGCTCTTCTTATCTTAATGGCAATGGCAACATGGGCCAAACACAAGGAGATTCTTCGCGAAGCACTTGCTATCCAGAGTATCTTGGCGACCCTCATCAGAGATGATGGCCTCAAAAGTCTGACAACACCTGAGGATGTTTCGTGGGAAGAATGGGTCCGCATTGAGATCACGAAAAGAACGAAATTGATCGTCTTCTGCTTTTTCAATCTTCATTGTATCGTATACAACATACCTCCACTCATTCTGAATTCTGAAATCAAGCTATCACTACCATCCAGTGCAGCAGAGTTCAAAGCTCAGTCTGCTGAAGCATGGCGAGAAGCTAGACAGAACGGTCTCATTATACTTGAGTTCCAAGAAGCTTTACGACGTCTCTTCTCACGGGGCGGAAAAGATAAGACAGAATGGAACTCTTCACTTGGAAATTATGTTCTGATTCACGCGCTTATCCAACACATCTTCTTCGTCCGCCAGATTGCAAAGTGTCGCTATGACGGACCTGACCTCAAATCAGAAGAAGTCACGTCACTGGAACATGCTCTACGCAATTGGCAAATTGGATGGAAACGCAATCCGGAATCGTCTCTTGACCCCACAGACCCAAATGGACCTGTAGCTTTCAACTCAACTGCACTCTTACGTCTAGCTTACATAAGACTGAATGTTGATACCGGACCTGGTCGAGCATTGGATACGCGTGATCCTATCCAGATTGCGAATGCTTTCCGCGAAAGTCCAGCAATCAAGCGGACGCCGAAGCTTGTTCGAGCAGTCTTACATTCTGCTCACGCTCTCAGTGTTCCAGTAAAGATTGGAGTACGTCTCGTGGCAAAAACGCAGACGTTTATCTGGTCCATTCAGCATTCGCTTTGCTCTTTAGAATGTGCTTTCTTGCTTAGCAAATGGCTGGAGGCATTGTCTCAGTCCAATCCAGATCCACCGATAACAGAAGATGAGAGGAAAATTACTGCTCTCGTGAAGACAATGTTGGATGAGACCGAGTTTGCGGTGCCATCAGATATGCCACTTGATTCAGCTGCTACCCGGAAGTTTCTCAGTGCAGGCGTTTTGCGAGTTTGGGCTACGATATTCAAGGGAGCTCAGACATGGGCAATAGTTGATGTTATTGGCAGCTCTTTGAACATCTACGCTGATATGCTCGAACCTAACTGATCACTTCGAAAGAGCTCAAACTACGAATAATCGATGATTACACAAATACGAACTACAAAGACCTGATCAGACTTGAATCATTTTATTCACGAACTGTCCTCCATGGACATGTCAATCACCAGTTTTCCCCCGCCACCTTTATGGTACTCCTCCACAAGCTCGTTCAATTTTGACAGCGGATACCTCTTCACGATCGCCTTCACATTATGCTTGGCTGCAAATTGCAGCATCTCATTCAGAGTCTTGTTACTTCCGACCAAGCTGCCAATTATGGAAATATCTCGAAATACCACGGCATGTGCTGAGAGATGAAAACCCTTATCAGGAAACGACACAACCACACACTTTCCATGATTTCGCAGAAGGTTAATTCCGTAGTCGAAGGCCTTTTGACTTTCTGGCAGAATGATCACAGCATCCAGTCCCATTTCTCCTCGAATCGTCTTGCCGTCTTCTTCTCCAATCTGCTGGACTACCTTTTCTGCTTCTTCCGTCCTCACATCGACAATTTTGGCACCAGTCTCGAGGCCACGTGCCAATTGCAAGGCAACTTCGGAGTTGTCCATGCCGTATGTTTTCAACCCCATCTTCGTGGCAAATTGCAGTCCTAGGTGTCCCAAACCACCACCAGCACCTAAGATACCGACTCTCTGTCCTGGCTTCAAACCACATCTTTTGATCGCAGCATATATCGTAACTCCAGCACACATCAAAGGTGCTGTCTCGACCGCATTCAGCGCTTCCGGTATCAGAGCGACTTGTCTTTCATCCACTACCGCATATTCCCTGAATCCACCATCTGCTCCGATTCCATGATTCTTCGCTTTTGGGCAGTAGACTGAGAAGCCTGGTGGATCGCTCTCAGGGTCCGAGTAGCTCAAGCACTCAAAGCATGATTCGCAAGGATGAAATCCTCGTCCTGGGACACCAATCCTGTCACCAATTTTGAATGATGAGGTTGATGTGTCTGAGGGCAGAGCCACAATTGTGCCTGCAAACTCATGACAACCGACATGTGGAAACGATGGCGGATAAGGCGGCATAAGCCCATCTGCTAGCACCGCATCCGTGTGGCAATACGACGCCGCATCGACCTTGATTAATAGATCATGAGATGATGTTAGTGCTGGTAGCGGCGTCGAACGGAGTTCATATGGCTTCTTGAAGTCGTCCAGGAATTGTGCTTTCATGAGCTTGGGCAGGGTAGATGCCATCTTGTCGCTTCTCTGTGAGGTCTCATCCAGATCGAAGAATGAATTCTCGGATCAATGTAAAGAAGTTATTCTCAAATCATGATCGGCAACATCATGCACTTTCGACAGCTTGGTGGGCTTTGGCCCCGCTGCGGGGTAGCATGGATTGACCCCTCGCGCTTGGTTGGGGCGATACAGCTTGATCGGCACTCCCCCAACTCTCTCCAATGAAAGGTGGGGGATGAACGCAATGAAGTCTTGATACGGAATTTTGAAGTTATCGTTGAATTCGAAAAGTTGTGCTATTTTCAGCTGTCGCCATTGATCAAAATGACCAAATCACCTCATGCCCTCTCACTTCCAGCTCCGTCTGAAAAGCAGACCTATGTCACCATTTCAGCCCTCGAAGCAGGTCACTTGACTCTGCCAGAACACCTATTTGTTACAAATGCTGCCCCAGAGAAGCGTACAACAGTCCCTTCACTGGCATTTTTAATACGCCATCCATCACCTTCAAAGATCCTTCCAAGCCAATCCACAAACCTCATCTTCGACCTCGGCCTGAAACGAGATTTTACGAAATACCGAACAGCGCAGCAACATCACGCTTCACAACGGCAACCTACAATCACTTCTCTAGATGCAGCAGCAAGTCTGCGAGCTGGTGGTGTTGATCCGGAGAAAGATGTTGATACTGTGATCCTCAGTCATGTACACTGGGATCACGTCGGAACACCAAGCGATTTCCCGAACTCGAATTTTGTTGTTGGATCCGGAACACTACATCTACTAGCTAATGGAGCAGGCCCTTTGTACCCTGCCGAATTGTTTAATGCGGATGAGTTACCTTTTGATCGGACATACGAGCTGCCGTCTTCGAATTCGTCCGATGCTGGGAAAGCAGCGAAGCAACAAACAGCTCACAAGTGGGAGCCTCTAGCAGATTTCCCTGCTGTTGTAGACTATTTTGGAGATGGTAGTGTCTACGTCGTTGACAGTCCAGGCCATCTTATTGGACATGTCAATCTTTTGGCTAGGATATCGCCTACAAAATGGGTTTACTTGGGAGGTGATTGTTGTCACGATGTGAGGATTCTGACTGGAGAAAGCGATGTTGCTATGTATGATGATGGAAGAGGTGGATTAAGGAGTGTACATTTAGATACCGACGCTGCGAAAGAGACCATATCTAGGATTGGTGGGCTTTTGAAGAGGGGTGAGGTCGTGACGGATGGTGGTGGTGAGGTTGATGTCGAGGTTGTGGTTGCGCATGACAAAGGGTGGAGTGAAGGGAATAAGGGGAGGTTCTTACCTGGACATTTGTAAATATTGCCTTGAGAGTTAAATTGAACATACTCCTTACCATCCTCATTCATTCATGGCATTGGGAAAATGTACGCTGAGCTTCCTTGCCAAGTCGGAACGTCTTGCCGAGCGAAAGGGGTTCGGATGCGGAGAGGAGCTTGACCCCACCATTGATGCGGGGTAAGAGCCAGCAACGATTTTCGAGCTCCACGTTCTCCAATGTGGATCGCCGTCGAACACAATCGTCAGTTATTGACAACCGATGTTTTTTTGAATTTTTTGGAGCGTAAATATTAACTTTTTAAGACGCCTGGTTCGAAATCTCTTGACTGAAACCGATAACGCGAGATCACCTAAATACTCGCTGTAGAAGACCTAAGCATAGTAAAAATGGCAGACCCAGCAAAGACGGTGGCCTTTATAGGTAAAGTTCAACTACGAGTTTCTTTGCACCGCATTTTGACTAACATACTTCAACAGGTCTAGGAGTGATGGGTTATCCTATGGCAGTGAACCTTCGCAAGGGACTGAGTGCCGAATACACGCTCCTGATATGCGACGTGAACAAAGACGCAATCGCCAAGTTCCAAAAGCAGATGGAAGGCAAGGGACCCGTTGAAGTAGTAGAGAATGGACTCGAAGCTGTACAGAAAGCCGTGAGTATATTTCCTTCTCTTAAACCCCTTAATCCACACTTCAGATTCAGTGAAGCATGTGTCTTGGAAAGTCAAAGTTAATTATTGTATATTAGAACATGATAATAACCATGCTCCCCAACTCCTCCGCCGTAAAAGCCGTCTACCTCTCCCCCACCACCGGCCTCCTACCCGGCGCCCTCTCGACCGCATCCTCCTCCTCATCCTCCTCCTCCTCCTCCTCCTCCTCCTCCGGCACCCCTCACCCCAAAATGCTCATGGAATGCGGCACCATCGAAACAGCCACCATCCTGGAAGTCGCGTCCGCGGTCAAAAACACCACTCTCTTCTCCGGCACCCTCACATTCGTCGACGCCCCCGTCTCCGGCGGCCCCATGGGCGCCGAGGACGGCACACTGACGTTCATGGTTGGCGCTGCGCAGACCGCGGATTTTGAAACCGTGAAGGAGGTGTTGGCGCATATGGGGAAGCGGGACGCGGTGTTTCATTGCGGGGACGTGGGGGCGGGAACGGCGTTTAAGATTATTAATAACTACCTGTCTGCCATCACGTCACTGGCGGCGTCGGAGGCGCTGAATATCGGAGCCAAGATGGGGCTTGATTTGAAGTTGTTGACGGAGGTTATTAATGTGAGCGGTGGCCAGTGCTGGGTTACTAGTAAGAGTAATCCGGTGCCGGGCGTGCAGGAGAATGTGCCGAGTAGTAGGGGGTATGAGGGGGGGTTTCGGATCGAGCTTTGTGAGAAGGTGTTGAGGATGGGGGCGCAGTTGGCGGGGGATGTGGGGGCGCGGACGGTGTTGGATGGGCCGGCGTTGGGGGCTTTTGGGGAGGCGATGCGGGATGAGAGGTATAGGGGGAAGGATGCTAGGGTTGTTTATAAGTGGTTGAATGAGAGTGAGAGGAGGTGAGGAGATGTCCTGTATCTTTGGAGAAGATTAAGTGTAATTGTCTGAGCTTCCAACACCTTACATTCTCTCGGAAGTTAGATTTCTTTCGCTTTTCTACGTCTTCAGGGTTTGTATGTTGCTCAGGCATTTACATCTAATAGAGCCCATACGAGAATATATTTATGCGCAAGGCCGCAACTTGGAAGCGAAATGAGAATTTCTGTATGCCTCGTTGTTGTGTATATGTTTCTGCTCGCTAAGCTCTTAGTGATTGAGCCTCAAACAAGTAAATGCCTACAAAAAAAAGAGGTAAATACCGTCTTGATTCACCCTTAAGCTCATTTTTTCCACAAATTTCGCTTAAGCCTCCCACAATTGGGGAACGTCAGGGTGAATACAGCTTTGCAATTAGTCAAAAACCCTTGTTTTCAAGGGATGTTCAAGCTTTCAGATAAATTCTTAGACTTTCACGCCTTAAACCACCAGAATCCGCTTTAAGGTCCAGTTTCTGTCCAGTTTCCACTGCTCTGAGTGGTGAGAACAGGCTTAAGCGAGAACCGCTAGGACATGTGAAAAAATGAGCTGGCGCGTGAGTTAAGTCAGTATCTAAAAGGAAACTTAACTTTCGAAGGAGCCTCGGTGTAGAAAGCTGTCACCATTCAAGGGAGAATAAATTGCCGAAATCTGTAGCAATAATTCTTAATCGAGACAGCGAAGGCAGCAACACGTTGCTCGGGCCCAAGGGTAGTATTGAGGCTGAGCCGCTGTGGCTTTCAACACGCGACGCGCTCTGCACTTCCGTCAAGCTCGTACTTCTTTATTGAAACAATTTCATTCTCATTTCTTCCTGAATCTCTCACCTTTGCATGATCCCCAGGCTCCCAGACTATAAAGCAGACATAGGCATCTTGCAACACATCAGCTGAAAGGGCAACTCTCAGAAAGCGACGATTGGCCCCCAACAAAATGGCGGAAAGTGGTCCGATTTCAAGTCCACATCTAGGAAAGCTATGTCCGACGTGCCGGAACCTCTTCGATACCTGGGATGAGATTGTGGAGGAACTAGAGTCGTATTTCCAATTCGGCAGAGGGGGTAAAGGCTCTTACGGGCTCGCTTTCCACCGGGACGCCATCGCGTGGAGGATCGAGGTAGAAAACGGCTGTATTTTTTGTATTCGCTTGTTCGACAGTTTAAAGGAAGAAGCGCGTTGTAAGGTGCTTGAGAGTCGGACAAAGGGAGAACTTCAAGTGCGTCTGTGTCTTTGGGCTCTTGCATGGGCGAGAAAAGAAGAGAGGGCGAAGAGGGATTATCAGCTCTGGGTCACGATTAAGCGAGCTGGTGATGAAACTAGAGCATCGCCGCAACTGGATGGAGGGGTCACGTTGGTTCCAAGACCAGCAGGTAAGTATCTGAATGCTATTCTACTGATGAACCATTGTGATGGAACTGATGGAAATTAGATGCCATAGAGTCCGAGCCGGAGCTGAAGCTTGCACCATCGACTTCATCAGATGAGTCCCTGGCATTCATTAAGAATTGGATCCAATCATGCAGGACTGACCATCCGCAATGCCATACGGCCCCCCATTTCTTCAGATTACCAACGCGGCTTATTGAAATCAGCACCCAGGGTCTTCGGCTATGGACCCCAAACGACGTATTCGGGATGCTTGACTACGTCACTTTAAGTCATTGCTGGGGCGCCATGGAGACGTTGAAACTCACGAAGAATAACATACAGACTCTGAGCAGCAAAATTCCCGTGCATAGTCTTTGCGGCACTTTTCTGGATGCGGTCCTCGTCACTATCAAGCTAGGGTACAGATATGTGTGGATAGATTCCATGTGCATCATCCAAGATGACGAGGATGACTGGCGCCGAGAATCTGGTCTGATGGCGGACGTGTATGGCAATGCTGTTGTGAATCTCGCAGCTACTGCCTCGAAAGACGGATTGGGGGGACTCTTTCGCGAGAGAGTTGTATCACGTATTTCGAAACAATACGTGCAGACGAAATCCCAGCAGATTTTCGAGATTCCGGATGAGAGGTTGTACTTTCGATGCTTGGACCAAAGTCCCCTCTCGCAGCGTGCTTGGGTGTTCCAAGAACGATTTCTAGCACGCCGGACTATACATTTCACTGCCGAGCAGATATTCTGCGAGTGCCGTCGCCATATTGCCTGTGAGGGCGCACCCGGAGGGGCAGCTGTCCGGCCTGCTGATCCTGATGATATTCCATTCCCCAGTGAAAGGAAGCTGGGTGACCCGGAGGAATGGCGTGAAATAATCCAGCTGTATTCACGAGCTAAACTCACATACTCGAAAGACAAGTTGATTGCCTTGTCGGGAGTGGCGCGCCAATTCCAGTCCGTAACTGGTGACCAATACGTCGCCGGCCTTTGGAAGACTGATCTTGAGATATACCTTTGTTGGAGAGTCGAAAGCTCTGAGAGTCTACAACCGATACCAGATCCTGAGACCAGCGTATATCAAGCTCCGTCGTGGTCTTGGGCATCATCGAACCAAGCCATTAATTGGTATCTATACATGACGCCACTGAAGAACACGTTCAGCAATGACGCTCTCTGCAGATTGGTCAACTTCCTGGACATACACCTAGAGCCCGTTGGACCAGATCCCTTGGGACAACTACAAGCTGCGCATCTGGACATCGAGACCGGCCCACTGATCCGAGGAAACGTGATAGCGTCTTTGTTGAATGATTTCGATCAGCCGTTTGATAACTCGTATCAGACAGAGTTAGATGGCAAGACGTTTTTACTGCGGGGCGAGGGACAGGTCAGTCCTGATCACAAGATTGAGTATGAGAGTGTAGCAGATAGCGTCTACTTTCTTCCTCTCTCAGTCGATAACTCTGGGGATGAGGTCATGCATTATAAAACTGGCGTGACCATGTATGGATTGGTGGTCACCAAGGCGGATTGTGATTTTCCAGGCGTTTTCAAGCGGTTTGGTGCTTGGGAGATTATCTTCAACGTTGAGAGCTACTCGGAGTTGATGGGATTATTCTTGATGCGGCCGCAATCCTTGATGGATGAGTCTTTATATCAGGAAAAGTTCGAGAAGGAAGAAGGTGGCATTCCCAGATACGTCATCACTCTTGTTTGAGTGAGAAGGTATGACTTTGGAAGTGGTTCTTTGTTGAAAGCGTGCGGTTTCAGAATTGCAGTATGGCTTACAGATCTCTGTAGTATATATAGTCGAAGAATGGGTAGAAAGCCCTGGGGTAGGAATCGAGGTTGAGGGGGTGTGGTTGATACTTCGGCAGTGCCTGCCAATTTTATTACAATTTGAGATAGTAGGATAAAGAATTAATGAGGACTAAGAAAAGCTGCAGCAGGCGAGCTATTTTTTTAGCACCCAGCAAAGTCCGCTCGCCCACTTCATGCTAGTTGACATGTCTCATTTCGCGCCCTATAAATGGTGAGAATGCGTAGGGTAGCGAAGTCTGCGAACAACAGATTTGCGTCTAGATCCAGAATTCTTGGTATCTAACGAATCGAAAAAGTACACTTCTCATAAATACTGGAGGGAAAACTCTCCATTGCTTCGCCATACATGATCCCGTCCACGTATACCTCTCCAATCAGCTTCCAGTAGCTTCCCATATCCCGCATCACCACCGGAAAGTCGCATCCCAATAGCACAACTATCTTGTCGCCTTCCTGTGCTTCTTGCGGAGCAAGGCCAGCAAGTTTCGTTCGTGTGACAATGAACCTTTTGGCGTGCATGCGCAGAGCGGCGGACGACACCATGGCATACTCGCGAGCTTCGAGTACTTGTGGTATTCCGTGATATTCAGCTTTGAATAGATGTCGAACTGGATTGATGCCTCTCAAGAGTCCAGGGAGTTATTTTTGTATGAGACCAAAGAAGAATACGAGTCGCTGCGACAAATCTTTCTCGAATTCCGAATATTGGGGATACCAAGCCCCGCCGCAGAACGTTCGTGCAAATACATCGAGATCTTTTTCTCTAACGTTGTTCGTGTAAACGGTGAACCAGTTATGGAAAGCAATCAAAGTTGGAGTCGTTTCACTTTCTGGACCATCGAGGTAGAGGGGCTTGGCTGCTGTGGTAATTATGTCAACTACAAAACCACTAGTTAATAAGACTTCTTTGTCCTCTTTAAACTTTGCATCGGCATGTGTATCCTTTGCTGCCGCAAAAGGTGGTCGGCGGATGTGTAGACCGACAACTCGGTGACTTGGATGCAGGTTTCTTCGTTCCCAATCAGGAACCCAGGATGGTAAATTATAGATGTTGTCGTCGTCCTGCCGTAAACAAATCGCATTTAGCTTCTTCGTGTTGCGAATGATACAACAAGCCGTGTGAACAAAGGTTGCTCGAGGAGAACGCGCATAATCGATTGGTCCGAAAGATGATCCGTCCGAAGCAATGCCCATGAGACCATAGACTTTATCGTGAGGGTCTGTAGACAGCTTGCTCATATGCAACTGTAACAAATCAAACAACGGAGGGGCCTTTTCTTCCACGAATGTCTCATCCGAAGCTACTTTCAAACTCTTGGGGCCACCAGTCATCAGACTAAAAAGTGCTGCTGGCTTGTTGCGATAGATGGTATCCCGGAGCGTTTCGCGGAGTCTCTCCATATCGTTCCCAATTCTATGAAGATTTGACCAAGATATGGTCTTAGAACCGCAATGCACCCTGGCCTTTTGAGCACAGGTGATCTCTTGCACGACCCATATTCGCCAGAAGTAGTCCCGTCGAAATAATGACAGAAGTCCAGCAAATTGTCGCTCGCGGGAAATATTGATGAGATCTCTGGTGGCATTGACGTCTCCTTGACAACGCTCGAAATCTTCGATTAGTTCCCATGCCAGCAAGCTCTCTTTATCCTCATCACCAAGCCAAACTGCTACTTCTGCTGCCTCTTGATATATAAGATGCATTGATTGAACTTGTTCTCCTTTCTCCTTCTCGTTCGTTTGATCGATGCAAATAGCATCTATCCACAGCAGTTGACTTGTTCGACCATCGTAACATCGCAGTCTTTGAAGAGCTTTCTGGAGAGTCAGCGCGACGGGCAATTCGATTCTCTCAGCTTCCTTGCCACGAGCTCCGATAATTTCAACATCAAGAAATATATGACCTTTGCCACGCTCATGTTGAGGTCCCCAACAGTATGAAAGAGCCTGATATGGTGGTGCATTGAGTCTCAAGACCTGCCTGAGACGGCATACAACATCTTCGTCCTCGGAGCTCGCTGGTGTGATCTCGACCAATCTGATTTCGTCTTTTCCCAATTTGTGATATATCTGGAACTCAGATGTCTGATCTGCGCTGCTCCGAAGCTGTCCAACTTTCTCTGTAGTGACTGGAGGCATCGTCAAAGCGGAGTTGATCAGGTAAAAAGTGGACGCTGCTGACAAAGCCGAACGTGTTTTTGCTGGCAGGGCCGAAGCCTTCGGGAATGCGACTCTTTCACTTGTTGAAGTTATCGAAGGAGAGGAGCTGACGTTCCTCAGGCTTGTGTCTACGAGGCTTGTAGACGATTGTGGCTGAGCATTCTATCAAACGGAAATCTCTGCGTGATGTGAAATCCTTGGCATGCCTGCAGCTCAGCTCCACCAACGTAGCTGGAACAACATCACCGATAAACATTCTCAACACTCGAATCTCGGTGCATCTGAGGGACTCTTTGCTCATACCAGTACAGCTCACCACCTTCTCCATCTATTGTCTAGTTCCAACTAGCCAACTGTTCCGATGGCACCGACCATCATCTTGATTCGACACGCGGAGGCACTACACAGTAAGCTCACATTCAATGACTCGTCGTAGACCACATAGCTGAACAGAACTAGATATCACAAATAAGTTCTCCTATACCTGCGGTGGGCGCTTTGACTAACACTTACCAAAGGACTACATGATCCGAGACCCGCCTCTCACGGACGATGGACTCAAAATTCAATGTCCTGCCCTTTCAACAGCACTGCAAGCTTTGCCGCTCGCGCAAGAAATTGAACTTATCGTCGTCTCACCTATGCGCCGAACCCTCCAAACCACTGAGGCATCACTTGGCTGGCTTCTAAATCGCGGATTTCCTGCAGTTGCCCGTGCTGAATGGCAAGAGAATACGGTCAACAATATTGATATCGGTCGTCCCATCTCCGAGCTTGTGAAGGAATACCCAAGGATTGACTTTAGCGGTGTCGACCGTGTGTTCCCGGCAAAGGAGGGGCTTTATGAATTCTCCCTGGAAAGCCTGACTGAAAGAGGGGTCGTAGCAAGAAAGTGGCTGAAAGAGAGAAAGGAAAAGGTCATTGCTGTTGTTAGCCACGATGGATTCATGAGGGTAGGTATTAGCCATAGGAAATTTGGAAACGCAGATTATCGCATTTTCGAATTTGAGGAAGACGTTAATGGCAGAGATGGATTGAAACTGGTGGAGTGGGACCTGACAGAGAACAATGGTGGTGGTTTGGGAACGTCACCAAAGGGTACTTTTGGCTGGTTGCCTCATGATTTTAAGTACATGCCTCGGCCGCCGCCGCTCTCTGTGCAGGAGGAATTACTAGGCCAGGCAGAATAGATAAGATTGTTCGGGATAATACCCAAGCGGGGCGTACTTGAAACTTGAGATTGTAGGTAGATATGCATTTACTTCATCGATCAAAATACTGAGAAGCCTGACACATATACATGAAAAGTGACCAGGCCAAAGGAGTAGTTCTGAAGCAGACTCGTCTCAAAGCTGATCTATAGACTGCGTGGATTGCAACAGGAGTCAGAAAGTGAGAGAGATTGGAGAGAAGTTGGATATCTATCACAACTCTTTCTGCAAAATTCACTTGTTTCTCAAGATTTGATAGTTTTTGTTGCACGTTACAATTTAAAGTCGCCGATATTGAGCTCAAGCCTATCCCTTTTTCTACCCTGGCTGAAAGGAGAGCATATCTCAAAGTCTGCGGTAGTCAATTTGGGAAGAGGTCTATGTATATACATAGATAAGATATTTATTGTTAAGGAGACGGATCCCAAGTATGCTTGTCCATAAGAGGATCGTCACAATTGCTTATAGCAGTAGTTGAGGAATAGATGCCAAAGAGGCAGAAAAGTGCGATATGCAACAAGTTTATAAAAAAGCCTTTGCTGCAAGGAATTTTGTTGCATATCGCACTTTTAAACATTGTAGTAGGTACATAGCTACTATCTCTTTAGCTATGGTAACGTTCCAGGGAGAAAGCGGTCCATATCTCGAGCTCCTATCGGGTGATGCTATACGATTTTCTATGAGCCTACATGCTCAAATATCAACGAGTCTAAAAGTCTAGTAGGGGATGATGTCTGTACTTAGGCAGTTTTGCAGACTAGATGGATAAGAAGTGACCGATGTTCGTCTATGGAGAAGTGCGACATGTAATAAAAGGGGCAAATTCTTTCAGACAAAAGGATAGGAAAAGAGTTGGTATTGTTTTGTTGCACATCGCACTTTCAACCTCGTCTCAAGCTAAGCATGGATCTGAAGCTGAGCATTGTCAATGATCTGTAAATTAAGATCGTGAAGGTCAACGTGAATTAAAGGAAAGTGATGATGCATGTACATTGTCCAATAAAGCTCAAAGTTTGTTCTCTGATTATACGTAGGGACAAAGGACGTGTCGATGAGACTAAAGCTAAGATGTTCGGTCATCACCTTGAGCCATGAAGCTGATGCTTTCGTTGCTCTCTTAGCTCAAAAATCCAAAGCGGTGTTGTCTACCATAGCACTCTTTTGGTTGATATCTGGAAGATCCATTGTGACGCGAGCTATTCACGATAATAGCTATCGTTAAAGTCCTTGGGCACTATACAACTGGTTGCTATCCCAAATTCACCTTCAATTCAGAAAAGCGATCAATTTATCCAATTAGAGTCAAGGAAGCCTTTTGTTGCATGTCGCAATTTACTTGTATAGCCATGGAATGTCGCCTGAACCTGAAAAAATTCTGAAGTACACCTTAAATAATCGTTGCATCATTATCCCCGCCTATGGCCTAGTGTCTATAATTACATTTAACAAAAGATGCTTGACTAGAAATGAAGAATAAGCACACACCGAGCAGCCGAACATCGCCTTCCAACCCCTTTTCCAAACTTCGCCCACCTCCCGAAACTTCACTTCCGACCTCTCGATCCTCAACCATCCCCCACCTCTCCACATGCTCTATCCTTCCCCTTCCAACACCGACAACTAGGCCAATGCCTCGCCAACGCAGCACTGGAGACCAGAGTCCCAACTGCAATGATGTATCCTGCGAGCGTAAATGCATCTCCCATACTGTATCCCAGGCTTTTGTTTAGAGTGAAGTAGAGGCCGGAGATACAGCTGAAGAGGACGAATGTTGCTACTAGAGAGAGAATGAGGATGCAGCCTCGGGGGTGGGTGGTGGTTGAGGAGATTGCAATGTTGGAGTTGGTGGTGGGAGGATGGGATGGTGGAATGATGGTAGGAGATTGGGCTGTGGTGGGGAGCTCGACTGAGGTTTCTGGTCTTGGGTTGCGGACGGAAGTATCGAAGTAATTCGGCGGTGGCGTTTCTACTGTTCTGTGATAGATCGAGTTTTCGGTCTGGTTATTTTCAACAGCCGTCGAGAACGAAGCAGGTCTGAATAGTATTAATATCGGACTTTGACCTCAAGTTTAAAATTCGAATAGATCGACTTACTCAGAGGCTCTCGAGCACACTTCCCTTAACCTCAAAACATCACCTTCAACACCCCTCACAAGCTCCTTGGAAACAGCATGTAACTTTTTCTTATAACGCCACCTGTTGATCGCTCGCCCATCGCTATTCGCATGCGCACTATCAGACAACAATCTTCTCAATACCTCCGCCAAACCTTTCCTCTGCTCTTTGACTCCAGCAATCGCCTCAAAATCCTTCATCGCATAAACATCCATCTCAGCCAAACTCGCTAACAAAAAGTCAAGTTCATCTACGAGGCTCAGAAGTTTTTGATATTCAACAGCTTTCAGAATATCGTCTCGAGGTGTGTTGGCTGCTTTGATCCGGGTTTTGGTCCCTTGGACTAAACGACGGATTGTTGAGCTGTTCATTATTTTGCTTGATGAATAAAGTAGGAGGGGAAAAGGCTGGCTTCTAGAAGGCAAGAAGGAAGTAAGGAGGGACGGGACGAACCCCTGTGGCTGAAACGAAACATCCCTTCAGGAGAGTCACGTGGACGGGATGGTATCTTCGTGCCCGGTATCTGAAGGAGCGGATGCGAGTCCAAAGGAGAAGGTAGGATTTAAAGTTCGGAGTAAGCAACTGTAAGTGTAAAGAGACCGAGATTGAGCCAATTGAACGAGAGTAAGATGCTTAGGTCGACAAGTGATCATTCCGACCTCAGTCGGGGAAATAAGTTGCCGATTTGACCAAGTGTAGTAATTTCTTTGAGATTGCAGTATTGCTAACACAACGGTCAATAAATATAAACAGAAACATCAATCAAAGAATTATTGGGTATTTTTAAAGTAATCTAGAAGATAGTTTAAACTTCAAATCGTGGTATGCCGAGGAAAGATTTTGCGCAACACTTTGGATTTTGGTGTTCTCGCCTGAGCAATCAGCAAGTTATTTCGCCGACTTAAACTCCCTCGCAGATACCCAGGACATTTGTGGCACATCGCACTTGGATACGCTAGGCATATGCTAAGCATATACTAGTGTAATTGACAGTGAATTGTTGTGGACTCTTAGTTCGCTATCTAACAAGAAACTCCAAGCAAACATTGCACCATGTTGCGAAGCCTCAGCAAATTAGAAGCAAAACAGAGATTGAACTCAAAAGCATGAGTAAAAATAGAGAATAAAACGATACTCTCCACCTAGCTATAGTAAAACTCCATTCACGGACAAAGTTAAAAATATTCTTCCCTCATCCTTACATCAGACAACTGTGGCAAGAAGAAAAGGCTGCCAATCTTCCGCCCAGCTCCATCGAGCCATATCCCACAATAGAGGGACTAGATTCCCACTTGTGATATGTAACAAAAGATATAGACATAACCGAATACAAACCCGATGCCCTAACTTACTGTATCTCAAAGAAAGATCCACCCATGCACCTCGCACGGCTGTAACTAAACATTATGTATTCCTATCTCATCTTCTGTCCAAAAGAGGCTCTTCAAACCCAACACTCATATACACCAAGCCCCTCCTCACACCCAAGAAAATCCCCGGGCCTATATACACAACCCAACCTCTCCTCACCCTCTCACAAAACAGCCAAAACCCCAACCACAACCCCCATCACCACACCCCCAACCTCCCTCCTACTCCCCGCATTCTTCGTCGCCACCGGACTCTCCACCGGACTCGTCGTCGTCCCACTCCCACTCCCACTCACACTCGAACTCCCCACCACCGCCGCCGCTGTCGCCGTCGCATAAACCGTCGTAACATGTCCATTCGTAGTAATCGTACTCGCGGGCGCCGCGAGTACAGACGTCACGGTATTCGTGGACACGATGGAGAACTGATTGGAGTAGTTGGCCAGATCGTGGTTCAGGTCGTCGTAGATCTCGAAGGTGTAGAGGGCGCCGTTGACGAGGGAGGCGGGGACGGGCCAGAGGTAGGCGCCGGTGTTTGTTATGCTTGCTGTGAAGTAAGTGTTAGTGATGGCGGTGAGAAAGGAGAGGAGAGGGATATGGGGAACGGACAAGCAATCGTCTCAACGGTCGTCAATTGCGCTGGATTTCCCTGCCTCAGCAAGATGGTCACGGTATCCGTCGTCCCCGTCGACGGGGCCCATTTGATCATGAATGAGGAGCCGGCCGTGATGCTCGTCAGATCGCCTGGATTATACAGAAACGGATTCTGGGCCATTGCCAGCGAGGCGAAGGCCGTGAGGAAGGTTAGGGAGAGTTGCATCTTGTCCAGCTGGTGAAATGAGTATATCCCCGTCGCAATAGCACTGATGTTAAAGACGTCAACACGACGAACAAAACACAAATACAAACATCAACAAGAACACATTCCAGACGATGAATGATTGAAGACAAGACACCTCATCTCATCTCGAAAAGAAAAATGGCATGGCCAGCCCCTCCACAGAAACATCAAATTTCAATCCAAGACATTTCGCTCGACCACAAGTGTACGCCACAGCATTACTTATCGCTACTCAGCGCCACGAAAATAAACTCAATTCGCAAAGTACTGTATCACAAACCTTTTTTTCACATCATGTCTCTTCTAGTCTATTTATGCTCATCACATTGTCTTGGTATGCATAACCCTTATGCAGGTACCATCATCCATCACTATATCCACTTTCCACCCCATCCCCAACACAGACTAGCTTCAACTTCTCGGATCGATCCACATCTAGCTTACTGTAAATCTCCGTCCTCCCCATCAAAAATGGCCCACCAGAGTCGGATATCGGAACCTTATTAATCAACACGACCTAATAAATAATTGACTGGAGTCATTTCTCTGCAGCATTCCACTTTTTGAGCTGACTTCGTAGATAGAACAATGGTGCTGAAAACCCCCCCATGTGGCGTGCTGAACCTCACCTCACCAAAAAAAAACCTCGTATCTGCGCATCTCACCCTCCCAAACCTTGATTCGACGCCACAGTGCGACCATGGCTCCAGGCTGCTGCCGAAGCTGGGGTGTAAAGGAAGGAAGGTAAAAAAAAAAAAGGTGCGTCATGGAGTTTCGATTGCATTTTGCATAAATAGGATGGTGAGATGCGAACCTGAGGGGTGATGTCAGGTTCCAGGATCGCGGCAAGAATTTTTCGAGTGTTGGTGTCTCATCAGACGAGGGCGGAAAGGGAAATAGGCCGAGATGTCCGGGAAGGATTTGAGGGAAGAGGAGGGAGTGATTGAAAAGTCGTTTCATTTTGACTATCTATCTACCAAATGCCTGACAGTAAATGTACGCAAAGTAACTACAAGAATCGGATCCTCGTAGATACAACCTGCGTACCCACCCATCCCTTCCAATCCTCCGAAGCTAGACCTCCTCTTTCCTTTACGCGGAAGCATATCAATTACGCCTCCCAGATGCAATACATTAAACTTTCCTTTTTGATTGAGCGAGATGGTCGATTACGGAAATGGATTGGTGTAAATCGATTAAAACGCTATGCGATTATAACATTGACTAATAGAGATCCTCCAAGAACATAAACGCGTATTTAGACATTTGTAGATGTGTAGATGAGATGCTTAGTTGAGAGTCATGATGGCTGCGACGGCCAAAAGAACAAAAGCGAGAGGAGAAGCGAAGCCGGAGGCGGAGGAGACGCTTGATGGAGAGGATGTGGAGGAGGTGCTGCTTCCAGTGGTGGTAGCTGTCTTGCTTCCAGATGCTACAACTGTTAGCCTGCATTAATTGAAAATATGGATTTGTACTTACTTGTCTTGGTGCTGCTGCCAGATGTAGTGGAAGAGGTAGAGTTCGATTTAGCTGTAGCAGAAGAGCTGGACGAGGTTGTGGTGGTGCTACCCGTGCTGCTAGATCCAGTAGAGCTAGAAGTGCTTGATCCAGAGGAAGTAGATGATGCGGAAGATGACGAGGAAGCGGCTCCAGCCAAGGTGAATTGGATGCTGTAGTTGGGACCGGTGCTGTCATCGATCTCGAAGGCATAGGATCCACTTGGGAGAGTGGCCTCTGGAGTCCAGCTGTAGGATGTTCCGGTCAAACCGCCTGCGAAAGTCAGAATTGGGCTCAATCTATTGTGCGAGTTACATACTGGCAATGGTCTCAACAGTCTGGAGGTTGTTGGCAGCACCGTTCTTCAACAGAAGAGTGACTGCGCCAGTGGCATTTGACCAGGTCAGATCGAATGGAGTACCAGTCTTGACGCTGACGAATTGCGAAGCAGTCATTGTGAATTGAGCTGCATTGGCAACAGCGAGAGCCGCAGCAGCGACGAAAAGACTTGAGAATTGCATTTTGATGGTTATGAAGGGATTCGAGCTTGTTTGATTGGAGGTGACTGATCTGTAACGCAGCTTCGAATTAGTCTCCTGACGGCAGCCTCGAGGACGCGACTAGACACGATCCGGTACGGGAAGTTGCATGCTTACATTAGGAACGAGTGCTTGTCTTGGATAACACTTGAAGATGATCTGGAGGTTGATGGATGGTCTTCAGATTGTGTAGATTGAAGTGAGTGGAAAGAGGGAGAGGAAGAAGGAAGATACCCGTACTTGGGGGAAGGCCTGTCTGAAATAGAAATTGCGACTGACGCTGGGCTGTGTTTTGGCGCAGGGGTGCGCAGGGGTCAACGCAGCAACCAGTTGACGCTAATAGAAAAGATTTATGGCCCGTTCGAGAATTCATTTTTCTCATTGGTCACTGCTGCCCCATTCTGCGAGTTTAAAGCGGTTAGACTCAATATAGCTGCAGGGTCAACGGGGGTTCAGCGTCCCACTCAAAATCTTGAATACGGGGAAGCTGCACTCAGCAGGGGTAGAGCAAGGACAGCTTCAAATGAGGAGAGGTGAGCATCCAGGGTATGCAGCAACGCACAATTTATGCATGAAGATGTGCAAGAATACGATGTCATCAATTGATCTGTTTGACAGCTGAACCCCTCCATGCACCATCTTAACTACATCTGCACTCTTCCGCATCCATTGCTGCAATCCTGTGTGACGACGACTGGTAGTGGTGGTGCAGCCTCGAGTCTCGAGTCTCGACCTCGAATTGTCTTGTCGCCGCCGCTATTGTGGTTTGCCACACTTCCCGGAACCAAGAAGAAAGCTTTTCAGGAGGTGGCACACTACAACCCCGTCTTCCGAATAAAAAGAACGGTTCCCAAAGACTGGGGATGTCCGAGGCGTTATGTAATTGGGCCAAGCTCTCTTGTTGAGACGCAGCGTGTCTCTCGTCAGCTTGGGGAAGAGGCTCAGTTTCACGTGATCTGGTGCTACCCTCGGCCGACCACACTCTTAATAGAGTATGGTCTGCCTTACCGTTTCTCTTTGCTGCATGCTCTGCTATCTCTTCTTTTGTATTACGCGTCTGCTTCTGTTCTACCTTAGAGCCTCATGTCCACGTCATCACGTGGGCTATGTCAACTCCTGGAGGATTTTGAGGATCTTTGTTGCATGTCGCAGGGCTTACCAGTTGTGAGCTGCTGTGGAACTGAGACCTGGTTGGAAGCGAATTGATATGGAGCTTCATACTAGGATCTAGGATCATAATGTTGCGGTGGTTCAGTGCCTCGGAACTAGCAAGCAAGCTTAACTCAACTTTGCTTACCATGTGATCGTTTGGCTGACAGCCTTGTTTCGGATTGCTGTACATGATTTGTTCTTCTTGTCTTGGGTGACGAAACCATCTCAGCTATTTTTGTTTCCTCTACTCTGCACCATTGCTAATTTACATGAGGGAGGTTCGTCGACCAAGTTGTCTTGAAAGCCTCTGGCGAAAGATGAAATAACGAGTAGACAGATTCGAACAGAATGAACATCCTGCAAACTGTATATATCAACCCGCATAATAACGACAAGACCACAAATATCGGCGATTTACGTTTGGAGAGATTTCTATCCACCGCATCGGGCCATCTTGAATTGATCTCCTGAAGACTGAGCGCATAAAAGAGTATCACAACAGACGCGCTGGCAATGCTTGCAAACCGCCAGATGTCGCGATCGACCTTGGTAGGAAAATCAAGCTTCCATGCGGCACACTGGGTAGCTCCTAGCACTATGCCTCCAAACATGAGCCCTTGACTAAAGTAGAACTGGGTTCTATGTTCATCCCTTTGTGTACGGAGTAGCGAGTCGTTCCTCGGCGGTTGATCGTACAAACTCATGTTTATATGGGCCATCGATGACCATTCGTACATGAGCATTATTTGTAGAATCCTCATACTCACTATGCTGGATGTGCGCCTCTCACTTATTTCTACCCAATTTAGTCCGAGATCGGTTGCCTCATTTATGTTCTTTGGTTTATTCCACCAAAACATATAGGTGATGAAGCAGCAGGCCGCGAACGAGCACGCAGTTATTTCCATCTGAGTGACCGGCAGACCTTCAATAGTTCGAGCAGCCACTTGTATCACCATCCAAGCGACTTGCGCGATTGCTGAAGCTTTGACAAGGGAATCGGCCTTGCTCTTATCCTCTACCTCCTCTTTTGTGATCGGCAATTTCTTTATATAACTTAACAACCTGAAGATTTCGACATGTGTAATATCCAGATGCAACAGCTTGGAGCCTTGTAGGTCATTTCTCCGCAGTGCCGATCGAGTCACAAAACCGCCCATATTGATATAGAAAGCATGTGCCAGTGTCCATTCCAAAGGGTCTTCGTAGGCTCTTTCAATCTGATTTTGACGAACGAGTTGCAACAAACCCAACCTCGGTCTAGGTGCATCGCTAGCTAACACCTTCAAAGTATTCTTCGCAGCCATCCAATCCGCGACCGCTTTCGCGAGCAGAAACTCCGGGAAGATCAACGAGAACAGCATCCATTTAAACTTCGTCCAGAATCTCTTCCACGCCCATTTCAGATCTCCTCTCCAATTCTTATCTCTGCCATCGCGCTGTCCGGGGACGTTGAGATGCTGCACAGTCCAGATGCATATGAAGATCGTGAATAAGCTGCTCCACAGTATCTGCAGCGTTCCTCGAGAGTTAGGTGCTGTTACGATGGTCGTGGTCAAGGACGGGATCGTGCAGTTGGTAGCGAAGGTTGAGGCTGAGACGAGGCTGGGGCCTATGACGAGGATGGTGGGGCAGGGAGAGCGTTTCATCGTTGCCGTGAGGGTGTATGCTTGAGCTTTGGAGGGATGTAATGTTTCTTATCAGACTTAGATACATTGTGAGGGAGAAGACGCGATCTTTGATAGACGCGTACGAGAGAGAAAAGAGATGCGGTGTGGCTGAGCTCCGAGGCAATAGTGCCATGCGTGCAAACGCATACATTCGCAAGGCTGTCATACGCGTACTCCATCAAATCATGAGGCTTCTAAATCAAATATGCGTCTTTAGTCAGAGTAGGACGCCATGTCTTTAACATCGCACAGTCCATATAATACCAGAGACACTCACCGAAGTCAAACTCAGCCCATAGCCAGCAGTAGAGTGTCTACCTCGAAGAAGAAATCCACTCTGCTATGGCAACGAGGCTGCATTATAACCATGGCTACCTTCACCGTCTTCGTTATCCTAAATTACACTCTAGAAGTCAACTTTATGACCATGAAAATATCTGGTTGCAGTATGAGGGACGCTTTTACGCTTGCGGGTATGTTATTGCTGTTCGGTTTCTTTTTAACGGCTTTGATGGCGTATCATTATCGGCATTGCAACTGTTGGAAAAGAAAGGAGAAGGGAGAAGCAGTTGAACTTGAAGATCTTGTACATAACTAGGAGTCAGGGGTCAGATGTGGATGTTGCCTCTGTATTCCAGATCCTGGTCTTCGATCGCCAGCTTCAGCGTCAGTAGTCGCGAATTTAGAATTACTGCAGTGTAAAAGACCTTCGAAAGCAGTTTGAAACTTCGCTTCACAACAGTACCTCAAGCTTGTTGGCATGCTTTACATACTAGAAATATCCAGCATCTCAACTTCTGACATGTTTCTCCTCGGCTATAAAGAAGAAACGAGAGCGGGACGGCACGAGCAAAACATATCCAAAACGATTTGCAATCACTTCGTAACCCGTCCTACTCTCATTTAGGGCACGCCAAGATGCGACGTGCAACAGAACAAGTCACAACCTCTGATTGGGACCGCCTTGCAGGCATGCGATAGGGAGAAGGCGAACATGGTCACGTGTAGTTGTGAGGCTTTTATAATTGATAGCTAGCTAGTCTCGGCTTCTTACGATGGCATCCACTGCTTGAAAACCCTTGTAAAGGATGGTCCGGACTTATGCGTCTTATACAATATCCTCAGCTAGTCTTGTTTGCAGCTTCGCCTACTAGGAAAATGTTCCCAAACCTCGCACTTCATACAAGCATTTCAACTAGAAGTGGCAACAAGAACTAGGGGTTGATTCCATATGACTAAGTGCCGGGAATCGCAATGGGGATCTTTTGTCTTGATTATCAAGAACCTGACTCGTAACAGGCTTTCATTCCCCCTTTCATTCGCCTAAGCGAAACCCCTGAATTTAGCGAGTTTCGTCAAAACCCCGCATTTCCAAACTCTTCGCACGATGACAAGAAGTCGCAAGAGTAGGTACAAGATATATTTCAACTATAGATTGTCTTGAGTTCCAATTGATAAAGGTCTCTGATAACGCCGTAGAGACTGCGATGCCGAAAAGTGATGGAGTAGATGCTTCCTGGCATGTGCACGACCTGCTCTCGCCGCCACTAGGAGGACGTCGCAGGGAACCGTATCATACGTAGATTTTCCTTCTCAAGTGATTGCCACGGATATATCGGCTCTTTCCCCCATCGGATGTTGGATTTGTAATGCTGGCCTCAAGAAGTCAAGATGATGAGACAGGTGCGGGGTAATCCTCGCTTAAGTCTAGAATCAGCATCATGTTCTGGCATCATGTTCACGGGAATCTGGATTTGTTATGCTTTGTGCTATTATATAGATAGAATTGGGGTCTTAAGGAGTCGTGGTATAAATAAAAAGGACTGGTACCATCCAGAAGTCGCAGTAAACAGTTGCCCTTTGGCTAGAGAGTTCAGGCGATGTCAAAATCCTCCTTTCCGCGGTCGAGAAATTTGTGCTTACATGCAACTCAAAGGGGCTGATCTGCGTACTCGCTTCGGCAGGTATATTCGCTATCTTTGTCCTCGTTTCTTTCTTATCTTTCATCATTCATTTCTATCACTCTCACATCACAAGGCTCCTTCCCAGCCACGCACTGGGTTGACACCACACGTTCGAAATGTCGAATGAAACACCCGTAGGCTTACAGGAGACTCAAAACCCTGGAGATACTGCTCAGCCCGTAGAAGATGGTGGTGTACGTGCGTGGTCCCAGGTTTTCGGCGCCTTCCTGATTTTCTGGAACATCTGGTACATCAATCTCAACCCCAAGAAATCTTATATCTAACCATCTATCGCAGGGGCCTACCGATGTCCTTTGGCGCATTTCAATCATTCTATACTCTAGAATATCTCCCAACATATTCATCCTCGGCGATCTCATGGATTGGAACACTAGAAGGAGCCTTATTGATTCTCCTGGGTGTGGTCTCAGGTCCACTCTACGACCTTGGATATTACCACGTCCTGTTATATGCCGGCAGCTTTCTCACAGTCTTCGGAATGATGATGCTTAGTATTTCCACCGAGTATTATCAGGTCTTCTTATCGCAGGGCGTTTGCGTTGGTGTGGGCTGTGGATTGCTATATGTTCCTACGATGTCGATGATTGGAGGAGCGTTCAAGAATAAAAGAGCGATTGCTATGGGCTTGGTAACTTCCGGAACTGCTCTAGGCTAGTAGTTGTCATCCGTTAATACTCATCGTGCTAATTGCTGCTTTGACAGGAGGTATCATCTACACCATCATTTTCTCGGAACTCATCTCTCGAGTGGGATTTCCCTGGACCGTCAGAACCATCGCATTCGTTAGTCTGGCCACTTTCGCTATCGCCCTTCCAGCTATACTTGGACCTCGAGTGAAAGTGAGCGGGCCTGCCAGGTCACTCATAGATCCGACCGTGTTCACCGACCTGCCATTCCTCACATTTGCCGCTGCGCAATTCTTCATTTTCCTGGGATACCTAGTCCCGCTGTTCTATATCCCTATATTCGCTCAAGTAGCTGTGAAGACGGACAAATCACTTGCGTTGTACTTATTAGTGGCTTGCCAAGCAGCTTCTCTCTTCGGTCGACTCTCCGCTTCAGTTCCTGCTCACTATTTTAGTGTCATGCTTCCCTGGGTGGCAAGCTGCGGTGTGTCTGGTATATTGTGCTTCTGCTGGATAGTCAGTGATAGGCTTCCTGCTTTCATCGCTTTTTGTATTCTATATGGTAAGACTACTCTTATCGTGTAGAAGTTCAATGTCGTGGCAGTCTAGCTCATTAAGTCCCAGGCTTTTTCGGCGGAGCACTAATTGCGCTTCCACCAAGCATCTTTCCAGTTCTCTGTCCAGATCCAAACACTCTTGGATCTCGCATGGGGCTTTCATGGACGACATCAGCTTTATCTTTCGTGATCGGAACCCCAGTTGCAGGTGCCATCATTGATCTTCAACACGCCAATTTCCTAGGTGTACAGGTGTGGAGCGGTGTGACTTTGATGGTTGGAACAGTGCTTTTAGTAGCGCTTTGGATCATGCTATACCGCAGTAATGGACGTGTTCTCATTTAGCGCGAGATATGGAGGCAAGGAGAGAGTTGATCAACTGGTTTATGAGACTTTATGTACAAATTTACTGCTCCAGCAATGACGGCAACTACATGGAGACACCATCCGGTCTTCCATCAGCAATTTCTTTGGATTTCCCCGCCGTGCCTTTCGGAACCATCGCCATCGTAACAACATTAACAACCTCAAACACGGCACGAAAAGACAAGAGCTCATCATGCGAGCCAGGTCTGACAACCACAAGTGCAGTCTCATCTTCGATAGATCACTCGTCAAGAACGGTACGATACTTGTAATTGAGATCTGGCTTTGTCCTCGCGCCCGCGATTATTTTCCGAATGAGCTTATAGCATTTCGAAGCATTTCCCCCTGCGAATGACGTGGAGAATGAATCGATGGGAAGCTGACTAGGCTCTGAGTTTTTTCTCCAACGATGGAGATAAGACGAGAGCCAGACCACCATCGTCGGCAGTATATGACCCTTTTGGTAGCTAGAAAGGCCTCTTGTTGAGAGAAAGCTTTGTGTTGGAATGGCCTTTTCTCCTCCTCGGCTGTCAAAATCTGAAGTATAAGCATATTGAGGAAGATGTACTGTCACGCCGTGTCACGGAAGTGAATGGGCAGGGGGAATTATTCCATTGAAATTAGAGCAATATTAGTAAAGCGTTGTTGAACTTGTCGCCTTGTATATCTTCCCTCTTAACAATTGTGAATTGTAGGTTGCAATCATATCAGGTCCATTCTATAGCTCAGAGCGACGTTTGCATATCCATCTTGAGGTGTGGCACTAACCAATTGCCTTACACTATGCGCGTTCACTACAGTGGAAATGGCCGCAGGGGTTCCCAAGACTTGTCATCTAGGCTACGTTCCGGTCCCTCTTTCACAGATGCCCACTCTGGCACTTTCGTCCACGAGGTCTCAAAAGCGAGACACCAACGGAGATCGGGTTTATCGTGCAGCATTGGCCAAGAGCATCCTCCACGGAGGAAGAACTGAAGCAAAGCCTGGTCAGTGACGCGAATTCCGCCGGAGCGTCGCTGATTCAATGTTCTGATCTCGTCCTCGCAGTCAAAGAGACGCAAGAAATGAGAATTCACTTCCCTGTTGCTGCATAGAAAGTGTCTTCTCTGACACTGCAGAGATTTCGGAACTTGCGGATCTGTGTCTCATTTTTCAGGTGCTCCATCATTTTTCGAAAGTCGTCCCCGCCATAACCCCAGGACGTTGATGGGAAGCTGAATTCATAATCGTTGAGTACTATGAAGCAGCCGATAAGAGACAAGTTCCGTAGGGAGGAAGCGTGATTGAAAATGAATTGCTACAATAACTAACTTGGGGTTCGGAAGTTTTAAAGTCTCAACGTTTCGAGGTTTGGCCAGGTATTCTGGTATATGCTATTATGCCAGGCGCGCCAGCTTTCAATGAACTTTGATTCCAAAGAGAGACGCATCATCCATATCTGACCAGATCATCGTCAAACTCTTTAGACTGGACATAAAACCCAAGCCGTCTTTGAGAAAAAAAGCCCCTTGCTTCGAAACAGGTAGTAGAGGTCCAACCTGTACACTGTCTACCACTAGGCCAATGTGCAAATCACGGACCTTACTGAGGGTACTTTCGAAAGGGTGGACTACAAGAGCTTTGCCCAATCCCAGCTTGCCCTTGGCCGAGCGATCAACGGCTTGTTGAGTCTGGTGTCGATGCAATATCTCGAAGACGCTTAAAGGTACATGCTCCAGGGACAACCTATTGATTGGCGATTTGAGATACTTTAAAGCCCTGAAAATCCCAATAAAGAGGTGAATAGCGGCTGGTTCATCTTGATATCGATGGGGGAATGATGGCTCTGGATCAAAGCGCTCTGGACATAGATAATCCCAGAACGCACAAAGTTCCTTCTCAGATTCTGGAAACGGACACCTTTCAGAGAATGCGCTAACAGACTCCACGTGCGTCAAATGTGAGAACAGATCAATGAACGATTCCGCCATACGGTACAGATCTTTACGGCAAATGCCTAGATTCTGGAGGCGATATTTTGGCCACGAACTGTCAAGCTCCTCCTTCCACATTTCCGTCCTGTGGTCCAGAGCAGCAACCATCTCTTGAACTCGTTTATCTGGAAGATATATCTCAATTTCCTTGATGTGTCGCGCCAGCCATGGCCATTTGCTGAGGGCATTTATAAAGTATGAGGAAGTCCTGTGGGGTCGGAAGACGAGAACACCACGAGTGATACATTCTTCGCAGTTTCCATATGGTTCGCCAACATTGAATAGCCCTTCCGCTGCAGTGTCACGCCAAGCTCGAGAAGTAAGCCGCAGATTCGCTGCGTCTTTTCCCGCCAGGTAGCGGACCACAGCAGATTTGCATTCCTCAGGCAGTTTGGAGATGAAATCGTGGATTTGGAGTTCCATTGTCAGGACAGCTAAAATGCACTGCATCAGTTATTATACGATAAATCACGAAATGCCAAAGAGATATCCGTACCCAGGGTTGTAGATAACAGACTGGCGGATGTGAAGTTGGAAGAAGACGCGTTTGGTGTCGGACTTTTGACATGACTTTGGCCTGATCACGTGCAGCCCCCACCTTACCATAACTTGACAATCAGAACTGAAAGGCATTTACGATATTGTCAATAAATCGAAACATTCTCAAGCCATGGCGCCCAGGATATTGATATTCGGAACCGGCAGTATTGGTGCAGCTTACGCTTACATCCTCTCTCGAGCCGTGCCGGCCAGCAATATCGTCACTGTCTGCCGAAGCAATTTTGAGGCTGCTTCACAAAACGGCTTCACCATCCACTCTTCTCTGTGGGGAGAGAACCAAAAAGTGCAACCTGTTGTTGTTCGGTCAGTAGACGAGGCTGCTCCGACCGATCCCGAACTTGGATTTGATTATGTTCTCATCACATCCAAAGCATTGCAAACGGTTCCGTCAACTCCGGAGCTGATCAAACCCGCCATCTCACCCAAGACCACCATTGTGCTGATACAGAATGGGATCGGAATCGAGGAGCCATATGTCAAGTTGTTCCCTAACAATCCGTTGTTGAGCACTGTCGTCTATCTCCCTGCTACTCAGACGGCTCCTGGAGTTGTGCTGCACAAGGAACTTGAGCTGCTTCACATTGGATCATATCCTGCTTCTTCCAACACAAAATCTGCATCAAAACTTGCAGACCTCCTCACATCCGCTGGTGCGTCATCGAAAGTTCACGAAGATGTTCAGTTCGAGCGCTGGTCGAAGCTTCTGATCAATGCTTCTTGGAATCCGATTTGTGCTCTCACACGCTCACGAGATGTGCAGGTTCTGAGGTCCAGCGCTGAAGCAGAGGAGTATGTTCGCGATGTTATGCTCGAGATTGCGGCTGTCGCCAACGCTTGTGGTTATCAGGAGATCAATGCTGCCCTGATAGATTTCCAGCTGGGCCGCGCGGTTGCCCGTGACCTTCCAGGTGTGGAGCCAAGCATGATGGCGGATGCCTTGGCTGGGAGAAAGATGGAAGTTGAGGCTATTGTTGGGAACGTGGTTAGGATTGCCAAAGAACGTGGCGTGAAGACACCTTTGCTGAGGTCGATTTATGTTCTAGTAAGTGCGTTGGACAGTAGCTTTGGCTCCAAGGCCTAGTCATTTGTCGAGAGAAGGAAGATTCATAGATAGTCCCTGCTTAGAAAGCCTATTTAGAAAGCGTTGCTGCACTATCCTGCACTGTTCCTGCATTATTTCTCCAATGTGTCTTAAGTTTTACAAGTACATGTGAAATAGATGGGCATAGAGTCATGGGTCGTGAAGCTTGAAGAGCCTAAACATTCCAGTTGTTCACGAAATTCAAGCAGTATGACGGAACAGCCGATCATTCTGCATTCGACTATGAATCTGTCATCGAAACTACCATACGAGGCTAAAACCAGATCTTAAACAGTTCGAAAACTTTGGAACAGCTGTCTAGCAATTTCATCGACGACTCCTCCCAGTGTTTGGGGCGAGTGCTTCAATTGATATCTCCCAAATCTCCCGAGCTTCTCCCGTCTGAAAGTTTCGCTTCGTTGCCCTTCACAACAAGGACTTTATGAACCCGGCAGCAACTTAACAAGACCTGCACCGACATATGGATGCAGTCTCAAGAGTTGCACGACGCGACGTTTTTGTTCTTATTATCGCTGGATTCGTTCAGAATCATCTGCTCTGGAGTTTACTTCAGTTCAAGAGTTCAAATTTCTGCGAAGTCCATATCGCTCTTGAGACTTTGAGAGAGAGTATCAAATTTTTCGCTAAAACACCAGCATTTCTATTAATCACACACTTAGCGCATATTGCGCGTAGTGCGCATCTCGCGTTCCAAGCCACGCACGATCCGAATTCTTTACCCTCTGAGAAGCTGATGGCATGGATTTTGAGTATATTGCAACATCTTCTCTAACTTCTCCACCAAGGTGCAGATGCCAACAACATCTCGAGTCGTCTATTGTGCATTAAACTTCGAGAGAAAGAGCTAAGCAATGTAGCAAGTGTCGAGGAAGTAAAAACCATTGAAGACATTCTAAAAACGGAAACATGCGTTAATCTCGCGAGAAAAGACTTGAAGATTGATGCTATGAATCTTACAATTTTAGACTTGCCAAAACTACAAGCTTCGGGCAAAGGACAAGTAGTTTGTGTCGCTGATACAGGATTCAACGACGGGCCTTTACTTAGGAGTTCACTCAATTTGCTGTTGCCAGTAACTACTTTCAAGCGTGTTCTAATCTTGCCTTTCCTCGATGATATGGTAACAAGCGCGGTAACAAAAGGCTGAATTTGTAACTCCGATGTTCCAGGCTGAAGACAGGCTAGACCACGGAATTATGGTCTATGAATGCGTCGCCGCGTCGAGCAAATACAACACGATTCTAGTCTAGCCACTAAGCATGAAGCGTGATCTGCTTCTTCGTCACGCTATCTCCTTGACATTCAAGCTACGCTTCTTGAGGCAGTGGTAAATTGGGCCGCTTTTTTTCGTGGGGATTGCCAACAGTCTCTCGTCTACTTGTCTCTCTTCATCTTTTGACCTTGAGTGCAGAATAGCATCATTGAACAATCAACGCAGCAAGGAATTTTACTTGGAGTTGGGAAAGCTGCTTGGATAGGCAAACATCAGCGAGTGAAACTATTGAACATGAGGTTGTGAAACAGTGGCTACACGTGCTGAGAAAGCCCACCATTACTCCGAATGTGTTCCATCAAGTACTCTTTAGTGGCCGATCAGTTTGATGTCATTCTTTGTTATATTGGGCAATTTGATCATTTGAGGCATTTGGCTGTTGTGATATAATCATGAAATCGCTTGCGCTTCGCACGCAATCCCGCGCCGCAATTCGTCAGAATTGACCTATAGTCATCCCAGCAGTAGCTCCGCTGTGTCTCAGAGATGGTCACAACAAAGGCAACTGGGTGATCAGGATGTTTATCTTGTCTTACAGGGCCTGGGCCAGGATTTATCAGCCACCGGAGTATCAGATCTTTCTTTAGATACTTTTTCGATGGTGAGACTGCTTCCCTTTCCATTTCATTTTAAAGCAACTTTCTTGGCATAGAATGTCCTACCCATATCGTCGAACGTCTTTCTTCAGTACGGACATCCCCTAAGCCTAGAAAGATGGCATCTTCGTCGCACGCGGGCGCAGACGACGAGCCGTTACTACGCCCCAGCTCCTCCTCCGATAGCATAGCGAGCTATGGCAGCATATCGAAGTCTCAGAATGGTGACGAAAACGGGTCTATTAGCAATGGGAATCTTCTGGACCGATCAGTGGAAAATGACGTCCTGCCAGAGACAGCTGTGCTAGGTCGCAACTTAGGTTGGAGCAGTGCATATATCCTTATCATGTCTCGAGTTATCGGCAGCGGTATCTTTGCAACGCCAGGTGCAATAATGAGGTCAGTAGGGAGTATTGGGATAACATTATTGCTCTGGGTCGCGGGTGCTTTGATATCCTGGCTGGGCTTGGCAATTAGCTTGGAATATGGTTGCATGCTACCAAGGTCGGGAGGTGAATATCTTCTTTGATGCGCATCGAAGATGACGCTGACGATACAAAGGGGACAAGGTCTATCTCGAATTCGTTTACCGACATCCGCGCTTTCTAGCTTCTGTTCTTATCGCGGTGAGGTCCGTACTTCTCGGATTTACCGCTTCCAATTGTATTGTGTTCGGCGAGTACGTCCTGTATGCTTTCGATCGAGAACCATCGCAATTTGAAGGCAAAATTCTTGCCCTTGGACTACTCACCACCATCGTGATTATCCACAGCTGTTTCTTGAAGACTGGAATCTTCATACAAAATGTCCTCGGGTGGGTTAAAATTGCCCTGGCTGTCTTCATGGTTTTCACAAGTTTATTTGTTGTTCTTTTCCGTTCCAATGAGAGTACAGAAAGCAGCACCATTCACATTAAGACAGGTGGGAGTTATATTTGGGATGGCTCTGTGTGGAACTGGGGAGTCATCTCTACCGCCATGTTCAAAGTCTCTTACTCATATGCCGGCCTTGCCAACGTCAACAATGTTCTCAACGAAGTCAGAGATCCTGTCAGGACGCTCAAATCAGCAGCAACTACCGCACTTATCACGTCCTGTATTCTATATTTACTAGTCAACATTGCCTACTTCTTGGTTGTGCCCATTGAAGATATCAAGGATTCTGGAGAATTAATCGCAGCTCTGTTTTTCGAACGAGTCTTTGGCCCTAAAGTAGGACGAGTCATGCTGCCATTAGCAATCGCAACTTCCGCGGCAGGCAATGTCATGGTAGTAACATTCAGTCATGTAAGTTTGGTGCCTCAATTAGTCACTGGCTCATTGCAGGAGCAAAGTCTGACAGAACTAGGCCCGTGTTGTGCAAGAGATAGCACGACAAGGATTTCTTCCTTTCTCCCAATTCATCTCTTCGTCAAAGCCACTTGGGGCACCAATGGGTGCTCTAATAACTCATTACATTCCTTCATTCCTGGTTATCAGTATTCCCGCCGCGAATATATATTCCTTTATTCTGGATGTTGAAGGCTACCCAGGGCAATTCTTCTCGATAGCGTCGTCTTTTGGTCTGCTTTGGCTTCGATACAAGAGACCGGACTTACAGAGGCCTTACAAATCGTTCCTTCCAGCAGTTGCATTTCAGATTCTGCACTCGATCGCGGTAATATTTGCACCATTCGTTCCTCGCGAAGGCTTGAATTGGAGACAGCATCTCTCTGAAGTCAGTTACGCTTTTGTTGGGACTTCTATGTAAGTGAGCTCAAACGTTTCCTCTCATAGCTGATGAATTCGCAGTATACTATTTGGCGTTGGATACTGGTATTTTTGGACTGTATGGATACCCCGCAGAAATGGCTGTACTCTTGAAGAAATAGAAGCAACTTTAGATGATGGAACGACTGTCACGAGGCTTGTACACGTGCCGATCGGATCGAAGCCAGTGCCAACGGTCGGCCGACCGACACCTGAGGAATGATGCAACAATAGGGAGTAAATGGTAGGGCGGACTTGACCTGCACCATAGACATAGATTATGCAACACTCCATCGCACACCATAGAACTATGGTACCAACTTCCCCGCAATTGATTTCAAAGAAAATAGTGAGGCCATCACCGACGAACATAGATAGTGCACAATATGTCAGCGATATCCAATCCGACAATTTAGAAATGATATGCTTTCTGCGCGGCATTGCGTGCGAGGAAATGATCACATATTACAAATCGAACGCAATGCCAGGCACACTGCTACCGAGGGAACATATAATATCAGACAAATATCTGAGACCGCCAGAACTTCATACATTTCCTCATAAAGATAAAAGCTCATTTGTGAAAGTGTCCAACAATGGCAACTGCTGCTGTTCAACATGCTCCCGGCAATACCGTCGACCAAGTCATTGAGCCTCTCGCTCAGGAGAATAAACTCGCGAAGCATGACGTTGTAACCGAGTTAAATTACTACAATGATCCAGGAGATGGATCTCTCCCAGCTCCTGTCTATGTTGGGTGAGTCTTGGTTCAATTTGAGCAAACACATTCTGAGACTTAGGTCAAATAGTCAAACAAATGTTGAACGTCCACACGCTGCCCACAAAATTGTCATCCACGATATTTCTGGAGATGAGGATAAATACACCCTTGATAGCCATGGCTTCCAGTTTGTGAAGCATGAAAGCAAAGAGAAAGACTTTCTGGACAATGAGAAGATCAAGGCAGAGTACTATCCAGAAGTGGAACAGCTCTTGAAAGATTTGTGAGTAACTGTCTACTCCGCAAGTGACAACTCTACTGACATATCATGCAGCACTGGAGCAAGTCGAGTTTTCATCTTCGACCATACAATCCGGCGCGCGCCCACTGACAGTCGCAGCGGGCCCACTGTACAGCGTGGGCCGGGGAAGAGGGTTCATATTGACCAATCTTACCGGGCCTCTGAAGCCCGGGTCAAGTATCACCTCCCAGATGAGGCTGACGAGCTTCTCAAGAACAGGTTTCAGATCATTAATGTGGGTTCTTCCCTTCACCCACAATCTAACATCCATACTCACCGTTTCCCGCTTCAGGTTTGGCGACCCATCAAGACAATCCTCAGAGATCCACTCTCACTTGCGGATGCCCACTCCGTGCCAGACAGCGATCTCGTTCCTGCTGCTCTCATCTACCCGGATCGTGAAGGTGAGACGTACGCTGTTAAGTTCAATCCGAGTCATAAATGGTACTTCAAGTATGCCCAGCGACCTGATGAGCCCTTGTTTATCAAGTGCTACGACTCGGTCGATGATGGTCGCCCGAGGAGAATTCCACATTCTGCATTCTCAAATCCAGCTCATGATGATGAGCCTCCGAGGGAGAGCATTGAGGTCCGAACACTAGTGTTTTATGATTACTAGACTGCCAATATGTCAATTAGTATGTTGCTGTAGTAGGAAATCTTGATGCTCTGATACGTGCAAAGTTTGAGCACTCAAAGGAGACTTTGTTGGATATTGTGAGGGCTGTATAGGTGCAGAAATTGATGAGCTAGGTTGAGGAAAGGTGACAGATTGAATGAGGACTCTATATTGTTTCGAATGAATGCAAATCAGATTACACACCAGCTTTGCATATTTGAATTCAAAACTAAAACGCCACGAGAATCCCCCAGAACATCTAAAGCTAAGGATAAATAGCAAACAATCCATTCTACTCTCCGGGCTTATCCTCCCTCAAAGCCATGAAATTCCGTAAGACGATTGCGCAAATTTAGCTTGAGCCACCAAAAAACCAGTAGAATCCCCATTGTCCAAATGAAGGAACAACATAGTTCCAAAGGGCAGCGCTCAGTGCCCAGGGCATGATATCAACAATAACCTGACCAGCGTGCGATTTAAGACTTGGACTTGCCAAATTTTGTAGAGCCTCCACTTTGGCTTCCATCCTCTTCAGAGTTGCCGTCATGGCTTCTTGTTCTATTCTTCGCTTCACTTCCTTTCTCATTGCTTCTCCGAACTTCGAGCGAGCATGACGATAATCATTCACAAGGATGGGAAGATCTGTGGGCCACCCTCGAAGCAGGGTTGAGACCAATTGTTGGCCAGACTGTAGCTCGTCTGTGAGCCGATATATTCGGGCACCTTTCGAGATCATAGGTTTCCAAGTCTTCTTTTTGAGGAAAGCCTCACGTTTGAAAGCGGTAGGAAGGTCAACTGTGTTGCGTCGAAGTGTCAGGTGTGGATCTGTGCTATCAGCCACCGCTTGTCCTCTGGTTTTGAAATCAACCCCGGCGTAAAACATCCTTTATTTGTTGGTTTTCAAACACCACTCTGACTTCGAATCCTAACAAGCAAGTCGCTTCTGTGTTCTATTTTCAGAGCAGTGCAGAGACTTTGTCTCATGATTGCCTCGTTTAAAATGAAACTGTACATAAAGACCTCAACTTCTTTGAGATTGTTTGTTGGTTTCACATCAAATTCTCAAGGACTCTGGCAGCAACCAGATCAACAAAGAGCGACTTTCTCTACAGAGCGACCCATGCTCAGACAGTATGACACAACATCGAGGACAAAACACAGGACAAGATATAAACAATAAGCTCCTCCTTCACAACAGCAACAACTCAGCACATCTTCTCAACATCTTCACCACTCCTCAAAATCATTATTACTTGAGCATTCGCAAACTTCAAAACTCCACAATGGCATCAAAAAACGTCGATCAAAAATCCGACTTTTCCACCTCCATCTTAAGATTGAAGCACCTGATCCTATCAGACGACGACGATCGAGCAACCATAGCCCACTTCCAAGCATATCGCCGCTTAGGAGGTCATCCCACCAAAGAAATGTACGAAAAATACCTTGCAGCGATAGAAAATCAACAAGCAGAATGCAGCATCAGCATCAACCGACCCCATGAGCAAAACAACAACATCAACAGTGTGTTCATCACCGCTCAGGCAGAAGGCGCCACCAGTCATGGTCCTATCCATATCACCAGCCATCCTGGAAAAGATACCACCGATCAGTGTACCGAGCCTCCAGCTTCGTCAAATATCGTGTGGGACATTGGATGTAAGGCGAAGGATGCCGTTGTGTTTGTCGCTTCAGGAGTTGCTAAGCTGTTTTGGTTGACCAAGTGAGCCAGTTGGAGTTGACATAGAGCCGGGTACTGGATTGTTGGTAGGAGTGGAGAGGGTGACCTGCTGGCGGGTTGCGATAGATTTCGTTGTTTCCAATAGATCGAAGTCCTGCTGATTTGCGTGAAATATTCTTCTTGAGTGCAAATTACAGTTCCAAGTGATTCATACCGATACTGAGATAGTCTTAACTCGACGAACGGCGCCGTTGACTGGATATCTATACGTTAATTAGTATATAACAGTGTGATATTGTGAATTGACGGCGGTGACTCACTCTACATATGGTCATCAGATAACTTTCAGATGAAGATTGAAAGTGAAGCTGAAGGAAAACGAGCTGTCTTGTCTGAAATCTGGTCGCTTGGCTTAATTACCTCGTCTTCGGACTCTCCTCGTCTCCACAACACAACAACAAAAGCTCAATCCATCCAAATGGATATCTTAACCACAATCATCAGCCTCATCGGCGCAACCTACCTCTTGAGCAGCCTCTTGCGTTTTCTCCAATTCATCAACCTCCACCGCTTCCACCGCTCCCGAATCGCCCTCTACCGTCAGAACCACCATGAGTTCAACGCTAGAGCCTGGGCTATTGTAACCGGCTTAACAGATGGCATTGGCCTCAACTATGTCCGCGAGCTTGCCGAACTCGGCTTCAACATCGTTGTCCACGGCCGAAATGCCAAGAAACTGGACCAGGTGCATCACGATCTCAAATACTCATACCCTCACCTTCAATTCCGAGCCCTGCTCCTCGAAGCCTCGACTTCAGACTTAAAGAGTGTCAACGCAGCGGTTGACGGAATCCGAGATCTGCATGTCACGGTCTTGATCAACAATGTCGGCACGGCAGCCAAGAACGACGGTCCATTTCTGGAACCCTTTGTCCAGACCTCAGCTGAAGATGTTGATTTGTTGATCAACGTCAACGCGAGATTCCCGATGCAGTTCACGCGTGCTGTACTCCCTCTTTTGTTGGCTCACGGTGGACCGGCTTTGATTATGACGCTGGGTAGTATGACCGAGTATGGAATCCCGTATCTGCTATCCTACTCTTGTCTGAAGAGCTTTGATCTGGCGTTCTCGCGTGCGTTGCGGAGGGTAGGGAGAATGTTGAGGTTCTTGGGGTCATGTTGGCGGGGGTTACAGATACGAGTTGGACTAAGGATGCCGCGAGTGTGTTTATACCGCATAGTGAGCAGTTTGTGAAGAAGTCGTTGGAGATGGTGGGGTGTGGAAGGGATGTCGTTGCGCCGTGGTGGAGTCATGGGGTTGTTTGGTGGGTTATGGAGTGTTGTCCTATGTGGCTGCTGGATCGGATGATGGTTAAGATGTCAAAGAAGATGTTGGAGAATCCAACATTGAGCAAGAAGCTGTGAGTATGGATGACTTGATGGTAGATCATTGCACGATGGTCAGCGTTGAGGGCTTGCTAATTGCTATGGGACTCGAAAGCCTAGTTAGTTCATTGAATCGCTGGAGATTATCACCTCGACAATAAACCGTTTGAAGAGATGGTTGAGAGACTCTCGTGTGTACTTATTTTCTATGCTTTCCCCAAAACTTGATCAAATACTGCAAGCAGCTGTTTCACTTCATCCACTGCACACAATTAGCATGTCGTGAAACATCCTACCAGCAATGCTTACCAGTATTATAATGAACCATGGACACTCTAACAACACCATCTTTGGGATCCAAACCAAGCACCTCCTCAATCAGTCTATTACTGTAGAAACCACCCCACCTGATTCCCATCTCCCCATTCGTGGCCTTATCCACAGCTTCAACAACATCCCGACTCTTCCTACCTTTGACCACGAAGCTAACTGTGCTGACTCGCTTCGAGGAATCTGGTTCTTTCTCTCCGCAAATGGCGACATCTGATCTAGCATTCAAATAATCAAGAAGAGTACTCTGAAGGTCAAATTCATGCTTGACGATGCTTTGCCAGGTCTCGGTTTGTTTGGGCCCAAAATATTCCACAACGGAGGGAATAGATGCTGTAAGCTCATAGCAGGAACCAGCAAGTCCAAGCTTGTCTGCTAAGGTTGCAGAAGGGTTAAAGAAATGACCCAGAGACTTCACAGCCTCAAGACCTTTCTTCGATGCATAAAGCATGGAGATATGGGGACCATAAACCTTTGCTCCTCAGTAACTGTTCAGAATTTGCGGGATTGACGTACTTTGTACCAACTGAAACTGTAAAAGTCTGCTCCTAGTTCCTGCATATCGAGCTTACGATGAGGAGCATAAGCTACGGCATCTACACACAATAACGCACCAGGAATCGTATGCACTACTTCAGCAATGGCTTTGATATCATGGATCGTGCCAAGGATGTTCGATGCATGGGTACACGTGACCAAGGCTGTCTTCTCTGAAAGCAGCTCCTTGAGATCTGATGCGAGGAGTTTTGGATTCTCTTTGGTCTTGGGAGTCCACCATTTTATTGTCATATTGGTGTTCTGTGCCAAAGACACCCATGGCGCGATGTTGGCTTCATGGTCGACTTTGGAAATGACGATCTCGGATCCAGGTGGAAAGCTTAGAGCAGTGGACAAGGTTCGAAAGAGCTGTGTTGTAGAAGAGCCCAGGACTACGCAAAATTTAGTCACATTTGTCCGGTTCTTCTGAAATTAGGTACTTACCTATGTTCTCTGCCGAAGTATTGATGTACTTGGCAGCCGCGGCATAGCCCTCTCCATACAAAGCAGTGGACTTCTGCCCCACAGCATAACTTGCTCCAAGTTGAACATTAGTCTTTGAAAGATAAGCAACAATTCTGCCTAAGTCAATAATTGTCTTGTGGCTTCAATTCCAGAGCTCACGAATCAATCACGCTTCCGAGCGTCTGACTTCCTCCCGCGTTGTCAAAAAAGACTTGAGGCTGCTTCAGCGCGGGGAAGCGCTCTCTTGCGCTTGCAACGTCGAATGAGCTCATAATGACTGGGAAGTTAAACCTTTTATCGGGACTATGAGAGGATGAAAATTGTTCTGTGTGACGTTGTACACTTGCTCGACTTTGTAACACTACCCCATTCTTCTCTCATGCACGCCTATTGGTTCTCCTTCCTCGAAGAGTCTAGGGCGCATCGTGACACCAACTTCACCAAATGAACGCGTTGAGACTTTCCGACGCGACGAAAAAGAAGTAAAATATACACGTCTTTGATCGAGGATGATCCTGTGGTTCTCGGAGAGCATAGAGCGCTTACAGTGCATATCGCGGTAAGATATTCATAATTATGCTCCGAGTTGCCAGTCAGATTCGTGCCTGATGCATACCCCTTTATCGCCTGAGAGCGCCGGCGGTTCACGTCTCATGCGACGCCAACGGCGGTGAAGCGCGGCAGAATTCGCTCCACTCAAATTATCGATTTATCATGAAAGTCGACTGACTTTCCCAACCATTGAAAACCTCTTCACCGACTCTCCAATTCTACTCATTAAACATCATGAAGCGCAAGGCAGATACTCAATCAAGTGGCCAAAATGGCAAAGGGATTTTGAAGAAGCGCGTAAAGACTGGTATGACTTCAATTGGTTTCGAAAATACCCCGCCCACAGCCTGACCGTATTAGCTCTCGCAGAAGAAGATGTCCAGAAATGCTTTCGAAAGGGTCTCTTTGCCAAAGATATCCTTCTTGGGTATGCAAAAGACTACGCAGATTCGGAACCATATAAGCACAGCGTTATCAGCTCCTTGATCAACGATGATCTTCTACGAAAAGTCCGCAACGAAATCCGCGAGAATGTCCAGTTCACGCCCAAAGAGACGGACATCTACAGAATACACCAATCCGGCGACCTAGCCAATCTCGATGGCCTCGAAGATGGTGCCTTAGACAAGTTGCCCTCGTTGCTAAAGCTCCGTGATGCGATGTACTCGGAGAAGTTTAGGGAATATGTTTCAACGGTCACAGATTGTGGAAAGTTGAGTGGCAGAAAGACGGATATGGCTATCAATGTGTATACACCTGGATGTCATCTGCTATGCCACGATGATGTGATTGGAAGCCGGAGAGTCAGCTACATCCTATACTTGACAGATCCAGATCTGCCATGGAAAGAGGAATGGGGTGGTGCGCTACGATTATTCCCTACCAAGACCTTCGAAGATGATGAAGGGGTGAAGACGATCACACCAAGTCCTGACTATAGCAAGGTCATACCACCGGCCTGGAACCAACTGAGTTTCTTCGCTGTGCAGCCTGGTGAGAGTTTCCATGATGTCGAGGAGGTGTACCATGCCGAAAGCAAAGAACAATTGGAGAAGGATGGTGGCAGAATCAGAATGGCTATCAGCGGTTGGTTTCATATCCCACAAATTGGAGAAGATGGACACATCAAGGGTGAAGAAGAGAAATGGGGCAAGAACAGCAGCTTGAAGCAGTTGCAGGGCAACCCAGACGAATACGACTTCCCCAAATCACAGCCTGTCACCATCGAGTTTCCATCAAAACCAGAAGAAGAGAAGGGACTTGAACAAGAGGAGCTCGACTTCCTCCTCAAATATATGGCTCCAACATACTTGACTCCAGACACTCTCGAGGAAGTTGCAGAGCGATTCATGGACTTGTCAAGCGTAGCACTTGATGGCCTACTATCAAACAAGTTCTCCGCCAAAGTCAAGACCTACATTGAAGTTCAAGAATCAACTGCTCTTCCGGAAAAGACATCTGAGATCGAGGATGGCCAATGGAGGATTGCCAAACCACCACACAAGCATCGTTACCTCTACATGCAACCATCACTCAGCAGTTCTCAAGAAGAAAACGCGGATGAGAATCCTATCAAAGAGCTGCTCGAGGTTTTTCTCCCAAGTAAAGAGTTCAGGAAGTGGTTGGAACTCGCTACAGGATGCGACATTGAGAATTTTGACATTCTGGCAAGAAGATTCCGTCGTGGTCTCGATTATGCTCTTGCTGCAGGCCATGATGGAGAACCGAGATTGGAGATCAGTCTTGGTCTCACACCAACTCCTGGCTGGGGTGCCGATGAGGAAGAAGAGGAGGAGGGTGACGAGGATGCCAAACAGTCTGAGTCGTCTGACAAGAAGAAAACTAAAGAGAAGCAAAAAGAAGAGGAACCAGAGGAAGAAGACGATATTGGCGGGCATGAAGTCTACATGGCAGGCGAAGATGAAGACGACGCTGACGCGGCCATCTACAGAGCCGCCTCTGGAGAAGAAGACGATAATATCCTGTTCGCCTCACCAGCATCGTGGAACAAGATGAGCATTGTTCTTCGAGACAGTGGCGTTTTGAAGTTCGTCAAGTACGTAAGTCAGAGTGCGAAGGGCGATAGATGGGACATCAGCGGCGCCTTTGGTGTCAAGATTACCGAGGGCTTGGACGACAGAGAGGAAGAAATGGTACCGTTACCAGAAAGCGATGAAGAGGAAGTCTTCAACGGATTCCCCGATTCAGATGATAGCGATTCTGATTGAGAGCCTGGCGATTAGATATTAGAAATGTTGACGAATCATGACCTCTCCAAGAATCTTGTTGTTTCATGTAGAATGTAGATCACGGAATTCCCCCTTCATCGCATCTTTTCTTGTTGCACGTCGCGGATCGACTGTCAGATGGATGATGACACTGCGGCTTAAACTTTGGGCCCCACACCTACCGATCGTCGGCACGTGGTGGAGGATTGAAGATGTCTCAGTAAGCTAGATTTCATGGGATGGGAAGACATGCAGGTGAAGGATGTAAATTGGAATTCTATCATGCTAAGCCCCGAACCGGTGCTTACTGCGAAATGGTATTTGTATTTACCGTACCTTGCTGCAACGTCCCTCATCGTTTACCCCATAAGAGTGCTATCGAAGCCAACTATCACAACGCCCGGGAAAGAAGGAGAACACCTGAGTAAGAACGGAGAAATGTTCAGGAAGGGGATGTGCGATTCCCCGGAGACATCTACTGCATTTCCGATTTGCTCCTCTAAGTCCATCTTTTTTTAACAAGCTTATCGATAAATATCGTACTAATTGTCTTTTGAAAATACAATCTTACAAGCAGATTGAGGCAGGAAGTCTTTTGACGTACTATGTCTAATATGAAAATCAATACTTCATACCTAATCAAAAATGTTTGATTCCAGATAGCATGGAACAAAGACAATGCATGAAAAGCAAAGAGGACAAGAATTTGCATACCTCATTCGTAGTTCTCACTTAAAGGGGCTCATGGGGAGAATCATCTCTTACAAAGCCTACTCCCTTATTCCAGAATAATATTTTAGGAGACAAGATGGAGCGTATAGCAAATGCGACCGCTACTTAATCGCTTTCTCTTCTGTCCCCACTTGCTAACCGGAGCCCCAAAGATCAAGTTTCCGCTACTTGATCCCAATTCACAACCACAACGTCGTAATTACCAGGATCGCCGGACCACTCAAAAACTTTCAAAGAATCAAACGCCCCTTTCTCAAGTGGTAACCTCGGATCCCGATCGCCCTTGGGCCGAAAACTCGTCGCCCAAAACTCCTTGGGAATTTCAGGACCAATCCTATCCTGTTTACGACCAACAATTCTCTCCCAAATCTCTCTTCTCTCCCACGGCGCCGTGTTAACCTCGAGAAAACAAGATGATTCTGTTAGGGGCACAGACGTCCTAATAGCCTCGTTCTTTCTTTCAGCCCAAGCGACGTCGACGGTGCCATCCAGCTGCAAGTGTTCGATACCCCATTCTGGAGCGAGGTCCATGCCGTCAACTAGATCAACCAAATCAACCAGCTCGTGTTTGTCGAGGAAGCTTTGTGCGAAGATGTCCAAGCGAGCGTAGGGAAGACCTTTGTGGCTCCGCTCAAAATTGGATGGGATGCATTCAAAATGGCAATCTGAGGAAGGAACCAACTGGATCCAAGCGACGGATCCTTTGAGTTTGAATAGCGGGAATGTATGCTGCAGACTTTCATTCGCGCCAATCACAAATCACCCGTGTGTTGGTTTTGAGCCTACTAAAATTCTACTTTCTCTTGAATGGCGTCACCTCAAACTCTTATAAACTTGAATTTCAAACAGGAAGAATATAGACTTATCTATGAATACTATTAATAGACGTGCAGAGACAATGGTCTTGTTCAGAATTATTTAAGATAACTTGAAGAACCCATATCTGTGAGAAGCCTGTCATATCCTTCAACCATTTGCAAAATACAACTCAAACTTATATCGACACCGAACACAATCAACTGTTACCCCCCGGACAATTGAACATCGAGTCTCAACATCGGTATAAGCAATGGCAAACGTAACGCAAATCGGCAGTAAAATCTTTGTATATGCCCTCGTCATTCCATTGTTTTTAATTTACAATATATTCAACCTTGCAAAATCCCAGTCGATGCAAAACTGACTGAAATGAGCTCTTCTATTGTCTAGTTGTGTTTCAAACTCCCCAGGGATTCCGAATCTCCACTTAGTCCAGATCGAAGTTGACGAAGAAACCAAGATCCGAGTAGGGTATTATGGTATACAATAGAGATGTCCGGATCTCCTCATGAGCATTGCTGACTTTGCCAGGAATATGTGCTATTAGAGCTAACAATACCAATTGTATTGCTTCAGCTTTTGCTTCAAACTCTTCCATTTCAGAGAAGCTTCAAAATGGTTTACGAGGACAGCACTTGTCCCAGGACTCCCTGAACGAAGCCATCAAGCTGGAAACTACAGTTTTCCTCAATGTCTTTGCAATCGCAGGATTTCTCCTCGTGTTGAGCCTCATTTTTGAACTGTTTCGAATATACAGCACTAAACGCAATCGCAAAATAGCACCAGTTCCATCAACAATTCGTCGTCAAAACTTCTACCGACAATTCTCACTCACCTTGGCCTGGGCCGCGTCCGCGCTTACGTTCGCAGCTGCTACGGCAAACACACAAACCGGCAGAGGGCTTAACAGACTCCTGAAGGCACAGTCTCTCCCGGTCAAGCTGCAATAGTCCTTCACTGAACGGCCTGGTCGGTGTCGATGCTGTTCTCTTTCGGGCTAACTAGCCTTGCAAGCTGGGCAGATGCCCATGCCCGACTCGAGCTTCAATCAATGTCTAACGGCCGGTGCTGCTCCCATGGGAATTGTGACGGTGTAATGCTGCATAGCCTACCTGGGCTGCAGGGCATCCCGTCGATCGGGCAGGTTTTCTGAGAAGCGTTCAGGCAATGCAATTGAAGGAATGTCCAACGCTACAATATTTACCTAGGTAGTTTAAAAATAAAGAACAAATTATGTGTCTAGATGCAATAAGACTTCCTACACACTCAAATAAAATTCCAATCAGTTATCTTTGCAAAGTAACATTTTGCAAAACTATGCTCAGCCTTGAAAATTTCCAGACAAAAACATATTACCTACCTAATTCTGAAAAATATCGAATGAATCATGTGACAAAGTCTGGAAAATCGACGTACAACCGCCACAAGGCAAGAGAAAGCACTGAAGCAGTAGCATTACATCTGTTTAAGTATAAATCGACAAGTCTGAGCTGTCAAGACTCATCAAAAGACCTCCACGTTTGGGGACTTCACGTGATACTAGCGTAGCTTGCCTAGCGCACTCTACTGCTCATCGACTTCATCCCTTCTTCCCATCCCAAGCTGAAAAGCTGCCACGCAATCAAAAGAGAGCAATCGTACTTGACACCCTCTCGCAACACACAACCGCATCCAGACCCACCGATGCTGTCAGAAGCATGTGCACGGCGTGAAAGTTGTCCCGGCTCAAGTTGCCAAACGGCACAGCTTTGCAGCAACAGGGTCAAGCGAGTGCGATGTGAAGCCACATGCAATGCGAGACCCTCGAATCGGGCTTTCGCAATGTGGCCTCGCTGTGTTTCTGTCTCCGTCATTTTATTATCTTATATGTGAGGACTCTCCTTTATGCTTTATTTGAATTCTGTTGCTTGTTTTGCAGTAAGTTTTGCCGACGCCTGGTGTCGCATCCGGATTCGCTTCGTCTGATTGGACTGCTCGTTCGTGTAGCTTGGTTATAAAGATTCGTCGTATCCCGCGTTCCTTGTGAAAGTATTGTTGTCGACTTCATCATGGCGCATTTATACATCACGGAGATCTTGATTCTATTTACTGCTTGGGTAGCGTTTGTTCAGCTTCGGAATTGGCTGGGTTGGAGAGCGGTGAAAAAATGGGGCGAGGAACAGGGCTGTAGGGATGCTCCGCAAGTCCCAAATCATTTGCCTGGAGGGGTTGAGAGGTATGGTTTTGTTATAAACATGCTTTTGGGTCGTCTTAAAGGTATGTGTTGAATTCTATGACCTATTTCGATATCCAAGATGGAGAAGGCAGTGGTAGTGGACCTGCAAGAAAGTTCCCAGGCTGATATTGATAGACCTCGACTTCTTGGAAGATGTCGTTCGAAAACGCTCTATTGATATGGGATGTTATACCTTCCGTATCCACAATCTTTTCAACGAAACCATGGTTAGCACCAATGACCCAGAGAACATTCAAGCCCTGCTAGCAACTAAGTTCCACGACTTCGATCTTGGACCACAGAGACATGAGATGTTCAAGGAGATGTTGGGTCATGGAATATTTACGGCAGAAGGAGAGAAATGGGCTCATTACCGTCATCAGCTCAAACCACAATTCGCCCGCGAACAGATAGGTGACCTCGAAGCTACCAACCGACATCTCAATGTCATGCTTAAAGTCATGCCTGAAGAGAATGCTGCTGGTTGGATCGAATCGGTGAACCTTCTCCCACTACTCTACCGCCTTACAATGGATCTCAGCACCGAATTTCTATTTGGACAATCAGTCAACAGCCAGTCCAACACCCTTTACTCCCAAGAATCAGGAAACACCAAGGATATGCAGGAGCAGATTGATTTCGCCGAGGCAATGGTTTACGCCCAAGAATTCATCTCATGGCGATTCCGCATCCGAGGCTTCTACCTCTTCGTGTCAAAGAAGAAGTTCAGGGAAGCTTGTGCCACAGTCCAGAACTTCGTCTCTCGTTTCGTCGACGTCGCTCTTAGTCCAGATGCCAAGCACGCAACCATGACCGCAAGAGGAAAACCAAAGTTCACCCTCCTCGACGAATTGACCAAAGAAACCAGAGATCCCATCGAGCTTCGAGATCAAATGCTCCACGTCCTCCTCGCCGGCCGCGATACAACATCCGCCACATCCGGTTGGGCCATCCTCCTCCTCTCCCGCGCCCCCGCCGAGTTCGCCAAACTGCGAGCCGCAGTCCTCTCCCACTTCGGCACAGCCAGCAATCCGACCAACGAGATGACATTCGAGTCCCTTAAAGCATGCAAAGAGATGACCTACGTGATATACGAAACTCTCCGCCTCTTCCCTCTCGTTCCTCTAAACGGCAGATTCGCATTGAAAGACACGATACTGCCGGTAGGTGGCGGCCCGGATCTCAAGAGTCCGATTGTGATTAAGAAGGGTGAGAATGTGGGGTTCTCGACTTATGTTATGCATCGACGACATGATATCTGGGGAGAGGACGCGGAGGAGTTTCGGCCGAGTAGGTGGGAGAAGAGGAAGTTGGGGTGGGAATATGTGCCGTTTTCTGGGGGTCCTAGAGTTTGTCTTGGTCGTAAGTACTTTCCGTGATGGTGGAAGATGGTTTGGCTAATTTATTGGGTTGCAGAACAATATGCGATGAATAATATTGCGTTTGTGTTGGCCAAGTTGGTACAAAGGTATGATGCGATCGAGACGCTAGACATGGAGGGTGGGTTGAAGAAGGGCCTGTCTATTGTGATGGCTCCTAAGAATGGTGTCATGGTTAAGATGCACCGGGCTAGTGAGTAGACACTCTCTTCCCAAACGGTGGAATGGCCTTCTTTCTTGCGGCGGGCATAATCATGGAGTCAGGCGTAGCTTGATAGGCTTGGTACTGGCGCTGGTCACATACAATTCTCCTCATCCATTTTATGGAATATGTAACATCAAAACTCCATTCATTGAATCAATCTCATTCCTAACACGGGTATATATCTCGCCCAAAACACCCGCTCCCAAATTATCGAAATCATATCCAAACCAATCGCATTCCTTTGTTCATATTCCCTTCCATTTCATTCATGATCATATCCATCAAATCTTCCTCCCGCCCTTCTTCTTCTCCAAACAAGCCGGCTTAAACCTCCCAAACTCCCTCTCAAGCTCCTCCTCACTCCACCTCCGATACGGCTCCGTCCCAATATACTCCCCCTGCACGCCCCTCGCAAAATACTTCAGATACTCCCTCCTCGGCATAAACGCCACCTTCATAACCCCCTTCCCCTTCCCGTCACCCTCCCTCGGCCGCAGCACTTTCCCCAATAACCCATTCTTCCTCGCCTTCTTCTGCGGATGCAGCGACGGACTGGGAATAACGTCTACGATGATAGCGGGGATGATAGAGTCGTCGGTATAGCGCTGCGGGAGCAGTTGAGGCGCTGTGAACATGTGGCCCCCGAGAGAGGCGAGGCCGCTGGGGGATTTGAAGGCCGGCGCGGGACGTCCCGTCGCGGTGAAGTGCGCGAGGTCGTAGTCTGAGAGGGGGGCGGGGAGCGTGGTGTATGGGTTGGGGATGAGGGGTTCGTTGTCGGAGTCGTAGGGGAGTGGGGTGTTGTAGAGGTGTGTGGAGGAGGAGGACGAGGGTGGTGCGGTGTATTTTACTTCGGTGGAGTGGGCGTCGCGGTAGGGGAGGAGGGTTGGGAGGGTTTTGGTTGGCATTTTGAGTGGGGTTGTTGTGTTGTGTTTGGATAGTGAAGCTTGTAGTTGAGGTTCGAGTTTGTTTGACGGCTTCCTTATAACTCTCCCGGAATGCCGGTGATGATGTAAAGTGATATAATGCAGATCAAGTAAGACGGAACAGAGTAATCAACCTGAGAACTTAGCTGCAACTCAAGGTCTGATAGATGTCATAGGATAAGGTGGTATCATGAGGTTATCACTGCCCAGACACAGCCACGACAGCGTCGCAGTGAGGCTTAAGTTGGCGTCACCTCGCGTATAGAAGGCAGTTGAGTGCCAAGGTGGAGCTATTGGTCGGGGTATATAAGCTTTGCGGCGAATAAGTGTTGCAGATGCTTGTTTGGGATTGAGAGTGGAGTGAAAGTGGGTTTGGAGATGCATGTTGGGGAGAAAGGTCGAACTTTACCCCGCGCTTCTTCGCGTATATTCGGCATGAGAGCTGATTGGCCCAGAAGCTACACGTGACTGACAGAATTTTGGCCCTGAGTACCCATATAGGAGGTCAATTTACCAGTATCATCGTTTTGAGGTCTAGGAAGAATATCGAGTCATCCTGTTAAGCAGTAAGTAAGCGAGCCATTGACTAGGGGTATCAGGTGATCTGACAAGATTCAAAACACTCTGCTCCGCTTCCTGTGCTTCTCCAAGTTCAATATCAATCTGATACTTACTTTTCCAGTCTAAGTTTGAATAAGCTATGCTTATACAAAAGACAAATGGAGTGCAGGCGCTTCTTTTTGGATAATCACGGCAATCTTTCAACTTTCTGAGGTTGAGAAACTTAGGAGAAGGAGGCAATAGAATGTCAAGGTGGTTTCAGGGAAGATTGTTTCTTTGTGGTGAAGTGGATGGAATATGGATCACACTAATTCCTAAAACTTGACTAAAATTGTGAAGCACGAGTTGAGGTTCATCCTGAGTCCTAATGTCTCGAGACTAGGTTCAATAGATAAGAATTTTAGAACAATCAGCAAGATTATTATGTTAATTGTGAACTGTCGCCAAAGATGCCAGACAAGGCAGACGAAATGATGAACATGGTACTTGTCCATTTTATCGAGGAGGAGGAATAGTAGCAGGCATTTCTTCTAGTTTGATCTATATCTTAGAGCTCAGGACTAGTTCTCGTCCTAGTATGTTGCCAATAAGTACTAAATTACTAGCCAGGTTCATGTGACTAGATAGAGGCAAAGGACATTTGTTCGGCATGATAGCTGGATGCCCAGAATCTGGATATAGACCGAAAGATCCGGAGCTTTTGGGCACAAGTAGAAGCGGTCGCACTGCCATAAAACATTCCATGTCTCGTTACTAGTTTGTAGACTCTAACCTTCGTACCACAGATGGGTGTCTACACTCTTTGTGCATTCATCAACGCTGTCCTACTTGTCCCATCTACTAAATCACTCGAGGTTTTTACCTCTATCAGAATAGAGCGATCGTATAGTAGAAAAGTCACTCGAACTTCCGATGCAGTAATAATTAAACGATTGAGCATGGTAAATACCTGGACCTGGACCAACAACACAATATTTATGTAAAGGCTTGCTTCTTCCCGTCATTCCAGTGATCCTTTCGAATGTGCGTAACCACATCGCTGTGAGTGAGACAAACATCGCCATTTATCCCACCAGGGCAGTCATCGAAAGGACATTCCGTGTCTTCGTGGCACGTCTGTATATGTAATAACCATTTGTCTTTCCTAATAAAGGCTATAGGACTCTGGTCACACTTAGTACATGGACAATACAAATACGAAGCCGACGCTTCTTTGTGGAAAACTGTAATGTGCCGTTCGAGGTCGTATCTGCTTCTGAATGGCTTCCGGTGTTGGCAATCTTTCACAGTACAGAGAATTGGAGAAATGTGCACGTTCTCCAAGTGCGTTCTAAATATCCGTTCGGTCTTGAATATCGCTTTAGATTTGCAGTTTCTAGCCCAAAGACAACGAGAAGGTTGTTTCTCCTTCCACTGGCGCACCACATTTTCGGCATGATCTCTCAAATGGGATTTGAGACCCGCTAGAGTTGGGAATGATGGTACAGTACATAGATGGTAGTCACAGGTATGAAGGGTCCGTTCCTGTGGAATATGATTCTTGGTGTCAGCTGCAGGTAGCGAGAATGTGATCCTCGTAAAATTGTCCACGGACTCCATCGACGAGAGAGATGACGGGCGGTAAGGTTTCGGGCTGAACGATTGGTAGAGTCCGAAGTCCTGTGCCCAGTTTGATGCTCCTAGGGAATCAAGGTCCACACAAGGGTCAGCAAAGGGGGAAGATAGCTCTGGGACTGGTATCGGTTCATCGTAAATCGGAACTATGTCATCCGCAGCAAGTTCACTCCAGTCATCATCAAATAGCTGCATGAGATAAATTGCCGAGCAGTCAATCCCTTTGGAAGCCCAAGACGACTGCTGAATGACCAGTTGTGCATCACGGAAGTCTGACACCCTGGATCCCTTCGCGCTGGTGTCTGGATTAAAAGACGCATAATCGCGCATCAAAGGATCATAGTTGGCCGAGATTGTTGCGAAAAGTCTTACAGCGAGCTGAAGATATTGCTTGGCTGCGAGCTCACTTCTAGGAGAGTTTTGAAGCTGTAACAATACGCGCCGAACAGTAGCCTGGATGCAGAAACTGTAGAATGTTGATAACCACCAACTTTCCTTTGCTTTCATGTTCGCTTTTGTAAAGAACACGCGGAAAAGCTCTTCCAGGTACAGTTTCAGATCCAGATTCAACCTATCGATGCAATCAAAAAGACAGCTTGAGTGAACGCAAGCTTCATGTACCGCGCTTTGAGCAAGCCTGAGTCGAGGATAGCTAGTGCCTCGAGGCTGCTTCGAAGGGAAATAAGTGATTGGGCAATCAGTTGATCCTGTGCAATCATGTTAGCAATTGTCTCCCCCAAACGAACAAGGGAGAGAAGAAATGCGTACCCCGTTAATGCCGGCTTGATAATGGGCTGCGTATCGCAGCAACATTATTGCATCTACCAATTGTGAATCGCAATTGTGGGAAACTACTAGCCGAGAGGGTTGAGAATCGAGTGTCTCCTGTACGATGAAATCGATGCACTCATTCAGAGGATTAGAGGCAGCTTGTAGCGAGATTATCTGTGGAGGGGTCACAAACAGCATGCTTGCTAGGAGCAAGTCATCTCGCCTTGCAACACAAATTGAACTCGGGCGTCCAGTTCGAACTGAGTCTCGAAATTCGTTGAGGTTTTTCTCCCGCGACCCGAGATGACGCTGCAACAACTGATTTGCCTCTTCTGCCTCTCTTGTACCAGCTTCAGTAGTCATGTCTGATGGGCATATCGGCATTTCTGTGCTATGTTTGGGGCACAGATACAAAGGCGCCATTTCTTCTATGAAAGTACCTCTTCGACAGGCTACATTAAACCATCCAAGATTGGAGGGCTTCTTTGCACCTTTGGGATAACCTGAGCATGGATTTTCCGTAGAACACTGGTGTTGGTAAGTATACATGGCAAAAAACTTAAGAACAAAAACGGGACGGTCCCAATGCACAAACATAGATACCAGTACAAACAAATTATTTATTTTACAGTCATCTAACTCATACGTTATGAGAAAGCCACTCAGAGCTTTTGTGCGGGTAAAATGAGAAGTGAACGAACACGACTATGAACGAAAATGAAAAAGATGAACGTACCGGCTTACGCAGGAATTTACAACGCCAGCATGCCTTTATTGCCTTGATCGCTTTTGCTGTTGCCCGCGAAGCTGCGTCTAGTGGACCCCGTCTCCCTGATGCTGCAGATGTTGCGGAATTTGCAGATGATGGACTGCCAACGCGCGAAGATTTCAAGTCGAACACGTGCTGGTAAAAAGGAGCGTTGACCGGACTGTGTGAAGTCGTCCTCCGGCTGAATAGTTTTCGGATGCGCTTTCTTCCATGATCAGGCTTTGTGCCAGTGAAAGAATGCTTCCTGCCAGCCAAAGATTTGAATGACCCTTCGCTCTCTTCACAAGATGAAGAATTATCAAAAGTTGCAAGTCCTTGATGCTGATCTTTGCCAGTCTTCTGGTCTGTATCTCTATGAATTTCAGATCCGTCCACATGCTGCTCCAGCTCCGCAGCATGTGGCACAGGCTCATGGATAGGAGTGACAGGTTCTATAGAGCGCTCTTTGAAGCTTTCTGTTGATGGATAGTAGGTCGGTTGTAGAAGCTGACTAAACAGCTCGTCCATAGCTTGGTCGCATTTTCCTGGCACAGTGACGTGACTTGACGATGGCCATCATTCTCTATGCTTTCAACACTACCCAAAGAAAGATTTGCCTGCGACATCGCATCATTCGTGGCTGGAGGAACATATGTAATGCTTGAATGCTCATTGGATAGACATGGTCCTCCTGCGTCTGCCCCAATGACCTCTTCAGAAAGTGTACCTTCTTTGAACGGCCATGGATCTCCAAAGGCAAAACTTCCCTGGAAACTCATGAAATCAAGATCTCCCATATTGAAATTAGAAGGGGCTTGAGGTGTTTTGACGACTCTCGCGATCTGCGTAGCCAACGTGTATTCAAAGGCGTAGCCCAAATCATGGGCCCACGACTGAATCATCCTCTGCTGCGGATTGCTTAGGGACTGGAACAGTATCTCTTTCTGGCCGACATCTCCTTGGAACCGAATAAGTTGTGTATAAAAGGTCAGATTGACCCTGTCATGCATATCTACCATTATCAGTGACATTCTTATAAGCTTCTAATGTTGTTGAATCTGCTTGCCTATACCCGTGATATTCATAGGGAGATCCATGGTAATCACGACTGCTGTGCATTTGATTCGATTTCACATGTATCCAGATCTTCCGTATAGTCCTCCTAGGGTTCTCATCCAACGTCGTGGAAGGTGTTGCAAAAGAGGCGCACGCAGCACACTGCTGCCCGACAGCGCACGGGTATGGCTCTGAAGATAAAGCTCTCTGATGGTCAACAAGTGCCGCATCAAGCGATAAAGATGTTGAATGTATCAATGAATGATGTAATGTAGTATTGACAGTAAAAGATCCAAGAAATGAGAAAGGCTGTCGATATGAAATCGCTCGTGTAGGTCTTTCGTTCTGGACGTACAGCATCGCGGCCATGTTAAAGGCACGCCCTTAGTTGGTGATACACTTCGCTAGTCAGCCTCATTTTCAGGTCTCATGCAATCTGTATCAAGTATGGGACGTCTGTATATAAAATGGCAGTGCAAGACAGACCGCCGTTGATTCGGGTAGACCGCCTCGTGACGAACGCCAAAATATTGACGATTCGCACATTCGCATTAAGATCTTTACATTGTCAGAGATCAAGCATCAAGAACATCAGAATGAAATGGAATATTGAGTCGTGGGGTAATTATACTGATTTTTCAGAAAGATTTTCACAAACAATGACTCCCACGCCATGAAGAGGAGCTCAAGGCTCAAGACACCAAAACTCCAGACCGTCCCCTGGCTATGTCCAATAAATCCCATCCCAAGGCAATACATCCTGCGAACCTGACTCCACCGTATAACATTAATAGCTTTTGGGATATGCTTCCGCAAACTGAACTTGAGATTCTGACACAGATATCGCTGCATCCTCAATATTTCCAGCCCTGTGTCCACTCGAGGACTCGTCGTTCCAGTCCGCGGGTCCCAAGACAAATTCAGTTGTCGTGACTCTTGCTCGTTCATCCTCCTTGTCAGCATCATCTGTAGATCTGCTGTCTACGGCAGAGCTCACGGTGTTGGCAAAGGTGTTTAGTTGAAGTGAATTCGTGTTGTGGCTCTGAGTGCTGAGAGCAAATTCCTTGTTCTTGACGATACTGACTAGGCGATTCAGCACAGAGAACTCGATCTTCAGCTTGATGCTATAGATGGCAGGTTTGTAGGTCGTTTGAATCTCCCAATTGCCTGAATATTCAGTGCCAAGAAGTGTGGCATCGAAGATCAATACCAGGACATTGACCAATATGAGATGAACCAGGAGTTTCCGTAGTGGATTTCGACCGATGTCTTCAGCAGGTCGTAGCAATCGTACAGTTTCGTAGATATAGAGGCCCGAGATGATACACTCTTGGACGAAGAATATGCTAACCTGCACCTTGTCGAATATCGTGAAGGCGTTGACGACAGAGGCTTGTGCATTTGGGCGATTGGTAAAGAACGCCAAGATCATGTCGGGGATGCCAAGTACAACAGCGTTGAATATGATCATGTAAAGGACCCAGCGAATTCTCTCATAGTTTCGAACCACCAGGTGTAGTCGAGAATACAGCACCACCGACTGCCCAGACACCATCGCAAACCAGCCGACAGAGACTAGAACCAGTGGCGCCCACCATACTGATGTGACCGCGAAGAACTTAAAGATGAACCCCACTGTGTGCGGTACAATACCCCAAGTAGCCACGATAAAGCTCCAGAAGTACAAGCCCTTTCGACATCTAAAAGTTGCAAAGATAATGACGTTGAGTTCAAGCACGTTGTACAGAGCTATGGCTGAGAATGCTACCATAGTCATCAGGATGGGGAGGTTGGCGTCGACCGCACCAGTGATACCATTGCTGTTTGCTTGTGACATCGTGAAAAGGCGAACACAGTGACGGATGATGATCCGAAAAGTGGGGACGTCGTCCTTTGTATATCCATATCATGGAGCCCACGAGCGTTGATGCATAGAGAGTATTCGGTTTGTGCCATGACACTCGAAGCTACAGGAAGTCAAAGACAACTGAAACCAAAGAAAAAGAAAACGTAAAGACACGCAACTCACTCAAGATCGACCGCCTCCGCTCGATCCAGACTCGGGTCCGGGGAGTGGGTTCATGTTGCCGGGAAACATCCAGAGGCTGAAAATGGGCTACTCCTTTTCCCCATGATATCTAGTTCCAACAATCTAGGCGATGTTATAGCCATCTTGCCGAGCTCAATCACATATTGGAAGCCGGGGCACATGAGCTGCATTTCCGAACATGATTGATTGGCGTTCGTATCCTTGGTGGTGGCTTTCAATACTGGTAGCGGGGTCGAGAAATGAGACACAGTAACTCTTCTGGGGATGCGCACGGGTTAGCTTACGCCACCGCTAAAGAAGATAAAGAGCCATTCCGTGCCACGTACGCAGGACTGACCTATTCCGTTGGTCGGCGATGTCACCTTGTGCCGCGGCATGCAGTAGCCAGGAGCCCAACCGTGTATTCGGAACGGTAAAATCGCTCATTCGGGGTACAAAACAAGGGGACAACATCCACGGCATCAAGGCGGTCGGTTCGGAATCTACCATCGAATGATGCGAATTGAACCCACCAATAGTGTAGCATGATTTCAGCTTCGTAGGTCTCATGTGGGACCAGGGCACTTTTTATGCCTTAGACTTACTCGTACGATGCTTCGTACCCGTGCATTGCCTCTTTTCCAAGAAATTGCAATGTCGATCATTTTGGCAAGAGGGATGCAGGTATGAGCGAGGATGGAATCTAACGTTCTTCAATTTTAATACAGTCGGCCATCAAGACCACGAAGACGATTGATTGCCGACTCGATATTTAGTCAACAAAACATTTCTGTAGTCACTGAAACATATCCCCGCCACTAACGTTGAAAATTCAGCCACAATGCAGCTCATGCCATGGTATTGGAAGCGACCAACAGAGTGTTTCGTGTTCGGCTAGGTTTTCTTGCGACCCGCGTTAACCCAGAAATTTGACTCCATGGTCCAAGTCGTTTTGGCGCTCCCTCCGTTCCTCTTGTCTTTGATTTACTCATGTTCTCGGCGTCCCGAGGAAAATACAATGATGCGAACGGCATACTCCTTTGATGTTCTTAGTCACAGTATTGTCTTTCCGAATCTGAATTATCCCTTTTCATGCGGCCTGTCAAATGTGGGAGTTGTAGCTGAAAGTCAAGAGGCACTGGCGATGGCAACAATTTAATCGAAACGAAAGATAGTCCCCTAAAGCAAGAGGAGCTTGATAGCAGGAAGAGGCTGTTGTAAATTTCTCTGCTTACCTCTCGCTCTTTCGCTCCCTTGTCTCTATTGGACAAAATGTTGTTCGATCTTTTCGGCTAAGTAATAGCCAACAACCAACATACAATAGCCAGATCTAAAGTATTCCTCACATAGTGCTATCATGCCGCTGTGTGGCAGCTCAATTTTGAGACTAAAGACTTCAAACAGTGTATACGATTCAGCTTTCAACTTCTGCCCCATGACAAGGTTGAAGACGACAATTAGGTTTACTTCCATGCCAATCTTCCAGCTGTTCCGCTCCCATGAAGACTTCATTCGTTCTTTATTGTGCTGTAGCGCTTTCAGGCTCCATACAGGCTGTTTTGCATCGGTTTCCAATCCATGAACACTACGTTCCAACTCCCAGTGTAAGATCCTACCGAGAAGCTGGTATAAATATAGCGATTAATATGTCTAGTTCGCACAACGCTTCAAGCGCGAACAAGTTCCCTTCTCGTATCAAGATTTCAATGATGACACTCACAAGATTCCCTTCAAGGTGAGTTTGATGTCCTTTCTTCCTTGAGCATTTCTTTTCTAACAACAGTTAAAGGACGTCGCCATAGTCCTCTACGGCATTGATGCCACTCTCGGAACCCCACCACAGCCTTTCCTGATGTCAATCGACATTGACTGGGACGTCTTATTCGTCCCTTCAATAGCATGCGCCAGCCAGTTCTGCAATTCGAGGAAATTGTCCAGATTCGATTCATCAATCTCATCCTCATTCGTCCAAGGCCAACAACAGCTCACCATAGAATATGCAAGCATGATGTCCCACGGGGCGATATCTAATGAGACATTATCTTTTGGTGGACTTCAAGTTGAGCGACAACCATTTCTTGAAGCAACAGACATCTGGGCTGACGGCTACTTCCATTGGTATCGCGGATACAGCGGGGTGATTGGGTTTCAACCAAGATTCGATACGGAAGCCGTAGTACCTTTCTCTTCGCCATGGCAGACTATTGTGGAGAGCGGCACACTAGACAGGAACATCTTTTCTATTAGACTTCCAAACGGCCCCCACGACTTTTTACAGCCTCGAACGAATGGCGAGCTCGTTATAGGTGGTGTGGATACCCAATATAGTGACCACAACTTCACCATTTTACCTTTGACACCCACCACACCCGACTCTTGGAGCGTAGAAGCACGTTCGGTAATATGGGGAGATGGCACTTCCCTCAGACAAGATTTCGACCATTGCGTTGCAACCTTCTCCATATCGATTCCAGCTATTCGTCTGCCTGGAGCTTGGTCCCATAGGCTCTACGAGCTAATCGGCGCTCGTGAGCATGATGGCTTCTTCATGACGTTTCCCTGCCAGAATCGAGAATTCCTACCGAATTTGACCATTGTTCTTGGTGGCAATGAAATGATCCTTACTCCATACGAATACAGCCTCGAATCTGTGGGTCAGCCGGGCAGTGGCTTGTCCTGCATGGTGGGGTTTGACCAGTCACCGGACAATACTATACAATTGGGATGGCCCTTTCTAGAGAATTTTATCTCGGTATTTGATCAAGATCTAAGAGAAGTCAGAAGTGGGTTCCCCTTCCAGGCAGGATGTTTCGTGGCGTCTATTCCCCTGACTTCTAATAGTAGCCAAGTCAAATCAAAAGTGACGATTCACTTGGACGATCCCTTTTCTGTTACCTTGTGCTCGGAGTCTTTTCTTCAAAAGATCCCTATCTATGCTTGCTCTATACTGGCGCTTACTAAGACGTAAGGGAGAAAGTAAAGTGACCGCTTCTATAAGATAAGTATGATGTCTCAAAGGGAGTTTAGCGAAGGCTTTCGAGAAGCTCGACTGGGCGTAGCATTCTCACCATTTCAAGATCTATTTCGAGAGCACATGAGTTTGGCTCTTGTTCCACACAAAATTATTATACCCTAACGCATTCTTCACAAAATATGTATTCTAGCTCAGGGACTTTTCGGTGCTTTCACGTGACTCGCCCAATTGTCATTGGTGCAGACAACTCCCCTGTAACCAACGAACTTCCAGGCAGCAATCTGAAACCATTCAAAACCCATCTTGCACCCTCTTCTGTCAATGAATCGATAAAATTTTCAACCTGGGCCTGGTTTCTGCGAAGTCTAAACGCAATCGAACATGCCGCCAAAGACAGAAATCATTCGGAGAAGGGCCTTATCGGCCATCTTTCGCCGAGAAGTCTACAGTGGGGATGAATCGCAGTCAAGACTCCTCCGTCTTCCATTCGAGCTCCGAAACAAGATCTGGGAATACTGTTTTACGTATCCCAACGGGATTCCGATCGATTGTCAGATTCAGAACGATAGGAGATTCAAGCGTAAAGGGTCACCGTGGCCAGGAGCTAGTGTTCTGGCTCTTCTTTTCACGTGCCGACAAGTGTGAGCTATATCTTTTTGTTTGTATTTATACATCCTTACCAGAGAGAGATTGAATTGAAGACATTTGCTGATGATTGATATGAAGCTACGTGGAAACTATCGATATGACGTGGAGAGCATGTCAGTTCCGAACAGACGCTATATCCGTTCTCCACCTCGAGAGCGTGGTCATCCCTCGACGCAGAGACGCCATCGTAAATCTCTCTGTACAATGGGATTATCACGTCAACAAGGCGCCAGCGTCAAGAGAACAGTGGATCAAAGTATGGGAGGCGCTCTCGAGACTAAAGTCTCTGAAGACGTTGAGAGTGCTTGTGATTGGCGGGTGGCCTGTTAACACGTGGCGGCGTGAACGCGAGGTATTGTTTGAGGATATGAGAAAAGTGGAGGGGTTGGAGAGTTTTGATTTTAGTTTGCAGGCCTATACTCATGGTTGTCGGTTAGATGTTCCTTGGAAAGATGGGCATTGGTTAGATTGATCGCACGGTATTTGAGGAGGCAAAGGTTTGCAAAAACCATTCATTCTCTATCACAATAGCCGTGTCTAGCATATGGGCCATGTCCGTAAAGTATCATGCATATACTCTCTGCTCTTCATGATTAGTCACAAGGTGAATTCATATGCAAGTCCAAAGCCCTTCGTTGTATGAAAAAAGAAATCTGCAAAAGAAAGCATAATGAAAATCAACAGCTGCAAGAAATTATCCTCCAAGTGAGAACCTCAAGTCTCGAAGACATCCAATCGAAAGCTGCTTCCATCTCACCAATCAGCAATCCATCTTGGCAAAACCTGCGAGTCTAACACGCTGCACCTCGCGGTTCAGGATGTCTGAACAGTTCGCCACATCTTCCGAATACGCTTCATCTCCATATGATTAAGCTGATTCAGGCATTTCCTATCCTTCACACCAACAAGAACTGGAGCCTTCATCTCCTTTAGCTGACACATTAAAGTCCACTTCTGGAACGCCAGAACATAGAAGGGAACAGCAAACATGAGTTGAACATCCTCAAGCTTGGCAGCATTCTTCTCCGGCAACGTTCATCTTATCAACCAATATCATCTCTTCATCAACCTCTCTGACGATCCGCTCGACGATGGAGTAAGCTTGAGAAGTCGCAATACTCGCGAGTGATTGACCGGAGAACTTGGTGAGGGCAGGAAGCTTGATACGGATCGCGAGCTTGGTAATATGCTTCAATATGAATCGCAACTTCTCGAGCTCCCGGAGAATTGCGACATTGACATCACCGGTACCTTCAACCTCGACAACGATCTCGACCCAACGCGTAGCAAGACAGCCCTTGCGCGCATCAAGACAGCCCTTGCGCGCATCCTCGGTGATTTCAGTCATGTTGGTGATGAAATCGTACCCTTTCTCTTGGTAGGGATGGTCAATTTGGGATTGAGTTGAACCATCTGAGAAGGATCTCGTAGTGATTCGATATTGAGATAAGTTGGTGTCTGTCTGAAGGACTGTGATGTCTGCATTGGCGCCTTGGAGACGCTTGTAATGCTTTTCGGTGTTGATAAGCTTCGGGCTTTGGACTTGTTGGACTTCGCGGGGTGTGCGTAGAGTGGGCTTGGTTGCGATAATTAACTTAGAAGTACCTGGACTGTACTTAGCCGCAGTTCGTCGGTTCTTATTTGCCATTGTGTTGGTAGTTGAACAGATGGATGTTCAGGATGTTGAGGTTCATCTTAGGTGTTAGAAGCGCAAAGCCTTGATGCCAGCGAGCGCGGTTTAACTTGCGCGAATTGCGAATTGCTGTACTAAGAGACAGAACAGTACCTAAGACGTTTCAAGGCAGAGCTGCTCGTGGTTCGTGAGATAGCGTTGAAGTCCAAGAAAATTGTGTTGCGAAAGAAGTTCTTGATGGTAGAAAAATCTGCTTCAAAGACGTGCAAATCAAGTCCCTCTATATCAAGTTGCACGCTAGAGATCAACAACTGCGTGGGACACTAACTTTATGAACACAATAGGGGACACTAGCTATATCTTGCGCCTGGTGCACTAGTTCATCTATAGTTCTGGCGCAGCAACGGCCATGCAAATTGGATATGGGATGAAAGCACTTTATAACCAGCAATTATGGTTCGGCTCTTGTTTACTATTGATTTGATTCTCAGCTCCTGATGAGATCAACTGAGTCGACGTAGCTTCTAAAGAGCTCTCAAACAGTTTGATACCTCAACATGATGGAGTCATGAGCCCTATTTGCGCTTCTGCATCTGGATAACGTTACTGCTGTATGTGACCTGGAAGCATTGCGGATAGAAGCTGATCAATCCACATGCAGCAATTTCCGCTTTGAACGTGCACTTGCATCAATCCTACGCGCGTTTCTGAAATGAGCGACAGCTACAGCCTGCTGAGGATACACAAGAACGGATACTTGCTACTATTCGTCTTCTCAATGGCACTGGCACTTACCAGTGTTTCCGAGCACGAGGAGACAGTGACTGTGAATGATGTTCCAAAGAGTGAGCTGCAATTTCATGGGTTGCCCCGCCGATTCGTTGGATTTCTGGTCCGAGTCTGTCTAATTTTCCACCGCCATACACCCGAATACGCCTTGATAGTTATGCTCCGACGCCAGAACATGCTTGCCCGCATTTCATTGAATCGTAAATCATAAATCCTTTCGTGCGGAAGATAGACGGTCAAACAACCCACACGCAATAGTCCCTTCCCTCATCTGTTACCTCTTCCCAGACTTTTTGGTGCCAGACTTCTCAATCTTATCCTTCAACGGGTTATATGGTGCCGCTATGCCAAGATAGTCTCTCCTCTGCCCCTCGGATCCAGCTTGGAATTTCCCATCAGGCCCCATCTTCTGTGGGATGCCTTCATTCGGTCTCGCAATCTGATCCTTGTGTATTTTCTCCAGCGAGTCACCAACAACACCATACTGCTCCCAGTTGACAGCAGGCATCCTGACTACATTCTGAGGCGTAGGTAGAGGTTTCCATTTCTCCTCATTCGTAGCTCTTGCCACAGCCTGTCTTCCTGACTCGATTTGCCCCAGGTCGTCTGCATCCTCCATCTCTTCGTCACTGTCGGCCTCGTTGCTCGGATTAAAGAGTGTGTCACCTCTCGTGTGTATCCGGCCCTCTGTCAGCGCTGTCGCAAAGCGCTCTGGATCTCTCAACGCGCGTTCTTTCGTATCTGCCAGGAGCTTCATGTCCTGTTCCGCGGTCTTCTTCTGCTGCTGCAGGATGCTCATCGTAGCTTTGAGCGCCAGCACATCTGGGTTCGTGCTGAAGTCTATTGTTTCAGGCGGTGGTTGGGGTATTGGGGCTGGGGGAGGTTGTGAGGTGTGGGTAAAGATAGGTCGGGCGGTTGAGAGGGTTGGTGTTATCGGGGAATATGGAGGGGCGCGGACGGGTGACGCCGAGCGCGATGTTGACTGAGTCTGGCCATGTTCTTGTGTATGTGGAGAGGTCGTGGTATCGAGTGTTAAAGAGGGCATTTCTGTCGTTGTTTTGTTGAAAGGAGGGAGACGATGCGGCTGCGAGGAAGGTTGATTTTATAGACCCCGCAGACAAGCAGTGGCGGAAGCTAAAACTTCCGAGAGGGGAAAGGCGGCGAGGTCGGAATGGAGGGGCAGATGCTGGCAGTTTTATTAGACGGGACTGCCAAAGTGGGTCGACTTGTGTCTCACTCATGGTAATTTCACCTCTGAGAGTCTCTGGTCTTTTCCAACAACTGCATCGCCAGAGGAACAACTGCCTAATCCGTTTCACTAGCCAGAAAGTCCAGTGGAGAAGCTTACCTAACGCTCATTTCAGACACGGACATTCTGCTGCTGAGAGGTTCAAGCTCGTGTACTCGCAATAAGGATCATGCGGCATAGAGTTCTCGACGACCAAATAGATAATTTGTCATCCAAGGTAATACACTTGTTCTAATTGATTCATGCTACTTCAAAGCATCAGACTTCTGTGATGGCCTGCATTCAGACTAGGAGAGAGGAGATGTCGTCACCGAAGTCGGTTCCTACTTGCTATTTTGTCAACTTTCAGCTCCGAAAGTCCCGTCTGGTCAATGCTTGAGAAATACAATGTTTGTCGCCTTCTATATTACATCAAGTCGGTGGAAAGCCACATGTCGTGCAAAATTTGGCATTATTTCATGCATACTATGGACATGGTGTTCTACCTTCATCCCATTACTCCCCACTATCGAATTTGCAGGTCGTCCTTTCGATGGTATGGTGGAATTTCGTCTAGTCTCTCAAACATCCACTTTACACTTCCATGCTCCTCGGGCTCCATATCCTTCACCTTTCCCCGCCAAGTCTCTAAGCGCCTGTTTCAAATCGCTGTCACATTCAGATCCTGTTCCTCCTTGTCTCCATAACACTGCCCAGTATGTGCGCCTTCCTTCAGGATACGGCATAGACTTGCAATATTGCGGTTCTTTCCCTTCTGCTATGTTGATGCTCTTGCGACCCTTGAAGAATTCGTCTACGACGGACTTAGCGGCATCGATGAACGCTTTATTAGTACTTCCGCGGTGATTGAAAAATGACATGGTCGAGATTTTGCTGTCAGTTGACTTGAATGAAGGCTCACAAGAGGTCGAGAGTCTTGGTTTGGAACTGAAGGGAGGCGGGTAATCTTTGTGTTTTCAGGTCCCTGGTACTCTTTTGTTCGGTATGGGAATTGTTCTCGACTACAGCAAGTGTTGTGAGAGAGAAAGTGTATCTGAGCGTCACCATGGAACCTTTTTATAACCAAGCTCAAGTCGTTCCGACGGCTGAGCAGGAATGGTAGTGAATCACGAACTTTTCGAAGCTAAATCTTCCCATCATATTCATATTGAAGAAGCTTGAATCATCATCAAACAACCCATTTTTCACAGCATGCCTAAATTATTCCAAGGCGAGGCAGTGAATAAGCCGCAGAAGTCAAATTTCATAACAAGCATCTAGGAAAGCAAATAAGTGAGGCGGGAGCCAGATTCCGCGAAAGTCTCAACTACAGCGCATACTTGAGGGCAACTATATCTTCTAGGATCAATAAACTTCAATATACATGATGGAAAACATGGAAGAAGATGAGGAAAATGGTCACATGACTCCCATCAATCCAATAAAGGGTTCCAAACATCAAAACCACCAGCAACACGCCAGGATCCGCATCAGCCCCAAGTCACCTCAATCATATGAGGCTCAATACACTTCTCACTCAAATCTAAACTTAATAGGGCAAGACGCCATAGTTCGGATCCGCTCTCCCGGTGCCCGGAACAACCAATTCAGGCTATATGCAGTCTCGGATAAACCCTCCCTCTCCCCACATCGACAACACCATCCAACCTCCAACCTCAATCAACACCAGTCTCCTAACCCTCACGATGGCTAATCTGGCTAAACTCTCCAATCTCGAACCTACATAAGAACCTCTCTCCATCACCATCCAATTCCTTAAACCATATCCGTCACCCAAAACCAAAAGCCAAGATGTCCTCCGAACCCCTCGTAACCCACATCTTCACGGCCGACCCCTCGGCGCACGTCTTCAACGGCCGAATCTACGTCTACCCTTCGCATGACATCGCGACTCCCATCCAAGACAACGACAATGGCGACCAATACGCCATGACCGACTACCACGTGCTATCCATGGACGCGGTCGGCTCGCCCGTCACGGACCATGGGGTCGTTCTCTCCCTCGAAGATGTTCCCTGGGCGGGCAAGCAGCTCTGGGCTCCGGACGCTGCGGAGAAGAATGGGAAGTTTTATCTGTTTTTCCCGGCGCGGGATACGGAGGGTGTGTTTCGGATTGGGGTCGCGGTGGGGGATAAGCCAGAGGGGCCGTTTAAGCCGGAAGAGAAGCCGATTGAGGGGAGTTATAGTATTGATCCGGCGAGTTTTGTGGATGAGGATGGGGAGGCGTATTTGTATTTTGGGGGGATTTGGGGTGGCCAATGTGCGCTTTCCTCCCAGTTTCCAAATCTAGCTTGGAAGAAGTTGGATGTCTATGATTAGTACTGACCTTGCAAACAGTACAATGTTGGACCACAGGAAAATTCGACAAAGAAGCATACACCAACATGGAAGCGCAATCTGGTCCCGCTCTCCTGCCACGCGTAGCCAAACTCTCCTCAGACATGCTCTCCTTCACCTCCCCACCCACCGAGCTCGAGATCCTCGATCCCGTGACCAAGAAACCGCTAGATTCATCTGATCACGATAGACGGTTCTTTGAAGCTGCATGGATGCACAAATATAACGGCAAATACTATTTTTCGTACTCTACTGGAGATACGCATTATCTCGCCTACGCAGTTGGAGATAGTCCTGTGGGTCCGTTCACGTATGGAGGGAAGATATTGGAGCCTGTGCAAGGGTGGACGACGCATCATAGTATTGTGGAGCATGACGGGAGGTGGTGGTTGTTTCATCATGATACAAGTATGAGTGGGAAGAATCACTTGAGATGTGTGAAGGTTAGGGAGATCTTTTATGATAAGGAGGGAAAGATTGTATTGACTCCGGAGTGAATATTTGCATAACCATGAAAATAAGATTTTGTTCCGGCCAAGGCGACGCTTGAAGCACAAAGCCAAGATATTCAAGTTTCAGCAGCTGGCAGTTCTATCTTCTCTTTTGGAATCTTCCCCGACGCTTGTAGAAAGGAAATCCTTCAAGTGATGGACGCACGAAAGCAGCATTTGTTGAATAAGATTTGTCCGAAACACTAACAGAACGCTATACAATCCGCGAACATTTCTACACTTCATTCATTAACGCGCAGATAATGTCTATCGGTCTACCCTGCCTAACCAGTCCGAGTCTTCTTCGAGGGCGTCGTCCCATTCGACTGCGATGCCCTCTTCAACGAGGCATCTGCTTCGCCCCTATAGCGTTCTCTCTGCTCATCATCAAAGTCCACCGACCGGATCCACGACTCAATTTCGGACCTCGAGCATACTTTGATGTGACTGTGACCTTTGTGTGGATGCATACAGGTTCTCCAAATATCCCCAATTGTCTTCCGTGCTTCCATTGCTCTCGCGCCGGAGCCGGGAAAGATGGCATGAAGGTATTCTTTCACACCAAGTACGACAATGTTCTTAAAGTCATAGTAGATAGCATGGGTATCTCTGGAATTGGGATTCGAGGTCGACCGAGGGCTACTCGTTGACTTTGCAGTAACAAAAGCGTATCTCAAATACTGGTATGATGGTTGTCCACTACGCATTTCGGCCTGCTCGTAGAGTAGCACGAACGTCCATTCACCATGTTTAATACCTTTGGGCTTACATCGCTTCTTGCCTGGTAGTAACTCGATCCTCAAAGGGTTATGTCATAGGGACTTGAATCGGTAGAGGTCAGACGAAATCGTTGTAGCCTCGTATTCTCGATTCTTTGTGCAGGTTGAGGTTGAGAATATGAGGGCTAGTTGTCGTCCCCGATAATGTGTATCAGACCCAAAATCAACCCCTATAGAGCGGAAAGGTTAGCTAAGTTTTGTCGATAGTATCCCAGGAGACTGATAAAACATCATGTCGAAACCTTTAGGTATGCCCTTCGGGTCGTAATACGAGACATATTCGTAACACTTACATGCGCCGAAAGTAGAAGTCCAGGCGATATATTTAGCAAGGCCATGCAGAGTTCGCAATTTGTCACTGTTTATGGCCTCGAGAGAGAGTGTTGTGGTAAATTGACGTCGCCGGCCGGAAGGGTCGTCGACGTTACTCTTTGAAACATCAAGACCACCGTCTGGTAAGCGTTGCAGCCTCTCAGTCATTTGATTACAGACCAGAAACGTGATCTGGCTCACGACAGGCTGGACATAGTGAAATGAAGTCGGCTGCGACTTGAGGTCCATTGCCATCGACGGCTCGACGACTTCAGTGCACAAGAAAGCTCTAGCCAAGAGTTCCGAATCCATCAACATGATCCCTTCAACTCTACTCATCAATTCGAGTTTTGTCTGAAGCGGAATCTGAGGAGTGTTGAGCAGATGGAGCTCTTCGAGCGCTTTGTGCCGATCGAGGATTTCGCTGAGAAGGGTTTCACGGATATTTTGATTCCCAGACAAGCTTAGAATGATTAATGAGCTTTCGTTCATTGAGTCGTGGCAAAGTATTTGAGACACTTGTTCTTCGCTGAGGGGGAACGGGCTGAGGTCGATGGTGCGTTCGTCTTTAAGAACCGTCCGCAAAAGTTGTCCAGCTGTTGCCGAGTCCACAATAAGATGAGGCAACGAGTAGATCCTAGCTTTCAAGGTAGGCCAAAAGTCGGGAAGTTTCCTAGCAGAATCGAGTAGAACCGGCAGATTGTCTAAAGAAGTCGAGAATGCTACTCGAATGACAATCTCCAAAGCCGCCCCTCGAATGGTGCCTAAGCGATTCCGGACCACACCAACATTTCGACTGTTCCCATTCTCTTGCATCTTATTCCGTTTCCAAGCACCTCCCCATGTAGCTTTGAGGGTGGCAGCGTCGATGACGTGGCGTCCGTTCAATTTAAATGCAGAATTGGCGGCCTTATCCCATTGCTCATTCTGGAAAATGCCGCGAGCAATACAATAGTACTGAACAGCCGACAACGGCATCATGTTAATCATAGGAGAACGCCCGTATGAGTACAGGTGTTCCGGTGATTGAAAGTGTGCCTCATGTGCAGGAACTCCCTCGGCACCGTTGTCCAATCTGTCTTCGGACAAAGATTCATCCACGGCAATAGTTGCCATGCTCTCGTGATGGTTGCCAGGAAAGACGAAACAATACCGTGTTGCCGAGAGATTGGTTATATCAAGCACCGTGAGTCCAGCAGGAAGTTCAGGTCGGGGAATGCTGCTTGCTGGGCATAAAAATAGCCTGTAACAAGGCAGGTTTGTATGAACGGAAACGGGTAAAATGCGTCACGATCATGTCTCCAGTCCTCAATGGTGTCAAGTCTCCAGTTTTCATCGGTGAGGGTTGCAGCCCATCGAATTTCGTGTTCGAGGGCAAGGCGGTTAACAGGCGCTTCGAAGACATTTATAATGCTGAGGCAGTTCTTGAAAACCTTTCCATATTTAGGTTAGCTCTTCTAGATCCTGGGATTGGATAGTGCATTGTTGCATTGTTGGATTCGGTGACTTACATCATAAGCTCTGACTTCTGGAATTTCTATCACTCCAAGGCTCCGATATCTGTCACGAACCTTGACAATCGCAAAGATGTGATGCCTGTTTTCCATGATGCTAGACTATAAGAATGGGTTACTAAAATGGTATTCCGGACTTGATTAAGAGGAACGAAACGGTCGAGATGGAATATATAAGAGCTTGATCAAGTCGGAAGGAGCGAAGACTGAAGTGGGGTAGTCGCGATTTGTACACGACTTCACGCGCGAACATAATGCTACATTCGCTGTCACCGTATTAAACTTTTCAAATGTAATAAGATAACAAACAGCACTTCTCAAGAGGATGTACAATGTCAAATCAGTAATTCATTGACTCACATGCAAATTCCAAACCAACGCCATAGCTCCAATACCCACTCCGACCTAAATCCTAAATGTTCGTCCTCTTTTTGATCCCCACTAAACATTCCAGCGGCTTCCTCAAGAACCCTTCTCTCGTCTCTAACTTATCCTGATAAAGATCGAAATCATACCTCCTAAACGTCGTTGCAACAATCAACGCCAATTCCATCTCCGCCACATTGCGTCCAACACAAGATCTCGGTCCATAGCTGAAAGGAATGAAGCCGTTCTTCTGTTTCTCGGTCAGATTATCCCAACGATCAGGCACGAACTCGTCAGCGTCGCTTCCCCAGATTTCCTTGGAGTGGTGGATCGTGTAAGAGGGAACAGAGAGGACGGTGTAAGGAGGGAAATGATGACCGAGTAGCTCGATCCCTGCTCCTGGAGGAACGACACGGGGAAGGCCGAGAGCAGAGGTGGAGTGGATGCGTAGAGTCTCGTTGATGACTTTTTGCATGTACTTCAAGTCCTTGACCATCTCGAAACTTGGGACATCGACACCTTCTGGGATTGCCTCGTCGAGTTCTTTTCGTAGTTTCTGCAGGACGCCGGGTGTCTTGGTCACCCAATAGAGGATTGCGCAAGATGTATTTGACGTTGTGTCTGAGCCAGCGATTAATTGAGTTAAGGCTTCAGCGGTAAGTTCTTCACGACCGAGCTTCTCTCCTTTCTCGTCTTTACCTTCCATGAGTCTGGCTAGGAGATCCACGCGCTCGACATCTTGCTTGCCTTCGAGTCTTTGGCTTACACGGGCAACGGCGATGCCAGCCAAATTCTGGACAGCCGCTAAACCTTGGGAGAAGAATGGATCCGGAAGATACTTGGCGTAGGGCTTGAGTTGTGGAAGACATCCAAGAGTACCTGAAACCTCACCACGTCGATTCAGGACCTCGACTGCTGGTGCGTACGTAATAGGCGCATCGGGTGTCATCCTGATTTCTGTGATATCCTTTCCCTTCTCCAACATGCCGAATGGTTGTCCGAATGCAAGATCTCCAATCATATCGAATGCCAAGTAGTTGTACCAGTGTAGACAGTCGATCTTGGCGAATTGACCATGCGCATTGGTGGATAATGTATCCCATTGTCTGACGAAGATATCGAGGTTCTGGTGCATGTAGACTTCGAATTGGCCAATGCTCTTTGGGGAGAAGGTATGAGAGACTGTCTTTCGCTTTCGTGTGTGTTCTGCTCTATCTCTGGTGTTGAAGAGACCCCGCTGAATGGAGACGAAGGCATCGTAGAACTCTCTGCAAGACTGTTAGCTGTGAAGCTCAGAGGAGTCGCGAAACTTACGACTTCAAGAATCCATTTCCATGGCCATAGATTTCCTGAATGGCAGATTCATCTGCCACACTGACATGATCTGGCTGGATTCTGACAAGCTTGCCATACTTCTTGTGAGCTGCATCAACACTGAGATATCTCTTCCCTTGCCGTGCTTGCAGTAACAACCAAAGATTCGAGAATTTAGCAGCAAAAGGGCCGGGTATGCTTTGAAGAGCAGTATTCGAAGTAAGGTATGGTACAAGCCAGAAGAGAACGAGACCAACTGGTATTGCCCAAGGAGTGAGAATAAAATCGGTGACCGCCATTTCTAGAGCCGAGGATCGCCAATACCTATGCAGGGTCTTGAATACCGAAAGAAAAGAAGATCAACCAACTAATCAAATATGAAGTCTCATGAATATTATCGAATGGAAAAAAGTGAACTGGAGAGAATTGCAGTTCAATTATAGTTTTCCAGCTCGAGTAACCGTGAATGCCGTGTTCGTGGTCCGTCAGGGCTGCAGCTCACCCCCGCAATTCATGACGACCAACCGAGCAAAGCCCCCAACGCCGCTGCAGTGCGACCCCAGATCCGATTGACACGCTAAAAGGAGGCTGTCACGGAAGCCCACCCGAGTTTGTCCAATAAGGAGGGGTTTATTACTCGGTGATCTGTCGGGATGTTTTCAGTTTATACACAAGACTTGAGACGAAAACATTAATGGAGTCAACCTGCATTAATATCAATTGCCTTTCGTTGAAGCCGTGCTCCATACGCGGAATCTTGCCGCTTCGGTGTAATTCAATGTCGAGAAATCTCCATGACTGTGGCTAGAACTGACCTCAGCTTACAGTACGTTACGAGCCTTCCACTTTAAATCTGTGCGCTACAGGGTGTTTTCTCAGAAATTAGGGAACAAAGTTCGGAAAAGTCAAAAAGTAATTGGTTTATAGTTAACTCCGGCCATTTTGTTGCTTGGATGCAACATTACATACAATTTTGCTTTATATCTCTTATGTTTTTTTAAAGTGATAGTCGCGATTTTTGAAATTTTCAGGCTCAAAAGCCTCGCTAAAGCCGAAAGAAAGATGCCCTGAAGAGCACAGACTTAATATGGAAGGCTCGTCGTTAGTCTTGTATCCCATGCTTTATCGGCCGCTGGTGAAATCGAGGCCTGACTCGCCAGAGTGGACTTGGAAGGCTCTTAGGAACGGCAAGAGAGAAAAGCCTTGAAGCGTATGTGGCATTAGATGGGCAAATGTTCAACCTGTCCACCTGAATATACAGGCATCGCTCTCGTATCTATTCTTATCCAATCATGCCAGTCTTCCATCATCACAGCTATACAAAACCCTACCAAGTCCTCATCATAGCTTGCCCCGTCTCGACTCCACTGCATCTCGTAACTTCGCAATAACTTCTGCAGGATCCTTTGCTCCAAACACGGCACTTCCTGCCACAATAACATTAGCTCCCGCCTCCGCAGCTTGATCAATCGTTCCAGGGCCCAATCCACCATCAACCTCAATATTCAGCTCTGGGTATCGTTTCCGTAGTTCCGCGACCTTGGGTAGCTCGGACGCCATAAATTTCTGTCCACCAAATCCCGGATGTACCGTCATGACGAGGACCATCTGCAGCATATCAGTAAACATTCCCCGTATACATGCGAGAATAGAATACTCACATCCGGCACTTCCTTCTCTTGATTTGAAGCCAAAATATCCCATAATACATCAACACTCGTCTCCGGCTTGATGGCAATACCAGCCAGCATCCCACACTCGTGTATATATCTAATCAATTCTCTGGGGTTCGTCTTCAGTTCACTGGTTGATTCGGGGCTTTCGGCGGCAGTGCTGTCGATAGCAGCTTCGTAGTGGAAACAGTAGAGGTCACAGCCAGCCTTTTGGAATTCCTTCACCCACTTTTTCGGCTGCGGCAAACATTCAGCATCTCAATTCTAATCCATCGGGTCTTCTGTACCTCTGAAATCATCATGTGGCAGTCAAATGTTCCCTTTCCGTGTTTCGTCGTTGGTCTCTCGACATGACTTCGGATCTTCGTTACAACAGGCGCTCCAAATGTGATGTTTGGAACAAAATGTCCATCCATTATGTCGATATGGAGCCATGTTGCACCTCGCTTTATGGTATTCGAGCATTCTGCACCCAGGTCTGCGAAATCCGCGGAGAGAATTGAGGGAGCGATGATAGCTGGAGGAGACATCGTGGGGGGAGAATGTTCGAATTACCGAAATTAGCTGGCAGATTGTCTGCAGCTTGCTGGAGACTTTTGCAGACGAATCGTAATGCTTGAGCTGCTGCCAAATAGTGAATGAGGTTGTTGTGATCTTGAGACACTTTTTGGTGGGATGTTCTGCTTCAGACGTCAACGTGGGGCAGTCTAGCGACACTAGCGTAATTTATACTCTCACCCCTGAATCTTCTCCCTCTCCCTCTGACATTTCTTCTTTCCCATTTTCCCATCTCACCAAAAAAACCTACCAAAGCTTCATCGCTACGATTGAAGTCAATCACCAAGGCAGTTTCCAAGCGTTCACACGAGAATCACACCACTAGACCTTGTCTTGGGAGATTCCGTCTCTACAAGCCACATCAAGCCCTCAAGCTACTCAAGTGAGCGAGATGCATATCGGTCGGCAGTCCCAGGCTAGCATCTGAAAGTGCGAGGCGGTTCTTTCAATCTTGGAAACTCCGACAACTGAGAGCTTTCCCGTCTTTCGTTCACTCTGTCAGGGTTCATGGTCCAAGGGACACGAAAAATTGTTCAAGCCTGTTGGCTGGCATGCATGTTACACAGCATATACCTCGTTTGCTTTTCTATGGCCCTGGGCACTCTGACAATCATGTCTGTTGCCTAGAAAAACAAACTCGTTCTCAGATATACCTACTGATACCCTTATGTTAAGTACATTCTTCACTTAATTCTATTCTCATGATTATATTCCGTACACCAACACGCTGCTCACAAAGACACAATATCTCATGAGTCAAAAGATCGGGTAATTCCACTCTCCAACGAGATGAATCCAGTTAATTTTACGCGTCCATTGCACTCCACTCTCATAATTGCCAAGATTGGAGACCGATACAGCGTCACGTTGCAGGAACAGCAGTGGTTGAAGTGCGACAGTTTGTAAGTGAGAGTATGACACTCGCATAGGCTTTTGGGTTGACTCCAGCAGAACGTTAAGTGGCAATCAATTCTGATATCAATATTGGAAGCTCCAGAAAATAGGTTGCCAGTGGAGCATGAACTGAGATGGGCAACTACGTATAGTGAAGAAGACTGGATGTCAGAAACGGATGCACACAACCAATTTCCATTCATCACTACCTGCCTAGCAACAGCTTTTTGGAGATTCACGGCAGAGACATCAGACCAAGCAAGCCTGGTGGACACACACTCGCTCAGAATGCGCAGTTACGATGAGCTGACGCAAATTTGTCCGGGTGCTGGAGTCATCGATGTAACGGACCTATCGAAACTTCGGTATTGCTACTTAAAAGATACGGTAAAGCCTATGCCTGCAAGTGAGCTTCACCTAGAAATGCAAGAAATTGAGGGTATCGTCAATCTCGACCTGATAGGCTCTCGCGACTTGAACTCTTTGTGGCCAGGTTCATGGGCAAATGATCTGGCCGAGGACGATGTTTTGGATAGACCGAAACTTGCGACGAACACGTCCGTCCCCAAACTCCGTGCCACGGCCCTTGCGGCAACAATTGACCGATTATTGAGCGCGCGGCGAGACGAACTCTCGCTGATCATCGATTCTGTTAATATTTTCCCTGGCTTCTGGCCAGCTTTCAAAGACAGGTTGTACGCTTCACCTGACCTCGCAACAAATTCCAAGAATGTTGGAGCGCTTCTGAACATTGCTCTGGCAAATGACAAATAATCGACCTGAGTCCTTTCGATCTTTCAGAAGCTGAGATTGCCGATGCACTGTGTGGTGAAAAGCATAGAGTCACTAGAGTCATCACGCTCAGCTTGGCGGGCAATCAGAACGTTCGAAAGCAGCTGCTAGAACAGATTCTAGCACAGAATATACGCCTCCGTACGTTGTATCTGCTGAACACGCCACAGATACCTCTGAAAATCAAGCTTGACCTCGTCAGACGAAGTAGTGTCACTGAACTGTTTGACTCCCAACTGCTTGCGTATGCTTTCGAAGCCAATCTTCTCACGTCATATGATTTTGCTGCTGTTCCGATCTTTACTGAATATCTTACTCCACCTATAGTCCAAATGGGATTGATCGTCTGCCGAGGAGTTGAAATACCCCGGCTCTCGCCTGGTCTTGTTGATGTTGATATCGAGAAGATGGTCCAAACATTTGACAATTTTAGCATCCAGGAACTCGACGATTTGCAGTATATTGATACCATACCCTTTAACGGCGTAAACAGATCCATTCTTGCATTCTTCTCCGGACTATTCAAATTTCTTGAAAGGATGGTGCACAAATCTGAGTCCACTAGATGCTTCGAGGAGGGCAGCGCAGCATATAGTCGAGATCTTGCAATGAGCATGGCAACTAGTCCCGAACTCCTTGGCAACGAGGTGCCGAACAGAGTCGGTTCTCTCTCAGCGGAAATTTTTCGGCATGATGCACGGAATGCCGACTACAGATGTTTTCCAAGAAAACTCCAGGAAGGAAAGTGGACCTTCATGCTTATTTCAGACGTCCCAGATGGCCTCGAAAACTCCACAAAGTACCCGCTGTGGAGATATGCATTCATAACTGCGGCTCCTTCCCACCGAGGTTCGAAGAGAAAGGCTCCAGGCTTTGGATTTGAGGGTGAAAATTGTCCTTCAAGTACGTGGAACAGGTTGCCAAGGTCGACACCGGACATTGTCATAGCGGATATCGGCGCATATCTGGGCAGTATAATACCGAGTGAGGCGATGGGAGTCAAAGATACAAGGCAAAAGGTGTTAGAGGCTTGGCAAGCTGCAATGTGGCGGAAGATTGAGGTGACTTACCGGAGACGTGGTGGACCGGACAGGAAGCGCACTTCGTGGAAACGACCTAAGCTCTGTAGCAGAAAAGAGGTGGAGTCCTGGTTGGGATCATCGGATTTTGATGAAGCTAAGCAGGAGAAATGGCGTAAAGATAGACTAGAAATGAGAAGTTGAGGGCAGAGGAAGACACAGATATCTGAGGGGCGCACCTAGCAGTTGGAAAAGAGACCGAGACTAAGGAGGCTACCGCCAAGTCTGCATGATGTTGAACCTTCAGGATTCGTTGACTTCACGAATGGACCAGTCTGCGTTGCTCTTTTTGTGAGCATTTAGTCTGCAAATCATTATCAAACGTATTTTGTTGCAAAATGAGCGTGTATCTGAGTCTATATTTACTGGGCCTTTGACTTTAGCACGTGGAACATGCCTGGCTGTCCGAAAGTACAAGAATCTCCTCTGTCTCATATTCTCTGCTGATGACAGTTCTAACGTGCTGAAAGGAGAAGAAAATCAAGGTTGTCTTAATGGTACTCCATCATGTGATCATCAGACTACAAAGCAACTTGAGGCTAAGAAATGTATTTTCTTTGTGTATTCGATTATCGACATGATTACAAGATATCTCTTAGACATACGTTAGACTCAGTCGAGCAGATAGGAGAACGTGTTGTCTTCTGCATTATACTTATAATCCATATCCCCACTCAAGTATTCAGAAAGAAGAAAGTCCAGAAGAGCTAGTTATCAGAACAGTAATATTTTATCAGGAGAGCGGTGGCAAGGACGACAACAAGGTTGAGGATCAATGAGGCTGACTCGACATCTCAGATGACACAGGGTCTCACGATCTCCAGCCACATGTGACAGGGCGTCATGACTGGCATGATGCATGGACGGTGGCGCAGTCTTGATGGAGCAGAACATCAACGGGACTATTGTACCTCAGACATGAAAAATTAAATGACAATAAAACATTCAAAGATGAAATAAGTGAAAATTCTCCGACGAAAGCAAAACAATGCAGTGAAATGTCGACCCCTGTCTAAAGCGGGAACGCTACGGAACGGATTAACTGTTCGGTGAGCTTAAATTGATTCCGCGAAACATCCCTCGAGTGACCGAGTAAATAATCCCCAGGTCGTGTGAACGACTTCGTTCTGTCACGACAAGATCTTATCGCCGTGTCAAAGTCATCTGTCGTGGTGGGCCCGTCTAGGGCAAAGTCGTACCCTGTGAAAGGCAATGTATATACTTGTATGATTGCTGGGAGGACCGTCACTAACGACGAAATTCACAGAGACGAACTGCCAACCTTCAATCCCATGTATCGAGACGTGACGACCCTATGTGAAGACTCCCTAGTCTTCTTTCATTCTTTCAACAGATTCCGTAGCCGACGCCCCTATTAGATCGCGTAACTGCGAGCCTCGCTCCCGGCTGCCTGTGCACTATTAAGTCTCCAAACAGCTACCGACACAACGCACTAGACGGAAGTTGAGAAAAAGTCTCGATGTTGGCAGATAGTCGAACTTGAAGAGTCTTCTGTGGTCGGTGCCTCGATACCTCGTCGGTGCCTGGTTTCGTGGGATATCAGCTGTCTTTAGCGCACTGGAGCTCTACGAACTCTTCTTCGATCTACAACCCCTCCTTCCTCAAATCTTTTGCTCCTAGCCCAACTGCACCCAAGATGGAGGAAGAGCTCACTCAGCCAGGTATTACTCACTTCTCTCCTTCTTCTGCCCCTCTTTCTCGTTCGCAATTGCTTGCTTTGCCCCTCGAAGAACTCCTCCGCCGCGCAGCGCAGGGCCAAGATCGAACAATTATTGACTCTTATTATGTAGCTACCCAGATCGTGATCGATCCTCGAAGACTAGGTCAAGCACACTCTAACTTGAGCCCAGAGGATCAAGCCGACATCTGCTGCATCCTCGTTCCTATCTCCGCACCAGCGATTCGAGCTGTCGATCTCATCCACGAACAAACACCACATCTTACACTTACGTCGGAGAATCATGTCAGAATTCGGGAGAGAGGCAGCGAGGAAGTAAGCCATGGTCGTACTTCTGGTGAGGCCAGCAGTATCCCACATTCTCGCGATCTTGTACTGCGACTTTCAGCCAAGCTCAAGGACCCCGTTGGAGGATTCTTCTTTGGCAGAAACAAAAACCGCTGTGACTTCCAGATCGGCTGGCATGAGGAGTCGAGAAGAGTGAGCAACATTCATTTTAGGATCTACAACAATGAATTCGGCACTCTTATGCTGGAGGACCAATCCACCAATGGTACTGCAGTAGATGGTCATCTGTTGCGCGGCAAGGAGAAAGAAAACGGCATGGACTATAGACACACCCTCGAGTCAGGCTCAATGATTGTCTTGACAATGACACCTCCCGAAGAGGATTATCGGTTTACTGTCCGCATACCCCAGCGCGATGACGACGCAGAAGAGGCATATCAAGCAAATTTGACCGCCTTCTTCCTTCGAGTAAATGATGTCAGACTCCAGGAACATGCCCGTGTAGCAGCTGGTGGCTTGCTAAAGAAAGAACTAGTAAGCCATATCACATAGCTGGTACTAGTTTTACTGATTACTTGCAGCTTAACCTTTTTCCTACACCCGGCTCTGCAACCCCGAACCCTTCAATGGTATCATCCAGAGGTAGAACAATCAAGGAATGGCGCGGAGGTCCAAAATATAACAAAGTCTCGACCATTGGGAAGGGTGCTTTTGCAGTTGTGTACAAAATCACAGCCAAATTTGACGGAGTGCCGTATGCTGCGAAGGAACTCGAGAAGAGACGTTTCATGAAGAATGGTGTCCTTGATCAGAAGGTAGACAGGGAGATGGATATTATGAGAAAGATCCAGCACGTGAGTATTGCCTGCTTCAATAAAGTAACTTTACTAATCATGCTAGTCAAATGTTGTCCAATACATCGAACATATCGATTGGCACGACTATTTATATATCATCATGGAATACGTCCCTGGTGGTGATCTCGGAAGCATGATCAATGAGCATGGATCCTTGCCAGAACTCAACGTCAAGGCCATGGCGAGTCAACTTCTCAGTGCCTTGAAATATTTGCATACAATCGGCATCACACATCGGGATGTCAAGCCTGACAATATTTTGATCTATAGTCGGGAGCCATTCCATGTCAAATTGACCGACTTCGGACTTTCAAAGATGATTGATAGCGAGGAGACGTTCTTGCGTACATTCTGCGGTACTCTACTCTATTGTGCACCGGAAGTATACTCCGAATATCGAGAATACGACCATACAGGAAAGAGAAATCTTCGAGGCCTTGACAAGAGATCACTTCCTCCGCAACGATACGGCCATGCTGTCGATATTTGGTCCCTTGCTGGTGTTCTTTTCTATGCTCTCTGCGGCAGTCCTCCATACCCCGTTAAGAATGGTACAAGTTATCAAGAGCTCTTGAATCAGATCATGACACAACCTCTTGATATTCGACCACTTCAACGAGAAGGTATCTCCGACAACGGTATCCGCTTCGTTCGAGGAATGCTGCATACTCGACCAGAGTACCGTACAACAATTGAAGATTTGGAAGATAGCTCATGGCTTCGTGGTGGTCAAAGTTTCGAAATGTCAATGGACGAGGATGAAGTTGATATGATTGATGGTGGGTATAACAACTCCCAACTAGAGGAAGGCACGTCACAATTGAGCATCAACCCGGCAGAACGACAAGTCAATGACAGTCAAGAATCGCGTGATGACGAAAGCGAGCTCACCGAGCTTCAGCAACCTGAAATTCCAAGCAGCTTCAACTCAAGCGACGACTTTTCAACTGGAGGAGAAAGCTTCGCTTTCATGCAAGATCACGCCAATCCTACCAACGGCCGTTTGTTCGGAGAGGTCGACGTATCTGCTTTAGGAAGCTCTGGCGCGATTCCATTGGACCGATTGAACCTTCCTAATCCAAGCCGCGAGCACATCGGCTTTTCGCAAGAGTCAAGATTTTCGCAAAGCGCGCCCGAGAACGCGTTTCCAAAGGTCGCAACTGATCCTCGACGATACGACCCAAATCTCAATCCTGCAAAGATGCCGACAGACATGCCGCCTCCACCTCCGCCTCCGCCACACGCGCTACCAGCGAATCAACCGCGTTCTGAAGACGATGATCGAGCCACTAGATCATCGAGTCTCTTTGGCGCGGAGTCTATGGTTGGCCATTTGAACATGCATTCTCCAGCCTCGGCCGCTTCACCTGCTGCTGATAGCCCCATAGCCTCCACCGAACCCAAAGATGTCAGAGACCCTGCAGTCAGCCTTCGAAGACCCCGAGAAGAGGATTACGATGACGACGCGACCTGGCGACCAGCTGACCTGCCTGCAAAGCGACAACGCAGATCATCGCGAGAGATTGAGCTTCAGGTACCGCCAAGCACATTCTGGGACCCCAAGGACAAGTCAACACATCATCAGAACTACCCGCGGATGTCCACCACCGATTTCCACGCCTATCAGCAGTATGCACTTAGCAAGGGCGAAAAGTTCGTGCCAGGTCAAAAGACTTTCGAGACGACCATGCAAAGTTTCCGAAGCAGTAGAAGCCCATCAGTCGAGCCGGATGCTACTACCAGAGCCTATTCAGAACCAACCAAGGAGGAAGGACGACGAATGTTGATGAAGCGTGATGAACGGCAATTGGCAGAAGAAATTAGCAGGGCTACAGAACCCATCGCCAAGGGTGGCCCGGTCCGAGAAGAGTATCTTCCGGTCACTATGCGCTCACTGGGAGCTCCCGAAGCTCCATTGGCAACAAAGATAATTCCCGGAGCTGTCTACCCCTCTGTTGGCAATGACTTCCAACCACCGAAGCGTATCATCGCCAAGCTGTCCTCAACTCGTGACAGTGTGCTTCCTACCATCAACCTAAACATCACCGAATCTGTTACCAGCTGGGGACGGGCAGCTAAAGCCACCGTTCACTATCCACAGCCCAAAGAGACCAAAATTCCTAAATTCGCCTTCAAGATCATTCTTTTCAAGCCTGGCTTCTATACTGACCTAATAGGAGGACATTCTCAGGAATGGACCGAAGCCGATCAAGATATGAAGCTCTACATCTCGACAAAGGCGTCGCAAGGCATATGGGTTAACGGCATACACATTCCCAGTCACGATGTAAAGGATGCAAATGGTGTATCCGATCCCAATGCTGTATCGAAGTTCTGGACTGAGCTGAAGCATGGTGATGAGATCACAATCTGGCACAGCGACAAGACGCCCTACAAGGAAGAGCAAAACAATCGGCTCAGACTCGAGTGCTACTGGGGTCAATCGAAGCAACCTAGACGTGGCGAAGCTGTTGAGTTCGTCGATGAAGGCGACTTCTTAGATGAACTAGAACAGGCTTGCTCGTCACAGGAACGACGAATTCTCAAGGAGAAGGAGGAGCGCCACGCTGAAGAGAAGAAGATTGCGAAGCACGACAAGGAAAACGAGAAGCAGGCACGTCAAGGTGGCTCTCGACAAGTTGACATGAATCAATCCTTCAGCGACACGCCGTCTTTCTCTGCATGAATAGACCCTCCTCTCACTACATTCGGATATGCCGAACTTCGAAGTACCAAACTTTGGAGTCTAGCATATCACAAAGACTACCTCACTTTGTACGACTAGCAGCTCACTTTCTTTTTTTCCTTTTTGTCAATACCTCATACATACCCGAGCGAACTTGGCGGCAATAAGCTTTGAATTCTTCTTGCAAAATGGCTGGGCATGACTTCATAGCAAGAACAAAAGTATCAGCACGGAGTTTCGAGATATGGATGGTGCATTGGGTGGTAACATTGCTTGCGCGAGCAGATGAGATCATGGTGGCTGGCCAATAGATGCCGTTGCAGATTGCAAAAAGTTGTCAGATAGCATGAATGAAAACCCATAATTAAGCAGTGTGCAGTGTGATGAATGCTTTTCTTATTGTATGGCCGATGGGAGTATATACATTTCACATATTCTTAGATTGGATGGGCTTCTGTCCCCTCCTCGCCTTTCTTCCACAACATGGCCCTTCACATCCGAGACTACAGCAAACAAATCACCCATTTGCTCTCAGAGCTATCACACCTCCATTTCTATCAGCATTCTGCTTTTACACCATGCTTCATAGCAGGCTTTTATGTTGCGCAAATGGAGTGCGTACAAACACATCTCACAAGCGGCTTTAGAACTAGTTTGAAAGTGGTTCGCAACCACTTCAAAACCACATCGACCTCGATTTAGTGATTTGCAAAGTGCGATGTGCAACAAAGCCCCTATAAGGCATAGCGTTGTCTCAGTATTCGACATGGGTTGGATATATCACATGCCATGTACCTCTGGGTACTTTGCCAGCGCCAGAATTTCGTTGAGAACATATATTAAAGACGGTTTTTTCATCTCAGAAGTTGGATACTCATTGGCTACTTTCCATATACCTCTTTAGGAGCAGGTAGGTCTTCATTCACGTGACCTATGCTTGATTCTCCAATTTCAACCCCGCGCCAAGCATTCCGCAATTCTGTTGCACGTCGCAAGTCCTGAGCTTCTAATCGATTAGAAAGATTTCTCGGTTCCGAGACGGTTGTTTTGTGGTTTCTTTTGAGCTGAACGGCGGTTACACAACAGTTGTCAACTCGACTCTTTCTCATGAGAAAGGATATCATCCCACCAGCTGCCGATGCTTCACCAATACTTATTGTTCTAGATCATACTTCACAATAGTCTTCATATTTCAAGATTGTGATACGCTTTTAATCGTTCTTTTGGCATCACATGAGCAGGCGACAACGTCGCGTTCTGAGTTCAGCGCTTCTAGCAACTAACATCGAGGGCTTCTCGCCGAACATCACAACTCGTCCTAGTAGTACCTAATCCTGCGCTCACAGGTATCTACTCATCTTCCTCTTCAGCTCCTTTACCCACTGTTGACCCATCTATCTCACAGTACGGAGCCGCAAGGCTACCTTCGACGTCGTCGATTGCCATGTCTGCAACTCCGACACCTCGAGCTTATCAGCTCCCACCAGAGCTTTGGGCCTACATTTGCGAAGATCTCTCACGAAAAGATCTGCGAAACCTTCGTCTTGTCTGCAGATACCTACAAGATTGTACAGCTCCGGCTCTCTTCAAAACGGTGTTTCTCAAAGTCAGCTTGGATAGCTTCGCGAATCTGCAGAAGATCTCAGAGCATCCAGTCTTCAGCAGAAGCGTGCGTTATATCTACTACGACGGACGAATTCTTGCACCTTTCTTGTTGAATTGTGAGTTCCAAGACTGGCGGCAGAATTACTTAGATGCTCGCATGTATGCGCGATACAATGCATTCGGGTCAAAACAACGGCACAACGTATACTTGGCATTCATCAATCACACATCGGGGCAGGAATACATAAGGAAGGGTACCCACGAGAAGGAAATGCTCAGCCAGTATCTGAGCAGATTGCCTGGCCTCTGTGGCATATTTGTTCAATCGTCAGAATACAATAGCCTGTGCCCTGGCGCTTTTACAAAACCTACCAACTCGACAAATCCAATCCTACTGAAGACTTTTACGGAACCTGAATTCTACAGACAGCAAAATGACGAGTACTTCTGGAGCCTTTTTGAAGCTGCGACTTCAAATCCCCAGCTGTCTGAGCTGAGTGGTGTAGGACTGGATATACGTCAATGGACGCTCCGTGCGAACCTGTCTATGGAATTGTCCCAGCGCGTACCAAACATTCGTCGCTTGAAGCTTGAGTTTTCGGGCCAACCCAAAGACTTTTCCAGTTTCGAGCGAGTGTTAATTCGACTGCCATCACTTGAATCTCTCCGCATTTCATTTACATATATCGACTCTTCGGAATATCTTGAGGCACCCGTACGTTCAAATCTTTTGAATGAGCAAATGCATTGGAAACGACTGCGACACTTGTCGTTGCAAGCAATCCCAACGGGTAGTCAACATCTGAAAACGTTTTTGGCAAAACACTCGAACTCTTTGCGTTCTTTAGAGTTGGGAGATATTATATTCGTCCCAGATCCCGAAAATCCGGATGCTAAAGATGCGACTTGGATCGATTTCATCTTATTCCTCTGTGATGAACTGACGTTGAATAATGTGAAATTCTCTGGGACTCTGTACGCTGGTCGTAACGAGAAGTGGACTATTCCCGAATCTCCCTTTCAATACCACATGCCTTTTCACCCGGGGAACCTGCGATTTAGGATCGAACAATATATCACACATAACAGTTATGCATGTCCATTCACATCTATCGAGCATCGTGGCAAAGATTCATCTGGCAATGGAGGTTTTCTTGAAAGCCATAGTTCCAGGTGGAAGTGGACTCCAGACGCCTCCTGGGTGTTGACTCTTGGCTCACGCATTCACGTGCCTAACTCTCCTTGGGAGGCTTCAGCTGAGCTCCTCGGCTCAATTTGAGAAGTCGTCCAAAGCCTGAGACTGCCAGAACTTGCGAATGCGGAGATGTTACCACGATCTACAGAGGGACAATCTCGATACCTGACCAGTTGACAACTTTGACACGCCGCCTTCATCCACCGTCTGTGCCATAGTGATCAAGGTTGCAAGATAGGGACCAAAGTCGACATCACCAACTGGTCAGCAATCGAATACTACACCAGACTTATCTGCGCCTCACTTCCCTATCTCAAACCTCTCTTCGCAAAGGTCGTGCCAAGCTTTCTCACAACTGCCAGAGGTACACAATGTCACGAACTCCACGGCTACAATGGATCGGATCTCGGAAGCAGAAGACATCATGTGCCAGTTGGGAGCACAGATGACGGAAATGCTTTCAACAGCACGCACAAAGTACACGTGGGTAGTGCCGTGATGGTAGCGGAACATTGCATTCGGATGCTGTCTCTACGGACCAGATTGTGAAATATGAGGGAGATACAGAACTCAACACAGGGACAGAAAATTGGTATATTCTCAAGACGATCAGGATTGATGTAGATCGAGGCGATGAGCGTGTGTGAATTTGAGCGTTTCAATTCGTTGTATATTATAGGGTCGGATGGTCTCGTGAGCGCTGGTGTAGAGATTCACAACCACGATGGCCTATTTCCATCTCTCGATTTCTGATATCGACCTACGCATCGAGAACTCCTCCTGATTCGGACGCTTGTCAGCATCGAGTAGTCCTCGCTAGTCAAATTGTGCCCCTTTTAACCTCACTGGCCTCGCTACCCTCCGCTTCATGCCAAGGGACCGGTAATAATGCACAATCCTTGATCCCCGGGTGGACGTGCGTCAATGATCAGATCTGCGAGATTGACCCTTGTACTTCCTTCCATTTTGCGACAAGTGCGGAAGTGATGATTCGTGGAATGATTCCATAAATTAGAAGTTGTAAATGGTTATTAAGTAGTTGAGTTAAAGCAGAAGAATTCATTGTTCGGCACAAGTCTTCTGGGCGTTGGAAGAGCAGACGTCGTCTGCAGGGTCTATGCAGGCACGGACATGGAGAGTGGGTATCTAGCCAAATTTTCATCAGAAAGAGGGGAAGGGTTGAGTGCACATGTGGGGATTTTTGGTTCCTGCGTCTGGCGTGGAAGTGGACACGAGATTTCTGATGACGGCTGTCAAAGTGGACGGGCGGGGAATAGGATGGTTGTTTATGATATGTTTGGCGACTACTTGTTTGCTTGATTTCTTTTCTTAAGAGTCCTTCAATTGAGAAAAATCTGTTAATTGCGAAGGATATCGAAATGCGTGGAAATATGGTATCAGGTACTGGCCTCCTCCAGAGCTTGTTGGTTCTGGGTGTTGCGAGTGTGAAAGCGGCGAATTCGAGCTTGCCGATTGTTGATCTGGGATATGCTTTTCATCAAGCTCAATATTCTATCGTAAGTTTGTTTAGTATTGAAATATGAGAGACTTTAGCTGATGATCGGAAGTCGAATCAGAGTAATGTCTATTATAACTTCAGCAACATCCGCTATGCGGCTCCTCCCCTCGGTAACCTCCGATTCGCAGCCACTGAGGCACCGCTCAACAACCGTAGCGCTGGTGTACAAGATGGCTCGTATGGAAATATCTGCCCGCAAGCTTTCGCGAATTGGCAGATTGGTGCTCTGTCACTAAATCCAGGAGCGAGCAATGAGAATGAAGATTGCCTGTTTCTGGATGTAGTAGTACCGCAGTATGTCTACGACAACAAAGCCAGCAAAAGTCCTTCTCCGGTCATTGTTTGGTTTTATGGCGGTGGATTCACGCTCGGGAGCAAGTATAGTGCTGGAAATCCAACGGGGCTGTTGGATCAGAGCCTTGATACTGAATCCAAAGGCCAGGTTTGGGTGGGATTCAATTACAGACTCGGCGCAATGGGCTGGATGAATGGTCCAGATTTCGCTGTGGCTGGAGGTACGCCAAATGCGGGGCTGTACGATCAACAGATGGCTTTACAGTGGGTGCAGGATAACATTCATCTTTTTGGCGGAGATCCATCGCAGGTTACGGTGATGGGTGAATCTGCTGGAGGTGGAAGTATTACGCATCATATCACTGCATATGGAGCGGGAAACAACACAAATCTCTTTCAACAAGCTATTTTGCAAAGTCCGGCTTTTATTCCGACTTCATTGAAGAACACAACAAACACCGCCTTTGCGAACTTTTTGGTTTTCGCCAACGTCAGTACTTTAGAAGAAGCTCGACAGTTAGACACTCTTACCCTACAAACCGCAAACAAGAAAGCCCAAGCTCTTGCTTTCTATGGAACATTCAGCTTCGGCCCAGCTCCAGATGGGACCTATGTCCCTGATCTCCCAGGTAAACTCTTGCTCGAAGGAAAATATAACAAAAATCTTAGCATAATCGCCGCACATAATACCAATGAAGCCGGACACTACACCCCTCCTACTGCCTCCACCTCATCCAACTTCACTACCTACATGAAGCTCTACTTCCCCGCCATCTCGGCAACGACTCTGAATTATCTAGACACCGTCCTCTTCCCAGCAATCTATAATGGTTCGTACCCCTGGACAACCCCATTTCAACGCCTCGACACCGCTATCTCCGATTTCACATTCATATGTAGCACCCGTTGGCTCGCGAATGCCTACGGCGACAAATCACACAACTACATCTTCTCCGTCCTTCCCGGGAACCACACCCAAGACATTCCATACACATTTTTCAATGGTCCTATCTCGACTGTGAAGAATGATACGTTGGCGGTCAATATGCAGAGGTACTTTACAATGTTTGTCGAAAATGGGAGTCCGAATCGACTTGGGTTGGATCATTGGGTTGAGACGGGGAGTGAGGGGAAGGTGATGAATTTCAATGCTACGTTTACGGACACGAGGGTTGATACGGAGACGGTGAACGAGAGGTGTACGTGGTGGCAGAAGGCGCTTTATGGTGATGATTGGGCTTGAGTTTGGGAGGGGAAGATTGGTCCTTGTATATACTTTGGTACTTTGAATGTGTAATGTTGCTGTGTTCGGTGTTGCAAGTGCAACGGAATCTCATATTCGAGAGTGGTAACTTGCTATTGTTGTGTGCGTGTATATATTTTTTTCAAGACTTCGCTCGCCGGAGCATTTTGTCGTACTTGGATATGATGTAATCCTTTTCTTTGTCTTTTCTGATCCTCGTTTCTACCCCTCCATCTAGCTTCAAATACTCTGCAGCTTTGTCCAAGAGATATGTGAGAGCTCCTTCTAGGAATTCTTTCGCTATTTCGCCTTCCAGTTGAGCGGTGATATTGAGCGAATTCGACTGTTCTAGTTACTATGTGTTAGCTATCGATACTTGTGACTTCGATTCTAGTTTCTTACCTTCACCTGACTTGAAGAAGCTTCCTGAAAAGTTTTTTGATTCGAAGAAGCTGAATGCAAACTGTCCCAATGTCTCTAAGTCGTAGTTGAACGTTTGAACTGGAGCTATGTACTGTGCACTAGATCCTAGTTCTGTATGGACAATTGTAAATGCGAAGGTGTTCTTCCAAACGAATGTGCTATTGACTGAGGTATAGCGCGTCGCAATATCCATAGTTTCTGTAGATTTTTGCATATCCGTCTGGCCCACATCGTTCCGTGTCGGCTCACGCCACCAATGTCGTTCTCGCAGTAGCCGAAGCTCATTATCCTCAGTAAAAGACCCAAAAGAGCTCATTGAAAATGGTGACAAGGGCTCCCCTGTATATTTTCCGACGTTGGTCCTAGATGTGCTCATGTCTATGCTGTTCCTTTTTGCTCTGCTCTCTGCTAGCTGTTTAGCATGAAGCGAAGTCCTTGGGGGCTCCCTACGGTTGTTCTGCTTGGGATAATGTATCATTTGATTAACGAAGGTTTGAGGTCGCGAAATCATTTTATCTAACAGGATACCAGAATTGGGATCTTCGAACCGGGACACGGAAAAAATTGTGGCTTGATCCTCGTGGTCCACTTGATATTCTCTATGAACGACCAACTCTGCACGAGCATTGCGTATGGGTTGTTTACCCTGGTTCGTGGTGTCGTCTTGTTTCAATTTGTCGAGATTTCTGGCGTACACCCTTCCCGAGAATAGTTCAGCCTCAAAATCAAATCTGACATAAACTGCTGGGGCGCTGTCGATGCTTCTCCGAGTAATCTGGCTATCAGAATATCTGAAAGAGGATGTATTACCACAATCAATGATCGTCCAGGCGCTCTCATCTGTTTCTCTAAGAGTCTCGGTCTCCTTTACGAGCAATTCCTCCTGTTCCCGAGTAGTGGGTCTGATTTGTTAGCATTTGCCAAACAACGCAGAGAAGTAACGCAAACATACAGATTTATGACCTGCAGCAACAGCGTCATAGCAGCAACTTGGCCCCGTATTCGATCCTGATGTTGTGCAAAAGACGCTTCATTCCATACCACTTTGCCTCGTCTAAAGAAGCTTGGACTTTGTTGCCCGGCTGTAAACTCCTTCAGATCGTCCTCCAGCTTGCTAAATACCATCGTACCAAACAGTAAAGACCTGTTTAGTCGATCGAACAGCTTTTGTTGTCCTTCGTCCTGCCGAGCAGGCTGCTTCTTAGCCCACGTTTGGATGCCTTCCCATGCTGTTTGAATCACCTCGCACTCTGAAGCGACAGATTCGAGGGTCAGTTCAGCATACTTCAAGCGCTTGGATAAAGTGTAAAGGTCGTTGGCGACGGTGCCGACTTTGACGGCAAGGCCGAGGCTGCCATTGATAATCGAGATGATCGTCGCAGGGTCAGCCATGCTGAGTTGATGAAGAGAAGGCAACTAGACGTTTTACCCCTTTTTAGGGGAGCGAGATTAGCGATAATATAAAAGATGATCAGACATTTCAACTTGTTGTTTCAATCCCAAGATGCCAGAAAAAGAGGTTGAGGCTGCCATCGCAATGGAGCGTTGCATAATGAGGCTAGAGAGAATGCTATTATTAGTAGCATACTACCGCCCACAGCCACGACAACCTCAGCTCTTACTTGACTTTATTAAATTTCTATATTTGTTTCCAAGAGGCATGAAAACCAAAACCCAAAAACCGCAAACCGTCGGGAGTGTGGCTTGCAACAAATCTTTTGTGGTACCTAGGTAGACAGTGAATACTAGTCACGTGAGTTTAACTATCTTTTGTAATGCATGAGTCGATGAGTATATGCTACGATGACAACAGCGATACAGTCTCCCTCCGCGTGTCAAGTTATCAACAAGTCTGCTTATTCCCTCATCAAATCCAAAATCGCATACCCAGGACGAACAGACCTAGACGAATCCCTGTAGTCCAGGATTGAAACTGGATCATGGGACACTTGATGACGAGACATAGCCAATATTCTGTCGTGCCCTTCATACCAATCAAAAGTCTGTCTTGCGTCGTTATAGTCCCAACTTGGTGGACGTGGTCCATGCACTTCAAGATCACCCGTCTCCAATTCGTCAGCGCCAATGTGATCAGAAACTTGTTGCATAACTGCCGCTTCTGAGCTTTGCCCTCGTGAAGACACCTGATCATCACTGTTGTTACTTCTTTTATCTCGGACTTCTCTTGTTGTCGAAGTCGCTCTTCGTTCAGGTACGGTTGGTCCAGCGAGTTAGCATAGTACACTTTACGAATTCGATTGCAGGTTCTCGTACAGATTGATAACTTGCAGTAGTAAAGTCGTAGTTATGACTTGCCCTCGAAGCCTATCTTGATGCTTGGTAATAGTAGCCTCGTCCCAAGCCAATTTCCTTTGTCTCCGAAAAGCTCGGTTCGTGGGTTGCGATTTGGAAACACTTGAACGCACTATCCAAGTCTATGTTTATGTTGAGAGAATGATGGGAATGGAGGAATCTTGCAAAGGCACGGACTCTGGTTCACTTGGAGTTCACGCCGTGAATGGGTTATGCTTCAGCTGTGTCTTGTGAGCAAGAAATAATAAGGTTATATGGCTGACTGCGTGATGACGCCTCATGACATTGAGCCAGCCAATTTAGAGGAAAGTGGAGGTGGGTAAGGAAAGTGGGTTGAATTTGCTACACAATTGCTCACAACAAATAACTCGTAGATTATATTTAGAATGGATCTGGCGTTGATATCTGCACAGAGAATATCTGACTCAAGTCATTGGTTCTCTCCTTCCTTGAATTCTTCCATCGTGCCTCGAAAGAAGTTTTGTGCATCACGGCTCGAAGCATCCAGGGCAACCCATCCCAACGAAGAAAGATGATAATCCAGTCGAGAAGACAACAAGCATAGTCATCGGCTTTCACCTCGCCGCAGAGCTCGTATGACGTTATGTCCTGGGCAGCGGCCAATTTGTGATCTAGTGTTGACTCATCATATAATTGTCTAAATCCAGGGCCCATGTATTTAGGTAGTCCTAGCTGAGCCACTGCTTAATCTGAGGAATAGAATGTAACAGTAGTAGGAAGACCCTAAGGTATTTCTCGGTTATCTATGGATTATGACAGGGCTGAGCTCTGAACCTACCTTGAGAGTTGGGTGGAATCTGGCATCCAACCACTTTTTCTTACGACCGACTGTTATTACAAGAGGCAATTTGTCATGTTTTTGCAGGACTGTACCAATGTAAGAGCTGAGGCCACCGGGAATGGCCCACTTAAGCGAAACTCAACAAATGAGACCTTATTTACCAAAAATCATAATTTTTTAGTCTTCTTATGAATCTCTGTGAAAATGGAACTTATTATTAATTAATAGTAGCCATACCCTTGTACTTAATTACATCCTCAATCTTACAAGTCAATTGCTCAGTGTAGTGGCGAAAGTCACGTGGGTCAACTCGGTCCCATAGCTTTTGCAACTCCCTCTTCAAATCCACCTTATTTTTGGGCACATAGTCCAAGTTTTTCAATTCCTCCTTCATCCACCTCCAGACCTTCTCAATAGGGTTCAAATCTGGTGAAGAAGGAGGCCAATTAAACCCTCGGATATTGTGCTGTAGTCTAGGTAATCTGGCATGCCCTTTATGCACCTTAGACCCGTCTTCCATGAAGATATACTCCGGCCCTAGATCATCAAAGAGAGGGAAGATTATAGGCTGAAGAACTTGCTGTAGATAGGCTTTAGAACATATGCCCTTGCGTTCTGGAAGCTTCTCTAGGAAGACTAATGGCGACTTGTAATCCCAACCTAATGCCCCCCATATCATGACCGTTGTCCTCCCTGACCTGTAGACTGACTTAATGCAGTCAGGGCACCTCCTCTCATCTACCCTCCTAGTCACATATATCCTGCCATTCTTCCCAGTCTCAAATATAGCCTCATCAGACCATACAACCTTCCTCCAGTCCCCTCCTTGCTTGCCATCATCTCTATGAGCTGCATAGTCTGATGTCCCCCACCATCTATGCTCCTTGGCAAATACATATCTCTTCCTAGCTTGTTTAAGGGTAATATATGGTCGAGGGCATGCAATGCAGCGGCGGTAGCCAGCCCGGGCTAATTCTCGACGAATGGTGCGCACCGAGGGTAGGTAGGGTAGTTGCTTTTTGAGAGCCTCAAAAGTCATGCGCCTAGAGCTCCAGTTTTTGGAAATGGTTCGAATGCAATAACGTATGTCGCGTATAGACATGAGATGGTGTCTAGAGAGCTTTCTTTTGCGCTCTCTCCGACTAGATTCCTGCTTAAGAATGCGGCGTACTGTTCTTCGAGGGATATGGGTCTCTGAGACAATCTCGCGTTGCGACTTTCCCTGGCGCTATAGGGATCGAATGACTGCACGTGCAGGGGTAGGCCATTCATTATTCTCTTTCTCGATAGGATCACTTAGGATAAGAGGTGTCTCCATCTTGAATTATGGACTGATTCCTAAGAGGGTTGTTGTGTAGTAAGGGTTTTAAAATGGGGTGTAGAATTTTTACGCGTTACCGCGTCTCGCTTAAGTGGGCCATTCCCGGTGGCCTCAGCTCTTACTCAAAATCAATGTGCATTGCATCAGTAGACAGAAGTTTTGGATCGACACGTATAATTGAACCAATCTATTCACGAAGTTGATCTCCTTCGCTATAGTGGAAGCTTTTCAAAACCTTTCGCACCACAACCATGTTCTTGGAAACCCTGGGACTTTTATGGAAACCATGTTGATGTTTTATGACAGCTCCGCACAGTTTGGATGGAGCAATGGCATAGTCAATTTTGAGAACCTCCCGACAACAGCGTGAGACCATATTGAGAAGTCCATAAGCTTTGTCGAAAATATTTTCACACTCGCTTGCTCCGTTCACGCACATCGAATCGAATCAAGTTGGTCTCTGCTTGCCTTCGCGAGTTATGAAATAGTGCCATTGCTCGATGATTTGGAACATGTATGTAGGCTTAAGGGCACGCAGATCAGAGATGTGATTTGGAAGGGAGTGGTCCAGAAGTGAGTCTTCGGAGGTCATTCTGTCGATGACTCTCATCTATTCAAGGCCTGCCGTAAATATTGGCACTTGATCTGTACATCAGCGCACTGAAGGACGAGGTCCTTTGCCAGGATGATTTCCTGCATGATCCACAACCGCGTCCAGTAGGATCTCTGGCTGAGAGCACGAAGGGCAGCCCCGCCAACGTGTGCCATTTCTTCTCCAAAGAACTCAAAAACACATACCTCCCACTGTCTGCATGGATCTCGATATCTTCCTCAATGTTCCAATTACTTCGCTGCGTTCCGGACATGATTGTTCAGAAGGTTTGGTTGTTCCAGTCGGCCAATCCAACTGACTACACTGACCGCCTGGGAGTAAATCCGACCTATTGGGACACCTTATATTGTTAGCCTTTCTATCCAAAAGAGAGCGGAGCCCATCACACAGTCCACTTCGTTGACAGACTGGAAGCGACGGCGCCGTTGAAGGACCAGCCCGCGAGAAACAATACCGTACATGAATATAAAGCCGTTTAAAACTGTAAAACGAAGCACACCTGATGAATACACAATGCATCAATCCAAATTACTCTAGCCTCGGATCCCGAGCTAGGCCTAAGATGCCACAAAGCCCATCAAAGATTTTCTCTCACCACAACCTCCACGCCCTTGAGAACTATGGGCAACTCCTTGCTCTTTGGATCACCCCACTCATACGACAAAGCTTCATATTGGCAATTGCTATGGTCGAGATCTGCTACGGCCAGAGAGCATACGATCATATCAGGCACCGGGTTTAGGCGAGGCTGAAGGCGAAGGACACGAATTTGTGCTTTCGTCGAGTCGAGAGGGCTGTGAATACATGCCTCCTGTATGTCCATTTCAGAAAAAGGTATTCGAATCCGAATCAAAGAGCTGATGGAGTGTGATCGACGCAGGGTTGTTGAGAGCAAGATTGTCAAGGTGAGCAATTCTACCCGCAATTTCAGCTCCCAAATCGTGGTCGATCACCTGTGCGCCACAAGTCGTGTTGTTGAAGCCCTGATTGTAAAGTTCTAGCTACCAAGTAACGTTCTGAATATCTAACTTGCTTCCAGGACTGAGAACTTGGAGCTTGAAAACTTAACGAATACTGAAGACCGTCTTCTGGAACGACCCCTCTTCAAAATCTGCCATAATCTCTCCTCTCATGACACCATGCACATATGAATCTCCAAGCAAGAAATAACCTTCTTCAATTGGCCTCAAGATGAATGGCATTCTCCCACCAAACAAAATGCATACAAGATCTCCTGATTGAGTCGAGTCTGGGACCAAGCCAAGCAGACCTTTTCTAGAGGACATGAGTCGTCTGCCAGGGACTAGCCATTTCCACATTTTGTCAAAATCTCGCCACACTTCGTGTTCCGTAACCTGAAGGAATGGTAATGTGTTGGAAGCATGTACAGATTGAGTCCACTCTCGAATTGTCTTCCCAGCGACTCCCCAGTTCCTGTGGCGAGCGTACCAACGTGGAAATCCAATAGAAGCCTCCATTTCTGATAGCTCTTCGTCGGTCTTCGGATTCATTTTGTCTTCCAAGTTGCAACACTGAGCAGCGAAAAGTTCTCCAAAGATATCAGGCGCAAGTGAGAAACCATCCGAAACCTCGTTGATACTTCCAACCAGTGACATCCACAAAGCTCTGAATGTCTCTCCCGGCATGGGATAATGAGTTTTGTGTGATGACTGGATCATGTTCGGCGTTTTACAACTATCAGACCAAGCTGGCCCTAGCCCATCAACTACGTCCAAGACGAACCCTTCAGCAGTAAGAGAATCTCTCTCGATGCTAAAATCAACCTTTGGACCAGTATCTCCCGCAGCTTGGAAGGAGAAACTTCTCATACTTGGCTCGAAGAATGAAGTGTTGAACATATAAATCTCTGCTCGAGAGGCAGTAGGCATCCAAGGCGGATTGCTTGAAGCTAGTGGACGATTGAAGACCAGAGATAGAAAATCCAAATCTCCCCTCTCTTCTATCATAGCTTTCGTCAGATTCCTGTACAAATTAGAGATGCTGAGAGTGTAATCTGCTTCTGGGACAATCCTTTCTGCATCCGTGGCGAGTCCAAGAATACCATAAATCTTATCCCGCTCATCTGTCGCAAGGCGATCTATCGTCAGCCACATCACTTGCAGCAGATCTGAGACATCAGCCGAGTTCCAAAGCAGCAAAAGATCGAAAATGATATCGAGTCGTCCTTTATTTAGAGATATCCCTTTAGGAACCAGAACATCGTTGATCCAATCAAAATCCTCTTGACAGATATTGAGAACGACAGAGTAAAAATCATGACGCGAAAAGATCCCAAGACCACAAAGGAAAGTCACATTCTGGGCCAAGGCAAGTTCTTGACACATCCACACCCTCACCCACCAAGTCCTCTCTAACAACGAATTGAAAGCTCGCCACTGAGGGAGATGATTGCCGTTGTCAATATTCTCCATAACCCATGCTATATCTTCTTCCGGCCATTTTGGCCATTCAGGATTTTCAGTAAAATCCTCAAATGAGGGGTTCGTCGTGATATTCTGATGTGTAATCATGCCCATCAGACTCAGGGCGAGGTCACTATCATTCTCTTCCGGTCCAAGCCAAATCAATACATCGGACGCTGAGCGATAGATATCACGCATACGTGTCACTTCTTTATTGCGCTCCGTGATGTCCTCTTGGTTGATACAAATAGCATCAATCCAAAGGTACGTGTCAGCCAGTGTCTTCTGCACCACCGATAGCAAGGCTGTGAGATTTCGGCCTATGGAAAGCTTGGCATCAGATGTGAGGTCGAGGATGCATTGTGAGTCGGGAGGGTAGTTGATTAGGGTGGGATCCTCCCAGGCGTAAGAGATTGCGATGAAGCTCTCGTCTTCAAGAGTGGCATGGACTAACTCTCCTTGGAATGCGGGGTTGTCTCCGTCCTCATCAGCAGGAAGAATCTCTAATAATCGAATCTCGTTCTTCGAATTGTTGAGAGGCTTGTATTCGAAACGTTTGAACATTTTGGTGACTCCGCTCCTCGAAAGCAATTATCAGAGGATAATATGCAGTTGAGTTCGCTTTATGAATTCAAATTGGCGCAAAAACCTCACCACAGCCCGACTTCGGTGTCAGCTCAAGCCTTGCCGCGTTTTCCATCTATGAAACCGAGTTTGATGACTTGCAATTGATGAATCTGTATGAAGCGCCTCAACAAGCGTATGTATCTCGATCCAGTGAGATTTGATGATTTGATTTACTAAATGATTTCGGAAACAATCCCCGACACCGTACTGAATTGAGTTGCGGGCCAACCTCAGGACTTCGGAAGCATCTAGTCACGTGTGATGTGCCGAGCCGAGCCGAGTTCGGTAGCTCCGAATGCATTTGATCGAACACAAGGACACGACACGCGACACGCGCTTCAAACCTCGAATAGGGCACGTACTCTATCGTATCCCAGGGATTATGTGGTCCTCAGGGCTGTGTTGGAGAAGTAGGCATCGGCCTTGCAAAGCTATTTTCCACCAACGACACTCCACACGTGAGCTTTTTGTTACGAGACGTTATTCATCCTCGTCGATCGATGAAGTCACAGACGACGACAGGAGACGAATATACATCCATGGATCCGGCAATAAAGGCTGTTTCATGGCATTCTGTTTAGCCACCAAACCAAATCCTCCGCCTATCACTTTACTTGTCGCAAACCGTGAACGAATAAAGGCTTTCGAGGAAGAGGGCAAAAAGTGAGCCTGATATTACTTCCGCTTCCTATAGTTACATTCATCGATTGGTTGCAATCTCATCACTAACGCTGGGAAGGATTCGCATTTACACGGACGGAAAATGGTTCGAGTCTGGCGGGGTAGATATTGAGTTATTAGAGATGAGACACGGCCGAGCCATCACGGAGATGTCTTCTGGTCCAGCCTCCTTTGACTCAATATCCTCTCAACTGCGAGTTACAGTCACGCCAGAAGGAAGAGAAGTCAGCGCAAAGGAGGCATTTGGCGGGGAATGCCCACCAAAGCCCAAAGCCAGCCAACGACCCATTTTCAATTTGATCACCACCATAAGATCACCACAAGCTGCACGCTCAATGGTCGAGGTCCAGCACAGGTTAGGGCCAGACTCTACGGTCATTGCAATGCAAGACGGACTTGGAGTGCTCGAAGAAGTATTTGGAACTTGCTTCCCGGACCCTCGCACACGACCAGACTTTCGCTTGGCGTTCATAAGTCATGGTCTTTATGAGACCACAAAGAGCAATCCCGGCCAAAAAAAGACACCCTTGATCGAATTCTTGCAGATGCAAGATACCAAGGGAAAGGACTTCGTATCGTTTGGTCCGGCATAGGTGTCTGCGTCATCGGGCCTCTGGCTGACGGCTCAGTTTCAAAAGTTAAAGGAGACCGGTGGCGGAGAACGCAGCACAGCCAGTATCTACTTGATGAGGTTTCATCTTCTCCGATTCTAGATTGCAGAGAAGTCGATCAAAGATCCTCTATCGTAATGCGCTACAGGAAGCTTATCATAGATGCAGTGATTGGACCTTTAGCGACCGCTTACAGCTGCGAAAACAAAGACCTACTCTCAAAGCCCGGAGCTCCTGAGATTTTGGAAGATCTTGTCACTGAAGCTTGGGCGGTCATGAGGCACGATGTTGCCGGAACGTATCTTCAAGGAGTCCATAATTAGGTTCAGAAATCACTTGCTTTTGATGAATTCAATTCAATGGCTTGGTATGCCTTGAGTGGGAGGGAAACAGGCATTGAGAAAATAAACGGCTGGCTCATAGAAAGGGGTCGGTTGTGGGGAGTTGAATGTCCGACTCACCAGAAGATGATGGAGCTCGTGCTTGTGAAAACTGCGGAACAGCGCGAAAAGGCACAGAAAGCAGAAAAAGAAGCAGAGCAAAAGGCCACATCCAAAGCAAGCCCGAAAGAGGGCCAAGAAGAGAGACTCGACAGGTTGGAACAGAAGCGCGAAAAGAAACGACAACGTCAGCAGGAGATGCTAGGGAAACAGCCGATGCCGAAGAGATACACGAAGCCTCAAATATCTTCACTCGGGAATGTCACAATTCGAAGGCCGTAAGAGCTTAATGAAGCAGTTGAAGTTGAAGGGATGCTCAATTTAACAACCCGGGGATCAACTGACAACACCAAATTCGTCTGGTCTCCGAATAGCGGTACTATATGGAAGGGATATGTGTCTTCCGATTTCATCGTTATCATGCAGAGCTGATTCGGGGAAAGAAAACCTCGACTCTGAGAGAAATGGTGCAGATGAGGTGTAAACATCGTTGTCTCAACCCTCTTTCACTCCGGTCTTCAAAAATTTGGTGTTGGACATGGAAGAGATATTTGATATATTTCCTTGAGATGCTCTCAATACGAAGCCTGATAAGAAGCACCTCGTCAATCCTCCCGGTTGCTTAGGACAAGAGAGTGAATCGCGATCACGTGTATCCCCACTTCCCCCCTTTCGTTTCACTCGGCTATTTTTATTTCCGACGTATAAGTAGTTACCTCGATAATTTTGATATCAGCTTCACTAGACGCCTTCAGGATATTCATAAGGATCATGGTGTCTATTCATACATCTCGAAAAAGGATATCTTAATGTGCTACTTGCAGCACAAGAGATGCAAGTTACATACATCTCCAAGGTACAAACAGCCCCAACCTATATTGAACCATGATCTTTGATTGATCCAGTTCCAAATACGTTTCTCCGAGAACAACTTCGAGGGCAGACCATGCAGACCATAACCATTTCCGAACCATAACCAACAAACACTCAAACAACCTTAACCCGTATCCCCAACGACCCCTCCTTTGGCCTCGCCAACAAAAATTCCCTATCAGCCACCACATCCTCTAATCCCGTCTCCCACAACACAAACTTATTCTTCCTCACCACGTTCGCCAACGTAATATACAGCTCCGCATACGCCAACTGCATGCCCAAACAATTCCTACTACCCTTCGAAAACGAGATCATGTATCTCGACAGCGGGGATTCCTTTCCGTTACGCAGGTGAGGAGGTGGAGAGGCGAGCCCGCGTTCGGGCGCGAAGGTGTGAGAAGAGGGGAAGACGGTTTTCGTTGTGGTGCATGATGATGCTGGACATGGACATTGGGGTGCCGCGGGGGATGAGGTATGTTTTACCTGAGGGGATGGTGTAGGGGATGTCTTTGTCTGGGGAGATGCGAGGGAGGCGGGCGGCTCCTCTGTAGGCCATTCTGAGGCCTTGTTGATGTTAGCTAAGTTGACAAAACGAAAGCTCTTGATGCTGGTGAAGCAATCCAGGGACTTTATTATTGTGTAGCCTACCTTCTTGGATGACAGCAGTCAGATACGGTAATGCTTCCAGCGTGGGTAGGTCCAACGGAACATCCGGATCTGTCCAAGCTTCTTCAATTTCTTTATTTAATTTCTGCATTATTTCTGGGTTGTTGAGAAGATGGAAGAATGTCACCGACATAGTCCACGCCGTGGTCTCAACTCCAGCACTGACAACGGTCTGCGCCTCGTTGAAGAGGCGCTCTTTGGAGTTCTCTTGCGGTGGTCGTTTCGATTGTAGGATCTCGGAGAATATAGTTGCGTGATTGACATCTTGATGTTTCTGACTACCTTTCACGACGTCGTCAACATGTCTCTCGACGTTCTGTTCAAGTTAGATGGCTTCGAGCTATGATTGGAAGAGAAGACTCACATTCAGCCAGGCGAAAATAATCTTGGATGTGGGATCAAGCCATGTTACAAAACTTCTTGGTAAGATGAAAATTTGGAGTTGGATAAGAATAGGAAAATTGGTTGCAATATGGAGACTGCGGAGGTAATGTTCCAAAGTTTTATTCAAAGGAGCCTCGAACCCAGGAGCTTCGACCAGATTGTATACTCAGCAAAAGAATACTCCATGACAGAATCGGCAGTAAGACAAGAGAATGCTTCATTTATGGTCAATACGTTGTCTGTCCCCTTATATTCCTCTTGGAAGCGACGACAGAGCATGTTTGCGCGTTCCTGAATCCATGGAGCGAATTTACGGATCTGGCTCTTGGAGAAGTAAGGATTGAGCGTAGCACGACGTGTTCGATGAAGATCATGGTCTGCTGTTGCGAAAGCGGACGTATCGGAGGAGAAGGCATTTTTGTGCCATGGTGTTTTGTCTCGACGCTCAGCGTTGGTATAAATTGTATCGACGAATTCTGGGTCATCGATGTGCACTTCGAGTGGTGTTATGCGAACAATAGGACCTTCTTCCTGTTAGTGAGAATATCTATGGATTGTATGATTTACTTACTATATTGTTCGTGTAGTTTTGCGATCTTTTTGAAATATTGTCCTCCTTTGATGACCTGGAAATAAAATTCGTACCACCAGCTCGCAGCTGCTAATTTGGGGCCTGGGATATGGGATATTGGACTGAAGTAAAGACGATAGATCGTCAACCAAATAGTGTAAGCTACTGAGGCAATAAATACAAACAATATGGACGTGATAGCATTGGAAGCAAAGTTACTGTTCAGAAAGATGACGACATGATGCTTTTCCCAGCAGAATAATCAGGTAAGACGATCTTGGAAATTATTTCAGACGACTGAGGAGTATATATGAAGTCAGCTCAACAATATTGATCCGTGCTCATATGGGTAAGCCTTGGAAAGCCAATTGGAGACCATGACGATCGCCTTGCTCGCAAATTTCGTCCACTCAAAACCAAGCATGAAGAGACAAAAAGGCTAGCATGGCGGCGCTGATCTTTAGCTTTGCGGCACTGTAGCACTATCTTAGCAACAAGCTAGGTTCTGACCGTTGCCTGTCAGCACTTGACGCGTTGCGGGGCAAGCTGCATACCTCGTCTCGCAATGGACCATGTAGGACCAGAAAGTGCGCAGGTATGAATTCTTTTTTACAAGTTTCAAGTTTGAGCTTCACTGGAGAAGAAATGCCTACAAACTTAGCAATGAACGTATACTTCGCCTCATGGCTGGATATCACACAGGTAGGGTGCAAGTCATGGTGATACCCACTCGAGGTCAAAGACGCCGTCTGACATAAGCAGCACTGAACTCCTGTTCTGGCTAGCATGCCATCTTGAGCAAAATGTGCAATATAATGGCCATCAGCACATAAAATATACCCCCCCCCCCCCGCCTCCCACCTTCAAAGGCTGGTTCAGCCCAAGCGATCGCCGTCTGCGTTGGGGTAATGCACTAGATTATGTTGTCTTGAGAGCTTCGACTGCTTCTTCAGCCTTCGATTTAGCACAAAGTGATATAAGAAGACCTAACGTACAACACTATTCCCTTTCATCTCGAAGACTCTGCGTTGCCCCTCATTTCACCCCACAGCCTCTAGAACAGATCATCTTCCATTCCAATTCTCGCGGTATTCCCCTTCCGTCTGCTCATTCACGGTTGCCAACAATAGTTTGGAGCCTGCTAATTTGGAAACATCAATGCTCTTGCATTTGCGTACTCTGGTATATATCTAGTGAAGGTTCCCAGATGAAAAACAAACAAACAAAAACATTCTTAGCCTCACCATCTACCCACGCCTTTCCACCACCACTACAAAAGCAGACTCCAATTTGCCATACATAAGCTCGCTATCCACAATCTTCAGCCTTACTACCAATGCCTTCAAAAGACAACCGTTCGCGCAACGATGGAAGACAAGTCCGTCTCAGCTACCGGTACGTCCTCTGGCCCAACAAGACCTCTTAGTATGATATGAACAGGAGCTTCTACTTCCCAAGTTCCCCAGCGTTACAACATTCCTACTTCTCATCCTCCCCTCGCGACAGCTAATGTAAGGAGAGAAAGATGCGGGTTGGTGGAAAGTTGGATGGAGACGACGAACCTGCGCCCCTTGAACCCAGTATATGAAGTTTAGCCGCAAAGAGGATGGCTAGCTTGTAGATAAAGTGTATGGACTCGGCTGTGCAGGAGGATTTGGCCAAGAACCTCAAGGTTGCTATTTGCTGCTCCTTTTAATACTACCACATCCCCTTCATGGCAGACTTCGAATTATGCTGAGAAGCATTGCTATCTACGAGCTGCAGGCTTGACTACCACAACTTTCTGATCTGCGAGAACGTCTCACAGGAGATAATAGGGCACTTGCATGCAAGTGAAAAATCTCTAGATTGAGTGTACAAGTCCGGGCAGGTAGGAATTTACTTGCATTGCACGACCTAGAAGTACAGTATGGATATAATAATAGCAGGCTGTGTGTGGTAAGAGGAAGATGATGAAAATGCCTTGCACCGATAGATGAAATTAGCAAGACCATTGTTACAAGAGACCCATGTCTTCTTGCTGTTGTACACTTGTACTCCATCCCCTGAGCGGAAGTCACATAGTGGACGTGGAGAAGGGTTTTCGAGTTATGATTGCATTCATTGACTATCATAACCCAGTTCCCGTCAGCCCCTAATAGGCGACACTCTCGAATAGATATGATTGATGCGAGATCTATCTCCTCAAGCCCATCCATTCAACCCATGAAAAAATAATTGCTTCCTTCCCTACAAAGAAGGAAATCCAGCACAAAAGAAGCAAAAGCTGAACAAAAGTACAAGACCCAATCCCCGGAGTGTTCGCCCCCGTTGAGATTTCCTCCTCTTCTGTTCTGTAATGTATAATCATCAAATCGTGTTCTGTGTACCCGCTCCAAATGCCACCACCTAATTATCTGCATCCGCGTTCTGCATCAAGTCATGAGAAGATCAAAGAGAATGAAAATAAATGCGTGGATGAGACGATGGGAAAAGACAACGCCATGCTAATATAACAATGTTTTGTTGTTTCGTATGAATCCAGTCTGTGCCTGACGGCTGACAACGTCCACCAGTCCTGCTAGCTTTCATTCTTCTCCGAAAACCCTCACGTATCGAAGCAGCACGTATTTGTGCGCTTACTGGGAACGATACCCATTATAGGTATCAGAGTCCCAATCCATGTTATTCCCAGCGGCAACGGCGGTTTGATGATTGAAGAAGTCGATCATTTCTTGGCCACTCATGTTGTTGAAATTGACGCCAGACGGAAGTTCACCGAACAAGGCACTGGGAGCAGAGCTTGCGACTGTGCCTCCAGTGGAGGATGGGAAGAGTTGGAAGTCATTACCAAGGCAGTCGTTTGGCACGAAATCCTCGCTGAAGCCTTCGTCAACTTCACGCAATGATGTTGGCGTATAAAGCATTGTGTTCCCGTGTCCGAGGGGAGAGATGTGAGGAACAGGGCCGACAGAGTATGGTAAGCCAGAAGTCTCATAACCACTAAGGTTTTGGAAGATTTCGTGGGTGGGCGTTGGCAACTGAACATTGGCACTGTAAAGATCTTCACCTTCAAAGAGATTGAAATCTGCGCCAGTGTTTGTGAAGGTAGAGAAATTCTCATTGAAATGGTCTTGACCCGCCAATGTGTTGCTGGTGTATGGTGACGCATCTGAGGCTGAGTTGGTATATTCCGTCACTGGAGAGTAATCAATTTGAAGTTGTTGTGGTGCAAACATCCCACCCATATCGGGTTCGTTGTTGTACTCCGGGAATGTGATTTCACTCTGGTGACCATAGTAGACCGATCCTTCGTAGTTGGACATGTCCATGTCATCTTCTTCGGGAGTGTTCATGATGTTACTGTCATTGCCCGGAGTTGGGATACCGGTGGTTGGTGGAGTAGGCAAGCCGGTTGATGTATTTGTGGCTGTTGCCCTATCCCTGTTTTTGCCATTGTTCTTTGATCGAACATAGGTCCATCCATGCGCCTTCTCCATGTGCTGCTTACAGTTCGATTCACGCTTGGATCGATAAGGGCACGGCTTGAAGTGGCACTCATACAGAGCAGGGGCTGCAGAGTGCTTGTCATTGTGATGGCGATCCATCTCCTTCTCGGTTGGCCAACCATATTCATGGTATTTGCAAGCCTCGACGGGACACTTCCACGGTCGGGAGTGGGTTTTCTCGTGCTTGGTGAGATCACATGGCCGCTTGAATTCCTTGTCGCAGCCTGGCTCACGGCAACGTTTAGGTGCGAGCTCTGCAGCAGAGGCAGAACGCTTGCGACGGGCCATCGAGCGGAGGATGGACTCATCGTCCTCGGCTTCCTCACTCATGGATCTCTTGAAGCGCATGGCTTCTTTAGAGTCTTCGTCCATCTCGACGGGTTGGCCGGTGGCGATGGAGATAGCCTTACCGTTCTTCTTGACTCGAACAAGTTCTGCCGGTTTGCCGTTCTTTGTCAGACCACCGTGAAGTTTGATCTCATCAGACCTGATACCAGAGACAGTCAGTAAAGGTTGTTCAAATGAAGATATAAGAGTAGAGCCTTGTGAGTCATGGCACAGGACATCGGTGACCCAAAAAGGCAAGACGGGTGAAGGTGAATGGGTGACATACGATTCAGGATCCTCGTCGTCCAGTGTCTCTCCTTTGGCTTCCTTCTCCTTTGCGGCTTGAACCTGTTGCGCGTATTGCTTGATCTGATCAACAAGATCGACGAAGTATCCGTTAGTATATGGTCGGTCGTGAGGGCGTGTCTGTTCGCGGTCGCTCAAATATTCAACAGTCGCTTGGATGCAGCGGATTGACGTGAGGCAGAAATCAAGGTACAAGGCGGCTGACTTGGTCCTCTCCTTCAAACGGAAAATAGAATGAGCGACACTCCCAACAACTTCATCTTGGATTTCACTCACCGGCGCCATGAAAATCAGGGTCTTCTCCAGGTCACGCAGACATACGATCTCCTTCGCGTGAATTCTTCGTGGGCAGTCTTTCACAATTGGGTAGAAGTCTCTCAAAGACGGCTTTGCGAGAAGCGGCTTCAAGATATGCTCAGTGATTCGGTTAGTTGCCCGAGAGCTGAGTCTGGGAAGGTTTTCGATTGTTGAAGAATGAGCAGCAGCAGACCTAGTTATAGCTGATGCTGCGACATCATTGACGCTAGTGGACTGCGTCTCCGCAGCTTTCTTACCAGACATTGAGCCGATTGAAGATCCCAGACCACTGTCTGAGTATCTAGAAGGGCGGCGGTTGTGTCGTGGACGCAAGGAGCGTCGATTAATTGAGGCAGGTTCCTCAGACATTACTCCATCCATGATGGGGCCGTATGATTTAGTCGTCGGAGTATCGACGGTGTGGTTGAGGAAGCCTTGAGGGACGGGGTCGGCCTCGTCTCGAAAGGATTGTCGAGCAGTAGGAGAGCTGTCTTCGACAGCAGAGAGACCACGGTCGATGTTACCGAGAGTTAATGCGACTCGACGTTTGTGAGCGTCGACGACATCCTCAAGTGTTGATTGAGAACGACGAGGGAGTGCTGGGACTTTGAAGGGATGAGGTAGTTCTCGTTCTGGGGTAGTGGGGTGATGGAAGGTTGCTCCTTTGCGTAGGGACATGGTGGTATTAACGGGAGCCAGGCTTGACGCATTCGCAGAAGGAGTGGGAGTCATGGCAGTAGATGTGGTCTTTGTAGTAGTTCGGCGGGGATGGGAGAAAGACATGGTGGGTGTGAGTGGCCACTTGTTCAGGACAAGTTATGTTGGTCGGAGTTGGGTAGCTGCTCGAATACTGGGATATGATTAGCCTTGTGAATCCTGAATTCATGCATGTGAGTCACAGGTAGGTCGATCGAGTCAAAAGCCGGCAAGTCAAATCCGTCCCAATCGAGAACGTCTAGATTGGGATGAAGCTTTACAACCCACGCCGATATATAGGGCTGATTCGTCAATGGAGGCTCGTTGACCTGACTCGATTGACCGATGACTGCTAGAAGAGGAGACTCGGGGAGACGCAAAGGGGAGCGGAGTGACTATACCAATACTTGTTCTCAGAACACAGCATGCAACAGCGTTCCCGGCTGGACGGCGACCTCGAATCCTGCAACTTGATCTGTCTGCGGGCGAGTGATGGAATGTATTCGCGGTCGACGACGAGTCTTCTTCACAGCGGCTGTGGAGGAGAAGGTGTGTGCTCAGGACAAACTGAACGGGGCGGGGACGACGAAAGGTAAGGCTGGTTGCTGCCTGGAGGTGTTGACGAGTGCAGGAGTATATAGGATGCGAGGGAGACGGCCAGAATGAGCAGAGTCCTGGAGATAGGAGAAACTGGTACACGGGAGAAATATTGGCAACGCGTTGAGTACTGCGTGGCCAGAAGATGGGCGTGCTTTGGGGTGGAAGGTCACGGAAGGGGGGGAATTCGAGAGAGAGATGTGTGTCGAGAGAGCGCGCGAGGTGAGATGAGGTTCTTCTCTCGCGGTCCGCCTCACCAAAACGCCTTGCGAGGGTCGTGCATCGCTGCTGCCTGGAGCTGTTGCTAATCCGGTACAGCGAGCCACAGCACCAAAAGGCGTACTTGCCGCCCTGAGGGCCTCTCTTGGCGCGCCATCCAATTAGAGTAGACCGCTCTTCTCGTACTGTATTATATAATCAGCTTGTCTCCGTCTCCACTCACCTCACCCGTCTGCCCTGCGCTAGACTTCTTGTGTCCAAGCACTTTCCATTACAGTAGACGCTGTCAGTGGGGCGAAGTACATTTCGATGTTTGTTTGCTTGCTTCAAAGTTCAATCCCTTGATCAGAGGAATATAACTCACTTGAGGGAATTGCGGATGATTCCGGATGGCATTCCATGCTTGCTTTGATCATTTCCACCAGACGGGAAGATCTCATACCTCGAATTTCTCATGTTTTCCGTCTTTCCCTCTCACGTGGACCTTACCGTAAATCCGTCCCCGGCCGAACCAGAGGAAAAGTCCGGACTCCATTTCGACGTCAAACTGCCCCGAAATGGATATCTCGCACGTTCATCGTGGCAGATCATTCGATAAGCAGCCGACGTTGATACTTCGTAGCGTGGGTAAGACGGTCAACCGTTGTCCCGACTCCATCACCGAGCAGGACGACGATCAAGCGGCGTCGAGGAGCCTCATGCTCGACCGCCGTTGAACGCAACTCAGCCACCGCCGCACCAGGTCGCATTCCCACAATATACCTTAAAAGCCTCACCATTCATTCATTACCGGAGATTGACCTATCAGGCCATCCTTCCTAAGTCGATTGCCGGTGAACGGTTGCAGGTCTCGGTGAAGAGGGCAAGAAGGGCAAACATACGATGATTCCTACCCAAGTTTCAACTCCATACCCCACACTAACTCTTCCCACCGTACCTTTTTACGCACCCTGCTGCTTTTGCGCCGGATGCGCATACCGAACTGCCAATATTTGACATTTCCCTTCACACCGAGTATCAGTTTCGGGAATTTGCTGCGTGCTGGTTGCTGCTTACGAAAGTTCGGTCTTGGCGGGTACGAGTCCTGCTACATTTCTCGTCACGCATTATTTCACACGATCGATCCTATCAGAATAGATTAAAGACACGACATGCCAAATCCGGAATCGACATCATCATCGCTCTTGAGATGATTTCCGCGTCCGTGCTTTTTAAGCTTGAAGCTTCTTTTCGCTAACAATTAACGAATCCGATATCCAGGGGGCCTCTCGATTTGCGTACGGCACCACCACTCATCTCGTGTCCCAAGAAGACAGATGGCGTCAACCTAACACGGCTAGGAATATCTCGTCGCGGGTTCACCTCTTGTTTCTCTTCTCGTGACTCTTCTCTCCCCCCTCTCGAATCGGGTCCCTGCCGCCCTGAGCAAGTGACTCAACACTAGCCTCAAACTGTGTCTCATACATGACTTTACTCAAACGCGCCCCACGAAATCGATCCAGCCAAACCCACAAAATCAACACACATCGACCTTTCTCGCCGCAGGGCTGCATCAAAAAGAGCGTCATACCAAAATTCCCCTCTCGTATTTTCCGATTCGACTCGCATTTGGCTGTACCACTCCTTTGGCCACCTCTCGCCTTTTGCCCCTTCTGCCCTTTCCAGCCCCAGGGCGGCAGTCGTGAGTCCATAGCTGCATCCAGACCCTAGGTCCTGACTGCAAGACGACAGTCCACTTGCTGCAGGAAAACGCCCTCCTGCATACTCAGGAAGTCATGCTCATAGGGCTGGCGAGTAACACTTGTTTGCTCCATATCAGTCGGGCGCAGATCTTGATGCGTTTGCATTTGGAGGTCGTAGTCCTGGCAAAACCGGGTAGAGGCTGTGTTTCGTTGGCTGGAGATTCTTGGCCGTAATTTTGAGGTCTTGTGCGAGTGCAAACAAGACTGGCACGCGGAGGAGGACTGTTAGCATGTGCTTGTCCTTGCTCGTGGAACCTACCTACTCACGTGAAGTCATGTGGTTCTGATCAAAAGCTTTGTTGTTTTCATCTCCCAAGCAATCCTTTTCTATTATCAAGGACTATGACAACTTTCATTCTCACGATATCTTCATTCATCGTGTCTATGCGTTGCATTTTCAATATTTCGAATGTCACGTGCTATACTACTCCAACGTACCTTCCAAGTCCGTCCATCCCTGAACACTATCTAAGTACTAAACCCACCTTCTCAATCTCAATCACCATCCACTTTCATCGCCCAACTTTTGCCACATCACTTCTCAAAGCACACACACTGTACGACACAACCATGCAATGCAGGCGCATCCAACTATCTGCCTAGACTCGTGGTCTTGATGCTGAGCATTCCTTGGTGTTTGCGGATGCAGAGGAAATGTTGGTGTTTTGTGCGACGAAAAGTAACTCTGTGATGATGCGGTGGCGAGGCTGCGGGTAGCCGGTGAGGCTTGGATATAGATGGCTTCGTTCATGATGTTTGTTTCTGAGTTTTTTATCTGGAAATTTTTCAAGTCTGTTTGGATTGCCCGCAACAACATACCCGTCTTGATTTCGTTTCAGCGACAGCAACAATATGCCGAGCAAGGCCTTGGTTCGAACGGAGAGGAGGCGGCCGATTATCACTAGGTCTCGTTCGAAAAAGGTGTGTAGACCTTGATTTATCCCTTTCAATATACCCGCCCCTAAGAAGTTGTGTTGACAGCCAGATCGGCCGAAGTGCCCAACATGTGCCAAGATAGCTGGCGTCTTGAAAGCGATGCTTGAACATCAACAATCCATCGATGTCAAGCTTGGCACTCCAGAAGAGGTTATATCTTCATCAACCTGCACTTCTCACAAGATCATGTTTCGAAATTGCTTTGGAACGCTTAGCCGAAAGTCGATCAAACGTCTCCAGGGTTTTGGCTGCTCGTTCTCTCATGGAGGTATTTTTCAGATATCGTGGTTGTTAAATGGAGATTTAGACTTTCCCAACGGCTCTTTTCAATACAGCGTGGATCTGTACCCTATCGGGAGAGGTCAAAGTATGCATTTAGCAGGAAAGACAGTGCATCCTCACTGGATTGAACATGGGTTGCTGGATCGATGGAGGCGTGGCTGTGATGCCCAACACAATGAAGAATGCCAACAAGGCTTTACAAAGGATCGACTGGTAGGGTCTCATCCCACTTGGTTGATTGATACTTGGACGCTATGCCTCGTCCACGGTCATCTCGATATGCCTTATGTTGCTCTGAGCTACGTTTGGGGCCCACCAGACTTTTACAAGACATCCCGCAGAGATCTTGCCATGCTGCAGCAAGTACAGGCATTTCATCATTTGAAGGGACAATCGCTAGTACCGCAAACCATCATCGATGCCTTCGCTGTGACACAGCTTCTAGGGCAAAGATACCTCTGGGTTGACTCGCTGTGTATTGTGCAAGATGACGAGGAGATGAAGGCGGCTGAGATCATCAACATGAGTTACATCTATGCTCAGGCGACAATCACAATCATCGCACGGCAAGGTAAAACTGCTAAGTATGGGCTTCGTGGGTTTCCAGGAACTTCTCAACCAAGACACACTTCTCAAGACCTTTTCCGAATCGACAAGAAATACCGTTTGTTAAAATCTCCACAATACTATGGATATGGCTGCGAGTGGGACTGTCGAGGTTGGACCTATCAAGAGGAAGTATTTTCCCGGAGAAGGTTGATATTTTATAATGACCGCGTCTGGTGGGAATGTCAATGTTCTAAATTTCAGGAAGACATTCATACCCCACCTGGGAGTAGAAAGTCTTTGCCCAGTAGAATTCCAAACGAATCTCGGATTTTCAGTTCCGACATCCTGGACCTTGAAGGCTATAGATCGTTGGTTACCTTTTATAACACAAGACAATTCACTATACCTGAGGATGTGGTTCCGGCTTTCGCAGGAATCACTGCTGTCCTTACCCCTTCTTTCAAAGGATTTCTATTTGGCCTGCCTCTACTTTCCTTCGACACAGCACTTTGCTGGCAACCTTTTGGGATGCCAGGGATAGATTGCAAGCGGAGAGGACCACGAAACCCTCTTATCCAGGCTCGGTCCTATCTGCCAAGTTGGTCATGGATGGGTTGGCAGACACATATCGATCACCATTCAATGACAATTACGCACGCTAGAAAGAGATACGGCAACTATCGTCATTCGACTTTTAATACAAGTATCAATGGGACCACGAAATCAATAATTCGGTGGTATAGTAAGGAAAGGGATTCTACGAAACTACACCCTATTGATGGACCCCGAACATTGGAAGCGGTAATGGCCGAAGGTTTCAAGGAAGATGGGACGCTTCCCACTGGCTGGCGACGCATCGAATACAAAGATCGTGAATGGCACGACCACGTTAGCACAGGTTTTACCCCTCCCAAATATTTATTCATCCATGAGTCAGAGCCAGAAAGCGAATTTTGGTTTCCTGTACCAACTGCTCAAGATTACACAGACAGTCCAGCCCTACCACTAGGAAATCTTTTGTGTTGTAAGACGCAGAAGAGTTCCCTTTTGATCGGGAGAAGACGTGTGATCAAGGGCAAGAATCCCCTGAAACTTGAACATGACCTCCTCGATAAGGAGATGCGATGGTCAGGCATTATCCAACTGCACAACACAAATCAACTGCCCCTCGAGAACGAGGATATTTCAACGAAACTAGCCCTTCCCTGTGACTTAGTTGTCATCTCAGAAGGATTCGTCCTCGAAGGAAGCAGACTCTACTCGATTCCGGGGTGGGAGTTCGACGAGCGCCCAAAAGGTCCTCACGGCACCAAGTACGAATTCTTCAACGTTCTTTGGGTTGAATGGGAAGATGACATCGCGTATCGGAAAGGCTGTGGGAGGGTCATGAAGAGTGCTTGGGATGCTCAGGATCCGGAGTGGATTGATCTGACGCTTGGTTGATGGCGAGCTCATTTCAGTCGATGAATTCCCTTGGCAGAATATGTCAGGGCGCTGGACCTTGAAGCGGGAAGTTGGCGACTGTTGCGAGAGGGAAATCCTGAAAGGACTTCAGGATCGAGAGTAGGGCGGTGCTGCTCAGAATGGAACGGTCACTGAGTGAGTTGATAGTAATCAGCTTAGGGAGAAGGTTGACGACCTCGAGTTTATTTACATGCTATCATGTCTCATCACTTATCAATTGAAATCTTCGTTTTTAGATACAGAAGATGGCGAGGTTGTCAGTAGAAACTCCTCAAAGTCCAACAATGAAAGATGCCCAGTGGTCAGCCTTCGTTGGAGAGGATGATTATGCACGAGATGCTACCCGAAAAGCTAGTTCTGACTGGTCAGACACCCAGTTCGGAATGGAGAGCTGATCCATACTCAATGTCTAGCCAGTTTGTGGTCTTCGATCGCCACTTCTTTCTTTGTGCTGAGGGAATATATGAATGAAGTATTTTGTGATCCTGCTTCGAAGTTTTGGTTGTCGTTTCGTGTCTTTAGTGTTGGTGGCCTCTAGGGTGTTTTAGAGAACAGAATGATACTTTAGCATGAGACGATAATGGGAACTTGTTGTACTACCTAAATTCTGGTTATTTGAACTCTCTTGTTTTCCTCTTCCCTAGTTCTTCTTCATTAGAGATCCCTGTAAACTATTCCAATTTGACGATCAATCGCCAAATCGACACGAACAAGAACAAGAACAAGAACAAGCGCGAGAACATCAAATGGCTAGAGATCATGAATTGTGAGCACATACTTCCATTTTCCAAAATCGTCTCCGTCATTCATCGAAACTATCCAAGCGAATTCGTACCAACAGCAAGAAACCCAACCAATCTCCGCTCAAAGGACAGGACATCGTTTACCCTCCCTCAATAAGACCAAGGCCTCAACCTCCCCACCTCATCATCCTCGGGCCTCCCCTCCCTCGGCACATCCACCATCCCGGGCTCCAAATACCACGCCGGATCCCCGCCCCCCTCCACCTGCGTAACACTCCACCCATTCCCCAACCACCTCAACCGATTCTCCTCGCGACTCTCAAACTCGTAGTCCTCCCACCGCGGCGCCCTCAACGTCTCCAGACAATGCAACGTACTCCCCGGCCACAGCCCCGTGATGCGGTCCCCCTTGCCGCCCTCGGATCGGTACCACGAGTTGCACTCATCCATGTACACCGTCTTCTTGAAATATTCGGCGCAGTACTCGGAAAAGTCTTTTACGCGCGCGAGTTTGGGCGTGATGGTGGTATAGTCTTCTTTTTGGAGCTTGCGGATGCATTTGATGATGTAGTCGCCCTCGGTCTCGATCATCATGGTCAGGGACCCCGAGCCGATGGCCGAGTTGGGCCCGAGCATCATGAAGAAGTTCGGGAAGCCGTCGACGCCCATGGTGAGGTATGTTTCGGGGTAAGGCGTGAAGCGTTTTTGGAGCGAGACGCCGTTCTTGCCGTAGATTTCGAAGGGGGGCCGCGAGGAGGAGTTGAAGCCGGTGGCGCAGACGAGGGCGTCGATTTCGATATTGCGGCCGTCGGAGAGGTTGATGCTGGTGGGGGAGATGGAGGATATGGGCGTGGAGATGAAATCAACGTTGTCTTCGACCAGGGCTTCGAGGTAGCCGGGGCCGGGAGTGAGACGTCGACAGCCGACGCTGAAGGAGGGAGTTAGGGCGTCGACGATTTCGGGTTTCTTGGCGAGGCGCTTCTTCATCATGGCGCGGAAGGATTTGACGGCTTCGGTTTGCATGTCGGAGTCTTTGAATGTTACGCCGTGGATGGTGTTCCCGTCTACTTCGATGAGTTTGCGGAATTCGAGGAACCTTTGGGGATTGTTGGCGAATTCTTCTCGTTGTTCGGGTGAGACTGGGGTGATTAGCATTGATTTCTTTGAGGTTGTGAAAGGGGACATACAGTCGAGTTTCGCTGGATCTAAACCTAGTTTTTCCATGGCGCTGTCGCCAAAAGGGTTTGAGATCCAGGTTCTGCTCCTTACAAAACATGAAAGCTGGATACCTTCCACCTTCTGCAAATTTGGGACAATCTGGATGGAGCTTGAACCTCCTCCTATTACTCCTACTCTTTTATTCTTAAAGTCGTATCTAAGCAGAGTCAGTAACTCTCCTAGGGTCATATTTCGGCAAAGGCTAACTGCTGGTTCCATGCTGCTGAATGCATCACCTCCCCTTTGAAAGTCTCGAATCCTGGTATCTTTGGCCAAACGAAGTCATTCAAGTTGCCTCGCGCTGAGAGAAGGACGTCCGCATCATCATTGATGGTTTCTCCCGTTTTCACATTTTCTACTGTGAGTTCCCTGGTCTCCCCGTTAATTCTCCAAACTCGAAACGCCAACTCCCGGATTGCTCACCATTTCTTGGTGTAATCGTTCCACTTGCAAGATGTGATCTTGTGTGACAATTTCACGTGTCTCATGACACCGTATTTGTCTGCAATACCGTGAAGATAGGCACAGATCTCCTTCGCTGGAGCGTAGAACGCCGACCAATTTGGATTTGGGTCGAAAGAGTATTGGTAGCTGTGCGACGGAATGTCGCATGCACAACCTGGAAGCAATTGAGTATCTGATCATTGATCTGAATTGGGGCACATACCTGGGTATCTATTCTCCCACCATGTTCCTCCTATCCCCTCATTCTTCTCATAGATTTGAAGGTCGACATTCCTCAGACGTTGCGGTATCCTGATTCCCAGATATATCCCAGAATAGCCAGCTCCAATCACTCTCACTTTAAGCGGTCTCAGATTCTCCACCGGCTCATCCTTAATCGTAAGCATAGTCACGGAACCCATCTCGCCATCGACCTTCTGCCGTTTTCTGCGCATAGTCTCGAGACGGAGGAAGGGGAGGAGAACTGGCAGTCTTTATCTGTCGTGAATCATGAGCAGAGGCGGGACGCAGCGACTCTTCACCCTTTCCCCCATGGCGGGTGCAAAGTGATGGCCGAGACCAATGTGGTGCCCGCAAGCTTTCCATTATCGTGCAGGGTAACCTGGTTACATGACGTGCCGGAGTTGCCCCTCCTCGTCCTCCCCGAAAAGGCTGCCGTTTAGAGTTGTGGGGAAGGCCAGAGGCGGGGTCTCGCTTCGAGATGCTGCATCGTGGGGCAAACGGCTGCGGCCAGCGCTGGAACCGTCAGATGCGGGCAATGTAAAGTCTTCAGGGATTTATTGAGTGTTGGAGAGGTTGTGGGGTCGTCAACAGTCACAATATCAGTCGAGCAGCTCCGGAGATGACCTGCTTTCAGTCGGATTACCCCCTTTCACCTGCTTTTGGACTCTTGAGTCTTGACTGAATTCCCCCTTGTTGAGGTTGGAGAGTGGGGTATGGGCAATGGCACATGCCACGAAGATCTCGGAAGATCTGGGATCTGGGATCTGGAGCTTATTACCAAGAAGGGCCTTGTGAGTCGTATGGTCGTCCGGCATAAAGGTCGAATGACTCGATAATCCATTATTGTATGGAGGTTACTCAAGAGCATCATCTTCTCCCAGTCTTGTACTTGATTGCCAAACGATAGAGAATGTGGCGAATAGATAGGGAAAATCCGTATACTTACTCGGTGTAACGGAGGGTTGAGGATTAGAAAACCCCGTATACGCTGCAGCCTAAGCCTGTTCCGCACTTGCACAATTGTCAAGCAAGGGTCTTAGCAATTTGCTGACAGGAGCCATACTTGATGCAAACCTTCCTTGCGTTCTTGGACCTCCTGGTTGGGGTCGAGGCCGCATTTCCGAGGGCATCTGGATTGGGGTATTGCCGACGCTATTTTGAACTCCCCCGCAGCACGGAAGATTTGTCGTCAACGCGATGCAGTAGCTCAAACTCTCACGGCTTTCCTCGTACGGGGTATTCCGAACGTAGGAAGTACAGCGAGTATTCTCGGTATTCTTGCCATGTTGTGTGAGTGTTATTTGGAGTTGAGGAAGGAAGGAAGAGGAAGGTTGGAATTCTTGACTGATGCCTCAGACATCAACTTTTGTTTGCTTTTCGGAACTTTCCTTGATTTCAACGTCCAGGCTCCAACTCTCCTTGTCTTTTGACAGGCTTCACTACTGCCCGTTCTTTAATGCGTCTATAATTACTACTCGGCAGCTTCAAGGGCAACGTGTCTGACTATCTCGCTATTGTAATAAGAGAGGACCAGCGTTCAGTGCAGCATTGATCACGCCCATTCATTCGGCATTCAGTCAAATTTCTCTCGCTCCTTCCCAAGGAAGGGAGTTTTCTTTCCAAGCAACAATAGAGTATCTCACAAGGAAGAGCCTGTGTGTCTTCATGTATCCTCGCTCACCCAACTGCATCGCAAACTCGAAGACGAAATGACGACTTCAAGTTTCATGGGTCTGCCAGTTGAGATGCGTCTCCAAATCGTAAGCAGGAGACTCCTTTCATCTATAGCCTCCTTAACCGTCGATTTTGTTTTGTTCTGTTACTAGTAACGTTTCATCTACTCGATTCCTAATGCCGAGAGAAAATCTGGAACTAAAACTGCTATAGTGGAACTACATTCTTAAAATCCCTCGAGTTGTTACGATCGACTACGATCCCAACTCTGAAGACTTCACAAGAGCTAAGCTACATCAGACGACCCCAGTCCTCCTACACGTCTGTCGAGAGTCAAGAGCCCTTGCTTTTCCACGATATGGCTCCGTTTTTACCCCGACAAATGGAAGAGAGTACACTGGCTGCAGAGGTCTCAACGTCATTGAAAGACTTCTACATCTCCTTACGATCGATGGACCAGCCACTGCAAGAGAAAAACGCGACGCCTGATCACAGTACATTGCCTCCAATAAGGACATCCAGGCATTTCCAAAATACGTTTGGGATATTTATAGGGATGCCATTTACGAATTATGGTTCGACCAAACCCAAGATACACTTCTCGTTGACGTTCTACCGCAGACAGACAATCCTCTAGAAACCAACCCTCGTCGTTGTGATGATGCCTCCGATCCTGTGGACGTATGGGACCCTTGGGGACCATGGAAAACCCTACCAATCAAGAATCTTGCATTCAAGATTGATACTCTCTCTTACGATGGACCGGGGAGGGACATATCATGGAATGATGTACCATGTTACAAGCTAAAAAGCAGTTTTCGTTCCGACGAGTGGGCTTTTCAAGGTGTTGAAAGTATTGCACTTTTACTCCGGCGTAAGTGTGAAGTCATCTTTATTGCAGCTGATAATAAAAACATGTTGGAGGGTGATACCTGGGTCTACTCTTTGGACTTGCAAAGCAATGCATTTCGAGAGCAAATGGGGGACTTTTGGACTGGCGTCACTTGGAAAATCCAACTTGCAAGGATGGACCATCATTACGATGCAGATCTGTGGAGAATCGAGGATGAATGGAAGCCAGACTTCATACGATGGCATCTGGAGCAATATTCAATCTGCCTCCAAATAAGCACCATACCCGCTGCGTGGACTGTCGCACATAGTCCCATCCTACATTACAGTCATGGGGAAGAGCTCGAGACCCGTCTTGCTAGATCGAAACCGAATCTTCTTGAGGGTGGTGATGGTACTACATACAATGGGCCTCAGTGATAGTATTCAGGAGATTAAATCATTTAGGAACACACTGCCGGGAGCGTTCCACTAGTTGGACAAGGGCAGTGGCATCGGATTGGATGGGGGTCATTATGCCAAGTCTGCAGTCAAATAGGATTTATCAACAAAATTTCTTTACCAGAAAACAGGAATCTATACCACTGAAAACCCGTGGCCTCTGTTCCGTACCCTTCGAAAGACTTCTTGGTATGTTTTTTCTTTCATCTTGCTGCATCTTTGTTACGCGGAAGTTGCGACTGTATTGAAGCCTGAATTTTGCGACTCTGAAGCCATTTAGTCATCTGCGTTGGAATACGATTTACCAGTGTTGAAGTGTCACAATGCTGAAGGGTGTGTATATCAAGTGTTTCGCACAGAAGCCCGACAGTTGGAACCTGGAAGACGAACGGCCGTCACAGTCTCTTGGTCGCTGTTCAAACAAACTTGGCCTTAAAGACTCTGAAACTGTTGTACATGAAGTGATGTTGAAGAAATGAGCGCTGTATCTTCTATCATCAATTAAGAATTGACCTTATGTGTTGATGAGGCTGCTATCATACTCTCTCTCTCCTAAGCGAGTTCGAGTTTATATCCCAACTGGGCCGAAGGCGTTTTTACATGACTTGCAACTCTACGCACGATCACAATATGCGGCACAGCATCAGTTGCGTTGCAAGAGGAACTGAATTTTCAGTTTTCTCGCAAAGAGATACAAAACTCATCTATGCGCTGGGATATCCGGCCCCGGATGCTTATATACCCACCCAGGAAGCCAATCACCAGAAGGAACACCACCCAGCATCCTGCAAGTACCTCATATCGAGAGCCGAAATACTTTTGTGGACGCCACTCCTCCGGCTCAACCAATTCTGGTTTGGATTCAAGTTTCGGCAAACCCTGCTCCAAAAGTAAAGGAGTCTCTTCATCAACAAATGACGACCCAGCCTGTATCTCCGCTCCCACCTGTCTTTTGATTTGGCCATGCTTCCGATCTCTGATACGAATCTGGAAGAACATGCCCAATAAAACGCATATAGAAGACACTACTAAGCAAACGAACAAGCGATCTCCCCATTCTCTGTCCTCTCGTCGATCACTGCTACACGGTTGGCGTTTAATCCAATCTATCGAGATATCAGTTTGTACTGGGTAAGAAATGTTATACGACTCACATAAATGGTCCAAGCGCCAATGGGAGTGTAACTTGCTACTCGCAACAGTGGACGTTTCCAGTCATTGTTCCGGTCTTCTTCGAGGAGGTGCAGCATTTTGCGGGCTGCGACAGACTTTATTTTGAATGCTGGGTTGAACGGATTAGGCATTTCGGATGTCTGACTTGGTGACTGGGTTTGATGCGATGCCATGATTTGTTTTCTTCACGAACAGGTTGGAGGTCAAAAATTGAGCAGCGTTTAGAAGTCGTCAATATATAGAGTGGAGATGATTGAAAATTGCGAGTATCCAAATAGCAGATTGTAAAGATGAATGTATATTTCGTGTGTTGACATCTGGACCACTGCTTAGTCCCAACGTCCAGAAATGATTGTTAGTGACAATCACCGAAGAACTGACGTTCTGGTGCCTCGCACTAAAGTCCTCTGCTAGGGAAACCGTACTTTTGGCGATTAAAGGTCGGGACATGCTCTGGTACTTTGTTTATAGCTGATAATGTCCCATTGAGTTGAGGTCCTGGACTCCGCTATACGCTCTTGATGAATCATAAAAGTAGGGCAGTCCAGACTTCAAAGTCAGCTTGCCGGTAGCATTTTTCGTTTTATTTCTGATTTCTGATATAATCACTGTGGTTGAGATGTTATGACTGTCCTAAATGAGTTGAGAGAATATACTTGTCACTGGATGTTATGATGTTCCAAGTGGGGCGTGTACTTGATAATTTGATATGCAGGGCTCTTAGTATTTAGATCTGGTTCAGTCTAGTTTCTTTGAAAATGCCCCGAAGAGAGGACATTTTGTTGACGAATTCACTTTTTTGAGTTTTTGCTTTGGGAACTCTCCGATTATAGAGCTTTTTGAATGATCGACTAGTCTTCGATGTTAGACAACTGGGCTAGGATTTGGGTGTCCTCACGCTTGAAAAGGTTGTCTTTTCATTCAGAGGCGTCTTCTTACTTGGGGATTCGAAAACTTTCGCTTGAGAATGCTTTTACTTAAAGATAGCTTGATTTAGAAATTCTCTCACTTGAGAATACAAGTATGTACTCCTTGAGGGATGCCTTTGAAGAACAAGCTTCCGAATCGTTGAATCCAGCTATTTAGAGCTGTGGACGGACCTATATAGCTTGTAATAGCGTAGCTATGTTACAGTGCGTAGCTGGATGTTCTAAGATTATCGCTGTTTTGGTAATTGCGTTTTGGCTTGAAGAGCACATCTGGGTTTCAGCCTTGTTGCACTTGTTTGGCTTGTTTGGCTTCTGTTTATCTTCAGTCACGCTAGCTCTGATGTAGTCTCGCAAGGCTGGTAAAGGCGTGGTTTTGTTGCACATCGCAGCTCTCAAACTCATGATTGCAACTCATAATGGCAAACTCATAAAAGTGTCTTATCTATAATGGCAACTTGCGAAGGCAGCGTTCAATGGCATCTGACAGAAGTAACCCATGAAAGCAGCTCATATTCGGAACTAGAGTTTGAGTTGTATGTAATTATGAGTTGCAGATATGAGTGTTGAGAGCTGCGACATGCAACGAAACTGAACACCTTAACAGCTTGAGAGGTGGCTATGACGTATGACTTCGACTTCATTTTGTCAGGCACTGTCCAAAGCTCTTTGTGAGCTCCGAGTGGTATCTTTAGAGACCTTCAGTTGGAAATGCCTTCTCTTGAGAATTCCAAATGTTCGTTTTTCGAATGGTCATTATAATTTAAGCTAGATCTCTTGACTTAGATCGTTCCTCTTTCTCTTCTCGTATAAGCGCAACATGAGTTGAGAGTATCTGGCGATTGATAGCAAAGTTTCGCAAGAAGTGTCTTTTGCGCAACCACCTTAGAAGAACTTGTCATATTATATGTGAGAACGCAATTCTGTACCGTTTTCACTACTCTGTAACAGTTTTGGGTCTATGCTCAATGTGACAACAACAGATTAAACAGACAAACGTTTGTGAAAAATCTTCCTGGGGATGCGCTTCCTGGAATAGTGATCAGAAAGGCGCTCCTTTTGTCATGTAAGCGGACGTACCGTATGTCGAGCTTGCATACAAGCAAACAGGTTTCTTTTCTGATTTGGCTTCATAATTCTTGCCTGATACTCAGGGTATGCATCGGAATGGAACAAGCGGGTCAGGTGCTTGCTCGCTCGGAATGGCTATATAAGCGCTGCTTCGTACTTAAGCAGTGTACTTCCTCCTTTCTTCTTCTTCATCCTCTATCTAAACAACGTTTTCACACCGCCAGGAAACAAAAACCACAATCATGACAGGCAAACAGCAACAGAAGAGACATAAATACAACCTACGACCTCGTTCTTCGACCAACAGCATTAGCTCTGCGTCGTCCATGAAGTCCAAGAGCAAGGCAACATCCATTGGATCTTCGAGTATGTCATCTTCTTCCAAAGCAACAGCTCTCTCATCAACTTTCACACTCTTCCCAAACTTGCCACCAGAAATCAGAATCATGATCGTAAGTGCAAATCCTCCTGTACTTGCCATATTGCAAGGATCCGAGCTGCTGAAACCCCTCTTACAAATCGTCAAACGTTCCTTCTCAAAGAATTTTCTTCCTCGGTTTCTGATCCTTCATTAAGAACTCATACTAACTCCCCATAGTGGCACATGGCGATGCATCCTCGAGTCGTAATGGTGACACACAAAGTCGTCACAAACCCGCCAACACCACTGACTCGGTCTTCCATCTCAGACCCATACCCGGCCCTCCTAGCCACAAGCCACGAGTCCCGCTCGATCACTCTCCCACTGTACACATCCATCTTCCCAGCTCCCTCCCTAGGCCCCCTAAGATGGCACTACAGCAGCAACACGAACCACATCCCCAAACACCTCAAAAAAGCTGTTCTCCCTCACTCCTTCCACCATACCCTCCCTTCGCATCTGGCAAAAGTAAACAAAGCCATGAACCACCCCTCCAAAGCCCACAAAGACTACAGCGCCTTCGCTACCCGCTACCGAAAATCCCACAGCGTCATCACACCCGCGTTCTTCTCTCCTTCGACCGATATACTCTACCTCTGCCGCCCCTCCACCAAATTCCAATCCGGGCTCTGGACGCCCTCTTCTTCCAACGCGAAGCAGATCACATCTCTGGCGCTGGAATTTGATACCTTCGGCGTGGCGCGGAAGGGAGATGGTAAGCGGAGATGGAGCGGTGTGTATGCTTATAAGAATCTTGGGGCCGTGGAGACGTTGTATTTGGTGTGTTTGGAGGATCGGGAGGTGGTTAGGGTTCGGTTTGGGGAGGGGCTGGGGGTAGTTGAGTGGAGTTTTCGGTTGATGAGAGAGGGGGAGGAGGGGTGGGGATTGTTTAGGGAACAGATGGGGAAATGGTGGAGTGGGGTTGTTTGGGATGTGAAAATAGGCAAGAAGGGAAAGATGAGCTTGTGGGTTGCGGCGAAGAAGGAGTGGAAGGTTGATTTTGAGCAGTGGGAGACGGATAAGAGACTCATCCTGGAGGGCAACGAGAGGGTGGCGAAGGAGTGGGGGAGTGCGAAGAGAGTGTACAGTTGGAGTGGTAAGTACTCGTCACAGATCACTGGCTGGTTTTGACCCGATTACGAGTGCTGATGTTTATAGACGCAGTGCACTGGATGCGGAGCCTGCAACCATCGAGACTCATGCTAAATGGCGACGGAGAGACGTATGAGGGACCTGTCAAGGTCGCGTACAATCCTCTCAGAGGCTAGTGGTGATCATCAGCTGGCATGATCATGGAGACTGTCTTTACTCACGGCGCAGCCTTCCTCCTCACATTCTTACCGCTACCAACATGGCAAACATACCTGGACAGATGCAGCACTGGGGAGCAACTCAAACATGCGTAGCTAGTCTTCAATAACAAATAATCATCAATTGAATTGGAGACTTCATACTCTCGTATCCTCCCAAGAAATAAGTACACTTTTAAAGATGGTATACCCATGCCGTGGCATTCCTAGAACGCCAACACGCTAATCGCAGATGTGAAAGAACCTCCCTCTTTTTGAACAAGCTGCTCTTCAGAACTCCCTATCCAACAAGTAGACCCATACAGTAATCAAACAAAACACCAAGTAATAAACAAACTCCCTATAAGCCTCGCCCTTCCGCCAAGTTCTTCCTCAGCCTGTCAAAGTAGCCATGTGGCCATGACTGCAACAACTCTGCTTCAGTCGGGTTCCTGTCTTTGATCTTGGCTGCGACGTTCAAAAGAATCCTGCCTAGAAGCTCCTCGGTGATAGGCAAGGCAGCATCGCTGCACTCGATCGGATTCAGAAAAGGATCACTGTCCTTGAGTAGTTCCGTAGCCGAAGGCCGCTGGAACTGATCTCTATTCAGACACTTTTTCAACGTCTTGATGAGAGCGGCTGGGACGGGAACACCTCCAACGCCAGTGGAAGGATATTCTATGGCATAGTTGAAGTTGATGATTGCTTGACATCGTTGCATCGGGTTCTGAATGTGCGCAAACGGTGCACGCCCGTAGGTCATTTGATAGAGAATGCAGCCTAAACTCCATATATCGCTGGGCTTGCCAAGTTTCATCAGCTTTGGCTCGTTTGGTATCCGTCCCCTTGCATCAGGCTTTGCATTTTGATCCATCAAAGACTCAGGTGACATGTAATTTGGTGTCCCTATTTGTGTTTCTCGATGGACGTTAACAGTCTCATCGGTCTGAATGGCATTGGCGATTCCGAAGTCGATGAGTTTGAGTCGTCCTTGGACAAGAACAAAATTGTGTGGCTTCAGATCCGAATGAACAATGTCATATTCGTGAATCGCTTCCAAACACTCGAGCATTTCCTTCCAATAATGTCGGACGAAACTGGGATCAAATTTGGAGTTATCCGATTTGAGTCGCATTTCCAAGATCTTGTTCATATCCAATTCACCCATTTCCATCAGCTACAAAATGTGAGCGACTACTGGTAAGTACAGATTCGGGAGACTTACCACACTAAGAGTGCCTTTGTCCTCGTTCAATTCATAGTCGTACAATCGAATGACTCGATCAACGCTTTTCAGCTTATCTAGCAGATCAATTTCTCCCTTGAAGCCTCTAACAGCGTTTTCATCCGCATCTTCTAAATTGACCTTCTTCAAAGCGAAAAATTTCGAGTTTTCAGCCATGACTCGATACACTCTCGAACTTCCACCTCGTCCAATGCAGTCCAGTCGGGTAAAAATCTTGCCATTCACACGCAACTTGTTCCTCTTCGAGTTTGTCTGAGACGCTGCAGCTCCAGCAGTACTTGTTGCGGCATCGAGAAGTGACATTTTCGGTGGTGGTGGAGCAGGAGCTGGTCGTCGAGGGGTATTCTGACTTCTTAGGGCCAGCGCTGGTCTTTCTGGGCCTACCAGAGCATCCATATCCATGCTCTGAGGTCGAGTCGGTACTTTCTCAATCTTGTCAAGATGTATCAGCGGCTGCTTGTTGCGCTTGAAAGTTGGAGGGGCCTCATTTTCCTGATCATGCGCCGAAGGAAGGTCTGGCCGAGGAGCAGGGACCTTGAAAACGGGTTGAGCTTGTTGTGAGCTCGTCTTTGCTGTAGCTGACCTTTGAGAACTGCTCAGGGTTGGAGGTGGCGGCGAATTCGATCGCAATGCCGAGTTGAGTACATCTTTCGAGCCAACAGGACTTCCAGATGCAAAGTCTCTGTACATTGATGCATGGAAAGAACTACGCCCCAGACTCGATCCTTGACTCTGGGGACCTTGACTTTGAGACTCAGGAGCTTGCGATTCCTGGCTCTCTGGTTCTTGACTTGATGGAGCAGAATCCAACCCTTGTCCATTCTCATCGATGGGACTTCTCTCTTCATCCGATATCCTCCTCCTTCCCCTTCTAGCAGGGCCTTTTAGAAACGCCCCTGTCACCTTTGCAACTCTGTTGATCCGCATCGAACCTTGAAGAGCTGGATCTTCACCATACCGTGTCCGACCAATGGTCGACGGCGCATACCTCGACACGCTTCCTTGACTCGTGGCAAAATTTGGTCTTGCTACTGTTGACGGGTATTCTTGTGATCCAGGATCCACCTCTTCATCTCGAGGTACTGACTCTGCTCTTATAGACATCTTTTCGGATGAACTGAACGATGCTCCATGATCACCGGAGCTTGGCTTCGGGATCGTCTTAGGTTCTGGGGCGGGAGTACTAAGACTCAAAGGACTTTCCAACTTCTCAGCCGACCTCTCATTTCGTCTCTTCACGGCACTCGAGACCGAAGCGCTACGCCGTAATGTTGATGGTGTCCCATTACTTAGTCTGATAACCCGCCGAGGATACGGACTGTGCACTTTGGCAGCGATTGGAGAAAGTTTGTCCTGGATAGAATCGATGCCAGCTCTAAACGAGAACTTCCCGTAATCCTTTGCTTCTGGTGTAGCCTTCTTCGGTCTGATTGGTGATGGATCGCCAGTAAGTGCTGCATCGTTGAGGAGAGCATTGGTAGCTGCAGAAAACTTCATGACCGGTATAGCTATCTCGTCGTCCGAGCTATCGTTCAACGAGTACGCCCGCGCATGCACCACTGCTGGCACCGAGTCTGATCGGTGTAACGGTGGTCTCGAGGGCATTTGTTTATATGCCTGTCTCGAAGGAGGTCGTCGCGAAAGTGATGCGAAATGGGAGGCGCCCATTGGGGTTGGTGATGCTGTAGCCATGGCGAAGCAAGGGCGAGGCGGGCAGGGTTGGGAGGATAACAATTAATGGCGAATGTCGTTGATGATGGATTACCGCGTCGATATCTGTAGTTCCATACTCGAATTGAAGGATCACAAAGCAATAGCACAATTGCACGTCGTTTGGTGGTATTATCGCGTGGGTGAGTTGCTGCGAATTGCCGGACGAAATCGTCCATTGTTTTAGCCTGCACTGAACGTAACTAGGGCAACAGCAGCATCATCCCTGCACGAGGCTGAACTTCAGATGATACCCGACATGTCTCACCTCCCCACCGACATTCACAATGCAGCCTCGCGGAACGTGGACGTCATGAAGCTGTGGGACATTGTGATCGTTTGTCGACTTCGAAACGTACACTGCAATTGGACGCACACGAACTGAGCCAAAACCGGACAATATGTTTCTCAACAACTCCCTTCATATCCTCTGTTTTGGAGATAGTTTGACAGCAGGATGGTCTTTATCGACACATCCAGTGTTGCACCCTTATGCTGGTAGTTTGGAAGCAACACTGGGCAAGAGTTTACCTTCCATCAATGTCAGTACGGATGTTCAGGGAGTTGGGGGAGACCAGACGGAATGTCCACCCAATGTATGTCCTGGATTCTTGCCTCGGATGGAAAAGCTTTGTGAGTACAATCTCATTGTGTTCAACAATTCCTTTGTTTCACATATTTTTTCACTCATGATGTGCTCCATTCACCAGCAAGAATCAAATGTCTACTCTTCTATCAGTACATCAATCATACCCCTGTTTCTCGTTGTTTACCTTCTCGATGTATCTTTTCTAAATACTTTATCAGACCAAGAGCTCGACGATTCTCAACATTACGACTGGGCTGTCATCCTCGGCGGAACAAACGATCTTAATGCCGGTCGTGATGCTCCAGAAATCTACACCTCTCTCCAAAAGGTATGGGGCATACCACTCAGCCATGATACGAAGGTCTTAGCCTTGACCGTCCCAGAATGTGGTTATTGTGAACCTATCACCAATAAGAGGAAAGCGGTGCTTAATGATAACATACTGAAGCATCCGGCGGACAATTTGTAAGTAATTTCTCTTGCAAAAGGTTGGGAAAAGGGGTAACTGATGTGAGTGGTAGTTTTACATTCAATCTGCATGACTCTGTACCATATGGGAATATGTCTGAAGAAATGAGGAAAGAGATATGGGATGATATCATACATTTCACGCCTAAAGGATATGACTTGGTTGGGAGTCGTATAGCGGAGCGACTGACGGAGATCTTGAAGGATGACTTGTCACAAGATCGAGACCATGGGGAGTTGAAGAAGTAGGATAGAAGGCTCATCAATAGTGTTCTATTTGCCATCTAGAGATCTTGGTCTCATAGTCTCGTAACGCCGTTGTTGTAATGCCAGTAAACGCTCCTCATGCCCATGCATTATCCTTCTGAACGCCATTTTATGTCATCACTCGCAGACGTCTCATACGACCAGATTGGCAGCCACAAAGTCCTGCACCGATGAATTAGCTACAGTTCAGGTGTTGGAAGACGTGTATACCCACGGGATAGACGAGTTGCAGCTCAGAAGTGACCTTTTCAACCTCCTCAGCCAGTCCTTGAACATTGGCATCCCAACGTTTCAACTCTCTTCCGACTATCCCCTCGGCTCTTCCACTGCCTTTCTCCCCCGTAGCTTCGCCACCCTCAAACCAGATTACTCTCTCAATTTGATCAATCCTGCCAACCAAACGGCCCTGCTCAATCATCCTAGCAGTTGTCTCCTCGGCCTTGTCACCGTCCAGACCAAGCAACGACCCAAGAGCATCGAAGCCGATGTTGTTATATAACCTAGAAGCACCTCTCAAGTTGTGTTCTACCACGGCCTTCGCTAGTACAGTACTTCCGTCTGAAGTTCTCGCAAGCTGATGTGTGGCCAGACCTTCAGCGAACTTGGCGACCTCCTCAGGACTCAGCAGGCGATCCAAGAACATCTTCTCCAATATACTGTATTCCGGTAAGGTATTGGCTCTCTCATCCTTGTACAAACGGCCTAGAGCTCGACTTCTAGCAGGACCTGCGGGCGCAAGAACTGCACACTTGATAGCCATGCTTAATGTATGGAGTCTCTCTTCCTCGGCGATGACAGGCATGAAACTGATGTCCTGATATCCTTGTGCAGCTGCTAGGAAATTGCGTCTCGCATCTTGAATTCGTGCTTGACACAGGCTGAAGTGTAGATTCATCTCCCGGTCTGAGACCGTATAAATCACATTCTTGGCCTTGTTCAGGTATTGCTCCGCCAGCGTAGTATCATCAACCTCCAGATAGTTTCTTGTAATGCGGATCCAGAACCGGATCTTATCATCGTTCGTGACTTTTCGCTGCGATGATTCGAGAGGGATGCCAGCTAGAACTTTGGCAGCAGCTAGGAAATCTTCGTCATCCTCATGTGCGGTTGCCATAAGCTCGCGGATCTGCGCATTTTGTTCTTCGAAGGAGGATGCTTGGGATTGAAAGATGACCAGAGCGTGCTCTCCAACTTCGACCTTGACATCGTTGATTGGTACTTGTTTCAGGATATCGACGAAAGACGCGGTAAGCGATCTAGTAGCCACAATACCGAGGGAATCTGCGAATATGGCATCGAGCGTAGTTGTTAGATCTTGAGAGAGAGTTGCGGGACTGGAGAGAGATGGTGTTTCCTTGAGAAGGGTTTCGTAGCCTTGCTGCTTGTCTGCTGATGCTGAGATCTCTTGCAGAGCGAGCTTGATCTTTGGAGATGCCATGTCGGATCAGTAATGGCTTTTACGCATCAAGATCTTGTGGTGTTGGAGTTCAACAAAGCTTGTATCGATGAGGCTGAAGAAATGGCGGGGGAGCTCTTTCGGACTTTAGGCTTCCGCGCTAGTGAGTCGCTTCTGCAGAATGTCTGTTTTGTCAACAAGATTTCTCCTCTCTTCAAAAAGACAAAACGATTCTATATCCATTGGAAATTCGTATCATCCCCCAAATGTTTTGGCTTCCTCAGGTGTATTGATGATCTTTATTGAATGCCTCTAGAAGTTTGGAACGCTACCTACATAAGTGGTATTTTCATCACCTGGAGACAGCTATTTCTGCAAATTGGTTCCAGTGTCCGGCACAACTATAATAATTCAGCAGATAGTAATCTGGTTATATTCTACGCAGCTCGAATTTCGAGACTTTTATCCTTTGTAACGTTAGCAGAGGTTTTTATTCCTTGCCCTTGCTCTTGATATGTCTAAGAACAGATGTGCTATGATACTGTTTAAGTTCTTTGCTTTTTGAAATTGATTTTTCTAGATTCGAATACTTTGTAATGTTTTTTTTAGCTTGTTGAAAGGTCACAGGTCCCACTTTCCCTCGTCTGACGAAGATCGTGGGCAACGTCTCGAAGATGACCTCCAGTAACGCAACAGATGCCTTTGTTCATATGATCACTCGATGGCTAATGGCACCGAGGCTGAGCGTCTTCTGGGTCAAGAATTCAGCTGAATGAAACCATGAGCTACTAAATGGAAGAAAGGTTGATCCACTGGTGCACGCGTGCCTTTAGGATGTCTTCAGCCGCTTGACACTATGGCCATCAACACTTCATATTCGGAGACAGCGGGGTAATCCACTTCACTTTACCCTTTCTAAATTGACTAGAGTTGTATTAGACCCGAGACTTCGGTTTGTCCGACATCAATTCAATCTCTACGTCTCGGAATGCATATTATCCGACAGTGCTGCTGCTGCTAATTCGTGGTTTGCACAATTCCAGGATCATCGGGAGCTTGGGGATATTCAGAAGCTCGTTGAGGTTCATGCACAGGAGGTACTCTACTGACGAGGGCCATTTGACTTTTTCAATGAGTTCATTATCCCAGCCTGGTGACAGTGTTAGGCAAGGACAGCACAAAGTGAAATTCAGTATCTTGTTTACTGGGGTCATCTCGTCCCATGTCAAATCCTCTAACTGGAAACAAAAAATGCAGAAAAGTAAAGATGATGCTAGGACGATAGTTGTGTGAAGGTATTGTCATTGTGGAGTGTCGAACCTCGGACGAAAGTGTGGCCGTGGAAGCCGGGTCCCAAAGTTCGACTTCACGCTATTCATCAGACACCGACAGCGGCTGGCGCATTTTCAGATTGCCACATGCTCCTCGGTACATCAATATTATTTTCGTTTGTTGCACAGTTCAGATAGGAACTGTCTGCTCAGCGCAGATATCAGCCGTCGAAAGAGGAGCGTGGGGATCGAGAATTTACTACATAAAGAAGGGTCAGTACCTCGCAGACATTCCTCGAGTTTGCATTTTTCCTTTTCGCATTTCGTCATTGCCGTGTGTGCGAGCACATTATTCTCCCAATCTATAAACTCCTCCGAAAGCCCTTCCCCTTGTCCCTTCCGTCAAATGTTTTCGACAAAGTGGTGCTTGGGTATGAAGACGAAATCACTCTCTATTAGCTCTAACATTCCTTCTTCAGGCGCCATGAAGGAAAATCATGAATCGGGCAGATTTCCCTTGCCGTCACTGCCTGGCATACCGACCGAAATCTTAGAAATAATTGCCGAGTATCTACCTCAGCAAGCTCTCCATGCCTTAATGCTTACAAACTCGGCATTTATCGAGGTAGCCGTCGTCCAAATGTATGAGGAGCCATATTTCGCTTCGACATATCGCTTTGCCCAGGTCAGCACTGATGTTCCTGTCAATTGCTCCTCTACCCCATAGATTGGCTAACAACTATCAGTTCGTACACCTAGTATCGCGTAACGAACATCTTGCATTGCTAGTCCGTTCTCTGGACATCAGTTATATCACACAGCCCGATGACTCAGTGTGCGAACCTGGAGCTGGCTGGCGAGAATTCAGTTATCGTCACAAGGATATGTATCCAGTCACGCCACCAGGTTTCTGGCCTTGGAAGAAGCAGAAGCCCCTTGTCACACACGAGACTCTGAGGACTCTCGGCACACAACGAACAAAGAGTTCGCATCCTCCTCTAAGTCCATTACTTGGGCCCAGTTCGAGGAGAAATGTACCTATTGGGACCATGTGTCATGTTCTGGCTGCTTGTCGAAGACTCAAGTACGGCTGTGTCGATCCCATCTTTGCTAGTCAGCTACTAATAACTCATCAGGAAAGTCGATCTCTCAGAATTGGCAATAGTCAGCGACGCTATCTTCCTCAGCAAAGAGCTTTCTCGAAATGACAGGCGGTTCGAATACGGCCAATTCATGACCCGGTTTCCAACAAGTGACAACCCATGTTTAAGCTCCTTCTCTGGACCTCCCGAATCGCCATCTATGCACCCATGGTTCGTACCAGCTTCAGAAGTAGAATCACAACTCCTCCCGCCATTCTCAGAAAGCGATAAAAAACGTGGTTCCCGAGATGACCCGTACCTACCTCTTACTACAAATTTGAAATCGACGCCCAGTTCATGCCCAAGTCCAATGCATGTATTCGAGACGGATATCGACAATGCAGAGAGGCGGAAGATGGCTGGAAAAGTTTGGATTTATGGGGATGAGATTGTTTCTTGGCTGGCTACGTTGCCAGAATTGGAGGAGCTGAGGTTAAGAGGTACAATGTGGATCAACAACACTAGAACGCGAAGACTGGTTTCTGATTTGGTTCGTCCTGGAGATAAACTCGGAGGTGAAAAGAAGACTGCAGCAAAGGGGTTGCAATTTCTGGACTTAAGCCATAGTGGATATGTTATGTGTCAACGCGAGGCATGGTTCGGGAGCAGAGAACATGTTGAGGAAATTGTTCATAAAGCTTATGGAAAGTAATAATCCTACGTAATACATAAAATTTATTTCAATACTTAATTATGTTCACTCAGCCCCTGACTTCGCCACCTTTGTTCGGCCTGACTCATGTGGTGAACGTCAACGACCACACCGTATCAACATAAACAACGATTTCCTGTACATACAAAATACCAGGCTCGATGGTTTAGTGGTAGAATACTTGCTTTGGGTTTCAAACCTGCAAGTGCCCCCGGTTCGATTCCGGGTCGAGCCCATTCTCTTTTGCCTCTCGTTTCCTCCTCCTCGCTTAGCCCTTGGTTCGTTAGATGAGCTCTACGAACGGCTCTCTTATAACTTGCTACTGAATCTTATCTATATCGTCTACTTGCGCAGTGAATTCCCTTTTGTTACATACAACGATTCACCTTACCCTGTTGATTAGGCGAGATTCTTTTCTCGCTTCAGAGCAATTTCAAGAAAATGACGTCCTCTGACCACACTCACAAGTTGATTTTTGCAAGACTTACGACAATTCTGAACAGCGACGAAGAGCTAATGGACAATATACTGCATTTGCGGGTAATATCATTTATGAGACATAGCGCTATTGTTTCGTATTGGGCGATCTACTGCGCAAAAGCCGCGCTTGACGAGAGCAGAACTTCTTGGAGGATGATTTCCAAATGCTGCTTTAACTGTCATAAAAGAATAGTGGAGCAGACTCACGGAACAAAGCACAGGCGTCTTGCTCGCATGCAGGACAGAGCAGAGGGTCTATCTCATTGAAGACTTTTTCCAGGTGCATCCGTGAAGACTCTACACTATCAATGAGCAAGCCTGCTTTTTGGGTCTGAATTGCCGGAGTGATTAAGACTTTTCAAAGCTTGAAAACAGAAAGTCTAAACTCAAAAACAACATCGAATTTGATATGTAAAGGGTGAAACGAATCCCCGAGGTCACTGAATACCAAGGACCACGACGTCAGAGAGCCCTAATGTTCAATCTTGGAACACAAAGTAATGTGAAAGCAGATGAGATGACTGCTACACATAAATTGTCAGAAGAAGCGTTCCTTTATTTTCATGCACTAGCAGATCGCCCCACAAAGAAGTAGGCTTTGGTTGAAAATGGAAAATGAAATCCTGAAACGACGACGCAATTAATGGTATGCATTTTCTCTACCAAGGAAGGCATTGCGCGTGAGTATCATATTTCGATACCAATGACGAACCGGTTCGCGGTACTCCTGGAAATGCTGCAAACTCTCCCCATGCCGAAATCATATCCTACCAACGCCGCCGATGCATGTATTCCTGAATAAGAGATCCTATGCGACATCCTCGAATTTGACGTCCTCGTCTTCATCGCCATCTTCTTCGTCGGCCATGTCGCTCTCATCTGGGACATCTCCTTCAACTACAGGTGCCACGGCATCACCAATCGATTCGTAATTGGCGATCTTGTTCTCTGATTTCAAGGACCATTGCGTTGCGAATCGTCCGCTCTTGGCTAGTACTGCGACTTTCTCTAATGTCTCCCTCAAATAGGCTTCCGGCTGTTGCAACTCGGTACGTAAGGCCTTCATGGACCAATAGTTATACCGAGCAAAACATTCGAAGATACGATCCAAAAGCTCGTTTTGGGGCATACGGGCAGTTTTGGTAAGTTGTGGCCGTGCGCCTGAGGAATGGTTCTTGGTTTTCTGCAAGCTGTTAGAAATTGGTTGGAAGAACTGAACCAGAATACATACGATGAAGTCCGTGAAGGTGTTCTGAGCATGTATAGTACCAGGTTGAATGAAGCCTGAGCTGATAGCAGACAAATCTTGGTTCATGAACTTGGTAAAACTCTTGGGCTTCATGGCATCAAGTGTTCTCTGGTTCAGGATACGATCAGATTCCTCATTGATGACTGCTATGCAGTTGACCTCATGCTTAACCGTCCCACTGACGGCCGTACGCTCTGTTCAGAATTAGCTGAGTCCACAACATTAAGTCGAGGATACGGACTTGGTATGGCCTTGCGGTAGTATGGCTGGAATCTCTTGTTCGGGTCATAAGGTTCCTTAGACATGGGCTTGTCATTCTTAGGACGGGTGAGTCTAGCTGGCATATTTGCAGTCGCAAGATCGAATTTCTCTTTCGACTTGGACTTGAAGCCCGGCAGATCTTTCTCCGTGAAGACGAACGTATTCTTAACCTTCTCTTCTGTGACGTCCAACAGGTATTCCTTGGGTATAATTTGGTGCGCCGCAATGTCAGGTTTCAATAGCATATGAAGCTTGTGCTGCGTTCATGGTTAGCACGCGTCGGTGTATCCACAGAACGAAGTTTCTCCATACTCTCATCTCGCCATTGTTTCCCTTTTCCTGACTTTGTCTAATGGTACCAATCTGGATCTCGGCATCATCGTCTAGTGTGGACCAGGCCTCCCACATATACTTCGGTACCTTCGCAAGATACAGTGATTGGAAGCTGGGGTCCGCGTTGAACTCGAGGTCGCCCGCATCTTCGTAGATATCCTCTTCGCTGAAGGCACCCGGCGATGCGCCCAGTCCCTCCGGATCCGGCTTGATATGGGTGTCCGCCATAATGATGATTTACGTATTATCGCAGATCCTCCATAAGCAGACTCGCCGTCGCGAACGGTCTGTTGTGCAAAGGGTGACAAAGTTTGGTGTGTTCTTTGTTTTACCGTCTGGGGAAATCTTGAGGAATGAATGGCGACAAGGATGTCATCGCACCTGGCTGCGGGAAGTCGTTTTCGCGCTAGCGGGTCGTCTAGCGTTCTTTCCTATTTCTGAACACAACTCAACGCAACCGCAAACCAATTTCTATGCGCCTTCGTTCTTCCAACAACCCCAACCCTGTGACACATCGACACCTTCGAATCATACTTAGAGAACGCGCGTGAGCACTCAACTAACAAACAGGAAATCGTCAAGCATGTCTTCTGAGGACCAAGACATCCTCACGAAGATCAGCCAGCTCGCTGGTAAGTTCGCCACACGCCCCTCCGTTAACTTTCACCACCGCTGACCTTTATATTCAGGTCAGATCAATCGACACAAGAATGGGCAGAATCCCGACGAGCAAACACAGTTCAAGTTACCTAGAAGTAACAGCTATAGCGGTACGGCGTCATTTGTGCCACCATTCGATCATGCGACTGATCCTATCCAAGGACACCATCCCTCAAACACTGCATGGCAATCTACTCGAGGAGGCTACATGTCACGAGGGTCTGGTCGAGGTAGTAGAGTACCGCAAGTTCACCGTAATAGAACCTTGGTTCTCAACGGTAACAACTCTACGACATCCATCAACACCCCGCAGGGCGTAAATAATGACGAGAACGCGAAGATCAATGGCCAGGCTTCGACCACTGGCTCTGCTTGGGTATCAAAGACCGATCGCCATTTGCAGATCATCAATACGTCAATCTACGAGAAGGAAAGCCAACTACGCACCAAAGCCATCGAGGAGACCCGCCAACAGAAATTGAGAGAAAGAGGTGAACGTGACAAGAAAAGATTCACCAAGCAACTTCAACGATCAGCGAACAACGCTTACAGTTCATCAACATCTAAGTCTATCAACGGGACAATCGTCGACATTGAAGGGATCGCCTTTCGTGTAACTAAAAACGGAGACAAGCTTATCAAAGTTCCCAGTAAGAAGTCACAGACAGCCACTATCAAAGCAGTTGGTGGTATTGTTAAATGGACCGCGGGCTTACAATATTCAGGTGATCCCCATCCTCCAAGTGCGACCCCGAAGACATGGAGTTCTGGCGGTATTCTCTTCTTTAGAAGCAAAAACGGCAACTTGTATCGGGCAGGCATTGTTACAGCACATCGGTACGAGATTCCCAGATACGACCAAGATCGGATTCATCAATACAGCTCGAGGGCTAACACAGTGTACATCAGGAGAAAGATTGGTCTGCAAAAGATCCAGGAGCCTTGTCGGGCATTTACAACTACGGGTATTCCCTTTCCTATGAGCATCCACTGACCTAGCTTCCGAAGTGGAGGACGACTTGGGTTTCAGCTAACACATCATCTCAATAGGTTCATGCAACAAAGGTCCAAAGTGCCGATATATCCACGATCCGTCAAAGGTTGCTGTATGTAAGAAGTTTCTGAAGGGGTCGTGTCCAAGTGGAGACAAGTGTGACTTATCACATGAATTGACCCCCGAAAGAACTCCTACCTGCTTGCATTTTGCAAAGGGCAATTGCTCTAAGCCAAATTGTCAATACCCTCATGTGCGGGTCTCGCCATCTGCGCTTGTCTGTCGAGCATTCGGGATCTATGGATACTGCGAAAAAGGTACATCTTGCACAGAACGCCACGTACATGAGTGTCCTGACTTCAGTAACACCGGAACTTGCGACACGAAAGGATGCAAATTGCTCCACCGACACAAAGCAAGCGTGATGCGTACCAATACCGCTCACAACAATCAATCAGGGGAAGATGAGAGCAGTGACATCTCAAGTGATGACGGAGGCGAGATCGGTGATGAAGACGTCGACTCCGATGATTTGGAGGAATTCCTTGGTGACGAAGATGGCGATGTCGATTGTGACATTCCCATGCAACAGGACTACGTCCAGTTGTCGTAATTCTACTTTATTGCTAATCATTCCAGTGCCGGCTTGCTGCTAAGAGCCCTCATTGGAATACTCACGACGATCCATTTCCTTTCAGCGAGGATTTCATTTGTTATTGCATGGTATTTGGCCGGGAGTCAGGGAGTAACAGGAGCATACCACTCTATTTGGTGAAAATAGAAAGATGCCCTTGGACTGCAAAGTCTGTTAGCATCTTGAGCACAGCTCTCATTGCCTAGTCGCGTCTAACGCGTTTATGTAAAGAAAGGAAGCAAAAGCAGAAGAAGAAAAATCAATACGAAACCAATTATAGCAGTCTCGGTCTTAGCACGCGTCTCAAAGTGCCTGCCTATGTATGTTCCAAAACTTTCTTCAGCTTCCAAGTGCCGCGTGACTTGAAGTGTCATGCAGGTCTAAAGTCTGCATCTGAGACTGTGATGTTTAACTTGCGAATTCGTTTCGGTTGTTTTTGTGTGGTTGTGTTTCTGCGCTCTCTCATGCCGGTCTCGGAGGAACTTGCGAGGTACCTACCGAGTACCCTTCGAGGCAGATGCAGTAAATCGCGAACTGAGTGAGGCAAGGCTTCTATTCGTAGGTATTGGATTGGAGTGTTGGATCTGGGGTGAAGGCGAATGAGACATATGCATGCATGCGGTTTTCAGATAGGATGGGATCGGTGCCTGCCTGCCTACCCCCCACAGTAGTGCATTCGAAACATAGGGAGGGAGGATTCCCAGCTTTGAGAGAGTGGCCGGACTTGAGACTCCGTGATCGATGCATAGGTACCTAGGTATGTATGCAGGGCAAGCTGGGGTGCGTAATGCTCTGCTGCTGCTGCTGCTGCGGCCGGTTGGTTGGTTGGTTGGTTTGGTTTCTGAGGTGAGGTGAGGTGAGATTGCGTTGGGTTGGAATCAAATCCAATTGGGGAGTTTATGGGGGAGGGAATGAATGGACGGGTGAGGCGGAGTTGAGGGGGCTCGTGATCAGGAGCGTGGGTGGGGAGTCGGCGGAGAATGTCCGCTGGAGTGGCAGTGGAATAGATCTCCGGCAGGTACGATGCAGGGAGGTGGTGATAATTGGTCTTGGTGTTGTGAAAACTCTTTCGGGTTGTGGAATTGGTTCCATGGCGGTGGGGGTGGTTTTGAGGGTTATGTTCGATGTGGCGAGTGTACGCGTGAGAAGGGTTGATGTGCAGATGAAGGTATAGATGATGCAGGAGTGTCAAGGGCGGTGGTATTCTGGATGATAGAGGGGAGAGTCGTGTTGATAGGTTCAATGATAGTGAAGCTTCATGAGTGGTCAAAAGTCTTGGTTCAGGTAAATCTTGAATTTGGGGACTTGCAAGTACTGTGGTAATATCCATGCCGTTCTTGTATGGACTAGTTGTTGGATGTGTGATGCGAGATTGGACGAGATATGAAGCACAGTATGAATGAATGAAGAAATATTCAAAACTAGCATGTACGAAATCCCTTCCTTCCTCTCTGCCTGAGCAGGTAGAACTGTCACTGAGAAGTAAGTGGTACTGTGATATGAGCGTCTAGCTCGCTTACGAGGAATGTGTACAAGAAGAGAAGGCGCGTTGCAAACCTGTTGACACACAAGAATTCCTACAACTTCAATCAAGAAACTGCAACCAAAATTTGCCTCCTCCAGTTCACGCGACTCGCGCATAACTTTCAAGATACCGCGACTTGCGACAGATTTCAGATTATGATCATCACTGCGGCTCCAGGCTACCTGAATGATGGATTTCCATATACAGAAATCCGAACATTGGCCGCAGACCGCCCACCAACGAAAGGACACCGCCGATCTCCTTGCGATGGAATTACGCAGATGGCGTTACTTGAATGTGTACGAAATGACATGACAATGATGTTCACTTAGGGTCGCGGCCTGATAATCAGAGACAAATCTTGGCCGTCCCGACTGGGAATTTCCATGAAGACTGAGAAGTAGTAGAAAGTGGGGGTTTTCCGATATCCTCACTTGAATCGGAGCAAAGAGATTTAGATCTGAAGAAGGAAGACTTTCAACCGTTGGGATCTCGGGAAGTCTTGGAGGAAAGAGGCTGTGAATGAGACGAGGTTGACCTTGACAAGGCGCTCTTTTGGACCATGAACCACGCAAGGACCACCAGTCGCATTCTTGAGAACCGCGGAAGAAGCAGATAAACAGTTCATTCTTGAAACCACGTCCCTGTCTTCTCGGGAGTTTCTTCAGGCTCGCTCTTTCGGATTATTCGATTTCTACTTTCCTTTAAGCCTTACGACCTCGGATGAAGCTTCATGACCAGATTCACCACGCGTATTCCTCTTGATACTTTTCGGTGGCGGAAAGAAATGTTTCAAAAACTTTCTGCAAGATGTAGTCGATTGGACTGACATGTATGTCGTCACCGCCACCAGGCCATATTTGGATTATCTTATAAGGACGAGTCCAAAAATGGTCGTCCTAGTTATTCTTGGACTTCTTCACCGCTCCCCACTCCCGAAAAAGCAAGAAAAAGTATACGAGGCGACGGCACAGGGCTTTCACGCAGCTCGACTTCCCCAGAGAACTTCCAGGAACAATGGAAAAAGGCAAAATGTGACGCAGTGAGCGTTGCATGACGATGCACCTATCCGGCGGAAGCTCTGCAGCATGCATTTTCGATCGTAGATACCGTGGGACGAGATGGGCTTTTGCATTCATCCACCGAGCTCGCGTTTGCCGGAGAAGTCCTTGGATTGCTGATTTGATAGCTGGCCGTGAGAGAGGTCGGCGTCACAAGAACGAGGAAAACATTGAGACCAGGAGGATATCGACTCTCTCTCCTCCTCAGACCGACAATTGGGATTGTGGCCAGGCCCCTTTGTTTGCTTGGATCGCTGCATCTCAACAAGGTCCTGAAGGATCGAATCTTCTCGTACGTAGCCCACCGCAGTGCCTGGCGGTGAAGTTCCCGAGCATTCGTTCGCCAGAGCCGCTGGCGGACTTCATGGTAAGGCTCAGTGTCTGTGTTTGAGGTTGAGAGGACCGGATCTCGAGGCTTGCTGCCAGACCAGGGAATTGTCCTGCCACCAGCCACTCAACAGAGAAGATTTCGAAAATCCTTTCATTGTTCGTCTCCACATTGTTGCTAGAGCTAGCTAGAACTACCTACACGATATTATGAGTCGTAGTGAACCCAGGTGCAGGGTTCACCGCTCCTGTCTGTGTTTACCTTACTGAGATGAGGTTCTGGAAGTCCTCGGTAATGCTGCCGCTCCCAAATGCCCCCTGTCATGCCTTGCTCAACGTTCACGATGCACCTGGATATACCCAGTTTGCCTGACCGTCTCTCTCCCGAACCAACCTCTCCGCAGCATCATATTACGAACTCAATCAGATTGGATTCCGTCATACGCGCAATCACGCGCAGCGATCCCCTTCATGCGCCTCAAGAGTTTTCGCCAAAAGGAAATAACCTCAAGCGGAGAATTAAAATCTCAGGCGGGCTGGTCCATGACGGTCGTCTGAAAATATCTCGCCCAAATAAGGTGTTGGCGCCAGGGATGTGGCTAGTCCGTTCAAGGGAATCCTGTCGAAATTCTCCCGCCGCCAGGTATCCAGCAAGTGGGAGACGAAGACGAGGTATCAGAACGGTGTGATCAGGGCTAAAGGAAGGAGGAAGTGGCTCGGGAGTTTGGACGTCGTGGAATGCTTCCGTTTCGACTGACAGCTTTGACGTCTGTCCACTGGTAACGCTGCCCTGAGGCCGTTGGGCACACGTACGGACTGTAGAATATTGTTTAGGTACCCACCAGGACTCATACAGCATTGGGAGACAGACATCATTCATTCAATCATACCACAGAGTGAGCTCATCCGCCATCACAGAAGGTCGTCGCGGGGGCGTCGAGTTGAGGCCGCAGTGCTTCATGTGCAATCATAATATAGGGGGTTGGTTCGGATCGCTTGACGGCATCTCCAGTGCCTCCAGCCATTTTCATGCTCTCTCTCTGGTACGTACTTGTTTACTTACCACCACGCTTGATCACGACGACCTGGCCGCAAAAGAAACCTTCCTGCGTTCCAGGTACTTCCCCCAAAGTATTGTGGGTGGTTCAAGTGGGAGGAGTGTAAACAGGAGACGCGTGACAAGGAATGGCCTCTGCAAGAGGACCCCGCCGCTGAGCGGAGGCCTAAAGGCATATCCGGACGTACCAGTGTTGCGATCGCGGTTGCGGATTGCCTCAAGATTTGGCGATTGGGTGTTCGTGCTTGTTACGAGCAGCAGCGATTTCCAGCCTATCACTTGACGAGCACAATGACTCTTTCTGGCGGAACGGAGCAGAACAGTCGCGACAATACCAATCAGCAGTCGGAGTCAAGGGCGCGCAGAGGAAACAAACTTGGCCCTGGACAGGTGTCATGCAACCGCGCATGTGGGCGACCTATCGGTGATGGGGGTTTTACCAGCAACATGCGATGGGCTAGAGACAGTCGCAGCTCCACTGATGCCCAACGTGCGATGGGGGGTTGATGGGCACACACAGGCGTACAGAAGAGAGTGGGAGTGGCATTGGGAGTGGTCGGAGTGAGTGGGAGGACTTGTAGGAAGTGAGGAATGACTGAGGGAGCGAGCAGTACAGTAAGTAATCTGCTTAGAGTGCTCTGTTCCCAGTGGTCTCTGCTCCTCTCTGCCGGAACGCTCGCATCTTTTTCTGGCAGCTGTTGCAACACTTGATCAGGACTCTTCTTCCAGTCAGGTCACTCTCAGTGCACCCAAAAAAATAAATCATTGGGTATGTTCAATGGATCCGCATCCACTCGCCTCGAATACCACCACATCCGGGCTGCACGCAGCCTTTGATAGGTCTCTCATCGATGCTCTGAGTCTGAGACAGACTCGTTCGGGTCACTCTAGACGTCTAGACCTCTGGCCCTCTAGTCCCGATTTTACTGCTCTCCAGTCTCCCCTCGTAGGGTAAATTATTCACATTAGTTTGGACTATGATCGCTTGCACCCGCACCCGCCTTGCTTTTCCCGTCCTTCCCTGGCCTCTCCTTGTTCGGGTTGCATGGTGTGCATGGGACAAGACAGGAGGAGAGGACCAGACAGGACAGGACGTCGAGCAACAGGTGGAGCAGGAGCAGAATACAAGCAGCAGCAGCCCAGCGTGGTGAGCACAGGTTAAGCCCGGTTGGGGCATGCTCTACCCATAATTGCTCCATCTTGACTGTCGGACTGACTGCATTTTGCTCCAATCATCCTGCCCCCCCAGCCCAGTCAAGCCCAGTCAAGCCCACTTGACTCTTCTCTTCCCTCTTCGGGTGGGACAAGACACAACCGAACGGAGCTGCCACTGCGGGAGCAGCTGCGTTACTGCTGCACCGTCTCATGGGATAAGAACCATGAGGGCCCGTTTTGCTATCACGATTGATCTTCTCTGATCTCACTCATACCTCACCCACGGTACTTCGGACACCACCAGCCCACGCAGCAGTTTGTCTTCTTCCTTCGTCTGGAAAAGACATCATCATCTACTACCTGAGCTTGCACTCGCACCCCATCAGCATCACTTGAACATTGTGCTTCAGTGATTCAGCGCCTTGTGACCTTACATTTACCCGTTATCACTTATCGTCGTGATCGCCGACGATTTGCACCTTATTTTCATCGCTTCACCGCCACACCAAAAGACATCCATCCGAACCTCTCTCTCGCTTCCCCTCCCACATCACAACTCACTCCAACAACAGCTACAATGGCAGCTTTTCCAATGCACAACTTCTACCGGCCCTCGGCCTTGACGGTCGATACTCACACACAGAACTACTTCGAGGAGGACGAAGGCAGTATCTTGGATGAGAACATTTTGGAGCAGAACGGCCTCGATTCCGGCTTGGAGATGTCACCGCCCATCAACGGCAGCCGACGGGAATCGTTTGCAGTCTCGTCCGCATTGTTCTCACCGAAGACAGATGAATGGCACCATGTTGATATGCAGCCCATGGCCTCCAACAATCCTTTTGTTGAGCACAGCAACAACCCGTTCATGCGCGTCGAGTCGCAGTCCTCCAACTACGGGCACCAGAGCCATGGATGGCCGATCAACAGTGGCTCAGGAATGAGCACACCGATGCAAGGACATGATGGATTACCAGCTGATTTCGAGGTCAACGCTCCCATGTTCCAAAGGCCGATGCAGACTCCATTCACCAACCCCACAAACCAACAACTACCTCTGTTCTCGTCAGGAAATACCAGCAATGGCTCGATCCCAACTTCACCACAGAAGGAATGGTCAGTAGCTGATGCCATGGACCACCGGTCAATGCCCAAGCGCATGAGACCTCACAGCCCGACCCTCCGTTCGCATCCAGACATGACGAGGAGGGGAGACGGTATTCGGAAGAAGAACGCTCGTTTTGATATCCCCGCAGAACGCAACCTCAACAACATCGACCAACTTATCGCTCAGTCTACCGACGAGCAAGAGATCAAGGAGCTCAAGCAACAAAAGCGACTGTTGAGAAACAGACAAGCAGCGTACGTTCCCATGGACTTTGGTCTTCCTCCCATTTTGGTTTCACCGGCCCGCTAACTAATTTCATTTATAGTCTTGACTCCCGACAAAGGAAAAAGCAGCACACTGAGCGACTTGAGGATGAGAAGAAGCACTACACAGCAGTGATCAACGACCTCGAGGAAGATTTGGCGGAAGCCAAGCTAGCGTTAGATGAGTGGGCCCGCAAGGAGCAGCAGTACCAACAGTACATCGAGAGCATGCAGCTCGAGAAGGAAGAAATGGTACGCAACCACACCATTGAGACCGGCGACCTTCGAAAGAAAGTCAGCGTTCTCACTGAGCACATCCAACGCCTCGAAGTTACTCCCATGTCCGCCATGCCCAGCTCCACTGGTTTCTCTGCAGATTATTCCGACATCGACAGCCTCACTATGGACGGTGCTTGGGATAATATCTCCTTCCTCAATGACTTCTCTCCCCCCGAGGCTGAGGTCAAGGTCGAGACCTCTCTGGTACCGATCAAGAAGTCTGAGAACAGTCTACTCAGTGATCCTGAGAAGCCTGCTGCTCAAGGTCTCTTGTTGATGCTGCTTCTCTTCGGTGCTTTCGTCGCTTCCAAAGGTTCTTCTCCTAGTATTCCTCAGATGTCCGACGACGTCCGAGCTGCTTCTGCTACTCTTCTTGAAGACATCTTCAAGGATGCTGGTGTACCACAAACCGCATCTGGCATCTCCGAGGCTGTTGCTCCACTTCCATCTGGTAATTCTTGGTCCACTACCCCGATGCCTTCCCTGGGCGGGAACGGTATGGTCGGTGTCACTCAATCAACGCTTGGAGATATCGCCGATTCCTTGACTCAACCCACGGAAGAACAAACGCACGAGCAACTATTCTCCATGTCTGCGGCTCAATACAACGGTCTCACGAATCAAGATTTCCTCCAAGCTACACCTCAACGATCAACCTCACAAGGACGACGGAACCTCGGAGAAACACTAGCAGCTATGCGAAGCAACAGCAAGAAATCCGCAGCTGAAGTCTACACAAGGTCACTGCTCTGGGATCAAGTTCCTAGCGAAGTGGTCCGCAACTTCGCCAAGCTAGTTTCGGATTGCAATTCTCAGAATAAAGATTGCAGCACATCTGCAGGCTGAATAAAGCATCCTCTCAACACGAAATCTCTATACTCGCATCTCTACGGTTACGAATCACGGCCTCTATCACGATCGCACGCCACCCCACCACAGCAGCAAAAAAGACCGTTGCTCACGCAGCATTTCCGATTTTCATTTGTCGCAAATTAGCAAGCCAGCCAGCGAGCGAGCGAGCGTCAGCGTTGAAATTTCTTGGACATTTTCTGAGTTTTGCTTTTTCCTTTTCATTATTGTTTGGCAGCATCAGCACAGCGACGGTACGGAAATCAAATCAAGGAATGGGATGGGGACTGGGACGGCTTTACAACAACGGCTCATCGGTCATGCGCAAGCAAGAGAGCCATCACCCGAGCACAGCGCTCGCAGCAGCAATTTTTCTTTTTCCTACTTCCATACTCTGTTAGGACATATCATGTATTCTGGAATAGGGGGAAAGAAGGGAAGGAAGGAGGGAGGAAATTGGACGGGTATCACTACCCACATTTCGGGTCTTTTGTTGTTGGCATTTTATTCTTTTCTGGTTTTTATTTGTGGTTCTCGTTCGAGCATGAATGATTCACGACCTTCTCACGATACCAACGTCTACTACATATCTTGCAAGCTCCTTTACACTACATACAAACTACGATTCTCACGAATGATGACGAACGATTTGGGAGGAAGGGAGGAAAGAAGGGAGAGAGGAGGATAATGATCATGATCATGCTGTATTTAAACTACCTTATTTACTTACAGCCATCGACGAAAGAATGAAAGAATGATTTGGGGACGTACTACAAAATGACTACTACTACTATTGTTTACTATCGTGACTTGTTCTATGTAATTCTTGACTCATGATCTATCAAACTATCTACTATCAAACCCTAAATTCCAACAATCAAACGTGCAGATAGACAGCATTCCCGATCCCGATCGTCGATCGCCCGATGCAGCAGCAGCAAGCAGTAGGTATCCTGTATCAGGATGGATGATGGAAGATGACCTCTACTAATCCCTCAGCATGACCTCGCCTCGTTCGTTTACCCGGACCACCCTATTCGTAGATAACCACGTGAGTGAGAGAGGGTCCTCCCCGAAAGGATTCCATTCGGATGACTTCTTTCTGCTGTTGCTTTAGGCAGGTCGAATATCCGTCTTACTCTTACTTCCAAGATAGATAAGAGTTAGTGCTCACAGGAACTGAAACACGATGAAGGTCGCTGGATGCATTTATTTATTTTAGGTACGATTTCTCTTCTGCTTCACGATGTCCACCACGAACGCTGGTGAAAGAGCAGAACGCAGAACGCCCTAGCTAGCTACAGTAGCTGCGCCATGCATGCCATGCATCCCGCATCACATCTTCAGCCTGTCCAGCTGCTCGCTCATGCCCTAATCCCCTCGGCTCGGAAAACAATGCCTTGTTTGCGAGTGTCTCAACGCCTGACTGACTGACTGACTGAAATGGAATATCGAATCGAAATGTACCGTCGTAGTCGAGACAAGCAAGACAGCAGCCAGGACGTAACCGTAACACGAACCGGCTGCACTGACCCCGCTCGCTCGCTCGTTTCCTCATCACAATAAACAGAACAGACATCATTGAGGCCAAAAACGCGACCCGACCTAAACCCATTCATTCACCCCACGAAAAAGAAAGAAAAGAAACACGAGATTTCCCTACTTTGACTTCTTCGGGACAGTTTTGTCAGGATCGTATTTTTCCTTCCAGATCCTACAGAAGAGGAGAGAACCAATGAGTAAGTAGTTAAACTTCAATTTATCCACAACAGTTTAGAGGGGGCAGGGTTGAGAGCCTATCGGCCATGCATCGCTCTCGTCATCTGGAACGAACTTTTGCTGCACGGGATGGCCACCGGGCCGCGGCGCACCAGACCATATGCAGGCAGGCTCTCGAAATGGTGACCCAACCCAAAGTACAGAAAGAGTTCTGACAAAATAAAGAGAGGAACATGACATACCAGGAATTGCCCAAGGTCTTACTCCCAGCCTGTTCCGCGAACCTGTAGTATTTCGCTGCTGCGTACTGTGGAGACATTCTCGTCAGCCTCATCGAGCTTTGAGTGGTGGGTGGATGGGTTGACGCATTTTCTGTCGCGTGGGGTTTGTGGAAAGCCCCATTGCTGCCCAAATGCAGTCATCATAGGGGAAGATGCATGCGCAAGCCACACGGTACGCTGCGAGGCTGATGGGTTCATGGCGACATGTTATGGCCATGAAGCTATTCGGAAGGCTCGGTAGTGTGGAAAAGGGGGGAGGCACGCAATTAACATACCTTGTCTTTTTTGCACCCAAAGCCCTCCATGTAGCACCAAGCGACTTCATTCATGGCATCTATGATAGAAATGTCAGTCTCACGTGTAAATTCCTTGAATTCAGGCGGAAACTGTGGCACGTACCTGTGTCGCCCAAATTTGCAGCTGTTTCGTAGTACTGCCACAGTATGTCAGTGGAAATGCTTCATGGCTTCTCCCCGATCCAATCCTTCAGAAGGGCTCACCTGTTTGGCTGCGAACTTGTCAATCTGCACTCCCCAACCATGTCGGAAGCAATTGGCAAGCTCGAAAATTGCAAGCACAAGTTCGCCTTTCGCTGCCCCTCCTTTCTTCATCCCCGCTTGAAGCGCGAGATCTTCGACTGACGCCGCATTCGACGCCGCTTCCGAGAGGTACTTCACAGCTTCAGCTGGATCAGGTTTACAACCCCAGCCGTGTCTAGAGAGGAAATGTCAGAATGATCTCAGCAATCAAGTGATGGTAGGAGGCCAGGCCACGGGATCTACCCTCAGGTACCTGAATATTGGTTGTGATCCGGGCCGCATGAAAAGGGGCCAATTGACATACCGAAGAGCGAGTCCATACAGCACTTGACTCAGAGCATTGTTCTCTCCATTCGGATCGGCCAATCGTCCAAACATGCTTGTAGAAGTCACCAATTCACCAGCTTCGTGGAGTCTGATAGCTTCCTGAATATTATCATCTGTCTGTTTCGTTGATACGACGCTCTCATGGCGTCCTGCACTGCCAGGTCTCCCACTTATCGACATATCATTGAATGATCCCAGATCCGTCGTTGAACCCCCAAGCGGCGTGGCAGGTCGACTTCGTGACTGCTCATTCTTTCTGGCCAGCATCGTTGCTCTCTTCTCCCACTGTGACTCAGCTCCATCCCCACCATCTTCCTCTCCAGTTGCCAGCTGTATATCTGGCAGATCTTGGGGCACGCTTTCAGAGGTCGGCTCGGCCTTCTTCAAATGCAGGCGCTCTGACAATCTCCTCGAGTTGGGAGACTTGGTGTTGGACTTCTGGCTCGCGCGCGACGAAACGGATGCCGTGGATACCACAGAACCACTTCTCGAGCGTCCCTTGAACAGGCGACTGGTCTTGGACTCGTTGCGCGTATCTGCGTACGGTGGATCGTCTGGCGTGTTGTGGGAGCTGAACGTGGGCGGTCGAATGAGCTCTTGGGTATTCGTGTCCGAACGCATGAATAGGAACACAGGTTGCTCTTCCGCTGCCGCTGTATCCTGCTGCTGCTCCTCTCCCTTATCCTTCTTCTTCAACAGGTCCTTGAAAGGCATCTTGGCGCAAGCGTTAAATCGAATGCGACGTTGTGAAGAGGTCGTTGACTAGTTATGTAGTGGTCAGATTTTTGATATGCAGTTATTGTGGAGGTCGAAATAAGCAACGAACAAACGCGTCCTTTATCAGGTAATCCGTAGAGTTGCCTTGCAGCTTCGCAGACTTTTCAAAAGTAGCATTTGCATCGGGATGCAATCATTTAAGGCCTCCATTTTCACTTTTGTGAATGGGTTGCCGTTGCTGATCTGGGCTTGGGTGGAGGCTTAGAAACGGCACAGCCGCTGATGGAAATAGCGATGCTCGCGTTAAGTAGCTGCGAACTCGTGGCCTTAATGGTTATGTATTGCGACAGATTATGCAGAAGCAGGTCACTACAAGACATGTATCACCTTGGCAAATCTAAGCAATAAATGCAATTGAATTTATCCTGTGCAGCTTCTTTCGCTGGTACACTACGTAAATCACTCTGGGGTTGACATCGAGGCGGTGCCTGCCCCTTTTTCTTCGCTTCCCGCACCCGATGTGTTCCGATATCCCGAGGGGTGATGATTGTCGTACAGTGTCAACATGATTCTCAAGAAAGAAAAATAAATTAAGAATGCGTATCTTGTCATTTAGCTAAAATCCCACAACTTGACTAACAGACTATCCTCGACCTCTGTTGCCAGATCTTGTTTCAGGAAAATCCGCTTTGGTATCTCAAACTCAATTACAGGTGTTTTCTTAACTTCCTTCACATGTTCTGCTTCGAGCATCTACGGTTTTGTTAGCTGCGCATCCTTTTAGTCTGCAGGAGAGGACTTACGCTTCCATATGAATGATCCAAGAAATCCTCCAGATTGTAAGCTGTCTTGGTGAATTGCTCTGAGATGATCTTGGCCAGCGTCGCAACATTGGGGTGGTAATGAGACTGAAGCGTGACTATCTCCCACAAACTGCTGTCGATGGCATGCGTCTCCATTGGATCATCTTCTTCCATATCAAATGGGTCGTCCATCCCCTCATTCTCAAGTCTCTCTTTCGCAGATGCCCCTCGAGTTTCTCGATGTATCATGAAGGTTGTCGAAGGGTGTCGTTTTAATAGATTGTAGATCCATGGTACAACAACAACTACCCCCGATGGAGGAGCATTGAGCGTCAATCTTGATAGCCTCTTCAGAAAGCTAGCCACCAGCACAGCTGGAAGATGGGTCGATGACAGGAAAGTGTCCATAAGTCGGAAAAATCTGGAGCGGTGCTTCGAGTGAAGGATTTCCGAATCGAGTAAAGAGTATAGCTTTCGGTAGAAGGATGGATAGTCAAGATTCCTCTCCTGGATCAGGTAGAATACTCCTGACAAAGCCAAGAGCGAGGTTGATCCACCAGCATCGTATGAGTCTGTCAAAAAATCCATCAAAAGTTCAGGTTTCATGAACCATGGAGCGATTGATGTGGAAACAAGTCTCAGCAGCGACTTTCTCTGATCTTTGTCCATCTGTAGCCCCATAAGAGCTAGCCACGCTCCCTGTGCATTCTTCTTATGTTTTGTGAGTGAGTATAAAGCATGGTTGCTCTTCTCGGGAGTGGTGACATAGAAATCCTCGAGTTCCTCCTTTGATTCCGGAACTGATTGGATCGAACTGAGAATCTCCAAAGCATTGTCGAACAATTTGTTATCCACACCGGTATTCGCTTCTCCTAAGATTTTCCTGCAGACAGTCAGAAAGGTACTAGTTAATGGGTAATAGATATACTTACTGGATAGCTTCCAGTGTATAGAACCGAATGTCGTCGTACTCTTCTACGAACTTCTCACTGAACTCCTTCCGCACATTTCCTTCGCCGTCATCTTTCAGCAGAACTCGAACCATGTCTGTCACAAATACAGCCGGAAAGCTGCCTTGTCCAATTCGCAGATGTTGGCCTTCAGTCTTCAGCAATCTCATACACAGGGTGAACATCGTTGGTCCAGCACCCTCCTCTCTCAATAGGTCCAACAAGCCAGATTTATACTCCGCGTATCGTTCCCTAAGCCACTTGACCACAATGGTATCTTTCTCAGTAGCTGATTGCTTCCTGGACATATCTCCAGACATCATAAGTCTTGTAAAGACTCGGCACAACGAAATTGCTGCAACAATCGAGCTATCTGCATCTTTGGAATCGTCCCCCAGAATCTTGATCAATTTTGCGATGTTGTTGTAATTTTTCTTCGATTCAAAGATCTCGTTCTCGAGCAACAGTATCTGCGCCTGGCCATCTTCGTCGCTACTTTCGGATCGTGCTCGTTTTGCCGGTCTCTTATCTGTCGCACTGCTTTTTCTTTTCGCTGCATGGCCTGCCTTGCCAATATCTGTCGGCATCTTGAATTGGTATGTCGTGAAGTAAATCTCGAAATAAATGTGCTTCAAATCCAAAATATTTTCTATCGATAAGGATTAAGGTTTGAGGCACGCAATAAGGCAACAAGGCACCGAGCGAGCCCTGAAGCTCTTTCGGCAACAATCAAATCTTCACCTCAAGCAATCCGCGAAGCTCAACATCATCTCCCCTCATCTCACAATGGCATCCCGCTTGGCAAGAAGCACGCTCGGTATGTAATTGATCTTCTGGTCGACATTTTGGCAGCAATTGGAGCTTGGAATAGTTGCTAATGACAGATACTCAGGCGCAGGAACGAGACTCCGACCAGCTCTTCCATCCCGAACTCTGCCGGCCCTCACGACCTCCCTCACAAGCTATCGATCAGCATCGAGTGTCCCAGCGGAGGATCCCAAGAAGAAGGCACAATCGATTATCGACTCGCTGCCAGGCAATTCATTGATCTCCAAGACTGCCATTCTCTCATCAACAGCCGGTGTCGCGATCTACGCTCTTAGCAACGAGTACTATGTCGTAAACGAGGAGACCATTGTTGCCCTCTGCTTGCTGAGCATCTGGACCGCTGTCTTCAAGTATGGTGGACCGATGTACAAGGACTGGGCGGATGGACAGATCAACAAGATTAAGGGCATCTTGAATGCTGCTCGTGCCGACCACACCGACGCCGTCAAGACCAGAATTGAGAGCGTTTCGCAATTGGGAAGCGTTGTTGATGTCACCAAGACCCTCTTCGAGGTCTCAAAGGTTTGTAATCTGTGACTTAGAAGCGAGTTATAGCAGATGCTAAAAGCAGCAGGAAACCGCTCAACTCGAGGCCAAGGCTTTTGAGCTCGAGCAATCCACCGCCCTTGCCGCAGAAGCCAAGGCTGTTCTGGACTCATGGGTACGATACGAGGGACAAGTGAAGATCCGTCAACAGAAGGAGCTCTCAGAGTCCATTATTGCCAAGATTCAGAAGGAGCTTGAGAACCCCAAGGTTCTTCAACAAATTTTGCAACAAAGTGTTGCTGATGTGGAGAGTAAGGACATCCGACTACCATGTCTGACATACAATGCGCTAACATTTCTAACAGAGATCGTGCAATCAAAAGCTCAATAGACAAGAAAATAATGAGGGCATACAGATTTCCTTGGTACCCGTGTTGTTTATAAACCCCATGTGCAATAGTCAACGAAGGATTCTTCACCTCAAGATCTGACTTTACGGAGGTTACCTCTTTGAATCTTGTGAGACTCGTCCAAGTGATTCTTACAAGAATTAGTAGTAGATGATACCATTAGGAAGATGTTACATGACACTCCTGTTTGTTCAAAGAGCACAATACTTGCCGTTCATGATGTGATATATTAACTCTCGGCAGGGTTAACTAGAATGTTCAGTCCTTTGATGGTCCGAGAAAGGTCACCTCTAGAGCCCCATCTACCAATGTTGGCGTGTGGTTGGTCATCGGCCAAGTTCGAAGCTCCTCCTTCATTGAATACCAGAATCCAGCCTAACCGAAAACAGCCTCGTGCTGTAGTCTTTGCCAATATCTCCATGTCCAACCATCAGGATTCCAGTTCATGAGCAGCTCGCATAATGAACGGTTGCCATCTTTGGCGATGGTCACTTTCCAAGTGACATTCCTCCATTTGCTTCCCATTGCTGCTTTGAAGATGTCAGAATCGGCATCGAGCGAAAAGCACCATTGTTCAGGCTCCAGCAATCCAACATCATCCAAGCAGAACGTTACCACTTCGTACCAGTCCAACATGAGGAATGAAATGGACTTTACTGCTGGCAACTTTGAAAATCTCATCTTGTCTGGGTAGCGGCAGGACAATCGGTTCCAGAAATAATCCTCCCTTTTGATGACGGCCAAGGGCTTGAGGTTAGATGCATAATCTACCTCAAATGCCAGATTTTGCACCTTTGCGCCTCCCTTTCCCTTCCCCTTCCCATACATCGAGCAGCTTGTTCCCATGAGTTGACCACCCAATCCACCCGTTCGTAATTGCATGTCGAAAGAGTAAGGTATCTTTCGCAGCGTCGAACCATAGAGAGGGGCCAAGTGGCGGGAATGGCTTGCCTAGCTTCGCGAACTTCGTATGATGATCATATTGTTCGACTGAGTTCAGGTGTATGGTGATAGGAAGCGTGGCCTCAATAGGTAGATATTGAGGAAGTCGGTACTTCCTGAGGAGGTGATAGGGCCTGCTATGTTCCAACCCGCCAGTGTATTCCCAGCCAAGTTAAGGCAAACCGAAAGCCGAAGTATATCTGGGCAGTAACAGATTGCGGCTATCTTTACTGGCATGAAGGAAGACGTCAGGATATTGAGATTTCTCGTTCCCTGTCGTTGGTTCAGAAGGCCACTTGACTGTTACCACTCGCTGCTTAGAGATTTCGTTTATCGCTAACTCCCAAATCATGAGTCTCAACTCTACTGGCAGCTGCATAAACTTTGGAAAGTCGGTCGCCATTTTTCTATCTGTTGTCAATCAGAAGCCGTGAGATGATTTGGGACAAGAACTACTAGATATATATCATGATGCCTCCTTCGCTTGAGCAGCTCAAATGCAGGTGTAGAAACCTGTTGCGAAGTTCGTAGTACTGTCTCAAATGTTCGTCTCTTGCACGGTCTGTCTGTAACGATGCAGGTCAACATTTTACTAGCTTGGATTTCTAGTTCCAGCTTGATATTGGCAGTCCTCGAACCTCGAGCTGCATGGTCATTATTCCCTTTCTCTGACTTCCATGGGACAATGGAGTCGTGGCATATGCTCATTTCCTGCCTGGGGTGTATTTCCTGCCGTGGGGCTGCCTCACCTGTACAAATTATGGTAAAGCTGCTACGCCAACACTGGCTCTCTCAATAACTTCCTTTCTGCCACGCGCTCTATGCAGTTTGAATGGGGACTCGCGGAGGTTTGTGGCCTTACTGAATCATTTGAAATTCTAGACTGGAATGATGCCAAAGTGGAAACGAAATAAAGGGAGAAATTCACACCAAGAACATGCACCTTCGAACAATACGTCAGCACGATATCCAGCATGTTTCAGAGGCAATGTACACACCATCTGTGCTGCAGTATCATGAAGAGAAGTGAGACTTTGAATCTTTTGATCCCTAGCACGCATATCTTGTTGGCTCTTTCCCCTCATATTTCCCGCAATTTGTTCGATGTATATGATCGTTTGCCTCAGTAGTAAGAGGGTACGGCTAATTATCAAGTACAATAGAGGAATTTACTAAAAGAGAAAAAAAAGAGTTTAGTCCTCGCAGAATTCGCATCCGCATCTCTCATGTCCCATCCATACCGATTGCTCGAGAAAACGGGGGGTACCCTAGACGTCTGAGAAAGGTGGCACCTTTTACTAGAGTGTGTTACTATTACACCACAGGACCTTTTGAATTGTGGGTTTCAAAATGCTTATTTGAATGTATGTAGCGTAGTGCGCAATGGTATATGGACGTTGTACGTACACTGTGCCCATAATGATTTTATGCCGCTAGTCTTCAGTAAGACACGAGTTCCTGGTCTCGATCAAACGAATAGTTTAAATTCGCGAGGCCGCTATTTTGTTCTAGATTTATATTTAACTTTATCGTTGCCTGTTTAACTTAAGAATTACTTCCAGGTTAAGAGCTTTTCTAAGTGCTAAGCGAGGGGTTGCCTATTTCTTGTGTAACCGCTTCCTTGAACAAAAATCCAACGCTTCCGCATTATTCTCTTCTCATAACATAAGCAGCTTACTGTTACTTGGCTCTCATCGAACTATCCAATGGGGGCCAAACCGCAAGTTGACACTCAGTTCAACGTCACATCAGGATGTCTCTGCTACGGCGACATTCACAATGTCTGGCATGGTACCTCGAGCCCAATCTGTAAATTCCCCACCTCCGTTGAACAACACGCCGGCGGGACAGTCACTGCTCAAATTATTTCATTCAATACCGTGGCGAAGAACGGGTAATGGAACGTTTTCAAGCTTGTCGAGAAAGGCACGGATCGCCTTTGCGCATGGTTCGCCTCTCATGTCGACGTCGACCCAGAGGTAGAAATCGACAAGATTCTCAACGTCTCAGGCTCTCCCTATGAACGCGATAGCGGAAGTCGATTGAACGACAAGAAGACGGCCAAGGAAAGCGTTCTTGTCATCAATCGGTATGACTGGGGTTATTACGATAAACGCGGGAAGGAAGAACTTGGTATCGATGACACCGCTGAAACTGACTGGGCTACGTGGGTGTTTGGCGAGGGAGCAGCACTTGTGGATTTCGAAAGTGCAAAGACGGAAGTCCTACGATGGAACGAGAAGAAGCGACAGGAAAGAGACAACTCACCAAATGGAGTCTGGATGTTTATTCCTGGCGGTGAATACATGTTTGGCCGTTTTGGGTTCGACGAGGATCGCTCAGGTGCAAGATCATTCCTGTTCTTCACAACGTATACCAACTTCTGTAGTACGAGCTTTGTTGGGACAGATCGTGCTCTTCGCGTGGAAGAAACTGATGAAGAATGGTTCCAGCGCTGCTTGCGCAAAGAAGGCTACTTTGAGGGCCTGGTTGAATTGAAACAACAGATATCATGGTTCAACGGGCCATTGCACCTTCCAGCAGAATCCGAATATCTTGGACCATATGACAGCCGTGAGTGTATTCTCACAAGTACGGACATTGATGCTATTCGGATTCGGCCAGGGGTGAAAGCCCACGAATTCGCAGACCCATTGAAGGAAGATTGTCTTACATGTCTAAATGAGATGATCATGAGCTATCTGGAGCACTTCATCGCGCCTGCTTCTTCCCATAATACAGTTGTTGCAGCCTGCTGCCTCATTGTTTCCCAGACATTCCAATGGCACCATTGATGCTTTAGATTGCTGTATGTATTCTTTCTTGATGGAGCCTTACTCGGATCCGATTCCTGGCTTCAATGACCGTGCAGTGGGGAGCAAGATTAAAAGCTTTCTCATCCCACGATGCGAAGACAAGAGTCTTGTCAGAGACGAAAAGTTTATTGCTGGAATCTGTGCTTGTATTGCGTATCTGCTTTCGGAAGTGTTGGAGTTGGCGAACAATCATGCTGGGCGGCGAAGCAAGCTTATCCCGGTGGACATACGGCTTGCCGTATTCATGGATACTAAATTAAGGGATCTATTCAAGTATTCCAGGTTCTTCTGGAAAGGGAACAGTCAGATTTTTCAAGTAGCTGGAGCTTCTCGCACTACAGAACTCACTCAAACTGCTGAATGAACTACTGTCACTTCAGTGGCAATCTCCACATTTTATGATGGATTCCATCAAAGCGCTCGGCTGCTGTGAGAGAAAACAAGAACTGTAAAGACGTAGAGAACAAAACAAGCCCAACATCTGAAAGTGTCAAGCTTCGCAAGAGAGTATGGATGGGCATGTTGAAATTCTTGCATATCTATAAAGTCAAAGAACAGAACTTTGACCATCGAAAGAATAGGTGGGAGTGATTTTCAGTACGAATAAATACATTTCGCAAATATGTCTAGGCGATTTAAAGCCGGCTGCGGCGTCGTTGAAAAGGGGGAAATGGTGACTCTAGAATAGGGTAGGGTGCCGGTATCACGTTGTCAAATTTCTGTTTGCGATTCTCAACGAGCCTCATCCTCATCTCTGTCCTGCCTACACAAACCCTACTATTGCGCTTTAATCTCTACAGCATCCTTAAATTATACCACCCGACTTCTCCAAGCCCCAGCTCATTTACACTCAAGAGCCACTCCTTCCTCTCACGATCGAACTGACAGCCTAAACTCACGACACGTGATCATCGCCCGACTGGTGTCTTTCAAGCCAACATGGCCACAGCTTCCAAGACATACCTTGACCTTGTCAATGATTGCGATAGGTAAGCAGAATACACTAATATCAACCGCATGCGCATCCTGACAAGAACAGATTCCCATACGATGACCCTCTCGCATCTCCGTCCGAGCACTGGTCATCCATCTACCGCTTCTACCTCCCAAACGACCCCAGACACCACGGTCTAATGCTCTCTTCAACAGTCCAGAAGATGCTCTGGACAGATGATTTCCTCGTCAACCACCAAGCCAGAACCGTCCATCTCGATCCGAAAGACACGAGTGATCTATCCAAATCATGCACAACTGCTCTCTCAAAGCAGGTCCAAGTCTGCATCGACGCCAAAGACTCCTTCCACGTAATCAGCGGACGGCATAGCGAGCCCTATCCCATCGTCGGTGCCAATTATCCAGTTTCTCTAGAGCGATACGCAAGTACGCTCTTCGGGATCATCTCTCGTGGTGCGCATCTCACGGCGTATACACAGACATCTGAAGGTTTGAAAATCTGGGTTCCTCGACGGTCTCCGAAATTATTCACTTATCCGAATTGTCTCGATACTACCGTTGCAGGCGGAATCTCGTTAGAAGATCCTTTTGAATGTATTGTCAGGGAGGCAGACGAAGAAGCATCTCTTTCTGAAGACCTGGTGCGAAAGAACGCTGTAGTGTGCGGATGCATATCGTACGTTGGACTAAACGATGCCAGAGGCGGAGGCGAGATGGGACTCATCGTTCCAGATATAATCTATGTATACGACCTCGAACTCCCAGCTGATATCATTTGTCAACAGAACGACGAAGAAGTCAAGGAATTCACGCTGATGAGCATTGATGAAGTGAAGGAGGGCCTTGCGAGATCGGAGTTCAAGACGAATAGTGCGATTGTGATGATTGATTTCTTTTTGAGGCATGGGATTATTACTGTTGAGGATGAGCCGAATTATGCTGAGATTGTAGCGAGGATCCATAGAAGACTACCTTTGCCGACTGGGCCTTCGAAGATCGTCGGATAAGTGTTGAAGAGGTTGCAGAGATGGTTTGTTGACGATGGCCGAACGCGTAGATTCTAGACAGACGCGATGGATTCAGGTAGATAGAACAGATGGAATGCAATTGGAAGACTTATTCCAAGATCAACGATACAAAAATCCTCCCACCTCGTGAATAACCTACCACCTAGCCCTATGACGAAAGTGAACTCTCCTCCCTTCCAATTCGGCGCTAACCCCAAACCATCCACCTTCCCACAAACCCTTATAGTGTTAAATAAGCAAAACCCCTCCCATAACCCAACAAGACGCATTCCACTTAGGTCAGTGGTTCAGGTCACTTGTTGGGTAAGAGCAAGGAATAACATAGCTCTGGGGTACACACAAACTACATACGAACGAACTTTAAAAACTGCAAAGGCAAGTTTTCTACGACCTACCCACTTCGGTGGTTAGGTCTCAGTTTTTGCTTCTTCTCTTCTTTTATCCCTGGTGAAGAGGGGTTGGTTTATTTATTTTTGACTTTTTTTTAGGCCTCGCTTCTGGAGCTCGCTTGTATAGGAGACTAGGGCAATATCCGACGTCACTTTCGGATTTTGGGAGTTTGAGAAGGCTAGTCGATATATCGGCTTATGAAATCTCATACTTGTAAAGATAACATATTGATTTTAATAGTGTTAATACACTTTTGGAAGAAAGGATGTGTTTACGCCACGCGCTTGCCCCTTGTCCTTCTCCGGCCAACGCAAACATATAGCCCACGCATACTCATCATCAATCAACCCTTCTCTCACAAAATTAAAACCCCAATCAATAGAAGATCACAATAACATCATCCTCATCCCTCTACAACCCCACAATTTCCTACCCCCCACAAGACCGTCGTCTCCACCGGCCCAGCACTCAACGTCACCGTCCCCAACGGACAACTATCCACCCCCAACGGCTCAATGGGCTGACTTCCTGTGATCTGCACCCCGCAAGCCACCTTCCCCGGCACCGAAGCCACGTAATCCACTTCTTCGTAGTAAGCGATGCAATTCGGGCTCGCGAAACAGTAGGCGCAGCAGCCGCCGGGGTAGACTTCGAAGGCGAGGCCCGAGGCGCCGTTGCCGCCTGGGATGGAAACGATGGATAGCGGGGTTGGGTAGAGGCCGTAGGAGTTTTGGGAGGAGCATTGTACGGGGAGGGGGAGGGTGGATGTGGAGGTTATGGTCGAGGTCGTTGTCTGTTTTATTGTTAATTTTTCATCTCTGTTAGTGAGGAGAGAAGCGTACAGCAGCGGCCGAACCAAGTAAGCAGGAGCATCCACTCGATAACGCGGTTGCGGTCTGTGTGCAGCTAGTAGCAAAGGGCGGGAGAGTTGTGGCTCTCTTCTCGAAATCTGGGGCTACAGTTGGCTCTCTTTTCTTGACGCCGGGAAAAGTGGCGTCGAGGGCGGGGACGGTTGTCGTTGTTGTTACCGTTGTTGTGCTTCTTGGTCAGTATTTATTATTTGGTTAACAAGAGGTAGGAACTAACGAGGTGTAGTAAGATGAACAGTACGGGCTAGCTAGTGAGCTTGTGCCCCGCAGTTCACGGAGACAGTTGTCTGCATTGCATGCAGCGCGAGCTTGGTTCTCGAAAGGGCTTGCCTTCGCGATGAACGCGAGTGAAGCAAGACCGGTGATGGTAAGCAAAAGCATTTTCAATTTTGAAGTTGTTAAAGTTCTGGTTGGAATTGAGAATGAGGAGCCAAGCACCTGTTAGCAAGCTTCATGAGTTATATGTATTGCTCTCTCAAGCCACAAAACTTTAAATATAGTGTACCAGGAACAAAAGAAAGTAGCATGCGGGACAGGTAATAATTGTGCTGTACGATGTGGGGGATTGAGCATTGTCGTAAGACAGGGGCGTTTTGTGGAGGCGGGAAAGTCCCATTCGGCAATTTCCATGACGCCTCATTCTCAGCTCCTGCACTCCATCGTTGCTTTCTTGCTCGTGAAGTGACGGCACACGGCTTAATACGAGGTTGCAATGTCGTGAGTAGGGGTATTGGATGAGAGAGCGGTATCGTCTGATCTTGAGTTGAAGTGCTGTTCGGAACACCAGAGTCGGCTCTGAGGTAGCCTCGTGGTAGATCAGGAGCAGAGCGATAACACCTGATATACCGCGGGGTGGTATGCCAGGATAAAAAGAGGCGTCCAAATACGAAGGGACACTTGTGAAATAAGAAATTGTTTCGATGCAACTTCCCTCCCTTACATATGCTGCGTGATAGTGGGATGACTTCCGCGTGCCTCTCGTACGTAGGTTTGGTTATGTTTCATCGAGAGGCTCCAATCAGATGCTCAATCTCAGCAATAAGTCTAATGCTCTGTTCTATACTCGGCGACTTCTGCTGCATCATACCGATCCAAGAAGTAAGTAGCCGACGTAGATGTGGTCCAAAGTCCGGTATATTGTGCTCGAGGAGGGTTGGTCCAAGGGCTTGATTTTGAAGCGAGACGAGGATGATGAACATCGTGCTCGTCATTCTGCAAACATAGATGTTAGATCAGGCTTCTCCGCAGAAGGGTGAGCTGCTTACGATAAAGAGCAAATCCAAGTATCAATCATCACTGTCTGGCCAAAACTCTTCAGATTGGCAATATGATCACAGCTCGCTTTCAAACACCTTCCCGCTCCTTCCACTGTCTCCCTGGAGTGAGCCATGTCGTTATGCTTGAGTACAATCTCAACATACGGCCTGTAAATCACACTCTTACATGCCAGATACCTTTGTCGCAGAAACGCAGCATGTTCATTGGCACATTCTCTCGTGTCTTCTTTAAACACTAGGAATCCAGGGAGGGTGTCGTGCCAAAGCACAAGCTGACGATCAAGTTCCGTTATTAGTGCTCGAAGAGATTCATCTCGTGATGATGTGTAAGTGTTATGTTTCTCGGCGGCATAAAGGAGTTGATGTACGCGGTTGAGGAGGCGCCGAATAGAGATACAGGACAGGAAGTAGAGCGCTGAGGATTCGGTCTCTGACTCCGTGAAGTGGGTTTGTAGAGGCCCGGGGAGGGGTACTTCCGATTCCTGGTCTGCTACTCCGCTCTGAGGTAAATGTGAGAGTTCTGAGATTAGATCACTAAATGTATTAATTCGTGACGCCGAAAGCTATGCTGAAGAGGCATTACCTTTCAATAATATAGCAAGACCAGAAAATCCGTCGTATGCATTCATCGTCCTCGACATTTCCTGATTCCGTGCCGTATGCGATCAGTGATCTGCATTTGGCAGCCGCTGTATTAAGATGGCCCCATGTTTGTAAAGGTCGTTGAAGGAACGAACAATAAAGCCTTCTCAAGATTAGCTGTCGTCGCTTGTCCACAAACCGGGAATTACTAACGCTGCAAGGAAAACACATTGTGTAGCTATGGTGCTGACGTCCATATACGCCACCGTCAACAACTTCAGAGCTTCGTCGAAACAGACGTTCGCAATGGTCATCAGTTCGCTTTGCTGCTGCCTAGATTGAAAGCCTCGAGACTCAGTCTGAGAGAATACCACATGAATGAGCTCTGATGCAGCGCCAAGAGCCATCACGAGTAAGGCAGCACAATCTTCACAGGTATTCCCCATAAATCCATTTCGCACTTTTTCGAATAGGACTTGGAGGGTAGCTTTGCTCACTGTTGGATACCAGAAGTTGACATTGCGTTGAAAGGAGGTCAGCAATCGTTCTGCTTCGTCTGTTGTGAAGACAGGTCTGATGGACCTAGGTTGAACCGGCATGGGGGGACATTTGCTTTCGAGGAGAAAGATAGGATGGAATTGAGCTCGAAGCGAAGGAAATGGTGCAGCGAAGGAGCCCGATAGTAAATCTTGTGTTGCACTGATGTGTGTTGACGATATCTACGATTGTCAGAATCAACGCTGGCCTCTTGGAAATACAGAATATTGGGTGCAGATGTGCATACAGTGGCATTCGCGACTTTAGCAAAGTCTTGGTGATCTGGCGACGAGGGATCCGAGAAGCGCGGTGAAGCTATCGACCTCACATGATTGTGTTCATTCTACCAATTGTCAGTTCAGGAGTCTAGTGCTGGAAGAATCTGAGAAGAAGCGTCTTACGAGGTTCTCATGGATACTTCGAAGCAGACCATCCATACGCAAAACGGTCTCTAGGATTTGATCGCTCTTTCCCTGAGTTCTACGATTTGCGTTAGGAAGGCGGTTGACTTGGACAGTCAGGAGGGGCTCACATGCTAGGTTCCTGCTTGCCATAAAGGCAGTCTACTTCATTTTCGGTGCACCACGAACATGGTTGTCGTCCATCGCATCTTACACATCAACGTCAGTCGTTGAGCTCATGAGTGGTCGTGGCTTGGAATGAAGCATATCTCACCTTGACTTGCGGAGCCGACAGGCACCACACTACGTATCAAATTTAGCATCAAATCATCAAGACGGTCTCCACATAAACTTACAGCATGTGCGGTCCTTTTCCGGGGTCGGGCGGCGTATGGCGTTGTCATGGCATTTGCAGTAGAGCTGTCCGAATTGCTTCTACCCGGTCGACCTTGGTCTGGATAGGCCATGATGATCTCAATGCATCATTCCATGCATAAAAAACATGGAAACCTAGACATAGAGCTTTAATCAGCAAATCGTGGTAAATTCAGAATGGCCTCATAATGGTACTGTATGTATTGATCACAAGTTTAAAGTGCGGTGTTCAAAAATGGTGTGTGCTCGGCTCGGTCTTAAGTCTAAAAGGGGATGGATTTCGAAGGCGGCTGACGCGGGGCATGGCTGCGGGGAAAAGCAATTACTCCGTACAGGGCCTTTTAAAGGTTAATGCTCAGACCCCTTGCCACTCTCTTTCCACACCTAGGCGCACCACTTATGGCATGCTTATGGCACGCTGCTTTTGGTCACTTTCATAAAAAATGAAGCTATTCAGACTACCATTTTGTGTATGCTCCCCGAGCAGCTATAACATCTGCACAGCGCTGTGGCATAGTGTGAATGATGTCCCTAATCTCTGCATCTGTGACCGATTCCCATGCCTTAATTACAGTAGCTCTGAGCCTCCTATAGTTCCTGTGGACATGGGGATCTAGTGCTTCCAAGATATCCTTCATCCTATTCCATATACTCTCTATAGGAGAGAGGTCTGGTGAGAATGCAGGCCAGAATATGGGCTGCACACCATAGCCCTGAAACACTTGCATAGTGTAAGCTGCTGTGTGCCCTGGTCCTCCATCCTGCTGGAATTGCAGCCCTGGGTGTGTGTGCAAGTAGTGAATAATAGGAGGCACTACTCTCTGAGAGTATGACACCTTATTGATTGTCTTCCATTCCTTCTCCCAGAATATGCCCAACCCTTTGCCATATCTTCCACTTATGCAGCCCCAAAACATCCATCCTATCTTCCTCTGCCACTTGTGTGACACGCAGTCAAGGTGAAATAGCTCAGCATCCCCTATGAGCCTAGTTACCCACTGCCTCTTGTGATACCCAGGTTGCATCCAGCTCTCATCACTCCAGAGGATTTCATCCCACTGGTCCAAGGTGTGGCACCATCACTTCATTTTAACCTTTAAAACAACCTGTACGTAGTAGACCGATGACGTGTTCGGAAACCTCTACTTTGCTCCGTATTACTGTTTCTAGGCACCTGGGCAGCTTCTAGATTATAGCACGTGATTGATATTTCAATGTCTGCAAAGTGGGATCTTGAGTAAAGCTTGGAAGTGCATGGGACAATTCACGAACATTTGTTAACTAAGAAGCTCATGTTCTAGTCTGGCGTAGTCAGGGACATTGAGGATATCATGATTTCCAAAGACCGTTTCAATGCTTGACCAAGTTCAGAAGCGCTAGATAAATGCTGTTTTTGTTTCCATCGAATCAGAGAATTGTGAGGAATGCAACTACTATGCCACCATAGATTTCTCATTCACGTCAACACCCACGGTAGCAGCAACCGTTTGCACCGATCTTTTCTGCAAGCTCTTCTTCACCGGATGTAGATCACTAAAAACTTCATCAAGTTCCTCCAGAGTGCGGTCTTTCGTCTCAACGAAGAAGAAGTAAATGACCACAAACTCGATCAAGTCCCAAGCAACGAAAACCAAATAGAAGTAGTAAGTGATGTTCTTGAAGGCTGGTCCAGAACTGTATTGGATGACTGTCGAGGCAACACTGGAACCAAAGTTGCCAATCGCGGTACCCTTGGCTCTGGTCTCGGTTGGCAATGTTTCTGCGATGTACATGCTCTGCAAAGGTGTCCATCCGAAACTAAAGACAATGCCAAACAGGTAGACGAAGGTGATTGCGACATTTGAGGCCATTTTATTGTTATGTTCGACCGCGAGCTTAGTAGTGCCAGTGATGATGGCGAAACAGATGCTAGAGAATAAGATAGACCAGAGCAAGAGAGGCCGTCTTCCAATCTTATCAGTCATTCTCGCTCCAGAGATGGCGCCAAGCCAGCAGAGGACTGGGAAGACTCCATTCAGTTTGAGTTGGGTATGTTCGTCGGCAATTCCTGCTGTGGCCATCATCTCTGGGAAGTAATAGGAACTGACACTGTTTCCTGACCATTGGCCGAAAAAAGCCATGCCGAGCACACAAATGAGACGGCGACGAGCGTTGTGGCTTTTGACCAGGCCAGAATAATCCCACCAGCGTTTGTCAGTGGCATCTGTCTGAATTTGATAATACATTTCAGAAATCTGAAGATTAACGATTGGATGATCTTCTCGACCTGAAAGTTTTCCGTTAGCATAAATTCTTGTTCATAAAGATGGGGTTCTCACCTTCACCATGATACTTTGCGAGGATTGCTCGAGCTTCGTCAACGCGATCTTGTCCAACTAACCATCGAGGAGATTCTGGCAGGAAGAAGGCTCCACCCGCGACGACCACGGATGACAAAAGCTGGCACCAGATCGGGATTCGCCAAGACCAGTTAGTAGATAAGAATGCGGTCCCATAGCCTAAATCAGTCAGTAGTGGGCTGTCTTAAGAACTTCAAATCAGACTTACAAGTCCAGCTAGCAATGATACTGCCAATATACCAGCAAGTATTGTACAGCCCAGTAAGAGTGCCTCTCCATTTGGGATGTGCGAGTTCAGACACGTAGCAAGGTGCGGACACGCAGCAGAACGACACCCCGAACCCAAGCAAGAAGCGACCTGCCAGAAACATATGCATATTGACAGCTGGTGCTTGGATACAGGTCCCGATGATAATAATGACGGAGCCCGTGAACATGCCAGCACGTCGTCCGAGGTAATCATTGACTGGTCCTGTAAGAACAACGGCGGGAATACTACCAATATTGTAAATGGCAAAGACAATACCCGTGGATGATCCGGTAGAACCACTGCAGAAGGTGTTAGCGCTCCGTACTGCGATTCGGATTGACATTGAGACAGCCGGTGTTTGCAGCTCGTGACTTACATGCCAAAATAATTCTGGTACGGTTTCATTGCATTGATGGCTCCCATTAGAGAACCATCAAACCCGTTCAAACATCCACAGAGGTATGCAATAGCCAAAACGCCGTAAAGTCTGAACATGGACCTTGACCATGGTGAGTAAGTTGTCGTGTCCGCCTCTGTGGCCAGGAGAATAGCGTCTGTAGATGAATTGTCAATGTCATTGACATGAGACGCAGCGCCCAGGTCCTTCTCGTCTGAAGCCATGGTAACTGATCGCAAGATTTTGTCGGAGTGGCCTTGATCGTGAGTATTGAAGGGTTTTCCGGATTAATATCTGAGGGGGGAATAAAATGCAGATGCAGATCCTTCCCAGAACACTGACAGAATGAAAAGACAAGGAAAGAGGAATGGTCAAGGATTTATGCTCCTTGATAGCTTGTCCCAAGCGATATCTGGACATGGGCAGACTTTCCCAGATTTAGTCCCCTCATGCATAACTCAAGGAAGTAGGAACGAGGCGTTCCAGCAAACCTGCTAGTGTGGAGACGAAAAGGCCAAAAGAGAGCTTTCGGCTCGTGTCCGCTGAACGTGGCCAAGGGATGGGGTGATGGGGAAGGCAGGGACGCATTGCGGAGAGGTGAACGCGGGGTAGATAGGTCAATCTGAGTTCCTAGCAAGGGCGGGAGCAGGCGCGTACAGGCAATTCTTACAGCGGGTATCCGGGGATGAGCGGGGATGAGCGGGGATGAAAGGGGAAGCTTGGGATCAACCGGAGGGATGCTGTTGATGTGGAGAGTGGGGAGCAAGATTGGGTGGAGGAGGCTGGGAAGAGTGTCGTCGGAACAATTAGAGCCGAAGTCTTCTGATTGGACCGCTTCTATTCAAGCTCTAATTTAGTCTGCTTGGGAGTGAAGATGGAAATAGTTTCTTGGTGCTTGACCTCCACCAAAACCAAATTCACAGCGAAAAATCGTACGAAGATTCTCTGCCCTCTCATTGGACGTAACTGCAATTATCATTCAGTTTAAGACCATTCTTCCACGAACCTGCATAATTATGCGTGAAAAGTACCTGGCCTTTACCACTATTGCTGGGAATGCGATTCTTCCCCTATTCTGTCATTTTTGCAGCAGTGGTACTGGGCCAGGATACTCTTCGCCAGGCCCATTCCAAATAGAGCTGCCACAGACTCCATTTTTGTTGACAATCGTACTGGTCTTTGTAGTCTGCAAACATTCAACTTAGTACCGTCTGTACCTTCTCCTTGCAAATGACAAGACATACTTCTTGTATCAACAAAGTGTGATCTCAATCATTTTCTTTTTGCCCTGCTCCAACATCTTAACAACTTCTCCTGACATCATCCCGTGTACGTATGATTCCCCCAGAATTTGAAAGCAATCACCATTCCGTCGTAGCACTAATGGCACATCACAACCTGGTACAATCGCAATGGTATCTCCAGCTCTAGCCGCTGCAGGCGCAAGTCCCAAGTATCCTTCGTTGGTTGAGATCAATCTTCTCCAGGCCAGAATCTTCATTGCCCACAATGTCGCATCACGCAGGTATTGTCTATCACTTGCAGTCCCTTTCCAGTACCCAGTATCTTGCTGAGTTCTCGATCTCCTATATTCCTGATCCCGACCACTTTCTGTGATTCCTTCTTCATAATTGATCAGTTGAACCAGCGACCGATCAAAGAGGCGCAAACCCTTGTTGCGCTGAAAGAAACTATCAAGGCCGAAGAGTGCACGTCTCGTGGTGAGACCGCCTATTCCCATTTCCCAGACTGAGGGGTCAAGAATTGAGCTCAAGCTGGGTGGAGGAGAAGCACCCGAACGTGTCGAATTACCAGTCATTGTCCGCCAAAGCGCTTCTAGAGTGCCAGCTACATTGCCGTAAATGCTCTGAACCTCGGGACCATTGAGAGGGTAGCTGCGATCTGATTCCGTTGCATGAAAGGCAGCAAGGCTGTTGATACTATCGAATAGAACGGCTTGAACTGTCATCAAGTTATGATTTCGGAATACAGGAGCTACAAAATAAGATTTCAAAGCGGCCGACCCGTGGTTGAAAAGATTCATAGCAGGGTTTCTTGGACAAGACCAACACACAACCCAAGATGGCAAACCATGTTCGCAGCCTAGGTTCACAACTTCAGGGCATCGAACGAACTTAGGTTTCCGGGGACGGCTCAAGGTGGAAGGTTTGAAGTACTTGGTATCTATCGCAGGTACTGGACTGGCCACGAGACGCAAGTAGTTGAAGTAGCCTGTACTGAGGAGAGTTTTCGTGAAAATGGTGTAGGTATCAATCGCGGGAAGGTGATAATCCGGGACCATCTTGACGACCGCGTCTAAGCAAGGCAGACCAAGAATTCCATAGATACGATCTCTCTCGTCGCCAGTATCAGCCTCGCGGCTGAGGATAAGAGCGTCGAATATCGTGTCATGAATTGCACTTTTCGTGAGGGTCTGCGGAACATTCTGAGCCTCGATCATGGCAATCGGTCTTTCCCACAGCTTCTCTGATATGGTGTATGTGTCAATCCTTCCAGGCAGTCTATCCCAGGACCGTCCCATTGCACCAGGTCCATTGACAGCGTGGATTATTTGCCTCCCAAGCTCGTTCCCATCCACGTCCCGAACGAGCCGGAGAGTCTGATAAATATCATCCAGCTGTACACACTTTGCCCCGCACATGACTGGTGTGCTTCGAGCACCAGAAGCAATCTCTTGCAGTACCCATAATCTGCGGAAGTACGGCCTGGCAAGGAGATGGTACATTCCTCGAAATACCTTTCTGGGCATTCTCACATATATGTGGTTGTGTCTCCATCTCAAATGTGGATGGTTGACAAACATCTCCTTCTCCACCCTCTTGTACGCCTCTTTGAGTGGGTTGTCGTCCTGTGACCGAATGCCGAAATATCGTATGGCAGTCATGGCGAGATCACTATCATCTGATGATGGCCCAAGCCATATCACAATATGCATCGCCGAGGCGTAGATCTGCTGCATTCTCGTAACTTGCTTTGCCCGTTCGTTAAGATCGTCTTGATTGATACAGATAGCATCCGCCCAAATTCTGAATCCTTGCTTGATACGAGGGTAGTTGCGCAATTGACATAGAGCAGCTTCCAAATTCTGTGTCACAGCCATCGGTGCACCGTCGACGAATATTGTGCTTTTCACTGTAGCATTGCCCCAGACGTAGGACAATGCAACATAGTCACCCCATCCGTAGCGCCACAGGAGCTCAGTACCTTCGTCCAAGGGATCCAAGGATGATGTGCTGTTGGAGTTGGTTTTTGTGTCGCTTGACGGCGTTCTCCACACTGACTTGCGCCAGAGACTGTCTTGCCACCCAGGCTGGGACTCAATGTCTTCTGAAATAGGACATGGCCAGGTAGTGAAATGCTTGTTTAGGCGTCGTTGGTCGTCATTCGTGATCGGATTGGATTCTTCCAGGGAAACGTATTCCAGACTGCAGTGGATGGGCCCTGAGGCAAATTTGGGATCATCTTGATCCGTCGAGAGTCTGATGACTCTGATCTCGTTGCTGCGAAGTTCTCGATACCGCGCCATAAAAGGAACGAAGTGTGCGAATTATGAACGTTTGACACTGGGAATGTTCTCAATCAATGTTGCTTGATGAGTTCAAGCTACAGTTCCAAGGCAGAGTGAACAATTGTACAGAAAAGAGCTTCATGGTGGTAAAGTTGATACTTGAGGCATAATCCGAAACGTATGATGCCCTGGCCAGAGGCACAGTCCTACCAAAATAGTATGAAGGATTCAGGTTTGGAACCAACAGTGGTTGACACTACTCTCTACGCACGGACCAAAAACACCAAAATCATGAAGACAACAAAAATAATAATACATTATAGTAACTCTACAATCTACCATTTGTTGCCCCTAATAGGCTTCCCACCGCACCTTCCAACCTCTGCGCATCTTCTGGGCATATCAGCAATACGCTCCCGTATTTGCTTTAAGGTAATTTTGTCCCATTCCTCCT